AGTCACAACTGCAAGTATTCATGTGGTAATGGACTGACATTGGTGTTGATATCCAATTGATTGAATAATCGATCATCATCAATTGCATCAGTGACTGGTATATGCAACTGATATACATCATGTCCGAGTCTGATATATGTTGATATATTCCTGTCAATCAGCAATGCATATTTGTGACCATTACAGTCGAATGTGAGTCGAGTCGATCATTGAATCAACGAATCAATGATTGCACTCTAAATGTAGTGCGATTTGATGCGACATGACAATATATTGTCCAACAGGTTCAACATACACAACACCGATATCCAACACACATCACACATGAATACACTGCGTATACAAGCAGTAGCAATGACCAATCCAAACCAACAGTGACAGAGTTACCCACCAACATATAGTCGATCATCAGTCGAGTCTGCATATATCAACCAGTTGCGACACGTCATAATCAATGTGGATTGTATTGTTCACCAATCGATCATGACAGCTAATCAATACCAATCATGTAGTCAATACAATCACCAACATATCGATGATTGTTGACTGGCGGTTACAACTTGTCAATTGCATCCAATGTTACAGGTGATGCACATCTGATTACTGCAAATCAACAACTTGTCAATCATATCATAGTGTGTATTGTCAACGGACCATGCAATTACAAATCAATGTATACGTGATCAACATTTGATATTTGATGGTGATGAACCAACCATGATTGATTGTATCATACAACTAATACAGTTGCACTGTCTGGTATTGATGATTGACCCATTCATGTCAAACAGTAACTAATGTGTGTGTATCGAGTTTGTGTTGCATGGACACATCAAAGTGTTTGATAACGAGTCCAACGTGATGATACAAACCCAATATTATATGAATATCCAAGTTGATGAATCAAGTCGAGGTTTGCAAAATGTCGATGTCAGATCAATCAAACAAGTCAGTCAACCACTATATGGTGACTAGTGATGGCACGGTTTGAATGTCAACGAGTTGGACAGTCGATAATATGGGTGATTGTGGTTTGGTCAAACCGCAACATTCGCATACCACTGAGTCGGTTTAATGTGTGTGGTGTACGGGGTGTACGGGGTGTAAGCAGTATGCATAAACTTGTTGATATCATGGACTATAACCAATATACATCACACATATACAGTGGTAAACACCAACGTGTGATGTATCCAGTGATCGTATACTGGTTGATTGGTGCAATATGATCATATTACATACTAATGGAGTGTGATAATCATATATTTGCAACAGTATACCATATTGCACTGTTGATATCGCGTATCTGGTGTCATTACAATATATCAACTCACTTGATATGGTTGGTATCGATTGTTGCAGTCGTCGAGTGCCGTCATTGGTCATGCATTACCAGTTGTGTGTGATTGATATTGACCATCATGGCATGTATTCAAATGCAACACTATCAACATACACCATGACATGTGTGATCGACTATAACTGGTGTGGATTGCAATCGATTGTGCACGGTAGTTTGATACTGTTTGCAATTGTTGATCGATACTCGGACTATTCGAACTTGTATCTCTGGTTGTATTTATGACTGGATACTTGTTGGATACTTGTCGGATACTTGTCGGATACTTGACATGACTGGTCATATATGGTTGCACAATTGTATGAATTGTATGATGATCACTGTCCAGATGTGCATGTCAAGTGCGTGTATAACCAGATTGACGATATTGACCAGATGGCACATGCTGATCAATACAACTGGTGTACATTGTATACATTGTATGCATATACATGTATGGCTTGATCACTCGGATGTACATACTCGACATATATACCGACACGACAATCACAATCAGGTTGTATGTGGATAATGTTGTAATATCGAGTGACTGGATCCAATTGCAGTGTATATACGAGTCATACAACAACTCATACGAAGTTCGTGTTCGTGTTCGAGTGATGGAATGCAATACAATGCAATGATTGCATCAATCCAGAATACAAGTCAACCATGATATATGATCATAATTGTGGTTGATACAACTATATAATGACAATCGATATTGATATAGTAACACACAACATGCAATGTCAACACAACAGTTGCAAGTCACTGATCATGTATTGATTGATTGAGTGAGCAAGTAAGTGATTGAATCGCTGGACATGTGCAGTCATGACTGATCATGTCGAGTCTAATGTAAAGTGTCATGAAACCACGACATGCTTAAACCATGTCAATCATTTGTCACTTGAAAAGCATACAATATCACACATACTAATGACCATCTAACAACTGTATGCCAAGCATTCCATCATTCTGCTTGATCTGTACTTGACTGTATTGTGGCATATTGGCCGTTTTTAGGGTGGAAAGGGTGAAATCACAGTCAATCAGCTATACAATACTCACACAAGCAATAGCTCAACCGAAACTGCGGACGATCATATAGGGATATTCTTTCAAACTTTAGCATTGATGGCGATAAATCAAACCTAACCCTGATAACACTAATTCCTTAGGACGGCCATTCAGTATGCTTTTAATACTGTTCATCCAATAACAGATATAAATACAATTCAAGAACCGACCTGTTGAATGACAGTCACTACAACTTGCTTAACCAACCCAGTAAATGAAACTCACAGTTGTTGTGCTGTCATCAATCCTGGCCGTCTGTTCGGTTACTATTGCTGACCCAGTCAATCCCACTGCGACCACAAGTACCCAATCTAGCTCGGCAGCTCTTCCCAGTGCAACTACAGGCACTTATCCTGACCCTTGGATGGCTCCCAATGCACAAGTTACAAATTCAGTTGACTTTAGTAGACTTCCAGAGAGTACTATAGATTTGATCCAAGAATACGCACGAGTGAAGGAAAGTTATGAGCAAACATATGGAATGTACGAATCGCTAAAATTGGAAAAAATTGACCAAGAGCAATGGACAAAATTGCTATATAAAAAGCTAAAGTATTCGAGTCGCAAGGTTCGCAAGGTTCGCAAAGACAAGTATGGTTTAATGTACAAGAAAGAGCTTAAAGAGTTTAGAGAGCTTAAACTTGAAATCGAAACTCAAAATGGCATTCTTTTCGAACTTCAAAAAAAGTGTATGGATCTTGGCTCTAAATATTCTGAACTGCGTTGGAAATTTGCTAAAATACAAGTATTACTCGTGGAGTGCTTGTATGGCAAGCATATCAATTATGAATCAATTAGCTACTACCTGGACTATGTGGAATCAAATCCCGAGTTTATGAAACTTGTCGACACACTTCGCAGTTCCGTACCAAACCAACAGTCAGGATCTGTGCAAGCCTCTACTAGTGGTATCCAGGATTCACAACTTTATGAAAGTTTATCATCATCATCAGATGATGAAATGGAGTTTTTGGATGAGACGCACTCGCCATAAACTAAACGCTTATAATGCAACCCAATCGAACATTTTTCAGTACAAGAAACTCGGATCTATAAAACTGGATTACTGTTGGGTTGACCCAGATGTGACAATTGATCCGATTTATTCAATTGACTTGATTGATTTGGTTGCTAATCTGGACTGGTTTCAACCGTGTTTATTGTATTTTTGTTTGAATAAAATACAATACAATATAATTGATAATTAATATTGGATATTGGATGTACATGCATTGTATCTGATTATTGTACACAGTCTTGGTTGGCATGATATCATAATGTACATTGGCACTTGTATTTCCAATACAATACAATACAGTTGATTGTATATTGCATAGTTGTACACATTGATGATGCTGACATGCATGCGTGTATTGTGTCGATATGATATTGCTTGTCATGTCGTATTGACACATGCAACACCAATACCAACAATAGTCATGTGTGTTGATATCAGATCCGACCAACTCGATCAATTTGACTGATTTGACTCGTTGATTGTGGTGTCAAAATGGTTGCATCAATAGTCTGACTGATCACACACATGTTGATGTATGCAGTGATCGTATACTAGTCGATTGGTGCAATATGATCAGACATGCTAATGGAATGTGGATCGTCGTGGTATTTGCAGCAGTATACCATATTAAACTGATACAATACATGCACGGCTTGAACATATCACACGCACTACAATGCATGACATGATACATACATCAACATTGGATTTTATTGTGAAGCATTTCCTAATACCACCACCCAACACAACGGGTGATCGTTTTGACAGCCTATTGCTTGATTGACTGGTAGTTCCAATTGGTGAATCTAATGGAATTTGAACTGCAGCAACCGCCTGTAACGCAAGTAGAATGCATTCTATATTAATCAACATTGTATCGAGTAATGTAATGAAAGTGTCGTGAATTTGGTAGATGACTGCCATTTTATAACGACAGCAGCTTCAAGAGTGACAATCAGTGCTTTCCAAATGAATGATCAGAAAAAACACAAGTATACCATTTAGGATGAATCAGTATACAAACATTGCTATTAGTGTAAAATTCATCCCAGTAATACGCTGAAATAATCTGATCGCGGTGATATATCCAGTGATCAGGCAGTGTCAAATTGTCATTCTGATTATGTATAATTATCATCACATATACAATCCATTACTACAGAATATATTGATCCATGTTCTAGTATACGATATATTGTGCTAGAATACAATATTTCCAGCCATTTGATGCTAATACTGATATTAATCTACACATACAACATTGATCACCCACAATGGTATATAACGGAACTCGATACCACTTTTTTAATATAAACTGTTAAATTGACTCGAGATTTTAATCTGAAAATTGAATATTACAATATTGAATAAAAGACTCGAGTCATTATATGAATGACATAATCAATTGTCGAGTTGAATTGACACTTGATTGAACAATACAAATAAACACATGACAAATGTTTAATTTGACAAAGTGTGATTTCCAATACATTCTTCACGATATTGAATCGGGTCACGTTTTATCTTTCTTTTCTCTTATTTCCTTCTTTGCATCTACAAATGGAAAACAAGAGCTTCTTTATTCAATACCTTGACAACCAACCAGTGGAAATAGAAACCCACTTTAATGGAGAAGTAGAGAGAAAAAGGCCACTTGATAATGTCTCAAAACTAATTGCAGCAGTCAAACAAGCGCTTCCATCAAAGCTCGGTACTATAGATCTTGACGAGCTGACCCTTCATTTTGTGCTGGATGGAGTGGAAATGACTTACAACTCTTGGAACTCTATTACTGCTATTGGAAATAATGGAACTACTGGGCTTAACCCTCTTGTCATTAAATCCAAGAGTGATGTAAATATGGATATTAACTATGACTGGAGTCATTTGTCAAGCTTTTTTACTAGGGAGTTTTCCGATATTAATGAGACCATACAAGTTGTCGAAACAGACCGTCAAGTCAAATTCAAGTCGAAAGAGTTGCGTCTATTCTACAGTGACCAATGGCGTTTGGAGAGCGGTCGTCTGCCAGACATGCGATTCCAGGACATCAATTTTGAAACGGACATTCAAAAGCGCGTAGATTCATTCATGGGCGGAAACGAACTCGTTGGTCTGTTAATAGGACCTACAGGTTGTGGCAAAACCCATGAGATTATCAATAGGGCAAAAAAGCAATTCACAATCTTCATTGACGCTCGATCTTACCCAGCTTTAGATGACTCTGATGATGCCTCACTCTTCTCATTGAAAGAAAGTTTTGAAAGCATCACTTCAAAATGGAAAAAACCGAATCAAAGCCTGCCACAACTCTATGATATTACCTATGCCTTTCTACTGTCTCGTGTTCTGTTTCTCAAATATCTCAAGGAAAAATATCCTAACATAACTCCAGCACAGTTTCTCATTCATCAATTGTTCAACTCAAGAGCCATCAGACTATGCTTTCTGAAACTGAAGCTATTGTCTTTGGACAAGTTGAACGACATACATTGCAGCTATATTGACGATGATTTGCGCTGCCTCTTTTGTTTTGATCAAGCTCATGTGTTGGCCGAACATCTTGGAAGCACGATTATCTCGTCAATGGAGGGAAATCACATCCAACAAAACGGAGATGTGAATGAAGATTCAAAAAGAGGAACACTCTCAGTCTTGCTGTATGTTATCAAAAATAAGGAGTTTGCCAAAAAGGTTATTTTTGCTGGAACATCATCAAAACTACGCAACATTGACAACTTTAAATCATTTGGAACGAAACCTGTTGGTCCTCTTATTCTCAATGAATTCATAACTTGGGACTGTGAAATGGCGTTGGACTATGTGACTGCTTTTGTCGATATTCATCCGGATATTCTCAAGACTGTTCTTACCGACAACTATCGACCAAGAATTTTGGAAAACTTTGTATATGACTTGTTCAGTGCTGGAATCAATGACAATGACTCGGCAACGGCACAACGCATACGACTGAAAAAGCAACATGCCTTTTCGAATATCAATGATATAGTAGAGGAATCTTACAATGCGGTAATTGGTCGATTCACTCGTATGTCGATCGAACCCATTGCCAGAACCATCAGGGCTCATTCACATACACAGATTATGCTAAAGCTTATTTTATCATCAATGATGACGACCAATCATGGACCAATATACTGCCAACTGGACAAGAATCAAGAAAACTTTTTCATGAATACTGTTGGATCTATACATCTCATTCGTGAAACTGGCGGATACTTTTTGTCTGAAGGATATGTGATAGACTTGCTTCTCAATTTATTCCGAACAGAGTTTCAACAGTTCAATCTGTTGTCATCGTTGGATCTTTTGAGCAGCATCGCTGGCACAAAAGGTAAAAAAACTACAGCCAAAGGAACACCATTCGAAGCCGTCATTTTGGCTGGTATGATCCAAAAAAATGGACCGCATCTTTCAAACGTCCTATCTAGTTTTGGTGTTTCGATTGCTGGTCTTGATGGTTTACAGTTGCCAACAATAGAGCGTAAGGCTGGAGATGGCACAATCATATCCGATAGACCAACAGGAGTCTTTTTTCGTCCTTCAAACCAGTTTCGACCAGACATCCTTGCGTTTTTATCCAAACAAGTCTGCGTGTCATTTGGAATCAAGCTATATACATCAAAAATTCCTTCAGCAGTGTCTGCCGATAATCTTGAATCTACAAATCCAGACTTTTTCTTTATTAAAGCAGATCGGCCAACGAATAACGAGGCGTATTTGAAATGGCAGCAGAGTATATCTGATACCCCGTTAAAGTTTTCAATAAGGTTCTTGATTGAGCTGCCTGAACCACTCAGTGCTGTTTCAACTGAAAATACTTATAACAGCGTCGAGGGAAACCAAAATGTCGTTGTTGTCGTTTCAAAGAGCAATATGCGCAATATTTTAAGCGAGCAGGTTGCGTCGTTTGTTGAATTCATTACCAGTTCCTGATAATAAATATTGAGCTAATTTGAATATTGGATTGTGTTTTGTTTGATTTATTATATTCAACAAAAGATGCCACAAATCACTTGTCAACTTGATACTATGCAACAGTCGGTTGTTCTTGGTATAGATACAGTTTGAACTACCAACAATGATTACTGCATACAAAGTCACCCAATATCCTACCGATTCTGGTTGTAATTGTATTCCACATCCAATTCTAGATTGTAATCACAATCACAATTACCGTGTTTGATCAAATGGTGTTTTGCATTGATCATGGTATCACACATCACGATACTGCCAGATCACTGCACACAAGCCATGATCAATACAAATGCATTACTGATTGACACTGATCGACACCATATATACAGTCAGACAGCACAACAAATCACCAGCATGCCATTGACCGTGTTGCAATACAATTGACCAACATATCATGATGTATGTTGTATCAAGTCACGACATATAGTATTACTGACTGAATACAGGTCACAACTGCAAGTATTCATGTGGTAATCGACTGACATTGGTGTTGATATCCAATTGATTGATTAATCGATCATCATCAATTGCATCAGTGACTGGTATATGCAACTGATATACACCATGTCCGAGTCTGATACATGTTGATATATTCCTGTCAATCAGCAATGCAGATTTGTGGCCATTACAGTCGAATGTGAGTCGAGTCGATCATTAAACCAACGAATCAATGATTGCAGTCTAAATGTGGTGCGATTTGATACAACATGACAATATATTGTCCAACAGGTTCAACATACACAACACCGATATCCAACACACATCACACATGGATACACTGCATATACAAGCAGTAGCAATGACCAATCTAAACAAACAGTGGCAGAGTTACTCATCAACATATACTCGATCATCAGTCGACTCTGCATATATCAACCAGTTGCGACACGTCATAATCAATGTGGATTGTATTGTTCACCAATCGATCATGACAGCTAATCAATACCAATCATGTAGTCAATACAATCACCAACATATCCATGATTGTTGACTTGCGGTTACAACTCGTCAATTGCATCCAATGTTACAGGTGATGCACATCTGATTACTGCAAATCAACAACTTGTCAATCATATCATAGTGTGTATTGCCAACAAACCATGCAATTACAAATCAATGTATACGTGATCAACATTTGATATTTGATGGTGATGAACCAACCATGATTGATTGTATCATACAACTAATACAGTTGCACTGTCTGGTATTGATGATTGACCCAATCATGTCAAACAGTAACCAATGTGTGTATATCGAGTTTGTGTTGCATGGACACATCAAGGTGTTTGATAACGAGTACAACGTGATGATACAAATCCGGCATTATATGAATATCCAAGTTGATGAATCAAGTCGAGGTTTGCAAAGTGTCGATATATCAGGTCAATCAAACAAGTCAGTCAACCACTATATGGTGACTAATGATGGCACGGTTTGAATGTCAACGAGTTGGACAGTCGATAATATGGGATGATTGTGATTTGGTCAAACCGCAACATTCGCATATCACTGAATTGGTTTAATGTGCGTGGTGTACGGGGTGTAAGCAGTATGCATAAACTCGTTGGTATCATGGACTATAACCAATATACATCACACATATACAGTGGTAAACACCAACGTGTGATGTATCCAGTGATCGTATACTGGTTGATTGGTGCAATATGATCATATTACATACTAATGGAATGTGATAATCATATACTTGCAACAGTATACCATATTGCACTGTTGGTATCGCGTATCTGGTGTCATTACAATATATCAACTCACTTGATATGGTTGGTATCGATTGTTGCAGTCGTCGAGTGCCGTCATTGGTCATGCATTACCAGTTGTGTGTGATTGATATTGACCATCATGGCATGTATTCAAATGCAACACTATCAACATACACCATGACATGTGTGATCGACTATAACTGATGTGGATTGCAATCGATTGTGCACGGTAGTTTGATACTGTTTGCAGTTGTTGATCGATACTCGGACTATTCGAACTTGTATCTCTGGTTGTATTTCTGGTTGGATACTTGACATGACTGGTCATATATGTTTGCACAATTGTATGAATTGTATGATGATCACTGTCCAGATGTGCATGTCAAGTGCGTGTATAACCAGATTGACGATATTGACCAGATGGCACATGCTGATCAATACAACTGGTGTACATTGTATACATTGTATGCATATACATGTATGGCTTGATCACTCGGATGTACATACTCGACATATATACCGACACGACAATCACAATCAGGTTGTATGTGGATAATGTTGTAATATCGAGTGACTGGATCCAATTGCAGTGTATATACGAGTCATACAACAACTCATACGAAGTTCGTGTTCGTGTTCGAGTGATGGAATGCAATACAATGCAATGATTGCATCAATCCAGAATACAAGTCAACCATGACATATAATCATAATTGTGGTTGATACAACTATATAATGACAATCGATATTGATATAGTAACACACAACATGCAATGTCAACACAACAGTTGCAAGTCACTGATCATGTATTGATTGATTGAGTGAGCAAGTAAGTGATTGAATCGCTGGACATGTGCAGTCATGACTGATCATGTCGAGTCTAATGTAAAGTGTCATGAAACCACGACATGCTTAAACCATGTCAATCATTTGTCACTTGAAAAGCATACAATATCACACATACTAATGACCATCTAACAACTGTATGCCAAGCATTCCATCATTCTGCTTGATCTGTACTTGACTGTATTGTGGCATATTGGCCGTTTTTAGGGTGGAAAGGGTGAAATCACAGTCAATCAGCTATACAATACTCACACAAGCAATAGCTCAACCGAAACTGCGGACGATCATATAGGGATATTCTTTCAAACTTTAGCATTGATGGCGATAAATCAAACCTAACCCTGATAACACTAATTCCTTAGGACGGCCATTCAGTATGCTTTTAATACTGTTCATCCAATAACAGATATAAATACAATTCAAGAACCGACCTGTTGAATGACAGTCACTACAACTTGCTTAACCAACCCAGTAAATGAAACTCACAGTTGTTGTGCTGTCATCAATCCTGGCCGTCTGTTCGGTTACTATTGCTGACCCAGTCAATCCCACTGCGACCACAAGTACCCAATCTAGCTCGGCAGCTCTTCCCAGTGCAACTACAGGCACTTATCCTGACCCTTGGATGGCTCCCAATGCACAAGTTACAAATTCAGTTGACTTTAGTAGACTTCCAGAGAGTACTATAGATTTGATCCAAGAATACGCACGAGTGAAGGAAAGTTATGAGCAAACATATGGAATGTACGAATCGCTAAAATTGGAAAAAATTGACCAAGAGCAATGGACAAAATTGCTATATAAAAAGCTAAAGTATTCGAGTCGCAAGGTTCGCAAGGTTCGCAAAGACAAGTATGGTTTAATGTACAAGAAAGAGCTTAAAGAGTTTAGAGAGCTTAAACTTGAAATCGAAACTCAAAATGGCATTCTTTTCGAACTTCAAAAAAAGTGTATGGATTTTGGCTCTAAATATTTTGAACTTCGTTGGAAATTTGCTAAAATACAAGTATTACTCGTGGAGTGCTTGTATGGCAAGCATATCAATTATGAATCAATTAGTTACTACCTGGACTATGTGGAATCAAATCCCGAGTTTATGAAACTTGTCGACACACTTCGCAGTTCCGTACCAAACCAACAGTCAGGATCTGTGCAAGCCTCTACTAGTGGTATCCAGGATTCACAACTTTATGAAAGTTTATCATCATCATCAGATGATGAAATGGAGTTTTTGGATGAGACGTACTCGCCATAAACTAAACGCTTATAATGCAACTCAATCGAACATTTTTCAGTACAAGAAACTCGGATCTATAAGACTGGATTACTGTTGGGTTGACCCAGATGTGACGATCGATCCGATTTATTCAATTGACTTGATTGATTTGAATGCTAATCTGGACTGGTTTCAACCGTGTTTATTGTATTTTTGTTTGAATAAAATAAAATACAATACAATATAATTGATATTGGATACTGGATGTACATGCATTGTATCTGATCATTGTACACAGTCTTGGTTGGTATCATATCATAATGTACATTGGCACTTGTATTTCCAATACAATACAATACAGTTGATTGTATATTGCATAGTTGTACACATTGATGATGCTGACATGCATGTGTGTATTGTGTCGATATGATATTGCTTGTCATATCGTATTGACACATGCAACACCAATACCAACAATAGTCATGTGTGTTGATATCAGATCTGACCAGATCCGACCAACTCGATCAATTTGACTCGTTGATTGTGGTATCAAAATGGTTGCACTAATAGTCTGACTGATCATACACATGTTGATGTATGCAGTGATCGTATAGTGGTCGATTGGTGCAATATGATCAGACATACTAACAAAGTGTGGATCGTCGTGGTATTTGCAGCAGTATACCATATTCCAACCGTTGACATTGCTTTCCAGTTTCAACACAACCATCATCAAGATTCAAGTTGAGATTTGATCCAGAATACCAAAACGAGATCAGATTGCTAATTTAGCAAAAACTACAGCACTCAGTATTCCCGTGTGGTCCCCCACCACAGTACTGACTGAGCCATCACAAGCTTGACTTCGGAGATCGAACGGGATCCGGTATTTTCTTGTGTGTATGGCCGTAGATGTTGATTGAAACCAATTATACGGTAATATTCGTTAGGTGTGTTTGTCAAATACATTGTGGTTTGGTGTCAGCACTTGTAAATCAATACTGCATGACAATCTCATCACCAATGGTCATCTGTTTTATATTGGATTTAAACATTGACAACTACTGCGTGATCGATGATTTGAATCCATGTAGGTTAACTTTAGTTGTATTTTTTACGGATTTTCAGTCAATGATGAGCATTTTTGATTTACCCTTTTACTGATGGATGCAGATTTACGAGAATATGCACTGTTTGCAGTGCGTAATCTGACCAAAAACAACAGAGAAAACCAAATGTTGATTGCATCGCTGGAAGCGAGAAAAGTAGTTCCAAACGAGATACTGACAGAAATGGGAGTTGAAGCAGCAATAGATCCAGTAACAGGTAAACTGACATTCAAATAAACTGCTACTTTACAAATCAATTGAGAGACACAGTTTGAACTTGTGAGGAATCGATTCTACTGTTCGGGTCAAATTAAAATCAATCTGTAAATGGTTGAAGCAGTTGGACAACTATTGTTGTATTTGCATAAAATGGAGCACTAAACAAGAATGTCACTCATAACCAGCAGAATTTTCATCTGCAACTCTAATCTTGAGCTTGCAATCTGTTAACCCTGATTAACATCAACCATTACTATGGCCCCTCTTTCTGACATGATTCCTCATCCCTATTATCCTCGCACTCTCTCTATCCCATCCTACAGTGGCCGTACTTGGTCTCCTCTGCAAATCCTGGGTATATTCTTCTCAATCATTTTTATAACCATGGTTATAGGCTACAGAGTCATCAGTGTTAGTCCCCACTACTCGAGCAAGACTAAGTCCAGCAAGGTTGCTCAAGCATCTTCTGCTCCACTCGGCACTCGTTTAATCTTTCTCTGGTTTTTGGCATGTTCAGGCATTCATTTTATTACTGAGGGTTACTATGTAGCCTTCAATCAGACCATTGCCAGCAGAAACTCGTTTATGGCTGAGCTCTGGAAAGAGTATGCACTGTCAGACTCTCGCTATATTACGTCAGATCAAACTATCGTGTGGATTGAAGCAATTACTGCTGTTGAGTATCCTGCCTGTTTCATCACTATCATGATAAACTCTTGACTAACATTGACTATACTCTAGTATATATGGGGTCCGCTCTGCTTTATTGCTTGCTGCATGATCTACAAAAACTGTTCCAAGCGCCATCTCGTTTTATTTTCCATTTCTTTTGGTCAGCTCTACGGTGATATCATTTATTATGCAACCACTCTCGCAGAAGGTGCTCCACACTGCAATCCCCATCCTTTCTACTTTTATTTCTATTTTATCTTTATGAACTTGTTTTGGATCTTTATTCCCATCATAGTGATGATGGATAGCGGAAAAGTGATCATGAGTGCATTGAATGCTACTCATGCTCCAGAAAAGGAGACTCGCAAGAACAAATGAAGGTGATCCAGTCTGTTGAATCTCGATGATGTGGACTCGACTGCAAGTGGAATTTACAGTTGTATTCACGTAATCTAACTTGTACCTTGCAATGGCCATCTTTGAAATAAACAATGTTTGAATGTCCACTGCGCTTCTCTATTATAAATTGGCTTTAAAGACAGCGGCCATTATGATACAACACAATTGAGCCATCTCTTTCCTCACTTTTTACAGTTACCAGATTCGTGCATTGTAATCTATATATTGGATTCAACTGTTTTGATGTTCTCAAGGCTTGCAGATACGTTCTAGTTCAAGATTACACGTTTCAAGAATACAAATGCTGCCTTCATGCAATTGCCCAACATTTACTTGTAATACTCACTCTGAAAAACTAAAGATTGAACATTACAAGAATATTGGATTTACTAAAAAGCATTGACAATTGTTTCATTCTATTTTACGCGAATACAATCAAATCCATCGAGTTTCCCATTTCCATGCCAAGACCGATTATTTGTTTTAGAATTGCCATTCATCAATCATGAATACTGTTGCTGAATCATATCCAACCAGCAGACCATTAAAGTCAATGGATCATCTGGATGACTGGACTCCACTTCAAGATCCATTTGGTCGCTGCACTCTCCCACTTCAACAACGGTGTATTCAGCGTCTGAACAAAGCTGCACATTACCAATCAGCTTTACAAAACTGCAATAGTATAAATGCAACCAATATTAAAAAAGTTGCTGTATGTCATGATATGTGTGGTGGATACGATATCCACCAAGATGCCTTGATTCAAGGCAACTATGGCTTGATAAATGATGTTCATCAACCCATTTATACCATTCAGTACTGGCAGTACATTGATGAATTTATATATTTCAGTCATGCTCGATTTAGCATTCCTCCTGTGGTATGGATAATAGCGGCTCATAGAAACGGCGTCAAAGTTTATGCAAGTGTAACATCTACCGAGTTCAATTCACATCTTATCAAAGCATCTGTTGATTCTAACTACAAACCATGTACTGTCTGATAGGCTACATTCATCACTGAATGGGAAGACGGGATACTAGAAACAATGAAGCTTATATATGGTCCAGCGTATACTCCAGACAGTCCCAATTCAGCAATGAAATTCTCGCCTCATTATGCTGACAAGATGGGTAACACATTCGCCTTTTTAATAATACCAACTCTACTTGATGTATTTGACTAAAGCCTGTTTATAATCATATGGATTAGTGGAGCTTGCACTGTACTTTGGGTTTGAAGGCTGGTTCATCAATATCGAGTCGGATCTTTCATCGCCCTTGCATGCTGAAACCATGGCACACTTTTTATCTTACCTAACAGCTCAAATGCATAGTCGAGTTCCAGGAGGCCAAGTCATGTTTTATGACTCGCTAACCAGGTCGGGAAAAGTGGATTGGCAGGATGGTTTAACTAATGAAAACAAGGCAAGCTTATACTTTTCTTCTATGCATTCAACTCGCTCAAAATAGACATGTAATCCATTAATTTTAGTTTGAATCTAACTTGTTTTTGGTAGTTTAGATGTTTTTTGATGCGTGTGATTCGTTATTTACAAACTATACATGGAAACAGGAAGGTCCTTGTAATAGTGCTGAGCTTGCATCATCACATGGACAATCTCCGTCACGTATTTATACGGGAATTGATGTATGGGGAAGAAAAACCTATGGTGGTGGTGGATTTAATGTCCATAAAGCGTTGAAAGTGATTCAAAGTGCGGGTACTTCGTGTGCGCTTTTTGCTCCTGGATGGACATACGAGTATATGCGAAAGACGCCATTCAAACAGGTTGAAGAGCGATTTTGGTGCAATGTAGATGTAGATGTGATTGATCCCGAGCAAACAAATAGTATTGCTGAGCAAAAAACAATGGACCCCGATTGGGTTAAAGATGCTAATGAGCTTAAACCGGTCGAGATTAAAAAACGAGGGACAATGATTGATGCAGATGACGTCGGATGTGTAGCAGACTATATCTCGCCGCGTCCAGCTGCTTGTCAGTCCATCTTATACAACTCACCTTTAATAGAACCACTACAATGGTTTTATTCGTGCTTTGATCAAGGATTTGGAACAAACTATTCTATTCATGGAAAGGTATGTATCTGAATATTTTGACTTGTCAATATACAGTTGTATTAAATATATCTGTTATAGGCTGTTTTTAATGCATCATGGTCACATATTGCAAGTCAAAGTGTTCCACCAACCCATCGTACAAAGACATCGCGGTATATAGTAAAATGTCCCATTTTACCTTTACCTTTGCACTCCAAAACGGTACAACCACCATCAACTGTTGTTGAAAGGATTGCATTTCAAAATATACCTGGATCTACTCAAACAAGTGACGTGGTGACTGGAAACGCATGGCTGGGTGGATCTATCTTGAAATTACAAGCCACACTTTCATTTACAGAATTACATCCACAATCCAGTTCACATCACACCGTTACTGGGTATCTTTTTCAAGTATTTGACCTTGACATGGACTTGCAATCTAAAGTATACGTTCGTGTGCGATACACTATGGATTTTACTAGCGACTGCTTACCACTACAAAACAAGTTTGACAATGATGGCATGCTTGCATTATCAATCCATCACCCACATTATGGAACTCGACTTATTTATGCAACAGAGACTCACAAACTACAAGTAGATGCCTTACTTTGGCACACAACGGTATTCCAGATCGGTGATGGTGTAATACCATCCAGTAAACAGACATGTCCATTTACACTTGGAGTGGTCATGATCCCATTCAAAACGCCTTTAATGGAACACGCAAACTTTGCTCACGAATGCTGTATGACTGTACAGGTTGGTGAGATATTTATATCTCCTTTGTTTCCATTGCTCACAGTTGATATGGCTTCCGAATCGATTCAAACCCGTTCCATCACAGTAAATAACGCGCAGGTCAGTACCGATTCACGCCATATGTGGATGACGATTACATGGGAGTACGATATCAGAGTAGAGGAGACTTTTACACAGATTCCATACATGGGTCGATGTGAAGTGTTTATGGATGGCACGTATTTGGGAAGTGCGTTTATTGGCATGTATCGGATCAGTATCCCACTTGATCTATCCAATGCCGATTATTGTCAGATTCGAGTTGTGGGGATTGATGCCAGTGGTAATACACGATATACTGCTACTGAATTGATTACGATTCCTTTTATTCAAACAAAATGTATTGAATATTCAAGAGTATCCTGCTGTGATGAGCAATCTGTCAAGCATTGAGATTTTTATGAAAACTATAGGAATAAATGACAAGTGAAGTAGTTAAATACAGCTATATTCACGTAAAATGAAACATTTTTGTATCTATTTTGCAGTGGATTGACTATTTATGTTATTGGAACCGTTGGTTTTACGCACAACAAATAAATATCTGGTACGGTCATGGCATTAAACAAGTTATGTTGTACTCTAGTTCAACATATCCCGGGAATGCAACGGTTGGTTCCATGATGATTACCGAATGTCAGTATTGAGTTGTGAATGAAACAAGTATCAAGGATGAGATTGATTGGAATTGTGGTGTAAACATTTGTTCAATTCTACAAGAATGCGTACAGATAAAAACCAGTCAATCAAGGGTTTACAAGACAATACTTTGAATTGGGTGAAATGATTATTTCATGAAACTGGCCGTTTATTATGCATTTTAGCTTATTTAGTGTATCATTTTACGTGAATACGGCTGTAAATAGAAGTATAATAAATAGAAAAGATCGACAAAAATACTTGTATGAGTGCAGACATTGCAAAACTATTTGGTCGAAGCTTGAACTTATGCAAAAATAACTGAGAGTACGGATGTGGCCAATAATGACATACCGACACTTTTCATCAAGCTCGCGAGATTTATGACAGCAAGCTTAGATGATGAGGAGGGAGTTGATTTGACACACTCGGCTGGAATACTTGGATCGTGCTTTGGATCGACTGGTGGTGGTGGAGAGCCAGGTGGAGCTTGTTTATATCCAGCTGGACAAATGACAGTAGAGGTTGGAGACGGAGCAGCACCAGGATTACCAAGTGACGAGTTTGTAGCATTAGACCCCATGCCATTGCCCATGCCCATACCATTCTCCATACCATTACCCATGCCCATGCCATTTCCCATGCCATTGCCCATACCATTTTCCATACCATTGCCCATGCCATTACCCATACCGTTGCCCATGCCATTCTCCATACCAGCACCATTACCAGCGCCAGCACCATTACCAGCACCAGCACCAGCATTTTCGACGACTCTAATCAATCCTCTCATTCCTTTTTGACAATCCCCGGGCATCATGCTCACGTACCAATAATTTCCCAACACCGTAAAGACGTGTCTATGTGTTTGTGGAGCGCGACCAGGCCTTGAATCGAACCCACGCTGAAGTGGCTGACAAGAAGTGGCATCTTGAACCTGAGTAACAGTATGAACCTGTTGAATGAATTGCCATACAACAGCATCACCTAAACTGATTTGTAACATATTTGGACTAAACGTGTTCGATTGGAGAGAAACCATATGCTGACGACCTTGTTGAGCACCAGCAGATTGTTGTTGTTGTTGTTGAGCACCGGCAGATTGTTGTTGTTGTTGAGCATTGGGAGATTGTTGTTGCTGTTGAGCACCGGGAAATTGTTGTTGCTGTTGAGCACCGGGAAATTGCTGTTGTTGTTGAGCACCGGGAGATTGTTGTTGAGCATTGGGATTAGCACGCTGTGGATTGGTCGCGGGTCGTTGTTGCTGTTGCTGTTGCTGCTGTTGAGCACCAACAATACTCATGCATAGCATGGTTATAAATATGGCAATTTTCATTGATATAGAATAAGCGCTTATATAAATGAGTGATTGGATTGGATTGGATGACTACTGAAGATGCTAGTGGACAACGAATCAGGTTCGTAATAATAAAATGAGCACAAGTCTTTCTAAAAATAAATAACTTTGAGGGAAAGAAAAATAGAGCGAGTTCAGTAAATTAATCCATGTATCTATACTCTGAATAGGATGCCATTGCCATCGGACACAAAGATGCATTGTAGCAGTCTTGTGTTGAAGGTTGCCACCAAATCAAAGCTTGAGTGGTGCTCGCGAATCACGGCAAAAAAATATCGATTGAAGCTTGAAAAGCCACTACAAAGGAAACACGCAATTGAATGAACTGGCTGTTTTATTAGATTGATAATACAAAGTAGAACAAATATACAAGTCTACTAAATAGTGGGCATGTATAGATGGATAACATCCATCAATTCAAAGAGTCCTATAAAAACAATACTAGGAAAGTGATGTTTCAAAATGAATTGGATAGAATTACAGCATCAAAAGACCTGCAACGGCAACACCGACAGCAGCCACGGCGGAGCGGCCATTGAGTTGGGCATCTGATTTGGCAGCGGCAGCAGGAGCAAAAGTAGCACTGGGAGCGGAAGCAGGAGCAGTTTCGGATGATGTGCCAGGAGCAGGTGCTGGAGCACCTGGAGCGGGAGCTGGAGCAGGAGCGCCTGGTGCAGGTGCACCCGGAGCAGGAGCAGGTGCTGGAGCACCTGGAGCAGGAGCAGGACCAGCAAGAGCATTGACAACAATAACACCCTTCATGTTGGCAGCACAGTGAGCAGGGATACCACACGCATACCAGACAGTACCGGCCGTAGCAGCCTTCCACACGAAACTAGTGCCAGCGGCCTTCATACCAGAGTTGAAAGCATTGGGCACAGCAGCACACGATTGAGCATCAGCAGTCTTGATGACAGAGTGAGTACCAGCAAAGTTCCAAGTGACAGTATCACCAACACTGACATTGATCTTGGCAGGTGAAAAGGTCAATCCAACCGTGGTAACAACATGGTTTGTAGCAGCAGAAGCCACTGACAATGAAAGTGCAATTGCAGTCAAAACAAACATCTTGGTTACTCAATACTTTTCTTGTTGCTTTCTTATATAAGTTTTTAATATGCGCATTAGTTCAATGCCGCCGCCACGAGTCCCCGACCTGCGCCTCGTACTAATTGAATAGGCTCGCAATAACCCCTCTTCCAAGTATTTGTCATCACTTTTTATTATGCATGTGTTGATTATCGGCTCACAAGCCTGATTCAAAACTTAATTCTCTCCAAGTCGTAGCTGTGCTGCTTGCAAGTCTTTTAGCGCTCCCCGTGTCGCCTCCACTACGTTTCGTACGCAACTGACCACTTGCATATCATCGTCATAGTCACTTTCATCCATCCATTTGCGTCGAGTCACGGTTCTTAATTGTAATCCAAGTGCCTCCACTTTAGTTAATGCCCGCCCTAAATGCTCCTTGAGCATTTCATCAACACACGATCGTGCTACTGGTGTCCACGATGCTACTATGTTGCTTGATATGTCGTATATATCCCCTGATGTGTTGATGTACGCTTGCTTGAGTTGAACCTGTGGTGATTCTTCTCCTTTTTGCAATGGGTTCATTGTGAGTCGTGCCGATCGCAACAACCGATGCATCGATACCAGCTCATCGTACTTTGCTGCCAACAGCTGTTCCAATCCTTCTAGATCTCGTAACATATGCCACGTGCGCTGACGAAACTCACGTGTCGAGTCTTGCTTGGCTTTGGCCAATGCTATAGCCGTGGCTGCTGAAAGTGATTCCGGCGTCGCATTGCTTGTCCTAGGTGACGTAACAGTATCATGTGTTGATAGATTTGAATATGTGGGCTGAATTGTCTGCTCTGCTGACTTGAATATGCGCGCATCTTGTCCTTCAAATAGAGAATCAACTACTTGCAAGACATTCGAACAGGGTGATGAAACAGATGCTATAGGCGACAATCCTTGAGTCTCCTCAAACCCACGTGCCACATAGTCATCATCATCAATATTATCTGTAATGGTTGTTGAAAGAACAAGATTTCCTGCACTTCCACACCCACTGCTAATGCTAGCAACACCATCCGACTTCAACACCATCGATACTGCACTTGTATTGGCCCCTTCCATAGCTACTGGTTGAATATGGCGCTCTCCAAATTCGTCCATCACTTCCACCTCCAATAATCTTGTACCTGATAATAAATACATGTCACCATTCTTGTTCTTTTCTCGATGTGTTGGATAGGCATGACTAGACCCGTCCAATACTGCCTGAACACTGTCCAATACTTCCATGGTCAAAGCTACATCCACATTGCTAACACTACTTGAAAACACTTCTGTATCCTGCTCAAATTCTTCGTGTTCTGACAATGAAGGCTCAAGTAGGCAGTAGGCATCGTCTAGTGATCCAGTTGGTGGTATGTTTAGATCCAAACTGGCCAGTTGATCTACAGCATCAGATTCTTGAATGTCTGTCGCTTGAATTGGATCCATTTCCGTTGGTCGAACATCAGAATTCAAAGATTGCTCACACGTATCCAGATGATCAACTGTATCAACCGCTTGCAGACTTGCTAAATCTACAAATGAATCGTCTTGTAAACATTTAGTAGCATCAGTCTCCAAAACGGATAAAGTCGGCTCGATGGAGTCTGTATTATGATCAACAGATACATGTTGATCCGACTCGATCGTCACATCCACATTAGTCAAGCTACTATGATTAGAAAATAAGTCACGCTCCTCATCTGCATCAGTAATCGTCGTGGGTGTATGAGAAAGAATCTCGGATGAATCCACAAGTGTCGCAACTGAGGTGTTACGGTACATGCCGCCATCCTTGTCCATATTTTCAGTAGGTTCAAGTGGATCTTTAATGGCACAAGTGTCAATAGCCAAATCTGAAACAGTGCAACCCTCATCTAACTCGGCATGGCCTACATCATTATTTGGTTCAATACCCAGCTCAACTAAACAGTATGATAGACAGTCATGTACAGTTAAAACTTACCATGGTCTTTCTCAGATGATACAGTAGTGAATGATTTGAGAGGGGAAATGGCTCTTGGCAGCTTGCTTGTAGGCAAACCTGATGCATTTGTATGGGACAAACCTGCAGCAGGTACAGCCATCACCAATGAGGACATTGATGGAGACGATCTTAAAGATGCATTGGATGCTTTTGAACAAGGGATAGGAATGTGTGATCGATCATGGCCTGTATTGGTGGCAGACTGTAGTTTCGACTGTTGAACTGGTCGAGACCGATTGGACAAGGCAGACCCCTTGATGGAAGACCCACTCATGGCTTGCATACTCTTTCTCCTATACGCTGTTTTTAAACAAGACTTGACTGGTGAGGGTCGAGTGACAGAGCTGCTACTTGCAGTAGAATCCAATGTGTTCATGGACGATTTAGCAGTACAGGCTAGTCCAGCATTAAGAGTTCTATGGGAATAGATATAGTTTGGATATTGATTGTGGGAGTGGTCACCACAGGCAGAGCAACCACTCCTGTGCCTAGGACCAGAAAAGGGTATTCCAGGATAGTTATTGCTCATGACAGTTGACAATAGAAACGCCAAGTCGATAAACTTTGAATTCCAACCACCGCCGTATTCACGTAAAACAAAACTTGTGTTTATCCGGCAGTCTTGTTTCAAAATAAATAATATTTTACTACAAATTGATTGCTTCAATACACTCGAATGCGTCGAGTAGTTTACAATCGAATTCACGTAAAATGAAACTCTTGTAATGACTGGTTGGTTCCCGAATAAACAATCGTTGTTAAATATTTCTTTAAAGTTCTAGTTCAACATATCTCAAAAAGATTGAAAGTGTCAAGAATGTATTGAAACAGAAATGTAAACTGTTTTAAAATTCACTTTATTGTGCATAATATGAATTTATTGCATATGACATTGACCTGGTCTTAACCCTCTTCGCATCACTTGCTGCTGATATCCTCGACTTCTTCTAGTCTCATTTTCAGTCACCACTTGCTCTGCATGCTCCATTAAACTAGATACTCCGCTCCATTTATGTCCTGATCGTGTTACATATTCACATTGAGAAAGCTCGTTGGGTAGCGATGGATGTCGTCCTGTACACACGTTTCTAGGAAATACCTCGATGAGCGATGGTATATACGAACGCGAGCTACTTCCCAGTTCCTCCAACTCATCATCAATGTCTACAACCAACGGATGACTCATTGGCTCATTAGTACTGTTATGATTGTTTTGATGCTCTTGATCCTCGTTTTGATTCAACCTCTGTTCTGTAGATGGCAGTTCTGCTCCACGAGCATTCACCAAGTCGTCATCTCCAATGGCATTGGGTGAAACAGACATATCAAACGCTGGTGCATGCTGATGAATCATGTCCGCATACTGTCGCATTCGTTGTCTTTGCACACTTGTAACAACACGGTTACAATTGAACCCAGGTCCAACAGTAGAAACAAGTGGTGAAACAGGTTCAAACACCTTGATACACGAATCAATCCCAGAAACTGCTATAACAGGAAGATATGGATGTCCCTGAACCACATTGACTGTCTCACTATCCCCATATACCAAACTTACCAGCTTACTAGACTGTCTATCCCAAATATACACGCTACCATCATCGCTCCCACTCGCAACGTATTCGTCACGACCTCCCATGAAAAACACATCCTTGACTGTATTCAAACTGCAGTGACCTCTGTATGCACGGGCGTAGCTGACAGAAGGCGCAGATATGTGTTTGGAATGACTTTCTTGTCTAGATGTAGGCTGGAAATCATCGTCATCTTCGCTCCAGTATGAATGAACATAATGTCCATCCATATCAGAATCAGACATGTCCTCCCATTGGCTAGAATCAGACATGTCATTGGATACTGAGCCAGTTTTAATATGCTCTAATGTGGTGGACGAGTGTGTTGAATCGGTCTGTTCAGGCTTGTACTCTTGATTATATACATCAGGCGTTTGCTGTCGTTTAGTCGTATGGGGAGCGTCTTCAAACTGACCAGCTGGATGACTGCTTTGTTTACTAGATTGGGTATGGGGATCATCACACTGGAATAAAAATACAAATGAGTTTAACCAACTCGCAACCAATTCTCTCGAGCCTTGACCCTTTTTACTAAAAGCAATACCAGACACGCACGAATCCTTGTCGATACTTTTGATTCCTTCAGGACGAAATTGCTCAACACAATCTTTGATGTATCTGCGATCAAACAGCATCACTGAAGGATAGTCACCACCGATTGCAACGTATCTCCCACTCGCATCAATATCCATGGCATTCAGGGGTCGATGAAATCCAATCAGTGGAGTTGCACAAGAGGATTGATAGGTACAACTATGTACCCTTTCTCTTGTATCTATTTGACGGACAGTTCCATCCTCTGAGCACGTCCAAAACAAATACGGATCAGATCGAGTAGTCACCACCTTTTTGACTCGATCTGTATGACAATCATATGTCTGTCTGAGATAGTTTGATACCCTAGTAGTTACCACATCAGATGTTAGAGTAATAGTTGTAACCGATTGGGATGATCGAGTCAAGTCAAACAACTTGATCGTGGCATCGCCTGCACAAGTGACAATTGTTGTGTTGGTCAAGGGCATAAACTGAGCAGAGAAAATGTTTGCTGTATGTGTTGTTGCCAACCGTGCAACCAGTCGAGTAGATCCTGCAATTTCCTTGAATGCAATTGGAAGCTTGTCGTCACCAGGCAAATATCTCCATAAAGCAATATGAGTATCGTCGGACCCAGACAGAAGCAACGAGCCATCTTCAGACCAGGACAGAGTATTTACACATCCATCATGGGCTACTAGTCTTTGGGTTAGTGTCAGTTTGGATAGCAATGAAGGGGATGACTGGATGGTCTGCCTGTAGATAATCGGATCAAACAAGGGGCTGGTTTCTCTCTTGTTCAAAGTAGAATGGATTGATTTTAACTGTGGATTGGGCATGTATATACAATCTTGTATGGAATAGAAACTAATAGTGATGATGGCAGTTGAGGAAAGTGTAAACTCGATTAAACTGAGATCTCATTCGTCCATCTTATTTATTATTGCTTCTAATGAGCTTATGCAAGTGTTATATAGTGGGAAAGACTTGTCGCACATTGATGTTGAGTCGAGAATGATCCATCCATTCAGCAAATGCATTCCATTCACTGTCTGTTCCATGCATTAAATAGTCTGGACAAGTGTCTGGAATGACCAATGGCACGCCATGAAACACTCTCCTGGCACTCTTGCTCATGATTAAAACATCTCCACTATCTAACCGAATCGCAGTAGGCGTAATATCTTTGGATTCGCAAGGAGAAATTAAAAATACACAAGATAAGCCTACACTCAAACTGACTAACGGTGCTGTCATGTCTACCTCGCTCCTGTCCTGATGTCCCATAAGTGTGTCTCCTGGATGATACCAGTTAATCACTCCTGCCTCTGGACGCCATTGACTCGACGAGTATCCTGTCAGCTCTTGTGTGAATGCCAAAATCTGGTGTGTGATGGTGGCTATAGTATCTGGAAATGCATGCAATCGATCAAAATGGTATTGCTTTCTGGTCCAGTCGTACTGATGACCCAGAGTGACCCATCTGAGTCGGTGTATCACAGCATCTACTGACATTGATTTTGGTGCTGTCATGGCATCAGTAGGTGGATCTATCTTCATGGCGCCATCTGCAGTGGTTGATTCCATAGTCTCGGTATTCTCAATGGATCTAGGATGGATCAACTCTGCATGGTTTAGCCGTTTACTTTGTTGATATACTTTCCATATGCCTATGTTGGGAATCAAATAATGAGCATCTAGATTTGACAGATTAGGAACTTTGCAATGCTTTTCTAGACACTCTTGCACCAGTTGTCTTTGTAATGATGGTGGAATCGCTCGTTTTAATATAAAAAGACCTGGAATGTCTGTCAGTTCAATCACTCTTGTCGTTCCTGGAACATCCAGTTGTGGTTCAGACAGTATCAAGGGTGGAGATAGCTCGACAGTTTTGAATGATGTGGATGGACTCTCTAAATCCAAATCCAAAAGCAATGGCTGCAAGTCCTTTAGCAGAGTCTGTCGTCGTTTAAACGTTCTCTCCAAAATACGGAAAGGAGTCTGGTTGGACCATTGTTGTGAGTTGGCAGGTTGCTGTTGCTGCTGCTGTTTTCGCTGTCTTTTCTTGTCCCGATTACTCATGAACAATATGCAACTTGATGTAGTGTCAGAGCTTGTGAAGTTGACTTGATAACTAGAACAAAGTCGCTCATTTTGATATCATCTCGAGTTCAAGTGCATCTAAAACCTGATCGTCTAAAAGTTTACAAAACCCTCAATGGCTTGACCATCCTCTCATGTAATCTCATTTTATGTGAATACTAATCACAAATAGTCAACTGTCGTATCTCAAATATACAACTTTAGTAGATTTGGTATACTCGCATGAATCAAGTCTAGTCGACATGTATTGACTATTTCAAATACTATAAAAATCCTGTTCAACCACAGAGCCATGATATGCTTAGACTATTCAAACACCAATAAAGTGGTGATCCATCCACAAACATCAAATGTATAAACCAACAAAAATTCAATAGCCAAGCTGCATTGATTTACACATGATTGCTGTTTCTGTGGAAAATGTAGACTTGGTACTACCTGATAGAGTAATGATTGTCAACCACCACAGCTTTTTCAGTTACAGCACTCTAACATTGCATATTGAAAACACCAGATTCTTGTACTACCAGCCAGTTGATACACTCGATATCGTGGTATAAGCAGGTCAATTCACCACCTTGTGTTTCAAAATAATCTATTTAAATGGCGTATTCAACTCATTATAAATTACATCAGCTTACAATCCATTTATTAGATTATTCTTCATTTTATTAAACTTTTAACTATCATGAAATTCGCTACTTCTGCTTTCGTTTTTACTCTTGTTGGGTCGGTTGTTACTTCTAGTCCAAGTACTCTTCAAACCAGATCTGTTCAATTGGATGAAACTACCAACAATCATCTTGAACGTCGTGGATATGGACGCAGGCGTTTCCATGGTCATCATGGCGGTTTTGGGTTTGGAGGTTTTGGCGGTGGTGGTTTTGGTGGTGGTTTTCGTCATCATCGCCGTTACTAATCCAACACTTTTAAAGACTAAACTATTTCATTTATTCAACTAATATTATAATTGAATCGACAAGTGAATAAACAGCTAAAATTGCAACCCATTCAAATTTGATTTTGTAGTTTGTCTAAAATATTCAACATTTGGGATTATTTTTGATCTTGCACAACAGGACTGAACTACACAACAGACTAGAGATGAAGTTGGATTATGAGTTACTCACTACGTCTCCTTCTAGAATCAACCCTATTGGAGAAAGAGAGTTGATTTTGCGAGGTACTGTTACAAAAAGGTTGACTGTATAGAGTCGATTGGACTGACCTTTTACAACTGTTGTATGCATGGTACTCTATAGGACACAAGTTGCAGCGGATTGAAAACTTGACCTTGACCAAGGCAAGTTTAACAGAATTGAATATGAATATCAAGTCTAATAATCCAAGAGAATTTGAATCCAATACACTGCAGTTATAAACGGGATAAACTAACATGCATGCTATAGGATCAAAACGATACTCTTGATTTGACCAACAACTCTCTTGTTCGATTAGATGCAATCCCGCATTTGCCTCGATTGAAAACTTTGTTGCTTTCTTCAAACAGAATTACTAAAATCGATAAGGATCTGCCAAAATACATTCCCAACTTGCGCACTCTAATTCTATCCAATAATCAACTTGAGGGGTTGAGTGATTTGGACGCTTTGCTTGGGTTTGAAAAACTGGAAACTTTGGCATTGTTGGATAACCCTGTTGCGTCAATGAAACTGTATCGACTGTTTGTGGTACACCGATGTCCCTCTGTGCGAGTATTGGATTTCCGTCGAGTGAGAGAACAGGTAGATTTAACTTTTGGTGTTGATCGAGGTTCGTGTAATGGTTTAATTCAGTGCTAATGTGGTGCTGGATCTATGCTATGGATGCTTTACACCATTGTTGATGGTGTATTAGGAGCGATTAGAAGCTGCTGCGTTGTTTTCGGGTGAAAAAGGTGCAAACCTTTTACTTTCTTTGTCGGCTCCATTGTCAGTGACAACCAAGGAGTCAAAGGTAAAAACGTTTGAGCCTGGCGAAAATCTTCCTGCATCCTTGTCAGCTCCACGATCGCTCGGTGCATTGTCTTTGGAAGAAGCTGATCGATTGCGAACTGCTCTTAGCGAAGCTACTAGTTTGGAAGAAATTGCTTATTTGGAAAGATTGTTGAAAGGAAAAGTCGCTTTGCCGGCTGGATATGTTGCTGGTAGTTTCAACTCTACTCAACACAAGGCTTGAGCTAAACGACCGATACTTTTGATTTTTATCATGGAATAAACACCATATTTAGCCCAGCCGTCTCTATATGTGCTTGATAAACTTTAGAGTTGCATATTGACGTGATATACATTCAAATACATGACTAAAGATATGAAAAAGACTAAATCAAGTTCATTAAAATTTCAAAATTAGGATGCTCAACAATCGATCAAAATGGGTTTGAAAGTAGTGCAATCTTGGTTGGGATTGTATCGATCTAGAAAAAAGCACCTTGCAAATTGTCGAAAATTCTTGTGAAATGTTGACTATTACGTGGTCTTTGCAAAGATAGCCTCTAGACTTGCCCACACGAGCTTAGTACTTTGAGCAGCATCAACACCGTGCCATATACCACGACGCTTGTAGTAATCAGCAACAGGAGCAGTCAGTTTATGATAAGACTCGAGACGCTTAGTAAGTGTGGCAGCATTATCGTCAGTTCGCTGAATAAGAGGTTCTCCAGTGACATCATCCTTGCCAGCAACTTTGGGGGGATGAAACTCACGATGGTACGAACGACCGCTTCAAACCATAAATTAAAAAAGAGTTTAAACCATACAGATCAGATCCACAATAAACAAGATTACCTAGCAGGATGAATCAAGCGACCAGTAATACGAGAAACCAACAGCGAATCGTCAATGACCAGTTCAACAGCAGAATCCAATCCTTTGCCTTTAGCTTCAAGCATACTGTCAAGCTTTTCAGCCTGGGGTACAGTTCGAGGGAAACCATCAAGAATAAAGCCACGCTTGCATTCGGGATTGTTGTCAATGTTGGACTTGATCAGACCAACCATGATATCGTCACTGACTAGACCGCCTGCATCCATAATCTTCTTGGCTTGCTTTCCAAGCTGATTAAAGCAATTGTATCATACAAAGCCAAGTCAGCATGGACATTCACAGCAGTGATAGTAATATGACTTCTGCCAAATGGTTTTATGGATTCAAGCCCAAATCACTAGAGATGGGTGAGATCAGCCATTTGGCAGAAATAGTAGAATCAACCACAACAGCAGTGAATAACAAAGGTGTTCAAGAGACTACTCACCTCAGATCCAGCCTGAACAGCCTCACGCAGCATATCACCAGTGGCCAGATGACAGACGCAGTAAGTGTCTTTGATGAGTGGAGCCTGAGTACCTTTTCCAGCACCTATTCAACACATCATCACAAGCGGATTAAATTCAAGTAATCAAGTGATGGCCATGTAGCAATCACCAAGTAGAACATCACTACTAATACGAATGACTGGACTGCAAACCAAGTGGTCACTACAAAAGGTCAATGACCAACAACTAGATCGAATGCAATAAAGTGTAATTTACCAGGAGGACCCATGATGACCATGCGTAGCTCCTTGTTTTTAGGAGCAGATACTGATGACTGAAGAGCACCCATAGTTTCTAATTCGTCACTGGAATGATTTGTCAAAATAAATTACAGCCGTATTCACGTAAAATGAAACATTTTTCTGTAATCGTCTTGAATGGATTGTTTTGTTAAAGACGTTGATTTTACGCATAATCAAGTCATGTCTGACATGATCACGCCATTGAATGAGTCTTGTTGTTATCAGACAATTCTGTGTTCTAGTTCAACTCATTAAAGTATCAAACGGCTTTGGTTTATTCATTTTGAAAAATCTAAAACATCATCAATAACGAGTTCTACTTTGATTATCCTTTCAAAACTAGTGATCATGTCCATTATCATGTGAATTAGCTTGAATCATTATCCATGTGCTATATAAACAAACTACATACTCTGATTTGATACGATCCTGCCCTGGTCATATATCGTACCCATTTGACACTCTGATAGTTACTTTTTTCAAAAATCTTGAGAAACCGAACCATCAGTCCAGATGCTGTAAACATTAAAACCTAGATTCAATTGTATTCAAATCACATCACAGATTAGATCTACACCCCGCCAATCAGGACACTACAGAGTCATTATAAGCGTTTGTTACCTGGAAATCAAGTGAGATGGGGGGTCGCGACCACACCTTTTTTACAGTTGTCGAAGTTAGCTCTGCCTCTGCACTAAACAGCGTCTCATCGTGTCCTTGAAATCGTGCAATCCTTTCAAATAAAATAAATAAATACTTGGTGCCAAAGTATCATTCTACACACTAGAGCAAATACCCACTTCCAAACCATGCAGTTCTCTGCTCCATTATACTTTGCCTTGCCTGCCGTCACATTAATCTTTGTCGATGCAGTATTAAGAGGTGTTGGAATTTTGATGATAATGTTTTGAGCATACACCTTGCTGGAAAAAAGCGATTTCACGGCAACTCGAAACTCGACACGTGTGGCCGAAAGTTCATTCACTACCGCATGCACTTTGAATGGAAGGCTAATGTTTTCCGTCGTCCTATACCTAACATTGATATACAGCCCATTTCATTCAATGTATTTTAAAACTGACTCAAATAGTCATTTTTTCAACGTGATTGTCAATCTCCTTTCTTACCTCATGAGCTCAAACTCTCCATCTGGAGGAATAAAATTGATGGTTCGATCAGAATCAAATCGACCAAGCTTGACACACTGATGAAACTGACAATCGTCAAGCTCGACTGATGTAGAGGCTTTGCTTGTGGATGAAGAGTGTGGGTTGCCCGACACTGGCTTGCCTTCCTTTTCTAGTAACACTTTGTCATTAAGCCCAAATTTACATTCTGGCATACCGGTAAGGTATGCTCGCATGACAATTTTTCCAGATATATCAGATCTAAGAACCGTTCCTAAATCCAAATCAGTCAATTCAAGTCATGGAGATGGGTGGTGTAGCATCAACATTCACCAAAAGCTCCTGCATACTACCTTTTGGACTCATGATGAGATTAATACTTTCAATAACATCAACAAATACTTCGTTTTTGCGATACTTGATATCCGGTCGACGCCACGATACGGCTCCAGTAGCCTGAATAGCAATACGAGATCCATCATTCTAATACCCTTGTATTAGTACATGCAATGTATACAATACCACCGTGTCATTATATATACATATCATGCATATTAAACATACAGCTGCTCGGTCAGATTGAATTCCTTCAGTCGTAATATACATTTTGAGAGTTTCCGACTCGGTGTTTTGTGGAATTCCAAAATCACAAATCTCTACAGCATACACCCATGCAAACATCAGTATTTCAAAACAAGCAACCCACCACAAATGAAATCTGATGAGCGGAGCATGCAACTCACCATCCAATAGTTCATAAATCAAGGTAAAGTTTCTTTTCACAGCATCTTCGTTGAATGTACGAAAGTAACTCACACCAAGTCGAACAATCCTGTTTAAAAATTCATAGACCATACACGCATTGATGCTGGAACTTTTTGTAATGGCGACTAGAAAGATATTCTCGTGTTTGATATGGAAAAAGGTCATGTTGGCAATGGTGAGAAGTGGAGAGCGAATATCTGTGCTTGAAACGACATGAATACGAAACAAGTCTGCTGCGGACCGTCTTTGAGTAATAGTGTTGCCATATTTAAGTTTGGTTGATGGGCAAAGATACACTTGCAATTAGTCTCATATTGAAACCATTCAAGATGGACATTTTGATAAAAGACTATGTTTTGTATCAGCATTGAATAAAAGTACAAACGCTCAAATGACAAGAATATGCACCTGACGTCAGGTCTGTATATCCTGGATATAAGCACATCTCCCTTTGCGTTGAATATCGCCAACGCACTCAACATCTTGACATGAACTATTCAAAGCTTTGGATTCAACTCACGACTCGCTTCATTACACATCACGTGAATTATACTCGAGTCACGAGTATCATTCACATCTGGCCAACTGTTCAGACTGCAAACTCGAGTATTTTAGACTTGGACTATTCAAGTTGGGTTTATTTTGATCTTGACTGGTTATTCAACACTATGTTTCAAGTGTTGATACGAGACATTTATATCACTTTAATCAGACTGAGATATTAAAGCTGTACACGATTGACAAACTACTAATAGACTAGTATGATTTAAACCTCGGTAGAATGATATTCGGTAGGAAAAAACACTTTGAGAGTATTTTGATAAACAATATCTGCCAGATCGTGTTCGTCCATGTTCTTGATTCCAGCAACCACTCGCAAGACATGACTAAGATTAATGTTAGTAATTTAATTTTTATACGATTATCTTGACAAGAAGTACTAACAGTAATGTGCATGGCTCGTTGCGACCTTTGACACGCTGACCCATGATAAACTTTTCTTTTTTCTTGGCTTCTGGACCCAGTATATCAAGAGGATCAGGGGTTGCATGTGCAGAGAGAAAGGGAAACGAGGCATGCGTAGGTCGAATATCACACCATGGAGCATCTGTTTCTAGTAAAAGTCGATCGAGTGGAATCTGTTTAACCACTTGAATCTGATCATCTGTTTTGAGCGAACTAAACGTATAAAAGTAGGGTTACATCATACACTCTAAACCAATAGAGTAACACAGTGCATGTACTTTACCATCCATTGATACCAATATACAGATCCAGTTCTTTAGTAAATATGTTTAGATCTGTAATGGAACCATCGAATGAATGAACGACACCTGTTGAAAACAAGTGACGATGTGTTTTGACAAGATCAATAAAGTCTGTGCCAGTATTTCTGTTATGAAAAAGTATGGGTAATCCAGTGCGATGAGCCAGTTGAAAGTGACCAACAAAATGACGTTTTTGGATATCGATTGGACAGAAATGTGTGCGATCGTAGTCGAGACCACATTCACCAATGGCAACAATACGTTTAATTGAAGATTGTTCAGATTGGATTAAAGCGAGTAGTGAATCAAAGTAGTCTTGAGATCCTTTTGGATGATTTTCTATATCCTGAGCATGAGTTGGATGACAACCAACAGTTGAATAGAGATTGTACTTGACAGCCATTTCATAAGCAGTTTTAGATTCATCGAGTGTTGTTCCTAGTATCAAGAAACATTAAATTTAGTTTAACCAAACACTATAATATGAATGTATAAAAAGAATCATACCAGTGATAATAAGTCGATCTACACCCACAGTATGAGCTCTTTGAATGACATGTAATAAATCATCTAATATTATAAGAGTAATAGTCAGTATAATAGTATAATAATATAAAGAAGAATACTTACTAGAATGAGAATGTTTTCCTCTGTAAACTCCCACAAACACGGAATCAGTCAGATTGACTGCAATATCAACAAGTTTTATCATTCGTGAAGCCATGCAATAATTTGCAGTTGGTGTCAAGTTGCGTTTGTGATTTTTTGTAATTTCTTTTCTCGTATCGCAAACTCATAAATGTTGCATCGTTTGGTCTTTGGAGCTGCTCGCTCTTCTGTTTCTGCAAAGTCTTTAAACTCTGCTGTTTACGGTATTCTTACATTTTAATATTGTCTTGGTTTTGATTCAATCTCATTACATTCTCTACTCTTGTAATCCTTTTTTTTTCTATCGATCAAAATACAAAACTCGTTCATTTCATGTCTTACAGGCCGTTTCCTCTCTGCTGCTTCTGTCACTGCTTCTCGTTCACTTCAGGTAATTCAAATAATTCAAAGTTTTATTCAACTCTGTGCTGACTACTTGAATGTGTATTCATTTCAACAGACTCGATGCATTCCTAGATCCAACTTTGTTGTTCCAAAATCAATCCAGTGCACCACTCTGTCTGCTATGCCTTGCGTCAACATGGCTGGTATGGAACTTTTTATTCATCTGAAATCAAATGCATAAAGTTTATTTCTAAATTATTCATCTTTAATCATTCTCCACTAATGATTAGTTTCTCGCCATATGTCCGTTTATGTTCGCGATAAGCCTCATGTTAATATCGGCACTATTGGTCATGTCGATCATGGAAAGACTACTCTTACAGCCGCCATCACAAAAGGTATGTGTGCTTGTGACTCTATTATATTGAAATCTTAAACTTGAAATCAACTCAACTTTTGATTCAACATTAAATCCACTTAGTCTTGGCTTTAAAAAACGGCGGTGAATTTAGAGACTACGCTTCTATTGACAAGGCTCCAGAAGAACGTGCTCGTGGTATTACCATTTCTTCAACACATGTCGAATACGAGACAGATGCTCGTCATTACGCACATGTTGATTGTCCTGGTCACGCAGATTACATCAAAAATATGATTACTGGTGCTGCTCAAATGGTAGATCCATTATCTAGTCTTAAACTTGATTCAAAACTACTACTATAGACTAATCTGATATTTGATCAATAATAGGATGGTGCTATTATTGTTGTGTCGGCTACGGATGGCCAAATGCCTCAAACTCGTGAGCACTTGCTGCTTGCTAAACAAGTCGGTGTTGATCATCTTGTTGTTTTTGTCAACAAAGTGGATGCTGTCGATGACAAGGAAATGCTTGAACTTGTAAGTGGCTTGGTGTTGTATATATTTTTGCAACCCTCTCAATGTTTACATGTCAATTAGGTCGAGATGGAAATGAGAGAGTTGTTGGCTCAGTATGGCTACTCTGGTGATGATGTTCCAATTATTATGGGCTCTGCTCTGTGTGCTCTCGAGGGCCGTGAACCAGAAATCGGCGAACAAGCGATCCAGAAACTCATGGCTGCTGTCGACTCGTGGATTCCAACTCCCGTTCGTGATCTCGACAAACCTTTCCTGCTTTCCATTGAAGGTATATTAGACTAAATATAATACATACAGCTCATCATATACTCATGGCTTCTTGTATTAGATGTATACTCTATTGCTGGTCGTGGTACCGTTGCTACTGGCCGTGTCGAACGTGGCTTTGTTGAAAAAGGTGCTGAAATTGAAATCATTGGTTATGGCCCAACCCTCAAAGCCACTATTACTGGCGTTGAAATGTTCCACAAAGGTAAATGTCACATGTTAAATATGCAACACTCCATCTACACTCGCTTTAGCTGATTATTGGTTTGATGAATAATGTTCAGAACTTAACCGTGCCGAGGCCGGTGACACGGCCGGTCTTCTTCTTCGTGGCATCAAGCGTGAGCAACTTCGTCGTGGTCAAGTCATGTCTTTTCCTTCCGCGATCAAGCCCTATTCTAAATTCATAACCCAGCTTTACGTTCTCTCCAAGGATGAAGGTGGTCGCCACACTCCATTTGTTGAAAACTACAAACCACAGCTCTATGCTCGTACGATGGATATCCCATGTACACTCACATGGCCCGACTCGGATCAAGGCAAAGCTAACCGTAATGAAGGAAAAATGATCATGCCGGGTGATAACGTTGAGATGTTGGTCGAGTTACATTCTGCAGTTGCCATTGATGAAGGATTGAGATTTACTGTGCGCGAGGGTGGTAAAACGGTTGGAACTGGTGTTGTTACCAAACTTGTCGAATAAATGGTCAAGATTTCAATGCGTCATTTCATGATTCTACATGAATAGATTCATGTCACTATATATCTGATCATGATAAAACATCTTTATTTCGTCTCAATTCATCAAAACCATTGACAGCTGTCTAACAACTATACATCACATGAAATGATATATTCTTGAATACAGATCTGAGCTCATCCAAACTATTTGTATCTAACCCTATCCTGTGTAGATGAATGCAAGTATCGCTTCAACCTTTGGTTACCAAAACATGTCTGGATTGTCTTTACTCATGACAAATTTAAATATATATTATTCTACTCACCCATTATGACAATCCATATGAGATGGAATCGAAAATTCAAATATAAAACAATAGTTTATCACAGCTATATCCACGTAAATGAACCACTAAATAGATGTATAATAAACGTTGAACCAGATAAAAACAATACCATGTTGTAATTTAACAAGTCGCTAATATATTTACTACTTGTATAGTCAACCCATTTTACTGAATGGAAAACAGGACTGTGGTTGAATTTTCTGTTGGGTTTTACTACATCATATAGTTATTTCACATGAATTATTGCTTGAAATAGATTGGGTAGACTTTTTGAATGGGTTTCAAGTCGAGTTGGATCTATTGACAGCCTAGAATTTTGTTGTCGGGATAAAGAATTCGTCAATCGGTTGCTATTTTTTGTTTCAGTGTTGCATTATACTATCGTTTTGATATTAGGAATCCTCCTTCTGTAAAGCTTTGATCGTCGAATCGAAGCATGTACGATTCTTGATGCTGGGTTGATACTTGATTTCATATCATGAGATTCCAATGCAGCAGCTATTTTCTTTGTGTCCAGAATTGGCATAGATGTTTCAGATATGGTTTTTGATGTTGGTTTGATACTTGATTTCATATCATGAGATCCCAATGCAGCAATTATTTTCTTTGTATCCAGAATTGGCATAGATGTTTTAAATATGGTTTTTGATGTTGGTTTGATACTTGATTTCATATCATGAGATCCCAATGCAGCAATTATTTTCTTTGTATCCAGAATTGGCATAGATGTTTCAGATATGGTTTTTGATGTTGGGTTGATACTTGATTTCATACCATAAGATCCCAATGCAGCAACTATTTTCTTGATGTTTAGAATTGGCATAGAGTTGTTCTTCTTGGCCTCTTTCAACACTATGCTAGCCTATACTGACAAATATATATTTTTGTTAAATTAGCAAACAAAAATTCGAGTTTACCGCTAAAACAGAGATACGATTGTTGATAATACCTTGGAAGACGGAGAAATTGAAACAGATGATTTAGCCTGTTTTAACCTCGAAGATTTTGATACTTTCCAAGCTATCGTCGACTGTTTTATATTCTCGACCAAAGATGCTGAACATACTTGAGAATCAATGCAGGGTGTATCCTCTGCATCCAAGGATACGAAATCATGATTTGATTTGAATGACTGAGAAGCACTACAAGAGAAGATAGTGTCTGTTTCAGATGATGTAGAGATGAGTGGATCAATCTTTGTTTTACGTGTCCGTTTGGTCTTGGCAGGTGGCAATACAATCTCATCTTTTGAATCAGAATACGGTAGCTCTAATGTCTTTACAATACTTTTCCAAGCATCGCTATCCAATAGTGGATTTTCCCTAACCTCGTTTTTAGGCTTGCTTCGAGAGCGCTTTTTTTTTGAATTTTGGTGTATATGAAATATGGGATACAACTGCTCGCTGCTCTTTTTGAATCTCTGCATAATCTCATGCTCATTTTCTAGACATTCGATACAGTAAAAATCAGAATATTACAAAACTTTAACCATGTTGTTTTATATAAGCCGATCTAACAATATGCTGGACTTACCAAAATCCCACGCTGGGGATGAGATACAAGCATTTTCCAAGGTTTCAGATTGGATAGTGCTAGTTGAATGCTTGTCCGACTTCAAGGGGATTTTGAGTGTATTTTGGGGGGTTTGCTTCACAGTCGAGGCATTTCGAGTAGAATCAATCCAACCATTATCCAACTGAACTAGTTTAGGAAATACTGCAGAAGATTCTTTATGCAAGCCATTGATAGAATGGGATGTAACGACTTTATTTTCTGAAGGGGAATTGACAGCTACAGCAGCAGTTGCTTGTGTGTGTTGTTTCATCCATTCCCACGTATCTGACTCGTCAGAAGTGGCTTCTGTTGCAGCAGTTTCAATAGCATTCATATTGATGGAGATTGGCTTTAACTGAGACAATTGAAGCCATGGAACTTGAAACCGGATTGTTGGTTTAGAGACTGTCTGTGGTTTGACAGTATCAAGATTGTCATTGGAAACTGGCGAGTCTTGACCATGTTGCAGCAGATCTTCAGTCGATTGTGTGATTGCACTAGAATATAAACACTTGATTCTACTTGAATGTGTCAGTTCAAATCATGACTCTTGAATACATATTATTATTAATATCAATAATGAAATGCTCAACTGTAATGTGCAGTAATGAATAAGAGGCAACTTGATAGCAATTGCACTAAAATCCTTTGATGAATGCAAGGTGTTGCACATGCTATTATAACAAGTAAATGATACGTAGCAGGATCTACAATGTCCAGAAATGAATTTGAATGATGATTGCAGCATCTCGATCTACTAGTGAGTGAATGCTGATTATCACTGAAAATGTTGGATTTACAATTGAAAAAACTCAATTTTGATATAAAAATATTACAAAATTCACAGTGAAACACAAAGTGACTTGTAAACCAGTTTATTTAACTTGTCATTCAAACTCTTTATTTTTCTGGTGATTGACATGAAAACAACTGTATTACTAAAATATACAATCGTTGTTGTTTTGGACTAGACTGCGATCGTGTGTGATATTTTAGAATACAACAAAATACAGTTTGACAGCATCAGAACAATCAACTACAATATCTAGATTGCAATACATCAATCGAGTGATTGTGCATCGTACAACATATGATTACCAAATGAAAACAATATATGTATAAAATGCATAGTTTGATGTGTATATGATGGATATTGTTTATTAAGCAATTGATCATGTCTAGTCAACTGAATGTCTAATAGAAACACAACAGGTATTCAAGTGTTGTGTATTCTCAAGCAATAAGTCGTCACTGCGAGATACAAGTAGTCCATTTTACGTGAATACAGCAGTGACAGAATAGTAATGGTGAATGTCATGTATCGAGATTTAATCCACTTGCATATCAGTTTCGGTTGATTGGCTTGACCCAGTCGTTTAAGTAGCTTCATCTGGTTTAGGTGATCCAACAGTTCGGACCATTTTTGGGAACATGCTGACATATCTACCTTGAATGTCGCCGAAAATCTCGAAAAGTCTGAAAGGAACCATTTTTGGGTCTTTAAAGTGGTCTGATGTTTTCAAAAGTATCTCTCGAATTCCAGGACATTGACGAGTAAACAATTCAGTCTGAATTTTCATCATGGAAGACATCTGATCTTTATATATTTTATCGAGTAGTTTCAAGAGGAAGTTGGCTGATCTCAACTTATTTATAAGCATACGCTGAGCACTCTCCCTTGTATATCCTAGACTTGCCAACTGTTCGTCTGGTTCGTGACCAAGTTGAACCGCATCGAGTTTTACTAAAGATATTCCTCGCCTAGTTTTTTTTATTAGTCCAAGTAGCTTAGTGTTTGACTTTTTTATGATTAAAACCGCTTCATCATAGCTTTCCAACTCGCCAGGCTGGCAGGGACCTTGCACACGCAAGTAGTCCACGAAACAACGGTCATCTGGCGGACTTGGTGGACGTGACTGACCTGATGTAGAGGCAGTAGAACTCTGACAAAAATCATCCAAGCCTGCAAATATTCCAGAAATTAAAAAACTGTATATCAATATAATTGCAATCATTGTTATACTTTCAAGTTTGATGATGTGGTGCAGCTTTATATAGAAATTTATTCATTCGTCAACCTCTTGAACACAAAGGGTGTCTACTATTGCCCTAAGGGATGTTGACACAATTCGTTGGTTGCTTTGACAGTTGTGGGCTTTATGGTTAATCAGACTACCACAAGGTACATGTGACATCAAACTCACCCTTTATCACTACTGTAGTACACTAAACTAGAGTTTCAGGGACCTAGCATATTACACATGTGGTGTTCATATCAGTTGCACCAGACATACACAACCGACTGTAGGGCTAGAAGGGTTAGTTTTAACCCTGACGCTATGTTCGTTTGATCACACATGCTTTGAGTATGCACAGAGTGGTAACTTGTAAGCAGTGATCGCTACTCAAGCAATATATTGGTTTTTTACCAGTATGTTGATTATTCGACCGTTTTCTATCAAGTACCAACCCGTCACTGCTGTATTCACGTAAAATGGACTACTTGTATCTCGCAGTGACGACTTATTGCTTGAGAATACACAACACTTGAATACCTGTTGTGTTTCTATTAGACATTCAGTTGACTAGACACGATCAATTGCTTAATAAACAATATCCATCATATAATACACATCAAACTATGCATTTTATACATATATTGTTTTCATTTGGTAATCATATGTTGTACGATGCACAATCACTCGATTGATGTATTGCAATCTAGATATTGTAGTTGATTGTTATGATACTGTCAAACTGTATTTTGTTGTATTCTAAAATATCACACACGATCGCAGTATAGTCCAAAACAATAACGATTGTATATTTTAGTAATACAGTTGTTTTCATGTCAATCACACAATGTCATCATGTCCGAGTTGTAATTGACACAAGTTCTAATGATATGATATTGACTAGTATTGTAGTGTGAGTATTGGTTCAGTCATACACACATGATCACAAATACCGATAAACCTTGTCAAATAATACAATCAACATAAACTGTCCAGTCAACCAACAGTCATGCCATCAAACTGGTTGTTTATTATACCGATTCCATTATCTCGCGTCACGTTTACATGAATACAGCGATGAAAAAACCAATATATTGCTCTAGTAACGATCACTGCTTACAGGCTACCACTGTGCATACTCAAATCATGTGTGGTTAAACGAACATAGCGTCAGGGTTAAAACTAACCCTTTCAGTCCTACAGTCGATTGTGCATGTCTGATGCAACTGATATGAACACCACATGTGTAATATGCTAGGTCCCTGAAACTCTAGTTTAGTGTACTACAGTAGTGGTAAAGGGTGAGTTTGATGTCACATGTACCTTGTGGTAGTCTGATTAACCATAAAGCCCACAACTGTCAAAGCAACCAACGAATTGTGTCAACATCCCTTAGGGCAATAGTAGACACTCTTTGTGTTCAAGAGGTTGACAAATGGGTATATCTATATATAAAACTGCACATCACTAAACTTGAAAGTATAACGATGATTGCAATTATATTGATATACAGCTTTTTAATTTCTGGAATATTTGCAGGCTTGGATGATTTTTGTCAGAGTTCTACTGCCTCTACATCAGATCAGACACCTTCCACTTCAGGTCAGCGTCAGTCACGCCCACCAACCGGTGCCAAGAAAAATCGTTGCTTCACGAAATACTTGCATATGGAAGGTCCCTGCCATCCTGACGAGCTGGAAAGCTATGATTCAGCGGCTGCAAATATAAAAAAGTCAAACAATAAACTACTTGGACTAATAAAAAGTACCAAGCGAGGAATGTCGATGCTCAAACTCGATCTGATTCAACTTAATTACGAACCAGACGTGCAGTTGGCAAGTCAAGGACATACAAGAGTGAGTGCTCAGGCTATGCTTGTGTATAGGCTGAAATCAGCCAATATGATCTTGAAACTACTTGATGAAATATATAAAGATCAGATGTCTTCCATGATGAGCATTCAGACTCGATTGTTTACTCGTAAATGTCCTGGAATTCGAGAGATACTTTTGAAGACATCAAAGTACTTTAAAGACCCAAAAATGATTCCACTTCGACTTTCTGAGATTTTCGGCGACCCTCAAGGTAGATATGTCAGCATGTTCCCAAAAATGGCCCAAGCTGTTGGGACATCTGGATCAAATGAAGCTACTCAAACGACTGAACCAGATCAATCAACCGAAACTGATATGCAAGTGGATTAAATCTCGATACATGACATTCACCATTACTATTCTGTCACTGCTGTATTCACGTAAAATGGACTACTTGTATCTCGCAGTGACGACTTATTGTTTGAGAATACACAACACTTGAATACTTGTGTTCCTATTAGTCATTCAGTTGACTAGACACGATCAATTGCTTAATAAACAATATCCATCATATAATACACATCAAACTATGTATTTTATACATATATTGTTTTCATTTGGTAATCATATGTTGTACGATGCACAATCACCCGATTGATGTATTGCAATCTAGATATTGTAGTTGACTGTTCTGATGCTATCAAACTGTATTTTGTTGTATTCTAAAATATCACACACGATCGCAGTATAGTCCAAAACAACAACAATTGTACATTTTATTAAAACAGTTGTTTCCATGTCAATCACACAATGTCATCATGTCCGAGTTGTAATTGACACAAGTGCCGATGATATGATATTGACTAGTATTGTAGTGTGAGTATTGATTCAGTCATACACACATGATCACAAATACCAATAAACCTTGTCAAATAATACAATCAACATAAACTGTCCAGTCAACCAACAGTCATGCCATCAAACTGGTTGTTTATTATACCGATTCCATTATTTCGCGTCGCGTTTACATGAATACAGCGATGAAAAAACCAATATATTGCTTGAGTAGCGATCACTGCTTACAGGCTACCACTCTGTGCATATTCAAAGCATGTGTGATCAAACGAACATAGCGTCAGGGTTAAAACTAACCCTTTCAGTCCTACAGTCGATTGTGCATGTCTGATGCAACTGATATGAACCCCACAAGTGTAATATGCTCGACTCCTGAAACTCTAGTTTAGTGTACTACAGTAGTGATAAAGGGTGAGTTTAATGTCACATGTACCTTGTGGTAGTTTGATTAACTATAAAGCTCACAACTGTCAAAGCAACCAACGAATTGTGTCAACATCCCTTAGGGCGATAGTAGACACTCTTTGTGTTCAAGAGGTTGACAAATGAATAAATTTCTATATAAAGCTGCACTGCATCATCAAACTTGAAAGTATAACAATGATTGCAGTTATATTGATATACAGTTTTTTAATTTCTGGAATATTTGCAGGCTTGGATGATCTGTGCCCAAATTCTATTGCCCCTACATCAGATCAGGCACCTTCCACTTCAGGTCAGCGTCAGTCACGTCCACCAACCGGTGCCAAGAAAAATTATTGCTTCACGAAATACTTGCATTTGCAAGGTCCTTGCAGGTCCGGCGAGTTAGAAAGCTATGATGAAGCGATTTCAACTATGAGGGCCGAAAATGAGAGGTTACTTGGACGAATAAAAAAAACGAAGCGAGGAATAATGCTGCTCAAATTCGATCAGATTCAACTTGATCACGAAACAGACGAACAGTTGGCAAGTCTAGGATATACAAGGGAGAGTGTTCAGCGTATGCTTGCAGATAAGTTAAAATCAGCCAATATTCTTTTGAGATTAATCAGTAAGTTGTATAGAAAGCAATTAGATTCCATGATGAAGATTGAGGCTCGATTGTCTACTCGTCAATGTTCTGGAATTCGAAATATACTTTCGAAAACATCAAAGTACTTTAAACTCCCAAAAATGGTTTCTATTGAACTTTTCGATATTTTTGGCGACCCTCAAGGTGGATATGTCAGCATGTTCCCAAAAATGGCCCGAACTGTTGGGATATCTGGATCAAATGAAGCTACCCAAACGACTGAACCAGATCAATCAACCGAAACTGATATACAAGTGGATTAAATCTCGATACATGACATTCACCATTACTATTCTGTCACTGCTGTATTCACGTAAAATGGACTACTTGTATCTCGCAGTGACGACTTATTGCTTGAGAATACACAACACTTGAATACTTGTTGTGTTCCTATTAGTCATTCAGTTGACTAGACACGATCAATTGCTTAATAAACAATATCCATCATATAATACACATCAAACTATGCATTTTATACATATATTGTTTTCATTTGGTAATCATATGTTGTACGATGCACAATCACCCGATTGATGTATTGCAATCTAGATATTGTAGTTGACTGTTCTGATGCTATCAAACTGTATTTTGTTGTATTCTAAAATATCACACACGATCGCAGTATAGTCCAAAACAACAACAATTGTACATTTTAGTAATACAGTTGTTTCCATGTCAATCACACAATGTCATCATGTCCGAGTTGTAATTGACACAAGTTCTAGTGATATGATATTGACTAGTATTGTAGTGTGAGTATTGGTTCAGTCATACAAACATGATCACAAATACCGATAAACCTTGTCAAATAATACAATCAACATAAACTGTACAATCAACCAACAATTACAATGAAATAATAAATTAAATCCAAAAAATGTTTTTCAAATCGAATTAGTTTTTGGCGCAATTTCAAAAGTTTTAAATTCAGATTGTCAATGCTTGAACAAAGTTGTTTAAATTGCAAGCAAATTTCCTGAGGACACCAAGTAAACCCTAAAATGCCAACCAACAAAGTTATCGAAACTATCGACTATTAGAGTTTGTTACCATTGGAATGGCCACTCGCAATGTTGCAGAGTTGTCAAAAGTCTTTTTGGACTTGAAGAGCAAGTATGTTCATCTGTCTTTGAAGGATCACATTTACTTCAAACCATTGCATCAACTGATCTCATACACCAACTGCCATGTTATTAAATAGCTCTGAAGAAACTCGTACTAAAGCTGCTACTGAGCTTTACGAATATGTACGACAGTCTTGGTTTTTTGTAGTATTTCTTATGCGTTTCATAAGTCTGGCTGTTTGACCAGCTGTGCATTTGGCATGCTAAATAAATTATTCATCTAGGCTTTTGCTACGTCACAAGAAGTCACTGGAGAGCAGTTTTCAAAGTTTACCAACGATGTCAATCGAAAGATATTCGAGCTAATTCAAAGTCAGGACATTGATGAAAAGATTGGTGGCATTGCTGCTTTGGGTAAATAATTACATCAAGATACGCTGATGAATTGCATCTAAACGTTCATATTTCAACATCCGGTTGTTCAGGCTAACTGTTTCAAACTACTCGCTAGATAAACTAATCGATCTGGATGGTGGTGAAGAAAACTTGACCAAAGTCACTCGTTTTGCAAACTATTTGCGTATCGTTCTACCAGGGACTGAGCAACGCATCACTGATGCTGCGTGCAATGCTTTAGGTATTTAGATCTTTAATTGGATTTTATACTATGTCGCACTAATGTTTGCTTTAATCCATTCAAGGCCATTTGGCTCAAGTGACGGGCACTCTTGCCACTGAATTTGTCGAGTTTGAAGTGAAGCGCGCACTAGAATGGCTTCAAGGTGCCTATTTTGCTCTGTATAAATCACACCCCAGTATTTCATTTCAACAATTGATAGTGTATACTTTTATAACTGACTGATACAATAGGTGATCGCCACGAAGCTAAACGCTATGCTGCAGTGCTGGTTCTCAAGGAATTGGCGTTGAATGCACCTACTCTCTTGTATGTCTTTATCCCTCAGATTATAGATCTAGTATGGATTGGTCTTCGTGATTCAAAGGTAAAGGCATTTTGGTATGCTTTTGACTATTCAGCATTTTACTCTTGTTTTATTCATCTTTTGCTTTAGGTTTCTATTCGTGAAGGTGCAGCAAGTACTTTGAGTCAATGTTTGGCGCTGGTTCAGATTAGGGAGAATCAAATTAGACGCCAGTGGTATCGACGAATTTTTGAAGAAATGCAAAACGGACTCAAAATGAGCAGCTCTGATGCTATTCATGGATCACTTCTTGCTCTGCGAGAACTTTTAATTCATGCACCAAAGGTACTAAAAAAGTTAATTTGGATTCAATCCAACACGCACTTTGGAATCTAGGATGTCAACTCATGTCAATTTTTGTTATTCCTTTAGTTTGTAGAGGGTCGATACACTGAAGTATGCGAGATTGTATTACGGTATCGAGAGCATAGAGAATCCCTCGTTCGGCAAAGCATCATTACAATCATCCCCGATTTGGCACACTTCAACACTGATCAGTTTGTAAACAACTATCTTGGCATTTCTGTTGGGTATCTTTCAAATCAAACCAAAAGAGAAAAAGAACGTAGCATTGCGTTTTTGGCAATTGGAAGAGTGGGCATGGCTGTTGGCCGAGGAATCATTGAATATCTAGATGCTATTATGGTTAATATTAAAGGTGCGTTAAAGGCACAAAACAAATCTCGTGAAGATGCAGGTTTATTTTACTGCATTAGTTTGCTGGCCATTGCCGTCGGACCAGCACTCACAAAGCACATTCAAGGACTACTGGATTGTATGTTTTCTGGTGAACTTACAGAGCCATTTTGCCAAGCTTTGGTGGATCTATCAACACATATTCCACAACTTCTTCCAGTTATCCAAGAACGGCTATTGAATGTGATTTCTATGACTTTGTGTCATCGACCCTATGTTCATCCTGGTGCTCCAGATGCCTATACAAGTGCGCCATATGGATCATTAGTAATGTGCGATTTACAGCAAACAAGCTTGCAATCACAACAAAATCAACAGGGACACTTTGAGCAATTACCCAATTCCACGGCCATTCTGCTTTCACTTCGCACTCTAGGCACATTTGATTTCAAGGGCCACATGCTGCACGAACTGGTTCGTGAATGTGCATGGCTTTATCTTGAAGAAGATAGTGACGATATTCGCAAAGCAGCCGCGCTTACTTGCTGCCAACTTCTTGCACGAGATAACATCTGTTATCAAACCAGCACACATGCCATGCAGCTTGTAGCCGATGTGCTGGAGAAACTACTTTCAATTGCGATTGCTGATCCTGATCCATCTATTCGACTTGCTGTATTGATGGCTCTAGACGAGAGGTTTGATTTGCATCTTGCTCAGGCAGAAAACATTGAAGCGCTACTGATTGCATTTGGTGACGAAGCCTTTCCCACTCGTGAAGCTGCGTTGCGAATCATTGGAAGATTGGTCATCCATAATCCTGCATGCATCATGCCTTCGTTGCGAAAAATCTTGATTAAATTGCTTACCGAACTCAAGTATGTCAGCGCAAGCAGACAAAAAGAAGAAAGTGCACTTTTGATTGCTAAACTAATTCAATCAGCACCTCAGTTGGTTGAACCATACGTAGATTCGATACTCAAGGTGCTTGTAACCAAGGCAAAATGTAAAGAAACGAGTCCAAGTGTAGTTGCAAAGCTTCTCCGTGCTATTGGAGAGCTGGCACATGTGGCTGGAAACGAGCTGTTGCCATATCTAGATGATCTCATGTCGATTATTCTTGACACCATGCAAGACCAAAGCTCACCTAATAAGAGAGAGGCTGCACTTGAAACCCTGTCAAGTGTAGCTGCAAGTACTGGATGGGTGATTGATCCTTACACAAAATACCCTACGCTATTGACATTGCTGATTCAGATATTGAAAACTGAACCCAACCATAATATTCGAAGACATGCAGTCAAGGCTGTTGGAATTATAGGAGCTTTAGATCCCTATAGATACAAAAACACTTCAGTTACTGGCAATGTTCCTGTCAGTGACGTTGCCGAGGCGTCTGCACTGATGAGCTTGAATCCTACGTCAGATGAGTACTATCCAGCAGTTGCAATTGATGCTCTACTCAAAATCTTGCGCGATCCTTCTTTGAGCGTACACCATACTGCAGCAGTGACAGCCATCATGTTTGTGTTTAAAACACTTAGTCTGAAATGTGTGCCTTTTTTGCCCCAGATTCTTCCATCTATTCTCGGTATTATGCGCACTTGTCCACCCAACATTCTCGAATTTTATTTTCAGCAGCTTGGTGTTCTTGTGACAATTGTTAGGCAGCATATTCGTGGATACATTAACGAATTTATTCAACTCATCCAGGATTTTTGGACTCTGTCTGCCAATATTCAAAGCACAGCCTTGTCTTTAATCGAAGTTGTTTCCACTGCATTGGAGGGCGAGTTTAAAGTATATCTTCCTATTTTGCTACCAATGATGATCCAGATTTTTGATACAGACGTGACAACAAAACGTTTACCTTCGCTTCGACTTATCAAAGCACTATTATTTTTTGGGCCAATTCTTGAAGATTACTTACATCTGGTGATTCCAGCCATCATCAAAGTTGCTGAACGAGCTGACAGTCCAACCGCATTGCGAGAACAAGCAGTGCTTGTTTTGGGACTCATGTCACGCAAGGTCTGTCTTACTGAAGAGTCATCACAGATCCTGCACATGCTTTCACGAAATCTTTTAACAGACTCTGCCACACTCCGTGTAGCTGTGATGGAAACGCTATGTGCGTTGATTTACCAGATTGGTGACGAGTATATTCTCTTCATCCCCATGATCAACAAGTCCATGAGCAAGGCTGGTCTACGACACGAGGCATACGAGTCTTTGATTGCTGCTTTACTGAGTAATACTGGACTGCCGCCGGATTTGGATGCAGCCGCAGATAAACTGTTTGGTCAGACAGATGGACAGGACACACAGTTGTTAGAAGTATCAACAAAAAAGCTACCTGTAAATCAAGCACAGCTTCAAAAAGCTTGGGAAACATCCCAGCGATCTACCCGTGACGATTGGCAAGAATGGATTCGCAGATTCAGTGTTGAGCTACTAAAGGAATCACCATCACATGCCCTGCGTGCGTGTGCCGATCTTGCTGGCACATATTATCCGCTTGCTCGTGAACTGTTTAATTCTGCCTTTGTGTCCTGCTGGGGAGAATTGTTTGATCAATATCAAGAGGAATTAGTCAAGTCACTCGAAACTGCTTTGACATCGCCTAATATTCCTCCTGAAACGTTGCAGACTTTGCTGCATTTGGCAGAATTCATGGAACACGATGACAAGGCATTACCCATTGATATCCGAACTCTAGCATTCCATGCCACAAAATGTCATGCTTATGCAAAAGCTTTGCATTATAAAGAACTTGAGTACATGTCTGACTCTGCTGAAACGAACGCTGATGCGCTGATTACCATCAACCATCAATTGCAGCAAATGGATTCAGCTTTTGGTGTTATTGCCCACACCCGACAGTTTAAAAATGCTGATTTAAAGGTAGAGTGGCTTGAAAAGCTAAACCGGTGGGATGCCAGTTTGGCAATTTACAACCAGAGACTCGAAAGCGATCCAAATGATGTTGAAGCATTACTGGGTCGTATGCGTTGCTTGCACAATCTGGGAGAATGGGAAACTCTTGCCGATCTTGCTCAAGAAAGATGGGGACTTGCTGAATTCGACACACGAAAAATCATGGCACCTTTATCAGCAGCAGCAGCTTGGGGACTAAATCATTGGGGATTGATGGACGAGTATGTAGCATTGATGAAACAAGAGTCTCCTGACTCGGCCTTTTTTAGAGCAATTGTTGCTATTCATCGAAACAATTTCATTGAAGCTCAGAAACTGATTGAAGTTACGCGAGAGCTGTTGGATACTGAATTGACTGCACTTATTGGCGAGAGCTACAGCCGTGCGTATAATATTGTTGTGCGAATACAGATGCTGACTGAGCTCGAGGAAATTATTCAGTATAAACAGTCATTTGAACACCCTGAGCACCAAATATTTATTCGTCGTATCTGGACCAAGCGAATCTATGGATGCCAAAACAGTGTGGAAGTTTGGCAACGAATTCTTCGTGTGCGCGCACTTGTTGTTCCGCCAAAGGACGATATAGGAATTTGGGTCAAGTTTGCAAATTTGTGTCGCAAGAGTGGCAGAATGAATTTGTCACAGAAAACTCTATCCCGATTGCTGGTTGTGCCAAGTTCAGATTTTATGTTTACCTCGTTTGAAGAGAATCATCCTGCAGTGATCTACGCATGCATGAAGCATTTATGGGCAACCGGGAAACGAACTCAAGCATTTAATCAAATGAAGGATTTTGCCAACTCACTGGTGCTCAAGCTTGGAAGCGATGCTCGTGAGGAAAAAGCCACATATATGGATTTTAATCGGCCAGATAACCCACCCTCACCCATGTCTTCTCAGGTTGCACGGTGCTTTCTTAAACTTGGCGACTGGCAAATGGCACTCAACAATCCTCTTGATGAACCAAGCATATCCGAAATTATACGATCCTATCTTGCAGCAACGCAATGCGATGGTACTTGGTACAAGGGATGGCACGCATGGGCTCTTGCTCACGTCAAAGTCTTGCAGTATTATGAAACCACCAACGCAGAGGTTTCTCATGAAGTTTTCCTTTCACACGTTATTCCAGGTATTTATGGGTTTTTTAAATCTATTTCCATTTCAAAGGGCAATTCACTGCAAGATACCCTGCGGCTGTTGACCATGTGGTTCAAGTACGGCTATCTTCCAGAAGCACAGCATACAATTAGCAATGGCACACTCACTGTGACGATTGATACGTGGTTGCAAGTCATTCCCCAGTTGATTGCACGTATTCATGTCACAAATCCTCAAGTACGGAGACTGATTCATAGTCTGTTGGCAGATGTTGGAAAACAGCATCCACAGGCAATTGTCTATTCGCTAACGGTTGCGTCCAAATCACATAGCATCAATCGACGCAAATCAGCACTGGTGATTCTTGACAAAATGCGAGCACATTCAGCCAACTTGGTAGACCAAGCTTTGCTGGTTAGTCAAGAACTCATTCGTGTAGCGATTTTGTGGCATGAAATGTGGCATGAAGGACTTGAAGACTCTTCGAGGTTGTATTTTGGGGAGCACAATATTGAGGGAATGTTTACTACACTTGAACCTTTACACCAAATGCTAGAGCGGGGACCAGAAACATCTCGCGAGGTTTCGTTTATGCAAGCATTTGGTCGTGATTTGGCCGAGGCTTATGACTGGTGCAAGAAATACAAGCGCACACTCAACGCAGACGATCTCAGTCAGGCGTGGGATTTGTACTACCAAGTATTTAAAAAAATCACAAAGCAATTGCCTCAATTGAGCACGTTGGACTTGCAGCACGTATCGCCAAAACTTCTTGCTGCTAAAAACCTTGATTTGGCGGTTCCTGGATCCTATGTTAGTGGTGAGCCAATTGTTTGTATCAATTCCTTTGCTCCAACCTTGATTGTCATGACCACAAAACAACGTCCGCGTCGGTTAAGTATTCGTAGCAGCGATGGCAAAGAGTGCCAGTTTCTTCTCAAAGGTCACGATGATCTTCGACAGGATGAGCGAGTCATGCAGCTTTTTGGGCTAGTGAATACCCTTCTTTTGAATGATTCGGAAACATTCAAGCGTCGATTGAATATTCGAAGGTATCCAGTTGTTCCGTTGAGTCCCAATTCTGGGTTGATTGGATGGGTACCGCACTCGGATACTCTGCATTCCTTGATCAGAGACTATCGTGACAGTCGCAAGATTTTGCTAAATATCGAGCATAGGCTGATGCTTCAGGTAATACAGACTGTACTTTTGAATCTATACATTACTGGCGAGATTCCTATATTTATCTTTGATGCTTTAAATTAGATGGCGCCCGACTATGACTTTTTGTCGCTGTTGCAAAAAGTAGAAGTGTTTGAGTATGCGTTGGAAAACACAACTGGTCAAGATTTGTACAAAGTTCTTTGGCTGAAATCCAAAAATTCTGAAGTATGGCTTGATAGACGAACCAACTACACTCGCTCACTTGCACTCATGTCTATGGTTGGATACATTCTTGGTTTGGGTGATCGTCATCCATCCAATTTGATGCTTGACCGATACACTGGTCAAGTGATTCACATTGATTTTGGAGATTGTTTTGAAGTTGCCATCAATCGAGATAGATATCCTGAACGCATTCCGTTCCGTTTGACTCGGATGCTTATCAACGCGATGGAGGTCAGTGGCATTGATGGGAATTACCGGATTGCTTGTGAACATGTCATGCGTGTTCTTCGTGACAATATGGATAGTTTAATGGCTGTGCTCGAAGCCTTTATCTACGATCCTTTAATCAACTGGCGATTGATTACTCAAGCAAGTCCCAAAGGAGACGGTGGAACAAAACTCCCTCCGTCTCAATCTACTCACCATTCCCGTATCGAACCTGAACATTTCGATGGCTCAAAACCCGTAACACTCCAAGTACGCAAACTGAATCGCATGGATTTGGAAACGGGATCGCAGGACGATCAAGATATCAATACCGAAGTTGCTAATGCAAAAGCTATGGCTATCATTCAGCGTGTATCAAGTAAATTAACCGGCACGGATTTCAAAACTTTAGACGCTTTAAATGTATCGGATCAAGTGGATCGATTGATTGATCAAGCTACTTCACTGGAAAATTTGTCGGAATGTTTTATCGGGTGGTGTCCATTTTGGTAAAGGGTTTAAACTTGAGCAATGTATTGGACCAGCTCATCACATTATTGCAATAGTGAAAGGCTGCTATGGAATGAAATAGATTTTATTTTTATCAATGCATGTATAAAAAACCAATCGATTGGGTAGATTGTAAAAACAGCAAACAGTTGAGCCATTTATTTCAATTCTACTTGACAATTTAATCTGCGTTTTAGCATGGCGTAAAGAAACCCAAGTTTAACCGCTATTTTGATTTTTTAGCATTCGACTGTTTAGATACATTATCCATCATACATGCTTTGTTTGAGAATTTAACACATAGTGGTAAATCAGAAAAGGGGGTAGAAAACGACTCGAGATAGCTTGGACGAGGAGTAAATTTTTTATCCACAAGTTCAATATGATACGTTTCCAGGATAGTTGGAATGATAGTACGTTTGATCATGGTTTCTGCAATAACATGATCGAACCAAGCATGCTGCGCGTTGTTGAATTGCAGCAGCTTTTGTTGCTGGGTCAGAACCTGGATTTTCTGTTGGTCAAGAAATCGGCTTGCATCAAATGTCTTGGGTGATTCATAGATCTACAAGATACAAGAGTGAGTACCAAGTACAACAATGCTGGTTTCAAGTACACCATTACCTTTTCGTTTAATGCAATCATTGCTGGGGAAGTTGCAACAATATCACAAAAGTAAATGTCGTAATTTCCAATAGGCTGTTTCTTGAATGATCCACGAATTAAAAACAGAGGAGCATACAAACGGCCAACCTCCTTGATAATACTTGTCAAACAAGGCTGGGTAGAAACATTATCCTTGACAGTATCCGACACACTCACGGCTTGAGCATACTCTGTTAAAACCCGAGTTTGGAGAGTGCGATCCTGGATTAGATGGTATAGAGTCCATGCAATGGTTCCAGAAATATCAGAGTGATTGGCAAAAATAAACAAATTAATGTGCGACACGATACCATCGACCGAAAGTTGAGGAGCAGCTTTGGTCAGGATAGAAATGATATCGTAGTAAGATTCATCACTGGGGTTTTCTTTGCGAAATTCTATTTCCTCTTGAATAATAATGCGCAAATCTTGGAACAGCGTTTTGGAAGCACTGGTACCAAATGAAAATGATCGGAAAAACAAAGTGCCAGGACTCATTAGTGTTTTTTCAGTTGTTTGCATAAGTGGGATGATATCATCATCGTTTTCATCCAGTAGCTAGCAATGATAATAATAAGTAAATAGTCTACACAAGTTTATCTCGTCACATTAACTACATACTTTTTGGCCAATAGCAAGACGAGTCAGAAGCCGTAAAGCAATATCAGACGAAAATTTGAATAGATCGACAGATTCCTCATTCTTGATATGGTCCAAACGAGCACGCAGCATTTCGGGAAGATAGCTGTGAATCTGGTCAGTAAAACGGGGTTTTGTCAACACTAGACATCAAATGTTAGCAATGGAAACATGGATTCAAATGCTTGAAAACCGAGCTACTAACCAGACTGAAGATATTGATCCTGGACAATCTTAAGACGACCCGACACAAGAGTCTTTTCAAACTGTAGCTTGAATCCCTGAGCAAACGACATTTTGTCATCTTCAAAAGCTGAAATTAACTTTTGACCTTTGACACCAGCAAACACAGTGAATTCACTAAATCCCAGAGGAATGCTGAACCCTTTCGAGTATTTTTTGCCTTGAGTCATGATAAAATCCAATGGGTTCTATTTTAAAAAATCGTAAATAGCCAGTAATTAGAACATAAGCTTAACATGCCCATGTGGCGCATTGTACAAATCCTACAACTCGACATTCATGCAAATCAGAATTAAGGGTTGGACGCAGTTTTCAACCAAATCGATGCAGGAATGGCGATTTGTCATGGCAGCATGATCGATGCACAACACATTGAAACAACGGAGTGATGAAACCATTCCGTTGTTTTTGTTAAATTCACATGAATCGATCTTGATAGAACGACAATCAGAACATCACTCTTAAAGCTACAACACCAGTCGACTCACTCTACTAAACCATAGTGTCACACCAAACGGAATCCATGAGCTGATGGCAGGCACAAGCTTTCGTTTCTGTCTGTGCGATCCAAACAAGACAAAGACCATACCAATGACAATGGGAATAACAAAAATAACAAGAACCACCCAGAACAGAATCTGAGCATTGATATCGTCCGATTTGCCGAGGTCGTAGAGCATCCCAATCATCTCTCCAGGACCAGCTTGCTTGGGCTCTTTGCGAAACAAATCCTCAAACCCAACATGAATGCCGTTCTCATCTTCTTTAAACATACCCTTTGGGGCCCTACGAATGGCTTCATTGAATTCTGGAGAATCCATTTCTACTTGATTTATAAAACAATTGAAAACAAGATATAAAGTATTGCTCAAGATTAAATATTGAGTTGATTTGTGGTTTTTATAGCAGAATGTTTCAGATTCTTTTATTCATGCCAAGAATTCAATGCCGGAAAAATATAAATTTAAACCGATTTTTCATCGATTTGACCCACAATTGAAACCTATTTCAAGACTTGACAAATGAATGCAAAATAGTATCCAAAATGTTGTTTATTTAAACTATCCAAAATGAAATCACTGCAAAAAATAACATTATTCCCAACAGTGGTATCGTGAATGACTCTGAACATCCAATAGTCGCTGATTGATAATACATTGAAATACCCATTCAAGTGTAACAACGGGTGCATTGGATCGATTTAAAAGAGTCAAGACATCTTCTTGTGTAGGTTTTGACACACATACAATATAATCAATCGGCTGGTCAAGTCGAAAGGCTTGATGCGATACAATATGAGCATCCGCACTTTGTATGATGGATTTGATCTCGGTAGTTTTGGACTTGTCTTTGGAGTAAATGAATAGCTTTATAGACTGAAATACGCCTTTGGGTGAGGGTGCGAGAACACACCAATGTCCCATTTCAAGTGATTCTCCATTCGATAGTCTGTAGTCTGCAAAATCAACCAACGATCCCTAATATTCAAATGCAGCACCAAATCATAAAATAAGCAACTGCATCAAAACTCTTGGCATGACAATTTCAAATGTTAACACTACTTGCTTGATTCATACACGCTTGAACCCACATGGTTGAAACAATGGGTATACCCAATGCAACAGCCATGATAAACTTTTTAGATCGCGTAGGTCGTTGAGCAACGAGAACGACAGCAGCAGGACATGTCTTGGTTGGCTGATGACCATCAAAAAGTGTACTGAAATCATCATATACCAATCCACCAGCCTTTTGTAACTCGAATATAATAGATTCTTTTCGATCTATACAAAGAATATCGTGACTAGCAGCATGATGTCGTTGGTGTAGATCCACATCAGTTGTGAATCCTGATACACTGCTAGCAAAACTAGTGCAAACCTGATGATGTCCATCAGGATTGGTAGTGGCATTGGATCGCACTGTAAAAGTTGAAGCAGTATGCAATCGTGAAAAAGAAACCAAAAATCCAAACCCTGCAAACATATTATGCTCAAAATTCAACTGTTCGCTCATTGACTCCACCTTACAAGCATCCTTGACAACTTCTCGTGTATCAAATAAGTTGGGTAAACCCCCATTAACCTCTCTTTTGCAAGCATTCTTGGCAATCAACATAGCGGTAGTGGTCATTGTATTCAACGGTACACACTTTGCCTCGTGCTTGGCATCAAGTGAGATCTTGTAAGTCTTGAACGGATCCACAATCTGGCATACTCGTGCAACTTTCAATCGCAGTTCACCTTTTTTCCCAACAGTATGACACGCATCTCCAATAGCAATATCCAACGGTCTCAACCGATCAATATCTAGCAACTCAGTAGATGCGTCTTTGAGATAGAGAATCATGTATCGGTTGCTTTTTCCAAGTCGTTCATTGATCATGGCAGGATAGTATACATCGTTCCATAATGCCCATACATGATCACCACGTTGGTATTGTAAAAAAAGATACGATTGGTCTTGAAGGTAAAATTGTAATTGACGTTGAGGAGTTGAAGTAGAATTTGGAAAAGGCATTCGGGGTGAAACATAGCAAGACTTTTTTGATGCTCGTTGTTTAGGAGTGCATCGAGATGATGCTTTAAATGGAGTGGTATCCACGGATGAATCATGTGCGGCAATAGTCACCTTGCGACGCTTGGATCTAAGTTTGCGTAGTTCTTGACAAACATCAGTGCCAGTATCTGCGCCATGATCAAGCGAAGCATCCGTCTCGGTAGATTCAAACTCCAACAAATCTTGCTTTTTGATCATGGTTTTGTTGCAAGTAGTTTGATCAGATTGCACAGATTTGATTGGCTGATTTGACACAGGCATTAATGCAGTGTCAGCAACAAAACCAATGCCAGTATTCGTTTCTAAACCAGATGTGTCCATTGCGCAAGTGTTTATCTCGTTTAAAGTACAGCGCATTTTACAGTCGTCGCATAAATAATTGGTTTCATTCAATCCTTTACGTTGGCATGTAGTGGCTGTAGCTTCACACTGTGTACATGTATATAGCACATCCTGAGTTGTTGCATTTGCTTTATCGCCATTATTCAGGTGATTTCCATGCATCTGAAAAGCTTGTTTCTTACGAGAAAATATAGTACTTTTGGTCGTGCAATCAACAGATACATTTTGCGTGCATCCTGCATCATTTTTGATTTCTCTCGCTCCGTCATCTGGTTTTTGTGCATGATCCGTTTTTCCAAATGGTATAGGCAAAGGACATGGTAGTTCAGACTCTGGCATCTTTAGTTTGATAGGCTGCACTTGATCAGAAGCAATGTTAGAGCGGCCACGTAGTCGTTGTGACTTTCTTGTTGGTACTTGAATAGACTTTAAAGCAGGCACGATATCGTGTGAAATATCAGCAATAGTAACATCACTACCCAGCAATGCAATCATAGTTTCTGCACATTCAGTGGAATAGGATATCTTTTCAGTTGCGTTGTTGTCCATAACTACTGGATCATTGCTCGACTCAAAATTTGAACCAGTTTCATGCGCACTCAACCTTGCCTTGAATGGACTGATGACAATTGGTAATACTGGTTTTATGTCGTGAAGAGCCAAACCCGCTACATCTTTTAATTCGACACGACTTGTAGCTGGCTCTTGCAAGGTTGAAGCATGAAGAAATAAGCTAGGCTGAGCACATGATACAGTTTTGGACGAGTCAAGTATATGTGGTTCATCAACACATTCAGGTGTAGAAATTCGACTTATACGGTATTGATCTGATTCCAAAGCGTGCTGGTTTGGATTAGATGACATGGTACCACTATTTAAACCAAAAGACGTATCATCTGTCTTGATTGAATGAATAAAGGACTCGGTGGTCGTTAATGAAAGTTGCTTGTTCAAAGTGTTTTGGTGTAGAGTAAGTCGGAGCTCACCAATGTCATCATCATTCTCGTCTAAACACGGTAGATTGGTATCAAATGAACCCAACGGTTGGGTATCTGCAATTTCCTGGGATATGCCAGTCATTGGCTGTGAGCACGACAGGTATCCATAATGCCTTGATTGAGAATCCAAGCATCCCAGTCCAAAAGATTGACTAGATTTTCGCTGTGCATTAGTATGCTGGGGAGATTTAAATACAGTGTTTGTTTTCTCTCGCTGATTCTCAATGCCTTGTGTAACATCTCTATCTACAGATTGGCGTCTTGTAGTAACTGTTGGACTATTAAGAGGCAAGATATTTTCTTCTCGAGCAGTTTTGAGTAATCGCCGCTGCGAGAGAGTAGTTGACGCCATCAAAGTTTTTTGCGATTGCAGTAATGAAGCAGTTTCCAACTCAGATACACCCCTAACACTAGATTTACCATCGATGCAGATCTCGATGAGTGGTGATGGTGAAATGATATTGAGCGACTGATCCAGCGTATGCCGTGGTAAATATGAGCCAGTCATGGATTGAAGCTCATGAATGGCTTCTGGTGCAAGAGAGTCACCTGTGATTGACGTGGCATCCAGAGAACATGCAGTATGCAGATCGTCGGTTTCGACAGATGAGCAAGTGGATACTACGTGTGCTTCCAACATAATGTCATGTAAAGATATTGGTTCAGCAGGCGGTTGCCGTAATGCATCTATATCAGCTAGTTGTGATTCAGTATCTAGCGAAAATGGGATATCTAACGGTTGCGTTTGCATTTGACTCCATTCCAATGTTGCCGAGGGTTGCGTGTCTGGAATCAAAGTGACATAATCCACTGCAAGATTAGCATTTTCTAGCGAATTAAGCGAGGATTCGTTTGGAATATGAATTTGGCCCAATGGCATGGAATTGTTTGATAGAGAACATTCAACATATTCTATAGTACTCTGTGTAGATTCCATGAATGTTTCCATGTTGCTGGTATTGGAAGAATCTGGCAATTGGTTGAAATGTTAGTTGTATAGAATTGATAATAAACAGATATATTGTATACACACCTAATTCAGCGTTTGGGTGATTAGTGGAAATGGGATTATCGATAGGTGCTGTTGCCAATGGCGATTGCGTCCGAAAACAAGCGGTTGAAGGCGATACAGCCCTATTAGAGCGTTCCTGTGTTGAAATAAACAGTGATGGACTAGTCGCTTCACATGACACAAGAACTGGACTAAGAGCAACAAGAACACTACTTTGACTATCGTCTGCACTATTAAGAGTGTCTTGAGAAAGTAGATCTTGATGCAATAATGATAATTGCTCGCCAGCCTGTAGTGTATGCGGAATGCGATCATGCTGTTGTTGCTGTGATAAACTAGAAGATGAATTCAAATCCCTCTCTGTTGATAAAGACAAACATGGTTTAGTTTGAATGGTATTAGTAGCAGAGTCTAGTTTAACAGTAGGTTGATATGTAGCATTGTGTTGAGTAGTAATTGACGAAACAGCAGTTTTCAATGGCTGTTGTGTATGATGATGCTGATTCAATGGCAAACGTTTTGATTGTCTAGTAGCAGTACAGTTTGTAGTATTTATTCTTTTTGTTCCATCAGTGTCTTGGATATTCCTCATGTCTTGAATTACTGTTGTATTCACGTAGAATATTAAATAAAAAAGTTGATAATAAATAGTCGTGAAATGATTGATTTTACTGGCCAGAATTTGTTGATAATTGACATGAAACAATTGCATTTTTCGAATGTTGAATTAAGACGCGAATAAATCTGATATTCTACAAATAACCACTTCAAGCCAGTTCATCCCAACAAGTCTGCTTTCAAACTTGGTGATTGTACAATGGTTACTAAAAGTGTCGCTATGATTGTGTACCAATGACGACAATGTGTTTGGAAAGCGAATCAAATATTCAACGACTTTATTTCAAAGCAAAAGTGACGGTTAATGCAAGATGAAGTGTTTCGTTTTGCGTAAACGACTGTAGCAAGACTCTCACTTTTTCCCCTTCTTCTTTTCGACACCACCCTCTCCTCCTTCAAGGATGTCAGAGATCAAAGTGCACTTGATCATACCCTTGTGCTTGATGCTTTTTCGCTTATCGGAGAGTTTATCAGAGTTGCGCATATCAGATGTAACAATATAGGCGTTTCCAGAGACCAGATCGTTGCCAATCAAAAGCTTAGGGTCCAAGGTGCCAATCAGAGATCCTACCTTCTTGCCTTCAACTAGGAATACTTTGTATACCTCTTTGCCATCTAATAAGAATTGATGAGACAATGCAATGACAAGTAAATCTGGGGACATGCCAGATGATTCATCTTACCGTTTGAGGACTTGCGGGCCACAACAACACTACCATTGTGGACCAGATCCTTTTGGTCTGGAGTAAGGTATTCATCCAGCTCAAACACTTCAATTTCAGTAGGAGGCATAGACTGGGCTAGCAGTTGAAGACCAAGTTGAGAGATCATATTTGATTGTGGGATATTTCAGTAGTATAGAGGTTTATGAACAGTAGTATTCTGAAGAGCTGGGTTAGTTTAACTGATCAGGTTGAGACAAAGTGATAAACCAGGGGTTTATGAAGACAATATGGCTAGAACATGGACGGGTGATGTTTGGTGAAGGAAGGATGTGCACTGATCAAGAGTAAACCAAAAACACTTACTGTCAGAATAGAACAAGTCGAAGCAATGGATTCAGTGCAAAGTGGAGAGTTTAATGTTCTTTTTAAGCTTCTTGACGGGGCAATGGCTTATTACGCGAGTGAATCAACACAGGATTGTGCAGACAAATAAGTGCGGAAATAGTATTCCGACCCAAGCCAAAATCATACCCACAACAATTCAGTTGAATTAGACATTCCGACTAAACAAGGTCACGCCATGCATTTCTTACAATAAGCTTTATGCTGTTTGTGTAGTTTGTTGGTGGTGAGACAGTCACGCGACTAATTCGATTTATTGCCGCCTTTCGCCTGACCTGAGTGACATCTCATCCACTCAAACCACTGTCCCATGACTATGGCTAGTGTGTAAGCTGTAGTAAGACCATGTGCATTTGGAATAGTTTGCACTCCCTCGAATATGTCAATAGCCTTATGACTGTGCCACACCATTGCGGGGATCCGATGCTTTCGTAGTAAACTTCAAGCTGCTTGATAACTACAGTAATCTTATGTCGATCCAAGGGGTATTCAAGCCATCCCATATATCTTTAGACTAGAATTCCTATGCTTTCGTATACTATTGTCAAAAATAGATATACTATACCCTGTTGACTGCATAAAAATAAGCCTCATTTTAGCAGCTTAGCCAGTCTATATGTATCTCTTTACAGCCGTATTCACATAAAATGAAACACTTTTGTATTCATTTTGGTGACCATCTTGATTTTGCTTGGGAATAAACAATAGTTGAATATTTACTGTTTTCTGCTACGAATTGATTGCACTGCTTCAACTCTTGTTCAACTCTTGTTCAATTCTTTCAAACAATATTCATTATATGATGCACACAATATTTCTAAAAGATGCAATACTGGCCAGTAAATTTAGTGAGTTATTCCATGAGGCTGACATCTATACATTCTTTAGTGTTCTGTTTTGCGTAAATACAGTAATAAAAATCAAGTCACGTTTTATTCATACTTTTGAACTGTCATTGCAGTTGAAGAGAAATAAAACGAGATTGTAGGAAACCATTAATGTGTAGTATGTGTTTAAAGATACGTAAAGTTGATTCAACCATTTTTGTGATTGGATTTGGTTTAATGACGCAGTTTTAGAAACTTGAATCATTTATTGTTTGTGTATCAACGACAATCCAACTAGTTGACACAGCCAGTTTGTAGAACTTGTTCTGACAAGAGTTTCAGCATTCCATTTACATTGACTTGAGCAATCGTGTAGTTGAACAAGAATTCACGCTTCTGAAATGCAAGTCTGTTAATGCCTCGAATAGAATCAAATTGGATTAAAATAGAAATATCTTCTTTTACATTCTCATCCTTATAGTCGCCAACTGCAAAGCTCGCACATCATGCCAGTACTACAACAAAGTCCTGTAGATTCTCCCTCTTTGGGACTAAAACGACCAACTGCTTCATCCACTACTGCTTCTGGAAATGACGACGATTTGGAAGATGAGCTTGTTCAGCCATTCGGTTCGTATTTAAACAGTCATTGTAGCTCGCTCTATTCTGGCTCCAAGTTTAAAGGCCAGCAAAAGAGTGGTCGTAATAGTTATGAGGTTTTAGTAGAGTTTCAGGCAAGTCACATTGACTCTACAAACTATCATGATTCAACTATTGTCGGCATGGCGTTCATTTACCATTTGGTCAAGAACCAACTACGCTGAGCATATTGGCTTGATCAGTTTACAGTATATTCTTATTTGAAACTACTGTAGCTTGCAATCCAGCTACATGCATAACTGTCGAATATATTGGTCTAGTGCTATTCCGACTTTGGATTGAGCTTTTCATCCACAATTCATCTTGGTCCTTTTTACTACTGACATTTTGCTGGCTTTGAAAGAGACCAATATGAGCTAATCTGTATTCTGCCTTTATCAAATACAACATACTGCTTCATCTACTCATGTTTAGCATGTGGACTTCAAGTCATCGTTTTTGTGCGGATACCTCCATATCAAAGGACTGACAGACGACTGGCCAGACTTGTGCACATTCTTTGACGCTGAAATCATTGGGCCTCGGTATTCGTTTCTTACTAGAAAATGGGATGCGAATGAGAATATTGATCGTCAGCATTGGGTACGATGAACCATTGATTTCTTGATATGCCAACTTACACTGATACGCAGTATAGTATTGACACCAAATCGACTACCCTGTTCTCATTAGATAAAGTTTCCTGCATTCAAGCCATTTGAAAAGATATTCAACGATGATGGATTTAGTCATGATTTTAACCATGATGATCACATCTTCATGAGATGGAAAGAACACTTTTTAGTCCCAGATCATCGCATCAAGTCCATTTCAGGAGCGTCATTTGCAGGCTTCTACTATATCTGTTTCCAAAAATCGACACGGACGATTACAGGGTTATACTTTCATCAACACTCGGAATGGTTCCAGCACTTGCAGTTACACCATATACCCGAAAGGTCGTTTTCAAGTTGAGTTTTATCATTTTACTTGAATATGGATGAAATGGACAACACACTGACTTTTAATGTAATTTTGAACAGCATTCAAACTAAGATAAAGTAATAAGAGTACGCAGTATATGAGTGATCAGCAACATAATATTAAAATAAAAACAAGCACTTGCTGCTGTGTAGATAACTAATGATGGAATATCTGTTGCGCTTTCTACTAGAAATGGATTTATACAAGCCAGAATAAATCAGAAATTAACATGGCGCTTGCAATCATTCATTTTATTGTCTTGCACCATCACTCGTCCAATATCATGTTTGAATCAACAGAATTCATGAGACTGTCCATGTACTTGAGTGTGTATTCTAATACATGACTCTTTTTAAGCAACTCATTGGCGTGCACAAAATGTCGCTCGTTATAAGGCAACAAACCCTCTAGAATTTCCTTGGCTTTAGGAAGTTCAATTAGCACACTTGGATTATATCCTTTAAGAATGAGATACAGCAATGCCTGTGTGACCTGAACATGCTTGGAATGTGTGTTCCAGTCTCGAATGTACAACAAAAGCTGCTCCAACTATGTTTCCATTGGCATACAGTATGTGTTAGCCATTCTATACATTTCTAAAGGATGAATTGAAATATAATTTAAACATACAGTTTCGGATGGAAGATTTTGAATCAGTGCATCCAACGATTTAGATCCCGTCACGCTCGTCACGTCCAAATCAGTATCCACTCTTTCAGCATCTGTTGATTCTGTCGATGAAACAGTGGCTGCCTTGCGCACATCGGATAAAATGGTAAGAATACGGTAAGGTTGGTCCAACTGCATTGCAAGCAACACCGCACTTTTGTAATCCTTACGCAATAGTAGCAACGATAGATCCTGCTCTCTATCAACACAGATCGCAACCATTTAAACCAGTTGGGTCAATACATTACATTACTTTTTAAATCATTCAATACTATTTGGTAGGGTAGGTGATGACGTACTTGATGATTCGCTCCACCGACTTTTGAGCTTCTTCCTTCTTTTCCTCAGCAGTAACATCTTTCCAAATGGTTATGGTCGAGTCTGAAGATCCGGAAAGTACATGCTGCTCACTGCGATCCACAGCCAACCCCCAGATTCTATCATTATGGTTATCCAAAGTTGCAACACACTCATTGTCTTTGATGGTCCACAGCTTTACCAATCCATCTGAGCCTGTCGATACAAGCTGCATACCAGCAGTAAGAAAAGATACATTCAACACCGTGTTCAAATGTCCTTCAAAAGTCTAGAATAAAAACTCGAATCAGTAACAATCATTTGTCAACCAGTTTTTAAAATAAAATATGTACCCTGATACACGTAAAGTCGTTAATGTTCCACAGCTTAATAGTCTTGTCTGTAGATGCAGTTGCGACAATCTGGTCAATTGGAGAAAACTTGACACACCAGATGCCTCGTTTATGACCCTTGAATGTGCCAACAAGTGCCCCATCGGCAACAGACCACATCTATCATACAAATAGATTTTACACATGAATTAAAAATATCCGTATTAGCCATCTCAATTAACATGACATTACCTTGGCTGTACGATCTAATGCACCAGACACAAACAGCTTGTTGTTGGGAGCAACAGCAATGCTCTGAATATCCTTGTCATGCGCTTGAAAGGTATACTTGGCCTTGAATTTAGTCTCGCTATTGCCACACTTTGCAATATCACCAATTTCCCACATTTTGATGGTACGATCTTGGCTACCAGTGATAATAAATTGACCAGCAGATGACATGTTGGAACATGGAGCAGCCACTGCAGTCACAGAATCCGTGTGTCCTATGCAAGTGCCCAAATGAACATATCTCATATCTGGATCCGCTGTTGGATTGACGCTCCATAGCATTGCTGTATGGTCCTTTGATCCAGATGCCATCAGTTTACCGTTTGAAAAAGGTACAACGCAAAGAACAATATCACTGTGTCCAAAAACAATATCACAGTCTCGCTTCTCAATGTCATAAATACGAATCTGCTCGGTGTTGGTCACCACGGCCAAATGGCTTTCGGTTTCTCCAACAAAACATATGTCAAGAACTTCCTCATTGTACCCTGCAATCTGGCGTGTTCGTTTTAAACTGTTGACATCATAAAACAATATGTTTTGATCACTTGTGACTGCAACGATGGTTTGGGTAGATTCTGACCATATCATTCCAGAAATCTGATGATGCGAGTTGATGTCCTTTTCTTGAGCCAGTATCAGCTCTCCCGTCTCCATATCCCATAAACGAACGATCCCTTTATCGCCACCAGTACAAATGACATGAGTGTTGTTATGGTTGACAATGGAAAGTGCTTCGATGGATTCAAAAATAGGAATGGTTTTTGTGAGCTCCAAGGCTTTTAGATTCCACTTGTTGATCACTTTATCTCTGGATCCACTAAACAGAAACTCGCCGTCTGGAGAAAAATCAAGACCGCGGATAACACTGACATGACTTGTAAGTGCTGCAATGCATCTAAATGATAGGGTTAGCGAGTTGATTCTGACACAATCACTTCATCAGTTTTATGGATGCTGCATGGCAAGACAATGGCTTACAGTCTGGAATTGAGATCCCACAAACAGATCTTGCAGTCATCACTTCCTGAAACCAGCAACAGATTTTTGGGATTTGGATGAAACTTGACAACAGACACGATACCTCCATGGCCTTTGAAGTTGTGGGTGCAATATCCTCTGTCCACATCCCATACCTTGACTGTGCTGTCAGCTGAACCCGTGGATACAAGAGTAGAAGTGGAGTCAACATCCATGGCAAGCACCGGTGCTTCATGAGCCTATTCTCAATCCATAAAAATAAAATTCAGATTGCTGAACTCGGTCAATTTACAAATTTTAACCCATTAAACTGGCAAGTTCACCTGCCTTGAAACTTTTTATCATCTCGCCAGTGACTGTATCAAAAACTTTAAGAAGCAAACTTTGGTATGCAATCACAATATGTGTTCCATCTGGTTTTAGAGCAAAGCTAGTCACTGTATCCGTTGCCTAATGCATTTCAACCATTCAACAGTCAGTGCCCACACTTGACTAGACATTGAATGGCCAACACCATTGTTGAACCCATGACAAACAGATCCTCTGCCATTTCAAATAGCACTAAATCATTGAGATGGCGATGGATATTTCCAAATCAATTCAACCTACTCCTTGAATGCGTAACTTTTGTACACCTGAATCCAAATCCGTCACTACAACATCATCACCAAACATAGTAAACAGCTGGCTCGAATCTGCTGAAAGCGATGCCTTTCCACCAGTAAAGATGGATTCAATCGTTCCATCGACTTTGAAGCTATCAAAAGCAGTTGTATAAATTAAAGTTGACAATCAGAAAAATATCAGGCATCTACTACACTACACCAAACTTAACCCTATGCAACAAAGTACCTTGTCTTTAATTCAAGCGATTGTGATGCCATGTGCAATTGAAACTTTGCAACTGATTAAAAATATTTTCTACTCGAATGTAAAGTGAAAATCAAGAAATCTTTTTTGTCGTGTCGATTTGGTGATCATCAAAACATGAATGTTTTATTTATTCAATACTAAACTAGTTAGTATTAGATGACATCGTACATGGCTTTGATTTCTTTTGAAAACTGCTTGATGACTGCAAATCGTTTTGTGCAGAATGTTTCTGTTAATAGTCCATTTTCAACAGTCATATGCTCAGAACACAAATGAATTGCTTTTGGAATCTCGTTTTCAAGCAGATTGTTCTGATACATCAAAAAAAGTACAACACATTCCAAATGAGTTATTTGTCGTTACATATTAACCATTTCTTTGACACATGAATCTATTGGTCATCACTTACTGATTTACCAGTCGAAATTAGATTGTCATGAATAAGAGTTTTAACTTGTTCTTCCTTGCATAACTGTTCAAGTGATAAATGTTCAAACCCATGTGTCTTGGCCCTGAAAAGACAGAATATTAACCTACAGAATCGCTTATTCCAAATTTTACTCGGTCAATGATCAATAAATACCACACCATTTGATAAGCTCGACATGTTGAGGAAACCCAATAGCGACAGTCATCATTGTAAGTGGATCAGCATGAATAAAAAGCTGAGACAGGTAATTGCTTTGCATGGCCTGTTCTAATCTTGTTAGTTCAATATACTCGCCATGTGGCTGTTTGACTAGGTTCGTGATGCGATCAATCACTCGCAGTGTACCGTTTGGCAGTATTTCGCCAATATCTCCACTAAACCACCAATACATTATACGGGTTAGGATTAGACCACATTTAAACTATTGACAACTCAAATAGACTTGACATTAATACAAAGCTTGAATATACTTACGTGCGCATCCACCCACTGCTTTTCTCAATCATTCGATCAGTCTCGCTCAAGTCTTTAAAATATCCCTTCATGATTGTTGGACCACGCAGGCATATCTGCACAAATCAAGACAAATGGTTTAAAAAGTGATTCTATCCATGGACAAACATGCCAATATGTGACACAAACATAATTTTAGTCACCTCTCCTCTTGGGTTTTCGTCAGTTGCAAAATACTGCATATCGGAAACATCCATCAGCTTGAATTCAAGCGATGAAAAGGGAACACCTATAGATTTAAAGCCTACTGGTTAGAAATAACCACACTATTCGTTCAAGTGAACCAACTTACCAACATAAGAACCAAAATGAGAATGGTAGTCTCCTACAACACGTTGAAAGCATGTTAACAATCACAGTAAATCATTGCAAACATATGCTAATCAAGATCTAAACCAACCTAGAGTGGTTATTGCTCCAGCACCGCATGTCTCAGTAAGACCGTATCCTTCAAGAACATTAACGCCAAACACAATACGCAGAAATTGCAATGTCTTGGAACAAACTGGCGCAGCACCAGAGATGATCAGCTTGATTTTACCTCCCCATTCATTTTGGATCTTGCTGAACGCCATATAATCCCATATGGATTTGCGCGTAACTCTAACAAGATGGTACAAGTAAATAGACTATTTACAACTCAAGCCATTAGAAATCCAATCCATCAATAGTTGGGCTTACATTCCTCGATCAAGCAACCGCTTTTTGGCTGCATAGGCAGTATCAAATATCATCTTACTAATAAATCCACTTTGTTCAGCATTTGATTTGATGTGTTCATATATGCATGCAAGTCGTTGCGGTACAGTTGGGAAAATCTACATATATAACCACAGTAAAAAATAAAGTCAATAAACTCGCAATCAATTTCTAGCAATATGTTAAATAAACTCCAAAGTCTAAAAGTAATGTATTACCGTGGGCTGCATAGTACGAATGTCATCTGCTAAAACATCACCATACGATTTGGTAAAAACAATTTTACCACCACTAAGTGCGGTCCATTATAATGCACAGTTGAGTCAAACATAATTGTGGTTCAAGTAATGCATTCACTACATTAAACCAGGTATGACATACAGTGCGGCAACAGTATGAGTAATTAAACGCTCATAAATATGGCTCAAAGAAAGCTAACAGATTAAATACATGGTTTTGAAATTCACATAAAATCAGTTTTAAATCTGTGATGTAATTTTCAATAAAAATAGAGCAGGACTTACAACAGACAAATGTAGATCAGATGTTCCAATCTTTAGGGGTTTTTCAATCATACTAAGAACGCCAGCACCACTTGACTAGTAATAAATAAAAGCCTTAGCAATCCACTTGTAAGACAAACTCAACCCAAGTTAAACACTATTTACCATAAGATTTTCATGTCGAAGCATCACACTTTTGGGCATTCCAGTTGTACCAGACGTGTATACAATCTATGGTTTAGTGTATCAAAATGAATTCAACACAATGAAAATGGTTTAAAAGGCATTTGAATCCAGCACAGTAGTTACAGTAAACACGTCCTTGGGATTAGCAGAATGGTAATCCAACGGATGATTTTTTCCAATTCTACATCAACAAATTGTATAATCGACAAAAATAAGCAAACGTTTTGTCTCGTTACAACACGTATCAATCAAAAACAGTTAAAAGCATACGTTTCAAGAGCCATAAAAGTAATAAGATTGATTCCAGCGGATTTTGCATTGAGTATATCTGTTTCATCAAGGATGTTCGTGTCTGACACCACAATAATCTATTTCAAAGCATCAACTGAGTTTAAAATCATGCCTATTCACGATACATTAATTTTCCAATTCCTATATACAACAGTCAGCGTGTTGGGGTTTACCTTGAGTGAATGACAAAAGGGTACGATAGACAAGATCTTGTTCAAATGTGAGTTGTCAACAACAATTGCTTTCATTGTAGTGTGATTGATGATGTATTTTAGATTATCATCAGTGGACATTGGATGAATTGGAACTGACACCAATCCATAGCTCATTGCAGCTATAGTAGATTTGGTACGATTGAAAAGACAACAAGTGGCACAAGTATATCGATTTAGTGTAACAAAGATACACATTTGAATGGATCCAAATAAACTTACCATAATCGATGATCAACCATTCTATTAATTGGGTGAAAAAGGCAAGCATTGAATTAATAGATTTAAATGAATGTAGATTAAATATTCAAAATCAAAATACCTGGCGAATTGCAGAGATGAATGCCAATCATATTTTCACTGCAAGGATCCGATTCACTAGAAAGAATAGGTTTCAAATCGGCAACTTTGACTAGCCCAGCACCCACAAACTGCACACGATCTGCAGCTGATTTAAACGAGATCCAACTGAAATCTTGACCAAGTTTGTAGCCAATAAACTCACGATCAGCCAGATTGACCACATTAGCATGAAATGCGTCTATTCAATAGGCGGACATTTAGAATAAAACCTTTTGAATTGAACACTATTTAAAGAGATATAATTACTATAAGCAGTTGAATGGCCATCAATGGTCGTATGGAAGCGAGTTCCATGGGGAGTTAGTTTGTTTCTGTAAACAGCAGATTCTCCAGGGTTTCGAGTAGCCGAAGCCAGGGATTGACATCTGAGAATGGCAGGATGAATATCAGAATCTTGTTGAGTAAAGATGGAGATGACAATGGTAGCGACTAGACAAAAACACAGTAAGATTCTGGATTGCAATAAATTTGATCACAAATAGCGAGTCTTACCAATTCCACCAACCAACGCAGCAGACACTAAATCAAATTTGGCATCCATGATTGCGACCAAATCAAATGCGACCCATTTAAGCACTCTGTCACGTGGCCATATATTTGTACATTTCAATTTCTTCTTCTTGCTCATCAAACTGTCAATCATGTCTGCTGCTGTAAAGACTGCTGCTCGCATCGACTGGTCTGCTCTTTCGAGCAAACTCAAGCCTGAAACAATGGCTTCCGTCAATGGCTTCCGTCGTCGTCACTCTGAACTGCTCAAGACTGTTTCTGAATTGCGTGAACACCAAGTCACCATCGATTTCAACCGCTATAAAAATGTCTTGAAGAACAAAAAGGTTGCTGAAGAGGCCGAGCGTGCTATCAAGGCATTCAAGCCTGCCACTATCGACTTGACTGAGCAGCTTTTGATGGTTTCTGAACAGGAAAAAAAGGCTGTATGTGTACCTTGTTGTAAATCGTAATGACTGATCTAAGTTCAAATCTGCTGCAATCTTGCACTACATTTCAATCCTGATAGCGATTGGAAATATACATTGCAAGGTTCTTGTTGAACAGACTTTTTTTGTAATACAAGACCGATTGCTTGGTTTTGGTTGTTGATCTACAACTGATTTAGTCTATCTTGGACTGAAATCCATTTTAAATGAGTTGTTTTTTTGACCCATTTTGTATACTATCGCAGTTGTACTAAAAATGAACTATTATAATAGATTTCTGCTGCACAAAAGACAACTGCAAAGATCGATGCCGAGATGGCTGAACTCAAGACTTTGCTCACCAATATCGAGACCGCACGTCCCCTTGAGCAAATGACTGTACGTTGTATGCAAATGTTGTCTTTTATAGAGCTTGTATTTATACTCGTTTAATCTGTCTAGGTTGATGATGTTGCCAATGCTTACCCAGCTGTCGAAAAGACCGTCGAGAAGATGGTTAAGCGTGGCCAGTGGCGTGTTCCTGGATACTATGAAAAGTATGCAGATCTAGACAATGTTTTGATGGTTGCTTCCATGTATTGTTCAAGCTACTAATTCATTTGCTCAACTATAATATAGGTTCGGAGAATTCGTTGTTGGATTCTAAATCTCTGCTTTCTACATGATGATTTTGACAATGACCATCCCATAAAACCGTTTTTGTATCAGGGTTTACAGCTGAATTGACAAGTCCATCGATTTTGATCAAGGCAGGCGCAAAGTTTGAAAAAATAAAAATTCAAGCAAAAAAATGTTGACTTTGAATTCATTTACTGGTTGATTTACTATGCAATCACTTGAACAGCAATCTGTACAGAAAAAAAACAAACGGGGACGCAGAGGAGGAAAGAAACAGCATGAGCCTCATCCAGACACTTTTGTCTCGTCCTCTACTGTCTCTGCTACCCATGAGAATGCTGCATTCGATCATGACACTACTTGTCCAACCACAAAAAACTCGAATGAATCTATTCCATTGCTGGATATCATTATTGATCCTACTGGCAATGCAGATTCATTGATGGATTCCAATCACAAAAACGACAGAAGTGATGATGACCAAAACAATCCACCTCGTAAAAAAACACGACGAAGTAAGCGAGGCAAGACGGCACATTTCCCTGAGCCTGACTTTATGCCTCAGCAAGAGACTGTGCAGGCAGCTGCATCATCAGAGATAAAATGGTCGGCTGCATCCACCGACCCATCTACTTTATTCAACCAGACTGATACCGATCAAAAAGATGCGATTGACCCTGTCGATCCAGACCTTCGTCAGTACTTTGAAAATATAGAAAAAATGCTCGAAGAGCAAGAGTTTGAAACCCCATCGGATCTGCATCTCTTCATCAACAACGTTTACTCTGAAATCCGTGGAAAAGAGCTTTTGGTTTCCGGAGACTTTGCTACCTCTCGTGTGCTAGAGAAACTCTTGCGTGGATCAAGTGATGTGCAAGTTAGACTATTTTTAAAGTCTGTGAATGGGTGTGCGTTGAAAATGTTTATGCATCAGTTTGCTTCCCACGTTATGCAGACTGCATTGGGAATCGCTGCTGGAATAGTGGATCGCGAAGTCCGAGGCGAATCAAAGCAAGCAGTTCACGACAGCAATGATGAGCCAGTCGATGAAGAGTTTCAAGCTCTTGTCAATGACCTTCCATCTATGGAAACCCTTTTGCTATCTTTGTGTGAGGAGTTGAAAACAGAATGGTCGAACCTGTTGCTTGATCCGTATGGATCTCATGTTGTTCAAACGTTGTTGAATGTGCTATCTGGTCAAACTCTTGCAGATGAAATTCGAATGCGTAGTAGAAAATCTAGCAACTACAACAAAAACCATAATAACTTTTCCAATGTAAGTTGTACCATTGATAGACACGATGCATTAAGTAGTTGAATTGTTTTAAAATCACACGAGTTTAATATTCTAGACAACTTTTTTATTAGGCAAAGCAACTGGGAACTACTCTTCTTACACCAGCGTCATTTGCAAAGCTACAAGCATTCATTGTGGATTCACTTTCTACCAACCTCAAGGACACTGATTTACGTGAGATGGCTTTCCATCCGATTGCTAACCCTGTTCTACAGATTCTATTAGAGATTCCTCAATCTAGTGATTCTCTTATTGCTGCTTTTTTAAAGGATGGCAGTTTTTTTGACTCTCTACTTGAGCATCATGTCGGATCTCATTTGGCAGAAAAATTGGTCAGTAAAGCATCTGCAGATACCTTTAAAATCCTGTATAATCAACATATCCGTCCCAAATTCTTGGCTCTGTGCAACCATCAGTTTGCAAACTTTATCATTCAGCGTACTGTGAGTAAAGTCAGCACTGAATCCCAACTTGTTGAGATGTTGGATATTGTCGAGCCTCATTTTGCACGCATGCTATTTCAAAGCCGAGCAGGTATTATTCTCAAGATTGTCGAATCCTGTATCACATTCCCAAATATCCAGCCGCGTATTATGGCATGTCTTTACAAAGCATTTGAAGTTGACGAAGATGAAGAAAAGAAAAAAATGTTTGCAACCTTGGTGCTTCATCTTTCTACCTACGATCGCTTTCAGCAATTTGTACGACTTCCTAATGTTCAAGGTGCACTTATTATCCAGCACATCTGCAGCTACTCTGCACACTGCTCCAAGCCATGTTTGGACAGTATTTTATCCATTTCAAAACAAGACATGCTAAAGTGGATTTCAGATCCCATCTCATCTCGTGTGATTGAATCCATTCTTTCAAGTGCAACCATTGCAGTCAAATTCAAGCGCCGTCTTATTCGTATTTTCTTTGGCTCGTTTGTCGATCTCTCTATAGACAAGTATGGAAGTCATTTTGTTGACAAGTGTTGGGCTGTAGCAAGTTTGGATGCTCGACAGACTATTGTGGAAGAACTGGCTGAACGGTTACCTACTTTGCTTGGAAATTTCCATGCCAAATTTATTGTACGGAATTGCAGTGTTGAGCTATTTAAAAGAAATCGCGGAGAATGGATGGAAAAGCAACGTATAGAGATTAGTAGACGAGATAAAGTGGAGTCTGAAAGGATCAAGGAAGCTGAAAATAGTGCTGCTGCGAATGCTTCTGTTGATGCAACGCCTGTCTGTGATGATCCCAAAGCAAGTGATATGACTGACGAGAAAAAGAGTCTCAAACAAAAAAAGAAGAATAGTAAAAAGGCTAAAATTCCAAATGAGATTGACGATCTATTTGCCAAAAAACTCAAATAAATCAAAAAAAGATTCTTACAATGTTTAAACTTGCCATCATATTCACGTAAAACGAAGTGTCGTATGTATCTTGCAGTGATTATATCTGTCTTGTTAAAATAGGCAGCAATTGAGTATGTGGTGCACATTCTTGGTAAACTGACTGCTTTTTTGATTGACAACGTCCATTATATGTTGTTCACAAAGAAGGACCAGTAAATGAAGAGTTTAAAAGACAATGTGGTCTAGTAAAATTAACAAACATGAAACTGACTGTTTATTATGCATTTTGACACCCATGCTCAATGTTTCATTTTACGTGAATATGGCTGTAAAGTGTAGATTCAGATCTTGATCGTGTATTTTAAATCATCCTTTCACAATTTTTGGTCACCATCAAGGGTGATTGCAATGAACACCACACATCTATTGAATGTTCAATTAAAACCTGTTAAGCGAAGCCCACAACCAGTGGATCATGTAAGCCGATCAAGGTCTATGGCCATGTAGATGATTTGGTGTATAAAAAAGTATAATGCCTAACCTGACAATGTTTTTATGTAACTATACGAAAAAATACCTTGACAAGACTCAATGGCAGCATCCAATAACCTGTTATGAATTGAATCGAATGGCTACGCTTAAAGAAACGAAACGCTTACCCAGTCTTGCACCAATTCCAACAACTCGAGGTGCAAGCGACCGACCCGTGTCCACTTGTGAAATATCTCGTGTATTTGATGTCGAAGACAGTGTATCAGGTATATCCAGCACCATAAAATCAACTACTTTTAATGAAAACGACTCGACAATCAGCAGAAATAACAGCCCAACATTGACTATAAAAAGCCATCCACAGCCTAGTAGTTTTAAAGAACCAATGATTTCTATATCTAGTCCGACTAAAGGATTACGAGGCAGTGCAGTTTCAAAATCACCACATACTTCTGCATTGTTTCAGCGGCTTATAAACGAAATTCTCGACACAGATGGAGATAAAGTTAATAGTGGATCATTAAAACATGCTGATGATATAGGACTGGGTTTGCGTGATGAGTTGAGTAGATTTAAGCAGCCTCCACTACCCTTTCATCCACTACACCATGCACACAAAACAAGCTATTTACGTAAACCAACTCAACCCAAGTCACATCAGATACTGCCAGCATGTATGTCCAACACGAAATCTCAACCAATAAGTATTCCACAAATCATGCAGATCATGCATGGTAAGCGTGAATTGCCATTTGGTTTAGATTGTGATAAAAATAGTCTATGCCAAGCTTATCCAACCCACATGTTATGGAGAGAGTATGGCAGCCAACGAGATTTTGAGGATAATTGTTTGGTGAAGTCATTGAGACGTATACATGCTTCTTTACCATTTGGAAACAAATTTGCTGAAAAGAGGATCGTAGAAGCCAATAATTTCCAAAGTGTTGTACATACTCCTGACTCGACCGAGACATTTCATCCAGCACATATGGGTAATAATCCATCTAGACAAGCCACAGTCGACGTAGATCAGGACAAGACATTACCGAGTTTTGAACACATGATTTCAATACCGAATGCTTCCATCAATACGCTACCAGGTAATTAAAAATTTGATGAATTGTAATGACATTAACAAGCCAGCCATTTGACTTGCATATTGGATCAAATTAGACATTGAAATAATACGATTGGACAAGTCTGACGATAGAATGAATTCACATGCAGGTATGAATATTTTACACGGTTGACAACTCACTGGTCATGTACTGAAGCAGTATATTTGAATATAGATTCGATGTGCATGCAAGGAGTAGCAGCACAAAAAAGTTTTACACAACATGAACAAACACGATCAGATGGAATGAAAGGCGCACATCAATGCAAGGTAGAGTGAATAACAGTGAATAACAATGAATAACCTTTTAGCAAGTATTTAAACAATCGAGATATGAATTGAAAACAATAGGAAAATAAACGAGAAGCCATTTCTCGTGGAGAGACTGTTCAAAGACACAACAAAGACCAGAAATCCACCAAAGCACAACGACTGATGCAGATACAAGAGAGTATGAATATTAATGGATTGATGAATGCATCAATGAAGCAAATGATTGCAGAATTCAAGAAACATGACATGGATGAGCGAGTGAATATCGTGACGCAAGTGCGAGTGGACGAAGAATTGAGTCGAATTATAGCACAACAGCGAAGAATATATTTATTGCAATCGATATCGGGTGGAATCTGAAATGAAGTTGAAGAATAAACGGATTTAAAGCAATGGCAAGTCGTGAATGATTTCTAATCCAACATTCAGAAGAGAGATCTGGACTTGCAGTTACTCGTACTGGAATACTATTATTACCATTCAGGATGCAACCTCTTCCTCCGAATGAACAGGACTCTAGGAAGATAGTTACGAATATCACTGAGAATGCAGCAGTACATCCAGTGAATCATCAGCAACCACCACCAGATTACACTGATATCGACTTGGATTCTAACATCAACAGAGATGAAAGTACTACTGCACCAACCACTCCTACTAATGGTTTAAGAGAAATGTCCTCTCCTGTCGTCCATCCTTCGTTGTTGGCTTCTCAGACTTCTTTCCCTGGTATGTTCTGTTGATCTTTGAAGTGCTGTTCGTCCATGTGCTGTTAGAGCCATTGACGTTGATCTTGTTAACACTGGTCTCGCTTGCTGAAACCATCAATAGAAGCACCGCCTATCGAGCCTGAAGATTTGGACTCCATCAACAATTATGGCCAGCAAGTCGTCGACCAGATCATGTTCAAGTGGGATATCGCTGACTGGTCTTCAATTCCAGACCGTCTACACAGTCCCGAGTTCACTTGTGGGGGTTGCAGATGGTAACTTGGTCTCTGCTTCGTTGTGATACAAACATGTCTACTAAACTCATTCTTGCAATGTCTTGTCTAGGAAAATACTACTTTTCCCAAGAGGAAACAAGCAGCCTGAACATGTCTCTGCATTTTTGGAGTCTGTTGATGCTGCCGAGCGTTCTGAAGATAAACCTGAATGGCATTGTTGTGTCAGTTTTGGAATTCGTCTTGCAAACACCGAAAACAATAGCAATTGTACAAAGAATACTGGTGAGTTAGCTTATTTTACCAGATGAATCTGATTTCATTCATGTTGAATTCCATGTTGGATTCTTGATCGTGTTATCCATCTAAATACATTCTTTATTCTTGTTAGTGTCCCAGAATCGATACACGCCCAGACAGACAGATTGGGGCTTCAACATGCTTTTCAAGACTCATCTTCTGTCAAGACTGCATAATGGTCAACCTATTCTTGAACACGATCGTTTGTCCATTATTGTCAGCATGAAAGTGCTCAAGGATGAATATGGCACTCTTTGGCACGATTTTATTCAGTAAGCTAATCTTACATGCTGTTTTTCAACCATCTGTTCAATCTCACTCAACTACTTTTTAAATTACAGTTGGGATTCCAGAAAAGAAACTGGGTACGTTGGTATTCGAAACCAAGGCGCTACATGCTATCTCAACTCCTTGCTGCAGTCACTTTACTTTACCAATTACTTTCGCAAGGTTGGCTATTTTAAACTACTTTTGATTCTGTATATCTCATTGCAGTCACTATGTTTTATGTTTGAATACAAAGTGTGCTAACATCAAGTGCATCTAGGCTACATATTTGATTCCAACAGATAACGATGATCCGCAAAAAAGTGTTCCATATGCTATGCAGAGATTGTTCTATAATATGCAGTTTGCTCCAGAAGCAGCCAGTACGGTTCATTTTATTGTGAAATATACTAGAGTAAAACATGTATACAGGCTTGGTGCTAATCTGTGCATTTATATTACTTATCATGTAGGTACAACCGAGCTTACAAAGTCGTTTGGATGGGATACTACAGATGCTTTTTATCAACATGATGTGCAAGAGTTGAACCGCGTCCTTCAGGATAATTTGGAAAGCAAGATGAAGGTATTTGTTGCTGCTGTCTTTGTTTAAATCCTTTGTATTGACTTTTTGAATTTGTCTGATTAGGGAACTTTTGCCGAGGGAGCTATTCGCAAGCTATTTACTGGAAAAATGAAGAGCTACATCAAATGCGTTGATGTGGATTTCGAATCTTCTCGTATTGAAGATTTCTATGGTACATGATTGAGACGTCGTTTTAGATTTTACTTGTAGTGTTCTTACTTTTGATTTTTAGATATTCAACTCAATGTCAAGGGTTGCAAGAATCTTCGCGACTCGTTTGTTGAATACTGCACTGTCGAAACTATGGATGGTGTCAACAAGTATTTTGCAGAAGGATATGGACTTCAAGATGCACGCAAGGGTGTTATTTTCCATCATTTCCCACCTGTTCTTCACTTACAATTAAAGCGGTTTGAGTACGATATGGAGCGGGACTCCCTTGTGAAGATTAATGATCGCCACGAATTTCCTTTGACCATTGATTTAGACGAGTTTTTGGAGGAGCCTGACAGTGCCGTTAAACAGCGCTACCATTTACACGGCGTTCTTGTCCATAGTGGCGAGCTTCATGCTGGTCACTACCAGGCATTTATTCGGCCAGAAAAAGATGGCAAATGGTTCAAATACGACGACGATCGTGTTTTTCCTGTATCCGAGAGAGATGTCCTTGAAGAAAACTACGGCACCGAGGCCGTCAAGCCACTACAAGAAGGCGGTATACCTCCCAAATTTACCGGGCAGTTTCGTAACAAACCAACATTCACCAACGCATACATGTTGGTCTACATTCGCGAACACGATCTTGAGGAAATACTAGGTCCCATCACCGAGCATGACATTCCTGACCATCTTCGTCGTCGTGTTGAAGAAGAGCGTCTTGCTGCTGAACGTCGAAAGCGCGATAAAGAAGAAGCACACCTTTACTGTAATGTTTGCTTGATTACTGAGGATGATATGCGACATCACGAAGGCTACGATTTGTGCTCGTTTGATGAAAAAAATCCATCTTCAATGCATATTTTCCGAATTCGAAAAGCAGACACATTTGCGCAATTCAAAAGTATGGTGTCTGATGAGCTGCGTGTCCCTGTCGAACAGCTTCGATTGTGGAATGTCGTTTCAAGACAGAATAAAACCGTGAGACCCGATACTCCGCTGCAATCTACCAGTGACGAATTAACTATGGAAGTGGTTCGTAGTAAAGTTGCAAAGGGAGTTGCTGACTTGCGCTTTTATGCAGAAGTATCTGACAAGCCCATCAGTCAGCTTAACGACAAGGTTGGTTTTATTTGAGTTGATTGCACTAGCAGTGGTATTTGAGTATGTCTGACATTTATTTATTTTACAGGCCGTTTACTTTATGCCATACAGTACCATCACTCCACCGCCTCAACTGCTACTTTTTATCAAGTACTACGATCCCATCGCACCCAAGCTCGAGTTTCTATCTTCCATTACTGTTCGAAACAAGAATCATAAAATATCCGAGATCATTCCAGAGCTGCTAGCACTTAAACATCTTCCACCTCTGACTCCTATTCTACTTTATGAGGAAATCAAGGTTGGCATGGTGGACTCTATCAAACCCAATCTAACTTTCTCCCAGGCCGAAATTGGCGATGGTGATATCATTTGTTTCCAACGTGATTTCCAAGGAGAAGAGTACGTGGTTTGAATTGAATGTATTGGATTGAACCAGCCTGTCATGTTGTACCTGGTTTAACATTTTCTATTTTTACCATGATATTGTAGAATTACTCAAGTTCCTGATGCTCAGCTTTTGACTGCACCCGGCTACTACGAGCTGTTGGCCAACAGAATCATTGTTACGTTTAAGCCAAAATCAAAAGATATGCCCAACAAGGGAGAGTTTGAGCTTGTGTTGTCTAGAAAGATGCTCTACGATGCGGTACGTTTTACTATTGCACCATGTCTAGATTAAATTATTTGTTGAATGTCATTGGTATTTTTCTCAATCCTTGTTTTCAGGTGACGGACAAGATTGCCAAACTGCTGGATTTGGATCCCTTTAAAATTCGACTTTGGGGATCCAACCATTCCCATTCTATGGTGACAAAAGGACCTATTCGTCGTACCACTACTACAACCTTGGCTGAGATGTTAAACATAACGCCCTATACTCTTCAAGCACAGCAGATCATTTATTACGAAATGCTCGATGTGTCTATTCTTGAATTTGAAACAAAAAGATACATCAAAGTGTTTTATGTTGATGCGAAGCTTATAGAAAAAGGTCGTTTTGATATGTTGATGCTCAAGACTTCCAAAGTTGGAGATGTGCTGGAAGGTGTGGCTTCTCGAATTGGAATGCCGGTTGCAGAAGCCAAAACAAAATTGAGGTTGTTTGATTCGAGTAATTCGCGCGTAACAAAAGTGTATGAGAATGACGAGCCCATTTCAGTGCTATTAGACAGTTTTCCTTTGATTGTGGAGGTAGATATTATTTCGCATGTGTTGCAATGTTGTATTACTTGACAATCTAGTAACATGATACGATTATAGGAAATTTGCGAGGATGAGCTGAATAGAACTGCTGCTGATAAGCTTGTTTCCGTATGCCACTTTTTCAAAGATATATACCGCGGTCATGGTATTCCCTTTCAGTTTATTCTTAAACCTGTACGTTTTGATTTGGATTTGTGTCAGCTTTACACTCGAGGCGTTTACTTGACCATGTGGCGTATTGTCTAACCTTTCTGATGGTAACATGTGTATAGGGTGAGATGTTTTCTCAGACTAAAAAACGATTGCAAGCGCGCTCGAGCCTAAACGACCGAGACTTTGGAAAAGTTGTATTTTATTTCATCACTGAACGAACACAATCAACTCCTATTGAAGACGGTATCTTATGCGCTGGTCTGTCTTGCTATATGCGTGAATAAAACTAACCCATTCATTTGTTGTACGTCCATGATAGATGATATTCTTCATGATCGACCAATTGGACCCAATGACTTGATTGGAATGGATCATCCTGACAAAACCGCCCGAATTCGCTATGGTGCTGAAAAGTCTATCAAGATCCTGGTATGTCATTTATTTGTCTAATGCCATGTGTAATTTTGTAAATCTAACAAAATATCTCTATTGTCTAAACCCTCTTGTCCATATTTTAAAAGAATTGAATATGAATTAAACTTGACAGCGTTTTATCCTCATGTTTTTAATGGTGGTTTTATCCACTTTTTAATGTTGCTATTTCATTGTTATTGAAATTTAAGGGATGTGTTGGGTTATTATAGATTGATTTGATTGATTTATCGTGTTAGATGGGTGATAATTTATTAGTTAAAATAGTGTTAGATTAGTAACGGCGATGATGACGAAAACTACCACCGCCAAAACCACCGCCTCCAAAACCACCACCAAAACCAAAACCACCGCCGCCAAAACCACGATGATGATGACGAAAACGTTTGCGTCCATATCCACGACGTTCAAGATGATTGTTGGTAGTTTCATCCAATTGGACAGATCTGGTTTGAAGAGTACTTGGACTAGAAGTAACAACCGACCCAACAAGAGTAAAAACGAAAGCAGAAGTAGCGAATTTCATGATAGTTAAAAGTTTAATAAAATGAAGAATAATCTAATAAATGGATTGTAAGCTGATGTAATTTACAATGAGTTGAATACGCCATTTAAATAGATTATTTTGAAACACAAGGTGGTGAATTGACCTGCTTATACCACGATATCGAGTGTATCAACTGGCTGGTAGTACAAGAATCTGGTGTTTTCAATATGCAATATTAGAGTGCTGTAACTGAAAAAGCTGTGGTGGTTGACAATCATTACTTTATCAGGTAGTACCAAGTCTACATTTTCCACAGAAACAGCAATCATGTGTAAATCAATGCAGCTTGGCTATTGAATTTTTGTTGGTTTATACATTTGATGTTTGTGGATGGATCACCACTTTATTGGTGTTTGAATAGTCTAAGCATATCATGGCTCTGTGGTTGAACAGGATTTTTATAGTATTTGAAATAGTCAATACATGTCGACTAGACTTGATTCATGCGAGTATACCAAATCTACTAAAGTTGTATATTTGAGATACGACAGTTGACTATTTGTGATTAGTATTCACATAAAATGAATTATTAAATAAGAGTTCCAATCTACTGGCAACATTATGTCTTTAAACTCTTGGCTCATTGGAGTTTATCCGCGTTCATTCCTGTACAAAACAGAACAAATGTTTATATTCTATTCCAATACATTCCACATCTTTTCAACCTCCAACTCTTCAAAACATTGGGTGTTGTGTATGAAAACCATAATTTTATTTTTGGGTTATGCTAAACTAGATTGTACAATGTAAAGTTATACAAATGAGGGTTTCAATTCAAACGTCTAGTTTGATGTTGTATTGATTCCAACATTGAGAACATGAAAGTCGATCAAATGAATTCAACTCATCTCTTTGATACGGCAATCTTTTACCGATTGTCGTTTGCATTTCTTTTTTTCTGCCTGTTGATGCATTTTATTACCAACGGCAACACTTGCGTTTCAAAGGCTTGAACCAAGTGCAAACTATGACTGCAGACGCTATCAAACCAATTCAAGATTCGCGTTTTATCCAAATTGTTATGAATTATAAGTTGACCACTTTTCATTACAATTGGCGTGAATATCGGTTGAAGAAACTGGTATTTTTGGGTGGTTTGTTACTGCTGACGTATACGGAATAGAGCCAACAATGTCATCCACAACTTGTAATACTTTTCAACCCAACGAGGAGCAGGACGTACTTGGTGAATCGGGCACAGTGCTCTGGCACTATTGGCGAGCACATTGTCTGAAAGGCAGTTTGCAACCATCACTTCAACCCTGTCCAATCTCCACATTTACTGACAAGCACGATCAATATGGCGATACTACAGTTTCTCAAGACATGCAATCCATAACAGTATGTTGTTGAATCGTACCAAACCAAATCATTTTATATTCAATGTTTAACTTGTATTCATTTGATTTAGTCTTTAGTTTATGATTTACTGGATTTGCATAGTGTGGTCAGTACGGATAGTTCGTCTGAGCAACAACTTGAAGTTTCTTTGACTATTTCAAAAATTGTAATGATTGATGCAACAGTACCGTCTATTTTGTTTAAAGACTTGCATTTGCCCACCCCATTCGTATCACGTATTCAGTATGTTCAAGCACATACGGCGTCAGATATTGTAGCGTATTTATACGCTATATGCGGTTTGATCAAGTCCAAGCGTGTATCCAATATACAGTCACTAGATGGTCCAGTTGTGTACCCTTGTGTGATTCTATATGCTCGATCGCCAATGTTATGGATTCGTATGCGATCTCACGAGTTCAAGGCACTGCATACTGCCATCAACCATGTGGAAAAAACGTTTGGTGTGACGGTTGTATGTTGGTTTTTAAGGAATAGAGATCGGATACGATGGAAGTCTTGGCTGACTCAAGTCACTTGAGTTGGGTCTTGATCCAATACATTTGGTATGCATATCACCAGCAATGTGTTAAAATACAGTATTCAATGCAAATGGGTTTTAATATTCTAAAAAGGTACTACATTTTTATTTTTAATTGAATCATATCCAGCAGGAGCTAGATTTCAATATGCAAAAATCTTGTGTTTGCAAACCTACTCAAAGGTATAAATATATCAACCGCTTAAATCATTCATCGTTAAACAAGTTGCAGGTTCCAATTGCAATGGTCAAGTAATACTCTTGCATCTTCAGATCCAACACCTTTAACAGCCATCACCCATTCAGTTTTTGCCATTTGGACATCTATCAACAGTTGTGCATCGAGTTCTGCCCGCACGTTAGCAAGATGTTGTGATCTCCGTTTCGTATTGATGAGTTTGACCATGGTGCGAAAACCGCCAATGATGGGACGGTGGTCGGATATTTTACATTCTCCACGTGAATAAAAGGTATGGCTAATGTGTGTGCCTCGGGTAAGAATCCGATCACAGTAGGCAGGAATACGCATTTTCTCACTCGAGTCATATTGCTGAGTACCACGTTTGTATTTGAATGTGGGTGCAAAAGAAAGTGCCGACTCGTCAAAATCTCGGAGTCCAAAAGATGCATTCTCTGCCTTTTGTCGCTTGAGTTGATCATGCTCCTGTAAGTGCGCACAATGATAGAATAAAAAGAGTGTTGTTGGTAAAGATTCACACAGCCAAGGAAACTTGAATATGTAACTTACCCAAAGAGCCTGCCAATCTTGCTTGCCAATTTTTTCAAAAACTGTCGTTCGTGATAAATCTATTCTATAGTTGAAATCGCCTGACCAAAATATTGCCTCGTGGTCCTAGAAACCCAACCAGATTCAAACAAATGTTAAAAACAAAGCCAACACAAAGTAGTCATCAAAATGCAGAATCGAGGTAAACATGACATCCTACCACAATCATGCTGCCGTCGCCTCCCCGCATCCATATACCATCACCAGCTCGTTTCGGAAATGATGTTTCTTTGAAAATATGTGCAATATCATTGTTCCGCGCACTTGTTTGTCCCTGATGTGCTGCCAAATGACAGTTTATAAAACAAAATGATGTGTCTTGCCACAAAAACCGAGTGGCAATGCTTCCCTGTCATGTCAAACGTAACCAAAGATTTGTATTAGGAATAAAATACAATCTCAAGTATTCAAAACCAAGAATAGTTTACCTTGTTGCCATGAAATCCACCCAGGCCAGTCTTGACCATACTGACAGAGACATCGGAAAGCATGATCGCCAAAGAAGTCTGTACAAACACGCATTGAAAAAGTCCAACAAGTTGCCGACACTCTACCATTGTGTAGGGCTCATCTGGAAACGCTTCTGCTAGTCCAGTAGATAGTCGATCCTGCCACAATTTCTGCCTTTGGTCCATTGCTGTCTGGCTACTTCCAGCTCCTTTGAAGAGTTGCTCTTTTGAAAAAATAGATTATGCAAGTGTGCAAAAAGATGATGGAATTCAGTCACTATATATTCAATCAATGAAATACTACAGCAGCCAATACTAACTTACTAGCCGTTTCACTTTTGGACTCTAAATCAACAAGCTCTTGAAATCCAAAAATAAACATATTTGCATCGGCATTGACGCTAAACAAATTACGCAAAAATCGATTATCTTCAACATCGCCAGACAGATCCATGTCATTGGGTTTGCGAGCATCAATGTTCCACGTAAGAATAACTATATTAACCGGATTGTAATCACAGTATTTTGCCTCGAGACTTCTCATTGCCATCTCTAATTCATAGAACCAACGTTCCATATTAGTATATATATCAATCCATTATAAAACCAAATACATTATACCTTGACGATATTGGTCTAGCATGCCATCCCAAAACCGCATATGCCCCGATTCAGAAACACTGCCTACCAACAATTGTCCATCAAATGCCAACGAAGAGTCATCTACAGCCAGATGAGTTACACCTGCATTACTGTAAGCGGCAAACTCTTTAACAATTGCCCATGATTGACCGCTCGGCTGAGCTGCAGTTGCATTCACTCCGGCAGTGCCCTGTTCAGAAGATTGGAATGCCACGTCGTATACAGCAATCTTTCCCGTTCCAAATCCAGCCCATATAAATGACTTTCCAACACCCACCAAGGATGAAATACGATAGAGTGCTACTTGGACAGTCCATAGTTTTACCAAAAGCAATGAATCAAACACAGTGATTTTTCCATCTTCGTGACCAGTAAACACCATTCGTTTTGCTGGGAGTGATGTAATGGCAGAGATAGGTCCAACAGAAGTCGATAGTGATATTTTACGTTCAACCAATGCTAGTGCATCCACTTCGAGGTTAAACACTTCAATTTGCTTTCCTGATACGGTCCAAAGACGATCAATTCCATCGACTGTGTCCACCAACATGGATGTCTGTTTTGCACTGACACGTAATCCTCTTGGACGAGATGCCAAATCAACCCTGCCATCATTTCCTGCCGTCCAAATCTTAAACCCACCATTATCGTCAAGAGTGTATACAGTGAATCTGTGCCGAATGATATGAGTGACTGTGGCATTATGGATAATACGGCGATCAAGAAGCTTCCCTGTTGCAACGTCCATTTCAATCAATTCGCCCCGTTCAATCGATGCCCATATGACTGTATTGTCAAGAGATATTTGGCGAGAGGGAATAAAACACACTGCAAAGAAGTGAGGTTTTTGGTCAGTTGCTGGAGTGTAAAAATGTGAGTTTGTAGCAGTCGGAATATCCCATAATCGACATGAAACATAGCCTGTAGCTGCATGCAAGCCAGAAAAAGTAAAGGTATTGACTGGACCTTTGTGGTGAACACCATCTGATGGAAAGCGTGGTGCGATAGGCAAACTGCGATTTACAATACGGGTGATAGGATCATATATAAATTCCTTTGTCATTAAAGATGCGTACCGGTTAAGCGTTGCAAAATTGGTTGTTGGTGGTCCGATTATCTCTGAAAAACAAGGCGTGGACATGGACGATTCCAATGACATGTTTGCTCTTCTTGCAGATGGACGTGTAGGAAGTGGCGGTGGAATACCCATTTGTGACGGTGAAAAAAGTTGAGGTGCGCCTTGAAGTTGCTGCATAGATTGTTGAGTTCCTACAAGACCAAGTCCACGATCTGGACTAATAGCTTGTGAGTTGATAGGTCTTGGTGGCAAAGGCGGCTTTGAAAATCCAAGTGAAATTTGTTCACTCTGGCCTCTGTTTATAGATCGACGTTCTGACACAGTAGCACTTGAAATCAATCCAGATAATGAATCTTGACTTTGGTAAGATGCTGTGGCTGAAGTAATATCTGAAATACCCTGAGCGACTGAGGCAGATGAAATAATGGGCGATCTGTTTGAAACCGCTCGACTTGACCGAGATGGCGGTGCTGGACGATCAGGAGATCCAATAGGACGAGAAAAAATGGGCGGACTCAAAACCGCCACAGGTACTGAATGATTAAGTGGAGAACTTGAATTGTTTGTTGCGTTATTTGAACCAAATAAAAAGGGCAAAGATGTATGCTCTTGATCAGTTAGTCTTGAATTTGAAAGAGTAAAAGGTTTGGTTTGTGGTGATGTTGTTAAAGGCTGCTGTGAGATCTGAATAATATCGCTGGAGTCTGAATAGTTGCTTGAATCATCACCACTTCTTTCATGAGATGAATTGTCATCAGACAGCACCCCATCTGCAAAGGGATTTAAATTTGGGTTTTGTTGATACAAAGCTTTGGTTGTATTTGAAGACGTAGCAACGGGAGAAACAGATCGAGCGCATAATGACATTTTACTATCTGGTCCTACAGGTGAAGAAAATTGGCTGGAAACCATGGTGGATCTAACTTTTGGTGAAACTAATAAATTGGACATCAATGTATCAGTCAGAATTGCAAAATTCAGTACAGTTATAAAGCCAAAACTGGTTGATATCAGCTTTAGCTCGACGCAATAATACTAGTATGTAAAGGCAGTTTACCAGAAGTATTTATAGTTGCTGATGAAGCCGATTCATTTGATATCTGCCTTCGCCGAACATTTGGGTCATCTGGCACGACCAGAGTTTCAAAAGCCTTGGCCAAATTACGCACGGATGAGTTGCTGATTAGGTTATAAATTAGAAAATACAAGAGATTAGGTGCTAGACTATTTGATTCGACAAGGATTTAATATCGATTGACGATAAATGTGATACCTGTTGCGCAATTCATCGTTACTTGCAGAAAATGCCTGTTCTGTCAAACCTGTGATTCCATCTAATGCAGCATCTGTATTTTCAGTTTCAAGTATGATTTCATCGATATGTTCCTCGAATGGATTTTTTTCCATTGTATATTGAAGTTTCTGTTGTGACAGTTTATCCAGGATGCAAGTACAAGTAAAAGACCAAAACAACGAAAAAAGTTAAATTCAACAACATTGGACTCGATGGTCTACAAAATGAATGATGCTTGTACAGATTATGACTTGATACAAAATAAGGGTTTTTTGAAGTCTAGAACAGACGATTCAATGTGTTGAGAGTACTAGACTGTAAATCTAATTGTATATGAAGATGATATTAAAAAAGGAATAGGAATGAGATGGATGGACAGAACAACTGTTAGCACCTACAATACTACAAGTGGAATTAGTTGTCTGAGTGAATTAACAGATTACAAGCGAATTCTACAAGTTATTGAAATAGGACGATGAATGATTATAATTTAGAATACAAAGCAGACATGAAAAACAGCTGTAATACAGAGATAGTATGACTTGTAGTATTTATAGAATAAAAACACTATCATCACGGAGATTTCAAAGGTAGAATCCAACATCAAGTCATGATCAAATTCCTGAGCATTCAAGCCAGATAAAAGCAAGGGTAGAAGAGAAGGTCATAAAAGGAGTGTTTTTAGATATGAATGAGTAGAGAAACCATTCAGATAGCAGCAGTAACAAGCCAGACATACCGATATGGTCACCAAGTTCAAAATCAAAGATGGCGAGTAAAACTCGAAATGAAATTTAAAGCAGTTTATCGCAGAAACTTCAAGTTTTAATGCTGACTGTCGCTCAGCTTCGTGCGTGTCTGTTTCTGTCGTTTACAGTACTTTTAGGAACTTGTTTCCAGTTGATTGCGTTTGTTTTTCAATACAAACTGGACACTTATTCTGTATTTGCTCAAAAATCAAATCCATTGAATGTCTTTTTAGCTAAATATGCATGGGTAAACTATAATAATATTGTAATAATATTGTAATAATACACGAGAGTATTATCTAGATTCTCATATGATTTCTGTTTAGGGTTGGACTAGCATTCCATTATTGGCTTTCATGTTGGTTTATGTACATACTTGTACAACAACAACCATCAATTCATCTACTTACAAAAGATATGCTGCAGTTGCTATTCGATGGACTAGTGCTACTCTGTATTGGGTTATCATGACTCAATGGGCATTTGGAAACCCATTACTAGACAGAGTTTATCTGTCTACTGGTCATTGTCTTACCATGACTAACACTGTAGAAGTTCGTTCTATTCGTCAATGTAAATCACTTGGTGGATCTCTTACTGGACTGGACATTTCTGGACATTGTTTCTTGTTAGTTCATGCCATTCTAACTACTTTTGAAGAACTCAAACCTTACTTTAAACTACACACACTTGACTCTTCATCTGCATTGATGGCTCATTTCACTTCCTTGTCTAAAATGTGCTTATCTATCCTTTCTCTTGTTCTGATCACTTTGGGTTTGATCTGGTGGATCATGCTCTTTACTACTTCCCTTTACTTTCATTCTTTTATTGAAGCATCTTCAGGTACGTTGTTGGGTATGCTTCACTGGTTGGTTCTCTATGTCGTGACAGGAAGCTTATATCCAAACGTATTACCCTTTGACGTGTCCCTTGTCAGTCAACCCAACAAGAGTCAAAAACATCTTTGATACCTATGCATCTATTACACAATAAATACACTAGTCAATCTGTATGTGTTGAATCATGATCGAGGTTAGATGACTCCAATTTGCATTCGTGTTGGTATTCATGCTGTTGACTCATCTGCAACACTTTTGATGGCATTAAATCAAGTACTATTCAGAATATAATCAAAACACACCATTTGTTTCTATAGTATTAAAATTCTGTTTGAATCAGTCAGAGTGGATGATACTCGGTCTGATTCAAATCAGTATGTTATTGAATACAGCAGCCAAATCTGCATTTTGAACTACTGTTTTGTGACTCTTGTACGTGCAAGGTACGATTAGGTAATACCAATCGAACAGGATCTCCTGAATTAATTCCATACTCTGTTCTATTGCAGTGAACTTGTCGTTTTGTCCGTTTTACCATGTGGTTAATAGCAAAAATTCCATACACTGCCTTGTGATCAGAAATATCAATCTCCATTCTACTGGAATAAACTTCTGGTGTAATGGGCTTTTTGTATCCATGAGCAATCGCCGACTCTCGAATACTTGAACTACTTGCCGAACCCGCGTTTCTTGGTATGCCTTTGTGTAGTGTGCAACGAGATTTGTAAAGGATGCGATCTGTCCAAGAAGGAATTCGAGCTTTTCGACTCGAATCGTAACCAAAGGGATCAATGTCAACTGGTGGTATACTGGATTCACCAGATAGTCGCCTTGTTGGACTTGATGCTGTTACAAAAGGCAATGCAGAAGTATAAGATGTTGGAGAGGTAGGTGCCATGACATCAAACTTGTAAGTTGGAATAAAATGTATAGGATGTTCTTGAAATCCAATAAAACATTTTCCTTTATGCATTTCAGTGGCTAATTGATCATTGTTGATTAACACCTAGATGGATTCAAAACAAGTGTTAGATGCTGATCAAATGCAATAGATTTGTTGTATTTGGTACACGAGTTGTGTTGAAACTCACTTCAAGCTGGTTGTTTAAAATAAGCGAGTCAACTATTGCTCGAGTTCCGTTTATACGATAGTTGAGATCACCTGCCCAAAATACATAATCGAATCTATCAGACAAACGCGGAATGCTAGAGTCGCTTTCATCAAATCCAGGAAGAACCATCCCATTTTCAGTTCGTTCATAGTCTCTATTTCTTGCAGTGACTTTCTCCTGATGCGCTAAATACACTTGTCAGTTTAACACATACCTATCTTCAAGTTACCACTGAAGCACAGTGATGTCAAAGTTTAAACGCATAACTTGGCACCTACCAGCAAAGTGTGAATCAACAAATAAAATGGAAACACCATCAAATTGAACAGCAATAGCAGCGCTACCCTTATTTCCCAAAACATTGCCAATTCCAGTAGATATTCTTGAAGAGATGACTTCTGTAACCAAATCTGCTACATCAGATCGCACAAACACGGTTAAATGGATTCCACCAATACTTTCTGTGCATACTAGAGTATAGGCTGAAGAAAGAAAGCCGGCCAGCATTTTCTCCCATGTTTTTTTACGTGTAGAATCTACACCTTGTTGACATTCTTGGGTTGACACGGCAACAAAATGACATTCGTTGAATTTGGAGTGTGAGTCTGTTTGCATTGATTGTGACGCAGTCAAAGGATCATGAATGCCAAAAAGTGTAGCTAAATTTCCAACCGGCAGCTACAGTATGTGTTGGATATATTATACATGAATTGCCATGAATGAAATAATCAATATTGGAATGACTCGTGAACACAGATGATTGCAAGATTAAAACACTTACATGGCCATGAATATTCCATGTCACAACAAATACACGTAGCATATTTTCTGGATGTATAGGCATTCTAGCATCGGTAAATCCTTTTGTATGTGCCTTGACACTATCGACGATTTTTCGTTTTATTTGATGAATGGACAGTGAAACGGATTTCCGCCCTTTATTAAAAAATAAGATTATGTCAAGTATCTATACACATTCAAATAGTAAATGAGGAGTTGAACCACTTACATTCTCCAAATGCATGTGTGCCTTTTAAACGAGGTTCTAAACCACTCTGCGGTTGCGAGTTTCGTGAACCCCGACGATTCAATCCAAAAACAGCTGATGGATGACGTTGTGTATCTAACAGTAAATGAGTAAAGAATGTAATGATTTAAATCTACTGACAGTTATCAACACTACCTTGAGATGTGGAGATTTGAACAGGATCGATCGATCTCGAAGCAGGATAAGTACCTGGAAGCTAATTCAATGAATGCAATATGAATAAACGAATTGAATGCAAGATAATCAGATTGAAATTACCTCTGTTTGTAGAGATCCATACACAGTGTAACCATTTGAATCCAAGATGGAAGCAGGTTGAGTAGAACGAGTAATCTGAGTTGGACGAACAATACTCAGTCTAGGCAATACACTTGCTTTCAATCTTTTTGAATTGATGCCTGCCATGGACACAGAAGGATTCGACTGTTCTAAATTGATTGCAGTTTCCAAGACAGGAGAGTTATTGTCTGCACTCCGAGTCCAACTTGGATGACATGACATGGACGTATCTGTGGATGCATCGGTGGATGGAGTGACAGAAGATACTCTTTGGAGTGACTCGGGTTGGGAATGGCTGGTTACTGAGACATTTGAGACTACTGTAACAGGCTCAGGAGAGACCTGACCTGCTACAGCTTGTCTGTAATGTGGAACCAAGTATGAGAACACTGACTGTATGAAGCCAGCATTGGTCCGATCTCCACAACCTTCTGCAACTGTTTCTGAATTATTGTTTCTTATATTATTACTATCTAATAATGGATCCGTACTGTATCTGTCATCAACAGGGGTTTCTGGATGAGTTTGCTCAGTTTCCAAGTCATGATTAGCTGTGGATGAGGTGGATGGTGCTGTGAACATGAACAGTGAAGATGGTATTCGTAACTGAAACCACTCAGTTTCATATCATAAACTCTCTTTATTGTTGTGTCGTTTCGGTCTTGAATTGAATCGCAGATTGTGCATAAGCTATTGCTCCTGCACACTGTTCATTATCCTAACGCATACATTCCATGTCAACTCACGGTTTCATCTGATAAATGAATTCAATTTAAACTTGCCTTGTATTGGTTGATAAACTGCGATAATGATTGTTGAATTCGTATTACTGCTGATTGATCATGGCATGCATGTATGGATTGTGATATAATTGCTGCTGCATATCCTGCTGCTTCAACTTGCATTTCTGAGAGTAACATTCCAATGGATAAATTCCATTTGTTGGCCACATCTGACTCAAACTCTGATTCAAATAATGTCAGTATAAATCTTATACGCTAATCTAATCTAAACTTCTTACTCTTGTATGCCGTCTTGGATAGTACATGCTCCGATGCAAGCAGATGCGCGACTACTCGCAACTTCAAATCAAATGGTTAAAATCCATCACATACACTTAAAATCAGTTTACAACTTACTGCATTCTTGATAACTGGCCATTCAGCATCTATCCAATACTATACATCAGTATCTCTAATTCACATTACAAATCAAACTAAAAACTCAACTGTTTTTTTTGGAAAGTGCAATGGTTTGATCCATTGCATTCAAAAACTCGGAACTTGAAAATACCGTATTAGAAATAACCGACGCTAATCTATATATAAAATTCAATACACATCAACTAAAACTCTTTTTCAAAATACATTCTTACTGGTACGTTGATCCATCTTCAGACTCGGTGTATAATTGACCAAGTGTTTCCACAACTGTCACGTAATTCCCCACCAGTCTCATGCATTTCGATTTGACTATGTTGTCCACTCGGATACTGAATTGTAACGCAAATTAAATATCAATACCAATCCTTTAACACATCAAACATTCAAAACACTTTAACATACTCGAGTACAATCATGATGAGTGCTGTGAGTAAATCACATGATAAACCTGCTATGACATCCTGCCGAGAAAACATCTCCGAAGAAAGAAGTTCTAAACACACATTGGGCTGCTGATTCGCTTTTTTCAATACATTTAGCATCTCCTATCAAATTATAGATCAAATCAGCTACAAGTAAATCATCGAATTGTACAGATTCAATAAAAAACATCTGATACAAAATCTTACAGTGTTATGGCACGAGTCACTAAAGCGTCGCTTTAGAGGAAGCACAATCGATTCAGCGTCCGTTACCAACTCATTTTTAGGCGGTGTTGAATTCTTTTTTGTACTCGTAGAATTACTCATGGTTTGTTTAAATGCACGAGTTGGTGTCTTGGTAGGTGTACTGATCGTATCCAAAAGTGTCATTTGCTTAGCAACCTTTTTTTTCTTTGGGGTCTCAAATATGGAAGCAATGGGTTGAGCAGGTATTTCAACAGACACACAAGTCTGCTTGAATGGTGATTTCGTTGGCGTGCTTTCCAATGGTAACAAGTTGGGTTCAATGAGGTACCATTTGTGACGCTATATTCAGCAGCATAGTATACAGTAATCAGTCATATTGAAACAATTCGTGTCGATAGATGAATAAAACATACTGCATCATGTTTTTCCTTTTTACGAATGGCAATGGATCGGATCATGCTTTCAATCGCTGCTTTTGTCGCAGTGGGTACTAATGCCTTGAACTCATCAACGAGATCTGCGATTCGCGCCTCTCGCCCAGAAACCAACTAGCATCAAAATACAAACCTCGTTAGTTTAATATAATGTCACTCAATTGTAAACTATTGATTCACCTGGATAAGATCAGGCAAGTGTTCTTTAGGAAACATTGATTTTTGAGATTTGGGTGTTTTTTTGACTTGTACAATATCATCAGTATGCACCACTGTAGTATGATATGGGTCAATTGGTATTGTATAGTCTGTAATCATCGTCAAAAAGTGTCAAATTAACAAGCATCTCAACACTCTATATTGTCAATAAACGTATCCCAGTCAAAAATATACCTCCAATGATCTCGACTGTTAGCATGGAAAGTGGATCTGTGGCTGGAAGAGGATCGCTTGTGTTTGAAAAGTGCGGTCCGCTGATCACTGGAACAAGATGCACCAAGTTTTTTCGCTTTGACGGATTATCACCATTCATTTTGGGTTTTGTACCAGATGAATCACAACCAGGATCGTCTTCTTCAATTCCTTCATCGTCCGACAGGTATCCATGAGGAACGAGCCATTGATTCTAGTGCCAAATACATGCTAATTTAGCTGGATAAAAACAAAAAGCGATGTATAAATCGCAAATACTGTAAAAATTACCTCGTCTTCATCATCATCTGCAGTAATGTCTTCGTCTTCGTCCTCATCTTCAGATTTGAGTTCTTCGCCCGGCTCATCTTCCTCCCACTCAGCCTCGCTATCCACATCATATTCAAGTGTGGGTTCCTTGTTGCAAAATGGGCGTCTTCCAGTCACATACTTGCTTACTTTGGACCATGTTCCTAACCATAAAAATACAACAATAGTCGATTTATAATCATCAGTAACCCAATCCATCTCATCAAATTGCATTTTTATCAAACAACAATCATCATAGTATGTCTTTCACTCACCAAAATATGGAGGCCGAATGTTTTCTGCAAATCCAATCAGTTTCCATGTGCGTGATTGAAGTAAAATATTACCATCATCTGCCAAATCCAAATTACGCGGAAACCTCCTCACTGAGTGTATTTTTGACTTGTTGCTGCAAAATAACTTAAAATCTAATATGCCTAGACATGGCATATATTTAAAAAACATGAGTCAATGGATCGAATAATAGGAAATTAACTGACGACAGTATTACAAACTTACACGAGTTGATGTCTATTTCTGGAAAAGTGAGACCAATAGGAAACGGCTTTACATGCTCTAATGGATGAATTGATGATACAGTAACAGTTTCCTTTACGTGAAATGGTTGAAAGTATGACATATAGTCTGCATCTATATACATGTAATATATCAACATTAGTTGAATTTGTGGGTTACATGACGCAAAACACTGATTTAAACTATAGCAAACCAGCATAATTGACAAATATCAGTCGTACATTCACAAGCTATTGAGCCTCCTACAGTTTCTTTTTTTTCCTTGGACACACTAAACACAAACCCAGCAAGCGTTTTTTGGCCAGGCTGCAATGTCAAATAAGTCAGTTTGAACATCGTATACAAGAAAAACAGCAAAATACAGTTACACACGATTGTGGTAATAGACTGGTTCAACATACAGTAGCATTCTTTTTTTTCTCTCGTTCTTCCACTTCCTTGACTTCATTCAACTCTTTGGCTTCCTTGGAAGCTTTTCGTTCGGCATCCTAAAGCGCAAGTCATACACAAGTAGATGTTTAAAATACAAATATAATATAGACACGAATTGATAATGAAATGGATAGATTCAACCTTTTTGCACTTTTTAGCTGCTCGTTCCAATGCCTTTTCGTCTTCCTTGCGCTGTTTTTCAATAGCCTTTTCATTTTCTTTGCGTTGTTTTTCAGCAGCCTTTTCATTTTCTTTACGTTGTCGCTCTATATCTCTAGATTCCTTTTCCTTGATTTTGGCCTCCTGATAACAAACCAAATCAATGAATACATGACTGAACATTAAAGAAAGCTACTTGAGAGGAATACATCAAAACATTACTTTGGAGGAAGATCGAATCTCTGCGCCATCAGCTTTACGTTTAGTTCCAGGAGTCATGGAAAATAAACTAGCGCGTGCATCAGGAGACAAGTCTTGAATATACTTTTTCATGGCTTTACACGCAGTATCACGAGCTGCCATTCTTGTTTCAATAAGTTTGCGGATTTCTGGTTGAAAAAGATCCAGATGTTTGACTTCCCATCGAAAAACAGATACCGACTGAATAAGAATTGAAAATAGTTTGAGTCAATATGCAAGTGATGGATCACAACAAGAGTATGTGATGGGTCTTACTAATGGAGTTTCTCCATTATCCAGTTGAAACCCGTAGTTATTACGAGACGCAATTCGTACAATGCAAGATTCTAGCCATGCTTTGACCATTGACACCTCTACCATTTCAAATCATGTACGCATCAGTGAGTATCTCATGCATGATCAAACATACAATTTAAAAATTTAAATAGAATGTAATGTATCAATAGATATTAATCAGTATGTACCTCTGGTTGTTGACTGATTTTCAAATGTAATCGGACAAAGCTGATCAGTGACGGTTTTTAAAAGATGATGCAAAGTGAAAGACGAGTCTTGGATAAGCATGGCAATCAATGAATCGAATGTAGTTGATTGCGAATTTAAAATATTGGTAGGATCCGTTCTAAAAGCAAAGAATTTTGCCAATTCTAATATCATACAAATGCGTTACCAAACAGATTAGAAAAAGCCAGATTGTCATGCAGGTCAAATATGATTTAAAACTCGACAATAAAATGGATTCATGAATTCAAACCTAAAATAGTATATGGATGCTTGGATAAATGCATAGGTTTCTCTTTAAAGTCGATTTTGTTTTTGCGAATGTCCAGCAGCTTGAATTGTCCGAAATCGTAAGTTGACCAGTATCAAAAGTGATTTGAAAGTGATAAAAACAATAAGATGAATAGTAAACGATACCTTTTGGAACTCGACACATGGAAGCTGAGAAGACTTTTGTGGAGTTGATACATTTGTAATGGGTTGCTCAATCAGAGTGGATGCAGCAGAAAGCGCAGAGTCGTCGAGTGACTGAGGATGTTTGTTTAAAGAGTCCATAATAGTAGTATTTGTTAAAGGTATCGAAGCAGCAGTGTTATTAGATGAACTCATGGAGATATCATGATTAGTAGAACCATCTTCATGCATAGATCCGAGCATGTCGATTACTAAAAACTGATGTTGAAATTGACAGTTGAGCCGTAGTGAATGTAAAACGAAACTTTATTCTGTAATGATTGCTTTGGAATAAATAACGGCTGAATATTCACTGCTTTTCTACTGGAAATCGACGCTTATTGCACAATCTATGATTTTGGATTGAAATTGTCTTTATTGTACAATCACTCAATTCATTGTAATTCAACTGTTTTCAATACAACTCTCTACAAACTCTTGTATTTTAATCTCACATTCGCGCTCTAGTTTAAAAACCAATCATTGCATATCTCAGTAATGCAGCTATATATCCCAATCGTCAGAAAAAAACTAAAAGAAAGTGTTTTTCAGTCAACTCAACAGTCACTTTATGAGACGGACCGTTAGTTATAGACTCCCTTGTTTAATGCTTCATTCTGCGTGAATATGACTAATTATGAAGCAATCGGACGGGAATTTACAACTGAAATTACATCAATGTATTAGCATTATTGCTACAGCATTCATTTATTTACTATTATATATTTTACACAACAATTGATTATACCACTTCATGATTGCATCATTCAATCATACTCTACCAATCCAAATGTAGACAGATGTCATCGCCCTATATTTTATAAGTGAGCCCTGTGGTAAATCAGTGTATGATTCTAATCGTGTTTTGGATTTGATTTCCACCATCTACGCAATATCTTGGTCCGTTTGGATTTTCTTGAATAAACACTTTTGTAGTTGCATGCATCTACAGAGTCTTGTCGAGTCTGAATATCCATATAGATGCGTCTTTGAAACGAAGATTGAAAAAAAATAGGATCGCCAGATGTATGGGACATGTCTGCTACTTGGTCATCCGCAAAGCACTCGTCACATTTATTAAATGACGCTTCTAATTTGTGATGCATGCACTCTAAAGACTGTGTAGATACCCAGAAATCGTTGTCATGTGAAAGTAGTGGATCCACATAAATTGTATCCTTTAATTTAGCTGCCTGTTCTTCGGTCAAGTATGTGATATTGGCGTCTTCATTCTGCAGTTTGCGACGTATGGCGTGTATTCCCATACCATTTTGCCCAAATAAAGCATAGTTATCACATAAAGCAGCGTATATATCAACTGAACTTGTAGATTGGTATCCTGAATCTACTTGAGTAAGTGTCTTGGGTTGCATGGCGTGGTGTTGAGTAGAGTTTATTTGATACTGGACGCGACTTGTCGATATGTGAATGGGTTCTGGCATGTCATGACATTTGTCTGATGCAGTCTGTCGACTTTTACAGTATCCGAAATAAGATGCTGCTTTTTTAAAGAATCTGCTACAATTAATGTGTTTTGATTCTTGCATAGCGTGTCGTTGAGTATGCGAATGGATTGAATTGCTGCTGTTGAAACTAGTTTTGGCTTGAGTTGAAATAATAAAGCATGGTCACGTGGTTATTGGAGAACTCGAATGTTTAATTGCAAGAAACTTCAAAGCAAAAATTCAATCGAGAAAATTTGGCTGAAATCAGAATCAACTATTAGTAATCCTGTTTCTACAGCCATGAAGAGGTCATCTCTAGCTGCTTCAAGATTGAATTCATTGGAACAGTCAAGTAAAAAACAAGCACCTGAATTGGATTTGAATTCCATAAAAACAACTCCTTCTCGTACACACAGTTTTAATCATGCAAGTCATTGGAATATCAGCTCATCCATATTAAGTACTTTGGCAGCAGCACCCATTCATGAACAAGAAATCACTACAGAAATAAATCAGCATGCAGTTGAAATTAACTCATTCGAGCCTCGTGAGTCTGTTTGTCAGCATTTGGAACAGCAATGTGATCAAGCTGATGTTCCAGTAACTACGAGCCAGGGAAATCATGCACCAACTGATAATGGTTTACATGATAATCCTAATTGCTTCAACGACAATCAAAACATACCAAAAAGCAATCGGCTGTTTGGAATACCAGAAGCACCAGTATTCAGACCCACTGCAGAGGAATTCACTGATCCCATGGCATATATTGCTCAAATACGTCCATTGGCAGAAAAGACGGGCATATGCAAAGTGATTCCACCAGCTGGCTGGAAACCGTCGTTTGCGCTCGATACTACGGCAAGTACTAATTCATAATGGATTGTTTCTATCAGAAAATATAATATTCATGACTACTTCAGCAGTCATGATGAATGGCTTTATTCGCACTTTCCTTTTGCTTTAATTGTTCTGGAAATATGAGAAATTTATCAGCATAATCAGTTGATTCGACAGAATATCATTCGCTAACACTTTACTTGAATTTCTTTATATCGTTGTGGTTTGCATAATCTGATATGGAATGGCTCTTCAACTCTACTTTTTTTCAATATCCGACTGCTTGCATATATATTTAACTGGTGCTGCCATGTATATCTCTTGATCTACAATCCAATTTCTCTATTGTCAATTACCAACATTTAGAGATTTTGGTTCAAAACTCGCATGCAAGAGCTCAACTCTCTTGGCGGCAGCTCCCGTACAGTTCTCAATTATCTTGATCAGCTACAGAAATTTCATCAACAGCAAGGCACTCCATTCACGCATATTCCTACTCTAAACAAGAAACCTATAGACTTGCATCAACTAAAGTTGGAAGTTCAAAAACGAGGTGGCTATGAACAGGTGTCTGCATCTAAAAAATGGATCGAGGTTGGAACTGAAATGGGAATGGATCGAACCACGTGCACTTCGCTCTCGCATAGTATTCGACAGGCATATTTAAAATTTATTCTTCCGTATGAAAAGTTTGTCGAAAAGCATCAAAAGTCGGATCATAGTTTGAGTTCAACTCCAATCTCCTCCGATACGGCTTCTGCCAGCACGTTTGGAAGTCAGATAAGGACTAGAGCAAGCCGTCAAGAAAACAAGGACGATATGTTGAAATCCGAGTTATCAGATTATTCGACAGAACCATCTACAAAACGATCATCTACTCGACGAAACACAGCTTCAAATATCATATCCTTTACCGACCATTCAATGAATGTGGACGATTCTGAATCTGATGATGACTATTGTGATCCCAATAGACGCACGAGTCGCAAATCACGTAGGTCAATTACATCACAGTCCATGCCAGGCACCACTTCCCAAGCAAATAACTCGGCTTCTTTGAGACAATCTAGTCGCATATCTACTGTCTCGTCTTTTTCTGAATCAAAAAGTCAAACTCCGGATGATGACGATCTTGAAGATCAGGCTGATAATTATACAAAAAATAGCTCAGAATCAGAAAAGGAAACCACATCCATTAGCACTACTCGAGGTCGTGCCAAGCGGCCAATCAAAAAAACACAATTTTATGGTAAGTAGGGTTAGATGCATCAAAGTTGTACTCCATATGAAGCTGATGGTATATTCATGTATAATAAATTTAGATGCTGGTCCAGCCAAGGGAGCTGCCATCATAAAACGCGAGGCGGTTGCTTTAGAAAAAGAGCTTGCCAAAAAGGCAAGACGAAAAAAATACGGCAAGGTGGGATACTGATTGCCTGTACATTTGTATTGTCCATATTATTTGTCGACATAGTACTAATACTATTTGTATATTTTGGGTAGACTTGCAAAATTTGCTCACGTGAAGAGTTGACACAAAAAATGCTCAAGTGCGAAGATTGCAAAATACAGGTTCATCCGAAATGTTTAAAACCTCCATTGAAAACTATTCCTCGAGGAGAATGGTACTGTGCAAAATGTATTTTGGTATCCGGTAACGATTATGGATTTGAGGATCGCAAAAAGCTTCGTTCACTTTCCGAGTTTCAAAAGGTTGCCGACAAATTCAAAGCGCAGTGGTTTCATACATATTGCGACGAACAGGAAGAGTTTGTTGTTTATGAAGATGACATTGAAAAAGAGTTTTGGCGCTTGATCGAGTCTCCTTATAATGATATCGAAGTGGAGTACGGTGCTGATTTACATTCATCTCACCATGGCAGCGGGTTTCCTACTGCTGAAAAGCAACCCTTGGATCCATACTCAAGCTGTGGATGGAATTTAAACAATATTCCTATTTTGCCTAAATCTCTATTCTGTCATATTCGCAACGACATTTCCGGTATGATGATCCCGTGGCTTTATGTGGGCATGGTGTTTTCTACCTTTTGTTGGCACACAGAAGATCATTTTTCATATTCTATCAACTATCTTCATTGGGGCGAAACAAAAACGTGGTACGGTGTGCCATCATCCAATGCACAGAAATTTGAACATGTGATGCGAGATACTTTTCCAGAGCTATTCAAGCAAAACCCAGATCTTTTGTTCCATATCACAACAATGCTTTCTCCCAAAAAGCTAGTTGACAATGGAGTTGAAGTGTTTGCACTGGATCATCATCCAGGCGAGTTTGTGATTACATTTCCTAGATCGTATCATGCTGGCTTCAATCATGGCTTTAATTTTGCCGAAGCAGTGAATTTTACTTTACCGGACTGGATTCCATTTGCTGCTCAATGTGAGCATGAATATCATTTATATGCCAAACAGCCTGTATTTTCGTTGGATGAGTTGCTGATTTCTACAGCCCGGACTAAAATGACAGAAGACTGTGCAATATCTTTACGCGACTCGTTTGCTCAAATGCGGCAGAGAGAAATTGATGGACGACACAGTGTGATATTCAACTGCAAAATTCAGATTGTTAAAGAAAAAATAGGCGATCATGCCTCGGATGATGACCAATGTAGAACGTGTAAGCGGTACTGCTACCTTTCAAGAGTATCCTGTGAACGATGTCCAGGCCATGTGTCTTGTTTTGCGCACGTGTCAAAGCTCTGTGAATGCGAAAAACCTGCTTTAGTCTTGCAAATGCGGTATACGGAAGAAGAACTAGCAAGACTGGAAGCTCGTGTTTGTGCAGTTGCTGAAAAAACGCCTTCATGGAGAAATCGACTAAAGAGTATGCTATTGGAAGCCACATCTCCACCACCGTTAAAGTCTTTTGTCAAGCTACTTAAAGAGGCTCAACATATGCCTGAAGTACAGGCCGAGGTTGCCACTCTTACTCAATTTATTGATCAAGCAAATGCATGGGTTAATTCCGTTAAACAAGTTGTCCACAAACCTAAACGACACTCTGTCAAGTCTAATTTCTTGCTCCAGCATACTACAAAATCAGATCGACCCACTCTGAGCCATATCAAGTGTTTGTTTGAATCGTCCAAAACGCTTGCATTTGATTCTGCCGAGTTGAAGTTACTGCAGATTTTGTATATCAAAGTCACCGAGTACTGTAACATGGCTCAAAAAGTGCTAGATGAGCTTCCGAACGTGTCGGATGATACTTTGGAGGCAACGTACAACTCTGGCCAAGCAACAGGTGTAGCTACACTACAACAGTCTGCTATTCACTTGGTGATGAAGCAGCGATCATGGCAGACCCGATGCTCATGCACTATCCATTCATCCAAGGGCGTGACATTGGAGAATGTGCAAAAGTTGTTCAAGGAAGGTATCGACTTGAGCATTCCTCCCACTGACTCTATTTTGTCCATGTGTCGCGACCAAATCAAAACAGGCGAAGCCTGGGTTGTAAGGGCTACACAGCTGCTCAACGACAAAACAATCACTTTGGATATACTCGATCAATTTTTGTTGGACTCGAAAAATGAGAGATTTAGTTCAACTGTGTATGATAAACTACAAAGTGTTTCCGAGTCTGCTCATGCATGGGTCAGTCGTGCACAGCCTTATATCGATGCAATTCAACAGAAACGTAACAGTCATACATCTGTGCCAACACATCAGGCCAATATGGATGAACTACAGGCGCTGGTGGCCGATGGTAATCTGCAATCCTTTCCACCACCCCATTTTTCATTAGTTACTGAAGCAGTTGCACAGGCCAATCAATGGACAATACGAGCACGTAGAGCATTTGTTGGTAAATCGCATCAAATTACCGACTCATTAATTGAGCTCATTACTGAAGCCATCGAGTCCTCTCCACCTGTATTGAATAGCGAAAGCGATCCCTTGTGTTACTGCATTTGCCGTAAACCTGACGAACGTGGATTTATGATTGAATGTGATCGCTGCAACACATGGTATCATGGTCAATGTATCAAAACTTTTAAAAAAGAAATACAGAATGGCATTCACTTTGCATGTATTGTTTGTGATTCAGATTTTACCATCCAGAGGGCCAATCGACGACCGCCTTTGGAACTGCTGCTTGCTGTTAATGCAGAAGCCAAGAATCTTGAACTTGTACCAGTTGAAGCTGGACTGCTGAAAACATTGGTAGACATGTATACTGCCTGGAGAGTACGCGTAGATGCTGCATTAACCTCTCATCCCATTGATCACGATCTTGTACGAAAATTTCTGCGGTGTGCAGAAGGTTCTACCATTGGAGATTCGGTTTACATTGCACGCATGAGACAAGTATTATTTGGAATCGATATACCGGAAAAGTATGCTGCAATCGTACAAGCCATCACAAATGCCACGAGATTGTACTGTTTGTGTCGAAGACCGAATGGAAACGAATTGCCCATGATTGGATGCGATACGTGTGACGAATGGTTTCATTTTGAATGCGTTGGATTGTCAGTGCTAGAAGCTGAAGCGATCAGTAAATACATGTGTCCCAACTGCCGTACTAGGCAACCGTTGAAAGCAACTCTACAGAATAAGAAACGACCACGCAAGTCAACGGATACGTTTTCTGCAAAAAAAAGGCTTTCTGTCGTGACGGCGTTGGTAGATAAAGTGTCTTCTCCCAGCCCTGTTGCTACCAACGGACCCAAAAAGATTACGCTAAGGTTTAGTGGATTACAGATTGCAGCTGCCAATGCTGCTAGTCACTTGGCGTCTGCGCTCTTGCCATCATCATCTAGCTCTGTTAATTTAGCCACTTCTACAAATGCACATCCATCATATAGCAATACGGTCGGTAGTTCAACTCCAGCACATACAAATGCTTTACCCATTCGATTGAAGTTGTCTGATGCATCACAGTCTGATGCTCGGTCTAGCCCTGCATTAGTTTCTATACCCACTGATGCTTTAGTTTCTGAAATTGCACCAGAAACAAAACCTGTAGTTTCGTATCCTTCCGTTATATCTGCTGAATCAGCTTCTACTAATCATGCCACAATCTGTGCCAATTCTGCTAAACCTGCGATCAATACTAGCGCAGCTTCACTATTTCCCGCTGATAATTCTTTTATAGACATTGCTTCTTCTGACCCCAAGATAGATTCAGCAGTGAAAATGCCGCTTGTTGATGAGCCAATCGCTCAAGAGTCGTCTGCATTGATAGTAGCCACAAAAACACCTATTGTAAAGCCCAAATCTTCTCGAGTACGTGTTCCTGGAGTCAAACGAGCAGATCAGATCAAAGCCGCTGAGTTGGAATCACTGCAGAAAACACTGGGTTCTGTTCCGCCGACACCAAGACCAACTCCTCCTTCGGTGACTTCATTATCTGAACTCCTGCCTCACACACCAGCATTTTTGCCACATTCAGACACGGCATTATCTTCCAACTTGGGTTCAAGCACACGGAACAGCCTGACAGTATCTGGTATTGATTCAGAAATGGGTCTAGGATTGCTCCCAGATACTCCAGATCTAATACTACCACAACCTGAGCCAAATTTGTCAATCCTATTGTATCAAAATGTTGACCACAACGATGCGGTTATCCAGCATGCACAGCCTATACAAGATATTTCTGAAATGCCTATACAAAAGCCGTCCCAAGAATCGTATGATAAGATGACCAATGCAAAGAATCGACCACAAACCTATAAAATCAATCATGGCAATGAACCATCAAACCAACACCACACGACATATAATCCACAGCTTGTGAATATGTCATCTTATCTTTCACAAAGCGACGTGTCTTCATTTACATATCACCAGCCCGTCATGATATCACCCTACATTCAACCCGTAGCGCATGTGTACCCACCAGTGAGCTATACACCATCAACATTGAATGGAAATTCATCATTTGTATACGATGCACTGCAAGTGCAGCATCCAAAGCAATAACGAAAGTTTAAAAAACACACTGTAATTACATTATGTTGCGGTTTATATTTAAAATAAAGTATGATGAATATAAACCAATTAATGACCCTTGTTAAAATCGGACTACTAATTGATTCGATTGATATTCAATGTTTTCCAGCCATCAACTTGTAGTTGCTAATTTGGAATACAGCCATATTTACGTAGAATGAAATATTAAACTAGAATACATGATAAACAGTCATGCTTGATTGGTATCAATCTTACTGGACAATATTGTTTTTAAACTACTGAATGAATGTTGACATCAGTCATCACACATCCTTGACATTTTTCCAACTCAAATACTTGGTAGTCATGAAAACAACAGTTGCATTCCCGAGATATGTTAAACTAGAACACATCTGATATTAGAATAGAATTTCAATAAAAGAAATATTTAACAACGATTGTTTATTCCAAGACCATCACTACAAGATAAATATAGAAAAGTATTTCATTTTATGTGAATACGATTATAACATGGCATTTCCACTGTATGCATGGATGCCTTCTCTGACTCCACAAACTACTGCCAGAATTGGATGGTATAAAGACTGCATTCCCAAATCTACATCAGACCAACTGAACGACATCCACAACCTATTCACACACCAGGTAGTCTGCAATGTGTGATGCTTCATTATTAAACGAATGCATATCTGACCACTCTATTATTAGCAAGAACAACTATGGGAACCTGCCATTCCACTTGGCGTGGAGATGGCTATTGATGCCACACATATCAACAAATCAGCATCCAATCGAGACGGAAGCGATAGAAACCATGGTCATGCCATGAATATGGTGCATCAGGATGGTCATCATTTAGATACAAGTGCAAGATCTATCCTTCATGCAAGTTGAATGTACTTTTCTGCTGTAAACGTACTGGGCTTTAAATAGTCAGTCTAATCTGTTATGGTGTGTATGTAGGATAATAGTGTTCGGACAGAGGAATTAGTGGAAGATGTGAATGATCGATACCTTTCATATGACACGGAATTGGAAGAATTCGAGGCAGATTTAGACTATCCATCTATCCATTCTGACGATCAGCAGATGCATGCCATGAGCCAGATGACCTCCACTTTATCTGCGTATTCAAATGTCGAGATCTTGGATGGACTGCTCGACGACATGATTGCTAATGATAGTGAATGGACATATGCCGGTCATCACTTAATGCATGATACTAAAACTGAGGTTGTGGAGGATTTATTGGATGAAGATGTAGACGTAACCGATGTTGAAGCATATCGTGACCGTGTCTGGCATCAAGACAACTAGATGGCTCACTCTGGTCTGGGTTATAATAGCCAGGCTTAATGATTGCAAAACGTATACTCATTAAACTGCTTTTATTCAACATATTTTACATTTGTATTCAACTTTAATGCATCATGATTAGATCCTATTCAACATTGTCACTCATACAGTCCACAATCAACTTGAAAAGTCTTTATTTGTCATCATCATCAATCGATATAGATCGCTGCCATACAATATTGTTTTCGTGTTGATCAGGTTGAGATAATACTGGCAATGCAGCGGTTCGCCACGACATGTAAGCATTTTTTGCAACATTAGCCTTTTGATCTGGATAAGCTATTTTTGGCAGCTGATCTTGCGATTTTTTGATAGGTGTCATGGCTTGAAAGAGTTTTGATACACCACTGCTGATGTGGTTTGACGTGGCAAAGAAGTTGGATGTAATGGGAGTGTGATAGGTTCCTTTGATTGTAACCTTTTTTGTATCAGTAAGCTGACTCAATGCATTAGAGTTTGACTCGGATGGTACGGACACTTGTTGCATTTTGGATTGATCAGGATCGTCATTCATCTCATCAGATGTTGGAAATGAAGGCTTGGATTCAGGAGGCTCCAGATTTTTATTTTTGTCAGTTGTAGACGATTCCAGTTTATGTCGCTCGTCATGGTGTATAGTGAATCGACGTGCTATTGTCGCAAGACCAAACATGGGCATGATCGGTATACTTAAAGCTGGATCACTCAATGTTATTTTTTCACCAGTGATATCTTCAGTATTAGGTTTTATCTCTGATCCAGTAGCCACATACGTTTTCCGTCGAAATAAGTTACCCAACCCAAACGATTTTTGGGGAGTTTCTACGGATATGGTGTGGTATTCCAATGCCTTGGATATTATAGTTTCCACGTCGTTGGTGGGATAATGTTGAAGAAGTTTAAGGCTGTCATTAAAGGGTGTTGAAAGAAGCTCGCTTCTTATGCCTGTAATCATGGCGCAAGCAAACTCGATTAAAAACTCGGATTTGTTATGATGATCATGCGATATAATGCTTGTATCTTGATCCAACAAGAGCGTTGATTCAAAACGACTGTGATGGTGACTGTAGTCTGTAATGTCAAGAGAGATATCTGCAAAAAGCGTATCCCATATTCGGATTACGTCTGGTAGTGGAAACTCTTGGGTAAAGAGTACCGAAAGCCATCTAAATGCGAAAAACACTGGCTCGAGTTTTTTGCGAACCTAAAAGCATAGTGTAACATATTGTCTAGAGTTAGTTTACAGCAAGTAAATAATATCAACTTTTACCAATTTTAATCCATTTACCAAATTACTATAAAGTTCAGGATCCACCCAACTTAGTAAACGAAACAGACGATTCATGCTCTCTCCAATACCAGTTTCTTGCGCGTGTTCTGAATCAGAATTCACTGCCAGTGTCAACGAATCAATGGACGCAGTCGAATAACTAGATAGTATACTTGAGCGTTGCTTCATATTATCCAAATGTCGGATGAAATGGTCACGGAATTTCGACATGAGTGCTGTGAAAAGGAAAAATGTATCGGCCTCTGCATGGGCTTTTGATTCTTCGTCCGGATCGTTTGCTATCACATAGTACAGTGAACCAAGAATCTCGTTCATGCCTTGTACATACCCGATTCCTGGATTAAGCTTGGCGTATATAAAAAGAATTCTTTCAATAGCTTCCCAATGCAAATCTGTCAATACGGTGTCTTGATTTGAGCCAGACTCGCTAGTGTTGGATGCATGCGTTCGCTTTACACCTCGCTGTCTTGCTCCAAACCCTTCCTGATGTTTGTGTGAATCTAAAAAATCAAACAAGGCTCGACCTGAATGCACTGGAGGAAACCCGCTGGTTGTATCTGGAATGGCAATTGGATTTAATGGCGAAAATTTAGACTTGAGAATTGGTAGCTGAAAAAATGCCAAATCTGGTAAAGTACGACGAGCATCCATATCAATTTGCTCTGTTATTAAAAATATCAAGTTTAGTTATAAACTCGTGGATTAATCGATCAAACAGCTTCATGGTTATTCACAGAACGAGTATTGACAAAAACAGTATTTTCTTACCGAGAATAGCAATCTCATCTGGATGGATAGACAGTTGTGGGCTTTGGCCACTGCCTAATGGCTAAATCTCATTCATTAACCGTTTAAGAAATCATACAGTTGTCAGTATGTATTTTTCGCAATATTAACAGTCCAATCTAAAAACATACATGGTCATTGGCTGCATCTTGGTTTACGTTTGAATCTGGTAACCCCAACATGGCGTCTTGGTCAGATGGCGACTCTTTTTGATCCGTTCTATATTGACCCAACAGCTCATTTACAAACGAGTAGTATGCTCCTCTTTGCTGTCGTAATATACGCGGCCAGTCTAATCGTTTATAGAATGGCAAATACCCTAGCAGCAATTTCCAGCTTTGTTGTCGAACACTTGCTGTATCGGGTATACCTATTCAAAGTTTATTCTCAACGAATTATGTTTGCTCGTTTCTTTTGAAGTTGTAATTAGATAGTAGTTATTTGAATATGCATTTACCATTTAGACACAGTGTTCTGAATTCTTCAAAGTTGTTGTCAGGAGGTAGCCGGACTGCACCAACATACAACTCAAATAGTGCATGTCTGTTTGCAACTCGAGTGAATTTAGTTTCAGTATCTCATACATATAAGCACTTGTAAAAGTCACTAGCAATGGCTAGCTGGATAGATTATACGTGGCACATTAGCTACTTTTTGCCTACCTATCGCTATTCTTCAGATCCATTTCGACTTTTCATTCAAGGTCAAGCGCGTTGTATTTCAGCTGTATTCATATAAAATGAAGCACTAAATCATGCCAGTGCATAATAAAGTCAGTTTCATGAAATGATAATATTTACTAAAAATTCACTAAAAAGCATTGTCTTTTGAATTACTTATGGCTGGTAACAAAGGATGTGAGAATGGAGAGATGAAAATTGTCAGCAACCGTTATATGGCTTGAAATAGTATGTCAGCTGCCAAAATAGCTCAACAAACCATATTCCCAGTACTTGAATTAAAGACATAAAGTTTATGTATGCTTGATGTAGGACAAATTAACATTATATATCGCTGTTTCCTCACGTTCTGCCCAGATTACTGATAGTGCCCAGTTTGAAATTGTATCTTTTCTGCAAAGAATCTTTAAAAAACACTTGCCAAAAACCCATACGTGACCATTCAAAACTGGCTTACTATTTAATAATAAAAATGCCAATAAAGGCCGACTTCTCATTCATTACAGATCCTCAAACTAACCACAAATAGGTCATGTCAAAACAAGATTCACCGATACGTTTCTGTGTTTCTAAAGCTAGAGTTGTCAGCAACAGCTGCTTTATGTGCCTTGTATTCCATTACACAATTCGCAGGAAGACTTAAAACTCTTTTGAGAGTATCACGGATACGAAGATTGATCCGCCCCTCATCGGCGGATTTATTCCACAGTGAGACAATATCTTCGCTGTGGCGAATAGAGACGACTGCACCACAGATTTCATCGCCAACGTCGAATTGATCACCAACAATGGCAAGAAGTAGATCCTCCCAATACCGAGATGCAATTCCTTTTTTCAGTCGAATCTACATGATTAAAAAGGTCAAACCATCAGTAGATGTATAGAAATAAAACAATGCCATTGAATGAGACATACAATCCACTTTCCGCCAGTCAAGTTATCCTATAATGCAATAAAATCAAAATGATGATATAAAAATCAGATGCGGATCAATGCTAAAATTGAATAGCCAGTTCCATTGCTTTTACCTCCCAAATAGGTCGAATACCCTTTTTGAAGAAATGATAATCACTAATATTGGAAAGCTCTCCAGGTCGCTTCATGTGACTAAAAGCACCCCAAAACTCTTCAACCTAGTCATGAGTATGTTTAACAATAGAAAGAGTTTAGTCCATATTAGGGATTAAAATAAATAAACAAGATTGAGATACGCACAGTTGAGAATGTACAGACATGCTTGATTTCGTTGGTATAGTCCTGAATTTTTGCTCCAGGGGATCTGTGCATAAACCTAATATTTAAATCAACAGAGACAAAGGCAACTTTAGTACGCCGATTGAATGTAGTATTAACCAGCATTGGTTTAATAGTAAAATATGAATCATATTGAATGTAGGATTGAACATAGATCATAACTGCCATTCTTTGAAGTCGATGGTGTATTTCTACAGGCTCAAAGCCTTTAAGCAACAAATTCGAATGCCCATAATGGTAAAATATACTACCAATGCAACTATCCAATAGGCTTGGTAAATATAACAAGATCGTCAGCAAATCGTGGCTCTAGCAGCATAATAGTAGCAGCTTGTGCCTCCCGACAGAATGGATGACTAGTTGGACAATATAAATGGCCAGTGATTGAATGGTAAATCCATACGAGATAAAACACAGCTCAAATAGAGTAGCCATACTATGGTAGACTCCATACTGATGACAAGACAATATGGATTCCAACATTGAAGAAAAAACGACCGACACACCAAAAAACCCAAGAGTAATGCAAGGCATGGAATTCAGACGAGGAGTGACTAGAAGCCTGAGTATCTTCATCAGGGATAGAATCGTTGTTTGTTGTAACAACACTAGTTTCTAGACTGGTTGCCATGATGGTGATTAATTGAAGGAATTTCGGTGAGAAGAAAACTAAAACATGCGACTTGCAGTGTTCAATTACTGACAAACTGCGAGCACTCGAAAGACTAGAAACTGAGAATCGGTTGTTTCCACTTGTTTCTTTTACTTTTCATCGATCAACTCATTACAAATGTTACAGTTTTGAACAGAGTCTCACTTGTTATCTTTGTAAAGATCCAATTATAAACATCTGTAATGCACAACAATCCATTGTCTGGCTTACTCAACTATTTTGCTATAGCCAAGTATCACTATTTACAGTTCTGATTTCATTGTCAAAATAAAAGCATATTCTGACATAATCAATAAAAGCTTAGTCTGCAAATAACGAGTAATGGCAAAGATGGCTTGTCATTGTGCATAATCCTATCGTGAGATTTTTGGTGTATTGTTCACTTATAATGCACCATTGAAAAATCACACAAATCAAAACAACTAAAACGCAACAAGTAACGCATTCTGAATCCCGCGTATGTAGATTAACTATGGTTTATAGGCTTGTGTATTTTATCAAATATTACGGAAAAGCCTTGTAATCTGTGCATTATTGGGTAATCCTGTAAAATTTGATTATTTCCCAATCTAACCTTTGTGTAAATGTATCAAGTTTAATTCCAAAAACTATATAAACCCAGCTGTATTCGCCCTATTTACTCCCCATCACTCTTGCAACTCAAAGCTTAATTACAAACTGTTTTAAACCTCTACTATCCTTTTTAATTGGCAATCTGTTGCTATTTGATATACATTCTACACCAACTACGATCTGATAATGCTATCTCTTATCAAAACCATCTGTCTTGCGGTTGCTATGACCGCAGGGTTTTCCCGTGCCATTCCTGTACTGGACTCTGATTTTACTGAAGACATTTCACTTGTGCAGACTGAGGCCCGAACAGTCACTAGTACACCGTGGCCATCTCGTGTTTTCGCGCCATACTGCGATGTGCTGCTCTGGCCCACGTTTGATATTTCCAGCACTGCTGCAGCCGTCAAAAACAAACACTTTACGCTTGCATTTATCACTGCTGATGGCGGTGGTAAAGCATCATGGGGTGGTATGGTTCCACTGGCTCAAAACTTTTACTCTCAATACATTAGCCAACTAAGACAGTTGGGTGGTGATGTCATTGTCTCGTTTGGTGGTGCTAATGGTAAGTCATTGTGTAGTAAACTGTAGATTGATACTGGCTATACGCGACTTTTATATCTATGTTGCTGTCTACATCTGTTTTGGAATACTGGATATTTCCATAATTTCGGACCTGGTGTATGATGCTTGATATTTTTTAATTATATCAAGTATCATATTTCAATATTCTGATGCATTGTATTGATCTAAGCGTCTTGACTAACTTGAGTAGGATGTGACGATTCTATTATAGGACAAGAATTGGCGTTAGTATCCAGTAATAACCTGGTGGCTGAATACAAATCAGTCATTGACATGTATAGTCTGACCTATGTCGACTTTGATATCGAAGGAGGTGCACTGTTCAATAGTGCTGCCAACACTCGTCGTGCCCAAGCTCTTGTCCAGATTAAAAAACTGTATCCCAACATTAAAATTTCATACACGCTTCCCGTTCTACCAAGTGGTTTAACAGCAGAAGGCGTTGCAATCTTGAGTAACGCTGCCGCCAACGGACTGGTGATCGATGTGGTCAATATTATGGCTATGGATTATGGATCTGGACCAGCACCAAACGGAGCAACTGGAATGGGTGGATATGCCATCTCAGCTGCCAAAGCCACCTATGCTCAAGCCAAACCTATATTCCCATCCGTGACTATTGGTGTTACACCCATGATTGGCGTAAACGATGTGCAAGGCGAAGTGTTCCGTGTTGAAGATGCCGCACAATTGACCCAATTCGCACAGTCTACTTCATGGATCTCGCTACTGTCATTCTGGTCTATCAATCGTGATCATGGTGTGATTGGTCCACTTTTTGCTTCGAGCCGAATCCAACAAAGTAAATACGATTTTGCTACTGCCATGCTACCATTTGAATTGTCTGCATCAGTTGCAAAAACTCCAGTTCCTGCACCCAAACTCCCACTTGCAAATATTCCAGGACTGTACAACTGGCCATCTACCGTATTTGCTCCAACCATCGACACTACTGCTGCCAATGCTGCAAACATTGTGACCATGGCCACAACGGTTGGTACCAACATGTACAATCTTGGATATATTGTTGCTGATGCCAATGCAAACCCAAGTTGGGGAGGTGCACATGGTCTACCCGAGTCGTGGTATCTTTCTCAGATCCAGCAGGTGCGCAACTTTGGTGGTGACGTGATGGTGTCGCTTGGTGGACCAAATGGTCAGGAATTGGCTCAAGTGATCACCAATCCATCACAGCTTAAAAACCAGTACCAGAACATCATTGACTCGTATTCGATTTCATGGCTCGACTTTTATCTTGACGGTGCAGCTCTGACTAACCAAGCATCGATTGATACTCGCAATGCTGCCATTCGTGGACTGCAAGTTGCCATGCCTAATCTGAAAATCACATACACCCTTCCTGCCACAGCATCTGGTCTATTGGACAATGCAGTCTATGTCCTGACATCAGCATACAATGCAGGTGTCCGAGTTGATGTTGTGAATGCTCTTGTTGCACCAGCAAGTGTGGGAGCAACTCTTGCTTCAGACACGACTCCAGGTGCATACACGACGGCAGCAGTTCAGGCAGCTTATGCTCAAGCTCAAGGAACTGGTTTATTGTACTTCAAGATGGGTATCACACCAGTCATTGCTAGCCAAAACTTTGGTGGCAAGACATTCGGAAGCAGTGATGCCAATGTAGTGCTTCAATTTGCACGATCGACCAGCTATGTTACATACATGTCGTACTCGACAGCCAACACCGACTCTGAAAGTCAGGTTGTAAATGTTTTGCGTCGCTATGGAGTTTAAAGTGTTGGTCGAATACTTTAAAATGTCCAGTTAATGTCTATTTGACAAAGTCCAGCTTTTGTTTTTGTTAAAATGCTGTCCATTCCAGCTTATGGATTTGTTTTTTGTTTGATATGCTATATTCTTGAAATAAACTTTTCATTAATCAACTTGGTATTGCTTAATCATGGGTGTAGATGTATATTTATTTAAAACTTTTTGCAAGCTTTAGATTGGATATTCAACTGTTGCAAGTATGCAGCCAAAGTGTATCATAACGTATCAATTGCACCGACTCTGCCTTATCTTTACTTTGACACCCAAGCTTACTTTTTGTAAATAAATTTAAAGTATTTTTGCGAGTTTTGATAATGACAACAAGCGTAGCTAAGTATTTGGTAAAACACTTTGAGAAGTGCTCTCATTGTTACAAGATCTATAATCTGAATTGCATGTGAAAAATAAAAGTCGACAATGTCTGGTGATTGATCTTGTTCGAATTTAAAACAGAGAATTGCATCACGGATAATTATATGCAGTGCTGAGATATTGACTATTATAGAAACAACTATGTGCATGATCTTTGCATTAAAAAATGATTGTTTTATTTATTAGCTAAATCATATTGTATTTTAAATACAATCGGTAAATATTAGACAATCATGTCGACTTTGAAAGAAACAAATGGCCATTCCATCAATAATTGTAGTCAAGATTTTAAAAAACAGTCGATAATTGGATAATGCTTCCGAATTATAATGAGCACAATGTGAATAAGCTGGAAATATTAATATGCCATAATAAATTTACAAATCTCGTCAGCTTTTGAAATGATTCGTCGATTTTACAATTGTCATTCAGAATAAAAATAAGCATTTCAAATAGTTTTGATTGGTCAAAAGTATATCAAGTTTAATTCCAAAAACTATATAAACCCAGCTGTATTCGCCCTATTTACTCCCCATCACTCTTGCAACTCAAAGCTTAATTACAAACTGTTTTAAACCTCTACTATCCTTTTTAATTGGCAATCTGTTGCTATTTGATATACATTCTACACCAACTACGATCTGATAATGCTATCTCTTATCAAAACCATCTGTCTTGCGGTTGCTATGACCGCAGGGTTTTCCCGTGCCATTCCTGTACTGGACTCTGATTTTACTGAAGACATTTCACTTGTGCAGACTGAGGCCCGAACAGTCACTAGTACACCGTGGCCATCTCGTGTTTTCGCGCCATACTGCGATGTGCTGCTCTGGCCCACGTTTGATATTTCCAGCACTGCTGCAGCCGTCAAAAACAAACACTTTACGCTTGCATTTATCACTGCTGATGGCGGTGGTAAAGCATCATGGGGTGGTATGGTTCCACTGGCTCAAAACTTTTACTCTCAATACATTAGCCAACTAAGACAGTTGGGTGGTGATGTCATTGTCTCGTTTGGTGGTGCTAATGGTAAGTCATTGTGTAGTAAACTGTAGATTGATACTGGCTATACGCGACTTTTATATCTATATTGCTGTCTACATCTGTTTTGGAATACTGGATATTTCCATAATTTCGGACCTGGTGTATGATATCTACCACTAAATCACTCATCAGCCCTTTAATACCCAAAAGTGTTGACTAATCGCTTTTCATTATAAAATTAATAGGACAAGAACTGGCGCTAGTATCCAGTAATAACCTGGTGGCTGAATACAAATCAGTCATTGACATGTATAGTCTGACCTATGTCGACTTTGATATCGAAGGAGGTGCACTGTTCAATAGTGCTGCCAACACTCGCCGTGCCCAAGCTCTTGTCCAGATTAAAAAACTGTATCCCAACATTAAAATTTCATACACGCTTCCCGTTCTACCAAGTGGTTTAACAGCAGAAGGCGTTGCAATCTTGAGTAACGCTGCCGCCAACGGACTGGTGATCGATGTGGTCAATATTATGGCTATGGATTATGGATCTGGACCAGCACCAAACGGAGCAACTGGAATGGGTGGATATGCCATCTCAGCTGCCAAAGCCACCTATGCTCAAGCCAAACCTATATTCCCATCCGTGACTATTGGTGTTACACCCATGATTGGCGTAAACGATGTGCAAGGCGAAGTGTTCCGTGTTGAAGATGCCGCACAATTGACCCAATTCGCACAGTCTACTTCATGGATCTCGCTACTGTCATTCTGGTCTATCAATCGTGATCATGGTGTGATTGGTCCACTTTTTGCTTCGAGCCGAATCCAACAAAGTAAATACGATTTTGCTACTGCCATGCTACCATTTGAATTGTCTGCATCAGTTGCAAAAACTCCAGTTCCTGCACCCAAACTCCCACTTGCAAATATTCCAGGACTGTACAACTGGCCATCTACCGTATTTGCTCCAACCATCGACACTACTGCTGCCAATGCTGCAAACATTGTGACCATGGCCACAACGGTTGGTACCAACATGTACAATCTTGGATATATTGTTGCTGATGCCAATGCAAACCCAAGTTGGGGAGGTGCACATGGTCTACCCGAGTCGTGGTATCTTTCTCAGATCCAGCAGGTGCGCAACTTTGGTGGTGACGTGATGGTGTCGCTTGGTGGACCAAATGGTCAGGAATTGGCTCAAGTGATCACCAATCCATCACAGCTTAAAAACCAATACCAGAACATCATTGACTCGTATTCGATTTCATGGCTCGACTTTTATCTTGACGGTGCAGCTCTGACTAACCAAGCATCGATTGATACTCGCAATGCTGCCATTCGCGGACTGCAAGTTGCCATGCCTAATCTGAAAATCACATACACCCTTCCTGCCACAGCATCTGGTCTATTGGACAATGCAGTCTATGTCCTGACATCAGCATACAATGCAGGTGTCCGAGTTGATGTTGTGAATGCTCTTGTTGCACCAGCAAGTGTGGGAGCAACTCTTGCTTCGGACACGACTCCAGGTGCATACACGACGGCAGCAGTTCAGGCAGCTTATGCTCAAGCTCAAGGCACTGGTTTATTGTACTTCAAGATGGGTATCACACCAGTCATTGCTAGCCAAAACTTTGGTGGCAAGACATTCGGAAGCAGTGATGCCAATGTAGTGCTTCAATTTGCACGATCGACCAGCTATGTTACATACATGTCGTACTCGACAGCCAACACCGACTCTGAAAGTCAGGTTGTAAATGTTTTGCGTCGCTATGGAGTTTAAAGTGTTGGTCGAATACTTTAAAATGTCCAGTTAATGTCTATTTGACAAAGTCCAGCTTTTGTTTTTGTTAAAATGCTGTCCATTCCAGCTTATGGATTTGTTTTTTGAATATATTACTTTATAAAATTGATAGTTTTGTATATTTTTTTGAAGATTAAATCAGAGTATATTGTCACGCTTTACAACTCAACATCACATCAAAGTCCACATGTAATTGGTAGTCACAAGATTCACATGATCGAATATTCACCAACAATTGAGGCTCGTGCAGTCTGACTGTCGCACAGGTCGAATCAAATCCGGCTAAATCCAGTTAGACCGAAATTAAACCCTTCAACACACATGTGGCTATGTTTTATAAAAAATATAAAGTTTTAATATTTCTGTCCTGCAGTTTCAAATGTCGAGTTTGACAAACTAATTATAGAGTCATGAATTCATCAAGCATTTCTACACCAGATGAAGCCTCAAACTCTCAATCCAATGACCCCATAATTGTTGCTGTTGGCAATTCATCTACTAATAATCAGGAGCCAATGACTGTGCAGTCGTTGACTCCACAGCAGCTGCTAAGCCAATTGCCTGTTTCTGACGTTCCATCTACACACATATCAGTACAGAATCAGCCATTGAGTTCTACTGCTTTGCCTACACTTGAGCTCACTGGTGCTGCTATGGAAACGACTACTCCTTTGACTCAATCTAACCCTAACCCTTCTTCAACCATGCTTCAACCACTTGATGCTAATTCGCATTTGCATTCACCTGCCTTGGCCATTATTTCCAATGCTGCTGTTTACAACGACAAGAATAGTTGTGCTCTTTGTCAGAAACGCTTATCTCGTAGCCCAGACACTTGGACTTGTATTGCCGATATCAAACCCAGATTTCTTAGACTACTTCAAAAGGATTATCCACAAGCTCGGTTAGACTGGCCAACGCGACGCATCTGTCACGACCATATCCAAAATGCTCTTCAAGGCCGTATTGATTTTTTATTGGAGGAGGATCAAGCCCAGTTTTCTAGACTACAGGAGGACGCCATCAAGAATCTCAAAACGTTTGAAATCGAGCAAAGCAACTGGCTGGATCAGTTTGAACTAAAACGAACAGCTGGTCAAGTCGCTGCTGATACAGTTGCCAGATGTGGTGGTTCCTGGGGTTTTCTTGGGGCTTTGGGGTTGTTTCTTGCTATATGGGCAATGTGAGTTTATGTATACGCTTGATTCTAAATTGTTATTCATTCTTGCAGTCATGATGTACATATTGTGCTGATATAACTTGAATTTTCATGATCCTATTTCCGCTAGTGCCAATCTGATTTTGACTGCTTATGGTCCACCCAACTCTGCATGGGACCCATATCCGTTTATTTTGCTCAATCTATTTTTATCTATGTTGGCAGCCACTCAGGCTCCTATCATCATGATGTCACAAAACAGACAAACGGAGCGTGATCGACTGCAGACCAACTTTGTTTCTGAAGCCATTCTTCGAAATGAGCACGAAACTCGTCACGTTGATGCCAAGGTTGACCATCTGTTGTCGTATCAGTGGAAACGATTACTTGAAATCCAAGAAATTCAAATCCACTTGCTTGAGCTTCAAATTAGACACCCCGACAACCATCAAGCCAAGCTTGTGCATCATTTTACATCTCCTAAATTCAACGACGCTCTGCTTGCTTCTCCTGGAGGTCTCTTTAGTAATCGAATGGAAAAGCCAATCGAGTCTTGGAATGTTGAAATTCAATCGGATCATCTTACCAAGATGCTATTGCGAAACTATTTTGATGTTGATCTGTCTGGGGATAGTTTTGTCTTTTCACATTGGCACGAGGACGGAGACAATTTCACAGGATCCATCTCGGATGTGTCGCTTGATATTACTGATCGCAGACTAACCCACATTACGTTCAAAATCAATTTTTCAGAGATTTTAGCTACAATGGATGACGTGTTTTCTGGCGAGGGAAGTGTTCATCTTCGCAATGACTTTAATATTTTACATATGCACCATGTAGGCAGGATATTCCGTATCCGGGTTATTTTTGCGAATGGTGCCATGGCCACTTTTCTTAATGGCGAACTTCCACCCAGATACAAGCCAGCATTTGCTCGCAAACGTCAGGACCGTATCACCGAGATGTGGAAAACCTCTATCAAGCAGTTGGTGATTACATACGTTCCGCCATTGCAAGTGGCGATTGTTGATGTGGACCAAGGACACGTTTTGCGTAGAGTGACTGCTACCATTTTCCCTCGACCCAACGGAACGATCCCTGACACAAGCGTGTATATGGCTGCCGATGGACACCCAGACATTGCTCATCCAGCGCACTCTGATCCAGCCAACTCCCCTGTAGAGATTGTTTCTGCCTCTCCAACCGTTGTCACAGCCTTTTCAGACAGCAGAATTGATAATCCTGTTGTATACTGTAAACAATTGGTTGGTCCACGACCTCTCTCAACAGAAATATGGGGGAAAGTAGTGGATTACACCTGGGAACCAATAAATCCGCTGTCTGGTGGAAATGGAGTAGGATCCGATCATGCAGATACTCAACCCACTCACCATGCCAAAGGACTGCCACGTAACCCATCGCGCATTCACTCATCTCATCGACTTGGCAGTATCAAAGCATCTTTTGGTATTCCACCCAAACCCATTGCCGCATCAATAGTGCCTACACGCAACACCAGCGTCAGCGTTAAATCCATTCATACAAATACGGGTGGCAGCAACACTGCAATAGCCACTGGTTCGTCACCCACTAGTCCACCATTTGATGATATTGGACTAGAAAGTGTAATTGTTACTGCACCTGTAAGTGTCGATATCGAACAAGAATTTGTTGGACCTGCAACATTTGTGTTCATATGTGATGATAGTCGAGTATGTTTCCATGGTGATATTGAAGAAATAACTGATATTGCTTATGAATAAAGATTTCATAATATTCTGTGGTAACATGAATTTAAAGTTTTTTACTAATAATTTCATTGACGTAAAATCAAACACAATGTATAATAAACAGTTGCATGAAATGATGAGTATCACCAAGTTTACAGAATACTTTTTTTTGAATTAAAAACAAAAGCGTGTCTGTGAGATTGAAATACAAATTAGTTTGTATAAACTCCAAAACAGTCCAATTCAACACCTGATTTTAAACTGAAGATTCAAGTGTTCAACTTGTAAAATATTTCAAATTCAATTCATTCTTTGATTTGAAAACATGTTTTGAACTGGTTGAATTTGGCAGAAAATCACAAATCTCGAATTTTCAAAGACTGCAGAATTCATACAAAAAAGTGTTTTCCGCGAATACGGCAGCAAAGCAAGTTTCAAAATTCTTGCAGTCCAATAATTAGGGATTGAGAATGCCTAGATCTGACTATGCAAAGGATGTGTTAAAGAGCAGACCTTCTCGGTCTAGTCGCTCTACTACAAAAGTTCGCTCTCATTCTGTTTCTAGCAGCGAGAAGAGTCAGGACTCTAATTCAACTCCAACTGCTGGTCTGGACCGCTCATCATCAACTCCGTCCAAGAAAAGAAGAGTCGAAGATTCAATGTCTTCTCCTACTGGTTTTAATAGTAGAGACAGAACCAGGGAAGAGAATGGGAATAAGAGTAGGAAGCACAGTGAACGTCGTGCGGATCCAGACTCTCTGCCATCCATCGACTCTCATTCAAAAAGAAGTGGCAGAGATAAAGATCATGATAGGAGCAGAGACAAGGACCGGTCCAAGTCTTCAAGTGGTGCTACTACTAGTCGTAGCAGCAGGAGAGACAGGGATTCAGAAGACGTGGCTGTCCATGCTTCCAGACACTCGAGCACTTCCAAGCGACGTGAACGCAGTGTTTCTGTTGAACGCTCATCACTCTCAAAGGATAAAAAGGAACGGTCTCGTCACTCAGAGAGATCTAGTAAAGACAAATATAGGGACAGTTCAAAAGATAGGGACAGAGATGGACGCTCTGATCGTCGATCTGACAAGGGCAAAGATCATCGTAGTCGAACCAAGGATCGCCATCACAGATCCAAAGACAGAAGCAAGTCTAAACACAAGGATAGCGATGCTGATGAGATTGAATCTGATTTGGATCGTACTGCACATTATAGTTCGGATTGTGCCAAAGAAAGCTTGGATCGAGATACTACTAAATCTACGTCAATGGTAAATATTTCCTAATCTGATTTTAGTATTGATTGACTTGTGTGTAACTCAACTAAATATTCTTTTGATTAATATTTCATATCTAATTTTAAAGAATCAATCCGAGCTGCCGATTCTGCATACTGAAACTACTGAAAATGGACATAGTGTAGCATTTAAAGTGCCTTTTACCGCTGCAGCATCTGGAAAAGCAGCCACTGATGAATACAAATTGGTCGATAAGATGGTGGTAAGCGATACAACAAAAGATGTCTCGGGTTTACCTATTGTATCTGCAATCCAACCTAGTATTGAAGAAAGCTCAGTTGTTTCCCATGTTGCACATACGTCCTCAGTAATGCCATACGCTACTACAGTATCCACGGACACAGCTGTTCAAACCAAAGACACTCTTTTAACGAACCAATTAGAACCCTCTCATACAACTTTAACAAGTATGGAGTCCAGTACCAAAACATCAAAGGTTCAAGACTCGGGAGTATCTGTAGGTTAATACGGTTTTATTTAGCATATTCACAAATGCTTACATGTGGTTTATTTGTTGTATTTCGTGATGGCTGAACACTTTGTCTATGCCAATACTGCCTTTTATGCATCTTTATGTGCTGTAATCAAATCGACAACACCTTATTCACGGACTTAGAAGGCCACGTCAGACATTAAACCTGCCGAAAACACTGGTACTACCAAGAGTGAAAATGTAACATGATACTGAAATACTAAATATGTATTGACTATTTTGATGACTTTTACAAGACAATGCTAATATTTGAATGTCACTCTACATTATTGTGTTACATAGGCTATTGACGAAGAAGAGCTAAAGATGCGTTTGCGACGCGAGCGAATTGAGCAGTGGAAACGAGATCGAGCAGCAAAAAATGCATCCAAACAAACTCTTACTACAGTATCTACCGATCAGCCTCAAACAGATACTGAAATGGCTATAGATGACGGTAGCCGGGTTGAACAGCAATCTAATAAAAAAAGCTGGAATCTTGAAGATGATGAAGATGATGATATCGAAACCGACGCTACTACACTCGGTCATGCTGCTAGAGCAGCTACTGTCGAGACTTTTTCTCCAGCATTCATATTGCCAAAGATGACATACAACAAAGATCGAGGCACAGAAACCGTTAAACCTGCCAAGTCAATGTTTGGAATGGGTACATCATCCAAACCGTTGATTATTTTTGGAAAACCTGCTGAAAAATCGACTCTTTTGGGAAAAACAGCCTTTGCTTTCAATACAGTCACTACGCATACCAAAACTAATCTGACACCTCAGTCTCGGATTACTTTGGATGATGAAGACGACGACGAGACAGATCTGCTAGAAGGATCCGCTGCTGCTCTCGAGTCACAAACATCTGCTTCGGCATTAAAATCATCAAAACATCTATCCAATGTTTTGGAGGTTGGATCGAATAGCGAAAGTAAGGATGGTACAGATGATCATGTAATGGATGTGGATGAAGCAGACCCACTTGACGCATTCATGGCAGATGTTCAAGAACAAGTGACACGAATCAATCAGCAAGATGCAGATGCAGCAGCAGCGATTGAAGCAGAACATAAAGTTTCAGAAATGGGCAATGAAAATGGTGCTGCTATTACTGCGACTGGTGCAGCTCATACCACCACTCATCCAGATGATTACGATGTTGATGAGGATGATGATACTAATCAAGATATTGACGCGGTTGACATTATTGCTGCTGCTGCTGCAAAACTTTCTGCCAAGAAAAAAGATATTGTTCCAGTGGATCATTCCCGAATCAACTATGAACCTTTTCGCAAAGATTTTTATGTTGAGCCACCAGAATTGGCGAATATGACTGCAGAAGAGGTTGACCAAAAGCGGATTGATTTGGATGGAATTAAAATTCGTGGTGTACGATGTCCTAAACCTATTGAAAAATGGACTCATTTTGGCATGCCACCTGGTGTATTAGAGGTGATTCGGCGTGTGCTCAAGTATGATCGACCTTCTTCAATTCAAAGTCAAGCCATTCCGGCCATTGTAGGAGGCCGCGATGTGATTGGAATTGCCAAAACTGGATCAGGCAAAACCATTGCTTTTTTGCTACCCATGTTTCGTCATATCAAGGATCAACGACCGATTCAAGCCATGGAGGGTTCAATTGCATTGATTATGACTCCTACTCGTGAACTGGCTGTACAGATCCACCGCGAATGCAAACACTTTACTAAAATTCTTAATTTGCGTGCCGTGTGTTGCTATGGCGGCTCGCCTATCAAGGACCAGATTGCCGAATTGAAGCGAGGGGCGGAAATCATTATTTGTACACCTGGTCGTATGATTGATTTACTCTGTTCGAATGCAGGAAGAGTGACCAATTTACGCAGAGTGACATATCTAGTATTGGATGAAGCAGATCGTATGTTTGATATGGGATTTGAACCTCAGGTGATGAAGATGGTGAATAATATTCGTCCAGATAGACAAACAGTGTTGTTTTCTGCTACATTTCCACGCAAGATGGAAGCCCTGGCACGTAAAATCTTAAGAAGACCGTTGGAAATTACTGTAGGTGGACGGTCTGTAGTAGCTTCTGATGTGACACAAATTGTTGAAGTGCATCATGATGACGAAACCAAGTTTTTACGGCTTTTGGAAATTCTTGGGTTGAGTTCGGCTACGGACCCAGATGCCAAAATTCTTATTTTTGTCGATCGACAGGAAGCAGCAGATAGTATGCTGAACAAGCTTTTGCGTCGAGGCTATCCCTGCCAGTCCCTTCATGGTGGAAAAGACCAAGCAGATCGAGACTCGACCTTGTCAGACTTTAAAACCGGATCAACGAATATTATGATTGCTACATCAGTTGCTGCACGTGGATTGGATGTTAAGCAGCTTAAAATTGTTGTGAATTATGAATGTCCAAATCATATGGAAGACTATGTTCATCGTGTCGGTCGTACGGGCCGTGCAGGTAACAAAGGCACAGCATATACATTTATTTTACCAGAACAAGATCGATTTGCTCTAGATATTGTAAAAGCGTTGACCATGAGTGGTGTAGAGGTCCCAAGTTCGCTACAAGAGCTAACGGATCGATTTATGGAAAAGATCAAGGCCGGATCAATGCAGTACAACTCATCTGGGTTTGGAGGACGTGGACTGGAGCAGTTGGATAAGGAGCGTGATTTGGTCAAACGGATCCAAAAGAAATCGCTTGTGGGTGGTGAGTATGAGATTGAAGACGACGAAGAACAGCAAATTATGTTGGATGATGATGACGATGAGAATACTGGAAAAGGCGATTTAATATCTGGTGGAACCATTTTGCTTGGAGATTCGCTTGATGCCACTGTTTCTGCAGTTTCAACTACAGATACACATGGAATGGGTGGTACATCGACACATACAGCCATTCCAACGTCAGCAACGAACGCATCTTCATCAAGCTCTGCAGCAGTAAGAGCATTAGAGATTCAGGCCCGAATCAACGCATCAATCAGGGGAAAAGGCATTGAGATAGCCAAGTCAACAGATGCACCGTTTTCAACGGAAGTGGAGATTAACGATTATGTGCAAAAGGCGCGATGGAGGGTAACCAACAAGGAACAGATTACATTGCTTTCTGAAATGTCAGGAACAGCAATTACTACCAGAGGAACATTTGTTGAGAAGGGAAAGAAACCAGGACCAGGCCAACGCAAACTGTATCTGGTAAGCACAACATGTTGGTATTTGACATTGAATTTAAACTAATTTGAATTGTAAAGTTTATTGAAGGAGAAAGTCAAATGGCATTGGATCGAGCCAAGATTGAAATTAAGCGTATTCTGACGGAAGCCACACTAGCTAGTATGGAAAGTGATGGAGGAAATCGGTACAGTGTTTTATAGGACAAAATAAAGCCATTTGTAGTAAAACAAGTGAAATTTAGACGAAATCTGATGTAGAACGTGACTTTCCCAACAGAACAGGTGGAATCACCTGACGTTTGCTATTGATTGCCAGCGAGTTTGTGCGAGCGGAAGGTAGGTGATGGATGGTATTGGGAGTGAGTGCTGTTGTGATGGTGGTAGAAGCTACTCATCGGATAAGAGTATAATAAACAGCCGATAGAAATCACTGCAAAGTGCTTGTCTGCATATACAATGGTATTGACTTGTGTCAACCTTTAGAACTATCGTCACCATCATGTCTTCAGTCAATAAGAATGCTATGAACAACAGTACTTCCAAGCAAGGCTCAAGAGCAACAAAAGCCAATGCAGCTACTACAAAGGCTGTTGCTGCTGCTGTTGCTGCAGCGGCCGCTGCTGCCAAGTCTGCCACTGGACTGCCCTCAGCTTCGTCTGGTCTGGATGTAGATACTGTGCTTCCTGCTCATGATGAACACTTGGATCTGGACTTGGAGCTGCAGAATATCTCCTCCATGTCCGCTGCTGCTTCTGCTGGAAAGACAAAGGTTTCGATATCAAAAAAGTCGAGAAATTCCACCAGCAGCAACGCTGCTGCGTTTGACACCGATGCTGCCGGTGGTAGTGATATCGAAACTACTATTGTGGCCACTGGTGATGTTCCTCAAGGCACTGCTAATCGCTCAAAGAAACAGAAACAACAACAAGCCCAACAGCAGGCTCAGTTTCAGCTGCAGCAGCAACAGGCTCAAATACAGCAGCAAAATGCCGTCGATACTGTAAGTCCTTTGTAGCTACTACAATGTGTTGGTTGCTAATGGCTAATGACTGATTCTGTCCCGTTCAATTTCTTAGATGCAGCAACAGATGCGTTTATTTGCACAGGCGACCAACGGGAAACAGCAGACTCCTGGCAATCGTCCGTAAGCATACAATCCATTTTGTTTGCTATGCAGCATTGATCTGCTTGCTTGTGATTTTGCAAGCTTATATAACTATTGTCAATCAAAACTAATCTCTGGATTTATCTTAGACCATTAATGTTTGATTACGCACTTGCTGCCGCTGCTGCTGCCGCATACAATCCTCTGGCTGCTGCTGTGGCTGCTGCTGCCGCCAGATCCATGTCCAATCCATCCAATTCTCAACAGTTACCCGCAGATGCTCAACAATTGCTTCAACAAAGCTTAATGGGTAGAAACATGACGATTGGTCAAAATGAACTTCAAGCTGCCCAATTGCTTCATCAAACTATGGCTGGTAGCAATGCCTTGGACTCGCTTCTTCAGCAATCTGATCCCAATAACAACAATAATAAACATCCAATTGGCAGCGAAGAGTGGATGCGTCAGCGTCGCGAAAACCATCGCGAGGTTGAGCGCAAACGGCGTGAAACCATCAGTGATGGTATCGCAGAGTTGGCTAAACTTGTTCCCGACGGAGACAAGAACAAGGGAAGTGTATTACAGCGTGCTGTTCAGTATATTATGAATTTGAAACAACAGGAGATTTCCAACAATGAACAATGGGCAATGGAGAAAAACATGTTGGAGCAGATGCTGTCCGATGTAACCAAGCAAAACGAAATCTTAAAAGAAGATAATCAAGCTCTTAGACAGCGAATCACAGACGATGCCCAGCAGGGGTCAAAACGATCTCGTCATGTAGGTTTCTAACCAGTAACTCTGCAACACCATTAACTAATGCGCGCCTGTCCTATGGCCGTATTCATATAAAATGGAACACTTTTCTGTTTTATCTTAGTGACCGTCTCCATTTTGCTTTGGAATAATGGTCAAACATTTGTTGCGCTTTTCTACTACAAATTGACTGCACTACTTTTTCAATTCAATAAACACAACGTTCATTATATGATGCACAATCAAACTATAGTTTTGAACTAAAATGATCCCTCTCTCCACTTTTGGTAGTCATACATTGTGCAATCACTAAATCATCCACTACAGTCCAAATACCAGGTCCGACTGTCAATACAACTCTACACACTTTATTCTAATCTCATATGTTCGCGCCGATTTAAAAAAACAAAGATGGCATGTCTCAAGAATGCAATATCTGTTTCCATACCAATCACCGGGATAAGTACGGCTGTGAATATTTCATTATACCAACTTTCACAGACTCAGTAGTTCAACCCATAAACTATTGTTTCTCTCGTATATTCAGTGCTTTATTTCCGCGTTTAATCTTATTGAACAGATGCATTTTGGCACAAAAACTACCTACTGTGTAAACAAATCTGCAAAAAACCCTCCAGTCTGTGCCTTGTTTCTATTGCAAATTTCTTCAATGAGTTGTCTCCGTAGCAATGTTCTAATGATTTTAAATATGCAGATTAGCACTGGTATGAAGCCAAGTATACCAACACATACTTTTCAAACGAATACAAATACACCAACTTACGGTCTTTTGTAAACATTCTTATTATATCTACAGTACCGATACGCGGAAAATGCCGTGTGTCTGCATAGCATTCCAAGTGCATGACGACTTACAACCATGCCGTCTGATAGTGGTCCAAATTTCTACAATCACAGTTGTAAATAGTGAGCATCACAATCACATCAACTAAGCACATTGAATCTAAAAAATCAAACATTTACATACAAGCATATCTTCGTGTGTACCGCCAGACAAGGAAATGTGGATCCAAAACAACCCATTTGTCAATGGCAATGGATTTACAAATATAATTACTACTGCCGTGTGTGCCAAAGTTGAAATCAAAGCTGGAATACTGTCATTGTCTTCCACCCATATAATATATACGCTGTCCGTTTGTGATATCTGTTGGCATAATGCTATAAATTGTTCTTCTGCAGAAAGTGGAGCCATTCCCACCGTGTGTGAGCGTGTTCGAGATCGGACAATTGGTGGGGGTTGAAACTCTTCATATACCTGAGTGCCAATTGGATCATCCACATCAGCAGGCTCGCTAAAATGCGTCAGAGATCCTTTCCCAAAAATATTATCTGCAGAACCAATGGTATGCAAACGAGCGCGATGATGTGTATGGACACCCATATTGGAAAGTAAGGGTGGTGCAGTTGTTGCTGGAGATTCATGTATCATAGAGTTTATAGATGGCAGCTTTTGAAACGATCTTGAGCTCGATACAGAGTGTGTCAATGAAACAGTTGATTGACCCTGTATAGACCCCCGATGTAATCCTAATGGTGCGACTGAGCATGGCTTTGTATCGGTTTCTGTATGTGTAGGTTTCCTTCTGAATAATGTGGTTCCGGTATTTCCGGACGTTCGAACAAGGTATGGACAATGGAAAACAGCCTCTACGTTTCCATTCGCATAGTATGGCGCGGTTTCACATATATTTGCAGTCAAATTGCCCTTGAATCCAGTGTGCGATTTGATGTCAACTGGCCATCCGAGACTCCATAAAAACTCGTCAAATGACTCAGGAAGATGGTCTGGATATAAAATAGTTTCAAGCGAGACATTTCCTGCTTGACAGTACATGACACTAATACTGATGCTATCTCGTCTAATCGATAGAAATAATTACAGATGCATAGAATTAAACGTGTTAATATGATGTTTCAGATTTCCAACTAATAGATAGACAGACTGTATAACAATCAATGCAACAAATCTTACTCTGGCTGTCTATCCAGCTTCTCCAGATCTCGAATCAGCATATCCGATAACTGTAGTGGTGCAATTTTTGCTTGATGTCCCAAATCAAGCATCCCAAATTCAGCCAGGAAAATACGAAACGCTTGTGGTATATTAGCAGAATTTCGTCGATCAACTATAGTAGGCGGCTGAACATCAGTTGTTTTTGTAAAATCCAGACTTTCGAGCAGTTGAGTTCGCTGTTCAAGTTCTGCATTTTTCTGCGCTTCAATGCATATCCGAATCTCCTCCTGCTTGCTAGTATCACTTGTAGTTGTACAGAGCTCATTCAAATGAGGAATAGAGTCTTCAGTAAATACTTGAACCTGTACAGTACTCGAGTTTTGGGGTTGATATGGGTATAGTTGAGGAAGCGATTTTTTGTAAGGCCGAATAGGAAGACTAGTGCAACAATTCGTGTTGTCCAGCGACAATCGTTTTGCATACACAATCTCGGCATCAACCAAACTGACTTGCATGGACGTAGTTGTTGCTGATGAGGTTTGGATGCAATCTATAGGCGACATGGAGCCATTTCCCAAGAATGAAGTCAATGTATTCTGCTCCACTGATTCATTAGTGTTGTACTCGGGGTTGTTGCTACTGTTGTCTTCGTATTTAGACTTGCTCCACCATGAAAATTTACCGCTCGAGTCGCGAATAACCATGGCAATCGCGAGTGCTTCATCATAGTCGCTACGTTGGGTTTGTGGAGGATTTTCATCAATATCAATCAGATTTCCTGTAGATACCGTGGGATAAAGCTCTTTGGAAGCCGTTTGATCGGTTTTGGCAAACGCCCAAACCGGCCTTTCAATAAATCCAAAAATCAGCCTGTTTTCATATGAATAATAGCGAATGTAACGCTTATCAATCAGAGTTGTATCCTCCGAGTCATGTGCATGGTTTTGAAGTTTTTGTTTTTGAGATAGTCGCTGCACCTCTTTGATTTCATCCCATGTGGACCCGAGCTTGGTAATCCCCATGCACGATGACTTTGGTGGAAAGTTTCCCAAAAGTCCCAACAATGTGTCTATGGCAGACTCGGCTGCATTTTTAAGTCGAATCTCTGCAGAAACTGTTGCAAATGTAGGTAAACCAATACCTCCGTCTTTAGACCCAGTACTCACACCTCCAGCACCTCCAGCATTCTGCGATAGTCGCTGTAGTTTAAACAATTTGTTGGTATGACTACTAGATGCTCGGATTGCAATCGCAGTTTTTTTTCCAAAAGTAGTTCCGCCACTAGGTATGCTTGTATTGAAAAATGTTTGTGAAGTACTGATATTTAATCCGCCTTGCAGTGATACCGGTTTGTCACATGCTGCTTGAACTGCTGGGTGACTACCAGCAAGCACCTCACGCGATGGGCCATGCAGCGATACAAGAGCAGGATTAGAAACAGCAAGACTGCTAGCAGAAATTATAGTTGACGCAGTTGCAACATTCGTTGATGTGACCTGTGAAAACTCCATGGTACGATCTAAAAGAGCGACTCCCCGTGCCAAAGTAGACAGTATCACTCGTTGGGTTTCATAATCATTCACCAACCAATCTCCCAATATTGCCCATCGTGCCAGTGTGTCATATGCCCGACTAATACACACCTCAGTTTCCTATTCAGCAGATATTGTATTCAAGTGTCAAATATAATTCTGGCGTAATAGCAATTCAAAGTCACAGCACAATAGGTCTTACCACGCGATTGTCAGAGTTTAGTTGCAACTCAATGTACTGACACAAGCATATAGTCATTTCTCGAATGCAATCCTTCCATTCAATAATATTGCTAAAAATCAGTCACACATCTAGCAACATTCAAATGATCAGCATTCAACAAGAATTTCACCTTTTCATCTCTAAACACATGCTCCCAGAGTGCGGCAAATTGATTGAGGCAGTCTATAACAGACATGACAACAACGCTTGTCCAATGATCAGACATCAACAGCTGAATTGCATAGTTTGGTATACAGAAACTAATCAATCAGTTATATATTGGATTCAACTAATAAACCTAGCAATATAAATAACCAACCTTGTCCTGTATTACGCGCAACACAATCTTTACAGCACTAGGACAAAAGTCTGCATTCTCTACAATGTAGCATGCAGTCAGATGGATCACATAACGAACATTGTTTGGATTCATTTCCACTGCCACTGAATTCACCAACAAGTTGAGCACATGGGGTTGTAGCTGCAATCGGTTGATATAAAACAATAGGTGTTGGTCAATGTACTAGGTTAAACTATAAAATGTAAAAATGTGTTGTAGTTTACCGATGAAAACGTAGCTGAACCTGGATTGCATGCATCAGTTTGAGGAATCACGCATGCTGGATTGTCTGGTGTGCACTGATAAGCTGTCCACACCTATTGACTCGACAGTATCAATCAAAATATGCATCATAGTTTAATTCATTAGATTCACGTAAATATATTTAAAATAACATACCATTGAGCTTATAGCACTGGTAAAGTATGGAGTACTCGATGTGATGGTGCTTGTTTGTGCCAAATGTAAATTTACAGATCCAAATCGATTCAGCAAGGCCATGATCGAGCCAATTAATTTGTATGCTGATCGACGTAGCGTTTCGGGAGCGACTGAACTGGGTGGGGTTTGAAGCGGCCTACTTTCATCAACCAACGGAAGAACTCGATATAATGACAAAACAAATGTAGGTATCAATGAGCGAATGCCTTCAAGTTCCATGACAAACAGCTCACTACTGTTAACGATTATCTTAGTAAGTGATAGAATGTCTGCTTGGAGTCCCTAGCAGAGTAAATACATATCATGCACGAATGTTAGCCCAATCACCAATGACATGCTTTTACGTGATCATATATATCAGATTGTTTCAACACATGAAAATGCATCACACCAAATGCAGAGCATTGTAAAAGTGCTCCAGATAGACTGCAAGGAATTTGGTGGTTTTCTGATACTTTGAAAATATACGACATAGTGTTCCAAGCGCTTCAGCCCGTCCTTCTTCAAATCTAAATTGCCGATAAAGCATGAGCCATGGCATCCAACTACAGTATAAACCACTATTGTTTGGCATAAACTTACCCGACTTCGTGCATCATGGCTGCTTGAAAAAGCCACTCGCCAAACATGTTCAAGATCGTGTTTCCATCAACCATGCCATTTGATCCAGCATCTATAGAATACAACAATGATATTGATTTTGAAAGACCCGTGATGGCGACAACAAAGTTTCGGCAGCTCAGTGCGCATGGATTTCCAATCATGTAGATTGTACGGTGCCAGGAATATACCAGGAAATCACTTGTGAAATCAATGGAGATGTTTCCTCCATTATGCAACGCAATCGTGACGGTGGACTGCAGTTTAGACTCGTCAAATATATACTTTACAACATTTTGTGTGAGTCCATAAATAACTGCGCTCCAATGATGAATCACTTCTATTCGATGTGTCCATGTCACAAAGTGCTTTTTGAGACGATCCCACATTTCTACTGATAAAATTCCTGACCTAAGCCATATTTCCAGCAATGTTTTGATCATGGGTTCGCAAATTTTGTCTGCCATCACTGGTCTGCTGCAATACGGTTCAATATCATCCAACAAAGGTGTAGCGACGGATTTGGACGACTTTAAATTTCCTGGTGTGCTGGGTGTTGAAAGAACGCCGATCGGTGTTCGAGTACTGATGGGCTGCGTTAGAATAATGTCGCTGATTCCCAACAATACCTTGACAAGAACTACCCATGTTTCTGTTGTAAATGTATTTGCCAATGTTTTTGATGCTGCCAATAAAATAGACAACACCTTTCTGCAGAGCTCAATATGCGCTGCGGTGTTATCAGCACACTCTTCTAAATCTGATATTTTGGAATTGGTGGATATTGATTGCTGCAGATTGATTGATTGAACACTGTTTCCAACTCTTGGCACAAACATGAGCGAGTAGTGTTTGAATATCGTCTACGCATTTGGGTTTGGTAATGCACAGATGGATTCCACAATGATAGTCAGCACGATCGCTCAACACTATGTTTGACTGCATATATATTAAAATAACACATGATGAATCACCTGAAAGAATCCTTGAGCAAGATCGCTGCTGTCACCACATTGTTGGATAATGGCAGGTCGTGTTGATTTTTCAAGAAGCCACGAGTGATACACATTGATGGCATCCTGTATTACAATCACATCTTCGATAGGTAGCGAAAATCCCTGACCAATGACCTCCATCATCCAATTAACATGGGTAGCAGAGGTTAAAATGGCACCTGGATCACCAAGTGGTGAGCTACGAGGTAGCAAACACTGCGTAATTTCCAAGATGAGTTTACGTTTTACAGACAATGGGAATGCATTGAGTATCCCGGAATCTGTATTCACCCATTGACAGTTGAATTAGCATTATTTTCAAATGGACGGTTTCGACATGTTTGGTATTTTTTGAACAATGCTTGTCCATGGACCTTCAAACTAGTGCCAATTCACAATAAATCCAATACTGAATTTAGGCTGGAATGTGTTGAGCAGCCATGAACTAGTATAGTATGTCAACCAACTCATTTCAACTTGATGATAATAGCGTGTACATTGTAAATGCAAGTGACACCAATGTCTTCTATTTGCCCATATCTGGTCCAAAATCTATGGATATTCATCACCAAGACATGTCCAAGCACAGCTCTATGTAATGGAGCAGACCATCAACAGCCATAATTCCAAGACTCATCTCACCTGGACTCGGAGCAAACATTCCCAGCTCTCCCAGTTTCGACGCGAACATCTGCTTTCTTGAAAATTGTAACTTGGAGTAAAATAGGATAGTAAATCCAGCAATGGAGTCGGTTCAACATGGTATGGCACTGGCAACCAACACCTTGAGTAGAATCAATGTGGTCTTGAATTTTAATTATGAATTCATACCATTTGATGCATCTGATTGGCCGACATACTAACGAATCGTTTGACTTTATTCTCAACTGTGCTGGTATCGAATGCATGCACTGACCATCCGCTGGACACCTTCTATTCAATTGAGAAATCCCATCATTCAGACTCACTATTGACCATTTTCGAATCTGGCACAGTCACACTACAACCCATTCGACAAACCAGTTTTGCAAAAACCCTCATTTTTATGGGCCAACATGATGGTTGCATGACGCTTGGAGGTAAACTGCACTTTGGACCAATACAAGGGCATGCATTCATTGTTTGGTATTCGTTTACTGGATACCAGAGACTACTAGTATATCCTGCTTTTGCAGTGAAACGTACTGACTTGGATCAATTTATAATGTGCAATTCATGTAGAATCTCAGGACATGTACACTCCAAACACGGACAAGGTTCTTTCAGAGTTGACATATTATGGTATCGTTGGACACTTGGATCTTGGATTCATCAAATACATTTTTGTCGTGGTGGATCGTGACTTGGTTGCAGCCAACATCCAGCAAACTGTTCATGTTTGGCATATTCGTGATGTTAAGCCGATAGTGGTGTTTAAAAGTTCAATATCGCCTAGTTTACGCGAGGTATATGATTTCAACGAGTCGCTAGTAATTGAAAATGTTACACCCAATGCACTATTGTATGATAATCGATCTAATACAATTTAAATGAAAATACAATGCCACAGGAAGAGCACGAAAGAATATGCCTAAGACTTATCAAGGACGAGTACTGTGCTGGAAACAAGTACTATTCTTTGGATATGGATCTAGCCAATGGATCACTATCAGGGTTTGAAAATAGTTTAAACTACTCCAGATCCAGCACGAACGCACATTCCTTTTTCTCGCATGCCAATGATCAATATGTGTGGAATAAGCATATGTTGCGTATTTTTGTTGACAAGGGGACCGATGCATTTGTGACACCAATAATATGCGGCCATGTAGGATCCATGGTGACCAGCATTCAAAACATATCAGTGTCTGTTTTTTTGATATCCAGGATCAATCGCCATCAAGCTGGAGCTCGATATTGGTGTCGTGGAGTAGACGAGTTTGGACACTCGGCAATAGAAGTGGACACCAATGTTTTGGTAGTGCACAACCACGGCATATCTTCGTTTTGTATGATTCGTGGATCTGTGCCACTGTTTTGGAATCAAAAAAACGTTACAGAACCGTTTTGCGAGCCACCAATCGATCTCAGTCAAGTTCAGTCAAACGAGTCCATGGACGCAATGAGTCATCATTTTGAGCATCTATTACAAAGTTATGGTCAAAAGATATACGCTGTTGACCTGCTCAACTGCCGCGATCACAACAGCGATACCGCCAAATTAAGCCGAGCATATGAAAAGGCTTTGATTGGGTTTCATGGTGACAATGTGGCTTACCTTCGACAGCAAGCACCAACTAGTTTAAAGACAAGTCAGCGTTTGATGCGGATTTTGGATGATATTCTTTGTGAGCACAAGTATAATCGCATTGATGATAGAGTCAGTAGTACGGTAATCAACTGCAAACAACAGGCAGTAATTCGGTTCAATTCGCTTGATTGCGTAGATGAAGTTAGTTTGGCACATTATCATGTATCAAGCTACATTTTTCGACAAATTATGTGCGATCTGGCAGGATGTGAATCGCATCTTCAAGACTTGAATTTTGACACTGATCGATCTTGGAGGAAGCTATGGATCGACAACTCAAACATGCTTAGCCAATATTACACCGGAACGTCAATGATATGCACGCATCTGCTATCTCTAGAAGTGGGATGGACAATACCTGCTTCATTGAAACTCATTGGCATTTGGCTGTCAAGAAAATATATGTGTCATTTTCAAGATTTTGCTCGTCAAGATGGACTAGAGTTGTTCATGGGAAATCAGGATGACCATCGTATCGGGTTTTTGACACCACAATCATCCAAGAGTGAATTGATGAAAGAAAATACAATTCCACCAAAGAACACACCCGATTTGATTAGCCAGCTCAGCACGTCATTTATTCATCTCAATCATGAAAGGTCGGAAAATATCCCCTATAGCAGAAGTTTTGTCAAAAAAGATATAGCGGATCAGATTAATCTGCGACAGAGATTGACATACCACGAACTATCACAGCCTTGGCATCTTTCAATTATACTTGTAGCACGAAAGTTTACTGCACCAAGGAAAATTACAACGTATATCGAGTTTGTGCTAGCAGTAGTATGGCTATTCATTTATACAGTTTCAACCAAGATTTTTGGATATTACTCAAAGCTTTTGATTCGACGCCCACGAAAGGATATTGATCAAGATGCATTGCCTGTGTGTGCTGTTCCACCTCCACATGGGATTGCAGTCAAGTTTGGTCGAGTAAAAATGGATCAATTTGGGCAATTCTACGAGTCGGACATGAGCAAAACTCATTCGTTTTCGCCATCGTTTGGATCAGGCCGTTGAAGCGATATTCAAACATCAACTTTTTAGTCGAGGTTCTATCTGTGGTTGCTATTCTATTAATATTTTTGGTGAGACTAGCAAACTATACATCATCCAATTTAAATCAGAAACCACTCCATAAAACAAAAATAAATGTATCATGTCAATCTATTTGTGTGAAACCATCAAATGTCTACGTGTAATTGGTAGGTATAGAAGCAATGTCTTGCAAAACAATCCAATGAATCGCTTATAATTGGTCAACAATTTGAATGAAAAAGTTTTTGTATAGGGTGTGCTGCTCAATAGGTGTTGCCCAATCCTTCGAGCCTCCACCAAAGAATGTCTCGAATGCAAGCCCAAGGAATCCAGAGCTAGAATCTGTTATCCATGTAATCTCATGGAACTCAATCACGACCTTGCCATTGACTTTTACTATGACAGACCCATCATTCTTGCCTACAGTATTAAGGGCGATAGATTGGCTGAGAGTGACCCATTCGCCTGTGGGAAATTTCCATGCTCCACGGCCAATAGATGCACCAAAGGATGGGTTACAGACACTTTTAGGTGGTATTTTGCAGAATCCAGGTACTTGTTTATCAAGAGGGACATCCAAGTGAGCTTCACCTTCACCCCCGGTCCTAAACTAACATTCATAATATAGATTCTTGGGTTAATAAATAAATTACAAATGTGCAATCGGTTCCCAATCAAATAACGCTCACCATGAATCGAGACGAAAAGAATCCCTTTGAATCACGACCAGTAGTTTCAGGACCTCCACCGTACATACCGGGCAACTTGCCACCTTTGACAAAATTGAACCCAGCTGGGAAAAATACATCATATCCAAACGCGACGACTCTTGCTCCTTTAAGATTTATTGGCTGAGCCATGAACCCAGTTCCACCAACAGGTTTTGCACCAGGGGCATAGCTTCCAGCAGGGTAAATTACTTGCAAGACTGTATTTTCACCAGCGGGATCCTTGATAAACTTGCGGTTTTGTTTGCCAAACTTATCATGAACAACATTAAAGCCACTCAAGTCATGGCTGGGGAAGCCGGGAAGTTTCCATTCACTGATTAACTGGGATCCTCCAGCTGCACCACCTTCTCCAGAGGTCGAGGCACCACAATCCCCGCCAGCACACTTGTCAGAAGTTTTCTCGGGCAACACACGCTTCACGAGATGTACCTGAGATTCAGGATCTCCCACTTCAACACATATCTCATTTCGACACACGCCGGAAGCACACTCATTGTTGGAGGTACATGATGATCCTAACGGATACAAGCGATTGCTGTTGGTTGTCGAGCTTTCGCATCCAGAAGCTGTGGGATAAGGGAATATTTGGGTAATACAAGACAATGGATTAGCCAATTATACTCTGGTGATGCGTTAATGGCTCAGCTCAGTATGCATGTGGTGAATCATTCACTTGGTTTAGGCGGAATGATTTCCACTATATGGTAGGGCATGCATATAGGGAATAGGCAATCATTTTGCAAGATTTGGTCGGATATAGAAACTTACGTGAATTGCATCCAGGAGATTGTGGGATTGCAAGGACAGCTGGAACTATGCCTGATGAGTTTAAAAAAGGTGAAAAGTAGATTAGTTTCCAATAAACACGATCAAGGTTTGATCCATTCACTAATGAATCAAAGGTGCAATCGTACCAGCAAGCCCAAATGTCAACGAGATTATGGCAGAGAAATGCATTTCAATGAAGTTGTAATGAATAGATGGTTATTTCAAAGGCTATTTAAATAAAATTTGAGAGTAGGGGAGGGGAAACAAAGTCACAGTTCATGTTACAGCCTCTAGATCTAAACTGTCTACACATACTCTAAAAGGGCGGAATATAAGCTACCACAACGCACTGAAAGGTACGTGCAAGGCTAATCTGCACAACTTGGGTGTGCTAATTGGGTATCAGCAGAATTGCTGAAACTAAGGGCGTATTTCAAAGTTACAAGACGAGATAGGACACAAACTTGATGGTGTTTATTTACAATATGATGTGAAATGATAGGACCAAATGTATGGTGATTGCACAAGGGTTGAGCACAACAGACTAACCCTGTAGTCTAAAGACAGCTGTAAGCCAACACAGGGCTATAAGCATAAGGGTTGAGTGTGGGTTACCAGTCTAAAAGCTGCTGTTCACTTGAAACCCCTGCAACTGTATCCATGTGGATAGAGCACAATAAGGGTGCTCAACAAACAGCCAATCTAATGAAATGATGAGTCTTGCCAAATATACTGAGCACTGTCTAAAGTCCTTGACAAGTTTACTGTCTTTTGGTAGTCATACAACAAGAGGACAATCTCAATTCAAAAACTATAGTTTACATTATACAATGAGCATTGTGTTTATTGATGAATTAAGAGTGTCGAGTAGAGAAACAACGAATATTTAATCATAATCTATTCTAAAGCCGAGGCAGTCACTGCAAACCAATACAAGCGATCCATTCTACGTGAATATAAAATCTGCTATTTGTAAATCTGATTTTGAAGATACAAGTTGGCCGAATCATCACATTCAATAACGATACTATCCATCATTCTTATACACTACTCACGTGGCAGTTGATTATCGTTTAGTTGTGATTATCACTTGCCAAATGCTTACTTACAATCCTGTTACTGCTGGCAACATTCAAGGAACAACTGGCATCTGTCATGACAAGGCATTGATTCGTGCATTATCTGCTAAATGCAAGTGCTTTCCATTCCTATTTGCTTATCAAATCTGCACCACTTCAACTCCATTCTAATGGTATTTTATGCTGACTCAACCTCTTAGTCATCCCTCCCGATGCCAAGCTCGATCCGACCATTACCACTACACCAAGTCGTACTCTGTTTGTTGGTCGTCTAGCTCCCTCTGTTACTCAAGGTTGGTTATTTTCTGCCAGTGTGACTACCGTTTATATCATCCATCTAACAGGTTGATTTGAAGATATTCTTGCAGATACATTTCGTCCATACGGAACTGTTCTTCAATGTCGCATTATAGTGAATAATAGTATGTAATTTTACCAAATCTTGACTCGAGTTTATCCCTGCCTTTATGAAATTAAAACTCAGTTTATTATTGACTCGAGGTTAGTTACAGGACAGAGCCGTGGGTATGCATTTGTAGAAATGGAAAGTCAGCATGATGTAAATGCTGCAATTCGAGCATGTCATGGAATCCATTTGCATGGACAACACATCTTGGTCGATACTGAGCATGGTAGAACTGTTACTGGATGGATTCCGCGTCGATTGGGTGGTGGTCTTGGCGGGAAAAAGGAGTCGGGTCAAATGAGATTTGGTGGACGGCATCATCCATTTAAATATCCCTTGCAGTCACGATTACCATCTACCGGTCGTGATGATTCCAAGCGTCCATGGGATCAAAGAGACTTGAAGTGTTATGATTCGAGTAGTAAACGACACTCTGCTAATCGAGTTTGGGATCGTCATTCTAGTGATAAAGGTGGAAAAGGTCGCAGTGAAGTCTCTAAATACCGTGACGACAGAGATTCAAGAAGGGACTCTACTGACAGTAGAGGTGAGCGCAACTCAAGCAGATACCAGCGTACTCGTTCTCCTCAAAAACCGTCATCTCATTCCAGTCGACATTCTGATTCAAAATATAGCTCTAGATATGACAGCCGCTAAAACACTTTCACTTTTAAAACAAACCGACTATATAATTGCTAGACTATTTTGAGTTTATTGTGATGTTTCTGTTGCCAACTTGTCATGTTTGTCAGGAAGCTGAGCAAAACTAGTGAAAATCGGCTCAACGACTGTTCCATGGGGGTTGATTTTGTTTGGAATCTGCAGCATTTTACAAAATTCGACAGTTTGTATATTTGAAAAAGTCTCGTCTGTTTACACATTCAGCAAGCAAAGATTAGGTTTCGTCATTTCTTTTGATAATATATACTATCAAATAAAACCTTGGACATTGGTTAAAATCAATCAATTACCTCTGCGACTTCTATTAGGAGAAAAGGGATCATGTGCAGATGCTGTTTGTGAAAATGACTCGATAATAGGGTATCCAGTTGAAGGATCTGCTTGAAGAGGTTTTAATATATTTTCTCGAACCCAAACACGCTCCCGTTGAACTTGTCTAATATTTAAAATGAATAGATATCAGATCTGTGGCAACAGTTCAAGTACCAAATTTTGCACTTCAAGTCAAAGAGTAGCATATACATACAACTGAGTATCACTGTCGGATGGAAATGGCTGTTGAATGCGAGCATCAGAAAACGACTGATGAGTAGCTCGCACAATTGCTAACCACTCTTCGTCATGGTAAAACCGCAGTGGTATTTTAGTGTCTGGATCTGTGGGTATATCAACAATCTAATACATCAAATAAATATCCATAAATAATGGTTGATAAATTAAAAAGGCGTTTTGATAAATTTCATAAAGCCAAGTTCAGAATAATTACTTGAAGAAAGTCACGTCCTGGAAGACATTTATCCAATGCCAAAAACTTTGTGGACTGAGAAGCACGTACTGATTGAGTATTGGGACAGGCAAGATTATCTGAATTTACTGTATGATCTATGATATTCTGTTTGTCATCATCGCCGCCTTCTGAATCTGAAATCATGATTTCGTCAGGGTTTGTATTAAATGGAACAGGATTTGTATCGTTAGCCGAGGCTGTCAGATTTTTCTCGAGTATTAATTTGGATGAAATGTCTGGTGGTATCAAAGACACGACTGGACTTGATAGTTTTGGTTCATCTGATGAGATTGAATTCAAAGACAATTCCTGTTGAGGTTTAACACATTGCGGATCAATGTCATCATCTTCGCTGTCAATTTTGATTTCATCGGCATTATCAACTTGAGCTATAGATTCGATTGAAAAAGACGGTGTAGCAGAAACAGGTGCTGGTGCAGATACATGATCATGGTCAAACAATGCAGCAAATTTGACATGCAAATGTGCAGCAAACCAAAATGATGGCTTTAGTTTTCGAAGCAGAAATTCATTTGGAGGACTTCCCAAAGTGTTGCTTTGTACCTAGAATAAAAATATAAGCAAAAAATCCATGCATTGTTTAATATTCAAATCACCAGTTTACATACCTCTGATTTAAAATGTTTTTTGAATTGCAGCAGCTGCCGAGTGTTTCCATGATAGGCAATACCAGTAGGCCAATCGTGAGAGAGAAATATATCGACGGGAGTATTGATCTGGGCAAGACGATATACATTGAATTTACGCACATGGTAGATGGATCTGACATGGCCGTCATTGTATGGAAATCGCTCGTAATGGCCTTCGTTATAATGATTTTCTTTATAGATTCCGGAAATTCCAGCAATACGCACACTTCCAAATCGTACGCAACCAGCGAAACCCAAGAAATAGATGTTTGGACACACCCATCCACCATGATAAAGTTCCCATAGATAGTTAGAAGCCTCATGATTTCCACCAACAAAAATAGTAGGCACAGGAACAGTTTTTTGTCCACTGTAGTATTGGTAAAAGGTTCCCAAATGTTTATATTTGTCAGGACAAGCCATAGAAGCCAGATCGGCAGTATTTCGCATGGCTTGAAAGTCGCCACAGATTATCAAAAGATCAATTGTGATATTTTGAGTTTCTTGAATGTACCGCACTGACGCAAATATCTTGTCCAATTCTCCATGGCAGCAGCCTTGAACAGCAACTTTCATCCAGGTAAAAAGTTGAATTACAGTTAATGTCAAAGTTGAAATGCGAATTCAGCATTTAAGCGACAAACCCCAAATTCAAACTGTATTTCAGCTGAATTCCAATTTATTATAGGGAGTAAACTGTTAAATTTAGGGTGTGTCCCTAAATTTTAAACTCGTGTCAAAACACTTGATTTTCAAGCTTGCCAAACAATGCCGAGTTCAATGGTGAATGGAATGAAGGGCGATATCGACGATAATATCTCATGTACTGCAATTCATCCAAACTCACATTCCACAATGACTTCTGTTCAGTCTTTGGATTCTGCTGAATCTTTTCCTACTGCAATTCTCATCAAAAGTGCCAAGATTAATACTGTTCCCACTACTACTGGCCTTGGTTCTACTGCTGCTCTTTCTAGCCGAATAGTTGAACCATTCACTCATATCATTCGCAGCATTACACACTTTAATTTATTTTCATTTCTTCCTAATTCTGCTGCCTGTGCTGCCGGAAACGTTATTTCCCCTATTTCCAATGTTGTCTACGATGTATCCAGCCATTACATCAAGGTATTGATGTTTTTTGGTTTGCAGTAGATTCATGCATTCAATTATCACTTTGTATTGGCTTTTATTCAACTCAGCGATCACATTGATTTTCATTACTATTAGAATGTAATATGGTTTTTGGCTGGAAACAGAAACAGACGTCACTACTATAAATACTTGATGAAAATAGCAAACTCCTATGAACAGTGGGCTGCAGCTGGATTCATGTTGGATAGATGGGAAGGTATATATTTCATTTTGGCTCATGGTCAAATCTTTGAATATATACAATTGATCTGGCTAACTCGAGATTTGGGATTGCAACTATTTACATAGATAATGATATTTGGAAAATACACGAAGAGTCTCCGTATTATGATTACAGAATTGTTCGAGATCGACTCAACAGACTACGTGAACATAGAGTCGATGATGGGCTAAAAAATTTGATGCAACATATTCGTTCAACTCTAACACGAAGTCTAGGAAATTTTGGAAATCCTCATGTATGTTATGATGTTGATCATTTGAATGCTTTTGGTTATTGAGTAAAAGTTTAAACACTACTAAATATCCCACGATCATAAATCTATTTAGTTTGATGATGGTTGTTTTTTGGTTTATGCATTTATATTAACTTTTCTGATTTAAACTTGGAGTAGTTATACGAGCAGACTCACGTGGGTACAAAGCTACTAATAGAAGACTATATAGATGAAGTGACCAAGCAACTCAATTTCGTATGTGACACTTATGACAAAAATATAAACGATTATCGAAAAATGGAGTACTTTCTTGAGCTACAAAAGGCTTTTGGTCGCACTGCTCTGCTTCTCAGTGGAGGCGGGGCATTTGGTTTGTGAATTTGCTTTGCTATTTTAGTTTAATTGTCTTGAACTCGAGGCGGCTTTTGATATCATCAACTGGTTTATTGCATTCATTTGATCTGTATTGTAAAAACTAATTTGATTTAAATTGTATGGTGATTTTCAGGATTAATTCATATTGGTACCATCAAAGCAATGTTTGAAATGAGAATGCTCCCAAAGATCATTTCTGGATCGTCCTGTGGTGCAATTGTTGCAGCAGCCACTTGCATTCATATTGATAGCGAACTTCCCATTGTTTTAAACCCAGAGTTGCTAAATCTGGATGTGTTTGAGGTCCCAAGAGAACGTGGTAAAGCACTTTTTCGGATTGTGCGCTTGCTTGAACATGGTACATGACTTGGTTATACAATCTTGCAATACCTATTGCTACATCATCAGCTAACTTTACATGCAATTATTGTGAATGTGCATCTATAGGAGTGGTATTTGATGTTGAAGTATTTACAAACTCGATGAGGCAAAATTTGGGTGAAATTACATTCCAGGTATATAGAACCAATATGTTTATGGTTGAATCTTTGAAATATCCAATACTTTCTTGGTAATGATTTACTAATCATGATTCACTTTTAGGAAGCATTTAATCGCACGCGACGCATCCTTAATATTACTGTTAGCTCTTCTACAAACTACGAAATGCCAAGGTTACTCAACTATCTAACATCTCCCAATGTGGTAAGTTTTCTAGTATGGAATCAAAGGGTTTGCATTTGCGATAGTAGCTAATTCCTTATCTTGGTTCTAACTATATTTAGCTTATCTGGTCTGCAGTGTGAGCATTTACCATGCAATCTGTATCTTTGAGTTTCAGCACTTCTTATTTTTTAAAATTCATTTAGAGTTGCGTCTTGTGCTGTGCCGTTTGTATATCGCTCTGCACCACTTATGGCTAAAGATGCAAATGGTATGACTGTTACCTGGAACCCGTCTGGTCATTGCTGGATCGATGGATCAGTAGAAAGGTATACTTTTGGTGTATATACTTATTTGAATAGAATCATATTGGTTTATGTGATCAAGTGTATGTCTGATATGCTTGAGTATTCAAATATAGCGATCTACCAATTCAACGCATTTCAGAACTCTTTAGCGTCAACCATTTTATTGTAGCTCAAGGTACCACCCTTGCACTTTTATAATTGCAGATAAAAATCTTTAGATTTATCTGGCTGTTTATGTAGCTGGTGTCAATATATACTAATGATTGGTTTACTATTCAACTATTGAATTTTAAAAATAGTAAATCCACATGTTATGCCATTTATGGACTGGACAAATCGCGCACCTACCAGATTTTCATCGTTTGTAATACAAACCGGATACTTGGCTCAAAGGGAGATTCAGCACCGGCTTATGCAGGTCATATATTGATGACTTTGTACATGTCTTGTATATTTACACTAGGTCGCCTTTAATACTAACATGTTTTTCCAATCTAGTTGGATGATCTTGGTATTCAAAACAGTTATCTTTCACGGATAAAATCTATTATTTGTCAGAAATACTGGGGCGATATTACAATTGTACCATATGTGCCATGGACAAAATACCCTCAAGTGCTATCTAACCCAACTGTTCAAATTATCACAGACTATATGATTGATGGCGAGCGTGCTACATGGAAAAGTAAAGTTTTGTAATCCACTGTTTTAATTTAGCACATCTATTTCTAACTTGAATTGAATTTGTATATTCGACAGGAATTGGAATCATACGAAATCATCTTGAAATTGAACTGTGTCTTAACCAAAACATTTTGACACTAAAACAGCGACTATTTAATGCAGAGCATAATCTAGAAAAAAAGAAGGAATATGAAGACCGATCATTGGAGTCATCCCACATAAATCTTGATACTGTGATACCGTTTCGACACAGCAACACAATGTCATCCATTGATGATATACAATATCCCATACTCAAATCGTCCCACGCATCTCAGTATCTGTCTGATAAAGCACTGCACGTTGGACCTGTATCTGACCGAGTTAGTGTAGCAAAACCCATTCGACAGTCACATATGATTGAAGCCTCTATCCGCAGAAATGTAAAATCGTCTTCTGATGTACGCAAAATGAAGTCATTTAATTGATTCCTGTTTTTAAACCCATCGAGTCAATGCTGAGTTGAATTTTGGTTAATCGACATGAATTGTATAAATTCGCGCCTAATCATTCTTGTGCCTGAATTCAACTTGTATAAACCAGAACTGATTTGCACATGGACCATATAATTGGGTTTATTGGTAGCTTGCGAAGAATCTCACCTCGAGTAGAGGAAACAGAGAATCATCTTAATATATGTGTTATGGAGCCACAAAGAGGTGACTGGGCTGTTGCCATCACTCTCTGTCTTGTAAGTATTTACATGGTTGATTGGTAGAATCCATGGTGTTTATTTGAGAATTATCGATTCCATCAATAATACCATCAATAATTCTCATATAGTATATGGATCATTCAAGTACGTCGTTTCAGATAGCATTCATATCTAAATGCCTATTCACTGACATTCAACCCTGTTGCAACATATTTAGATTGGACTGCCGCTCACTTACTACACAACAACAACACCGATTTACTTTGGAGTGTCGTTTATTTTCTTTCTTGTCATGGCAAGCTCACTTATTGATGATACGTATATTGTAATCATTGACAAATTAAAAAGAGAGGTTTCCATCACCAAAAAGCGGTTTGGTCGAATTGAATCTATCCGAGTATGCAATCTATCCGAACTTGTTAATGTATGTAGACAAGTTTGGTTTTGTCGAGTGGATAAAAAATGTTGGTAATGGTCGTCTTATTTTATTGATATAATAACCCATTCATGCCATTGAAATTAGTGCGAGGTGATATCTACCACACATCGTAATCTAACTTCATTTCGGTAAGATTATCTTCAAAATGAGTTTAATCTATCTCGGTATGCATACTTGTTTGGTTCTTATATTTTTGTCATGATGACTTTACAGAATTGAACTTGAATTCCAATCGGAAATGGGATTTTATCGTATCCCTGCTTCCGAAAGCACTGTGATTGGAGAATACAACAAGAACAAGTTTGAATCCATTGCACAAGTAATTATCAAGTTTATGGATCTAAAACCACTTCCTGAATGGATAAAGGAGGAGTCTTTAGCGTCCAAATTTCCTCGTCAAAGGACTAGTGCCAAGAAACCTAAAAAGGCTCAATAATATATTGATATTGCATGAATGGATAATTGGCTCTTGGTCATGATTAAATGAGTTTTGGGTTCAGATATTTATTGCAATCTAAAGTAAACAAGATGGTTAATTAATATAAATTTGATTCGGTATTCTTGGATTATACCAAATCACTCCAGTCAAGTGAATGTCATTGAAATCATCTCAGTATGCTGGCAGCATGCCATTGATTTATTCATAAACCGAAACTTGCTTTTCTTTTTACAATCTCGACTATCGTCCTCAAAGCGACCCAATCATTCACCAGTGTTGGTGTGCATGCATTTTAGTCATATTGCAAACCTTGTTTAAAGCTATTTACGATCGAGTGTCTGATTCACTAGTCTGATATTCAAATACTCGTTAAACCACCACAATCGAAAATTATCAATCCATCATCGAATTATCATGTATCGAGCATCAAGACTGATACCAATCAAACACTATACAATTCTGTCCTTCTCTCGCAAACTATGCACTGCTACTCGACCTGTTTTTCATCAGAATCCTCTGGTATGGTATTGAACATATTATCCCAATAGTATGAACTTGACTCGATCACATCTTGCTGTTTGAACCAGATTCACAAAGGAAATATCGTCATGATTCGATTCTATTTGATAACATAAATATGCTTGATAGGGAATTCCTAGTCATCATCATGCAAAACAACAGGTGCAAGAAAGTCAAGCCAAAAGCAAGTTTAATGATCCAAACGAACCCACACTGCCTAGATCTGCTCGTGGTTTACCTGTTCGTAAACCCATTGCAGGTGTATCGCATGTCATTGCTGTTGCATCGGGAAAAGGTGGTGTTGGGAAATCTACAACGTCAGGTTTGTTTTACAATCAAATCAACTATTGCTTTAGTGACGCTTTGTTCTGATTTACATCGACTGTCATGAAATAATGGATTGGATTTTAACCCAATTGTAATCATGCATCATTCCTAGTCAATCTGGCAGTGGCTCTTGCAGCACTTGGACAACGAGTCGGTTTATTGGATGCAGATCTATTCGGTCCTTCAATTCCAAAAATGATGAATCTTCAAGGACAACCTTCTATCAACCAATCTAGTAGGTTGATCATTGATGTTCAAGGTTATATTCGAAAAATTACTAATGGATTTTTATTCAATTTAAACTAGATGGAATGCTGATTCCACTTACTAATTACGGCGTAAAATGCATGAGTATGGGGTTTTTGGTAGATCAAGACGCTCCTGTTGTTTGGCGAGGTTTAATGGTAAACCATCCAATTCATGCATTCATGTGGGTGATTTGGTTAAATCTGTCGATTTATAATTCTTGGTTAAAATAGGTCATGAAAGCTTTGGAACAATTACTGCGTCAAATCGATTGGTCTAATTTAGATATCCTTGTTATCGATATGCCTCCTGGAACTGGAGATACTCAATTAACAATCACTCAACAAGTTCCACTATCAGGTAATACAGATTTTGATTGGTACCGTGGTTGAAATCGTGTGATGGATTGCTTTTGAATACATATTGAATGAAATCTAGGCGCAATTATTGTATCCACTCCGCAAGATGTTGCTCTTTTGGATGCTAAAAAAGGAGCAAATATGTTCAAGATTGTAAATACTCCTGTAAGTTTACGTTGTCAAATCACGGTTTTGATGCTCGACTGACTGGCATGCCATCTTTATTTCCAGATTCTTGGCATGGTCCAAAACATGAGTTTTTTTTGTTGTCCAAAGTGTAATCACCAAGAGTACATTTTTGGAAAGGATGGTGTGGTTGAAACGGCTCGAGCTATGGAATTGGATATTTTGGCTGATATGCCACTTCATTCTGACATTGTGACAACTTCTGACAGTGGAAAGCCTATTACGATTTCACAGCCCAGTAGCGTACATGCTCAGAAATACAGAGACATGGCACGTACTGTCATGAGCAAGCTTGGTATATCTACACCATCACAATAGCCGGATTGGCATAATTGAAACAATTTTCTAGCAAGCTTATAGTTTAATATTTATTTTCATTTTCCAAACAGATCTGATGAGCCCATATCCATTCAACTATTTAAAATCAATTGGATAGTGTCGCTTCATTAGCGCGTAATGGCAGAGGCATTATGCCACTTTCATCTATTAATGTAGATTTCAATGGCTGTGTAGTATGTGAAGGATGATTTGGTAAAGACGCAATTAACATTGCTCGCAGAGTTTCGTTTTCTTTAGCAAGTCCAGCAACAAGCATGGCCACATCTGCCTCGTCGTTTGCAGACGACGCCTCTCTCATGACTTGGATACATTTTCCCAAATGCTCTGTCAGTCGAGTATTCTCTTCTCGAAGCAGTTCATTTTCCGTCTTGAATATGATCAAAAGTTGACAAGTCAGTATCCAATACAGCCAAAAAATACAACTGAGGAATTGGTGTATTCCATTGTATTCCATTGAATTATAATGTATCAACATCCAACATTCTTAAACAGAGTCTGCTTACCCGCTCTTGATCCAAAATTCTGTCTGTATTATCGCGCAGTTCCTGGCGTTCTTGTTGTATAAGATGCTAATATATCAATCCAGTAAATTGTATTAGCTATTCAAGTATGAAATAAAACAAAGTGCGGTTATATTTCCATTGAATCTATTGTGCCGAGTAAATCACTTGATTATTGAAATTAAACATAGATCAACGTACAGTTTGACTCCGAAACTTGGACATGATGATTTCCAACGTGGATTCGTATTGCTTGACCAGCTGCGAAAGCACCTGATTTTCCCTTTGTAAATCCCGAAATCGAATCCGCTCCTCATCTAGTATATAATTTAACAATACGATAGAGTTGGATTCAACCAATGGTATAGCCATAACACATTAAAACAAATGCAATAGTGAAGTTGGAAACAGTCAAAAAGAGATCATACTTGGAGTGTATGTTACAAATGCCTCCTAGGTTAGCCATTACAATAAATTCAAAAAATATTGGTTAGTTAAATCTGATGATACCAATAATTTACTATGCAAAAACAAGAATGGATTTGACAACATGGTAATAGTATACAAATTTTCATTCTAGTTCAAATACTTGATGCATGGTATCTGAACAAAGAATGCACCTTGAACATCTGGCATTTAATCAAGATAAAAACGGCCAAGTTGTACATTATCAAAGCCGTATTAAATAGCCGGTATATTCAATTCACCTGCAACTCGACAGCCTTTTCTTGAAGACGGTTAAGCTCAGTAATATTTTCCTGCCATTGACTACTTAAATGAAGTAGTTTTCTGTTTAAATCCATAAGCTCTGAAGATTCTCTATTCATTTTTCTGTTTTACAAAAGTAAGCTTGATTGAGCAAGTTTACAAGACAGTCGGTCACTTGCAGACGAGTGTATGGCTGTTGAATTCGAACAATCCAAACAATTAAGCCTTTAGAATTGGATTTGAAATCGGTTGCAATGCTTCAACTCCACGTGAGCCAAATGATCGTTTGCGATGTGCAGGGTTGGATATCCAATCCGAGTGTAAGCGTCATCGTTCTTTTATTCATTCGACCAAAGCAATATTCAAATGAAAGCAATCACACCCGAAAGTGCCAAAAAGAATACAGATAAAGCCATTTCTTCAACTAGTGAAAATGAAAAGCAATCATTGACTGATGATTTGTCTGTGATTGAAGCACGGGCAGAAGCATCTGTCGGTATGGTCAGAAGTTTAGTGGATAGTTGGCTTCCTGCTACTTACAAAGATACTCCAAAAAAACAACCCATCAAGCAAGTCGTCACTTGGACTACATCATGATATAAAAACTGTGCAAAATGATTAACATTGGATTTGTAATAGGTCGAATTTATACAACAACAGCAGCGCCAGCAAGCAGGTCTTGAAGCATAAACTGCATAAATCAATCCTTGGTAAAGGAAACAAGAAAGACTCTGACTTTGATCAGGACGAATCACTGCTTAAAACTGGATCTCTAAAGTCATCTGTTTATAGTGCAGATTCAAAACTATCTGCAAGCTCTAATGGCTCTCGTGTATCCAAACCTAGACCACTAGATCCACTTTCCATGTACTTGGAAAAGAGTAAGAAAAAACGTAGTAAGCGATAGAACGCAGCACTACGTCACAACTATGCATCCTCTGACCTGATAATCGACTATATAAAACAATGACTGCTAGACTTGAATTTAAGAATTTTTGATGGGTTTATTCAAATTCATGCTAAAGGAGAAGCTGGGAGAAATTGGAATTTGCCACTGAGGATATCATCAAGCGAAGTTTGTTCCACATGTACGAGCTGTCGTCGAGTATATTCAATTAATTTGAGAAGTTGTACAGCATTTACATCTTTTCCTCCAAAGAAGTTCCTATTTTATACAGTTATTCGACCCAATTGTCAAAATCAGATGGGTAAAGTAATACACCAACAAGATACTCTAGAATTACCTCCAAAGTGCTGCAGCAAGAATAGAATCTCCATAGTAGATACCCTCATCGTATGCAAGAGTTTGTCCATAGTATGAATCGAGAAGACCAGATGTGATTTGAGAGATTCGAGTCTTGACCTGTTAAAAGTCGATTTAGAAATACATGAATTAGTAGCGATTGCTAGATTTGGTAGTATTGCATTGCCAGGAATATGATTAACATAAATTAAAATGGCCGTGACTTACTCCAGCTTGATGCAGCTTGATTTCAACATCGAGCCAAATGTGATTAAACACCTCTTGCTTCATATCCTTTCCGTTAGCACCTTCTCCCCTCAAGCGTGCATTTAAAATCCATACATGCAGAATGGTCATGCTAAACCAGCCTTGAAAACTTTCATCTAGACCCAGTGCTGAAAACATCAAAGATTAGGCACCCGAAGCCATCCCATTCCAAATGGATTCATGCTACATCATTCAATGTAAGACGATCGAAGCCCTCCATTCTTACATTTGACAAAATCGGGTTGCTGCTCAAACTGCGCAGAACAATGCTCGTAATTGGCACGAGCATTATCAATCACATTCATCTTCCACTTGAGATATCCTACTGGATTTAATAGCTTGGAAAGTCCATCTGGATAAGGAAGCTCTTGCTGTAGCAATCAGAATTAGCAATCATGATGAATGTCGATCCAACAGCGATGCATGACAGTAAAAAAAACAAGCCATAATATCCTGTCAAACTATACACAAATACAATAGTAATCTTACACCCAAAGTTGTGTTTGACTTGGCAGTACATGTTGAATGAAGTGATCGAACAGATAATCCAACAGCATGAGGTGTTACAGAAATTGCTGTCCAAGTATGAATCAATTTTCCAATAGTCGATCTCATTGATAAAGGCATCATGTCCATTGAGTGTGATAGGGTTGCATTGTACAAACACTTTGTCTGTTTTAAAATACTGTACTGACGAAATATCATTCTTTAAAGAGTTGTGCGTTGTAGTAAGAATTATTGACGGTTTCGTAGATTGCTAAACAAGAAAATTCGATTTTTAACCAGTTGAAAATATTGACTTGAAATTCCATTCAGTCCAAATATTGATTGTTGCTACTGTGTCGAGCCAAATTTAAAAATCAGAATGAAAATAAAACAGTGGAAAGCATGTACACACATTCAATCAAATCTTGAATGTATTACAAAATAGTATTTAGTCGGACGACAATCGGCAGATATCACCAGTTGTAAACAAAATCATCAAAAATCACTTTTATATATCAAGTCGCATATACTGATTCACTAAAAGCTCTTTTCAGACATCATAAAATTTATATTTATTGATACGGATTCTGCAAAGTACAATTATGAAATCAACTACGCCATAATTGAGCAACTTTGTGAAGTTGTTCCATGACTTGTGGAAAGAATGCACCAACACTTTCAATCACAAGTGCCTGAATAAATTGAATTGCTTCTTCATCATTGAGATCCAGTCGAAACCGTTCTTGCACCTAAATGACAATAACCATATGATATTTAGGATTGAAAGATTAAAAACCACACTGCTACCCATACAAAGCATATGCTATTGCAGTCAACTCACCTTCCATACTGCTTTATCTGGCTCAATAGCAATATCAGGGATGTTTGCATTGACCATTAAAGAAAATAAATTGAGAATAAGATTGGCTGATTTACGTAGACTGTTAAACGCTATAAATATATACGACTTGAATTTTTGGTAGTTGGATGACATGGCCCCACCCATTGCTTCTACCATCTCTTTACATAGTTTCATAGGCGGTGGAAAGGGCTTGGGATCGCGACCAAGAATAAATCCAAAGTCAATGTGGATAAGATTGCCTTCCCTAGTCAAAAGCAGATTATCTAAATGACGATCGCCAATTCCAAGTAGATACGTAATAACACAGTATCCAGCTAATGGTTTACAAAAGTATCGTGACACATATATTCATCAGTATTACCATTATAAACATTCTATATTGCATAATAGTGTCATTCTAACCTGTACTACGAATGTATGTATCCATTGTTTGAGGAGATATCTCTGTTGAATCCAAATCTCCACTCTTCATAAACGGCATAATACTGTTTCCATAATCGGCAAGAATACTTGCAATGGCTTGAGCACGAACAAACTGCAGCATTCCTGCATTTTATAAAAATAAAACTTGAGTATACATCACATTTACCATTTTTAAAATCAAACATGTGTACCATGGTCTGGTCCAGTAGCAAGCACTTTGTAAGGAGTGAGTCTCAAATCAAGATTCTCTTTTCGCAGTAACTTGTCCATGAGCATGATGATTTGAACAACCAACTGATCTTGTCGCAAGTCATCGCCTGTTTTGAAAATAATGGAATACTCTGATCCGTCAAGACACGAAAATGTCAAGTGAAGTGGAAGCAGTTGAGATTTAAACACATTTGCTTTTTCTGAATTTCAACATATTCAATGGGCAGACACGTTAGAAAATCAAAGCCATTCAAGACAAATAAAATAAAAATACCTGGAATCAGCCCCGTCACCTGAATTTGTGCATCCAAAGGAAGTGGAAGTGGAGGAAACGACAACAATCCATTCTTGGAATCTGCAATAAACTCTCGCAACTTTTCAATCTGGTTGACCAAAAAGTAGTGTGAGTTTCTTGTAGATTTAACTCAAATACAATAGAAAATCCAATCGTATGTAGCTCAAGATACCTTTCTAGGCCGTGGTTCTTTTCCAGTCCGAAGTTCTTTTGAAATGCGCGCAATTGTAGCTACAAGCTCTCCTTGTCTTCTTAAAATATCTCGGCGATGAACACCATCAGGAGTCTAAACAAAAACATGTCAATATTTACAGCTCATCAATAATCGCCACGTCAAACAGCATTACCTCTATCATTGCAGTCATATATTGAAAAGCCACTTTGGCATATATCTTGCCAATGACCTTGTCTTCGCATTCTACCATCAAGTACCTAAATGTTGGATTAGTTTACGTTGGATATTTTAAACCATGTGCAAACATGATTCTGAAATCTAAACTCGCATAAAAAACAGATACTGTAATAACATAGTTGCAAATTTACCAATGAAGATAGTTTCCAAGAATTGGATTTTGAATTCCTCGCTCAATGAGAAACTCAACCAATGGAGATTCAAGAATCGATACTTTTTTTTCAAGATACTCAAATTTAAGTGCTTGTACAAGCTGCAGCAGATATAATTGTAATTCCTACACTCCAAAAGTCAATTAGGCATTCATCTCAAAATCACTACCCAATGCCTTTTAATACAACGCAGTGCCCAAGTCAATACAGTCTATATACGCACCTCATCATCGGCTTTTTTTAGTTGAAATACGGCAAAACTTCGAACATTGGTGTCTGAAAATGTTGGACCCAATAATTCCAATGCGTCCTCGACATCAATATCAACCCAAACATTAAGAAGTTCCACTGCTTGCTTAGCCTCGGTTGGATCGGTCCATATGACACATTTTAAGAATTTTGTTAAAGCCTACAGAAAATGAATCAAAGTTAACATTACACCATCAACCACTACAATTCTTGCTTTAACAAAGCATCGGTGCAGAGAGTAAAGCATACTTTTTTGTCTCGAGTGAGATAAAAACGAAACTTCCATAGCAGATCCTTTTCTTCAGCTGTTAGTGTTTTTGTGGGAGAATACCGAAGAATTTTCTATCGCATCAGCAAATATATATATCAATAAAACAAATTTGTATTTTCTGTATTTCAACTGTAGCTGTGGGTCAATGTATAGTGGATAAGGACAGGATAAACTCACGTTTAAATCATCTCGAAGTTTAGCATTTGGCTTTAATTCGCGATCAAGTGGTCCGTTTCGATGACTACGAGCAAGTTTGCGATGTTTGTTTTCTATGGGATTTTCATTGAGTGATTCAGGGTCGAAAATCGAGACTAGTTTTGAGTCGAGAGATCGCAGAACCACATTTAATGCAAAATGATACTCCTATATAGTATCATTTGAATCCAGACATGCCAGATTTAAAGTGTTTAGCTGACACAATGTGCACGGTAGTTTTGCAACATAGCATTACCTTTTCATTGAACACAATAGGAAAGTCAAACTGCGGCAAGTCAATGTATAAATACAGATTACGGAGTGTAGCAGTTTCGTTCTAAATATTGGATATTCAGCATCACAATTAATGGGTGTTTAGACTCTAGATTGTAGGTGAATAAACCACTTACAGCTTTGATTCGTTCAATTTCACAAAATGTTAGCTGATCAACCCAATCCAGCTTTGGGATGTCATCGCGCTGATATTTACGCATCACCTAATGATGATGTACACGAGGACAAGTTTAAAGCAATGGTTAACTCTTGAGTTGAAAGACAAGTATGCGCAAGGTCAAATCACTCAACATTTTACCTTTTCGATTCGATCCATTTCTGTTGATTTTCCCATTTTTGGTGGAGTTTTTGTTGGTGTGGACCCATCTGCTTCCATCCAAGGCGATAAATAGAGTTTGTGTTTTCCTTTTCGAAGTGTACTAAATTGATTGATCAAGCAAGTTAAACTTGAAGTGTTGGACCATCAACACCCACAGCATAGTTGAACATTTACTATTAGTGATACTCTGCACGTACTTGCTTTTTCCAAATAATGGAAAGGTAGTTCCGCCAATAGCGATCGGCTTTCGTGGAGCATATACATCCCAAAGGGTGAACGCCAGCTGAGTTGTTGCAGGCATATTACTGTACTTTAAAGGCAACTCGATCCATTCGTCCCACCTGGTAGATAGCATAATTGAATGTGTTATATGTTTAGCCAACGGTTGTAGGACTGCCAAGTGCACAACCGGGGGTATTCGGAATGCACTTGACGACTTACTGGACAGTTCTTTCCATAGGTTTAAAGCTTGTTCTGATTGGAAGTGCTAACGGTTTATTTTCAGCAAAAGGTTGAATACTGATGTAGATGTCAGTTCCAGATGCACTGTCTAGACTGGCATCACAATCTGGACCAACTCTCAAGTACGGATCCTTGAGCATTCTGGACAAGGCAACCTTGGGTCTGTAACCCTCAATACTTCCACTACATATGGGTTGAGTTTCAGTGGATATCAGCCATAAACAATGATCCAGCAAGACGAGTTAGTTGTGAATGAGCATGTTTTGCTGAACAGCAGTTCTGTTTCCAATATGGATTACATTTTAAATACAACGTTGATATCCAGCTCAGAGGAAAGACAGTATGAAAAGTCTGATATCTGAGTGCGTTCGGTACTGCTGGCATTGCTGCTGGAAGCAGTACTACTGCCATTAGGCACACCAAACCCTGTGTAGTTTCCAAAAGAGTTGCTAGCAGACATGATTGGATGTTTAATAAACTATCAAGGTTGAAATTTCTAGTTGATCAACAGATGTGTAAAGAACAGATCGAATCCAAGTCAACTCCTGCAATGAATAAATCGTCACGGAGTATTCTATAATAAACTATTATTGATGGTCCTAGTTTCAAGCACGAGATTCAATCATTATCGATTGTTATTGCTGGTTGGATTCAGTTTCTCCAACTCGATACTATCAGGATCCAAATCAGATCTCCGTCTTCTGCTGGATCGTCCGTCTGATCCAGCAGAAGGTCCAGCAGTACTTAATGGAATAGGTTCCAGTTCGCGCCATAAACATAGATACTCACCACCAAAAGAGACCATGGCAGTAGATCCTGCTAGTAAAACCCACCAAATCAAACTGTTTGGAGACCTTCCACTATAGATGGAGACAAGTAGCCAATGAAGGATATGCAGAGTGCATGCAAAGTCCAGACAGAGTCGTGCACGTTCGACGATGATGAGCATAAAAAAGCATCTTTAAAAAGAATGTGTAGAATAAGACATGCAGGATAAGCTAAAAGTGGGTTGAATGGGTCATACATCAACTACAGTGAGTACATACGAGATGGAAGCAGCAACCAGAAAGGCAAAGAACAGACTCCATCCAAGAGCAGTGGAAGGATCGATTTCACTAAAGGACAGCAGTTGATGAAGATTGGTGGGAGCGCCAGTGAGGAGAGCAAACAAGAACACCACAGTTGAGAGACAGAGATAATAGCTGCACTGCATAGCAATTATCTGGCCAACAAGCATGGCAGGATCAAAGGTTCCAGACCGAAAGGATGCGTTACTGGCCATTGAAAGGGTTGAAGTTGGTATGGCTTGGATAATGAAAAGACTGTCAAGTTGGTATTTCTTATCTGACCCACACTCCAAGCTACTCATCAATCTGGTATTGATTCACTTGTTTCTATTCAAATTGTTGGAATGCAGGCATGTCTCATCACTACTGTTTGTAAAACTATACTCATCCTATTGAATCAACTTTACTGGATAAATGAGTTTACTAACTAATCATGGTATAGGTCAAAGTCTTGTTCTTTGCGAGTGGTAGAGAGCTTGTTGGACTGGAAATGGATCATCTCATTCTACCTGGCTCAACTGTATCTATGCCACAGTTGATCGAGGCTCTCACTGCAAAACATCCTTCTATTTTACAGATTTTGGAATCAAGCATGATTGCTGTTAATATGTCTTATGTGGACAAACAGGGATTACTAGAAGATGGTGAATATGTGCAGATCAGAGATGGTGATGAGATTGCTGTAATTCCTCCCGTCAGTGGTGGATGACAAGACTGGTTCACAACATTCATAAGATACAATTAAACTTTTACTTTTTGGCATAGTCATGCATTGCACAATCACCACGTCTGAATCCAGTGATAGATTGACTGTTTTGGCATTCTCAATAAAGATGTGTACATTCATTGTTGTGTTTTGATTCTTTTATTTTACATGAATACACTCGTAACTATCAACCATATCATCTGCTACAATCAAGTCATTCAGATTTGTATCTGATGATTTGTTTATAAGTCTTCCATTTACACTAAATAGCAAGTCAACCATAAAACAATATCCAAATGTTGTATATATTTTGTGTTATTATTACTCATAATTAATCTCAATGCATCTTACAATCGTTTGCAAAATTGCTACGGAAATACTTGCAACCAGTCTTGCAGAAATTCCACGATATAAACCAGAAACCCGCCAAATTGGGTTCCATTCATCAGATTGCTTCTTGAATCTGGTCGTCGATTGTCGATTCCGTTTAAATCGAGAATGTTGTTTTGATAAAGTAGGATTTCTTTTTGATGATCGAGGTCCACCTTCTTCAATAATAATGCGATACACACAGTCCAAGATTCCTACATAAGGAACAGGCGAGGTTTGTACCACAGTTTTGTATTCGCATTCACGCATACCAAGTTTCTGAGGATTGGGCTGCAAATGTGGCATACGACGCACTACTTGACACATGAGTCTTTTACGTACCGTTTCAATAGGAAGCATAACAATCAGTTCCAGCAATCCAAATGCCATTTCACAAAACAAATAGGAAAAAGGACTTTCTTGCTGATCTAAACCAAGTCCCCTGTCAATGATCAACGGACCAAGAAACTTGAAAATTGGATTGAGAGTATGAAATGCAAGAGTAGGAAACAGCAGATTACAAGAAAAAAATATGCCAAAAGGTTTGTCGGGAAACTCTTCCCTCAGTACTGTGTAAAGTGTGCTTGATATATATCTATATTTACGATGATATCTACTTGACGTTTGAACAATTTGTCTAATGATAGCATGTGAATCAGTAAAATAGTACTAAACCATTTGGTTTACACTCACATTTAAAACGAAATGATTGAGCGTGTATGCTATTACCTGGTTTGAATCAATTCTAACGGACTAAATAGTACACCGCAAATAGCGTGGCTAGCTAGTAAAAGACCTGCTTGAGGGATTGGATTTTCAGAATAAGACAACTGGATATCATCCAAGGGAATATTGAGAAACGAAGCCAAAACATCATTTGTAGTAGGTTGTGTCCAAGCAAACAGCAGATCTCTTAAAAAATTTGCATTGTTTCCTAGAGATAAAGCAATGTGTTTAAATGTCAAAACCAATTTCCAAAACAGGCAAGTAAAAGATCTGCAACTACCTTTCCAAAGAGAAGTAAATCCTTCGTCATTGTGTAGTAGAATACGAAAAATGGTATCCAAAGTGCCAGTATCTAGAATAGGAAGCTGATACTGTGGTCGTGTAGGATCGTCATCTGAAAACGAAGTTTGAAGAAGATAACCGGAAGCATCTGCGGCAGATGATTGTAAAATGGAGTTTTTTTCAGTACGATGAAGAGTAGATTCGACAAGACTGTCATTCAATTGTGCAGCGTATTCCTCTGCGTCAAAATAGCTTTGATCATCATCAATATCAGGAACACTACTCTGATCCTCTTTACTGCTACCATCATCGCTAAGACAAGTATCCTATTCAACAGTTTAAAACAGTCAAGATTAAATCAATGTACCAAGACAAGCAACACTACAACAGCGTGAACATACATTAGTGGATTGACGATCGTATTTGTCAGATTGTGGATCGATACGCGGAGAAGTCTGACAATAACGATCCGATGATTGCATTTGCTCAATAAAAGTATCGGATGGAACATATTGAACTTGCTATATGAACAATACCAAGCAAGTGATTCAGTAAAACGCAATAGAAACCAAAACGAATGATCATTCAATACCTTGAGAACAAGAGCATTTTCAATAGGAGTTGATATGGAGATGGCCGAGAATTTTGAGATGCAATACAAAAGGAATTGAATGTAAGAGTGATGACGATAGTTTTCGGTTGAATGAACCGAGTTTAACGGAGTGGAAGAGCCGTAAAGCAATCCAGACAGTTTCTGTAGTTCGTCCCAGTCAGCAGGATGTTTGATGCCAGTCGAGTCCATGTGAGTGCGACCAACTTCAAAAATCAAAAATCAGAAACTTGAAATTCTTCATCGTCCAATCTCAAACTGAGATCGACATCTTGCTACAGTCCAATACATTATCATGTCTAAATCAAACCCTCTTGCAATTGGTGGTCAGAGAGTCTCTGGTGCTGAAGTGCGCCAACAGAATGGTATTCTTGCTTGATTAGATCTGTCCGACTGTCTTGAACTTGCATTGGCTGACGTATCGCTTGCCAATATTCTATATTTACTACCAATGCTTTATAGTCATTGCTGTCCAGTCTATTGCAAACATTGTCAAGAGTTCTCTCGGTCCTGTTGGTCTGGATAAAATGTTGGTCGATGACATTGGTGTAAGTGATGGTCGAGTGTGCTATAGCACGAGTGTGTTATAGCATGAACTAATGTCCTGTGTATGACCTTGATCCTCAATGACTGCTTTACTCATCATCGTCCTGTAGTTGTCAAAAAACTTTAAATCTGCCTTCCGCTTGCTTCTCTCGTCTTCTTGTTGCTATTCCGCTTCCGCTTCTTTTTCTAATTATTCCAGATTCCACTGCTAAACAGTTGTCTGTTCTATCAATCTTTTATCTTTCCATCTATTCAATCTCATTGCATTCATTGTAAACGCTTGTCCGGTTTGAATTCTAATGTTTGTATCTGCGTGCACACCATTAATTTGCTTGTTAGGATGTAACCATCTCTAATGACGGTGCTACAATCCTCAAATTACTCGAGGTCGAACATCCTGCTGCAAAGGTTCTTGTCGAACTTGCTCAACAGCAGGATAAGGAGGTTGGTGATGGCACTACTTCTGTTGTCATTGTTGCTGCCGAATTGCTACGGAGAGCAAACGATCTGGTCAAAAACAAGATCCATCCTACTACCATCATCACTGGTTACAGGCTCGCTAGTAAGGAAGCAGTCAAGTTTATTGCAGAGCAAATGGCCATCAAAGTTGAAAGTCTGGGTCGTGACTGCTTGATCAATGTTGCCAAGACTTCCATGTCCTCCAAGATCATTGGATCGTATGTTTTATTCCTGCTTGACTGATTAATTACTCTATGCTGCTCTGAATATCCCATAAATCTTGTTTAATACTGCCAATCTAACATGTATTGCTCACAAACTCTAGTGATAGCGAATTCTTTTCAAATATGGTTGTTGATGCCATGACTGCTGTCAAGTCTACCTCTGAAAAGGGTGAAGCAAGGTATCCCATCAAAGCTGTCAACATTCTTAAAGCACATGGAAAAAGTGTCAAAGAAAGTACTCTAGTCAAGGGTTATGCTCTCAACTGTACTGTTGCTTCCCAAGGTATATAGGATCTTGCTTACTAGAGCACTTTATCAATTATGCTACTCTACACACATACTGATTACTTTACCTACCTGATTGTAGCTATGAAGACTAGGATCCAAGGTGCCAAAATTGCTTGCCTTGACATCAACTTGCAAAAGGCACGCATGCATCTGGGTGTTCACATTGTAATTGACGATCCCGACAAGCTTGAAGATATTCGTAAACGTGAAATTAAAATTACTACTGAGCGTATTCAAAAGATTTTGGATGCCGGTGCTAATGTGATTCTGACCACTAAAGGTATTGACGATCTTTGTCTCAAACTTTTTGTTGAGGCTGGAGCCATGGCTGTTCGTCGCTGCAAGAAGGACGATCTTAAACGCATTGCCAAGGCAACTGGAGGTAATGATTTGATTTAGTACTGACTGGAATGATTTATTCTTGAATAAGATGGCTCATCAGCTTTGTATGTTTCATTCGTATGTGACCATGATTTTAATGCACATGTTAGCTACTTTTATCTCTACACTCGCAAATCTGGAGGGCGAGGAAACCTTTGAAGCATCTTATCTTGGTCATGCTGAGGAAGTTGTTCAAGAACGCATTTCTGATGATGAATGCATCTTGGTCAAAGGAACCAAGGTTCACTCTTCTGCATCCATCATTCTACGTGGTGCCAATGACTACATGCTGGATGAGATGGAGCGATCTGTACACGATTGTCTCTGTGCTGTAAAGCGCACTCTTGAAAGCAACACTGTTGTTCCTGGAGGTGGTTGTGTAGAAGCTGCTCTTTCAATCTATCTTGAAAACTTTGCCACTACTCTGGTATGTTTGCATCTTGATTCGTTGTCATTTCTATCCCTACTATGTATGCTTTTCCGTCGTTAACACTGCTTTCAAACTAGGCTTCGCGCGAGCAACTTGCTATTGCTGAATTTGCCAATTCTTTGCTTGTCATTCCCAAAACTCTAGCTGTCAATGCCGCCAAAGATTCTACTGATTTGATTGCTAAACTTCGCGCATACCATAATGCTGCTCAGAGTCCAGGAGCTGATGAGGCTAAAAAGGCATTAAAATGGTCGGGTCTGGATTTGATCAATGGTGTGGTTCGCGACAATCTCAAGGCTGGTGTGATTGAGCCTGCCATGTCCAAGGTCAAGTCTTTCAAAGCCGCCACTGAGGCTGCCATTGCGTTGCTGCGTATTGAGTAAGTTGTCATGTATTTGATGATCTGTTGTTATACAAGTACAGATTGACAGGCACTGAACTCGTCAATTTAAATACTGACGACTTTTTACTACTTGTTTTGTAGCGATATGATTAAAATTGACCCCGAACCTCAGCAAGAGGATCCCCACGGTCATTAAGCGATGAATAGGTGTAGACAAGTGAGCAAATGGGTGTTGCATAACCGATGCTATTTGAAATAAAGGCAATACTTCATTTATTATATAAGCAGATTTACATTTACTGTTTTTTATCCAAGTGGTATGATTACAATTGCATTCACGTACAATGTGAACAAGATTGGCATGAAATCAACCGTTGCAGCCTTTACTTTGAATTAGAGCGTATCTGATATTCTAGGATAACAGTTTGATTGAAAACAGCCAAACTCAATATCTGGATTGTACTGTTTGAATGTGTATCATATGATGGGCGAATATCTAAAAGAAACCAATTTTCAGTAGGAAAAATAGCGAATATCAGCCATTGTTGATTCCAAAGCAATCACTGCAAGATAAATACAAAAACGATCCATCTTACATGAATACGATTGCAAATGAATCGAGACTAGCAAACGAAAGCAATTCAAAACAATTGTTATGCTGATATCAAAGTTGAGCGGCTTTTGTTTGTTTTCCTATTGGATTGATATCAACATCAATCTTGCGTGAAAATCATGGACCAACTACCAAAACTACTGAACGAATACTTTGAAATACCCTCTACTTCTTCCCAAAGAAAACAGGAAATAGGTACTACTGTATCATGGTTGAATGGGTATCATATTGACAGTCAATGGTTTAACACGTATACGTATTATGCAGAATCTCATCTGGAGTCGCTTCGAAAACAGCGTAGCAATATTCCAGTCTGCAAGCAGATTCTTCAAAATCCACAGTCTTCTACTTCATATACTCATTGGTTTTGCTTGACAGTGTTTGAGGTATTCATGCAATACAAATTCATACTTGAATGGTTCAAATGGCTGTCAATGTTCGACGTGGCGTATATGTTGATTTGGCGATATGATGTTATGCTATCTTGTGCTGTACCATTCACATTTGCATTTCAATATACATCAGCATATACTCATTTAATATAAAATTCTATTTATAGGAGTTACTGCCTACATGGAATTCCAAAATGACTGTATCTGGACGGCAGCAAGTCAAAGAGTTTTTATGGACGCTATTAATTAATCCACAGTATCCAGAAATGTTTGCTAGTTTTGTTGCTACAAAATTGGCTACTTTGATTGTTCATATTGCACGACAAGAAATGCCTTCTGAATGGCCAACATTTTTTGAGGATGTTTTGGCGCTGCAGACCACAGACCCACAACTATGTCTTAACCTACTTAAACTAGCTGTTGAAGAATTCATGTTTATCCGGCAAGACAGCAATATGATTGATATGCAACAAACTCAATTAAAATCCATTATAGCGTCACGAGCACCGCGAATATGTCATGTCGTGATTCAAGTTCTCGATCATATCTATCAAACTCAAGTTCAACGTATTGGATCCAATTCACCGTCTGTTTCGTCAAGCACCACTTTGAATGTCGGCACTGCCTTTTATTCTCCCTACAAATCTGAATTGGCTTCGTTGTCACCTGGAAGCAAAACATCTGATCTATCTCCATTAAATAGGCATTTATTGAATTCCTACGAATCGCCCTTGAATAGATCTTTGTTGGATGATGCGCATACTGTACCATTGGTATACAATGCATCTTTAGATAGCCACTATATTACACTCTGTCAAACCTCTTTAGATATCATGCACAGTTTGCTGTCATGGATACCCCTGGAAGACCCTTTGCCTGTTCAATCCATTGTAAAAACTCTACTATGCTATTCTCAGTTTACAGATGATAGTATGAGCAATTTGGGATCTCAAAGTCTATCCTGCATAAACGAGGTTTTGCAACGCAAATACACGCCACAGGGGCACAATGAGTTTATTTCATTGCTCATCAATCATATTTCTGAAATTCTACGGTATTTAATGTCTAGTCAAGATTCCAGTGTCGATCATCCGCGTCTTCAAGATATTGATTCAGAGTAGGTTTCAAGACTCGGGCTACTACATGCTTGATTTGAAATCCAGTATCTTGTCAATTGTATTTTAAAATGTTGAAATGGTTTTTTTGGGTTTATCGCTATTGTGAATTACACAGCTATCTATGCAAGTTTACAGACCTTATTGGCCATTTTATATCTCAGCACTCGTATAAAGCAGAAACAGAGAATGGATCCCATTTTTCAGAATTCTTGCGACTATTTTACAACTACACATTTGCTCAAGTGAGTTGCTTTGACTATAACAATAGCCATGCAATCTTGTTGTTACTCATGCTGTTTAATCTTATTGCAATGGATGGGTTTCAAATTCAACGTGAAATGCTCAATTGCAACGTTTTAGCAATCGTCGGAAGACTTTTTAGCATGTCTTGATATTTGGAAGCAATTCATTGGCATCATGCTGGATAGATCGAAAAAAATGGATTCAACCGCGTCTACCGAGTATCTGATCAGGTAGTTTTCTGAATGCTTATATAACAGCAATGCCTCTTTCTACTATAATTGTTAATGCGCATCATTTAAATTGTTGAATGGGATATAGATACCATGGCGGTTTAGTTGGAATTGTCGATGCTTTGTTTAAACTCAAAAGCTCGTCCTCGACTATTTGGGTAATGTCTCGTGTCATTCTTATTTTACAAAGCAACTTTAATAATGTGATGAATGTTTTATAGAATTCTGAAGAACGAAAATTGATTGAGCAGCATTCTTTAGATGTTATTGGTAAGCTGGACTGATTAGATACGTCTTGAACCTGACTTTAGTAATGGTTGTATCTGAATCTTTTTATATCTGTGACAATCAGTAAACGTGGCAGATTTGTTTCCATCAGATATTTTGCAGCGATCATTTGACTTGTTTACCACTCATAGTACCACAATCTTTCAAAGACTAGATGGACAGAGCCCAACTGCTGACACAATGAGAGAATGTAAGCCACATGTGGATTTTTGTGGCATTTCTATTTCAGTGATTTGGGATTATACTCACAGTTTTTGAATATCTAATGATTTGATGGATTATAGGCACACTGTCTATTGAAATGGCGTTGCTTGTTTTTGGACGAATCTCCCACTTGTTTACAAATGACTTTGATAGGACGTTTGCAGCGTCTTTTGCTTTAGTTGATCAGTTTTGCACTTTTCAGGAATTTCTATTAAGACATAATGTCATGCTCAACGAGTCTCTGTAAGTCGTGATTGTATCTGCTTATTTTTATTTGGCACACTATGACTGTTTATGCTAATCAATCCTATTTATTTTTATCTGATGTATGAAATAAATAAAGACCTACAACCGTCATGAATACATTGATTCTATATGTTCACTGGTTCACAAATTTTCACCAAGCAGCACAAACCAACTCTGAGATGTCTTCCAAATTTGACAATCTAGTTTTCAAGATAACGCTCATTTGCACACAATCTCTAACTATAAATGCAAGTACATGGCGTTTTGAGTTGTATACATGGTCGAGGTTAGAAATCTCATTACTTTGTCAATATTTTAGAATCAATTGCTTCAATTTTCATCATCTCGACTGCTTCGTGCCATGTCAGAAACTGTGCGACCGGATTTGTTCAAAATTCCCCATGTGGTAAAATGTCTTTCTGAGCTTCATAATATTGCCTTTAACACTACCTCGTCTACACGAGATGGTTTGTATCAATTTGCTACAAATTTATTTGTGCTACCAGTTTTGAATGCAAAGATTTTTGAAGAGGTATATCTGCAGAGCCTTGAAAAATGACTAGAGTTGACAAAGGTTACTGGTTGCATCAAGGCGTTTCTAACCATTTTATTGTTACCCCAGGAATGGAAAGAGCGATCTAGAATGTATCAGCAGCTTATGCAACCTCTGGTGACTGCGTTTGTTGAACTTGTTCAAGGTCCCAATTTCTCCAACACGGCTCAGCAACCTCAAAGTATGATTTGACTGTTTTCAACTATTCATTACAGTGGTTTATAATGCTTATTCTCACATCATGCTTGACTGATTACTAGTTCAACAGCAAATTGTGTTGTCTATAGAAGCTTTTGTTGGATGCCTTCACGCGATTGAAGCTCAGGGCACGTTTCCCAAGGAAACTGTATTTGAAGCTTTGCAGGCCACCATAGCATCGTCCATGTCACTCCTGAATGTATATTCAAACGACAATGGTGAGTTTGTATTCAATTCATTTTTTCAAGAGTTTAAACGTATATATGGCTAAATGGATTTGGACTAAAACAATTTGATGTATAACAATTCATCCAGCCATGCTATGTGTTTTATTGGATTACATAACGCTACTTTTCAATGCACTTCGAGCCCAGAATGCAAGAGAGAACATGGACTTGTTTACGCAAACCATTCAACTGTTTATGCAAATGCTCAAAGGGGAATCGCTGACAAAGCATATACAACAAAATTTGGGATCTGCTGTGGTGGAAAAAGCCATCAACTTTTTGTCTACAACAATTGATCATCCTCACAAAGGCAGCTCTACCATTTTACCACAAATTATATCTTTCTGTGTCCAGGATCTGTATCCGCAATGCATTGATGGGAACGTGAGTGCATTATACAGACTTATTTTCAAGTCGTGTTTGACCTTGCTCATTTAAGCTAATTTACTCGTGTTTTGTTTTCCGGTTTTTTTCATGCTGAATCTAGAATACGTTTTTTGATTCCATTCGACCTCTGTTTTATGATATGCTTTATCGAATACTGTTGAATCACTGGAGATACTTTTTTAATGCTCGTGTAGGAATAGCTTTGGGTGGCGACCCAACGGATTGCAAGAATGAAACCGAGTTTATGGCAATTATTCAGGTATAATGATTTGATTTGCATTGTTTTTGTATTGATTGGGGATCAAAAAACCATTCCTCTACATAGTAGAATAGAGTTTTGTTGTGTGGATATAAATGGACGTATTGACTGTTGTGGATGCCGATATTTTAGATTTTTATGCTTTCTTTTCAAGGCACACATGTGGATATGATTAAACAAACCATGACCATCTTTGAGCAACTTAATGAAAAATGTCGACTTTTTTCAAGAGTATGTACTTTGTCTTGTATCACCAACCTTTTATGTGTTATTTACCTATTCTTCTGCCATGAACTTCTTGATCTTTTAGCCCGTGTTTGTACAAAACATAGCACCAAGCATCATTAAATGTGTATTGGACATCTTGTTACAAAAAACACTCGAGCTTTTACGTGACGACCTGATTCAATTTATGGGAAATATTGTAACGGCTGATCCCAGTGTGGTATATTCCAAAGTAAATATAATATTGACCTATTACTAGATTGACTCTACAACATAGATGGATGCGTATTGAACATAAACGAGCTGAATGGGATTGATTCTAATGTTATTCATGTGTAGGTTGTTACGCATTTTTTTATTGAAAAATGTAAATCGTTTACCAAAGAGCAGCAGAATATGCTTGGATCACGACTGGAAAATATCAAGGTACTGTAGTTTTAATATGAAGCGATTTGCTAGAGTTTGAATACGTAGCTGCAATCGACTGTGGAAACTAATCGTGTTGAATTCGCATGATAGGATTTGGAATCAAGTAAAGAAGGCTTTGGATTATTTATCAAGGAATATGCTTACTTTCAATCTCATATGAGAAATGAATATGCTCAATGATCCTAACATGATTGAGCACTTGGTGAGATTTATTCATGGCACTTGTTTATTCATTAATAAAATCAAAAGTGTCAACAGGTAAACTTACTTGTATAGAAATGGATATGACCCATTTAAAGGTGAATCACCTATTGATTTACACAGTTGGCTCAAAACAGTCGGTTTTAGCAAACTGTTCATTTTATCTCTATAAAATGATATCCATTACAACCGTATTCGCGTGAAATGAAACGCCAAGGATGCCAACATGTAATAAACAGCCAGTTTTATGGAATGGTGGTTATCAATCCACACCAAAAGTACTGGTTTTTTGTGTTCATCCAATACATGCACTCTTTGGTTTCCTGAATGTATCCGAATTGGGTTGATAGCAGTTGAATCCAATGTCTGGGTTGCAATGAACGAGTGTGGTGATCATATGTTACGAGTATATTAAAAATGAGGGTTAAAACTATAGTTTGATGTGTATTATGATGGTCGTTGTTTACAAAGAATCGAGAATGTCGATTGGAGAAGGCGCAGTTGATGCGAGATAAATACAAGTGCTTCATTCCAAGTGAATATAGCTATAATCAAAACAAGACAAAATTATGCATGTGCTATAAAGCTGTGGTCTCTATTTGCGCTGCAGTAGATTCAGCCGTAAAATGTGATTCAGAAGGCATGCACCAGCACCGATGCATTGTCCATGCTATGCACTGACACGATTTGCTATAGTATATTCATGGATTAAAAGGATGCAACCACTTTAGACACAATTCATGGTAGATATCAACAATAGATGAAACAGTATTGGTTACCTGCAGTAAGTAACTCGACGACACCGAGAGCATTTTGAGAATTCGTGTAAATGGGATTCTGTTTTGGAGCATTTCAGATTACTACAGCGACGAAAGCTATTGGCATCGCCACTCCGTTTGAAGCAACTGCGCATGCAAATAATGGCCCATTTTCGAAGATCGGGTGGAACACTCACATTAGTAAGAGGTTCGATGAGCGAGTAAATATTGACCGAGTAAGCAGTATGCAGAGCATGGCGAGCATTGTAGTATTTTGAAAGATAGGCGATTAGCTTTATAGCCAAAAGAAGATCGTCGGAACACAATGTTTCGACAGACGGTGCAGTGTAAGATTGAGTGTCTGTAGTAATAGCTGAAGGATGGATACGAGAACGACGACGACGTTCATCTCTGGCCAACAGGGGATCGACTGTTACATTGGAGTCAGCCAATGGGGACAAGGTAGGAAAAGGATCGTTATCAGTCAAACCTTGCATTGACGACTCTGCAACTGGTTCTGTCTGTTCTATGGGGGATAGTGCAAGAGCAGTCATGGTGATCAAGGGTAGTGCAGTGTGAGATGAGAGAGTTGTATCTACATCCATGGACATTGATGGTGTGTCTGCAGATGGATGGATCGAAGCATTTGCATTATCGTTGCTGTTGAAATTATAAGCATTGTCATTGTTTGGATGGAATGCAGCTTGCACATCATTCCATCCAGTTGGAAGTTGTTGCAGTGGAAAAGGTGATTGAATGGATTGATGGTCAGTGACAGTAGTGTCAGTCTCTGTATGAGCAGTGATCGCAATAGTTTGTTCATGCTGCATGGCAGCAGCAGCAGATTGCAGCAATGGCAATAATGCAGAAATCACACCAGCAGTGAGCAGTCTTAGACGCAGTGACTGAGTGCCTCTTACAGCCAAACTACTCAAGCATGCAAGAGCAGCAGAAAATGAGATTCGGATGAGAGGCAAGTCACTGCCATGTGTGTTCTTTCCTGTTCCATTTGCATGAGAATTGAGTCGTCCAAGTATTCTAACAACCAACTCTAAACCGCCGTCCTGTTCCAATAAATTTGCAGTTTTGGCTGTAGAAACTGATGCCAAGTATGATAGATGAAGAAGAGAGTTGTTTAGAGCACGAGAGTCTGTAGTAGTTAATGCTCTTTTATCAAACACTCCTGAAATGCCAGTTCCTGGAAGGACTAGAATGGGCTGACAAACTGACCAGTTGGCAATATTATCTTGTCTGACCATCTTGTTAGCCGTATTCACGTAAAAGATAAACAAGTATCAAATTATTAATCTCATGAAATGATAATTTGCATCGACTAAATTGTCTTTTAAACTCTTCAACTGACTATTCTTTTGATGATCAACATGGAAACAACTGTCACATAGAAATGTGTTGTTTTTCTAAACTAGAGCATATTCGACTTTTTAGAATACATTTCACGATCGACAAGTTTGAAGCTAGATATCGAGTCTTGTCAGTACATTTCGTTTGTTTCAGTTTAAACTTATAGTTTTTATTGTAGGATTGAATTGTGTGGATTGAATCCAGCGTAGATTTTTAGTAGGAAAGCAACAACTCTCCAACTACTGCAACATATATTTTATAATAGTTAAATACACAATTATTGGCGAAATTTTAGTTTATTTTGGCCAAACAACACAATCTGTTTTGGCCAAATGTTATGAGAACAGTTTTGGCCATTTGACTCGACTTTCCTCGAGTGTTTATCGCTATGGAGTCGCTGTTCTTCAATGTCGAGGTTGGGTTCCTGGAGGGCATTGTTCGTGGCTACAAGGCTGGCATTCTTACAAATACAAACTACCTCAATTTAATTCAATGCGAAACACTGGAAGGTTGGTTGTTACTCTCATTATCCCCTGGTCATCTGCTCTGGAGTGTATCGAGGCCGTTGATGCCTTGATAATGCATAGATATATGCATGCGGCTTAACTGCATTTATCCATGCTGCTTTCTGCTCTGTACAGAGCAGAGAAACGCATCCCTGTCTGCTTTACTCCAAACAGCCCTTAATCATCTGTCCTTTTACGAGCACATCACCAATCTCAATTCAACTGCTTCTACTTGCATCGCTGTCAACCACACCATACTGGACGACTAGACATCAAATAAGATGATCAAGAATGCATTGCTTGAAATCATAATGCTAATAACCACTCGGTTGAAATGCTCGTTAAACTGTTCACTTGAATTTACCAATATGATCTACTCAATCAACCCTAGATTTCAAGCTGCAACTCGCTGCCACGGATTATGGAAACTTTTTGCAGAATGAGCCTTCTCCAATTGCCACAACAACCATTGCGGAAAAGGCCAGAGAGAAACTCATCTCCGAGTTTAATTATCTTCGTACTAATTCCAATCGACCTTTGTCAACTTTCTTGGACTATTTAACGTATGTGCTGCTGTGTATCAACGTTTTGTCATTTCATTCGAGTCTATTGAGATCCTCCTAGCATATAATGATTATCAAATGATTATCAAATGCTTAACACACTTTGTATATTTCAGGTATGCGTATATGATTGACAATGTCATTTTGTTGATCACTGGAACACTCCATGAGCGTGACACACTCGAACTGCTTGAACGATGCCATCCTCTGGGTATGTTTGACTCTATAGGTGCTCTTTGTGTTGCTACTAGTGTTGCCGAGCTTTACAATACGGTTCTGGTTGACTCTCCCATTGGTAAGATACTCGATTCTTTGTATTACTTTGGTTGCAAATCAATTCATGTTTTGGTTTGATACATTTATTTAAACCAACTTTTTGAAAATTCTTGTTTTTAGCTCCCTACTTTGAAAAATGCTTGTCTGCCCATGATCTGGATGAAATGAATATCGAGATTATTCGCAACACTCTTTACAAGGCATATTTAGAAGACTTTCACTCATACTGCGAGAGCCTTGGTGACCCTACTGCTGAAGTCATGGGAGAGATCCTTCAGGTATAGGATTGTTGGTCAATCCAATCACTTGGAGTCCAACACTAATTATTTACATGCATCAAATTGATTATATACCTAGTTTGAGTCGGATCGTCGTATCATCAACATTACCATTAATTCATTCAACACTGAACTAACCAAGGATGATCGAGCCAAACTATTCCCCACTATTGGCAAGTTGTTTCCTGATGGTGTAGCACGGCTTGCACGAGCTGACGACGTTGATCAAGTGCGACTTACCATCGAAGGCTACCCTGTATGATTAATCTTGCTTTTTTTGATACTCAAACTTGTCCATTATTTCGAATGTTTAGTGCAGCTTTATCAAATGATATAACTCGTGATTTGAGTCAACTAATCCATGTTTAAAATGTAGGAGTATCGACCCTTTTTTGATATCCCTGTTGGCTCTGACCGCTCTCTAGAAGACAAGTTTTTTGAGCACGAAGTGTTTTTGAACAAGAGAGCATTTAACCAGCAGTTTCAATTTGGTGTGTTTTACAGTTATTTGAAACTCAAGGAACAAGAGATTCGCAACATTGTGTGGATTGCAGAGTGCATTGCCCAGCAACAAAAGGATCGAATCAACAGTTTTATTCCCATCTTTTGAATAAAGCAATTTCCTTTTTTATAGTCGAGTGTTTATTATGGCTGTCGTGCATCAAAAAGCATATCTAGTTTAGCTGTCCAATAGTTTTGCAACAAGATTCCGATTTTCAAAATCTCGTCCAAAACTTGCTTATTGTATTCATGCACATCTTGGTGGGCGTAACTGGCAGTGTTGCTACCATCAAACTCCCACTTTTAATAAAACAACTAAAAGAATCCTTTCCAGTAAGTGTGTTTTAGTATTTCTATTACTATACACTTGGTCTAACAGTCATGAATTCAAGACCAACTTGGAAATCAAAATCATTGCTACTCATGCATCTCAGCACTTTATCAACACACATGAGATTGGATCAATATCTGTATTGACTGATAAAGATGAGTGGGATGCATGGAAGAAAATACCTGATCCTGTGCTGCATATCGATGTAAGTGACATGCCATTCGACTGGATCTACTTATTGTCTAGTTGATTCATTATAATGACATTTAATTTATGAAAATGTTCATGATTGGAATTAACCAGTTACGGAATTGGGCCGATCTGTTCATCATTGCACCCTTGGATGCCAATACTATGGCAAAAGCAGTACATGGACTCTGCGATAATCTCTTGGCAAGTATTTAATATGCAGCCATCTGTTAACGTTGCATTGATCAATCTCTAATTCGGTTGTTCATTGACTATATTGCAGACATGCGTTTTGCGAGCATGGGATTCATCTAAACCGGTTGTTGTTTGTCCAGCAATGAACACTCATATGTGGTCACATCCTATCACTTCAAAGCAACTTACTGTCTTAAGCCAAGAACTTGGATATGTGATTGTTCATCCTATTTCAAAGCAACTTGCTTGTGGTGATGTTGGTATAGGCGCAATGGCAGATGTGTCTGATATTGTTGCTGTTGCTTTGAAAACCTTAAATGGCCAGTAGCTTGATCTGCTCAACAGTGCATAATGTACCAAGATCTTGATAGAATTTCTGCATCTATTTTTTACCAACTCACAGCAAATGTCCATCTACAATAAACAAATTGGCCTTTATTCCAAGACTTGGTTTGAATATAATTCATCAATCCAATATAGTCAAAATTTAGGAATCTTGCTGATTCTGATCAATGACAATGGCAATGTTATCGCGATGAATCACATAGTCAGAATCACTGTATCCAAGCAGGTCAGCAATCTTGGAGCTCTGAACACCAACGATACGCTGCATTTCGACTGCCGAGTAATTGGCAAGACCTCGAGCAACTTCGACTGTTTGTTCTACAACTTCGCCACGTGGGAGTGTTTTTTTAACAACAGTCATGATTTGAACACTCTGTTGAGCGTTGAATGTTCCCTCTACCTTGACAATGCCAGCAGCAAAAAGTGAACTCTTTTGCTTTGTGATGGCAAGAACTGCACCAGCATCAATGTAAACCGATCCAGAGACTGCAAGACCATGCAAGATCCACCATTTACGATCTACCATTGGATTGGGTTTGGCCAGAAAATGCGTACCAATTGTAGGGGAAAACACTGTGCCAGGTGGAGCTGCGCGTTGGGTTTGGATTTCTTGGATGATATCAAGAATGACTTGCGGCTTGGAACCTAGACTAATTACCGTGCTACAGCCAACTGCAGTAGCAAGCTCAGCAGCAATCAGTTTAGTTACCATTCCTCCAGTTCCAATAGACGATCCAAGAGATGTAACAGTCACTGCAAGAGTATATCAATGTCAAGTTAGTTCAACTGCTTTATGCTATAATGCAGCTCTTCTTCCAGTGTATCAACAATCTTGCCTTGTTCTCGAAGTTGTTTGATATTGTCTACAACTCGAACTGCCTTGACATCTGGATTGGTGCGTGGATTATCGGTATAAAGAGCATCCACATCAGTCAGCAAAAACAGTACATCTGCATTGATCATTCCTGCAGCAATGGCAGATAGAGTGTCATTGTCTCCAAATCGAATCTCTGCGTTGGAAACAGAGTCATTTTCGTTAATGATGGGCACAACATTCATCTGCAATAGCTCGCGAAGCGTGGATCTAGCATTCAAGTATTGCGATCTCTACATAACAGAATCAAAAGATACAACTAAGTCTTGTTTGTTCAAATGACTAACGATGTGTGCAATGATTGTATCTTTATCATGCATTATAACTAGCTTGATCAATAATGGTCAATCATTTACCTCTGCCAAGTTATCTCTGGTAAGTAAAATCTGTGCAATTGGAACTTCGAATTGTGAAAAAAGCGTATCATATAAAGCCATAAGTCGTCCTTGACCAACAGCTGCCACAGCCTATATAGAGCAGATGAATGGTTAGCACAGCATGAATTTATAGAATGACTGAACCAGTTTGACAGAATTGAACGAGTCAAGATAACCAGCACACATGCCTGCACTTGGGATAAATGTTTTGGTTTCTTTAACAAAGCCAGTCGACGCAAGCCAACACCCACAGCACCACTGGACACAATCATGACATTGTGGCCCAATGACCGTAATGCCACAACTGTTTCAACCAGCAAGGACAGGTTGGCTAGTTTAGGCTTGAACGTCTGCTCGTCACATATGGAAGAAGTGCCGAGTTTAATGACCAGGGTAAGACTACGTTTGTTGGAATTCAATCCCACATCCTTGCATTCAAGGATAGGAGTATCTTTGATTTGCATCAACTGTTCCTTTAGTTCATCCATTTCAACCAATATTAGATCCGTATTCACGTAAAATAAAACACTTGTATCGTGCAATGACTGGAATAAATACTCAAAACACAATATTGTAATACAAACTATTCTTTTTTCTTGACATAACCACACATTGTACAATCACCAAAACTCGTACAATTCCATCATGGTGTTCTAAAATCACACAAATACGCTTTCAAAAAAAAGTAATCTTGGGAATATACTGTTGCTTTCATATCAATCATCAAAAAACAATCTTATTACAAACATCCTTGACATTTCATTTTACATGAATACGACTGCAAATTAAGCAATTGTGTGGTGTTGGCTGCAATTTCAGCCTATTTTATATTTTATATTTTTGGTAAAAATATCCAAAATTATACAAAAACCAACTCAAGGTTTTACCAGCATCTTAACAACATCAAATGCCAATTCTTGTAACCAGTGGTGATCCAGAAATTCAAGCACCTGAAGCGTCATATTCAGGCAATACTTCAAGGAATATTGCTTTGCATATTCAAAAAAATGTGAAATTGGCTTTCGATCCTGTGCTCGCTGGTATGTCTATTCCACCAAAAGGTGACCTCTATATAACTCAAAGGTAGCTATCGAGTAATCTGCTTGAAAGAGTTTCCATTTATTTTATTAAATTCAACTATACTTGTTGCTGACGTTTATGATTCAACTGCTGGTTTTATGATTTGATGCACCTTTGAAAAGTCAACTACTATGGTTTGATCCAGCCACAAAAATCAATGTATCAATCGACTATCCTTCTATTATGATACATGCCATTTCTCGTCAGGGTGATCTCATTGCTGAAGGTCCTTATATTTACTGTCAAATATCTGGATCCGCTTGTACTGAAAATACAGGCACTGCCGCTTCTGTTAACGATCCCTCTACAGAAGCAAGTATTGCTGATGGTGATTCATCAATTGAAATGCGATTGGTTCCAGACGATCCAACATCATGTATGTACTCTACTCTTGGATGCCTATTTGATTCCCTGGATGACTCCATCTAACATATGTATACTCAGTGGATGCAATTTATCAAGCCATGTCAGACTGTGCTGCCTTGCATCCTGATCCTGACATGGACATGGATGAAGACGAATCAGACAATGAAGCCTGGACATTTGATCCAGCCACTGCAGAAGATCTCCAGTTTAGCGAAGTTGGAAGGGTTAGTAATGTAGCGTATACTTTAAAGTTGAGCGGTTTTCTAAAATTTGTAAATATAGGCTGCATTGGAACATCTTGAATCAGTGTTTGGAATCACAACACGACCTGATATTCCTGAAACAGATGTTCCTGAAACCGAGTCTGAGCAAATAATTCAAGATGCCAATGGAAATATAACTTCAAATGCAACAGGTTTGACTGACAGTAAAGAACATGTGTTGGCTGCTTCTAGAACTGCTGTGACAAATCAAAACACTAACCAGTTTGATGATGCCGAGGAAAATCGCTAGTCTACTTACTGATAGTGTCAAATAGATTCAAATTTGTCTACTACTTGATTGATTTTTTAATAAAAACAACGAGTTTTTCAGTTTATATCTCTGATGTTCTGTTATGCTTTGTCGCAGCCATGACGTGTCATCTCAGCATATCTGCTGCTGAACGCGTTTAACATGTTTACCAAAACTAGCATGAGTGATGTATCTAGCAAAGTATCTGGGATATCTCCATCTTCGTCAATACTCCAAAACAAGAATGGAAATAGCAAATTAACAAACTTTGGCAGTAAACTAAAACAGCAAGTTATTCAACCCAAGGCCATTGAGAGTAAGCTGTATTGTCATTGAGTTCAACATATAAACGGTGTTTTTAACTCTTTTGGAGTGCAGCAAGTGATAGCGAGTATGAAGACAAATCTGATGATGAAGACAGCACAGACGGCACTTGGCAGCCTACAAAGGGAAGCACCGATGATCTTCACAAAAGTTCGGGACTAAGTGCAGGCGATACCAGCAAATGGAACGCAGAGGAACAGGCTGCAGGTATAAATAAACTATTTTTTGAATCTAGTTTGTATTTCTACTAATAGTATGGTCAAAAAATCATGTTGGTACGCATTGCATGCATGGTTAGTCCTTAATTTTTATGGCCTTGACACTCTTTTCCCTCGAAAATGGGTAAACGACCCGAGTCTAGCACTTGTCACGACTCCCATGTCAAGCAATGCATCCAATCCTCTTGCTTTGGGGTCGGAATCTCCAACCAAACTGATTCAGACGCAGCGTGTCACACCCGATGGTCGCTTGGATACATCAGATCCACTAGGAATTAAAGAAACAATTTTGAGGTATTGATTGGATTTCACATTTAATGTCAACCTGACACCATACATTGCAAAACTAATGATTAATCGTGTAAAGACGAGGAAAGCGAAGAGAATCCACTGCATTCCAGCCAGGAGGTATCGTTTCTTGAACATGCTACTTGCATCAATACTTTTCATTGGCATGCAAACATCACCCCGTACTAAACCAAAAACAGTCCCATCTATTTTTATTTCTGAAAAATCCTTTGATCCAAATCTTTTTTTAAAGGAGGTGCACCGACTCACTCTTTACAAGGAATTTGAACAAGGAGCAGTGCATTTAAAAATGTCGATTGAGCAGCGAAATGAAATCATCAAAGGGCTTGTAAAAAAACACTTTGCAAAATTTGTGAGCGCTAAAGGAACAATCGATAGTAGGTACCAATTTAATTGTCTTTGTATTTACAAACCATACTCATGTGTTTTTAATTAGCTTTCTATCGTGAAATGTGTCAAAAGAATCTCGTCTCGTCGTCAAATTATGGAATAGCCCCTTTTGCAAAAGCCTTGGAAGGTATGTCAATCACTTTTAAAACAGACTACAGTTTACAATACTGACTTGGTATGGTTTAGAGTTGGAGTCAAATGCAAACAATCTGTATGGACCAGTTCTTGGTCGTCGTTCAAACGGTGACAAAATCCGTATCACTCTGGGAATTCTTGAAGGATGGAAATTCTTTTTTAATTTGCCTAGCTCATTAATCGATCAAATCAACAAGGTACACAATTACAAGGTCTATTGCATATAAGAAATAGGATCAGTGCTAACCTTGCTTATGTGGCCAGGACAAATATGATGGTGCAGTTCGCGATTATAAAAAGGGAAAATATTTGATGCATTCGTCGTTTTCAGATGTGGTGCAGCCTGGAAAAGACTTTCGTGGTACCAAAGATTCGTCTGCACTGCTTCCAAAAACCCACCAGGCTGTATTTGAAAAAGTATGGAACGAAGTGGAACGGATTGTTGGTCAATTTCGAACTGAGCTGTTTGCTAAACTTGGAGATTCTTCAAATTCAGTCGATGCCCAGGAGAAACTTATCAGGTACAGTACTCATGAATCAATACAGTATTTGTATTTGAATCTAACTCTACAACTATAAAATACAGTTATTTGGTAGATTTAGATTCAGAAAAAAGCCCCATCATGTGCTTTTTGGAACGTCAGTATCTGTGGCTTGTAGACAAGATTAAAGATTGCCACAAAACATATATATCCAAGCTATATGGTAATTTAAGTTGATACAATTTAGTCTGTTTGGCCATCTGAAAGTTTACATTTGATTTATACAACATAGGTGTTCGTCAAGCTTTTCCAAGTAGATGCAATGTTGGGCAAAATTATGACACCTTGACAAGCTTTTTGAATCAGGACACCCAAAATGAATCGGATGACAAGGTTGCTGAACACAAATCAACCAATGAAGGAAGCTCGATGGGCATCAACACAAACAATCAAAAGGCTCCTATTGCATTTAGACGCAGCACAGATTACCTGAGTTTGTATGATCTTAAACAAGGACTTAGTCAATCTATCTTTCACAACTTTGAGTTGTTGTTTTGTAAGTATCACGGAAATCACTTGATTGCTCACTACACCCACAGTTTAACGTGTCTTGCTCACGAATTTCTATATACCATCTGTTGGTCAAATTACTGCAGCCAATAATGATGACGCACAGGCTTGGAAACTTACCCTACGCTTCATTCAAGAAGTGTGCTCACTACTATGCAGCCGCTTGCCAGACTTTTGTAGAATTTGCAAGTTATATATTGATGGAAAGCTTAGCAAAGTATGTTCTCATTGTTCATAAAGTTTAAGATATAGTTGGCAGTCTAATGCTTATTATTGTTAGACTAAAGCAAATGACTCTAATCGCAAAGCTACTCAAGCGTCTCGAATTCAAATGGTGGATAAAATATTTAAAAGTATCACTGATTTGATAGCAGCCATATTGGAAGATACATTTGGATTGAAAATGTCGTTTTCAGAGCTGATACTCATGCTTGAAACTCAAGATATGAGTAAAGGCAATTTCCAAGATAACGATACACCTCAAGATACACCTCCAATTAATATACAGGGAATCAGCATAGATACACTAAATACGGATACAAAGAGAGGAAGCGAGTCAAACGCAAACAAATTTGATGCAGTGTTTGAAGAATGTCTGATACATTTAGAGCCTTTGGCCGTTTCTCATCATCCAAGTCGATTCGCTCATCTAATATCTCATCCACTGATCGCTACTCATTATTCAACAAAAATCGTATCGGTTCTTTCACAAATGTACTCTGAAATTCGTCATTTGTTGTTTATACGCGAGGATGCTGCCATTAGTGGTCTTTCGATTGCTCTGACTCAATCTCAAAACAGATTGGTGGAGTGTATTTGCGAAGGATTCCAAACAAGTATGAATCTATAAAAACTGTTTTGATATTTTTGTATCGTTGAGCTTGATAATGCTAAAATTGAACTGTGTACCAATTTGCAACACAGCAAGTGCGCAGTTTTACATGTACGAGGATTGGTCTTATGAAGCGAATTCAGCCATGTCGACACGGTCGACCGAATCAGTATTATCAGACTCGACTTCTATGGTCAAACTATTTTATCGGCTGTCGAAATTTTTAGTTCGCACTCTTGGCTATATTCACTCGGCGCTATTCTATCCATCAACCACGGAAACATTAGGTACCGTGACAAATACGTCTCAATTATCAAAAGAATCTCGAGGGTATACAGCGATAACAACATCAAGACAGTCCATGGTTGATAAAATCAAATTTGCTTGCTTTGAGTCACAGTATCTTTTTCTTGATGGACTCCAATGCCTTGCAACTCAACAAAGCATAGACAACTCATCTTTTGTAAGACTAGATGAACAATATTCGGTAATCCATCCACAATGGGTTTCTGGAAATTTTGGAACTCGCCTTCCATTTTCCAGTAAAAACGCCGACAGTCGATGGACAAACAAAAAGAATAGAAAGTTGATCATGCATAGTATTGTAAGTTTTTATCACTGATTGAACCAGTCAATAGCTGTATGGACGAATTCTGACTTTGCACCATTTGTAGGAGACACGTAGCTTTGTGATTCTGGGAAATCTTGCATTTATAAAAACAGTATTTATTCCCAAAATGTCAAACATGCTTGAACAAAAGCTTCGAACTCTTGTTCGAACAGAAGTAAAAGTACGCTTTGTTTTAGATCAAGCTATTGACTTGAAACAAAAATGTATTGATGACTAATCAAATGTGCGATCATCGACACTAGAGTTTATGCGACACAGTGGACTATCTTGATAGTCTTTTGGTAAAAAACTATGTTCGTCGCCAAATGATAACTATCAAGCCCCTTTTGGAATCGGGTATACTGTCATCAGGACTAGATTGGCAGACATTGGCAAAAACACAAGGTGAGAACATGCCAACTGGACTGATCAAGTATATGTGTGTGATCCAATAGATTTCTCATCTGCTTATATGTTCCTGGCAGATGTGCGTTCATACTGTCACCAAGTTCTTTTACATTTGGTTCTGGTTCATGCAGCAATTAGTGAGGTATCCAAATCACATGTGCAGCGCATAATGAGTGAAATGCTGCTCTCGCTTTCAAACTGTATTCTGATGGCATATCGATCCGTTGACTCTTTTAGCACAAGTGGAATGCTACAGGTAAAACACCGAGTTATTTTAAAAGGCGATATCTACAAGACTGATAATATTTTGCAACTATTGGTATACCAAAATTTAGGCTACGCTTGAAACCGAGTTTTTTCATCACACACTCAAGGCATATGATACACCAGAAACCATTTCGGTTATGGGGATGATATATGACACTGTAGAACGTAGTACCGTGCGTGCAGATCAGTCACAAACACTCTTAAATGATGCTTTGCTTCGTGTAAAAGGATACCTTCAACAATCGAAAAAGTCTACAGAAGTACAGTTTGCTTGCTTTCGGGATGGCACGAATGCAGAAAGAGACGATTGAACGTGTCTTGATAATGACATGCATTTTTCTTGAAAGAAAATATAAAATCTATTTGAGGAACAAATAAAGTATGGAAACCAGCGAGTTGAAACGTTTTGGACGTCATTGGATTCAATAAATTATCACTTCAACTCATCGCTGCCAATAAACAGAAAAATATCAATTGCTTTAGTTTAAATCTTGATAGGTTCCATAAAAGTATTACACAGAACGTTTTAGTAGAATCAGAATAATAGGCAGATCCAAAGGGGTGGAGATTTTGGCTAGTGGAAACTCGGTCAAACACGTGGCTGTTTAAACTATTTTGGTCAAATTAGTCGAGTTACCCATACTCAAAATAGCAAGAGGATAGACAACTATGAGTACAAATTGGTTTCTAAATGATGAGCTTTCAACAGATTCATGCAAGTACTTTGAGGAACAGCGAATGCGACAAATACTGGAGGTGAGCAATCGAGTAGCGTTTGAATTTAGGTTTCAAAAATACAACTCGATCAACACGCTAAAAGAATATGGCTAATGAACCATTCGGTTGGTAGAGTATTGTAGCAGGAATCACATATAATAAACCTTCAGATCCCTTAGAGTACATGGAATGCTGTATTCAAAAAATACGAGCCAACGAGTTGCTTTCTGCGCAACCAACACTGCGATGGGATACATTTTTACCACCCATTGTACTTTTATCACGCAACTCCAGACAGGACAGTATTGTTGTCCGTAAGAGTAAGATTGGAAACACAGTACTACCACGCATATCCACCACTCATGCGCATCAGAGTAATGAGCATCAAGCACCCAGTTTGATTACGGAGATTGGTGTACAGAAGCGCATATCCATAGTGCTTCCGCCTATTCAATCTGCAACCGATCGTGCTTTCAAGGATACTTCCATCACAACCACACCCCAGATAACAAGTCGAGGACAAGCATGGAATAATATCGTATTTGTTTTAGGTGAGATATTTTTAAAGCCAAATGCAGCGGCATCAACCCGATTGTAGTTAAATCTAACACTACATCTTCACCAATTACTGTTTAAAACTACAGGAGGGCCAGGATCGGGTAGGAAATGGAATCTATGTATTTTAGCTGAAGGCGACCGAGTTGACTAATCGCTTCTTATGTATAGGGAAAGGAACTCAATGTGTTCGCATAGCCAAAGAATTCAATTACACGCATCTATCAGCTGGGGATCTTCTCAGAAATGAAGTGGCTACAGGCTCAAGCTTAGGAAAGCAACTCGACTCGATGATGAAGGAGGGAAAAATAGTGCCCACGGTGAGTGTGAAACTTTGATTAAGCGGACAGTGGAGTGGATCGGTCCTCTGCTATTGTAAAGCAGCAATGGTGGTTACAAGTGTATGTATTCAAAGTCTAAGCCATATTTTAATGTGTAGGATATCACACTGCGGTTGCTCACTGAAGCCATGGAGACGGCGCCTGCAGCAAAAGGATTCTTGATTGATGGATTTCCCCGTCAATTGGACCAAGCAGAAGCGTTTGAAAGCAAGGTGAGTTGAAGGCTAATGAGAGTGGCCGAAAAGCTAAATCCTTATTGCCGATAAAGAGGCGTATTCACGACCAAGTGATGAACACAAAAGGTTTCTAACTACCTCAAGTTCACCAACAGATTGCTCGGTGCAGGTTTGTTCTCTACTTTGAGTGTTCTGAATCCGTTCTTGAACAACGACTACTTGAAAGAGGGAAAAGCAGCGGCAGAGCAGACGATAACATGGAAACCATCAAGAAACGATTCCATACATTTGTGGAAACCAGCTATCCTGTCATTGAATTTTTCAAAAATGCAGGAAGATGCTTCAAGGTTGGTTGACATTCAGAAATGAGCAAGATGTCATCAAATAACCGGCCCAATCTCAATACTCACTAGTTTATTTTAACAGATTTCATCCGAACAATCTCCTGACGAAGTATATGACGAGGTTCAACAGTGTTTTGTTGATCCCCCGCTCTACCATCCAAATATTGTTTTCATATTGGGTAACTGCAATTGATTGTTGAATATGCTCTTATTTACACCAACCAAACTAAGACATGCTTGCCACGACTGATAAATTTGGTATTGGTAATGTTGATTATAGGTGGTCCTGGATCAGGTAGGTTGTCGACTGATTGCAGATGTATCATTCGACACGAGTTGTCTATTGATTTACACGCACAACTTTGTTTTATATAGGAAAGGGAACTCAATGTGAACGGCTTGTCAAAGAGTTTCAGCTTACTCATTTATCTGCTGGCGATTTGCTACGAGGTGAAGTGGAGCGTGGTACTGAGGTCGGAATCCTAGCAAGTGAGCTGATGAAAGAAGGAAAAATTGTTCCAATGGTAATGGTGTTGTACCAATTTTTAATCATTCTCGTCATTGCTCTACTTACAGTATGGTTTTATTGACTGTAGGATTTGATTCTGTCGCTTCTACGAAAGGAGATTGAAAAAAATATTGCATCAATTGGATTTCTAATTGGTATGGATTGATTAGATTGTATAGAGTGTCCATCTTTTTAGCATCAATCGTGTAGTTTTAAAATGGCCATGGCTAATGGTACTTTGTAATTTACATAGATGGATTTCCTCGTGCAATGGATCAGGCATTGGAGTTTGAAAAAACGGTAGCATTTCAATGTTTTAAAACGTTGTATTATTACGTTTGCTAGATATGATTTTTACTTATTTGAGGTATATCGCTGCTAGATTGGACCATGCCGTGCTGTATTGGCATTCACGTGCAGTCTCCCAGTTTTAGAACAAAGACTGCTGGAGCGTGGAAAGACAAGCGGGCGTGCAGACGATAATCTGGACACGATCAAAAAAAGATTTCATACTTTTAATGAGCAGAGTTTGCCCGTTATCGAATACTATAAAAGCAAGGGGAAATGTGTCGAGGTATGGTTATGGATAGCCTATTAGTTCAATCATTTATTTTGAATTTAACAGTCGACTGTATAATCAATTAGATTTCTTCAGAAAATGCCATTGATAGGGTTTATGACGATGCCAGATTGGTGTTTATTCCTCCCGAACCCCTTCACCACCCAAATCTTGTCTTTATTTTAGGTTAGTGATCATTACTCGTTTAATCCAATTGTTTATACTTGAGCAAATGCTTCTGACTGTTTGTGCATGCTTGCTGACTGATTTTGTGTTGCAGGTGGTCCTGGATCTGGTGAGAAGTCAATATTTCAAGTTTAACTTGTGAAATAATACAATTCTGATACTTGTGTTTTTAGGAAAGGGCACCCTGTGCGAAAAAATTGTAAAGGAGTTTGACTTTATCCATATTTCTACGGGTGATCTCCTTCGACGAGAAATTGAAAACAAAACTGCCATAGGCCAATTGGTTGAGCAATGCATTCTAGTTGGAGCAATGGCACCTAGTGTAAGCTTAAAGTTGGTTTAAATCAATTATAGATGTGATCAACACAGTAGTTTGACCAACTATACTGTAGCATATTATTCTGGAATTGTTGATACGTGAAATCATGGGAAATTTTGCAGCACCTGGATTTTTGATTGGTATGCACGTTTTTTACATTAATGATATGCTTTTTTAGACTGATTGTTTGTGATGAGAAACTTATTTGTTATTGTATATAGATGGATTTCCTCGAGCAATGGATCAGGCTTTGAATTTCGAGCGTGTGGTAAATCATCACTACTTTACTATAGCGTCACATGTAATCTTTGGATCAAATTCTGTTGAGCTGATCTAAATTGATTGATAAATATGTATAGGTTGGAAGCCCCAAGTTTGTACTTTTCCTTGAATGTCCGCTCAATATTTTGGAAAAAAGATTGGTTGAACGTGGGCGTACTAGTGGTCGTGCAGATGACAACATTGATACGATCCGAAAGCGATTCATTACGTATCACGATGAAAGTTTGCCCGTCATTAGATACTACACTTCAAAGAGCATTGCTTTGAAAGTAATATTCCTTGCTTTAGAATTTGATCTTGGATTACCTAAACATTAACTGCTAATATGATGTTTGAATTTTGTAGATATCATCTATTCGAGCACCAGACGAGGTATTTGATCAAGTAAAAGTGAATTTTGCTTACATGAAAACCAAACAGCCATTTGAAGGACAGTTGATTATTTTTGTTCTGGGTGGTCCTGGAAGTGGAAAGGGTAATAACTACTGAAAGTAATGTACCTTGTGATTTTGAAACTGTATCAATTGATGCGATAAATTCATTGAATGACTCTAGGCACACAATGCGACAGATTGGTTGCAAAGTATGGTCTGACCCATTTATCAACTGGAGACCTGCTACGCGATGAAGTTAAAAAAGGTTCTCCGCTTGGTGCTCAGCTTGAATCCGACATGACTCAGGGAAAAATGGTTTCCATGGTATGTCAACACTTGATCAAGTGCCATTAAACCAGTAATAAGTAGGCTAAGATATGTATCGAATGTAGGAAGTCATCATGAAGCTTTTGTTGGCAGAAATGAATCAAAAAAAAGATGGTCCTGGATACCTCATTGATGGATTTCCACGTACAATTGAGCAAGCACATTTGGTAAGGGTGATCATTGATTTTGTAATATCAATAGCAGTTTACTAAATCTGAGTCTATTTTTATCATTCCTTCACTGGTGTTATAAACATGTGCTGACTCTAGTTTGAGTCGGTGATTGGAAGATGCACGTTCGTATTGTACTTTGAAGCATCAAATGAAATTCTTACGACTCGTTTACTCAAGCGCGGTGAGACGAGTGGGCGTGCTGATGACAATCTAGAAAGTATTGGCAAGAGACTTGTGACATTTGAGAACGCTAGTTTGCCCGTGATACGGTATTATGAGCGAACAAACCGAGTCAAAAAGATCAACTCGGAAGCACATGTAGACGAAGTCACTGCTAAAACTGTGCTACTTTTTGAAGAAAACCATACCTTTTCTACCACAAAAGATCTGCAATAAACATCTCTTCATTACAATTCTTGACAGTCGTATTGAGTGCTAACATGCTTTTACCACTAGTTGTGTTGGCTAGTTCAGCTAAATGATCCAGTGGAAATATTTAAAATAAAAAGTAGTCTTAAAGTATTGTTTAATAGTTTATCTACTTGGCAAAATCTATAGGTACAAATGCACTGCTACCTGACAAGCATTACTAAAACATGTGTTCATACACGTATTAGATGACCTTGCAGTACTTTTACTGCTTTAATTGCCATTTATATTGATTCATTTTCATTTTTTGTCTGGTTTATATCTACTGATGGGCTACTTTTATCAATTATAACCTGTCGATTATTTTTTACAAATAAAAATATTCAACATAGCCCATAGCACATGCATAATCATGAATCCATTGTTGAGTTGTTTATTGATGGTTGTACGACTGCATTGGTGTTCAACGACCAGTATAGACTGGTGTTCGTTTCTCTCTGAATGCTGCAAGACCTATGTAATCAACACGATTCACCGCATCCAAATCAGTCATCATATGTAACATCCAATCACATCAAATACATCCATCCAATCACATCAAATTGTCAATCGACATTACCTTCCAATCGGTCCTGCGTCGGAATCACTTGGGCGTAGCAAGTTTGCTCAAATGCCAGACCTGATGCAAGATCCAGTTGTGATCCATGATGAACTGCCAACTTGGCCATACGCATTGCAACTGGTCCATTAGGAATCATTGTACGCGCAACCTCGAGTGCTTTGGAGTATGCTGATTCATTCACTGTATAGTTGACAATACCTGGACCATCCATGCATCTATTCATTAGTATCTATCAATATGCATCAATATCTATCAATATGCACCATTGTGCATTTGTTGAACCCATTATACCATGCCAAAATGTTTTCAATCACAAACACTACAATAACAATCCAACCATTTGTAATCCATCTACATCACTTACCATAATCAAACGCTTCACTCGATGTCAAGACTCGACTCGTAAAAATAAGCTCTTTGGCACGAGAAACTCCAATCAAACGACAAAGTCGCTGAGTACCACCAGCACTATGACATGCAGTCAATATTCCAACATTCAGCTCCAATTACAACTCAAACATTGATACTGCTTTGATAATCATAACTTGGACAGTTTGATTGGACAAGTGTACCAATCTATCGTTGAAAATAACGTTACCAATATGCTACTTACCCAGGAATAATTGCCAGTTTTGTTTCTGGAAGCCCAACCTTGGCTTTTTGTCCACCGACACGCAGATCGGTGCATAGAGCCAGTTCAAGACCACCTCCTAATGCAAATCCATCAACGACTGCAATCGTTGGCATTGGTAACGACTAATGTATTGATGCATGACCAACACCACACAATACACCTGTTAGATTGGCCATTACATTCTTCATATTTGTAATAAACTCAACATCACCAACCTCTAGTTCAGAAAAGGCTGCACGAAGTGAGTTTACAAATGCTGCCACTTCAGACGGTTGCATCTGAGCTCGCTCCTACAATAGATTGCACATTGTCATGCAGTGAATACGCTGCCAATCAAATGGTTTGGTTGTAACATGACATCTGATGATGCAGTGATACGAGTTGGATGGATTGACAGTTCATCTTATTGATTATGCGTTGCATAACACTTTGACTCTACCTTTAGATCGGCTCCTGCACAAAACACTCCATCCACTGCACTCTTGACAATCACCACACGAGCCTGACTAGATTGATAATCCAGCACATTGCAAATCATCAATTAGTCGAATAGTGTCAGAATCAATACAGCTGTTTAGTCCATGTTCAGTCACATACTCGTTAAAACGTAGATCATTGATGGATTGACGAAACTGTGACAAGAGAGTGCGACCTAAAGCATTCTTGGCTGCAGGACGATCCAATGTCAGGACAAAGATGCCTAGTAAACATGTATGCGTAGATGCATACGTAGATGCATGCGTAGTTGCAACCATTGCATTATAACAGATTAGAGTCATGGCATGACACTATACATCAACATATTGACTTTTTGGTTGCATTTACCTTTGTCGTTGCCGTGCAAAGCTTCTACATTGCATTCTCGGGCAGTTGACAACAAGCGAGAAAAGCCAAGCGATTGTCCTGTTGGTAGAAATGAGTGTTTGCATGATCGCAGTCTGATGGCAGTCAAAAGTTTCATGCTGTTTGCAGTGTATTCATGTACGTTGCGAATCATATTATCAGATTGGAATGAATATCAACTGTCAAAATCACTTGAATTCAACTGTTTTTTGGGTGTAAAAATCACTCGTTCATCACATTGTATTCACGCAAAATAAAACACTAAAACTGGAAATTACTAATACAAATGGCAGATGAAACTACCGATTATAGTATATGCACTGTGCAGTCTGATCAATGATTAATTGGAATGACTGGATCACATCTGTTGGATGGAACAATCGTACAAATAAACAGAAATAAAATAGATGATTCATGTATGAGCAAAAAGATATAGTTTAATCAGTAGAACGATGTGCAGCAGTTTGTTCTCGAATGCGTTTATCATATGCAGCACGATCACGTTTAAACAACACATATGCATCGCTTTGAGCTGGCGAGTTTGGGTTAGGGTCGTTGAGCAAATCTTGGATGCCTAGCAGTATTTGCTTAAGAGTAATTGCTGGTTTCCAATCTTGATCTTCATTGACAATACTAAGACAGACAGTTCCTGATGGATATACATTTGGATGGAACAGTGGTGGAACAAACTGACACTTTGGTGGTTTTTGAGGGTAATCGTCTGGAAAGATGATTCTCAGTTTGAAAACACCGCCTTCCCATAGTGTTCCGACCTTTCCTGAGATTCGCGTAGTAATGATATAAGTGTTGGTAGCAGAACATTAAAAAGGATACCATGATTTGTTTTTAAAGTTTGATTAGAATAAAAGTTGATATTCAAGTTGGTTGACCGAGCAACAGGGTTACGAACCTGGAATTCCGACTTCCCAGAGCATGAGATTCAGAGAGCTATCTGTAGGATTTTTTGTTGGTCTTGCCCAAAATCCAAAGGCTTGCATAGTATCCAGATACAAGGTCCAACATGCAATGACATTGGTATTTGAAAGTGTATAAAGCGGTTAGCATCAGCGACCAAGAATTTGACCGTCCAAGGTTTATAACAGTAGCAACTACTTTTACTACAATTAAAGAGTAGAGCATGGCCCATCTATCCAGCAGCAATACCATCTAATCCATTGGTGTGGCATGCATGCAATTTGTAATAAGCAGCTTGATAATTCCAATGGAAACAAAAGACTACAGGACGTATACTCTAGAGCAATAAGCGATACTCACGATGGTCCTTTCTCCATAGTTTACGTTCTTCTGCCAACCTGGCCTTGCAAATAGCAGACATGATGAGAAAACTGCAGACAAAAGTTTCAAAAATCAACTTGCTGATTTTTAATGTCTTGTTCATTCAGTGATTCGGTATTATAAACAGTCGATTGCAGCAAATAACCGCATGTGCGGAATCAACTTGCAAATCTAGTATTACTGTGCTCGGTCGAGTATACTACTTATAAATATTAAATGTAGTGTTCAACTAGAGCCATCAGCGTATCCCCAGCGAGTTGGATAACGATCGGATGTGTCGATTACTTGGAAAAAGGTAGATTCATGTAGTCTACAAAAGCATTCGTCTGTTGATAGTGTGGTTCAGTTTACCGCTTCCTCATCAGCTGATGAGTGTCAATCCAAGGGTAATTGAAATCATGCACGGACAAGTGGATGTAAAAAGCGAATTGTTTTATTTTTCGAATCTTTTCCAATAATTAGCTTCCTACTCGAAATGTGTCGTCGTGTTGATTGCTCCAAATGCGGTAAACCTACCTGGGCTGGTTGGTGAGTTGGTATTGACTGTCTTTTCATCTTGTTGGAGTTCAACCGACTTTCTGTTCATAGACTCTTAATGCTCATTGACTCCTGCTTTCAATTTCAATTCTACTTGTACACCATCATCTTGATGAGTAGCGGTATGCACATTGAAACTGCTCTTGCTGGTGTTCCCAAGGAACAACGTTGTGTTTGTCCTCGCAATGAATCAAGGTAATTAGCCATCAAACCTGTGCTTTTGTCAAGGTTGATGTTGGTATAGTTTTATATGCAAATGAGTTACTGCATTGTAACTCATTCTTGGTAGTCGAGATGCATACTGTGACTGGCTTTACTAACAGCTGTTAGTTGCCAGTTAACGTAAATTGAACTTGACAGCAATACTGCACTGACCTGCTACTCTTCTGAATCCATGGCATTGGGCTATACTGGTAAACTTACTAAAGACCAATAAAATCAAGATAAAGAGTTTATTGCATATAGTTTCAAACTGCTAGTGGGAGAATCCTAAAAATCATTGCAACTCGTGCTATTATGGACTAGTGAAAGCAGTATTGCATGGAGAAGTCAAATACATGGGATTGGTTTGTTGTAGCACGTCTAACGAATGGTAGTCTTGATTCAAGCGCAACGTGTTTCGGTCAAACAGACTCTTCTAAATGTTCTCTGCTCCTGCGACAAAAAACCGTATGGTATCCGACACATTTGATCTGCAGATAGGACAACCAACATTGAATTCTGTATGGCTAAAGCAAACTTTGCAAATGGTGATATGGCCACATGGAATAAGCACAATATCAATATCTCTTAATAAACACACTGAACAAACGATCTGCTCTAATTTGAGTGGTTGTGAGACAGATGGGCTGGTAGGCGGAGTGCGCTTTACATTGCAAGTATGAGATTTCGTTCTAGGGCTCATCAATAGCGATATAGTATGTAGGGTCGAGGATGAATGAGAAAAGTGCTGAAGAGACTGTCGAGTTTGAATCAACGAGTGAGATTCGTTTGGTAAGAGTTGAGTAATCTGTTCAGTCACATTAGCCATTTCTGTATTGTGTAGAATAGCGTGAGACATATTTGAATGCAAGTTCACACTCGGGTCGGTCATCTGTCGATGAACTCGATCGTGGTTGGCAGTGAGGGTCGAAGCATGAGTTGAATCATGCATGGCACGAGCAGACTCACGAGACATTTGCAGTACAAGCGATATGGCATCAAGTAAAGTCATGGTTTTAGATTTATTACAGTAAGTTGAAGACATCAAACTTTCCATTTTTAACAATCTAATTTATTGTTCACAAAATATTTCATTTGTTTCATCAATCAGAATTAAATTGCTATTTAAGCTTTAAATCCTTGTCTTGGTTTGAAAAAAAGAAAAATAGGCTTGATATTCATGTGTTGAAAGATGAGTAGACTTGTATGATTCAGCCAGTTTTACAAAAATATGCTTTCCAAATACTAGATTATATGCAATCAATAATCTGATGAAAGTGACATGGCTTGTGGTGAATGTGGGGTTACACTGAATGTAAAAGGTTATCTAGATTCTCAGTCGCTGTTTTGTTGAAACACGCTCATGACTGAGTATGTTTCAATAATGCAAGCTGACGAGCAATTCGTTTAGATACAATAGATGGCTGACAACTCGATGGATTTTCTTGTATGGTTTTTTGTGGCTGAGGCTGTTTATCAGGAGATGGCTCGGATGTCAGACTATAGTCTGCTGTATGCGCTGGTTTTTTTGAAAATAGGTTTTTACTTGGTGTAGTAGATGAAGCCAGTTTAGTATCAGAGCTATCCGTGTATAGTGTTGTGCCTGATCGTGTCTCTAATGACGCCTCAGTATCAATCACCAATTGGTCTGAAATACCAAGTCTAAACTCATTAAATAACTTCAATCAGCACTTGTTCATCAGCATTTCAATAAATATCATTTTGAACGTACATGTCTTTTAATACACTCGCTTTGATGCATTCACCACGAAAACACGAGTTGATCAAACTATGTTCAAAACCGTGCGGTTCGTAGACTATTTCTTTGGATTTAGACAGCTTCAAAAATCTTCTTGCTCTTTCAAAAGTATTCACTAGACAGCTATGGCCCAGTTCAGCAAGAATAACACCTATACTGCCAAATAAAATGCCCATGTGTTCAGTATGTGCTTGTAATCTACCATGAAGTTCTGTAAGAATAACATTCGACTGGAGCTCAGTTAGCGCAATCGTAGAAAAATAATTTGCTTCGGCACTTGGCTATAATGACAATACGTATTACATAGGTATTAGCTTTAAAACAAGTACTAGGTTATTTGATGGATATCAGTCCATAGTCTCAAATTATCAAACACATGCCTTGCCAAACAGCACAAGCATACGCATCCAAAATTGCGTTGCGATTCCCAGTGGTCGACATATAAACATAAAGCCTGTCTTGATCTTAGATATAGGATTTGAGGCAGTATTATTGCGTTTAGAAAGTTGCTCGTGGATACGTCGCTCAAGACACATAATTATCATAAAAACTTCCATGTCAGCAATAGTTGCTATCGTTCTACTGTTTTGTCTAGTAACTTTTTCTGGAGATGAAAAAACAGACTCTTCAAGCATTCTTGGAAAAAGCAGGCGTAAAAACTTTCGAAGGTTATTGTTGTAAAGGTTCCAAGAAGCAACCGTTATAAACAGTTCCAAATCCCATGGATTCTCCAAGATACCTTCAGTAGTCATTTCATTGAATGAGCTGCTCAGCCACGTATGATTTTTGAGTACAGATGAACAAACATCACCAATATCAAGCGGATTAGGTGAAATTTTAGAAATAATGGTTTTGGAAAAAGGTTCATCATCGGTTTCTAAAACCCTAAATGCAGCAACTAGATGAACTGCTTGAATTATACGAGCAACATTTCGATATTTTGGCAAGGTTGATGGTGCATCTAAAAGTAAATGTATTAGTAAGTTAAAAAAATCCAAGCAGCAAACAAGCACATGCTACCTGACAAACTAAGTAGTAGCATTCTCATAATATCAAAGTGTAGATTCGTATCTGCTGGTGTATCTCTCAAATCCTGATAAAATAGAGCATCGTTGTTTGATGAAGGCAGTCTCCAAAGTAAAGACAATCCTTTTAAAAAGTAAAGTCGAGCAAGGTGTTCCTGAAAATATAAAGACCATCAGTTTTATGAAAATCAACACATTCATAAACTGGAAATTCATGTTGGTACCATTCGCATATGTGCCCATTCTTGCTGGCTTGAGAATGACTTCAAATTCGTCAGCATCGAGTCAGACTCCTCAATAAGCTGAGCATACTCTTCAAATAAATCACTCGGTAACTCGGTCGTCTCACTGATGTATGTTACAAAGGGAGTGAGTTTACTGAAATACAGTCATCAAGATAGCATTTAGTACAAACATGGTCAACATACATGTTTTTGACAAGTGTGTGAATTAAGTGAAATACAATGTCTAGCTGCAATTCAATCTGGCGAAGAGATACCGAATGTTGAAACGGTTTCTTTTCAATTTGGTGTGAGATGAGAGCAAGAGAACTCTTTGCTGCGAATAGCCAATCTTTGCAATATCGCATTAAACTATTGTTTGCTTCAATTAATGCATACATCCTATTGAGCAGAAAATGTTAAAAGTAGTACTAAAAATGCAATAGATTTGATGTAAACCATGAGCAAATCTACCTTTGTATATCCTTTTGTGCGGTGTAGTATTTCAACAACGCAATATGTATTATAGGCGATGAAGCAAAACCATTCAGAGAAGAAAGAAATACAATTTCCTTTAGCAAGGCATCACAATTCAGTGTGGATTTTTTCACTGGATCAAGATTGACAAGATACTCCAATAGATCTTTAATTGCAGTAAAAGGTGGAGTGTTCATTCTTCCTTCTTTGAAAATTGAGCAAAGCCTATTGGTGTAATTAAAATAGAACATTTGGTTAGTCGAGTTACCAAAACAGTAAATCATTCGAGTTTATTCATTCAACAGCAATTATATTACCTGACAATGATAGACATGATTGAATCTAATATTTCCAAATCGCCTGTTTCCTTTAAAAGCTCAACAAACAGCTCTATAGCTAGATATTGAGTTTATTAGTTTGTATCAAGAGTCTAACATGTTTTAAAAAGCAACCAAGATTCATTTAATTGTACAGCCTACCGTTTGTCAATTGGCTATTGGAATCTGATAAATCGACCAATCTAAAAAGCAGTTAGCAGTCTTGCTGCTAGGATTGATCATGGCTATATACAACAAACATCACAAACTTTGAACAAGTGACTTTTGCCAATGCAAGATCTCCTTTTTGCTGATATACTCGAGCAAGTAAAACTAGTCCCTAAATTGATAAATCGAGATTGCATAGTTATAGATATATAATTTGCAGATCTATTTGATTTTATTAGCAAATGGTATCATACCTCTGCAGCAGTTGAAGCTATAGCAACATGTTTGGTAAGACATCCTGCAGCTTCTTCCAGACAATTCAGCTTCATGTATGCTTTTGCAGCAATAAGCAGAGCACCTGGAGGCTGACAGTTTAAACAAGCAGACATGGCAGATGTTAATTCCGAATACTTGTAAAGATAGCTTAAAATAAGAGTATGAAATAGTATTCACCTCGGTTGATACAGACAGATTTGCAGTAGAATTTGCATCAGTCGAAGCAGACAGCGAATACCGCGGAGAAACAAACAAAGACCGAGAGTTTCTACGAGAAGAACTCTCCAGAAACGACACGATTTGCTCAGGCGTCTGCAAGTCTGGCTGAGCAAGACGCATTCTGGCAGTTGAAGCTCAAAAATTCATTCAATTCAAATTTTGAGGTTTCATCAATCACGTGGCTTACTATTTTGATTCCAGAAAATTGCAAAATAAATTGTCAAGCAATTATAGATTCGATAGTTAAAATGAGTTCTATTCGACTTAATGTTACTGTCCATGTGGCCAGCACTGCACACGAAGCTTTTAATTATATAAAAGAAACAAACTGTTCGTGGATTTCATCCACACATCTACTTGCTATTGTCTCGTCTCAGAGCAAAGTATCCGCACTTTCAAAATTCTTGTTACCATTATGGATCGAAGTTCAAGAGCAATGCCGGAGTCCTATTCTCGAGTAAAGTCTGGTTTCTTGTTTATACAATCTAATCTACTGTCATTATTATAGAAACCTAATGTTTTACTGGGCTTTTTTAATCTACAGGTTGTCTAAAGAATTCATCATAAAAAATGCTGTTGGGAGTATTGTACCTCTATCGCTGATTGTGTCGAATGCATTCGATAATGACGAGAGAATCACTGCTATTACATGGCTTGAATCTATACACACTGATCTAGATCAAACAACTGACAACATAGCCGGAGTCAAGCGAAAACGATTCGTTTTAAATGCAACAGAGGATGCTGCCGAGTTTATCGTAAGAATTTATCTGTCTGATTTCATCATGTACATGAAATGGATCAATTCATATCAGTGTGTATAATACGCTAGTATGGTTGAGTTGATGTTAACCATTAATTTTATATTTATTCATGACATAGACATGCAACAACGAGACGAACAACGAAAGCAAGACCAAATACTCGAATACACGTTGCATTGAAAATACAGATGTTTTTAATTACTCGAGTGATGAACAGTCTGAACAGTCAAAGGTATTGAATGCTATGATGGGAATCATTTTCTGAAAACACATGTGGGCTTGTGAATACTATCAAATGTACTAATCTAGCACAGAATACATGCCTCAATATTCAAAAGGATAATCATTCACCCGCCAAAGTACATGACGATATTGATCACCATACAGTTAGTCCATTGAATAAACCGACAGTGATCGACACTATTGTTCAAATTCCGGCCCAACTAAAAGTGATGCCAGTGCTTTCCACTCAAAACCATCAAGAAACTACACCCAAAGCTCTCATTTCACCGACTAAAGTGGATGCATGTAAAGGCTTTAAACTATTTTTTTTATTTTCAAAACTTGGATTTGATCAAATATCTCACTCTATTTTGTCATCAATGCAGATCCGGTCAATAGCTGTGCTCCTTTTGAAACTGAAACTGACTTACCTATGCAGAAATCAGAATCATCAACGAGCTCTGAGGTTGATGCCAACACTCGAGTGGTTGCTGACTTGGAAGTCATGGAAAAATCTGACGATATGGACACCGATACGCATACTAATGAGCATATGGGCGAACAGATAATAGATTCCATGTATAATGACGGTGAGCTCGATGAAAAAGAAGTGGCGGATTCAAACATGAGCGATCCTGCATTGGAAAATCTAGAAAAATCATACGAATCAACAAGTGCTATTACAGTGGAAGAAATCACCAATGACACCATTAGTGAAAACAGTTCAATCAACAATCTATCGACAACTCAGGAACAAAATTTACTTGACACTGAACCTAATGCCTCTGACGAAGATTCATCAGAAGAAAATGATATCAAAGACAATCCTCAAGATTTAAACACTGAATCTAATGTTTCTGACGAAGATTCATCAGAAGAGAATGATATCAAAGACAATCCTCAAGATTTAAACACTGAACCTAATGTTTCTGACGAAGATTCATCAGAAGAAAATGATATCAAAGACAACCCTCAAGATTTAAACACTGAACATCAAAATATATCCAATCATCAAAAAACCGCAGATGAAACCAGTGATACTGCAGAGAATTCTTCATTTGGTTCCAACATTGCTGCTACCAAACACGCCGCTTTGAAAATCGACTCATTGGCATTGACTGATAATGAAGACAGCGACAAGCGCGATTCAGTCAGCACTACTTCAAATGATTCTGAAACTTTTGTTGAGAAATCTACTCAATTGTACTCTCAACCTTTAGCACAATTAACACAAGCTACACCACTCAAGTCGCCAGCAAAACCTTTAGTCTCTATCAAGGCCGCTACGTCACTTAAACATCAACGATCTTTTATTTCACTAAACGATATAGCAATGCCTTCGTTTTCATCTCAAAATACAACAGATCAAAAGTCCGATATGGATGACAAAGCATCTGGCGAAGACAACTCTGATGAGGATGCTTCTGATAGTAGTTTGAGTGACGACAATTCACTTAGCGACAAGTCTGATGCTTCAGTAGACAAACCCAAAGTTCGTTTAGCGGGGAAACCTGCTAAAAAACGAATGTCGCTACTAATGAAATTAGCCAAAGATGGTAAATAACTATGTAATGTGATTTGATAAACCATTTGATAAGTCGACTCATTTTTTTGTGGGTTTAGCTGAACTGCCTTCAACTCACAGACCTCAGCCCAAAAGTACATCTCGGCTAGCGACTCGTCAAACACGTCAAACACGAAGTAGGATCAGCACAAGAGCCTCAAAATCCTGATGCTTATCTACCATTGCGGTGGATGACAAAAAGCGTGAACATGGAGAAATGAATGAAATGAAAATCGTCAACCATTACTTTTGGCGCTGTTCTTTTGCAAATATCAATAGATTGTTGATTTGAATGGTAGGATTGTCTATCAATCGTATCACCAGTATCACGTCAACAATCTGACTTGTTGACACGACCAGTTTGATCATCTTTTCGATTGAAATAAATGGTTTCAAAACATGATGAAATATAATGTTGCCCATTTCTTTTGTTTCGAATCTTAATGTTCAAAATAATTACGTTTATGAAATGAAAATTGTTATTTTAACACCGATATTATCCATCGCATCCGGCCGGACATTCCGAATTGTATCTATACCATTCTAAAATCATGTATTCGTACCAAGTCAGTACCATGCCACAATGATTCCAAAAGTACAACGTTTTACCTTGAAGGCAATGCGCATGACCACCATGACTGCATCGTTGATTCCATGTGAAAAGCCCTCGAACAGGTTGTCGGCTATTCAAGATATATCAAAAAAAGTAGGTTCAAGTATAAATCAGTACTATGCAGATTATATTTCCTAGAAATGCGAATAAAATCATTTAATACAGCAGTTTACCAGATTACACATCCATCCAATTGTTTACAGCATTTTTCGCATGACCATCCAGGACTTGCTGAGCTTGGTAGAATGGGTTTCAAGCATCTGGGACATGATGTGTGAATCTCTGTAGATTCCTATCAATACAAAAACACAAGATTTTAGTATTCAAATACCTAACCCGAGTTCATTCATATGCCCAATAGTTACCTGATTCAACTTTCTTAAAGATAAAAATGGGCATGCGCCAATAATTTCTACAGCCAAGTTCCACAAACGATACCGTTGAAGTAGATCTATTACAAGCACAGAAAATAATCGTGAGATATGATGATGCCAACAGTATCTACTATTTAAAGGGTATAAACGACTCTACTAACCTATGTAAGCCCAAAAGCAAGCCTCTGCACGATTCGCATCAATTTCAACGTGACCCCAAAGAACCAATACGACAGCCACACACATTTGTACGTTTCCCACATCAGCATAGTATTCAATAATATCATTCACCAGATTACTTGGTTCCCAATTAAGCAAAAGTGACTCTGAGTAAAAGTTTGCATTCGAGATTGGCGCTGTAAAATTTGAATGGGTTGATAATCATATGTATTTAGACTGGTATCATTATCTTGTGAACAAACTATTTTTACAGTTTTGGATGGGTAAAACCCCTGTTCCTGATAAAAAATGGCAATGCTTGTTTTCAAATGATGCATGGTTACCTTTGGATGATATGGGCAAAGGTGTAGTGTTGGAAATACATGCTTTTCGATCTGGTGTAGAATGACCGGTATTGGCATTAGAAGACGTGACATTGTAGCATCTGGAGGGTGCGCTTGATACGCCGCATGTAAAATTGTTGAAAAGTAATCTTTTAGATTTCATTCAAACCAATCTTTTAACCAACAGTATATTTATAATAGACGCTGCTTACTTGGGAGTATCGCAAGACTGTGTAGTACTTTGTGGTTTCATGATATCATCTGATATACTACTTAGATTAAATAATATTTGTATGAGTTTCCAGGTTTGTGCAGAACGCGGAAATCCTAGTTGTGCAGCCAGCTAAAGGTTTCAAGTTTAGCGCAATCATTCAAAATAGCTTAACGATGAAAAATCGGTTTAATACCAACACATTTTACCTTGGCGTTGTGTTCGCATGATTCCCAGACATTTGAATTCACCATTGAATACATGATTGCCAGCTGAACAAATGCAGAATGTTCAAGCGTATTGTGCAGCATAATCCCTTCTACTTGTCTTATATTGGGAATATGTTCCTCTGCATTTAGAGCAAGCTCATTGCAGTCAGCTACTATCAAAATGAATTTAGTTTTAATGCCACACGGTAACAAGAGAAAACTCGAATCAAACAATCAGTAATTTAACCTATTACCGTCTATATTGTCATTGCACTCGTTAGATATATCCATAGCAAATGCCATGTTTCCATGCACGTTCCAAGCATGCGCAGAAGTAGTAAGAAGTGTGGAGGGCTTATAACCATGCTGAATATCCTGCACACAAAACCTCTTATCTTTTGAACAAGTCCAAAGGGTGTACGGATTGCTCCAAAGGAATCCTGATATGGAGAATGGAGTAAAAGTATAGCACGAGTGATTAACAACGGATTTCTCATAAACACCATCAATATGGTATTACAATAAGTAAAGTTTGAAACGGGTTTACCTGTAGTGATATTAGCATGTTCTTCAATGGATACCAAAGGTACAAAGGAACGAGAAATATCCCAAATATGTACTCGATTATCAGCAGATAAAGCACATGAAGCCAATTGTGTGCTAAACCCAGGTCTCCATTTTAACCGAGATACTGGAGCACTTGTTGGAATGTTATGTATTGCTTTGCGATTTTCAGATTTAGTATCCCACACCTAACGGACCAGTACATTGAGCGTCATTCAAACGATACAACAAACAATAGTGTTAAAGCGAGTCATGTATGAGAAATCAAGAGATTGAAGCGTAGATGCATCCAGTTTTAAATACCTTTATCACACGATCTCTACTTCCACTAGCTAGAAAACGGCCATTTGAACTCCAATCGATTGTCAGTGCCAAGCCATTGTGAGCGTTCCATTTACGCTCGTATTGGCTTGTGTTTCGGATATCCCATTTTTGGACACTTCCATTTTCAAATGCAGCAGCAAATTCAAATACTCCAGTAGGAACGAATTGCACATCCCGGACACTTTCTGCGCGACCATCGAATGTATGCCTTGCCACACCCTTGATTCGTAGATCCTATTTTATGTGCATAGACAGTGAGTGAGTAATATAAAACAGAATAAAAGTTGGAGTGAGTATAAATTACCCATAATTTCACACTTCCATCTTGTGAAGCAGTCAACAATAAAGGATCAGTAGGATGAAAGCTAATTCTATTAACTGCACGTGCGTGTTCTGTAATCACTCGATCTAAAGAACAGAATAAAAGTTAGAGTGGTGAGATGTAGCCATCAAGAACAGACATGTTGAGATACCCAATTTTTCTTTTGAAGATTTGCGAAGATCCCACAGAATAACACCACTGTTTGTTGCAGCTGTAGCAAACACACTTTTTGAATCTAGAATGAGATTGTAAGAATAATCCAAGATGAGTAGTTTGTAATTTAAATGGAATTTAATGGAATTTAAAGCGTCTTACATGCACCAGCCCATTGAACATCATTGCTGCTAAAATTTTGATTAAGTCTTACACCAGCTCTTAGATTTAATCGTTCCTGTACTTCATCCTGCCTAACTCTTAATGTCATGAGTACTTCACGACCAGCAACAACAGCGATATCACCATCTGTAGAAGCAGCCACGGCATTCATTGCACCATTGAGTGAGATGGACAGAAGAGGTTGTTTTGACAACCTTGGATAGATGGTAGGATCGATAACAGAAGTACGATGACGGAAAGCAAAGTCATTGGATAACAAAGCAGGGTCTAGTTGTGAATGAATCTGAGCAGAAGGAATGTGTTGACCAGGGTTTATGATTGAAGTGAGTTTATCAGTAGGATTCATAGTAATAGGTTTTTGAATGGGAGTGGTAGAAGCAGCAACGATACTAGCATACGTGGTGAATAGATTTTGCAAGTTGCTGGTAACAGGCTGAACAAACGAAGTGTGAAGAGTGGAACCAGAACTGCTGTTTGTCAGAGAAGCACAGGCGGAGTGGTGAGACCGGAAGAAATGGCTTCATCATGAATAGGTTTCCTTGCCATTGACAATCCAACTGTTGGTCTTGCAATAGTAATTCCAAGCCAACCCCGAATTCAGCCTTGACTTGACACTTCTATCTTTGGAATGAATCCTGAGCTTACTCCAGTCAACCCTGAGCTTACTTCACTTCATCCTAAGCTTACTTCACTCCATCCTGAGCTTACTCTATCAACAGTAAACTCTCTGATTTACGATCCAATATCTCTTCCTCCTGCCATGACCACTCTCTCTGTTAGTACGAGTTCTTTATTGTCTGAACAATCTTGTCCTGCTGGTCTAACTCCTAAAATTCAAGTAAGTTGCCAATCTACTCGCTTATATAACTTGTAATCTACTAATGTCTTGACTGTCATTCTACTGACTGTATTGTTGTCTTGCATTGACTCGGATCTACACGTTTATCAATTCACAGGTTTATCCCAATGAGAGTTATGTTCATCTGCCATGGAAGAACGGACTGGGCGAGACTGCTGAGATTGCTGTTTATCCTCCTAATAGAAACTTTCGCAAGGATCCATTCATGTGGCGACTGTCGTTGTCCGAGGTTCGGGATTCGTGTTCATTTTCACTGTTTCCTGGCTACGATATTGCTTTGTTTTTACTCCCTGAAAGTGGTGCAAATGCTCCCATAAGAGGAAATCTATCCGCTCCCGCTGTTCTCTATCACAACGATCAAGCTACTCCAGTTCCTATCAAACCTTTGGTCCCATATACCTATAAAGGTGAATGGCCCACTACGTGCAGTGTCAATGCATCTCCTCTCAAACATTTGACTTTCACTTCCAATCGTCGTGTCGCAAAGGTCTCGATGAGTTTGGAAACAATCAGTCGTCATGGTGCAAATGGTGATGATGGAGTGGGCGATGAAGATGAAAATAGTAGTGATGATGAATTGTTGGAATTGTCCAGTAAAGACTCGGCACATCCACCCATCTCCAATCTTGGCTCTCAACCTACTACCAACCCTCAAACCACTGCTGAAACTACCACTTCACCAACAAACAGACTTTTACTTGGCAACTTTACTATCGTCTATGTTGTGTCGGGTTCCATCAAGGTTACCATTGAAGGCGATTCAGAACCGCGTACATTACTACAGGGTCAGACTCTTGTTTGCGAACGTGATGACGATTGTACTCCCTCCGATCTCATCATGACTCCAATTTTAAAACCTATGGGTTTAACCACTCTACCATCTCATACTCCGCTCGTTGTCGGTAGTTTGAATATCTCGGAACTCCCTGGAGCTTCACAACTTAAAGGTATTGTCCTCGACTCTTGAATATATTTCATTCATGTTGCGTTACTAATGATCATCCGTTCATTGTTTTAATCAGAACCTCGTGAAGCAAAAATCCTGCTCATTGATATCCACTTGTTCCATCCAGACCGCCAGGGCAGTTATATATTTGATTCTTCTGCAACAGATCTGTTCAACCTAGCTGCCTCATCAACTGCAGCTCAAAATACTACTACAATTTCTCATGGTATAACCAATGTCATGGCACAGGCTGCTCAACCGCCACTTCCTGATGTATCCAACTTTCAACGAGGACGTAGTGGATCTATTATTGTATATGATGATCAGCCTTTATGGGTGGTTCCCAAGGAAATGGATAAACCTGCTATGCTTGCAGATGCCAACGCGCATAAATCCAACCTGACTACACAATATTGGGAATCTGCTCATCAGTATCGTCCTCCAGTGTTTTCTGCCAGATATCAAAACGAAAGTGACGTTCCTCCTCCTGTCATTCGGGATAGTCTGGTCATTGAAGAGTTTCCTACTGGAAAAATAAGCACTGTTTGGATTAATATGGTAAAACAAGGTCTTTCGGAATGGTTAAGAGTGCCTGTGATTATTGCGCGCGGAACAGAATCTGGGTAGGCCACTGAGTTGAATACTTTGAATTTTAATTCACATAGCTAACCATGTTTTTTTAAACTTGGTTTGACATCTTGCTTCTAGACCTGTGGTACGTTTGATCATCTAAACTTATTTGATATTTCATTTCAAGGTACTGCGTAGTAATCTATGCATGGCATAATACATTATAGGTTGGCATCACTGCTGTTGTCCACGGGAATGAGTTGAATGGTGTTCCATGTATACATCGGGTAATTAGCGATATTGATGTGAACCATTTAAAAGGCACGGTTGTTGCAGTACCTTGTGTTAATGTGCCAGGCTATCTTCGATTTTCTCGCGAGTTTTCTGATGGAAAGGATTTAAATCGTTTGTTTCCTGGACAAGAAAGTGGAACTGCATCGCAAATGTACAACTACCATCTCATGAACAAAATCATCAATCGTTTCAACTATCTGATTGATCTTCATACCGCGAGTTTTGGAAGAGTTAATTCGTACTATGTTCGTAGTGACATGAACGATCCTGTATCTGCTGTGCTTGCCAAACTACAGCAACCACAAGTTATTTTGCACAACAGTGGTCAAGATGGTAAGTTTGACTAGGTGTATTGAGATTATGAAATAGACAATAGCTGCTTTGTTGTGGTTTGACTTTTGACTTGTTAGGTACACTTCGATCTGCTGCGAGCTCCCGCGGCATTAAAGCCATAACTGTTGAAATTGGAAACCCACAACTTTTTCAAAACCAATACGTGCAATGGTCGTACATGGGAGTCATGAGAATCTTGTCCTATTTAAATATGTTTACCAGCAACACCCCTGAGCCCAACACACCTCAACCAAAAACAATCTTATGTTCCAAAGGATTCTGGATTTATACTCACACTGGCGGAGTTTTGGAAGTATATCCGCAAGTCAATAGTGTCATTCGCAAGGGAGATTTGATTGCACGCATCAAGAATATTTTTGGAAATATTGTCGACGAGATCTTTGCTTCAAGCCACGGAGTGGTAAGTAACTGGACCCAAACCATCTGTTTAAACGTTTGATCTTTATTGCTGCCCATGTATTTAAAAGCAGCTGAACTCTTTAAACCCCAGTGAAGATTCAGATATCGCTAACTATACTTTTTAAAACTGTAGACGATTGGTAGAAGCTCAAACCCTGTTGCGATGGCAGGCGATCGTGTACTGCATCTTGGAATCATCAAAAAGGAAAACGAAGTGCTTGCTAGAGAGGCCAAAGAAAATTACTAAAATGAGAATGATGGTAAAAGCTTATGTTTATTTTTCAAACACGGACAACCATGGATTCTGATGTCAGCAGGTTTAGGCATTACGTTGTGATTGTTCGCTGTTCCATCTTTTGACCTCGATGCTGTTTTCACTCCATCCCCAGAATCGAACTAATGTGGCGAAATATGGATAGTGGTGTAAATGGTATGAAATAAAAACACATGGTCTTGCCAACATGCACAATAAACAGGAGCCTCGAATGTCTTGAATCTTCAAGATTAGAATATTCAACATAGTAAACTTACACAAGGATCTCTGATAGCCATGCAAGACACCCATTGCCATGAAAAAAGGGATTTGAACTGCCATGATTTTGGGCAAAGTCCTTGGATTGATAGTTGGAGAGTATTTTTCTGAAAGGTTGATAGATTCAGAATCCGACACCGGCCAGATCACATTGATAAATGATGCCCGTAATTCAAGTGAACATGACAACATTGCAAACATTGGATATCAGTCAGTATCAAGTGTCTAACAGCCATTCGTCCATCCTAGTCTATTCTCTTTATAAAAACATGCAAAAGGAACAGAGCAACAGCCAACTACACAACAAACGCAGTTTAGGATCGAAGAGTTGACCTACCCAAAGCATAGAGAGCACCAGGGAAAACAGTTGCAAAGCCAGTCATGGCAACATAATCAGATGTTCTAAAGTAGCGAGCCATGGTCTTCAAGTCAGGTTCATCAGTGATGAATGGATACGGAATATCGTCCCCTTGTGGAAGGTTTGAAACCCATTTCATTGTGCAAGAATAACTGTTTGAATGTTTGGATTCAATAAAGGAAATCAACAGCAAAATAGCAAAAACTGGCCTAAAATATTATTGAAAATTGGGTATAAAATAGACTTGAAATGCTCGAGTTGGCTCTTCAAAGAATCTTTTACAGTTTAATTGATGCCTTCCTGTGATCGATTCTTTGAAGACTTGGCCGAGTGTCTGATGGCATCCGACTGTGTAGTAAAGTATGGAAAGCGACCTCAAGAGTGTGTTGAAGCCATTATGAGAGCAAAGCTGTATGATCGATCCATTTCCCAACCAGAAACTATCCTAGTTGACAACGTCATTCCTCCTCCAGATTCTTACACTCCGTCTGAATGCATGTTGAAGCATCAGGCATATCAAGAATGCAAAGTCCACCTGGTAAACCCTCTGTTGTTCATCTCTTGTATTATAAACAGCTTGTAGTGTTCCATCTGCTCACTCTTGGTCATTTCTTGTCATAGATGAATCCAAGAAGACGATTCCGAACACCATATGGAGGACCTGCACCTAAAAATGATTCAAACGTGTCCAACGACACACTTGGTGCCGGTGCGGAAAACTCTCCCCAGCAGTATTGATGTTGGATACATATCTAATAAAACCAGCTATTTTTATTCTGGGTTGGATTGGGTTCGAGTGTCCATTTTATTCTGCCTCATTACAGACTCGGTTGGTTACGCCGTAATGTCAAGAGCTCTTATCCTTTCAATAATTCTATGCGATCGGGCAATAGTTAATCCTTTTTCTGATCTCGGGTGTGTTTAGGTGTAACCAAGTCGGCAAGATATTCGCAATTCCAAACAAGTAGAATTGAAATCAGCAAGTATTTTTGCAAATTAAACCAAAAAACAAGAGTTAGAATGTTCCTAGACCCATGCAGGTTTAGTCTAATTAAGCTATAATGGCTGATCATGGTTCACCTGTTTTAGACAACAGCGCGCAACATATGGCTATATTCTTTAAAATCGCTGTATCATTGGTGTGATCCATATGATAAACTAGACTCTTAATCACTCCAAGATCAACAAGACGCTCAGCACAACTCTCTAGATGTGTTTGAAACATATTAGTGATTATCAGCAAAGTACTCGGCAACTTCACGGTCAAGCACATTGCTTAAACAGTCGCGAATTCAATACAAACAGTAGTCGATATATGGTGAATCAATCAAGCTACTTACTACGCCTTGCACATTCTGATGCACAAAAAGTAGCATTTCCAATAAGACGGGGTAGTTGGACTTGCGTCGATTCTAATATGCTTGCCAATACTTGTAGTCCACCACAGTTGTACCACCTATCAATTCGTGATTCAATATCCATTTGATTTCCATACTGTAGCCAAATGCACATGCTTTGAAGAATATTGGCACGCAAATCATCGGATTTGGACTCGTCAGTTAAATATGCTAACCAGTCAAGTTTCTTCCAGTCAGCATCCAACAATCTCGATGCAATCACGGGATACTTTTGAGCAAGCTTGGGAAGAATTCGGTACACATCAGATACAAACATCCCTTGATTTCTACTAGCAAGATCAATCAAATCAAACATGAGCAATTGGAATCTGGCAAGATCATACTCTACTTTTTTTTGCATGGTGACAAGATTGTGAAGAATAGCAAGCAATGTTTCAATGTTTCTAATACAACTTTCTAAAAGTGGAGTAGATTCAATCAAGACATGTAGCATACTAGAGAGTTGATCCATCATTGTATGCATGTGTTCATCTAGTGCAACACGAGCATTAGGCAGTAAAGTGACTTGAAACAAGCATTTTTGTGCCAGCAGTATGGAATCTATATCCGATCTTTCTTTAATAGTGCTGTTTGCTGTTGCTGACAAAAATGAAAACGTACAGAGCCGAGACACCAACAATGAATTTTGAATATCCCAAGTTTTCAAAATAGCAACACATTTACAAGTGGGCAGTGAAAGAATACTGTGTGCAATGGATAGTCCGTATCCACAAATATATTCAGGTTGCTTTGGATCAAGGGAGCGCAGCAGTAAAGCGCCTAATTCTTTAGCATGATCACCAGCCTGACTAAACTGTTGTCCCGACACGGTTGTATCTGCTGCAAGCATATATAAAAGTTCCATCACCATCCAAGGCAGTTTTGGGTCTTTTGTATTATAAAGTATGGACGAGATGTATCGCATATGACCTCCTACTAGGACGATATTTTGTGTACAGTCGTAGCATGACTTGATCAGCAGAGGAATAAGCAAGGTTGCAAATTCGTTGCAATGTGTGGAATCGTAAATAATAAACTGTCCAATCCAGTCGCAAAATCCATCTTGAAATCTGATCTCATTATGCTCCTCAATCATGGCCATAACTGTGGCAAACTGTGCTTGAATCTCGATAATCTGATTAGCTTTTACCTTTTCATCAATTGGTAAATTAGAATTTAAGCATGTAGCATACGCTGAAAGTTGTGTTGAAAGTCGTGCAAACTCATTATTGCATTTCACTTTAATTGAGGATGAGTTATTCGACTTGCTGCTACTTTGAATTCGATTCAAAATACCATCGATATCTTTTTCGGAAATATCGGTTCGAGTATGGCTACCGTCCAAAATGATTTGACGAAGTGTATGCGCATCTTTTATTGCCAATTCGGATTGTCCAAGTCGCCAACGAGCCTCTATGCGTCGCCAAAGTCCTTTAGTGTTTGTTGGATCCACATTCAAGGCAAGACAACAATCAGCTTCTGCTTCTGCCCATTTGCACAATTTCAGAAATGCGAAAGCGCGATTAGTGTATAAACTGGTATTGACCAAAATAGGTACAGGTTTCAAGATTCTGTCGAGAAAGGAAAAAGGATCATTTGAAGCAACTTGAGAGTCAGTTTGGGTGTCAAGTAAATCTTTGGAAGGCGACAGACTTGTTTCAATTGCGACAGAGTAGTGAGAGATGGCTTGTTCATAATCGCCTTTTTTAAACGCTGCATTTCCCATCTGTCGAGAGCGATTTACCGCATCATGCACAACTTGAATGTGTCGTGGAAGCACCGACTGATTTGAGCAGTCAGAGGTTGCAGATTTAGAAGCAGAAACTAGATTGGAAAGTGGTGCGGTTTTTTGCGTATGATTCTTTGCGTCCTTGTTTGATTCAAGCTTTTTAAATGATGTTTTGTCATCAGTCTGGTTTAGGGAAGTGTTGCATGTCACATCAGTGTCAACATCAATATTCTCCCATTTGGAGTAGTCAATCGTGTTGGATGGTTTACTTGTGATATTCAAGCTATTTTTGGTATTACCGAGGTTAATCTGGTCAATACTCTTGTTGACTTTGTGTACAGCATCTTGAACAGGATTGGAGGTTTCGCATGCCAATGCAATATCATTAGATATGTCAGGACCAGGCGTATTGCTACTATTCTTATCCCATACTATTGGCTGCATAGCATCATCTGGTATATTCAAAGTCGATTTGGTTGCACATGGCTCAGAATCTACATCAGGCTTGTTTGAATGACCGATTGGGTCAGACGAAACGTCAGTCATATCAGCTGAAAGTTTTCCATTAAGGATTTCGTTCATCTGTGATGCTAGATGCAGATTGTTAGAATACAACTGACGTTGGCTAAAAAACGCTGCCTAATGCAACCAAGATATCTACAAATTATAAGCTGCTCACTTACTAAAATTGTTAACATAGTCGTCAAATGCATCAAGCTCAGCAGCTAGTTGAACATTCATTTTTGTTGGTTAGATAATGAGAATGGAATTGACTTTTAAGAATCTACTGGAATCAATCTAATCTCCGACACGAACCGCAATTTTAGATAAATTCAACTAGAATCTACTTGCAGTTTTGGAAGGATTAACATCATCCGTGCATATTTAACTTGGAATAACTGCACTTTCTTTTTAGTAAAACAATAGCCACTCGGTGTATTCATTCACACAGTGAATGTCAGTGTTTAGTATTATTTTTGCACACAATTCAGATTAAACTCTGGCTAGAATATCCGATAGTAAATTATTCGCAAGATCTGTCAAAGTAAATTGGATTGTCAATAAGCTTGGTCAGAAAGTGGCAGAGTGCAACTTTTTTATAAATCATAATCTAGATATGACCAAGCTACTAAACGCAGTTTGATGTGCACAAACATGTCAGTCCAACACCAGAATAACCTAGACCACATTACACCATGATCAATGGCAAATTCAGTATAAATGCAAGCTTCATTCCCGATATATCTAGTATCAAATGGCCGACATTCTCGATCGATATTAAAATGGATTCAAAATCTTGCAGATCAACTATACTTGGCAGCAGCTCGGTCAATATTATACAGAATTGATGCCATTTATCTGCAGTTCTGGCCATCTTACACACCATATGCATGCCATCTGGTATTAATCTTTGACAGAGCCATCACGAGGCCTATACTTGATTCCCTTGTCAATAAGTTCTTCTTCGACCTCATACGGTAACTGCCCGCCTACTCGAATGGCATAAAGTCCTTTGCTAAACTTATCTACTCGCTGCCAGCGAGCAACCCACGACACCTCTGGCTTCATTTGCGCAATAACTCCGTCGTAGTTGGCAGATGTGCACTCCAGCATTCGCTCTGTGTTGTTCTTGAACAAAAGGACTTCTTCACAATTGTCACATCCTTCCATCTTGAACCTCTGTTGTGTTTTGAGAAGAGAGCAAAGAAGACATGCCCGCAACTTGCGTTTCTCTGACTGTAGAGTCTCTGCCATAATATAAACAGTCGTCTAGGCGATGGAACTTTGAGTACCAATGAATGGGTTGGCAGCACAACGATTTGATTAAATTTGGTGCAACTTCAGAATCCAAAACGTTGTCCATTTTCTAATATAAATCTATACACTGCAGACACTAGACCAACATATTCCAAGTTTCATCAAAAACTCTGCAGGATATTTGTAGATTTCATAATCTGTCGACTAGTGTAATTCCATATCCAAAACAGTCGGATTAAAACAGATTTCAAGGTCGACTCAAAGTTTCCTTTTTTTCCCAACAATTCATCGATTTGGTTGAGAGTATGGATGGTAGGTGTGGATTTATAGTTGGCTATTATACAAATTCCATTTGCTGATGCTTTAAATAGAGACACCAAAAACCAAACTGTCAGGCCGTGCACTCAAGCCAGGAATGTGCAACAAGTGTAAAGTTGAAACTCCATCTATAATAGTCAAGCGAGCCGAGTTTTGTCGGTAAGTGCAAGACTGTTTGTAGCATGAGTCGGTTTGGAGCTATGAATGATCCATGTACCGTGTTCATTGATAAACAATCGCTGCAATAAACCGGACTGCTATATTGTCAATGTATACTGAGCTGTATTTTTAATTCAAGGTCTTGCTTTTTGGATTCTGTTGGGCATCGCTTTCGAGGAAATCTATCAAAATCTAGCATTCCTGAAGGATCTAAACTCATGGTTGCATTTTCTGGCGGCCCATCATCGAGGTCTGTTGGGAGAAATGCACTGCCTTGGAGTCTACCAATGTGACACTTACCCATTTTCGACAATTTTTAAATGTACTCAATAGAGCCTTGCTACAAACTATGAATGATTACTGCAGAGTAGACCCAGAAAATAGCCGAAAGAAACGCAAGTTTCCAGAGTTTTGTGTGTGTTATGTGGATCAGTCATCTATTCTAGACAGCCATGCATCGGATGCTTCAAAAATCACTGCAATAGTAAATTCTTACCAGCGCGAGCTGTTTATTGTTTCGCTAGAAGCTGTTTTTGAAGAGCATGCTCCTGCATTATTAAAAACTCATATCGGCGTAGATGATACTATTTCAGGTAATGATGGGGCAAATACCGAGTTTTTCACTGTGGATTCAACTACTGCAGATTCTAAACATTGATGTATACTATAGCTTCAAGCTCATTCAATATTGAGCTTGAAAAGAATGCAAAGAAAGTAGACAGTAGACTACTTGTTCAACAAATGTTTGGCACGCTTTCTAGCATGACATCAAAGGAAGACTTGCTGCATTACTTGACTTTGCATACGTTGGTACGCGAAGCAAAAGCCCAAGGTTGTGCAGGTATATTACTTGGAGATACTGCCACTAGTGTGGCTATTAATGTCATCTCAAATACCTGCAAGGGACGCGGACTCTCTCTCCCCGCCGACATCATGGATTCTGAGTGGTATCAAGGTACAATTTGATACTCATTTGAAGACTTTTTCAATATTTATCTTACTTGACACTAACATATTGCCATTCTGATCAACAGATGTGCATATTCTACGGCCAATGCGTGACATTCTTTCAAAGGAAATTGGAATCTTTAACCGACTGTCCAAGTTAGAAACGGTAGCACATTCGTCCCTTACTACTTTTATGGCACCTAAAGCCAGCATCAGTCGTCTCAGTCAAGGTGATTGTATACAAGCTGTTGTGCGAATCAATCTACAATGCTAACGGTATTTACCATGTCTAGATTTCATTGTTGGATTGGAGAAGGAGTTTCCCGCAACCGTGAGCACAGTAGCCAGAACTGCTTTCAAGATTCAGACCAATCATCTTTCAAAGAAACAGTGTCCGCTATGTGAAGGGTATGACCAGCTGGATTAAAGATATCCGCATAAATTTGGCTATATTTGCTTTTTATACTTTGACTTAATGTAATGACCCAGATCTACTTATACTGACTACATTCAAACTTGGCGTGTATCTATAGTCCTGTTGATAGCACCGATAATTTTGCTTCTATTGATTCGTCGGCAGAGACACCTGGTTATCCTTGCAAGCCAATCTGTGAAACTAAGCCAAGTTTTGAATGCTGCTCAGATGATAAAACTACAACAGCTTGCTGTGCTCAAAACGTGAATAAAAATGAGCAAGTGAATGTATATCCACTGCTCTGCTATGCCTGTCGGAATATTGCCCACGATTTTCCCAAGCAAAAAACAACTCAATCTCCAAGCCCAAATCAGCATGATGTTCCTCTACCAGCATATATTGCACATAACTCTTTTCGGCGACTCTCTCAAAATGAATTGAGAAACCAAATCAGCGATTTTTTGATCGAGGATGACAATTCTGTCAGTTACTAAATGAAAATCTATGTTATATTTTGAAGAGATTGATTGACAATTGCAAGTGTTTTGATGGCCATCAACTGATGATCCTTTTCCCACGATACATATAGGATTGGCTGCGAATTACTACAGGGCGAAATACGAACCGCCTTTCCAACAATCACTAGTTGTCCTTTTTCTTCTAATGAAACCGTAATGTCTTGTGCACCAACAAAGAATTTGCATAGACAGTCATAGACTTGCTTGAGCGCTCGTTTATATACGTCTGACGTATCAGCAGATCCTGTACCAAGAAACATCATTGGGTTGAAACGGTAGGCCACTGACAACGAAGTCGGATCAGTTACACGAGACATTGGATTCGACTTTGGGTCAAACTGACCCTCGACTAACCGAATTGTGGCGGGAAGTAGCTGATCTGTCATAACCACAGTCCCGTTTTGTCCCCAAACACGCTTTTCGGTAGTTCGACAAGGTTCAATGATAAGAGTCGCATCTAAAGGGATATCGCAAATCGGGACCACATTCTGTATATTGAGCGAGGTGGAAGATTCACTTTTAGAAAATATGTCTGTAAAGCATGGACGTTGTCTCGCATATGATTTTGAAACCAGTAGTTTAGAAACAAGCGCTGGAATTTCAAGTTTGGTGGGAATACAGATTGCTGCACCATTTGCTGGGTCAAAACAAGGTATGCCAAGTTCTCGCTCAATGCGAATCTTCAACTGAGCCATTTTTTTCTTTTCGCCATGAACAAGCATGACATTTTTGGCTTTAGATGCACGAATAAGTTGTAAAATTCCCTTTGCATCTGCATGGGCAGAAAACGACAAGTTGCTGATTTGGAGATTCACATTTAGCTTTGTAAAGCGATCCACATTAATGACTTTTTCACCTGCAAGCACTTTGGCGCCAACCGTTCCAGCTACACAGTATCCAGGCATGATGATCATATTTTTTGGATCGTGGCACCACTTTTTAAATACTTCCAAAGAAGTTCCCGCATGTAACATTCCAGGAGTAGCAAACAGTACCATTGCCCCTGGCTCATCGGCAAAGGAATGGCTCCATGAACGAATATGAGCAAAATCAAACATGTTTCGTTCCACCAGCGCCGACTTGACATTTTCATTTGTCCAAGAAATAAAAAGCTTGTAGTATTCGTTGGCACGCTCAGTGAGTCCGGTTGAAAAATATACGGGAACCTTGTCACATAAATCATCCATACGCCGCCAATACGATTCAATAAGTATAAGAAGCTCTTGAGCACGACCTAGTGCAAACACCGGAACCAAGACCTTGCCCCCACCACTCACACAATCATGCACTTTTTTTAAAAAATCTCGTTCACGAGCTCGTTTAGAATCCCTGATGGTTGTTGCGTATGTTGTTTCTGTAATAATCAGATCAGGTTCGCAGCCATCAATCTGAGCAGCACCCAAATGCCGATCGGGTGTCATATTGTAATCGCCTGTATATACCACAGACTGAGTCACTCCATATCCATCCGTTACACGCACATAAAACATGGCTGCTCCAAGCACATGGCCCGCATAATAAGGTCGAATCTCAAGCTGGGCATCCACTTGAACTGTTTCCATTAGATTGACAGCAATCACTTTTTGCATACAGTTTTTGATGTCGACAGATGTGAAAAAGTCGGTTTCCCCCTTACGCTCGACAACCACCTTGCGCATATCTTCCAAAAGAATGGGAGCAATTGCCTTTGTCGGGCCAGTCATATAAATAGGTCCATCATAACCACATATCTCTGTAAAGTATGGCAGAGCTCCACAATGATCCAGATGAAAGTGTGAAATGATGACACAGTCAATCATGCTGGTATAATCACCAGATTTAGATATATAGGTGAAATCTGGGAAACGGCGATGGTCAGAGTAACCCATGTGCATACCACAATCAAACATGATGTTTTTTGAGCCCATAGTGACAAGCACGCATGAACGACCAACATCCTGACCGGCTCCAAGTGGAATCACTCTGATGAATGGCTGTTTACTCGACATAATGCTAGTGTTTGATTGATCAAAGTTGAATAAAGGTATAGACGATATCAAAAAGTGTATGAATTGACAACCCTGAATGCTAGTAGCTGAAGCTGCACTGGCAAGTTATCTAAATAACTGTCCGTCGCTGGATTTGGTGTTTACTGCAATTTTGGAAAAAGCGATATCTGACGCTGTATCTGATTTGTATTTATCTTGCAATGGCACTGCTTGGAATAAATCATGATTGAATACTCGTTGCATTCGAGAACAAACTGCTGCACATCGTTCTACTGATTAAACTATATCTTTTTGCTCATACATGAATCATCTATTTTATTTCTGTTTATTTGTACGATTGTTCCATCCAACAGATGTGATCCGGTCATTCCAATTAATCATTGATCAGACTGCACAGTGCATATATTATAATCGGTAGTTTCATCTGCCATTTGTATTAGTAATTTCCAGTTTTAGTGTTTTATTTTGCGTGAATACAATGTGATGAACGAGTGATTTTTACACCCAAAAAACAGTTGAATTCAAGTGATTTTGACAGTTGATATTCATTCCAATCTGATAATATGATTCGCAACGTACATGAATACACTGCAAACAGCATGAAACTTTTGACTGCCATCAGACTGCGATCATGCAAACACTCGTTTCTACCAACAGGACAATCGCTTGGCTTTTCTCGCTTGTTGTCAACTGCCCGAGAATGCAATGTAGAAGCTTTGCACGGCAACGACAAAGGTAAATGCAACCAAAAAGTCAATATGTTGATGTATAGTGTCATGCCATGACTCTAATCTGTTATAATGCAATGGTTGCAACTACGCATGCATCTACGTATGCATCTACGCATACATGTTTACTAGGCATCTTTGTCCTGACATTGGATCGTCCTGCAGCCAAGAATGCTTTAGGTCGCACTCTCTTGTCACAGTTTCGTCAATCCATCAATGATCTACGTTTTAACGAGTATGTGACTGAACATGGACTAAACGGCTGTATTGATTCTGACACTATTCGACTAATTGATGATTTGCAATGTGCTGGATTATCAATCTAGTCAGGCTCGTGTGGTGATTGTCAAGAGTGCAGTGGATGGAGTGTTTTGTGCAGGAGCCGATCTAAAGGTAGAGTCAAAGTGTTATGCAACGCATAATCAATAAGATGAACTGTCAATCCATCCAACTCGTATCACTGCATCATCAGCATGTCATGTTACAACCAAACCATTTGATTGTCAGCGTATTCACTGCATGACAATGTGCAATCTATTGTAGGAGCGAGCTCAGATGCAACCGTCTGAAGTGGCAGCATTTGTAAACTCACTTCGTGCAGCCTTTTCTGAACTAGAGGTTGGTGATGTTGAGTTTATTACAAATATGAAGAATGTAATGGCCAATCTAACAGGTGTATTGTGTGGTGTTGGTCATGCATCAATACATTAGTCGTTACCAATGCCAACGATTGCAGTGGTTGATGGATTTGCATTAGGAGGTGGTCTTGAACTGGCTCTATGCACCGATCTGCGTGTCGGTGGACAAAAAGCCAAGGTTGGGCTTCCAGAAACGAAACTGGCAATTATTCCTGGGTAAGTAGCATATTGGTAACGTTATTTTCAACGATAGATTAATACACTTGTCAAATCAAACTGTCCAAGTTATGATTATCAAAGCAGTATCAATGTTTGAGTTGTAATTGGAGCTGAATGTTGGAATATTGACTGCATGTCATAGTGCTGGTGGTACTCAGCGACTTTGTCGTTTGATTGGAGTTTCTCGTGCCAAAGAGCTTATTTTTACGAGTCGAGTCTTGACATCGAGTGAAGCGTTTGATTATGGTAAGTGATGTAGATGGATTACAAATGGTTGGATTGTTATTGTAGTGTTTGTGATTGAAAACATTTTGGCATGGTATATGGGTTCAACAAATGCACAATGGTGCATATTGATAGATATTGATGCATATTGATAGATACTAATGAATAGATGCATGGATGGTCCAGGTATTGTCAACTATACAGTGAATGAATCAGCATACTCTAAAGCACTCGAGGTTGCGCGTACAATGATTCCTAATGGACCAGTTGCAATGCGTATGGCCAAGTTGGCAGTTCATCATGGATCACAACTGGATCTTGCATCAGGTCTGGCATTTGAACAAACTTGCTACGCCCAAGTGATTCCGACGCAGGACCGATTGGAAGGTAATGTCGATTGACAATTTGATGTGATTGGATGGATATATTTGATGTGATTGGATGTTACATATGATGACTGATTTGGATGCGGTGGATCGTGTTGATTACATAGGTCTTGCAGCATTCAGAGAGAAACGAACACCAGTCTATACTGGTCGTTGAACACCAATGCAGTTGTACAACCACCAATAAACAACTCAACAATGGATTCATGATTATGCATGTGCTATGGGCTATGTTGAATATTTTTATTTGTAAAAAATAATCGACAGGTTATAATTGATAAAAGTAGCCCATCAGTAGATATAAACCAGACAAAAAATGAAAATGAATCAATATAAATGGCAATTAAAGCAGTAAAAGTACTGCAAGGTCATCTAATACGTGTATGAACATACGAGATGAACTCAGCATGATGCTGATGAATTTGAACTAGATTTGCTACTAGCTACAATGGTTTTTACCCAAACGTCGTACTCTCCTACTTGTATGACCAAGTTGTGGTGAATATGATTCAATAGCGTGGTTTCTGAGGCATGAAGGTCTTTTGCTTTCAGGGACAATCTGCTTGCCCATTCCTTTGTTCCAAGCGAAAAATCTTCGAGGTATTTATGTGCTGTAAGGAGTGCAGCTACAAATGCCCTTCGGCCGCATCTTGATTTCCGCGGAATATTTGCGTGTTTGCTATTTGCTGGCTCAACTTCTGCTGAAAGTACTGTTATGGATGTCTCAGATACATTAGTGTATTTTGTGTTAGAGTTGTCAAGAACAGCCACGTTTGATCCCTTGGAGTTACGGCTTTCATTGCAGTGGTTGGATAGTACACATGGCAGTTGCAGTTCATGAATCAGACGATGCAGATACAGCAAAGCAATTGCAGTGGTTGAAAAGCTTGCAGGACATCGTCGTAGAACTTCAATCACAAACAACCGAGTTGGAGCAGTGGGTTGAACTGCCATATCAACTGTATTCAAAGTGCAAATCATCTGCACTGCGAGATCTATCAATTTAGTAATAGTTTATACAGTATCGAGTAGGCGTCAGCATCCAGGGTGGAATAGACAAGCAGCCCAGTCAATATGACACAACAGTGCATCACAATGACACGAATTTGGAGTTTCGATATCGACCCAAGTCAAATCAAGTGAGCAAGAAGCAGATCAGAAAGCAATCATGTTAGCAAAAAGTAGAGTCAGTAAAGGGATGCGCTGTTTGACATTCTTTTAAAAGTCTCAAACTCGAGTGTATAGCAAAGTAACTCACCAATAAAGTATTCAAGCAGTGCAAGCTGATCGTGTGCTGCAGTCAATGATAATCTGCCTGTAGTGGTATTAGAGTGGGTCACAGGTGGAGTACATATGATCTGAACAGCAGGTTTTGGTTTTGGCACAACAGGAACACAGTGCTCCTGTGATTTGGATAGGCTAGAAACACTTGGTATTACATCATTTAACGTAGAGCCATTTCTTGTATTTGAAGATGGTTCTGCCGTGTATGATTGTGTGCGTTGACAATATTCCTTTGCATGGTGAGTTCTAGTCACGCTTGGTGAAGCTACTGCTATTGGTGGTGCATTTAGACAATGCTGTTTGCTGTTCTCTTTAAGTCCAACTACTGAAATGGCTCTAGTGCTGCTAAGATAAGGAGAATAAAGGTACGGATGTTGGTTGTGGCTGGAAATTTCGACCTCTTGACATGCAGATGTGCTACCATCTCTTTTCCTGTTTAAATAGGCTCGCCTGTATACTTTCCAGCAATTCCTTATAGGATCATAATCGGGGTGATCAAACGATGGGCTATGGATATTATGCGGATGCACCATTGAATTGATGGATAGTGGTGAGTAAGCTACACCCGATGGTGAAGTAGGATTTGAAATGGAGCGAGTAAGAACCGATGTGGTAGTCATGAGGCAGACAATGGTATTTGAAAGTTGGGAGAAAATCAATTCACCTAATATGCACTCAGCTATATCAAAGTCTATTTGATAGCTTGGATTTTGAATTCAAACAAAGGGTTAAAGAATAACAAAATCTATGTAGCAATCCAAGCTGCCAAAATTTATCTGTAAAGCAATGTCACTAAAAGCCTGATGTCATGCAAGTGAGTTAGACAACTCAATGTCATTCAGCACAGACTGTGTCAGTGTCGCGTCATTCTGTTAGTGTATCAAGAATATATCAAGGGGGCGGTTCTAGCTTATCGGCTTGGTCGCCTGTATACGGATATGCTTGTGAGTTGGCGGAGGTATAACTGTAACCACTCAGACAAGTCATAATTACAAATAGCAGAACTAATCTGTACTACACCAAAACATCCTCTGCAACTCGCTGCTTGTCAAGTTGTATATTAGTCATAGTTATTATTCCGAACATGACGCGCACTGAGTCACGTTCCGTGATCCTTGCCGAACCGCAAGCCCATTGTCAACTGGGTTAATTTCAAAACTGGGCCTACTTCAATCCCTGTAGCAACATCAGTAAAGTCACATTCTATTTTTTCTACTATTTAGATTGATTTACAGCTGTATTCATGCAGGATGGAGTACTTGTATTATCTTGCAGCCATTGCTTTGCAATAAACAATGGCTAAATCTTGCGCTTTCCTATTAGAAATTGGCTTGAATAGACATTGTCTGTTCTTCAATAAATACAGCGTCCATCATATGACACAATCAAACTGCAGCTTTGAACAGAGATTGTTTTTTTTGCATAGCCATGCATATACAATCGCCAAGTTTGGGACTATATTTGGATCCGACTGTTCTGATGCTGTCAATACAACTCATTTGTTGTAACCTAGTCTCGGATACATTCGCGCTCTAGTTCAAGAAACGATAACTGCATATTTCAGGAATGCAACTGTTGTTTCCATTAAAATTACTGGAATACCAGCCAACTAAAGAGTTTATGGCAAATGTTGACCAGTAAACTGGAAATCATGATATGAGACTGGCAGTTTATTATACACTGACATCCTTATTTAGCGGTCCATTATATATGAAGACATTTTCAAATGGATATCAACTTGTCTTGCCATGAAACCAGATAATAGTATTGCTACACTGATTGCATACTGTTTTATTTCTATTGAAACAATCATGAGTGCCAAAGAATTCATTCAGCCATAGCATTGATGCTTTCATGTCATCCTGACAACTATTGATGAATAGGTAAACAGTCTGTCATGATACAAGACGAGTGGGTTCCGTTGGTTGAACTAGTCGAGAATTGCTCAATCTTCAAAAATACTCATTCGGCTACTCAACCACTGCAAATCTTTTTTAATTCGATGTTTACTCCAACTTTAAATTTATTGGGTTAAAGTTTTTTGATCGTTTGCATTAGCCAGACATTACTTGGATTGTTGTATCAGCATGTTTAGGTCTACCTTTGTTGCATGTAAACGGGCATACACAAACTATGACAGACTGCAGTCTCTATTAGGAAAGGCAGACATAAAGGGTCATTACAAACCTCTACGCCAACTACCTAGCGAAAATACTCGTCAATCTAAACATGATCAACAATCAACTCAAACATCTAGCTTGCTTGTATCTCAAGAGCCCAAAAGCTCTGTAAAAAACCTCGAGACTGCCAAGACTTCTGCTAATCATGGATCGAATTCAAATGAACGAGTACTCTGGTTTTCTGACCCATTTCTTTTGACAGAAAAACTTGCTCAGCTTGTAAACAAAGACAAGGTTGATGAGGCATATATGCTTTTACGTCGACATACTGGTGCAGGAAACGATGATGTTCATGCAGCTTTTTTCAATGCCTTGATCAAAAAACGTCACTATGCCATGGTTATTCGAATCTTTAAAGATGTAAGTGGATAGATTCGTGATGCATTTATATATTATATTTTCAAACCCAACATTATTTTTTGTATTCTCATGCTTGAGCTTTTATTTGTATTTTATGATAAAAATACTAGCTAATGCACGTTTTTGTCTTTCTGAAAATAACAATCGGCAACTGGACTTGATCTTTAGTTGAACGCAAAAAACCGAACATTGGCTCCACAATCATATACCAGTATTTTGAATGCAATCTATTGCATGGCCAAGATGTTGCCTAAATTCAACATTCATTCCAAAAAGAAATTGTTTGACACTGCGCTGGATGTTTGGAGGCAGCTCGTTCCAAATCTCATCCAAACCAATGCCATGCTGAGCGTTTGTGCTGCATGTGGCTCTGTTGGTGGATGGGAAATGGCAGAAATGATATACTCGCATATTCGCTACTCTAACAAGGCTACACTTACAAATCGACTTGTTGGATTTGCTGCTGCTGCTGCTGTATCGGCTAAAGCCCTTAAGCGTAGCCAAGCAGCTGTAGCATCTGGCATGCTTAGCAATCCCTTTGAAGAACTTCCATCCCCAAAAATCATTGTTGTGCCAGATGTAAAGACATATACTGTTATGATTGGCATATGTGCAGAGATTGGTAAATCTGTAGGATACGCGAATGGCATTGCTATTTGGAATAAAGCTGTTCAGCACGCTGCAGAAACGGCAAAACTCACTCCTGATGATCATCCTGATATTGTCCCTGTCAAATTTGATGGCCCATTGATAGCAAAGTATCTTCTTTTATGTATTCGATCAGATGACGCTTCGCATGCTGAAAGTGCATTGGATGTCGTGAATCTTCATTTTGGATTTCCTAAATCTCATCTAGAGCCTTACAACCGTCGACATAACATTGTAGAGTCCCGGTTTTCTAAACCTAGTGGTAAATCTCAAGGACGAGTACCAAGCAGCCACATTGAGCTTACTCAGCAAACATTCACTCTCTTGATGCACCTTGCATCACGTTTGCGATATCCAGCACTTGGTCAGCACTGGTACAAGATCTTTACTGAAGAGTTGCATATGGATGCAGATGATGTGGCCATGCATGCTATTACCACAATGCTCTTGACTGCTAAACAGTTTGATCAGGTCTGGAGTATGGCAACCGAAAAACCATCCAAGTATAAATATCAGATTGGATTACGAGCAACCTCTTTGGCTGTCATGTCTCGCGAGGAGGACAAAGAAAAATGGCTTGATCGGTCTCGAACACTTTATGAAGAAGGAATTAAAATCAGAACTGCTAAATCATCAATAGAAGATACAAACATGGATGCTCGATCCCAACCCAGTTCTAGTGAGGCATCATCTCACTTACAACAGCCACTGTTTGGTTTTCGTGAACTGCTCAACCATCTTGGTACGACTATTACTTGCAAATCATGGTCAGAGGCTGGTCAGATTGTGATTAAAAATCGAGAGATATTGGTCGATAATACGATTTCTCGATTAGAACGAAAAGTGGAGGCCAGATTAAAAAAGACTGACAAAACAGCCACGTCAGATTCTGACAATGAATATACGGGCGATGACGGTTTTCAGCTTAATCAAAAGGCTTCTACATCTAACTCCGATTCAGACGATGTTGTTTTTCTACGCAGAGGATTACTGTTTTCCAAAATTGCATTGGAAGAGTATACGAATGGAAAACTTGGTACTTCAGCACAAAATGTAAAGGCACAACTCATCATGCGACACATTGATATGGGATTAGGGCTCACCAAGACGCTTAAAGTCAAACCAGACACAAACATTCGTAAACTTATTTCTCCAGAACTGTACAAGAGGCATCTTCCCCTGGATGACTTGAAGCTGGATATGCCAGCGGAACACGTCAAAGGCAGTTTTAGACGCAGTGAAATGGGATACAAGGTTCAACGGAGAGAAGATGTTGATAGTAGCACTGCAAACAATGTATCTTTGTCACGATCGCATAGCTTCAGTAAAAGTACACTCAATCGGAATTCTATCAATAATAGTACTAACGCTGCACAATTCACCAAAAAGAATAGATTCGAGTAAGTCTCGTAGCTAAAAAGAGCTAGTTGCGAGACTCATGACATTGGTCTGTATAATTTACAAGTCATGATCATCTACTCATCTTAACTGTATTCGCGTAAAATGGAAATAAGGGAGTCGATGCATAATAAACAGCCAGTATCATGATAATTCACACCACATTTACTGGGAAAGTATCAATTGGACTCTTTAGCCCACTGGAGTTTTTCCTGATGATTGTCATGAAAGCAACGGTATGCATATGCAATGGTTGTTTGAAAGGAGGATTGAGAATGTATTGAGGCAGTCAATTCCTGGTAGAAAAGCGTAATGAATAGTTAACCATTGCCTACTCCAAAGCAGTGATTACAAAATAAATGCACAAATGGGTTTGATTTCATGTGAATAGGATTGTAAAACGAATGCTGGATTCCAAGATAACTGCGTGACAGATATGGTCCCTGAATATAAAATGTCGGACTTGATGACCCTAAAAGTGCTCATGCACAGCGATGATTACGTTTTAGCCAACCAATGAAATTGGCTTTAATCGCACGTTTTGTTCCCAGTCGAGTTTCACCCAAAAACAAACAACTTTGTTGGAACCTGGCTACTTTTAACTGATCATTTGTATAGTTTCATCAGCATGCTAGACTTTTTTGTAAGTAGATGGAACATTCAAGGAGCAGCCAGACAACAGCCTGCAGACGGCATTCCTCCTAATCCAAAAGTTTTTTTTGCCAATGAGCGCACATTTCTGTCTTGGTTGCAGCGTACGTTATTTCTTGGTTCCATTGCTACATCAGTAGATCTATTTGAACATTTGTTATGAGCAATGATGTATAAAGCTGATGGTCATGATGTATTTACAATCGTATTCACATGAAATCAAACCCATTTGTGCATTTATTTTGTAATAACTGCTTTGGAGTAGGCAATGGTTAACTATTCATTACGCTTTTCTACCAGGAATTGACTACTTCAATACATTCTCAATCCTCCTTTCAAACAACCATTGCATATGCATACCGTTGCTTTCATGACAATCATCAGGAAAAACTCCAGTGGGCTAAAGAGTCCAATTGATACTTTCCCAGTAAATGTGGTGTGAATTATCATGATACTGGCTGTTTATTATGCATCGACTCCCTTATTTCCATTTTACGCGAATACGGCTGTAATATTACAACACACCAATCATACACTTATCCCTTGTAATGCTTACTAGTATGCGAGGCTAATTGTTTTCAACTTGTATCTGTATGCAAAACTATAGTCTGTTTGATTCTTGGAGCTGTGGCGATTGGACTGCTCAATTTTTCCAACAAACTCGGCCAAATTGCTGGCATGATATTTGCTATTATATCTGTTGGATTTATGTTTTATTCATTAATTCAATTTAATATTCGTGCCGATCGTTTGCAAAAGAAAGGTATGTAAATTATAATATGCAGCACATCTATGCTCAGTAAATTGGTATCATAACTGCCATAACCGGCCCAGTTGTTATATTTGAAACTAATGCGGAATACTAAACCTGAAATGTAAATGGATGTTTATAGAAAAGGGAGTCAGTTTCGAAGACATGGTTGGATCGCTTGTCATGATTACCGTAGTGTTCCTTGCAATCGCAATCAATTTTTCATTCAAGATGGCATCTCCTTCAAACTAGCAACTTGACCTTTTACTTCATACATCTGACCTCATTAAAGCACTGCACTGGAACTGCTTGATTATTAGATATAATACATTCAGGTCCAATTTTTAGAGGCTTATTGCACTAGTTTACAATATTTTGATATAGTGGTGGGATTACGTATAAATCATGATGAATTCTTGACTAGAGTTTGGGTTTAAACAAGTTGAAATTCAACCTTTCCTTTTTTATCTTGCAGCTAGAGTAGCATCAATGACAATTAAGTTTGGTCCTTGGCCCATTCGATCCTCTGAGATATTCTTTACTTCCAAGCTCTCTTATGGTCTAGTGAATCTCAAGCCCCTTGTTCCGTGAGTAGAGCATACCCTATTCCCAACAGCACTTTTAGATGTTATAGGAAACTAATGCTATGGTTGTACCACTTGGTGATGCATTAGAGGCCGTATGTACTTGTGAATGCTGGCTGTTTTTTTGCCCTATATACGATCTTGAGATGATCTACTTTTACACATCAAGTCTACCAACTTGTCTAATCGCATCTTATCAATTCTGAATCACACTAGATGTCCTGGTCATTTCTCGCAGATTAGTTGTTAGATTCAATGATCTTACATCTGAAGAGGTCAGCGACATGTTCTCTTCGGTCCACCAGATTTCCAAAGTGATTGAAAAGTTGCACAAGGCCGACTCGCTTACTATATCCATGCAGGTACAACATATCATGGCAATCATGTTTTACATCATTAAATCTGCTTGATGACTTGAGATTCATCAATCCATGCATGTCTAAAGCAAGGTTGCTATTCTTTATTTGGACAATGAAATAGACTAGTTATTTCAATACAAACTGAATAGCTGACATGAGCCCTTTTAATTTAAAACTGTAACATTGTTTTTATAATAGGATGGTCCAGCTGCTGGGCAATCTGTGGCTCATGTGCATATTCATATCATTCCACGTCACCACGGCGATTGGATGAATAACGATGATATTTATCCCGAGATTCAGCGAAAAGAGCTTGAACTTGCGTTGGAAACAGCTCGCAATGCTGGTGATAGTTCAACCGTGGCCAATATTGAACACCGCATGAAACCATTCAGTGGACCGGATGCTGAAGATCGTCCTCCACGGACTTTGGATGATATGGCAGTTGAATCTGGTTCACTTCGATCCATGTTCAAGCAATATGATGATATTTGGGGCACATCATCCAAATGATTGTATTCGCTTGAAATAAAAAATTGTTACTTCGTATTTACATGAAATGGATTACTTGCATCTATCTTGTAATGACTGCTTGGAATAAATAATAGTCGAGTATTGATCGTGGTTTCTACTACAAGTTGAATCGAGAGTAGGCATTTTTAGTTTTTGGAATCGTACACAATACAAATGTATTGTTAAAGCAATTTTCAGCAGTTTAAAAATGAACAGTATGAAGTTTTAACCTCGCAACATTGCTGTTTGCCAAACAGTTGACGCTTTCCCACTAAATGCGGTGTAGATTATCATGAGACTGGTAATTTATTATACATTTTGGCATCCTTGTTTGTTTCATTTTACGTAAATATGGCTGTACATATCTATTCCAATCCACTTTTGCCATGAAAAGTATCGAATTTTAAAATGATGATTATTTAGATCGGATTGCAAGACAACATTCACATTGCAATACAGGTGATTTGTTGATGAGTGTACATGTCAAACAGATCCATGTTTTTGATGAATCTACTACATCTGTCTGCCAAGAAGCTTCGACAATATCTTCAATGATAATTGGCTGGGAATATGAGCTTCCATCATACGAGTTCATCGATAATGACTCGGCAGTCAAGTCTGTTTTAATTTTCGATACGGTTGGATGTTCTGTTTGATCAATGCTTTGTGCGCGAGTTAAAGACGAGCTACTTGCCATGACTGACTCATTGGCGAATGCTGGAACAGAGCTAGAGGCTATTACAACTTGATTATCCGCACTTGTCAACATTGAGGCAGGTGGTGATTGTGATTGACAAGCTGGTATACATGTGTTGCTAGAAAAAGACGCTTGCGATGAACGTTTCATAGATCCAGCAATATTAGACATCTCCAAAAGTGGATCATTTTCTTTGAATTGAGTTAGAATTGGGTCAGCTGCGTCACCAATTGGACAAAAATGATCATGCTCCATATCTTTTTGACTATGGTCACATTCATCAGATCCAATTCCACACCATTTTGAATCTTGTGCGCGACGTTCGGCAGCCATAGCAGCAAGCTGTGCTGGTGTCATGATATTGTCCAGCTCGGATCTAGTGCCAAGCTTCCGACCACCAACTGGAATCATAATTTCATTCAGCTTTCGTCGTTTCTCAGCAGCCGCAATAGATTCCTTTTTAAATTGATCTTCTGTTACGTGACGGCCGCCCAGTCGGTTACCATTTGAACGAAATCCAGCATCTTGGGATCTTTCATAATTGTCAAATAGTCTATCCAGAAATTTGTAAAACTTTGCATCGTGTGGACCATAAACTATAAACACAGAATCAAAGGGTATCAGTACACTAGAGTAACATAAAGGCTCGTGGCAAATACTCGACCATTATGTGCGAGTTCATGCAGCATGGTTCCGATTAAATCATGAAATTCGAGAAATTGATTGTCGTCAAATGCATGCCTAAGCCTGATTCGAATGACTTGACCATGATTGACATTCAGACCAAGTAGGTTTGGGTTTGTTGGATAAAACTCTTGAAGTGAGCCAACTCGAAAGTTGTGCAGTTTCATGATAGGCTGAACCTATTGTTATTCAGTGGGTTGAATATAAGAGACCCAAAGTATATTATATCAATAGTCTAATGTAATGAATGCACTTACATCTGAATATATGCGTTCTAACAGTTTTTGAGCCGTATTTACATTCTGTCGTCTTTTAAGCGGACGCAATTCCATTCGATTCTAAAATTTTGTTTAGAATGGAAAGAAGCGAATTCAATTTGATAATGACTCAAATAGACGATCAATACTGGATTCTGACTTGACGATAATTACCTGCTGCACAAGACATTAAACTTTAGTGTTTTCCCATACAAGTGTATTACTTACAGCTGTATTCACGTAAAATGCAAGACTGGCATGGAAACAGCCGTTGCATTTCCAAAAGTGCAATCTCTGTTTTCTTGAATTAAATTGTATCCGAGTTTTTAAAATACAGCAAATGAGTTTGTATAAAGCACTATTGAGAGTAGTCAAACCTAATATCTGGATTGTAATGAATGGGTTTGATGATTGCACAATGTATGGCTATGCCAATAGTGGTGATTTGATCGTGCATCATATGACAAACGCTGGTTTCAAAGAATCGAGTGTCAATCTTCAATAGAAAAGCGCAGATTTAATCATTGTTTATTCCGAAACAAAATAGTGGAAGCCAATGCAAGATAAATACAAGTGTTCCATGTTATGCGAGTACGGCAGCGATCTTAAATGCGATCAAATCCTTCAAGCAGGTTTTGCATTGCATTCGAGTCAGATGTGCCATGACGTTTGAGGTTATGAAACTTTTTGTTAAACTTTAAAGTTTTAGTAGTTTTACCAACACCATTCTTGCCATGTTTTACGCCGAGTGCAGAAAGGACAGTCTCGTCAATATGTATGTTGGTACTTTTGGCTGTATCTGTCAATTTAGAATCACAGTCTTTGATCTCTCGGCTATGATACTTTGTCAATCTATTAGTGCCTGTCTTTGTTCTGCCTTTGATTTTTTTGGCTTTTCCTTTGCGCCTAATAGTGATTTTTTGTTGTTGTATTGCCTGCTTGGAAAATTTGGCTGCATGTGCAAGATCTAAAACAGATATCCGGTTTGGTCCTTGAATCATTTGCTTCTCAGCTTTTACCATCCAGTACATTTGCTCTTCATCTTCCACAAGCGCACGTAACTGTATGGGTTCACCTTGAATGTGCAACCCGCCATTATTAAAAATAACTGAAATGGCTTCAAGCGCAACAGACTGCTTGAACTCAATGTATCCAGTCGCATTTCCTTTGACGTAGTCTATCATGGCGACAGTGGCATATTTTTCAAATTGTTCCTGTTTAAATGACAAAAATTTGTAAATATTTATATAGTAGTATGTAAACATCAGTTGGACTAGAGCCATGAAAAATGATATGCTTACTTGAATAGAATACTGCTCCACAGATTCAATCACGTCAGAAACAAGTTTAAACTCTACGATTTTTCCTTTTGGATATGTAGATCCGGCTTGAGAAATTACGACCATTGCTGCAGATACATCCGGTTTTCTGTTTAAACAACATGTAAAGTTGAATGTTTAAAATAAATAGTCAAATCACTTAGCAAAACGATTGAATCATACCGATGTGCTCGTACTTGGATAGATGAGTCCTCATACATATGCGTGGCAGCCAGTGACTTGATCATACTATCTAGTTCTTTGAACTCGATGAAAAATGACAGCTATTTCAAGAAATATGGATCAACTAAGATGTACACAATAGCCACGTTGGTTGTCATCTAGCACTTACATTGTATCTTTCATCCCATGTAGATATGCCAATATGCTTGGAAACATTTTGAATCTCGCCAAAACGACTGAAATAAGCCTCAACTTCTACAACGGTGACAAGCTGATCAAATCCAACGGCCTCCATAGCATATCCAGCTAGCAGTGAAATATTAAACATTTCTTTAAACACTTTGCTTGCGACAAATTCAGTTTTACGGCGCAGATAAACACCATCTACTGAGAGTTCAAACAATTCTGATGAGGAATATATGATCGATTCAGCAATATCTGCTGGCTGGGTTATCAAGCCTTTCATTTTTTTGAAAGTTGCCAAATCTCTTAATGGAATCCCTATTCGCATGAACAGTTTGTCAAACACAATTGATGAGTTGGAAACAGTTATTACAAAAACCAATCAAGTAGTACTATGCAAATGTGTTTTAGGATTGAATTGATTTATCATAAAGTATACTTACATCCTTGCGCCAAAAGTGGCGAGTCGACAAACGATTTTGGAAGAGAAGAAATGGTGCTATGATAGCTGGCATTGCAAAAATAGTACACTAGCTGCAAAAATATTTTAACTTTGGCCAATTCTGCTGTCATGTATGGCAAATGCAACTTGTATAGTAAATGTAACTTGTATAGTAATTTTTTAAAGTAAAAAAATATTTTCGAGATTTCTTGAAATCAAGTTGCTCCAAATCTATATATTATGAAGGTAGTTGGGCATTCCTAATGCATTCGGCCATGAGTTGTTCAAATAACACATTGCTACACACTGATTAAACACTACTTGATTTAGTTTTTGTCTCAAAAACTCGCTCAGCAGATTGATGTGGAGCTTATGGGTCCAGCCATTGGATACTCCATCGACCAGGTAGTTGGAGTGTATGATATCTGCAAGATGCCATTTTTTGGTACCTTACAACAACTGACTCGATGGGTTTTGCAAAACACAGTTGATGGAGCTTGCTGGTTTAAGTGTTGCACAAGCCATTTCTCGTGAATATGCTTCATCTACCCACAAAAACATATTAGTGTGTGTTGGCCCAGGCAAGTACAGTGCTTTTTGGATAATCTATTGCATCCAGCACTAGTCTGGTGCTGTCAGTGTTTAATTTACGACTTGTTTATACTGTCCATCAGGAAATAACGGCGGTGATGCTCTTGTTGCTGCAAGACATCTATGTTTGTTTGGATACAGTCCAGAAATATACTATCCCAAACGTCCACAAAAACCACTGTATCAGAGTTTGGTTGAACAATGTCGATCGTTTGATATTCCATTTGTGAATACGATAGAGCCTCCATTCAAACACAACTTGATTGTTGATGGGATATTTGGTATATAGCCGCCGGATTTGTAAATATTGAGTTTATCAATCTACTTATAGCTTGTATTTACTGGTATTGCAACCCCAATCTGAGCTGGTCTATATAGGCTTTAGTTTTTCAGGCGAGATTCGAGCTCCGTTTGATTCAGTCATCAGTGCCTTGAAGTCGACCAAGATTCCGATTGTCTCGATTGACATTCCATCTGGATGGAATGTAGAGCAAGGTATGTTTCATTATACTAAATCTAATATGGAGAATGACGATCCATCTTTAGTAGATACTGTGACTGCAAGATAGTTGTTCAATCTTTTCAGTGCTAATCAGACCACGTTTGGCAACTTTAAGGAAATGTAACCCATCAAGGATTTGTACCAGAAATGCTAGTATCTCTTACTGCTCCCAAGATTGGTGTTCGAGATGTCAAATTCAAGCATCATTATTTGGGCGGTAGGTTTGTTCCACTTGCTTTGGCATTGAAATACCAGCTTGATATTCCCGTGTATCCAAGCTCTGATCAAATCGTAAATATATCGGATTTTTGAAATATCCACCGTGCTGATTACTGGATTCTATCAAACTATGCTATTTAAATCAAGCATTGTGACATCAATTCTGGACATCTAAAATGCATTTGATTTCCAACTTACAATTTTTTATTTAAACTATTAATTTTTTGGTGTGGTTTGTAGGGTTATGTGAGGGATTGGAGAAGTTGGGTTGAAAGTGGTATGGGTCAAGTAAGCCCGAGTTGAGCAATCTAAAGAAATAGATGTTCAACAAAGTAAGCATTTGGGACGGATAGCCTGCATCTCTTTAGAATCAAGATATCCCAGACTTGGATACAATTCACCGTAGTACTTCGCGACGCATCATGCGACGCGACTTGGCTGCTTTTAGTTCATTTTCACGCAGTTCTGCCAAGACTGGATGAAGGGATCCGGATCCAATCGAGAGTGAACCGGACAATGCAACTGTTGGAGAAGTTGCAGTAGCGGATGCGGTAGTAGACATCCGCTTTGCCCGCCTGTTAAGTTGTCTAGTCATACGTTCTGTTCCGACTTCAGAAACGGACTTGTTGGAAACCAGTTGGCGAGCCATGACAGCAGAGGTTGAAATAGTAGGCAACTGGGGAAGTTTAGGGGTGGAAGGAGAACGGAGGTCCGTTCTGCTGTTATTCAAGCTGTTTGGACCTCCTGGTAACAGTGTCCCTAACGGAGGGCGGGAGTGCTGCTGGTGAATGCTGCTATTACTTGTGTTTTTACGATGACTATGTGTACGACGGTGAGTCTTGTTGTAGTTGTGAACCGAGGAGGTGTCGGACGGAGGAGGAACATGAACGGATTCCAACGTCATGATACTGCTGGTACCATCATCTTCGTCAGAAGTATCGGACAAGGAGGAGCAAACATCACACCATTGACTATCTAGCACTAGCCAGTCGCTATACAAGTCTTCGTTTCCCTCCACATGGCCATATATCGGAGAGCGTGGAGGTGCAAGCTTAGGAGTGCAAGCTGAATCGATGGGAGAGCCATCCGACTGGTCAGGACAATGTTGGTCATGAGATGAAGTTGGTGCTATTTCAAGAGAGTCTAGGGAAGATTTACTATTCCCAGACGCAGTCTTGGTAATATTCGAAACAGAAGTATGAGCAGGAGGGTAGAGATGGCTGTAGCCATGCATGCTTGAGGATGCATCAGTTGCGACTGGTCGCGACTTGTTCATGGAACCATCAGTGGTGGCGGAAGTTGAAGGACCAGGAGTTGAAAAGGATTGCGAAGAAGCAGCCCCAGCCATCACTAGTCCATTATCTGAAGAAGCCTTTGATGGAGAAACAGGAGAAACAGCGTTGCTATTTCCAGACGTAGCAGCCTGAGCAAGAGAGGATATCCAGGACAAGACGTTTGACATTGAGTTTAAGCTTTCACTAATGGATTCTACCCTGCGTAAGTTGAAGTGAAAAAGGGTGCCAAATCGAGTTTATAAGCGCAATCAGTCAAAATAAGAATTTGGTTTACTAAAAGTACGAGCCAAAGTAATGATTGCTTTCGCAATCCTATTTACGTAAGTGGAATATAAATAAGGGTGTCAGTGCATAATAAACAATCTCACGAAATAATCATTCACACCACATTTATTAGGCAATATTGTGCCATATGAACTCATTAAATTCATTAGTCTTTTGATGATTGACATTTATAATTGCATTCCCAAGACCTGCAATCTTTGGTTTCTTAAACTATCATGTATCGGATATTTTAAAACGAGTTTACAGAGCTTGTTTGGCACCAGTCAAGCCAGTATCTGATGTTAAACTTGTCGATCGTACAATATATGGCTATACCAAAGAGGATAATCTCTGTTCAAAACTAGTTTGATTATATTGTATAACAGTCGTTGCATTTGGAAGAACTGGGTGTCTATTCAAGCCGATTTCTAGTAGGAAAGCGCAACAAATATCCGACTATTGCTTATTTCGAGGCAATGACTGCAGGATAATACAACTGTTTCATTTTACGTGAACACGGTGTAATACAAGCCTTTTAGATTGTTCCCATCTAGCAATTTATACACCGGTTTACAGCCATTTTCATGCATCGTAGGGTTCAAGGGATCAATTACGGAGTTTCATTCACATGAACAACCTCATTATATGTCATGTGAATACTGTTCAGTTTCATCTACACAAGACTCGTTTCAAGAATTCAAGTTTATTTTTTTGATCCAGGAGCTACTAGTGGAGACCCAATATTCTTGCCTCGAAGCTTAATACATAGTACCCGCTCCATCTTGGCCAGAATTTGTTGGTTAGGGTTAGGTGCTTTGCCAGACTCATAGTCATTGACTACAGATGGTTTTTCATTGATTTTGGTGGCAAAGTCCTTTTGTGTTAACCCCTTGGCTTGTCGACCAGACTGGATCGCCTTGGACAGCGTGAGTCCAACTCGCTCCACCTGAAAGTTCTGTGGATTGGATTTAGTCAAGGTTGTTAGGATAGCAGTGATCACATGTGAGTTTATTGTGATCGAATGACAAGGAATTGTAGCAATGCATTAGATCACATCATTTCAAACAAATTGACAATGACCAGGATGACAGGAGGCATGGTTGGAAAACAAGCAATGGACCAAAGCCATGCTTGGGTCATTCAAACAGTATGCAAGAAGCGTAAATGAACCCAACCGGATCAATGCATTCCATACGTCCTAGAAAGTACCAATACTATACAGCATCATTCAACCTAACCAATGCTAGAACACCAAGAAAACAGTCGACCACTACAACTTTACATATAGGAATTATCCATTATATTAAAAGGAATATACCTCAGTTTCCCGGTCTATTTTAGCAGCCTTTCCAGCCTCGACACTTTTATGATTCTGATTGATACCAGTCTTTTTTTCAGATGAGATGGCCCCGCCCGAGCGTTGTGCAGCTGTAAGAGACTCTGCGCTACGTAGACTTTTACCAGTCTCAGGACGCTTCCTGATAATAGTCACATCATCCCATCCCATATTACTCATGGTGTATACTCGATTTAATTGCTTGTAAAGTCGATTCAATTGTCTGTAAAGTCGAGCAGATCAACAGCACAAACCTATGCGCCACTACCCACAAAAGTGAAAACTATGTCTCGTGATTTACACGTGATTATCATGGTTTGTCCTGAGGAGCGTTGTGCCAACATTCTGCAAATCCATTCAATCGTTGCCATGTCTAGTCTAAGATTTAACGAATGGCCTCTGACATGGATAACGGTACAAGACTGCGTGCAAATGCAGCCAAACAGTCAAAGCCTTTTGATTCAGCTGTTTCAAACCCGACCCATTCATCCGTACCATCAGATGCAACATCAAAAGAACCTTCTCGAGCCTTTTCAATATCTGGCACTCGTTTTATAGATTTTATTGAGGCTGCTCATGCATGCATTCGCATGTTTAAAGCATTTTTATATTCACTGCTGGCTGTATGGGTTGCTTATGGATCTTCTGCCATGGTGCATCGCGGTGGTAACTTTGACAACACCTTGATTATTATTGGCGATGACTTTGCTGCTGGTGTTGGCGATAATCCAAATCTGGGCAGTATTCCAGGTAAACTCTCGTGGCATTGAATTTAAAGTAATTCGCTTTATTCAGTTACTCTAAATTGACCTTATTTCGAGGAAATTAGGCTTGGCTCGATTCTTGGCAAGAGAGCTTGCAAAGGAAAGTAGAATTAAGCAAACTTGGTCTATATTCAACTGTGGTGTCAAAGGATCAACCTCGTTCCAATGGTGAGATTGACTGATTCTAAATGTGCAGCATTATTTTAAACATACCAACCGTATTCACTCTAACGCTATTCATTCGGAATTACCATTTACTTGAAAGCTCAGGCTTCCGTCAAGCGAACAGGTACACTCATTGGTCCAGCTCAATATTACCAGATTTTTGACTTGGCAATTGTAATGTGTTGAATTTAAACTGTCAATGGCATTTTTTACATCATACTGTAGACTGCATCTCAACAACACCCCACTCATTTTGAGAGGCTGTTTGAAAAGCCAAAGTATGCTCGAGCACAGGTGGTTATTCTTTTAGTAGGTTTCAATGATTCAAGGTATGCTAAAATGGTTTATTGTTTTTGCTTTGGTTTGATAAATCGGTACGCATCTTGCTTATAATATGCTTTGCAGATCTGCCATGACTACTGGTGTGGAAATATCACCAGAGCAAACTATTGGAAACATACACTCTATTTGCAAAGCTTTGCAAGATATGGGTAAAGATGTCTACGTCTGCCCAGTCGCCAACACGGGTGATTCTAACGTATCTGACGCAGTTCTTGAACAGAATATGCGTCTTAATACAATGATTTTAGAGTACACTACAAGAGGGTATGATGCTTATACATTGGTTTTCATCTATTGAATTGCGCGGAATGAGGTTTGCTAAAAACATACTTGTGGTAAATAGTGACAAGGAACATGTATTTGCTGGACCCAACATAGATGTCATGAATTTTGAATACCGCGTAGATCGGTATTATGATGAAGACAAGATGCACTTTAACGCAAAGGTGATTGAATAGTATTTTATCAGTATTTATGTGACATATTCAATTGAATTAAACCAACGTATTCTATGTATAGGGTTATGAAAAATTTGCCAAAGATTTTGTAGATGTGATTGCAAACCGACTTGTTAAAATTGAATTTGCCAAGTTCTCAAAAGTTCTTGGACTGAATAAATAAACATAGCCAAAACCATGCATGTGCTGTTATTGATTATGAATATTGACTGGTTTCGGATTGTGTTGCAGTATTGGTGGGCAGGCTCGTTATCGATTTGTTTAGAGACAAATTATATTTTAAACAAATAAGTTGGAACGGTACAAGTTTATTTAATGGGGCTGTCACTTGGTTTTTTTACCTCGATCAAATCTTTTACTAGAGTCTTCATTTTTACCATGACTGCGTTCGTCTGACAACCCTCGATCAGATCGTCGGTCTCTGCTATGTCCTCCGTCCCGTCTTGAGTCAGATTTTGTATTTCGTTCATAATGATTACGATCCGAGTTTTCGCTCTCATCTGCTCGTTGCCGTTTACTTCGGTTCAAATCACCTCGGTCATCATCATCACGTCCACGGGATCGAGTTTTATCACTTTCTTGACGTGAATCCTGATCATAGTCATGTTGACGACTACCATTCATTTGCTGTGAAAACGGCGCTCCTGAAGAAGGCATCATCATCATAGAAGGAAACCCAGTTACATTGGGTGGAAAGGGAAATGAAGGTGGACGAAACGGCATTCCAGTAAATCCATTTGGCACCATTCCCTGCATCATTGCTTGCTGTTGAAGTGCCATGGGAGGCATACCGGATAATGGCATAAACGGATGCTGTCCAAACTGAGCCATCATTGCCATGGGATGGATCATGGGTTGTGAATTCATACGCGATGCTACATTACGATTGCCCGATCCTTGATTTCCATGAGCGGATCTACCCCCGTTTCCATGATTGTTTCGATTATTGAATTGATTCATTTGGTGAGTTGATCCGCTGCGATTGTCTTTGTAGTTTTTGTTGCGTTGTTCATCTCGATCTACAGAAACATTGTTGTTTGCTGATTCAATTGGTCGGGAGGTTGTGTTGCCATCACTTGTGGCAGATATGTGTCGCGCACCTTCTTTTGTCTTGACTGTGCCAGTGTTTTCAGCGGATTTAGCATCAGATACGCCTAAAGACATGTCAGTACTTTGAGCAGGTGTGTGAGATCCAGCATCGCCCGTCGCGACACTGTCACCAGTTTCTCCAGCTACTCCATTTGACATGGTAGCAAATTCATGCAAGTGAGACTGTACTTGTTGACGCAGTGTCTTGTTAGTCAACAACTGATCGGGAACTTGATCTGAACCGCATACTGGACACTTGAATTTCATCAAAGGATCTTGTGGCTCAAGTAGTTCAAGACGAATACCTAAACCAATCATGAATGAATTTATAAAAAAATGAATATCAAAGCCGGTCGAGTCAGTTTACAAACATGACTTACATTCGTCACAAAAGTTGCTGTTACAACATGTGGTGCTCACGGCATCGCGCAATAGTTTTTGACAAATCAAACACTCGAATCCGGGAAGTACTGGAGCCATTTCATAAACATCTCCTGCACCAACATGTGTACGACGCTGTGCATTCTGTCGTATCCACGCCTCACTAGAATACATGGCAATACACGCATACATGAATGAATCAATGGTTAAACCCCGGCTGACAAGTAGGATCATTGACAGATTATTCAGCTCAAATTATGTTTTTGTTATGCTTACTCGTTGGGTTGAGCCACAACAAACTCGCCAGTTTGGGTGACCATAATGCCCGAGCTTGGGTCTTTAATTTCAATCGTTTTGAGAAACATTTTTGGAATGCCTGTTGTACGCTTCAATTTCGGTCGGTTATCAAAATCTTTATCACCAATTGTCGGGCACATGTTGATATAATGCTCTAAAACAGAGGTATACATTAGCATGCCAAGTATGAAATGGTGCAGTTGAAAGGCGGCAAATGTAAAAACAAGTAGACGAGATTAAACTCGGTAGATTCTTACCACGCTGGCCACATCGGTAGCAAATATAACCAGCTGGAGGAGGGCGTTGTTCTCCAGGAGGGGGTATAAAGCCTCTTCCTCGACCCATAGTAGGCCGAAATATTGGCCGTTGGCTAAATATACAGCATACCATCACAGACATATTTCACAATGTATTATAAGCACAGTATTAGACGATCGCGTAGTGCAAAATATCGAGTATGCTTTACAAGTCATCACCAAACCACGATTGGTCAAAAGTATATTCATCAATAGTGATTATCAAATAGTTTTGTTCAAGACTAGATCAGTACGTACACAGCCATTCGATCTTGGGTTTCTTTCCATTGATCAGCCTCTTGTTTAAACATGAGTGAAATCCGGTCAGGTGTAGCTGCACCATCAGCTCCAATTGTAGCTTCATCCGACCCAGGAGGTCTTGGTTTAAAAATAACAAATTTACAAAATACAGTGCCAGCATTACCATTATTCATTTTTTCAAATAAATACACAAACAGGTTGAAACCAAAAAGTAGATTTAGAGCCACGTATACAATTAATTTATGGATTAAACACCAAGACAGTTGAACAATGATGCCAAAAGATCATCATGAGCATCTACAAGCAGCTTTAAAAATATATACCTTGCAACGTTATTTAAAGACATGGGTCGTACAGCCATATGTCCACCAGGAGCATTTGAATGATGCATGTGTTTACCACGACCTCCACCAAATGATTGTGCTGATGTAGTAGTAGGTATGGGAGCAGCAGCCGCACTTAGATATCGTTGTGCTGTACCTTTTCCTGGTCTGCTCGGTGGATTACGACTCACCAAAACAGACGAGTTGCGGCTGATAATGGTCGTGTCGTTTGTGTATTCTGTATATTCCAGTTCAAGACAATCCATTTCATTTCATATTACACAATTGGGTGATCAACCGATTGCCCGTAAACATAAAGGTAAAAGGACAGAAAAAAGTAAGAATGATTCCACCTAGTGTTTATATCAGACAGCAAATTGATGGGAAGACAACTGCAAGTGGTATCAAGGATAGTTTCATTTAATCAAACAATATTATACAACTATAGCACCACGATAAACAACTAGTAGATTCCTAGTATCACTGACACAGCTCAGGCCATAGTGGAGCAAAGGTATTCATATGCCATGAGCAGTGAAAGCAACGGATTTGGCCATCAAGCCCGATTCGGTCAATTATGAATTGACAGCTGGTTTATTGTCATAACACTATCCTCGCAAACAGGTCAAAGCAATGGCATCCACTCCAAGATTAAAGTCAATGACAAACCTTCTTTTGTCTGAGCATTATGCAGAGCCAGATCAAAGTCTTGGCCTTTTCCCAGCTTCTTTGCAAACATAATCTCCCTCTTCAAATCAAAGACAGAGATTCCTGCACCATCAAAGGTGCAGGTGTCAAAGTCTTTTGCTGATTTGAACTTGTAAAAGACAATACTCATAAAGCTCTATCCTTGAATGGATTAAAATAAAGGCTCGCATTGGTTTCATTTGAATTGAATGAATATCACGTGGCTTACTTTCACTCTTGAACGGATTCATACCAACCAACTCAATCTAGCCTTATAATTTAGGATCTGGAATTTTCTTGGAAACTCTCTCCTTGTCCATTGCACGAAGGATCCGTCGCAGAATCTTGCCACTCGCTGCCTTGGGAATTGCATCAACAAATACCACTCCACCACGCAGTTGTTTATAGTAGGCAACCTGTCCTGCAATAAACTCTTGCACTTCCTTCTCCGTCAGTTTTTTTCCTGGCTGTAAAACTACGTATGCAAGAGGAAGTTCACCAGCTTCTTTATCTGCAAGCGAAATCACGGCTGCATCCGCGATGCTTGGATGTGTAATGAGTTTGGCTTCCAGCTCTGCTGGTGGAACCTGAAATCCCTTGTACTTGATGAGTTCCTTGAGTCGATCTACAATGAAAAAGTGGCCAGTTGGGCCAACAACAGCAACATCTCCCGTGTGAAAGTATCCTTCCTGATCAATGCTGTCTTTAGTTGCTGATGGGTTGTTGATGTATCCCTTCATCACATTAGGACCGCGAAGCCACAGTTCTCCTGGTTGATTCGTCATTGCATCTGTTTTAAAAACAAGGTTAGATGCTCAAATCGCGTTGATTATGATGAACGAATCCAGTTAGTACAACCTTTTCCAGTATCTGGATCAATTAAACGGGCTTGCATGTTGGGCACAAGAAATCCAATTGATCCATCTACAATCCGACTTGAAGGACACATATGAGTAACGGGAGTCGTTTCGGTGAGTCCATAGCCTTGTACTGCAGGAATCTTAAGACGCTTGGAAAAAGCCTGAGCCAGTTCGCTACCCAGTGGTGCAGCTCCTGACGTGGCTCGTCGAACGGACGACAGATCAAACTTGTCCACAATCGGATGTTTTGCCATGGCAAGCACGATAGGAGGCACGACATGCAGCACAGTAATTTGGTATCGTTGAATAAACTCCAAAAATTGAACAAAATCAAATTTGGGAACAACAACCATAGTATTTCCCTAACAAATCAAATAAAAGCTTAAACAACCGCACTCGGATAATTTCACAATCGTCTTTAAAATCATTGCAGCTTACACCAAATGCTGCCTGATGCAAAGAGATATTAAGACCATAGATGTGGAAAAACGGAAGAACTCCCATCCATATTTCATCAGGCAGTCGATCATTGACTTCAAATACATTTGTTTGTAGAACATTGGCAACCATGTTTCTGTGAGTAGTAATAACACCCTGAATAGTGATGAACATGCACATCAATGTTTAGTAAATGACTGGAAACACTAAAATACAATAGCATGAAAGAATACCTTGCTGCGGCCAGTAGTTCCAGATGAGTAGCATAAATATGCAGCTTCATTGGCCAGTTCGTTCTTTGTGAATTTGACAACAGGACCAAGTTTACTGGAAAGAAGTGATGTAAAGGAATGAATGCCATTGATGGACTTGCTAGCAAAAACAAAGATCCGGTTCAATGGCAATCCAACTACTTTTGCAGCAGCTTTGGCATTGGCAATCTGTTCGTGTCCAACAATAAGGACGGATGCACCTGAATCGTGGAGTTGATAAGCGAGTTCATCCACTGTATAGGCTGGGTTTATGCCACTGACAGATCCACCTAAAACAATCCAGTAACAGGATTAGTTGAGAGCCAGACAAGCTTCATATGGCAGTAATCTATAGTTCATTCAATGTAGTTGTTGAATCAACTCCAATTGTTATCCATATATCCCGTATGAAGTATCGACTTGCAGTCATACTAGTTGATCGTAGACATTACCTGCCATCAGAGTGCCATACATGACTGTCGAGTAGTTGATGTCATTTGGAGTGTACAGAGCAACAACATCTCTCTTTTTGAAACCAAGTTGATGGTGCAATCCAGCAGCAAAGCTAGCAGAGCTTTTTTCAAGATCTCGAAAGGTAATGACTTTTCCAGTAGGACCATCAATTAGAGCAGGTTTGTTTGGATTGCTCTGAAACCCTTTTGATCCAAAGATAAAGGAGGGAACATCCTGTTCAGGAATGTAGAGATCAGGATATGGCGATGTATAGATCATAGTGTTGGACTGATAAGAACTTATTACAATAGCTGATCTGATGTTAGGGTTGGCCGACTGTAACGAGTTTTGTAAAGTTTAGATTTCTGATTCTCGAGTCTTTAAACTTGAATATTTATACTCGCTCGGATTGTATACCGCGGTTGATCTTAGTCAGTATAAATGGTTAAAACTTATTTAAAAATCTATAAATACTAGACTGATATGTACATTTCCTATCACCAACTCACTAATCAAAGTCATCAATTTTCAAATACATATTGGTCAACAAGTACAGTTTATATCTGAATAGTGCAGCTATTCTTTAATGATCCGTAGTTCAAATGTTCGCTCAAGTGTAATGTCATCTATACGACCATTTGAAAAAGTTAAACCTTTTAAATACTTGGTCATTCTATACACGGCTAGTACTTACTGCCACTGATGGATTTAAAGGATGCATTAACGGTAATTTCGCATGCTTGTGAATTGATATCTGGAATACCATAGAGTATGTTGCCTCGCCATTGTAGCCAGTACGGAAGCCATGGGCTGTGAAACACTGCCGATGTATCTAACAACCAGAATAATTTAAAATTTAATGTACAATGTGAACTAGTTATAAAGACGTACCTCGTGATTGAGGGTCGTATACTCTTGGTTTATAGGTGAAATGCTCCCCGATTCGTATAGATTCTACCGGTTCTGGGCCAACAATATCTGGTACAAAGTCACGAAATTCCCATTGTACTTCTTCATTATGGATTGTTTTTCTAGCTCCAACAACCCAGACCAAAAAGCCATTGGATTTAAACTTTTTAGATTCTTCTGAAAATCGACATAGATACCGTTGCTGCAAAAGGTACGATTGAACAATATGACGATGAACGTTGGCCAGTTGAGGAAGCTGTTTTGAAAATCGTTCTACTTCGTCCATGAATGCCTGAGTAAATGATTTGATTCGAACTTTAAATCGGGCAAATCCGCCTGTTTCTGCAAGCCGGCTTACTTTCAATGCAGTAAGCGTGTGGTGTCTAAAATATCATACTCAAAGGATTACCAATGTAATGTGAGCATCAATAATCACGCTATCCATTTTAAAACAGGACGATTGATGCCAGATCGACACATACATCTTGACTCCGAAACGATCATGAGCATCAAGATTTGAGCACACATTGGCTAGAAAATCAAAAAAAACATCATCGAGTGCTTGCATGATCACAGGATTTGAAAGCATGGTACTAGGAGTATATTGCTCTTGAGTATCGTCATCTTCAAACGTATCCGTCTGTTGGGTTTTCTACAAGTCATCCAATGTGTTGATGCAGCTGGTAAGAATCGATCCATTATAGTAATGCCAACGTGAATGACTTTATAAAAATTTGAACCCAGCTTATACCTGTACAGGATCAGCCAAGTCTACAGCCATGTATTCGGACACGGGCTCGTTGGGTGGAAGAGCAGGGTTAGTACTGTAAACATCGGTTGATGCAGGTTGATGGTACAATGAAGTGGATAAAAGATGTGATGGATATGCTGTAGGAGTGGAAACCAAAGGTTGCTGTGAAGATGTATGTTGTGGAGTAGCAGCATAAGCGACAGCCGATGCTGTCACAGCAGCAGCATTATGAAGTGTCTGAGTAGACTAGCAGTAGGTGTTAGAACGCAGTGTATGAAATCCAAGTTACAGATCAAGGCAGTTATAGTGCATTGAAGAAGGTATCGGACAGCAAACTCAACTGGCAAGATGGACGGATTGGACAGAATCTCAAGCAGAGCTGTTGCACCCCTCAAGGCTTCACCCGTACGCAGACAAGCACTGTGCAAGTCTCCACTTATATAAAGTTTTTTAGCTTCGTGAGCATGCAGCACCACTGTGTCGAACAGCAGTGGAAGATTCATTAAAACCAGAATAAATAGTTGGAAAAGTTGAGATTGCACTCGTCTTTGAATCTCCATTTACAGTCAAACGCATGGTTTCATATCTGTCATTTATTCGATAAAAAGATTCAATCTCAAGCATTCTGTCAGATTAATTCTCAAGAACAAGATCTCCAGTAGGTTTGGTGGATTCTTGCGTGGCATTCATCTCTGGAAGAAACGCATCTTCAGCTGGTCCTTGAATAGTGGCAGGTTTGGGTAATATACCCAATGCTTCAATCATTTCCTTGTCTTGCGATGCTTTGTTGTTGGGTGTGGTCAATAGCTTATCTCCTGTAAAGATCGAGTTGGCTCCTGCAATGAAGCACAATGCCTTGAATAAAGCATACAATGATGTTCAATAATATTGTATTAATATACTTGATGAAAGCTTATTCCAAACAGATTGATGGAAAGTATTACCTGTTCAGACTGAGAAAAGTTGACACGTCCAGCAGATAAACGAACCATGGCTTTGGGCATGATAATACGTGCAGTAGAAATCATACGCACCATTTCCCAAACAGACACGGGCTAACACAATGTCAGATATGAAATCAGTTCAAGATCGCACTCGTTTACCATGCAACACATGAGTATACCTTTTGATTCTCGAGGGGAGTTCCTGGAACAGCAAGTAAAGCGTTGATGGGCACACTTTCGGGGTGTTTAGGAAGAGTCGAGAGAGTGTGCAGCATGCCAACACGATCATTGACTACCTCACCCAATCCAATAATACCGCCAGAGCATACAGATATACCAGCATCACGGACATTGGAGATTGTGTTTAAACGTTCATCGTAAGAGCGTGTAGTAATAATCTTGAAGATCAAATCAGAATGTATGTCAGCAAACCAGTCGGATTGACTAAATGTATGATCAACAAGTCGAATATTCGTCTACTCACATTGGGATAAAATTCACGACTGGTATCAAGATTGTGGTTGTATGCGGTCAGACCAGCTTCTTTAAGAGCAATAGCCTGCTCCTTATTTAGCATACCAAGACTGCAACAAACTTCCATTCCCATTCCCCTACGCACATTGAATGATGTTAATTTGAAGATCTAGTGGGTTAGGATTATCAGTGAGATCGCAACTCACCGAATTTGACGGACATATTCAGTAATCTGAGAAAAGTTGGTTTTGCGTCCTTGAACATCTCTCCATGCAGCCCCCTAAGTAATTCGAATTAGTTTGAATTAGGGTCTTGAGGGAACCCCAAACTTGAATGAACAAGACAAACTCACCATACAGAAACGAGTGCTTCCAGCATCTTTGGCCTTGCGAGCCGCCTCGAGCACTTCATCGTGTGGGAGCAATTTGGATGCTTTGACGGTGGTCTTGTGCTTGGATGATTGCGGACTATAAAACGATTCAATACGAATAAGCAAAGTTGAAAGCATGACCAGATCGTTACAAGGTGTAAATCCAATACTTACCAGTAAGCACAGTCCTCGGTGCATCCACCCGTCTTGATACTCAACAGAGTGCATTGCTGGACTTCTCGAGGGTTAAAGTGTTGTCTGTGGACTGTTGCCTAATTACCACATTCAGATTATCAATATAACAGAGCATCAATACGAGTCAAAGGAGACTGAAACCAATAACAGATACAAATGCATTGAATACGATCATCACTCATGACATTAAACCGCATTCAATCTAAACGCAAATGTCATGGTCTAGTCCAAACCACAGCAATAAGATTGAGGCTTAAGTCTTGATATTGTCTTGATAAACCCTGCAAGATACAGACAAAAGAATTGTACTATCAAGTTGATGACTTACTGCTTGATAGAGCAGCTCAATCAGTGGAGTGTCATAGATGGCTTGAATCTCTTGTTTTGTCCAGTCATTTCTGATCCATTTGCTATCGTTGTTGGTAGATGAGCTCTTGAGCGTATCCAGTGGTGAATGGTCAACAGATTGAGCAAGATCTACCCGATTGGAGGTTTTCAGTCCACGACAAATGATCGTCTGAGAAGCTACAGACCAATTCCTAGTAGCAATGATAGATCGTCCAGTTAGAGGACGAAGACAGTAAGACAGTGCACGGGTCATTCTGTTGTAGATTTACGGCCGTAAAGTGAAAACTTTTCTGAATTTATTTCAATGATTTTGTCTTTAAAACATTGACTAAATTCACCGCATTTTCATGTCAGAAATTTCATTCTCAATTCAATAGTTAATCTTATAAAATCAAACTAGTTTTGAATTCAAATTCTTCTTTTTCAAATAGTCATATAGTGCACTGTCACAACTTTGAAGTTGGATATTGGATTCGACTATTCTCAAACCTGTAAACTTGATATGTTCGCGTTCTAGTTCTAGTTTAGCATATCAGGAATAAAACTATACATGATACTCATCAGGAGAGTAACTAGGCTTTAATGAGTTTAGAAATCAATACTTTAATACATTTAGTGAATTATCATGGCTTGAATACTCGAAATCTACACTTGACTAGTCATATTCACGTGATCAAGAATATGGATCACGTGAGTATATTCAATCAAATATGATTTGCTGTCAACTTTGCCTTCACCACGAATCCACTCACGTAAGTCCATCAGCCATGCATTCCAATCTGATGCCATCCACATGTGCCATCCATCAACACAGACAGGATATCCTGTATTGATTGTGCATTGATGCTTGATTGAAACTCAGAGGATACTTGATCAAACACTTGAAGTCTCAATTCATACGCTTGAATGCTAATCTCTGTTTTATAGAATGCCGGTCTCTCTGAACCAAACCAAGATTGTTAAGAAGCGAACCAAGAAGTTCTCTCGTCATCAGTCTGACAGGTACAAGAAGATTGATGTAAGTCTTGCCAACAGGTTGCGTTTATTCTCATGTTCCCAGTGCATCAACATTCACCTTGTACAGACCAAGTTTACTGGATTTGTCAATTCTTGAAGTTGATTCATCACCAAACTGTTCAATACTCGGATGCACTGTTGCCCATGACTGGATTGCTTTATTTAGATTTTTTGTTCTTACATACCACTCTTGTAAATACAGGCCTCCTGGAGAAAGCCCAAAGGTATTGACAACAGAGTTCGTCGCCGTTTCAAGGGCCAAATTGCCATGCCCAAGATTGGTTACGGATCTAATGCCAAGACTCGTCACGTTATGCCCAACGGCTTCAAAAAGTTCCTCATCAACAATGTTCAGGATCTTGAGCTTCTTCTCATGCACAACCGTGTCTTTGCTGCCGAGGTCGCCCACGGTGTTTCTTGCAGAAAGCGTGCTCTCATTGTTGAGCGTGCTCAACAGCTTGATATTAAGCTTACCAACGCTGGCGCTAGACTGCGCACTGTTGTAAGTACTTGTAATGATAGATCTCTGTCACTTGACAATTAAACTCCATAATTAACCCACAATCTGTTTTATAGGAGAACGAATAAACTGGAATAAACTCCTTTTTTGTAAGCACCAGCATTTTTATTTACTTGTAGTTTTCTGTGAAGGGTGTTGATCGGATGGTAGATAAAGTCTGCAGTTGCATTGAGAGAGGTTTAGTGTCTTGAGCAATTGATTCAAGTCCCTGTAGCAAGGTTTACTTCAACTGAACAAGCTGATTATAAACCTTGTTCAAAACCTGTTGAATACGGTCAGTTGGAGTTTCTTGTGTTGCCATAAAATAGATGACGTTTCCTAATGGACGTGCAAAGATGTTGCCTCCTTGCTCTGTCCTGAGTGCACGGATAATGTCTATAGATGCCTGAGATGCATAACCTAATCGCGATTACCAATATCCACTCATTTGGTTAGTTGGTATTCGTCAACGAGTCCACAATGTATAGTATAGATTCCATAATTTACCTTTTTCAGTTGTTGCAAGCTCAATGGCCAATACCGTTCCAAGAGGAACAATACCATCCACAATAGAAAGTGCAGCAATCTTGTCCAAAAGATCTCCATCCCATACACACGTCACATACTGTTGATGTTCCGATCGCGAAGCAGCAGAATCAGTACAGTTTACCCTTTTCTCTTTGAGGCTTTCCAATAATTCGATGCTACGGACAGCCACTTGACACCCAACTGGATGAGCAGTAAAAGAATGGCCATGCAATAAGGCTTGTATCTTGCTTTCTCCTTTAAATGCATCAAACACTGTTTCTCGAGCCAGTGTCACAGCCATGGGAACAATTCCTGTAAGACACTTTGCGTAACACGCAATATCTGGCTCAACATGTAGAAGCGACACGCCAGCACTAGCAAAGCCCAATCGATGCATACCAACAAACACCTCATCATAAATCACAGGCATTGGCGCACACGAGTTCCTATTTCGAACACTATTCACCAGTTGGCGATGGAAAAGCGGATCTACCCACATCATACCGCCTGCACCCATCAATACTGGTTCAATGATTAAAGCGCCAAGCACATGTCCATTTTTTTCGGCTTCACCCAACGTTGTTTCAATCCATGCTTGATATAGTTGTGCAAGTTTGGATTCATCACGTTGAATATCGAATATTTGGTCGCGATTTTCCAGTGACACTCTGATCAGATCCTCAGTCCATCCATATTGTTTGGCCAGTATAGTAACACTCTCGGGTAATCGCACAATGTATTTTCCATGCTTCAGCACAACCGTAGGTGGTTCAAACCAAACACCGCGTCCTATATACCAGTCTGCTTGTTCGTTGTACACGTTGGGATCAGAAGCACTCATGGCACCAATTGTATCCCCATGATACGACCCATTCAGTCCAACCACATCCAATTTAGGTTTAATCAAGTTGTGCTGCGTAGTGGTTTTCTTAAACGCCATTTTCAATGCCACTTCAGTTGCTGTGGATCCATTATCGGTGTAAAATACTCTAGATGCCCATCCTTTACCAGCGGTTTCCAGCAGACGATCGGCTAGATGTAAAGCAGGCTCATGCACGTTTTCGGGAAAAATAACGTGTCCGTATCGTCCTGCTGCATAAGCTGCTGCTTTTGCCAAATGAACGTTACCATGGCCAACACCTTGAGTCCACCAACTTCCACAAGAATCAAACAACTGTCGCGATCGTTGTAGTGTTGGATCAAACACAGTAAAGTCATCACCCAAAGCCGAGTCAATCACCATTGCAGTTGAAGTGGTTCCGTGCTGCGTAAATGGCCACCAAAGTTTGGATATACTTTTATGGGATAGATCGTTGACACGTTTAATTTGTGTAGCATGCGTATCCAACACATACTTTGCAATGTCTGTCGCTTGATCATTGACAGACCCGTAGTATGCTTTCATGTTGGATACATCGGCTGAACTACCAAATGCAGTATCATGGATTGAAAGAGGGGGAGGAGCTGGTATGGTAAATAGAGTTGTATTCTTTTCAAGATTGGATCGAACAATAGTGTGATTGCTGTATTTTGGATTATCAAACATCACAACACATGGCACATCAAATCCTCTCATCAAAAGTGATTCATACGATGTAAGGGTAGTTGAGATGCCGCCCAGTTGAGAATCGCCTACAAGGATAACCGGAAATCTAAACGTGCGATACAAATCTGCTTGAAGTGATCCTGATATGGTTGGACTATGAACTCCTAATAAAATACAATGTTTTATAATTGCATTAAAATAAATCCATTGACGATCCAACACTTACCTCCAGCAGTTTCTATCAAAGAAAACCCAGTTTGACCACCAAGAGATTCACTAAACGCCTCAATCGCAGCCATGATGCGTTGACGTAGATTGTCGTCCGAAATGATGCGATTTTCTTGAATAGCCGTCAAGTGAGGACTAGCAGGCTCAGTATAAGTAATAAGAGTTTCTGATCGAATACCAGGACAGAATGTCTGCACATGTCTATATACACCACATTAACCGAATTAATAATGCATTCAACTCGACACAATGGATCGCAATTCAATAAACAATATGATCTTTCCTAGAGTCAGAGTCTATTGGGTATCCAGTTTGAACCGGTTTAAGATACAAAACTGAAGAATTCAATCCAGTTTCTGCCATCATTTGGGATTGCTGGTGACGACCTAATACAGCATTAGCACCTCGACATAAAACAGTCGAAGCAATGGTTTTACCCACATTGGTGTTTGCAGAAAACACCGATACAATGGGCAGTGAGCTTCGAATAAAGGACATTGCAATGTTAATGCAATGGCAAACAGACGATCCAATTATAATTTTATTCGCCTCAAATAATCAAAAATGTCAATTTCGTGCGTTGCTTCAAGATCATTTGGCATATTCAAACTATTTTGAATTGTCATGCATTTCACTGAAACTGATTGATGATTCAGAGTATGAATTGATTTCAATTCAGTTGTTTGAAATCCAATCCCATACATTCACGTTTACATGACTAATATCTCATTGTATGATGTGTTGATTAAAGAATCGAGTGTCAGTCTATTATGCAAAATAGCAAATGCTCAACCATTGTTTATTCCAAAGCAAAATCACTAAAAGATCAATACAAGTGTTCCATGTTACGTGAATGATGCTGTAACTCATCAACTAAGCCTTTTCACTGTCTGCACCAGCAAGAAACTCGGCGTGAAGTTTAGTTTGAATGGCATAATCTTTATCAAGCCTCTTTCTCCTTGACTTGGTGATCTCCACCCCTTCCTTGTCCAATGTAGGCATGCCTTGCTCATCCCACGCACTAAACTCGGCAGTCTTGAACATCTGAGATGGTGGCATTCGTCCCTTTTCCAATCGCTCGGCTTTCTTTTGAGCTTGAATCTTCAGTCTCTCTTCCTTGTCACGTTGTCGTTCTAGCTCCTTGTCCTGTATCGCTTTGCGTTGACTCATCAATGTTTTGCGATCGACAATTTTCACCAGTGCCTTTCCATCTAAATTTACAAAAAACGTGATATAGATAGTCAGAGTTGAAGCATGTACATTCATCAGATACCAAGCATCACTAAAAAACAATATAACAACGTGCCTTCCTTGTCATCTAAAATAACACCAAGTTCAAACAGATCCATATCACGCAAACGATCCGAGAGCTTTAGAAATTCAACAGGATCTAGTGATAGTAAATACAAGAGTAAGAATTGAAATTGTAGTTTATCTCAGTGTACGTGCATGATAAACACCACTCACCAGCCTTGGCTTGTGCAAGTTCACGAACGGCATCACGGAACGATGACAACACACGAAGATATGGCATCAGTGCTTCCTCAGACTTGTTGGAAAGATGAGTCAAGTTAGTAGGCGCCAACTTAAAACTACTAAATATTGTATAAAAGCACCTACATTCTGAGCACCTTCAGTAACCGGAGCTCCAAATTCGGGATTGATGTCAGGATACACACCAAAAGTACGCAAAAGCTTGGTCACATAAACACCAATTTTGGCCAAAATTGTTATGTTGGGAGTTGCCTTGACCTTATTCTTGGTCTGATAATACTGATTAGAAACCGAAATCAACTGACGAAGTTCTGTCATGGCAAGAGGAGTATTAAAGGAATCAGCAAGAGCCGCATAAATCGCCTCTTGTTTTTGAAACAGTCTATTCAGATTAAACCCAATAAAATCAAATATGCATTAAAAATCGTACCATTAACACATCACTCAAAACGGTAATTAAACAAATCCAACTTACACATCCATCAACTCCTTCTCCGCAGAACCATAATTATGTGTTTCGGAAATAACTCTTTCTTTGAATTTTTCTTCCTGTGCAAGTGCCTTGACTAATGCTAGAAAGTTCTGATTGTTTCAAAACACATCACATTCAAGATGATACATATTAGTATAACCTAGCACCTAATTCATAAGCCAATCAAATACTCACGTTAATTGAAACCTCGATTGTGCGCGCTTCGGACAACGAGCCTGCACTCCAGTCAAGAGTCGAGTCCCAGTGATGAAGCAAATACATGATGCGAATCTGTTGGGCAGTGCTTTGCTCCAATGCTTCCTAGTTGTTTCAACGTAGACAGTGTTGCGATTAAATACGAGTTATTTCAATGCATGCAGTTAAAGTCAAATAAAACCAACTTTGATGGAAATGAAATTCTTGAGACTTTTTGACATTTTTTGACCCTCAATGTGAAGATGTCCAGTGTGCATAAAGTAGTTGACCCACTGAGTGCATCCAAAATGACCCTAATATAATACACCAGATCACAATAATTTCAGAAACAATACATCAAACAATATAGTGTGGAGTTTAAATACCTCGGATTGAGCCAACTCGTTGTCGTGATGGGGAAAAGTCAGATCAATACCGCCCGAATGAATGTCTATTTTTTCACCTAGAACACATCCAGCCATTGCAGAACATTCAATGTGCCATCCAGGACGACCCTAAGTGCATGGTTTTAAAAAATGATTAAATTATGTATAGCTTGTCAAGTATTCAGATCTCACGACTTACCTCTCCCCATGGAGACGACCATGAAGGCTCACCAGGCTTGGAAGACTTCCACAAAGCAAAGTCGGAAATATTGCGTTTACCGCTAGTATCGGCGGTCAGATCGCCTTCACCCTCTTGAACCAGTTTTACATTGCCAGCAGACCAAGGTTCAATCTTGGCATATGAATGCTTGTCAGATCTATCGAAACAAACAGTATCAAAATAAACAGATCCATCAAACTCATAAGCATAGCCATTGGACATGATTTTTTGAACAAAAGCAATAATCTCTGGAATGTATTCGCTAACGCGAGTAAGAACATCCGGACGGCGAATCTAAATTGATGGTATGGCACAATATAATCATAAGCATTCAATTTATCAAGATACAGGCTGCATCCAAAACATACATTCAAACTGTCCATATCATGGAAAAAGTCTGCTTCCCAGTAAGCAGCATAGTCTCTGAAAATCTGCTGATCGGTAGTCTTGGCACCCTCCTGCAACGTTTAAATATTTGTTAATATTAAATAAAACGTGTTACGCAATGTTCAAATAAATGTTTCGTACTTGGCTGTCAATAAAAAGTGACAGTGGGTCTTGCAAAGCAAGGTAAAAGTCGTTAATACACATATTGCCGCTTTTGGCTTTGGCAAGAGCATCTCGCGAGGAAATCTGTCAAAAAACACCTAGATTAAGTATATGCTATCCATTTAAAAAAGTAATCATAAATGCACATGTAAACATACAGCAGTTTTGTAATACAGTCCAAACTTGACATCATCGGCTGCGCCAACAAGTTTTCCTGCTTCGAATTCAGAAACAAACTCGGCCCAGTTGTTGGCGGCATCTTTCATGTATTTTTCAAAACGTTGGTTGACAAAATAATGCCATCCCAATTCAGCCTTGACAATAACACTTTCATTAAGAACAGGGTTTGCTTCCTTGTATTTGGCAAAAAGATGCTTTTGACGGGCAGATACAATAATCTATGATGGATGTAGAATGGTTAAAATGGATAGAAAATAGACGATTGTTTATCTGAATTCAAGATCCAACAAAAGCTGACGATACTCGATACAATTTTTAAATATAGCCTGACCTTGTCATCAATGTCGGTGATGTTCATGACATACTGCAGATCGTATCCAAAATATTCGCTCATAATTCGACGAACAATATCAAACGAAAAAAATGTTCTACATTGAATCATACGGATCATGTTAGTCGAATATCAGTCAACGCAAGCATGAGTGGTTGAAATCCAGAGCAGTTTGCCAGCATCAAACCAGCTCACCTGGCATGACCAACATGGGATTTGTCATAAACGGTTGGCCCGCAAGAATACCAAGTGACTCGACGTCCTTTTTCAGGAACAAATAACTCCTATACAAGTATAGATCCATGTTACGCCCAACCATATCAGTAACTGAATTTCCGAAACCATTCAACTGCTGCTGAATCATCGTCAATTCCAATTCACAAACGACGGCAGCTGAATATAAATGTAGAATTCCGTACCTTTTTGCGAGTCAAAGAGTTGTTGATGTATAGCCGAGGAACAGTAGTTCCAGCAGGAATATGCCAGTCAGGCTGGCGAATAGGAGCTGCTGAGGATGTCATGGTGAGTGCAGTAGGTTTTGACTGGGAATTTACGGAGCAGTAAAAGCGAAGAGTGGATGCAGTCAGTAATCTTGTACAAAAAAGATCAAGACTGAATGGTTTGTGGTAGACCCAAGGCAGTACTATCCGATGAATCTTGATGATGTTATAGTTGGTTTAAAGTCGAGTATTTTCGTGTACAATTCGTTAAAACGCATTTCAACACTTTCAAGCCTGAAAACGTAAATTATAAGTTTATTTGTAGTTAACCAGAGTTTTGATCCGAATTTTGTATATCTTGTTCTTCTAACAACGGATCTGCAGTCTTGGTTACTGGCTCGTGCAAGTCATTTTCTTCCAAATTTGTGATGATGGATGGCAGCAATGAGCTGGGTCGACTATACTGTACAGATCGTGCACTCAAAGCAAGCCCTTCAGATTCTTCTCGTGGATCTTCAACAATCTGATCCACGCTTTCTTGTTGACTTTGTTGTTGAGATGAAGTCTGCTGTTGCTTTTGTGCTTCTGCTATATCAACTGATGTCATTGGGGATCTGGACCCAATATGAAGCACATTGTGAAGTCTGGTAGACAGATTACGGAGTGTGCCTGTGTTGGAAGGTGCTCGGCCTTTACCTGGAATTCTTTTTGTTGTTCTTCGCGATACATCAAATGTAGTTCTATTTATGATTCCAAATTCCAAAATTAAAATGTTATAATACCAATATCTCATGAAATAATCATGAATCTACCTTGATGTAGGAGTGATGACTTCAGACATCCCGGTATCATGTGAGAACGCAAATCCAGTATTTGCTACTTGACCGCCATTGTCACCCATATACACAAGGCTTGAAGCTCTTGCTGACCGACTGAGCTGCACACCAGGAGATGGTATGGGATGAGCAATGCGTCGTACAAATTGGCTTGCTCGATTCACACTTGTTTTAATCACACTTGATAATGATGTTCGTCTTGATCGTGTTTCAATTGATCCATCCAATAATCCATGTGGAGTGGTTTTTCGTTTTACGTCCAAATATCCGAACCCATCCGTCGATGCATTCACTCCCGACTCGGTTGGTATGACATATCCAGTCGAGTCTACAATTGCATCAATAGTTTGTTTCGGGGGCAGCTGTGGTTCATCCTTTGCTGTTGTTTGAAGCTGATCGTCAGATTTTGCTCGTGTTATATTTACTGAAGCTATATCTGTTTTTGCAGTCTGAAGTTGCATCTCCGAGCGGTTACGTTTAACCAGCTTGTGAGTAGGATCGGCAGAAACTACAAGCGATTCAGTTGTACTATCATGCAATGAATCTTTGCTAGACTCTTCAGTGTCCAAAGATAACACCATGCCTTTTTTCCATTGATATTGCTGGATTTCTCGCACAATATCAACATCCGTTGGCGCAAAGTACTGTTGGACAAATTTCATCATGACGCGAGGAAAAAGACCTACAACAATGGACAAGACCACACATAGATAAAATGCTGGTGTATGGAATAAAACCGATATGATTCCATACTGCTGACTTGTAACTTGAGAAGCGTAAATCAATACATACATAATCCACAAGCCAATTGTAAGAAGTAGCGCAACAATAGTAATATAGGTCCAGCTTGACCAATCTACAATGGCATAAATATTGACAAGTAGAATAGATGAAAATGCTACTGTTGTTCCCATAGATTCCAGTCCAGAGTCAAGACCGCCTGGGTGGAGCGTTTTATCTTCAAATACCAGAAATGCAAAAAAATAGCACACGATCGATTGATACATTGCATCCAAAACATACGACCAATATTGCCGCATGTTGTAAAGAGTCTGGTAAATACCCTGAACATAGATTTCTGGAACTTGCAAAGCAACATAATCATTAACGTCCTGATCAAAGCATCCAATAAGTATAGTCGGTAAAAATGTAAAGACAGTGTTGAAAAACATGCTGTAGGTGAAATCGGTAATCAACCCAGCACTGAAACTTTATATCCAAAGTAAAGTGTAATTTAATATTCATATTAAAAATTATTAGCAATCAACGAGTTTCAATAAGATTATGAAGAAAGTAGCAGTTTTAACTACTTACGTGCAAAAGAATTGATGCCAAAAAAGAATAAATAGCCACGTTGTGTTTTTATAAAAATAATTAAGAACAAGCTTTGAGGATCGAAGATATGCCCATCGTCCATGCACTAATAGTAGTCTCGATAAAAATCTAAATTGAGAAATGGCATAGTCACTTGCCATGACTGCTTGCAGTCCTTCTTTTCCGCTAATACCAACTCCGATATCTGCCTCTTGAATCATCGACACATCATTGGCACCATCACCAATTGCAAGACACATGGCACTCTGTAAAATCATAATTAGTTATGCCAGACTATAGTTGGACAAGCAGAATTTAAATGAATTATGCTCACCAATCCCTTGCGAACCAACTGGACAACCATAGCCTTTTGCAGCGGTGAAACTCGACAGCACACCACCGCACAGCATCTACATCCCAACTCTAAAAGAATTGGCCTGCATACTGGATCCAATGCAAACTTTAAACTTTCTCCATCAATAATCAGACCATATTCACGACCATCCATTGGAGAACCAGAAGGGTTCCAGAACCGCGTAAGTGCTTCTTTGATTTGCAAAATGCTATCCTCTATAGACTTGGATTTGATGACAATCAGAGTCATGGATCGTTTTAATAGATTGCACGAGAATCCTATATTGACTGCAGTCTCCATTTTATCTCCCTACACATTTTATAGGAATCCACAGTTAGTATGTAGATTGCATGAATACAGTTTAAATAAAGCCAGATTGATAGCTTACAGTAAGAACCCAAATTTTGATTCCGGCCTTTGAAAGAGTAGCGATGCATTCGGGCACGCCTTCTTGGAGCTTGTCTTCAATTGCCGTAGCTCCCATTAAGGTCAGATCGTGTTCAATCAATTCTGCCACAGCATCACACTCTGCCTCTCGATTGTCCACCTTGGCTTGTGCAACAGCATATTTTGCTGCCCATTCTTGATACTCTTCTTCAGGAACTAGTCGGTATGCCAAACACAATGTTCTCAACCCTATATAGTAAAACAATCGACAAAAACAGATACAATAATTAAGCTTTAAGTTTACCGATTGATCATTAACAAGACAACACGGTAAATCAATCATTTCAAACACTCACCATCGTTTGCATAAGAAGCAAGATGGTTTGCAGTAGCCTCTAAAATCGCTGGGTCATTATTATGAGACAGTCGTTCATATATCATACTATCTGCCCCCTTGCACATCAAAATGATTTCTCCTTCAGGCCGACGCACTAGCACGCTCATTCGTTTACGGTCCGAATTAAACTCAATTATGTTCAAAATGGTATACTTTCTAGAAATACCGAGCACATCAATCTCCACCTCGTTATCCACTCTTCGAAGACATGCAAATCCCGTGTCTTTTGCAGCACTCACCAAAGCAGCTTCATCTGGAGACTGAGCATTGTAGACAATACGGCTTGGATTGGACTTGTCAGGCTTTTCAATCAGAACCGTGTGACAGATGGCAAGAAGAGTAAAAAACTCGCGAATCTTGCGTGCTTGTAGAGTGCCATCTTGCAAGTGTTTTGGAATACGGGAATCAATAAATGCTAGTTTTGAAGATACGTATTTTGTGTCGAAAAGTTTAGAAAGACCATTGCGCATTGCCTGGGCTTCTTCAGCAAAACGACTTTCTTGAGTTTCAGTTGGAGTTTGACCTGGATTAGATGACGAATGTGCTTCAGCACCCATAACTCCATATGTTATTCCGTTGATGGATGCTTTACGAAACTCCATCGTGTTGCTTGTAAGTGTGCCCGTTTTATCAGAAAAAATGTACTCGATTTGTCCTGAAATCAAGTGTTAATTACTAACTGTGCACAATTTTAAAAATATTAAACGAATCATCAACAAAATAACCAGTTTTAAAGTGCTTACCCAAGTCATCACATAAATTCCAAGATTGAGGAAGGACGTATTTTCCACTTTCCTCGTCGTACATATCCTCATCTAGATGAATCATAAAAGACTGGAATGTTTTGGTCACATCCAAACTAATGTATAGCGCGATAGGAATGATATTTTGAAAAATGATCATGCATCGAAAAAAAGAAAGAATGCCAAGCCTTAGAGGGGGCTCGATATTCTCCAATAAAGTTCCTTCAAATGGAGAAACCTCAAATGCAAACGAACTGGAATAGAAACCAGACACCAAACCGCAAATCAAACACATGCCAGTAAGAATTGCAAAATTAAGCAGAATCTATGCGTGAAATAATGCAAGTTTGCTACTGTTAGTTTTATACTGTCATTGACAGATGAGCTACCTCAACAAGCAATGATTGATTGACTTTACCTGTGGATTGATTTGGCGATCGATTTTGCTACGTTTGGATGGAGTTGCACCAGAATTGAGCATAATCTTGGTATCTTCACCAGTATACACGACAATACCAATAACCCAATGCGTATTACGAACAACACATCCACGAAGTAAGACATTGTTTGTAGACATGGGAATAGCACTTCGGTTTGCTCGAGAATCGCGTGTCCTTGTTCCAGTGCGCAACACCATGGTTCCTGTATAGGTATACAAATTCGCATTGGGTGGTTCAGAATCAATATGACAACGAATTGACCGACAGTCTTCAGGCGTACGAATATTTTGAAGTGCTTGAACTCCTCGTTTAATTTTGAGATTGGTTTCGCCATCAAGATTCTTTGTTTCCACGTAACATGCAGAGTCTGGCTCACTGGATGAAACAATTATCATGTCTGCTGGAATATTATCATTGTTTCTAAGAAAAACAAAATCTCCGACTTTTTTTACAAATTCAATGATATTAGCAAGCAGTTAACTCAAGTACGGTATGCTACATAACGCAAATATTGCAGATTACTGCAGATCAATCAAGATGCACCTTTGACATTTTCCCATCTGTTTAAATTCCACGGCTCTGTCAAGTGTGGCTTACTATCCAATTTTGGTGGTCCAGGATTCTTCAATGTATCTAACGATGCAGCAACCAAATTTAAATGATCTTGGCTTATATAGTCGTGTGCATAAATCTGATTAGGATAGACAGGGCTCTTTGACGTTCCAGTCCTTGACAACCTGGCTTGTTTTAGGATTTTTGTAAACCCTGTAATCAAAACTATGATGAATAAAACTCCTTTAGTCATGGATCGTTGGATCCATTTAAAAAAACTGGAGATTTTGTGAACAATACTCTCTGACGGAGCTTGAAAATTTGAATTGTTCCAGTTACCCATGACATATGTGAATGATTTGTTGATGCTGTTGTCTGATTCATGTCGTTTCCAATCTTCGATTGCATCCTAAGTATATGTTGCATGTGCATTTCAGGTGTTAAAATCGTAACCAGTGGTTCAATCACAGATACTATTACAGTATAAGCAAATCTTGTATCCACACGATTCCATCCCATTTGGCAGTATCAAATAAATCAACTTTGTCATTTTAAATATTTCTAGTCATAGATAAATAGTTACCTTGAATGCAGTGATGGCAACAATAATTAAAATTGGAGCAGCTGTGACTGACACGTCCACCTCCTTGAAGTCGTTGAATACTTGGAGAATGACCAGCGAAAGAAAGTAGAAATTGGCAATACCTCGAAATTGCTCAAAGATATTTTTGGGCAAGAAAGTGACTATTGTGTATTTGCTTGTGCGGACTTTGTTGGTTTTGTAGACAAGGTAGGGGCGACTGGTCTTTCTATCTTTAAAATGTTCGTCGACAGGTATATTGACAAAGATACGACGGTTGGTTGATGATGTATTGCAGGTTGAGTCTATTTCTTCAAATCCTGGTGAGCATGGAGTAACTGGCTCTTCGCGAGTCAAATCAAGATTGGACCGTGACCCTAACCAGTTGACAGGCATGGCTGGCTTGGTTTAAAATAAATGTAATTACAAACTTTGAAAAAGTTGACAAGAGTTGCTTTCGCTGTATTTGCCACTGATTGAAGTCCGTATCTTGATGTATTTGGTTATACCGTTATTGGTTAAGAATTGCTTGGTTTACTATCGAGTGCTGCTATTATATTGGGAAACAGACAATGCAAGTCTGGCTCGCGATTTAAACAATTATAGTTTTTCAAATTCAATCAAGCTCCACTTTTGAAGTTTAGCTGGTAAAAGGTCTAAAAAACTGTATAAACTAGCAAACCCCCATTGCAGCCATAGGAATCAAAAGAAAAGTATCAACATGCATAATTATTGATTCTGATGGTGAATCATGAATAGTATATTCAAGAAATGTCAGACAATAGCTGTTGTGCCATTTCATTTGAAAATGAATCAGATCTAAACTATAGTATAGGTTATGCAAGTGAAGGATTTAAAAAACAGACCATAATTAAAATAACCACCACAAAAAGCAGTCTTTTTACAGATTGATCTTGAGTAGTATTCATACATATGCAGATTATGGCAGATGATTGGATTACTCCAGCAAAAACAATGTGTGGTTTTAAAATTTCTGCTTGGCGGCTATTCAAGAAACAAAGTTGGCTACGAGCACACATGACAAATATGACGTTTGATGCCACACAATTGTTAAATGTTAGTTCCCAATGCTGTTCAACCACGCTCAATGTTCTTTGGCTAAATAGCGTGTTAATAGTGAGTAGTATTAGCCGGCGTTGATAAAGCATATGGAATGCAAAGCCATTATGGGTTGTATCGCCGCTATATTCACGCAAAGTGAAACACTAAACAAGGGTGTCTATAATAAACAGCCAGTCTTACGGAATGGCTGGTGGCAATTTACTGAACAACATTTGCCATAAACTCTTTAGTTGACTGGTATCCTAGTGATTGAATGAAAACAACAGCTGCATTCCTGACTGCCATCTTTGGTTTCTTGAACTAGAACGCGAATGCATTTGGGACTAGGTTTCAACAAGAATGAGTTTGAGGATCAGAAAGTTGATCCGAATATCAAAACTACAATGGATGAATTCGGTTTTAAACTTGATGATCGTGCAATGTATAATTATGAAAAAGAAGGGAGAGAGCATGTTCAAAAGTATAGTTTGTATCATATGATGGATGCTGTGTTTATTGAAGAATCAGGTGTCAGTTTGTAGTAGGAAAAATAACGAGTGTTTAACCACTGTTTATTTCAAAGCAAAACCAGAGATCAATACAAGTATTTCATTCTCGTGAATGGTGCTGCAAAATGAACACTTTAAAGCCTATTTTAGCTGTACTCTCTATTCAGATATATAGACTAAGACATATCAAGAGTATTTAATACAATTTAAACCTGCTCAAATACCAAGATTAGCCGCACTCGTTACTTTTTGGATTGAGCAAGCGGGAACATTGACGATTACTGATTTAGTAGAATGAATATAAAAGTGCCATGTGTTGTGATCAGCAGTTTTATTGATACAAACCAAATGCAAAGTATGCTCGACAGTTTATACAAGAATTGGTTACACCAAATAAATGTATGGAAACAAAAGTCAGTTCAGCAATGACCAGATTCAAGCCAAGAGCAATCGTCAAACTGCCAATAATAGTTGATTACGTGTTTTACCTTGTTTCCTACTTCGTTTGTTCTCCGGATAATTACTACAGCTCACTGGCAAATGGACACTGTTGATATTATAGAAATGGTAGTGACTTCCATTTTCCAGTATCTCTACTATATTTGTCTTGGATTCTGCATGCTCTCTTGGTTTGCTATGGTGTTTTTTTTGACATCGGGTCCTATTATCACGTATGTACAACTACTTGAAGCTTCTGTGTTGGATTTGTTCATGGCAGTACCGTCTACTGGCTATATGTGTTCTACCATGGAATAGTCGACTGATTTGCTGGGAATAGTTTACATGAGCAACCGGGTCACTGCAACATACATTTCTACAATCATTGATGACGTCTTGCTATTCTGCTGTACCAATGTGGATTCTTGGTACACTTGCATTAGATTGCATACAGCTGCATCCTATTTCATGTATATTCTAAATCAAGGCAATCACAACTTTGAAGTTTCTGTCACTATTGAGACTTGAACGGATACGGATAATATTATAGGCTGTGGCGACTGGTTGCTTGAGGTTTTGGATATTGGTGACCATTGTACATCCAACTCATGTTGTCTGTCGGCCGCAATACATCCAGCTTTTAGTGCATGCTGTCTGGCTTTATTTCAATCCTCTACACAACTTTAATTTGCTGTAGATAACACTGCTGTTATTGGAGTATGCCATCTGCACTCAAAAACCATTCCTATATTTCTATCCCCGCCCTTGCTGTCTCGTCATTCTTGCTTCATGTGCTTTTCCTACTTCAGTTGTACTCGTTTACAGCCTTGTTTACGTAGAATGGATCCCTTTTTTGTATTATCTTCAATGGCTGTCTGCATTTTGTTTTGGAATAAGCAGTGGTTAAATGCTATTTTTCTATTACACATAGACTTGAGCATTCTCAATTCTTTGAAACACAGCATTCGTCATATGATGCTCATAATTAAACTAGTCTTGAACAGACTACTCCTTTCTCCTCTTTTGGCATGACCATGCGTTATACAATTTCCAGGTTTGAAGCCAGATTCAACTATTTTGATGTCATCAAACTCCTCGGTTGTATTCTAAAATATCAGATACGTTCGCGCTCTAGTTCAAGAGCACAGATTGTATGGTTCAGAAACGTAACTGTCGTTTTCATCCCAATCATCCAATGTTTGTTTTGTAGAAGCATCGGAAATTGAACGGTTGTCAGGGATGTACTGAGACTGTTATGTGGACGTTTGTCCAGCTTTTACAAAAATAAGCATCGGGGACAAAGACCAGTGAACTTTGTCAAGGAGTTCCGAGGACACAGTATTATCCAGTAAATTTGACACCAATCATCTCACGAGACTGGCGGCTTATTATGTGCTTTGATACCCTTATTTAGCGCTTCATTTTACGTGGATAGGCTGCAATATGTTATATATTTTCAGCTGACTAATCATCTGTTTTATTTATTTCAATATTTTTACTTGAACTGGATCCTGCGAATGGCAATTTGTTTTTCCTTTATGGACATGTCTCGACCAAATCTTGCAGATGGAATTTATATCATAAGGAAAAGCCGTCATGTTCGCCTTGTCTTGCAAAAAAATTGGCCAAGCCAGTCACTATTTTGCGACCATTAAAGGGCATAGACTGCAATCTCGAGCAAAATCTAGAATCGTCTTTTTTGCAAGACTACCCCAATTTTGAAATTATATTCTGTGTTGCTTCTGAAAGTGATCCATGTATTCCTATCGTGCGGAAGCTGGCCGCTAAGCATCACCAAATTTCGTGCCAACTGATCATTGGTAGGATATTCTATCTTGATTTAAATGCATCACATTGCTGAAACATACAACAACGGTTCAGCACGATGCTTATTCATATTGATTATTTAAACGTGCATTATTGAAATCAGGCGACGAAAACGTTGGTGTTAATCCAAAAGTCAATAATTTAATCCGAGGATATAATCTAGCAAAAAGCGATATTGTGTGGATTTTGGATTCAAATGTCCAAATGGATCACGGTGCTCTTAGTAGATCGGTAGACTTGTTATGCCAGCCTGGTGTTGGCTTGATTCTACATCTTCCTTGCGGCGTTCGCTCATCATCCTTTGGATCGCTTATGGATGCAGTGTTTTTAAACTGCACACATGCACGCATGTTTTCTACCATTAATCGTCTCAACGTAGCCTCGTGTGTTATTGGAAAGTCAAATTTATTTCGTCGTTCAGATCTAGAAGACTACGGCGGGCTGGCAAACTTTGGTCAGTATATGTCAGAAGACAACATGATTGGCATGGCATTGATGAACAAGGGATACTGCCATAAAGTTGCACCTGATTTGGCATACCAATCACTTGGATCATCCACCTTGAAAGATTACTTTAGTCGACGTGCAAGATGGACACGGATACGCAAGTATGCAGTAGCAGCTGCGACAATGTATGAGCCATTTACAGAGTCTTTGATGGCAGGGCTGACTGCTGGATGGGCTTTCCAACGTGTATTGGGAATTTCTTTTTGGCCTTTTTTTATTTTTAATTTTGTGGCTTGGTTTGTATCTGATACATTTGTAGCATGGGTGGTACATCCTAGGAACCAGCGTGGTGGTGGATGGACAGATTTCCGTATGTTTGCTTTTGCATGGTTGGTGCGTGAACTTTCTGCAATTCCAGTGTACATATGGGCCATGTCAGGTAGCACAGTTGAATGGCGAGGCAGTAGGTTTTACTTGCATACAGATGGAACAGTTGAGCCATTAAAACATGGACACGGACCCAAGCGGCCTATTGGTACACTGCCTAGCATAAGCGGGCCTTCACTACATAAAAAGAGCAAGTTTAGTTCCTCAACTGGCCCAGCTACAGTATCGTCTCTGGGTCTATCTTCCTCGTCAAAATCGAGTATCTCATTCAACACATTAAATCAGTCCAGTGCGGCAGATCCGCCACCAATAGATACTCGACCTCGGTATTGCACACAATCCATGAGTTTAGCAGGATCTATGACGGGAACTTTGATTGGATCAGCACCTCGACGTAGTGATACTGTTGATAAGGTTGCAGCGTTGTTGTCCCCTACAAGACGAAATGTGACAGCTGTATCTAAATCACCTTCATCAGCAGCAGGGTTTATAGCACCTACACTAGCAATAATATAAGCCAATAAACAATGATTTATTTCTTTAGCACCTACTCAATGGAACGGTATGTGCTGAGTAATAGATCTTGCCTGTCGTCTACAGTCTTATTCGCGTGAAATGAACCGCTAAATAGAAACTAAACGAATGTTCACATTGCGTTCTATTCTTTCAATCTCCAACTCTCCTACAAAATAAACATTGGGTGATTGACATGTATAGTTGCATTCCTGAAACGTGCAATCATGGTTTATTAACTAGAGTGCAAACGTATGAAACTAAAAGTACAAGATATGTTGGTAGAGCTGTATTGACAGCACTCGAACCCAACATCTAGATTGTAATGGATGATTTAGTGATTGTACAATGCATGGTTTACCAAAAGTGGAGAAAGGACAGATTCAAACCTATAGTTTGTGTTTATTGAAGAATTGAATTCGTCGACTCGTTTACTTGATCTCAGGTCTATCAACGCGTTCAAAAGGACAGATATGGGGGATACGGGAGTAGCATTACAACCATTGGCAACGGAACAGAATACTCGACCAGATAGCCATTTGACTGCCACTTTATTAGGAAAAAGTCGTTCCAAAGAAACCCTCTTATCAAGCTCAACTCACAAATTATCCAAGGACAAAAGTAAGAGTGTTGACAACACGCTGGCTCTCAATGCCATTGCATCTTCAAAATTAAATATTGCTACGGCAGTGGCAGCTGAAGAAGTCAACGAATCTTCAGAGGCAAAAGAACAGCGCGAGGCACATGAGCTTGTTGATGAGTATTATCGGCGGATTGAAATGCTTTCACTGCCTGTTGATATGCTTAAAAAAGGTCTTTCGCATATGGGTCTAGCACCTATTGGACACAAGTTGGTGTACCAAAAACTCTCTATCCCGGCAAGTTTATCAAATATCAAGTGAATAAGTTGAAAGTATAAATTTGAGTACTGTACAAAATATGCTAACCCTGACACCATAGTATGCTGGACTAAACAACATTTCAGCACTTCGGGAATATCCGTACATTCAAAATCTTGAGCTTCAGGGAAACAATATTACGGGTAATTATAAATCCGATTAAAGTCGAACTGCCTATTTAATATCAAAACACAGTTTACAGCTGGTCTAAACCATTTCCAATACAATATGTTGCTTTATTGATAGACATTACTGCTCTTGGAAGCATGCAATACTTGGTCCAGATAGATTTATCAAGCAATCGCCTCACAGATGTGTTGGCATTTGATCCACCGCCTCATAATTTGCAGCAGGTGGATTTATCAAGAAATCAAATCACAACCATTCGGGATTTATCACAGCATCGATTTTTAACGTATCTAAATCTAGACAGTAATCTGATTTGCGATATTACAGGACTGTCCGATTGCAAGAATTTACGGCATTTATGTATGGCAAACAATGGTATTACATGCATTGATGGACTGGTTCATCTTCCATTACGAATGCTGGATCTAGTAGGGTTAAATTGAAATGCTTGGTTTTGTTGAAAAAATTATACTTTTATATTACTCATTGCAATATTATATTTTAAAAATGATGCAATCAACAGAGAAACAATCGAATTACAACATTAAAGGGTATAGAAACATTGCTTAAACTTGAGCAAGTACAACTCAGTAAAAATGCAATAGTATCGGTAGAAGAACTCAAAGATCATCCCAGTCTACGGTCGTTAGATATTGAAAGCAACTTTATTGCAGATATTGATCAAGTTTATATTTTGGTCACATTACCCCGCTTGCATGAAGTTCGATTGCGCAATAACCCATTCACGAATTTACCTGCAGCGATCTGGTATCCAAAAGACCGTGTTGTGCCAATGCACACCACCACGCATTATCCACCATCTTATCGACTGAAAACAGTGTTTTTATTACAAAAACTAACCATACTAGACTCATTGCCTGTGTCCCCAGAAGAGAAGGTGGCTGCAGTGAACACGTATGATCCTCCACAAAATGTAATTGTAGCTGTTCAGCATGCACATATGGAGAAAAAGCAGGCTTGGAGCTATGCTCGAATCAGAGGAGAAGATCTTATGCGCGCAAGAAGATTACGACCATTAGTGCTATGTGGGCCAAATGGAGCAGGGAAAAGGTACCACATGCAGATTTATATTGAAAAGTTCAATATATTTGGGTTGCTAATCATTCAAGATGATTTAGAACACTTACCAGTCGACTTTTAAAAGAGTTTCCACACATCTATGGACTTACTGTCTCGCACACGACACGTCGACCACGACCAGGCGAAGAAAATGGAGTGCATTATCATTTCGTTAGTAGAAGCGAGATGGAGAAACTCAACGAAAAAGGAGAGTTTATTCAAATTGTAGTTCTTTTTGGTAACATGTATGGCACGAGTATGGATGCGGTAGACAAGGTCACGAAAGAAGGCAAAATATGCATCATGGATCTTGAATTGGAGGTGAGTATTAGTATATGACTGATCGAGTATAGTTTATATGAATACAGTACTTTAATTTTTAACCAACATAATGGATTGAATCAAATTCTAGGGATTGTTGGCACTTCGTAAATCCAAACTAAAACCCAGATTCATTTATGTAACGACACCGAGTATGGAAGTGCTTCAAGAGAGATTGCAAGCCAGACTAGACACACCATCAATGGCCAACAAGACAACAGATCTTGATGCAAGTAACAATTTTGAAACACCAGAGGAACGCGATCCAAACGAAGTCAAAGGATGGTTAGCCAAAGCCAAACATACACTAGCAGATCATGATGCGACACTATTTGACTTTACAGTGATGAATGATGATTTAGAACGAGCGTATAAGGAATTGAAAGAATATTGTTTAGGAATGTATTGGAAGGATTTTGAAGCAGAAGAGCAAGAATAAAGAAGATTTATTCTAAAAATGATAATTTTAGAATGAATTCAAAAGTTTAAAAATATTTGAAATTGTCAATTTTCAAACAGCAAATCTTGACGAGTTGAAATCACTGCAAAATAGTGTTTCGTTTTACGTGAATACGACTGCAACCCAAGTTATGATGGCATCCACTGCTGTTGCTAGTAACAGTGCTCAGAGACTGGTGAGTTTGATGTTATTCTACTTTTTATTCCAATAGTATGAATTAACCAGCTTGATGTCATTAGCCTTTGGCTGCAACAGGACGGCCAAACCAACACTTTGAACTGGGTGTCAAAGGAAGGTGAGTGTGTCCGACTTCCAGTTCCTGTCAAGTTTGGCTATTCTACATAAACTAATATTGTCTACAATGTCTGTCCCATGTTTTAGAAAAACCGGATGGGCTCAAACAAAGCAAGTCCGCAAGGACGCTGATGGTCTGGATAACGTCGACGACTTTTTCCAAAGTGATGATGAAGACAACATCAATGTTGCATCTAGACCGCCTTCCAATGTCAAGGACAATCAAGGTATTGGCTGTTTGTTATTGCTGTCGTATTATGCTTGCAAATCTGGACAGCTCGAGTCTATTCGGTGCATTATTCTTCAATCCGGACATTGGCTGAAAATGGTCTGCAAAGCTTGTGTATTGTTATGGCTCGTTTTGATGGAAAACTATTCATTGGGATACAATTTTACACTATCGTGCATCTATCAACACTAATTCTGGTTTAATATCTATACCGTCACAGGCAATCAACATCTCGGACAATATAACCAAGATCTCCAAGGTATTCCCAGTCTTGATATATGACGGATTTGGTTTTGTTTTTAATGCCATTTCGAATCCTTGATGTGATTGGCATGTTTATTTTGGCCAAGTAGAATAACCACAGTTTTGTTTGATTCATTTATAAGAACCCGAGAGTCAGGAGTTGGAAGAGGACAGTCGCTTTTTTGATGAATCTTTTGCGGAACCCCAATCTCCTACATCAGATAAAAACAGAAACATTCATCAAGAACATTTACAAGTTTCAGTCAGCGAATCAAGACAGCATCAGCGACTTGTAATGGAATCGCCCATTACACCGACTGTCAACCAGCACAGTGCATCTGCTAATAAGCGGACAGGCCGATTCCTGCAATCTGTAGATTCTTTTGATACTACTTTAAATGGACCATTGGATGATGAGGGAGTGGCTCAATATGATACGTCTATTCAGAAACCACTACCCGTCAAGCATGTTGTGATGGCTGATCAACCACAACAACAAGGTTCTATATCACACACTCCGGTTCAATTTGTATCTCGACCAAAAATTGCTCGTACTCCTCAAGGCGTAGTATACTCAGAGTCGATGTATCCTCAAAATGTAACTCGCAGTGCTCCCAGACAGTCAATGGATGGACGTGAATATAGGTATCAAAATGGTCGACAACTAGTATCAACTTCACGTAAATCCATTACACCACAGCAGCTTGTAAAACCCAGCATGTCTATAGGCTCAGCCAAAGCAATGTCAAGTCGTAGACCACAACAGCACTTTAGGCAAGGTGGTCCTACATTGGTCAGTAAGCCTATCAAGTATGATCACGACGAGTATGATCAAAGTATGGAGTATCGGACACGTGGGCGTCTGTCACATGCTATGACTGAAACAGCAGCTGGGAGAATGGTAAGAGTAAACACAAGTAGACAGACCAATAATGATACACGAGGATATTTGGATGAGCAAGATATGCTAGATCCATACTTGACGCATAATCAAGCAGATTTGGTTGCAAACTCTCGCGCTATTCGACCACCAGCTCGTCGTCATATTCCGCCTGCTGCAGAATATTACAATGAGCAAGACGAAGATAATATATACTATACCGATGATCCACGAGCAGAAATTAATCCACAAACTGGCTCAAGAAGAATCGGTATGTCAGCTCACCAATACACAAATGTAAATCAGTTTCAACAACCTTTTGTGCAGAGACGTGCAGTCATGATGGATGAGTCTGATATGCATGATAACCCTCGTCCAATGAAGCGACAACGTAGTGCGCAACCACAACAGCAGTTTTCTCCCGACTATCATGACGAGTACAAAAAACCTCATGCTCATGTAGAGCGTCGTAGAGAAATTATGTATGCATCTCCTGCACATATTCGACAAGGTCAAACTGTTCAACACTTGATACGTCCACAGCAAAAAGGACGACAAACTATCTCGTCTGCTCGTACTAGTACCAAAGTAGCCGAGTTTTCGTCAGTAAAGGATGAAGATCTACCATGTGAATCTCCATTAAAGAATTGGTCTGAAAATGCACATGACAAGCCAACCTACACCGAATCCAATAGCAATGTATATTATGACGATAATATTCCTGATACATATCCTGAAAGCGATGGCGAGAATGAAGCAGAGAATTTTCATGATTCTGCTATTGTGCGTGATAATCCCGTCGTTTCCGGATCACTATCCAAGGTTCAAAAGCAACATAGTACCAAGCAAGCGCATTCATCACACTCGTTGAAACCTAGCGATCGTGAATATGATCAAGTCGAGTATGCGCAAGCATCGCATAGTCCAATTGATGTGCAGCGTCGACCACCAACGCAGGGAAATGGTCGCAAAAAAGGTGCACAGCGACTGATTATTCGCGAACTGGATCCAGAAGAAGAAGAAGAAAATCAACGAAACAGCTCTGTTGTTCAGCCTGAGCATGCCGAAGATAGTGGTGAAGATGGCCAGGTTGACGTAAATGAATCTGACATGCGTGAACAGCCATTACCGGATACAGCAAGGGATTTGGAAGTGAGTTTACCTCCACGAAATCCAAGAGGACGACCACCAAAGTCACGGGGTATTGTCCCGAAACAAAAACATATAGCCGTTCATCAAGAGCTAGACTCACTCGATCATCGAACCAATCAAGGTCAATTAGTGGTTAAGCAAAGATCTGTACCTATTAAAAAATCCATTGCTGTAGTTTCTGCATCAATAAAACAGGAAGGAGAAGAGGTTGAGATTGAAACGGATGGTGCACGACGAAGTCGGCGTACCAAGGTTCAGCCGGTTGCATACTGGAAAAATGAGCGTGTCATATACGGCCGTCGTGTTTCTGGTAGGTTGTATGGTATTGTTTTTCAATGGTAGTTTATTTTTGACCAACTTTAATGATTACTTAGGATTTGGGGGTGTTCCTACGTCTGTCAAGGAGGTTATTCGAATCCCATCAGATGATGAAACTATTGCGCATCGACGCAGTAGAGCAGAAAAAATTAAAAAAGAAGAGACCGAGGCCGTTCCATCCGAAGTGAGTGTTTTTAACTATCGTACAGGTCAAGAAGAGTTGCATAATATTGTAGTTACGCCTGGCATGATCGTTCCCCGTACTGTCGGTGCAGGAGACTATCGATTTCAAAAGGTGTTCAGCGAAGGCGATTTTTTGGCATCCGGAGTTTTGGCTTTGCCGCGCGGAGCCAAGAAGCCCATCAGGGGTTCCGGCGATTCCGCCATGGTAAGCTCAAGTTATATTGCGGAATAAGTATCATGTGGGGGTTTGAAAAGTGTGCACTCGATCTTGACTCACTATTTGCTTGAAACTATGCTGTGAATTAGATTTTTCTTTTGCTATCTGGTCAGGTTCAAGTTAGGGTTAACGAGACTTCGTTTGTGATTTCACATGGCTCACAGTTTTTTGTTCCTCGAGGTAGTTTTGATTGATTTGTCATGTTTAATTTACCAGTGTTGTGTGGTTTAATTTTCTTGATTATTTATCTACTTTGTGTTCTCATTGATGCAACAGGCAATTTGTACGAGATTGAAAACATTGCAAATAGAGAAGCTCGATTGTTCTTTTGTCACGGCAAAGAAGTTTTACAATCGTCGACATGATTCTATCATTTACCGCGTATTCACGTAAAGCACCAAGAGTTCAATACATAATAAACAGTTTCATGGAATGAGTGCCAAATTCACTGGACAATACTGTTTTAAACTCTAGTTTGCGGGCATCGCATAATTGTCGGTGCATTTCAATTTATTTCAGTACGAGATTTAGAAGGGCTGAATCGGTACTTTTTCTAAATTGAAAAGTCAAAGATGCAAGGCTACAAGCGACATTACAGAGTACCCTGCAGTCGATGTCCTTCATCAATAATCAACTCATCCAATTCACGAGCACAAGATTTTTTGATGTCACCAGATGGGTGAGAGATGTGCACAGCAATGCAAGGCATGTAACCACCATCCTCCATAGGCCCATATTCAGGGGTCAGTGTAGGAGCAATCCGATGAGCTAGTGATGGAATATCCTTTTGATAAGCAATAGCGGTACGCCATAACAGTTCATGAGCTTCAACAACATGCTTGAATTGCGGATCGCGAGGATCAGAAATCTGCGGCTGTTGGGCTGTTCCCACCCTTGCATGAATATGAGCGGTCCGCCTTAATACCAGGTCGATATCTTGCGGATCAAGTATGCGCTCACACACCACATGCCAATGACTGACATCAAGAGTGAATAGAATCTGAGGAACCTGCTGGGCTATTTCCAAAGTAATCCAAGGAGAGTATAGAGATCTACCTCGATGGGTTTCATGAGAGAGCGGAATTTCCTTGCCTTGAAGGACACGCTGCTGGATTGAAATGGATTTGGTAAAGTAATCGATGGACTCTTTCAAAGTGAAGCTATCGCTTCCTGAATGACAGTTGATATGAACAGGCGGTTCTGCAATAGCAAGCATCGTATTCAGTTGAACCTCGAAGTTGCTCAAATGAGCGTCCACTGACAATCGCTCCCATTTCCCCATGTAGTCAGCCTAGCGTCCAGTTCATTCAAATGTCAATATTATTATTACCATTTATAACGAGCCTATTTGCTTACCCAACTAGTGTATAAACTGCATATCCAGACTAGCTGATGCTTTCTCAGAAGAGTTACAAACTTTTCTGTATCGGAGAATCCGACATCTATCAACAGCAGTCAGTAACGATCCAACACATTACAGACACAGGACATACAGGACATACCCAATAAAGAGGCTTCTACACCATGGAAACCTTGCAGTTTCAATGAAGAAAAGAGAGACTCCCAAGAGTCTGGACTAGCACCCCAGAGAGACCTAAACAGTTGTGGTTTGGACATTATGGTAAAGGGCTGGACTTGCAAGCTTGAAGAACTAGCCAAATATTTCTAACCCTTCAAACCATTCGGCCCTTACTGGACTAAGCTATGATTGTTCCCACTGCTGACCAAACTGCCGCCTATTCTGCATGCAATCTGTCGCATCCTCCTGTACTGGTCTTTCTGGACTTTGATGGGTAAGTGTCTGCTTCCTATGGATTGCTATCTGCATTGGCTTTTGACTCGATGTATATGTAGAACTATTGCTACAAAAGACACTGGCACTGTCATTATCGATTCCTGCATGGGTTATGATGTTCGCAAGGCTTTGGGTAAACTAAACTGGATCAATGCTGCAGCCTTTTCAATGACATCCACTCACTGATTCTTTAGATAAGCAGATTCTTGATGGGACTGTCACTTTCCGGGATGCTGTCGAGAAGATGTGGTATGCAGTCACTCTCTCTTGGGATGAGGGCATGTCGCTTGTATCCGATATTCCTTTGGATTCAAAGTTTACAGAATTCTTCAATGTCTGCATTGCCAATAACATCCCGATTACTGTCGTCAGCAGGTAGATGAAACTCATCTTGTCTTGGAATGCTAGACTATTGTTCTGATGAGAATATGTTGTGTAGTGGTATTCAGGCTCTTGTCGAGCACTTTTTGGATCATTATATTAAACTAACGGGTGGAAACAAGGATATGCTTCGCATTGTTGCCAACGATATCAAGATTGAAAAAGGTGGATGGAAGATTATTTATCGTGACGACTCTGACTATGGTCATGACAAGGTAAATCTTGAATGATTACTGTCTCGATCCGACTGATTAATTTACACGGTTGTTGGTATGTCTTGTATGCGCGGTGTATTCCAATCCTAGGGAAATGAGCTAAGGCTTGCCAAAGCTAAATATGAAGGATTGGCAACTCGACCCATCATTTTCTATGCAGGTGATGGCGTTTCGGATCTCTCGGCTGCTCATGAGGCAGATATTGTATTCGCCAAAAGAGGCAAGGATTTGGAGACTTGGTGCAAAAAAGAAGGGCTTGCATATACTGCTTGGGATGATTTTTCCACCATTTCACAAGTGCTAAAGGCCACTTTATCCAAGCACATATCTTGAATGAATTGATTACTGTAACCGCATCCACATAAAATCTAACTTGTATTTATCTTGTAATCCGAGTCTGTTTTTGTCATTCGAGGTGTTGGATTACGCACAACCCTGACATTAAACTCTAATCTAACATCAAATACGTTCGCGCTCTAGTTCAATATATCTCAAATACAACTCTACATGCCAATCGCACAATGCTTGGTTTAGAAAAAGGAAAGTTAAAGAGATGCTGAGTGTATCAACAGGAGTGTGGGGCTGCACTGAGCACTCGTTTAGCTTTTCGTGCGAAAATAAGCACAAGGATTAACAAGGTTTGTTGAGACTCGGAATAAGCTATTCAATAAATTTAGTTGGAATCAGCACTGATTAAACATGAGATTGGCCGTTCATGTATTTACAAGCCCTCTCATTTTATGCTAACACGGCTGTAATCTTTCAATCTTATATTCCGCAATTGCTTGTTGACGTTGCAAGACTTGAGCTTGGTACGATCCAAACCCATGTTAGACTACTATTCACGAGCACCCACGATTCATTAGCTCAGTATTTTACAAGTTAACCTTTTGCTCAACTAGCGAAATCAAACCATGCAACCCGAAAAAATACCCAATGTTTCCAATACTTTGGTTGTTATTCCAACACCTACTTTCACCGATATTCTTCAGTTATCGACGCCAGCCTATTCCATTCTTGCCTGTTCAACTCTTGTTGTTGACCGAGAACTTGGACTGGTGAATATGATGATTGGAATCGAGCAAGAAAACCAATACTCGATCAAAGATTCAGTCGGAAATGACATTGGATCCATTGTTGAAAAAAGCTTTTCGGTAAAGGATAGGATTGTAAAACAGATACTACGAACCCAGAGCCCTTTCAAGGCAGATGTTTTAAACTCGTATGGAGACGTGGTGCTCAAAATTGAACGACCCACAAAGTGGCTTTTGAATAGCACAATCACAGTGACAGAATGCAATGGTAATCTGATTGGCAAAGTAAAACAGTAAGTCATTTGGTAGTTTACTACTTTCTTGGTAATAGTGCTATGATGAATGAGCCGAGTAACTGATACCCATGCATGTATCTGAATTGTAAATTAGAAAATGGCATCTTTATAGAAGAAGATACGAGCTTGTTCAACATAAGAAACCGTTTGCAAAAATCAATGGCAAGCCTTGGACACGAAACTTTGGTATCGAGAACGAGAGTGGTGGCAAACTGGGTTTAATCACTCGGAGCTTTTCTGGAGTTATTCGAGAGGTATTTATCTCTATGACTAGACTTTGATTATAGATAAACCCCTGTATAGCAATGTATAGATATAAACATATCTGAACTTTATTCAGCTGTTTACCAATATAGGAGTGTATTCCATATATATGGACGGAACGCCTGATTTAGCACGACCACTGACTCTTGATGAACGAGCAATAATGCTAGCAGCAGCCATCTGTATTGATATTGATTATTTTTCTCAAATAATCAGAATTGGATAGCCTTGACGCTGATGTGATTTAATAATGGAGATGCTATATATCAGCATTTCCATCATGCCCATATGAATTCAGTCGACGCGACTCGGCAAGAACAGTCTGGGCAGTTGGTCAAGTAAAGCACATCTCCAAGCAGTAGCAAGGCAGGCTTGTATTGAGCTATGTAAAGTAGAGTATTTAATGAGTAGGTCCTCATGGTTTACATTAATTGTGAATAAAATTGACTATCAGGCTCAATGAGTTGGCAAAGCTTGTATTTCACATGTCAAACCGATAATTCTGTTATCAAACATTTATTCAAAAAGAGTTGTAAAACCAAATGGAATCTTCTGGTTGTCCTACTGATATATCGTCTGTGTATCTAGAGTCTATGCATCTTGATAATTTGGATTTACAAGAGCGTATAGCCAACAGGCTTCGTCCAAGAAATGCCGAGTTCCATCTACAACCCTTGGCCTGCACATTACTGACAATACCTGCTTTTGCCTTGGAAGGTTACCCTTATACTGCTGATGATGGACAGTTTGAATACAGTATGTCACTTGCTTTATCTACTTGCAACCAACTTACTACTCAATGCGACCCACTTGGAATGCGTACTCTATCCAACACCTCTGGCCCAAGGTCGCAGATACCACACAAATCCACTGCACTTGAGCGGCTCAATATGCTACACGACCACTTGTCGACTTGACTATCCATTTTCAAACATGCTATTTTATTTGATTGCTATAGCCAGTCTTTGGGTTTAACTATTCGCAAATGCTGTTTTTCTAAAGGTATATGGAGCAATGGTCGAACTACCAAGAGCACCGATAATAAATTAAACTATTTTAGTCAACATGTTACAATCGATTGGTTATCATAGTGTGGTTCATGTATTTAGTTTATGACACTGGTCAGATTAAAGTTGGAAATCTCAAATCTAATCAATAATGTGCCATGTGAGTTTCATTCATTCACTGTCGTATTCGCGTGAAATGGATCACTGAACAAGAGTGTATAATGAATAGCCAATCTCATGGAATGATTGGTGTCAATTTACTTGACAGCGTTGTTTTATGAACTATTTAGTTGGCTGATATCTTAGTGATTGCCATGGAAATGGCAGCTGTATTGCTGAAATGTGCAAGCATTATTATTTCCAATTAGAGCATATCCGAGTGTTTAGGATACAACAAAGTGGAGTTTACAAAGTTTGATTGATAATATCGGAACAATCAAATCCAATATTTGGATTGTAATGAATGAGTTTGATGGTCGTACAATGTATAACTATCAAATGACGAGACCATTCCAGTCCAAAGTTTAGTTTGTGAGCATCGTATGATGGTCGTCATATCCTGAAAGACAACCAATTTATAATATGAAAGCACTGGATGATCATTTCTTGTTACAAAACAGAATAGATTGCAAGATACAGAAAGTGATCATTTTACGTGAATGCGACAGTAAAATGAGGTTTCCAATTATTTGACAATCGCTAGTACGTCATCCTGTATCTTGCTATCAACTCTTTGGGCTAATCGTCACACGATTTTAATACATACTTAACCCATTTAACCTTTAGCATGACTGACAAAAATATCACTGAATTGGACTTGGATGACATTGAAACCATTGATTCTCCATTGCGAATCCTTGGTTATGCTGGTCGCTTGAGAAATTTTGTGACTGCCGGCTCTCGCTACTTGGCATATACCTCTGATATGGGCGAAGCTTTTCGACCTGTAGTTCCTAGAAGTGTAGTCAATGCTGCATACGGAGTTTCATTTGCATGTAAGTCGTTTTTGGAGCTTTATTAATAATGCATTTTCAAATGTATACTGTCGCATTCACGTAAAATGATCACTTTCTGTATCTTGCAGTCTATTCTGCTTTGTAACAAGAAATGATCATCCAGTGCTTTCATATTATAAATTGGTTGTCTTTCAGGATATGACGACCATCATACGATGCTCACAAACTAAACTTTGGACTGGAATGGTCTCGTCATTTGATAGTTATACATTGTACGACCATCAAACTCATTCATTACAATCCAAATATTGGATTTGATTGTTTCGATATTATCAAACAAACTTTGTAAACTCCACTTTGTTGTATCCTAAACACTTGGATATGCTCTAATTGGAAATAATAATGTTTGCACATTTCAGCAATACAGCTGTCATTTCCATGGCAATCACTAAGATATCAGACAACTAAATAGTTCATAAAACAACGCTGTCAAGTAAACTGACACCAATCATTCCATGAGATTGGCTATTCATTATACACTCTTGTTCAGTGATCCATTTCACGCGAATACGACAGTGAATATGTTTTGCTAACTCGTTTTAAACCAATCGTATTTAGATGTGGGAATCGATGTAGCTTATGAAGGATACAAGTCGTCTCTTCGTGGCGATTCGCCAATGGAAGTTACCCGAACCGTAGTTGAGCGCACTATTTTTCAAGGTCTTGCTTCGTTGCTCCTTCCTGCCATCACTATCCACTCCGTTGTGGATCTAACCACCAAAGCACTTAAAAATACTTCAATCAATGCATTGAAACGATGGGGGCCAACCGCCGCCGGGTTAGCTGTGCTGCCTGTTCTTCCGATTCTGCTTGATCGCCCTGTAGAATATGTCATGGATAAATCGTTTGATTCTCTTTGGCCACTATCGGCCGAAGCACATGCTCGCGCTATGGCCCATCTTGTTCACCAGCACCAGCACCACCATAAACCAGACCCGACAACAAGTGACAAGAACAAATAGGCTCGAAGCCATGATTAAAACGACTATTCTATTTTAAAACTACAGACTTCAGCAAGTTTGTATACATGATTTACGACCGTATCCATGTAAAATAAAGCACTGAAATCATGATGGTTTATACACAAGCAATACCATGTTTTTACTTTGGAATGGCGGGTTGTCTTGGAAACTATCACCAACATCTTGTTTCCGCATTATAATTTTGGTCAAAATCATTTATACCTGATTTTAACACTCGCATCCGTGCTCAAGACAATCATACACAAAACAAGTACTATTTGAAAATACTACAATGGGTTTATAATGCAAAGACAATCATGTATTGTTCATTTTGTTGCTCAACCATGTTACACCAAATGTTGGCGAGAAAATCACACATTTGATAATAGATTGAGAAAATATATAGAAGCTAGAGTTTATACATCAACGCCTTGCCCAGCAAGGTACTGAGTCAATCGACGATGAAGTTCCACTTGATCTGCAATAGACAAATAGGACACGGCCGATTGCAATACAGTTCCAACAGTGACACCCGTCGTGCCTATAAAACTTTGAAAGTAAATGAAGCTAAACACTCCCATGATAAATTGGCAGTCCATACGATCTGTTAAACCGCCGTGGCCAGGAATCGAGTCGCCAAAGTCCTTGATCTTGAAAGCGCGCTTTACTCCAGATGCAAAGAAGCCGCCAAAAGGAGCAATAAGAGATGCAAAACACGCAAGAAGGAGAGCATGAAACTGTAATGGCATGATGGAAAAGGATCGAATGACAAGTGGAGCTGGCATGATTGAAGGTAAGAGAATAGTAATAGGCATAGACAGCCATCGGATCAGCCCAGTCACTGCAGGGAAAATATACATGTCGCGGCTGACAAAGACAGGGTTGACAGGACAAGTGTGGCCGGAATTCATATTCGTTTGAAAGTTTTTCATTGGGCACGTCATGTAGGATCCCGATGCCAATACAGCAGATATAAAAAAGGCAAATATAAAGGTGATGATGAATCCGCCAATAAAGCCTTCCCAGGTTTTTTTGGGTGACAGTCGAATAAGCGGAGTGCGTCCCCAAAAGAAACCACAAATGTACGCCATGATATCGTTGCAAATAACGAGCGAAACAGGGAGCACAAACCAGATTAGACCTTCAAATATATTATTAACTATAAAATGAGATTGCACAGCTACCAGCAGCAAAGCCATGTGAGTCCAGCAGAAATGAGAAAACTGAAACTTGTAGTTTCCTTTTTTCAAATTAAGTACAAAGTTGACCAAGCCAAGGCAGTAGAGCAAAAACGAAATAAACCTATGATGATTAGCAAGAGGCATCAAGAATGCATCAACAAAGACGACCGGCTTGAAATAATGGATGAGAGATTCGCCATAAAGAAAATAGTTTGTGGATCCGAGAAAATACCAATGTAGGGATCTAAACCATGGCAGATGACGCTCCTTGGATGGCTGAACACCGATGGAGATCACTTCACGATAGACAATAGTCTGAATGACCGTGACAAGAGCAATAACCCAAGCATGGCCGGCCATTAAAATACTGATAAACCCGGAAATCATAATGACGGTCCAGAATGTACGAACCCACCAATTTTTCCATTTTGCAGTAAAGGGCTGATCAGCCAAAAGAGTACTAATGGATTGTGGTGAAGACTGCTGTTTAAGTAGAGGTGGTGGAGCAGTCTGCTGAGAATTAGGTTTAGCTGAAAGGTTTTTGATTGCAGGAGTATTCTCGTTAAATTGACTATTCGTTGGAAATTGCAATGGCACTTCTAGATTTGAAAACTTGGAGTGCAAGGTCAATGGTGACGATTGTATCGGCGTATTGGGCCGTGAGTTTTGCGCAGCCTTTGCAGTGTATTCGTAGGTAGTTATAGTATTAGGACTCTTTTTTTTTCGACGACTGGACTTGGATGCAGAGTTACTGGTGCTGCCAGCGCTACTCGATGCACTCAAAGTGCTTGAGCTGCTGCTTCTCCTGTCAAGCAAGCCAAGGTCCTCACGGTCCGACAACAACACACCATTTTCTTTTAAATTCGACAACACATTAAACGATGATCCTTGTTTGGAGTTGACAGCAGGCATCACTTCTGAATTGGTCACCACAGCATCATCCGGCTTTTGATCTATGTCTGTATGAGATGCGCCATCATGTTTTGTGGTAGTTCGACCAAGTCCGCGCCGATTAACGATCGATTTCATATGAAGTTAAAAACTATAAACTGAAGCCTATTAAAATTAGTAGATTGTTGTTGGGTAGATATTCATTAATCAGTATAAATGGCATGCATGTTTTCATGTTTTCATTACTACTCTGGCATCTCTAAAGAATTAAATGGCCATGTACATTCAAACCAGGTCTATTCCAGCTGAATTCACCACTACCTATAAGCAATACCATCCAAACTCACCTTTGTCAGTGTAGTTACAATTCTCCAGGACTTATAGCCAAGACTGAGAATGTGAATTAAAGTGATAAAATATTTTCCCTTGTCTTGAATTATAACCGCATTCGTGTAAAATGATAATTTTTCTTATTATTCAGCAACTGCTTATTCCAAAGCAATGGTCAAACATTCGTTATTTTCCTGCTACAAATTGGCCGCTTTTTTAATAGAAGCTCTGCTGTATCCTCAATACTCGGGTACGTTCTAGTTTAGAACAATGATCGCACAGTTCAGGAATGCAACTGTACATGACAATCATATAGTGTCATAATGTCCAGTTGTAGGAAAGGATACCTGGGATTAGACAAGTGTTAAGAATGTGGGATGCATTGGAGCTGTAGTGAGCATTCATTTGGCTCTGATTCAGTGTTCCATCTCATGCGAATATGGCTGTAAAATGAACAGGACTGTTTGGTAGATTATTGATACAAAACAATCGAATACTAATACTTTATATAAGATGAAAAGACATCTTTATTTGATATATTAAAAAGAATTAGTCAGGTAATACTAATAAAGGCGCAGAAGAATAACATATAAAGGTGTTGAAAGCAAACAAGACTGGCTTGGGAGATTTGCGCCGAGAAGTTTAAAAAGCGAGCGTTTCGACAACTTGGAGTTTAAAATCAGTGATAGAGACTAGTAAAAACCATTGATGGTGTTTAAGCTTGAAGTACCAAATTTATGGTGGGATGTACGCATCGACTTTTCACACATGGATGCCACACGCTGACCATACTTTGATCCTTTCAACAGAGTGAGATGTGGAGTCAACAAACGGATGCAAGCTTCGCGCTGCACAGAGTCTACAACACTCAATACATTTTGAACCACATAGTTTGCATATTGATTGTTCATCATTCCCAAAAGAAACGGACGTCTAAAGATTTAAACAATAATCCAAAACAGGTGTTGGTAAAAAAGTCGATCGTCAAGTCTTCAGACAGGCGATTGTCCATGTTTACTTACCCTTGCTCGGTTGGCTGAGGCGCAAGGATTTTATCAATCAATGCCTGTGCCTCACGTTTTGATGCCAGTTTAATGCATTTTTCAACAACCTTGCTAGCAAATTGGTCGGTGCTCAATTGATAGATATTCTGTGAAACAACTTCCAAAATATGGGATCGTTGCAAAGTAGAGCCATGTGCAACAATATGCTGAATCACCCAGTTTCCCCATTGGCCTGATCATTAAAATGTGTAGTGATAAGCCTGGGGTTTTACAATATAATCAGTAAACACCACATCTCACCTTTTGCCAATTCAGCAGTATTCTTGAAAATCTCGGAGATGATTGGGCCAGTTTCTTCTTCAGTGCAATTGTCAAAAATGCATTGAACAACCAAACTACCGTTTTCGTCGTTTGCGATCGAGTTCCAATAACCACTCAAAACACTTTGAACGCTTTCCATAATATTTGGTGGTTTACCAGTCCAAGACGTTTCAAATACTCGCTGCCATACGTGGCATGCAAACCTGTGTGTAAACGTTTCAACAATAGATTGATACAGCTCGCTAATCAAAAGAATTTTGATATCCTTGTCTACTTTGTCAATAACCTAGTTGAATTGTCGGACCCTCATGGGTTGGTAAGTCTTGCCATCTATATTAGTTAAAAACAGTTGCAATAGTTGGCAAGTACCTTTTGCATAACGTGACAGCCAAAGCGATCGCACGAAAGTGTAATAACCTGGCCATGCATACAATTTGCCAAAGCCCAGATTTGCTGGCAAGTGCAATAGTCCAGGCAACATTGAACCAGAAAATTGCCAAATCTGTTTTTGACAAGAGGAATGACGTATTCAAGTACAGCATCAAAAATAAGCGCCTTGTTTTCCATTGTGTCTGTTTTAAGACGCTGCTGAAGATAGATTGAGGATGGTTGATCGTTTGTTTTAATAATCTTTTCCACGAGAATCTAAAACGGGATTGACTTGAGCAATATTAGCATTAATGCAATTACAGATGCTGAAAAAGTGACCACAATAGGTTTAGATGAACATTAACTTGATTGGTAATTACCTTGAATGTCAAGTCAGCATTTACTATATCGTCGGATGATAAATCCAAAGAATAATCATACATGAGCAAAGAATCTACTGCACCAATATCGACCGGTTGTTCACTTTGTCCGTAATATTCCTATACATTTTCAAAGCTATATAAGTATCATGTGCATAAATACATGTCTTGAAGATTTCCAATCCCACTTTACATTATATTTGTTTACTTTGAATCCAGATGTCTGCTGAGGAGTCCAAATATATCTTACAGCATCCATGTTTGCTTCGATCGAACTTCCATAAGACCGTGCAGCCACATTATCGTTGACGGGCTAGATCAATAAATTTATGAAATTAGTATATATACGTACCCAGTGATTTTACCATCCAAGCAAAAACATTACTGGAGTCCAGATTGAAATTGGCGTAGATTTGGAAAATGCCAACGATGCACCGGAAGCGCTAAGGGGTGTTGGTGACAAATCATCCTTTAAAGACTCGGTTGCAGAAAATTCAATAGACAAATTCTAGAGTATTCAAACCAGTTTGCAATCCATCATCAAACAATTGTTAATAAATTGCCAATATTTCATATCTCGTGAGTCGGGTATTTGATATTTTTACCTGAATGTCCGTCAACATATTATCAATCGGGTTTTTAGCGTCACTAGGTGTACAAGTTGTATCTGTTTCAAGAGCCCCACTATGCAAATAGCATTCACTTGATTTTTTTGAAATTGCGCTGGGGGTTTCAAGTGCCGATGCAGTCATAGCATAACTGTCAGACCCCATCAGCCTAGCAGACTGCTAATTATTATATAGACGTATGAGTGAATGCAATACTCCAGCAACTTGACAAGTTTTAATAGATACCAAATTACTTGCAATACCTTTTGAAGTTGTTCAATAACAATGGCCTTGTATTCTAGATCGCGAGCATTTGCCGCCAATTGAATGTCTTTTTCACGACATCGTTTGCGAAGATCAATACATTCTTTACGCAAAATTGCCAAAAGCTAAAGTTGATTAATTGTAGAAAGAATTATAAAGGTACTCTGGAATAATGAACAAACCAAAACCCATTTGCCAAATCATAGTGAACCTAAAGGTTTAGGAAATAAAAACTACCTGCTCGCGTTGCTTTTGACCACGGAAAATGGCTTGAATAGTCACGACTGCCGTTTCTAATTGAGCAGGTGTTGATACCTCTATTTCATTGGTATGTTTTAGATCTATGCTTGGTTCATGAATGTCATGCTTTATCTTCTCAGAGTAACTATCTGCATCAACTCCTCTTTTGCTTGGTCTATTCGCCTTGCATGTTGTGCCATCCTAAATCCAGTTACTATATAGTTAGTTTAAATCAGTCATATAGTACAGCTATATCATTAATAATCTAATTGATTTGAAATATAGTGTATCAACAGGCCGTATATATTCAACTATAGACTATCTCTATAAAAATCATTAGACTAAAAGTCCTACACTTGCCAATATAGGTTGGATTGACTTGTCACGCAATATAGATATACGCTCAGCTCCAACAAGCCCTCCAGATGATTTATGCTGAGTGAGAGTTGAAGTCACTCGCGCGTAACTGATGGCTTTTGGAATTGAACTACTGGCATTGTATTTACTGTCAAGCGTAGCTTCAGAGCTTTGGTGGGAATACGTCATCATATTGTTGAATATCTACTCAAAAGGTTGTATATGAAATATGTATTAGGATAGAATAAGTCAAAGTAGTCTGTTTTGTATTTTGAAAGTGAAAAAATTATCAAGACGTGGCTCAGGCTGTTATTTTCAAGTAGACATTTGGTAGAATGTAGTGTCTGTCATATATGCCGATGTACAAATCAAACGCTGTTAGTGTTTCGCTGTATGTTTGACTAACACGTGTAGTGATAGCTCTGGCTTTCAAGATTTCAAACAAATCCGACGCGACCTACACGAGCAGGTAGGTATAATTAACGCGGGGAATAGCAATGAAGCCATATAGCATGAGTGCCAGAGCCCGCTATCAATAGCACCAAATTCTTAATTACACACCCAATACCATTGATACACTTTTCTTTAAAAAGGACGGGCTAGGTGTCAAAGTTGTTCAGGTTAACTTGGTGAGATAATACAATTCAATTAAAGATGTACATGCAGTAAATTATTCATATTTACAAATAGCAGCAATAGTAAAAGTATAATTTATTTGGCATGTGTCAGGGTTGAATGATGTACTACTATCAAAATGTGATTTTATTGAATATTGCAGTCGAGTGATTTAAACCACAGACCTATGGTGAAAAGCAAAAATATAGCTTAAGCCAACCAATTGATAAATTGCTTAAATATACCGTGCTAAAAAGTTTAGTAAACATGTACATTATTCTACTATCGAGCGTATCCGGCTGGCTAAAACTAAAATCAACAGCCACATTTGATTTTATTGACAGAATAGGACAGTTTACCAAAAATATATTGAAGCGCAATATTCGACTTTTTAAAAAAAAACTTGATGGTTTCAAGATGACTTGTCATCTTAACTATATTAAATAATCCAGATGTGCTGAATAAAATATTTTTTAGCTCGACTTGTTTCGAGAATGAAATGAAAACAGTTTTCCATGACTAGATGATACGCCTTGACCGGGTGTTGATGTCTGACTATTTTTATGCCGACCAGACTTATGGTGATGTCCATGGTGTCTTGTAGTAGGAGGAGAAGAGTTTAAATCCACAGTCATATAATTGTTCCAAGTAATAGATCCATCGCCATAATCAATATCAAACACAAGCATGCGAGCGCGTGTTCTGCAGTCCATGACTGAATCAAAGTCGCTGTTTATGGCTGATAGATGTTGAACAGATCCATTGGAGCTAAATTCCGAAGATGAAAGTTCACCCGTGCGCTGGTTCAAGTTGGGCTCTGAAAAAAGCGCTGTACTGTTTGACATGGAGTGGTGTTTATGATATGGTTGTGAGGTACTAAGAGTATTGGTAGAGATTTTGTTGACCGATGCACGGGCACTTGCTGGTGTTTGATTATTTTTGATCTTGGCTGATTTGGAGCGTACCTTGAATTTTTTCATAATCTATAGATATTCGACATGAATTCGTCAGCAGGCAAATAATGGCTTCGAGACATTATAAAAAAGTACTGGTATTACACCTGACAAAATTAAATACCTTATTTACAAACATCATGGCTGGACTAAAAGCATGCGCTACTTCTTCTTCAGTCACATCAACGTACACACAGTTGGATTCTGTACTCAACATTGGATTGCGTCCATTCTCAGTAACCCAGGGATGTACTTTGATTTGAGATAGCTGAATGCGTGTATTGGGATTTTTGTCCATCATTTTGGACAGTAAATCTCGAAGTTCGTCAGATAAAGTGTCAAACACAACATAATTATCTTGCGTAATTTTCCTGTACAGCTCCACAATATTTGTATCTTCCCAAGGGCAGCATCCATGAACAAAGCAATATAGGGTAACTCCAAGAGACCATATATCCAGTGATTTTCCATTAAGAATTTTTGTCTCAGCTATAAACGTGTACAAAAGTATACGATAGCTGTTAGAAACCTGCAAAAATATTGTAACATCTGATACAGCAATGTATCGACAATCAGATGCCTCTGCCTACCAGTGCATGCCTCTGGAGCACTATAAAGCGGTGATCCATTTTTGGTGATCAGCAAACCTTCATCGTCACCTTCATCAAACATATGCGAAATGCCAAAATCTCCGATTTGAACAATATTTCCTGCCGTCCGTAGTAAATTCTCTGGCTTAATGTCTTTATGAATAATACGTTTATAGTGCAAGTACTCGATTCCAAGAACCACGTCGCGAAAATATTTGCGTGCCAGTTCTTCAGAAAGTGGCCTAGTGGGCTCTCCAATATTAATTTCCATTACAGGCCCGTACTCGCACAAATCAAAAATTATATAAAGATTATCTTCTTTTTCATCATCCAAAACCTCGACCAAATTCACAATGTTGGGATGCTCAGAAAGTTTTTTTAAAACAGCAACCTCACGCTTGATGGATGCCATGACCTCGTTGTCTTCGTTTTTCTTTGAAGAAAGAGATTGTGGAGACGGTTTTCCATCGTATACCCATCGAAACTTTTTTCGTAAGCGACTCTTGGAAATCACTTTGCATGCATAATACATTTTGGTTTCTTCACTACGAACGAGGACAACACGACCAAAAGCACCTGTTCCAATATCTTTGAGAATATGGTACTGATTCACTCTGCCTTGAGCATACTCTGGCTCACCCGTTGGACTGAGTACTGTATCTTGACTTTCATCTTTAGAGTAGATGACTGAAGTTTCAACAATTCTCTGATTGGTAGAATAACTGCTTGATCGTAGCTGTTTTTCTGTCAATTGGTTTGTTTCCAGCTCTTCTGATTTAGATCGCTTTTGGAACAATGCAATGGCCTTTGATTTTTTGTGTTTTGCCTTTTCTAATGACTCATCAGTCATTCCATTTCCAGCGGAACTTCGAATGACCTGATGGCTCTTGTAACGAGCATGTTTTGACGGTTTGCTATTTCCTTTTTGTGGCCCGTACAATGAATGATGCCGTTCATACAGGCTAGAGTCGTCCTTTGATCTAGGTGGTGTATTTGTCGTAGGGGATATTCCTTGCTTTTTATGAGATCCTGTATTGAGACCAGCTGTTGTGATAGTTGGGGTAGATCTAATAGGGGCACTTGTTGGAGCAAAAGGAGGCAATTGGGATTTGTGCTCAGACACACGAGTAATTCTTGGCGTTGGCTCAATGCGTGGAGCGTATCGTACTGGAAATTTAGGACGACCCATTGAGTTGCCCACATAATGCGTGGACTTGAAATCCTCAGAGCTGGATGTGTGGTTAATGGTTCCGGACATGGATCTTGCATGTGTATGCGCAGATGCAGGTGCAGATGCAGGTACAGGAATGGGAGCTACGGAATTTTTTTCTACTTTCTTACTCTGCTTTTTTTGGTTTAAAGAATCTACTGCTACACTAGATCCAAATATATTTCCAAGAAAAATGCGTGCGAGTCGTTTTTGGATCGACTCACGTTTTTTGATTGGAGGAACAGTAGCAGTAGCAGTGGTGGGGGTGAGAGCAGTTGGCAAAGACGGACTGGTTTCTAAAAAGTTTGACATATTTCCATTAGATGCGAGGTTGATGTTGGTCATGTCACATTGTAAAGTTGAGCTTTGTGGAGAAATTGACAACACCGATGAAGCAAGTGGTGATTTTTGCGAGAGTGAAGAAACAGCTGATTTCATTAATAATTCATCTTTTCCGCGATGATCGCTGATTGAGCGAAACAAATGGGAAGATGATGGTCCAGACGACGATGAAACACCCATAGGAGACGAAATGTCTGATGAACGACAAAAAAAGTTTTTGCTATCTTTACTAACAACTGAGGATCTGACCAAAACATTGGCATCAGGCTGCGTAGCAATTGGAATCAGTCCATCAATATTGGTAATGGGGTCTAGAAGTCGCTGCATGGTGTTGGCTGATTCAGAAGTCACAAGCCTTTGATTTCGCACTAATTGGCCTCCTTGGCTGTGAATAGATGCCAGTGAATCTAGACGACTAACGATTGCCTCGTTTGACTGAGGAATGTCTATCTTTAGTTTAGGATTAGAGGTAAGCGCGACTGCGATATTTTCAGTAGCATTTACAGGGAGAGTGGACAAAGCGTGTGGCGACATATTACTTGTTACATATCCAGCAGACTGGGACTTTATAATTGTCTTGGAGAAGCTAGGAGGATTACACTTTTGTGCAGCATTCAGCGTACCAACAGAAGTAAAATTGTCTGTAGAGTCGACCTTTGGTTTTTTCAGTGCCAATGAGTTGGGTTTAGTAGTGTCGTGGCTAGTGCTTTTTGCTTCAGCCATATAATTGGCATTTTTACTATGCTTGTCGAGGGTAATCGCGGGCATGGATATAGAAGGAGCACCCGCGAGTGATGTCATTGGGTTGGGTGATTTTAGAACAAACGATGCTTGAAAGCCTTCATTGGAAACTGCAATGGTTGATTCACTGTTTTGCACGTAATCATCAGTTGTATCTTTTGGCTTCTCAAACTCCAGAGGCGACATGTTTTTCGAATTACGACTTTCCAAGCTGCCTTTGAATGTAGGAGTGACATCAGATAATGGGTGTTTTTTTACAAAAACATCGTTTTGGGACATTGGCTTGATATTACTGCTCCTAAATTTAGTATCTTCCTTCACGTGGCTAAAACAGCCATGAGATGCTGAAGACAAGCTTGTATCCTGAGAGTAGTTGTACAGACTATTACGAGGAGAGCTGCATTGCGAGCGACCAGTTTCGACAATGCGCTTGAGTTTTCTAAGAAAATGGTCTGCATATCCTTCCATCTCCTCATTGTATTTGTGAAATGAGACCTGGGTAGCATTTGCAGCACTCACTGATCGATTGTGTATCTTTTGCCTGATTATGATATTACTAGAAATAGCTCTACGATGATGCATGCTAGTGTTGTGCTCTTTGGACGTGTGAAAGTTGGACATTTAAAATGTAAATAGATTGGTGCTCTATTGGGCTAAAGAAATTGCAAGATATGCTGCAGTATGCTATATTGAATCCAGTGTATGTATCACGCCTAATTGCAAAGCTAAATGGGGAAGATTGCAAAGTTGCAAGGAAAGTGGCTAAATTATATATTGTTGGTTGACAATATCAGTTCAGAATTTTAAATAAAAAATATGGGCAGATGATAGTATTGTTTTTGTAGATGATTTGTTTCATATCACCATACTTGCTTATGTATTATTGTTAAAACATGTTTTTTTCATTTAGTATGTCCATGCAGCGAGATTTTGGCCAATGGTAGATATTGACATGCAAATAACTAAGTACACTGCCAGTTCTAAATATGGTAAACTATCAACCACCATGCTGGAAAGTGGAGAGAGAGGACATTGGATGAGGGCAAATGTTATTGACAATGGCATGGATCTAACCAAATCATCCAAACGACGCGTCATATCCACGACGGGTCTGTATCCATATCAGCAAGTATACGAAGGGAAGACTGCTATACCCAACATGAAGTTAAAAGTAGCTTTGAAATCAACAAACATTAATCAATGTACTGTCTTGATCTGAAAGCTAGTTTTGTAACTGTAATGAGTTTGCGACCGTATTCATGTATAATGAAGCACTAGAGTGCCAAAATACACAATAAGCAGTCGTTTAATTGGTGCCATTTTACTGGACAACAACGTGCTCTTTAAACTCTTTAGTTGACTGGACTTTGTGCTCATTTCTGTACAAAAATACAGAGCGAATATTCACATCCTTGACATCTTTCCAACCTCCAACTTTCCTTTTTCTAAGCTGGGCATTTGAAATAAACATTGGATGACTGGCATGAAAGCAACAGCTGAATTCTTGAAACGTGCAATCTTTGTCCTCTTGAACTAGAACGCGAACGTATTTGATATTAGGTTCGAGTTTCTTCAGTGCCATAATCGTGCCATATATTCCTTGGTTGTATAAACTCGATATCTTTAATACCAACAATAGGAGCTCAAACTACAAGATAAATACAGAAAATGATACATTTTACATGAATACGGCCATGAGGCAAGATTAAGCATGTATCAACTTTTTCAAAATTCGGTTTCATGGATATCAAAAATATACAATATATCAAGGCATTAAATTTGGCTAATTGTTTCCATTTGCATATCATATCCAATGATGTCCGACTTGATTTATTGATTGCTTTTCAGATTCAGTAAATCTAGCCAGATTCGACTGCTCAAAAGTATACATTACATCAATGGCGTGTATTTACACGCTTTCTACTGTTTAGCAGATATCGGGTCTGATTTTTTAGGCTGATACCATTGATTGTTTGATGGTGTACAAGGAAAGCATTGACATGTGTCATGCACGAGTCTCAAACCAAGCAATAGCTTTTGGATAACATTCAAACCATGTGTCATGTTACTATACATTGTAACCAATGTTCAATCATGTTTCAGTCACAACCGACTAAAAATAGCTGACACTATGCCAATTGTAGCAACTGGAACAAGATGATCACAACAAATGACAATATTGCTTTAAAAGTGATTCGAGTGACATATATTGCACATTCAGTACTATATAACAGCGATATGGCTGCTGTTGAATACATACAACAGTCGACATGTATCTACAACTAAACAGCTGTCAATTTAATGTCAATGAATCGAATTTGAAAAGCTGCGAGTAAAAAATTATAATTTGTGCTTGACAAATAAACTGGACACTATCTTGTATTATACTAATACCATTGGTTTAAAATTCAACATTTAGTCTGGTAAAGTAGTACATGTGTATCAATACATTACATGGCAAGTTTAAAACTTGAATACATTTTTGAATCTACCAAGCCATTTGAATATTATATTTTAAATAACAATATTCTGTCATAAACAGATTGGGTGTATAGTTGGTACATGTAAATCCATGCAATGTTTTGATTTTACATCATGACAGTTGTGAGACAGTTGGACAGAATAGTAGTTGCAACTATAAATGAAAGTTTGAATAAACTGCAATTCAGCCTGACAGACTATCTGGATTGTATTTGTACTGGTTCAGGTTGAGCACAATAAACCAAAAATCTAAACAGTCGCTTGTCGATTATAACAAGATAAAACTATATGTTGAGCAGGATGTTCAGCAAGGTAATAAATGATAAAATTTACAGAGTGATTTAGAAAAGGTTCATTTCAGTTAATTTACAAACGCAGAGTCACTAGTTGACTACTTGGCTGAAGCCGCTTGCACTCGTTGCAGATTCAATACAAGTTACTGTGCATTCGATAAAAAATTAACTACTATAAGCATTCCATACTACTGCACACTAGCATCAGTATCACAGATATCCAACTGCGTGCGTTACATCCTGTTTGACATTTGTAAGCTACTAGTCTATAATTATGTACTACTTTTACTGCCATTATCAATGCAATTGTCAGCTATATCGATAGAGCATTTTATCTGCTATACAGTCTACTTGTATGCAATTGAGCAGGATCTACACTATCCAGTTATGTGCTATCAGACTATTCTAGCTGCTGTTTTCAAGAAATTGAATTATGCTATCAGCACATCCATTGTTATCAATAGTTTCCAGTTGGCTTCATCGCTATCCAAGCTGCTTTTTGAAATAATCAACTAAATATTGACAGCATTCCACTCCCTCAACATCGCTTCCCATTGTGTTTTCTGACAGTTGCTATTCTTAGCGTCTGCTATCCCGTGTCTTATATATATCTGGTGCACAAACTCGACTATTGACGACTTGCTTTCTCAAAAACACATCTAGTCTTGATAATTTAGGCTTCATTTCATTTGGCTACCAGATTTAAACAGTCTGCAACTATTTTAACTTGGCATTCGACTTTGATACTATTTTGGTCGTTACAAACATCAGTTGCTTTTTAAGCTGCATATACCCAATTAGACATGCTTCCTTCACCTTTGGTAGATAAAACCCTGAAAAATGAGTGCTGGAAGAGCCAGAAACTTTCTGTAAAAATCATCGAGGCTAAGCATCTAGATTGGGACAAATCAGGTAAGTGAATCTCACATATTTGTCAGTTATATTTTAGATGCACTTTGTTTGCACGCATAGTTTCATCAAATTCAACAAGTACACTTGTATTTTATTAAATTGTAGATATCTCGTGCGATTCGTTTTGTGTTGCTCGTATTGACAACAATAGTGATACAGAAGCTCGGACCCAAACCGTTTTTTCCAGCAATTCTCCTTTTTGGGTGAGTTAAATTTAGAGCCTTTTTGGACAGTTTAGAGCCATGAAAGAGTGTGCATTGCTCACTTTATATATTGATTTGGCTTGAACACTGCTTATAGTCGGAAGATGTCCAGTTTGAAAATATTCAAGGATTTCATGAGTTGAAATTAGTTGTCTGGAATGAAAACAAGTCCAAGTATGGCGCACCTCGCCCATTAGGAAAAGTATGTTTTTATCAATGCTACGCCTTTTTGATTTCATCTTGAAATCGCTGATCATTATAATGGGTATCTTGATATCATTTTAGATTATTTTTTCCAAACAATTTTTGCAAGGAGGAGACGACCAGTGGTACATGCTACAAAACGCAGATAGTGAATTTCCATGTAAATGCATGACTGTGTGTATGCCATTATAATACTTTATATTCACTGCCATTTATTTTTGAATGGCCTACCGATTTTTAAAATATATAGCTTTAGGACAAGTCAGGGTTAGGATCAAGTAGGATTTTATGCAATTAAAAGTAGTGTTTGGTACCAGTATAGAATGTTTTTATTAACAAATGCTATGTTTTAAGGCATTTTCCTCCTAAAAAACGCAGACAAGTGCATGGTTTCTCTGTGCGCATCCTTACTGCTCGAAATTTATACAAAAAAGATCCAGCATGTACGTACTTTTTGGCATGGCTCGTCAATAGATTGACACTATGTTTGACTAATCATATATCTTACTTTTTAGATCTTCCAAATCCATTTGCAGTGTTTCACTTGCTCCCGGATCCCGACGCTATATCTACTCAACAAACTCGTGTTCAAAATCGTACAGTAAATCCAACCTTTTCAGAAACATTTTTTTTGTAAGTTACACCATGTATTTTTGAAATGCCAATTTTTAGTGTAGTTAAGCATGAATGGACTTTGTTGACAGGCTTGATTGTATATTCATTTTTCTTATACTTAGCACATACAACGTTAACGAGGGTGGCAATACAGTTGAAAGATCGATTCATTGCTCAATATGGTACACACTAAATATTTCATCTATGTTGTGCATAATCTTTTTTGATTTGACTATCAGTAAAACTCTAATGTTATATCTTTCAATTGATTCCGGCATATTAGGGATCAAAATGCATTAACAGAAAATGATACCAATGGATTTTTGGGACAAATTATTATTCCACTTGACAAAATTATTCGTAGACAACATTGTGATCGTTGGTATTGGCTGAATCCTCTGTCAGCTGATAGCGCTAATATGTACATTGAACGAAAAGGTAATTAGTGAATCAAAAACTTGGTTATTGATAAAAATATCTAGTGGTGTAAAATACAGTTTTATATCTCAAAGGCCACTGCTACTGACAGATTACTGAAAACCAATAAATTGTTTGTAAATTAGCACGAATGCGTAAAAAATCACTCACCGAAGAAGAAAAACGAAACCGTCCTCGCGATCTTATTAAAAGCATATACAAATCTGAAGGTATACTTGTTTATTTCAGTTTTGATTTAAAACTTTGTGCTGATTTACATTTGAATTTTGCGCAATGCCAAACAATATTGCAGCGGTATCTCCACAAACTCGCAAGCTGCATCAGTTTTCCGAGGTTGGAATGGCATTTTCCACATGTGCGTTTTGCAACAATGTCATGATTGGAACACATTTACAGTGCACCAATTGTAATATAATCTGCCATCAAAAATGCAAGGACCAAGTACTTCCTATTTGTGGAGGAGTTGGAGCCATTCGACTGCGGCTTAAACTTATCGATACGATTGTTATGCCGCTGTGTCACTACTCAGATCTTCTCAATCTTATTCAAGAAAACGCTTATTCTATACCTGTTATTTTAGGAAAAGTAAGCCAAGATCGTGAAGATGCAGCTCGTAGCCTGATTAGAATATTTGAAACCAATGATACTGCCTTACGGTTTTTAAAAGCCGCAGTAGCTCATGAAATCTCACTTGCACCTGATTCACGTACTCTATTTCGTGCAAACTCTATGGCATCCAAAGCTGTCGACGTGTTCATGAAACATGTTGGCTTGGATTACTTGAAAGCAGTGTTGGGAGGTCCTGTGTTGGAGATTGTACAATCAGTCAAATCTGGCGAGCTGGATCCTTTGCGAATTGAAAAGTCTGATAAACCTGAAAAGATTCTTCAGCGGAATATTGAAGTTTTGATGCATTTTAACAAAATCATTGTTGACGGTATTATGAAAAGTGCCGACTTGATGCCCACATTGCTGAAAGGGTTTTTCTGGTTTCTACAGGAGACAGTGGCCAAAAAATTTGAAAAAGAAAGTGTTGTACGGTATACCTGTATCAGTGGCTTTATATTTTTGAGATTTTTTGCACCTGCTGTATTGGGACCAAAACTGTTTGGTTTGGATGTTGGCACAATTGATGCACGGTCGGCACGAAATCTCATGCTTGTAGCAAAGACGTTGCAAAATTTGTCGAATCTGGTCGAGTTTGGTCAAAAGGAATCTTACATGGCTCCAATGAACGAATTTATTAAGAACCATATGGCTGACATGAAGGAATTTATTGAAGCAATATCGGTAATATATGTATTCATTATGTGTTGTAATTGTCAGTTTTATTGATTTACTCTAGATCTCGATTCTAACCAGTTGTATTTGCCATATAAACTTTTGTTTGATAGAGAAAACCACTATTAAGAGAGAAAACAAAAAGCCATTGTGTATTAGCAGATCTTCCGACCTTTCATGATATTTTAGCAAACAATGCAAAACAATCAGCTTTGATTGCGCGGGAATGTGCTGAGCTTCAAGAGATATTTTCAAATTCGCTTGACAAGATGATTGCAATTGAGCCTGCCAACAAAAGTCTTTCTGCGCTTGGCGAAACTCTCGCCCAACTCGATCAAAAAGTTCTTCAACACGTACTTAAACTAAATGAGAATGAGTTGGATGCTGTGCCTTGGCAATCAGACGATGAGGCTGACAATCAAAATGGCAGTGAGCAGGAAGATGGTGCAAAAGAAATATTACAGACGGATCTGGCCAAGGAAAGCGAGGACGAGCGTAAAATCATGCGAATGCTTAGACGGTGTTCATCCACATCAATGCAATCACTCATGGGAAGCTACCGACACTCGGTAGATATACGCGAATCAATAGTTAAAGGAAACATTAAATGCGATCCTTTGCCGTTATCTTTGATATCCACCACAAACAAGAATGAAACCTTGCCTTCCACTGGATCAAGTACATTTGCGGTTCCACACGATAAACAACTTTTACGTATGTCAAGCAGAGGAACACAATCTTCATTTGGAATTTCTGCGTCGTCTTTTTCACGTACCCTAGATATCATTGAAAATACAGAAGAAGCTCAACTTGCAGCCAACTCTAAAATGGCTGAAAAGAAACCAAATTGTGGAAGAGCCAATGAGCTGCGTATGTCTCGTGCAGCAAGTGAAGTATCACTTGCTGTTTCTGATAAATCTGGTAGTGGTAAGGTTGGACGCGATAGCTTGACTTCACGTGTGACAAATAGTCTTGGATACTTCAACAAACTATTGTTTGATGGAAAATCTACAATTGTGGGCGATAGCAGTACCAGTAGTTCCGATTTGTTGTCTTCAAGTGGGAGAGGAAGCATTACTTCTTTTATGCGTCGCAACAAAGCTGAGGATTCAAAAGAGATTTCATCAGTTTCTGTAGAACCTAATTCACAACCGCACAATCTTTCATCTTCATTCACTAACCCTGTAACGCTTTCGCATGACAGAATAGAAGCTGAGCCATGGCCACTTTCTAAAGCCTGTAATGACCACACACAGAGCAAGGATTCAAAAAATAGTCGCGCTTCCACTGAAGAAAAAGCAAAAATAACAAAGAATGATGTACAAGATATCACTTGTATTGCACCTTGCAACATTTCTTTACTAGAAATTCCCCCTAGTGAAAACTCTGCAAAAGTATCATTACCATCTGCAGAAAAAACAGATCAACCACAGCTACTCTGTAAGTGTGTTTTGAACAAAAATGTAACTGAAAAGGTAGATCTTCAAACCCCTACTGATGGCGGTGTATTGGAGCAGTCGTCTTCTCGTAAAATTTCTATGCCACGCCATACTCGTCGTAGAACGGTGGGATCGAATTCTAGTGACAACATGATTTGTGCTACGTGCGGTTTAAATCGAACATCTACTGATACAACTATTAATCGTGGACGTTCATTGACTACCGTTACAAGTAATTTAACAGCGTTTGTAAATGGAATCACTGGAAAAGCACTTCCAATATCTACTGCTTCCGGATCAAAGTCTTTAATCAATAGTACTGGCACTGTGTATCAAACGCCTGAATTCTCCTTCAGTAAACTTAAATTTCTTCAAAAGTCCCGTAATGGCCAGGAGCCTTGTCAAGAGACGGGCAGTGATACTTCAATACCAACTTTTTTTGCAGAATCGGGATCACAGGATTTTCCAAATGTACAATCAAGTGCAAGTACTAGTAAAAATACTCTTACATTGGGCAACGAATCTACAAAACAATCTCGAAATAGATCCTCTACATTGACACGCAAATCCCAGCCTTCGCCACCATTGCATCCAGCTAATCAGGAATCGACATGTCAGCGGTGTTTTTTGAAGATCAATGATGCAATGCTAGAAGCTGGAGAAAAGCGGTATCATCCAGAATGTCTTTCATGTGCCATATGCAAGATTTCTTTGACAACATCGTTGATTCCTTTCAACAATGATGTTATCTGTCGTGAATGTTACTTACGCAAATCAGGGCTTGTCTGTGGAGCCTGCCATCAATTGATATACAACGAGTATCTTGTTATTAATGGCATCAACTTTCATGTAACTTGTCGCAGATGCGATGTAAGTACATACGGATCAAATACGCATGTGATTAAAAGTGTTGAAAGTCTGACAACTATGGTCTAATTTGTTTGATATAAATAGAAATGCGATGCTGCATTATCAGGAAGGGATCATTTTATATTGGGCGATCAAGTATTTTGCAGTGATCATCGCGACTCGATCATAACATGCTATGCTTGCTCCCAACATATTGAAGGCGAAGTTCTAATTGCAGGAAATCCACAAAAGTTTTTCCATTTGAACCATTTTAACTGTCGTGGATGTGGAAAAGATCTTTCAGCAACAGTGTTTTACGAAATGAGCGATCAACTATGGTGTCAGCCATGTTTTCTCAATCAGGATGACAAGATGACTCCCGTATCCAGTGTTGAAAAACTAATACCCGAAACAAGTGAATAAGACTTATATCGATATCAGATGGTAGCTGGAATAACAATTTGAACTTTAATCCTGGCAATGAATCACTTTTTAGAATATGAGAATGAATAGCAGCTTGTAAAGATCAATGCTTGATAACTTATTGATTGCTTTTCAGATTCAGTAAATCTAGCCAGATTCGACTGCTCAAAAGTATACATTACATCAATGGCGTGTATTTACACGCTTTCTACTGTTTAGCAGATATCGGGTCTGATTTTTTAGGCTGATACCATTGATTGTTTGATGGTGTACAAGGAAAGCATTGACATGTGTCATGCACGAGTCTCAAACCAAGCAATAGCTTTTGGATAACATTCAAACCATGTGTCATGTTACTATACATTGTAACCAATGTTCAATCATGTTTCAGTCACAACCGACTAAAAATAGCTGACACTATGCCAATTGTAGCAACTGGAACAAGATGATCACAACAAATGACAATATTGCTTTAAAAGTGATTCGAGTAACATATATTGCACATTCAGTACTATATAACAGCGATATGGCTGCTGTTGAATACATACAACAGTCGACATGTATCTACAACTAAACAGCTGTCAATTTAATGTCAATGAATCGAATTTGAAAAGCTGCGAGTAAATAAGCTTTTAGTATTGTTTTGGAAATACCTTTTTGTTGAAAATTAAAATTAAATAGGCAGTATTCTAGTTTTATATACTTTATATAATCAACTCTCCTCCCAAGTATGACCAAAGAGATCGGTAGCATCACTTGTTACTGACTCGTCAGGTTTTGATACTAAAGCCAGCTGTCGCCGTCCAATAGATTCATCGTGTTCATTTAGCTTATTAGATGCCTCCATACTTGGTCGTCTTTTGTTGATCATCAAGACACGATCAGAGCCAACTGCTTCTTTTGAGGTAGAGTATTTTTTCTTTCGATGAACAGTAGTGGTCTCTCTAATAATAGAAACTGAGCTGGTATTTCGCGGAGTGCTTTGTCGTGCTAATTTATAAGCCATGGTAGGAGGTTTCATCGTCTTTGATGCACACATCGGATCTTTAGACTCTTTTTCATTTGAAACAAGGTTTGATCTTTGCCGCTTTGTAGCTATTGGAACAATGGACGAATTGTCTTTTGACTGGTCCTTAAAACACATTTGATTCAATTATGTTTAGTCAATTCTATCCAATATTAAAAACTACTCAAAAGGTTTAGAAAATACCTTTTCATTGCCAGTTTGGACTCGAGATGATGAACAGAATTTTTTGCAAGGTTTTAAAAAGATTTTGTTGGAGTTCAAACTAGATGTAGTGGGTTTAGTGTGAAGCATGCATTTGCTTGATCTCTCCGAATCAATACTCTTTAGCAGCACGTCCAAATCAAGCTGTCCGATAATATCATCTGTGGTTTCTAGCGACTTTGAGGTTTCAATTTTTTTGAGACTTGAACAATCTGATTTCTGTGTGGCAGTTTTAAGCATTACTTTCAAATTGGCAATCTGATTATCGCGCTGCAACAGTGCGTTTTGCATGTCCATTTCCTTGCGCTTGGCAACCAAATTCCATTGTGTTGTTTTGTGTTCAATATCTTCAAAATGCTATCAATAGAAATCAACTGAGTAAAGTAAAACAGCTGTCAAAATAATACTGATCATTTCAAAAATATACCTTTGCTTCCAATTCGAGTCGCTCCTTTGTCAGTATATCAAACTGTACTTGAAGTTTGTCTATTTTCTTTTCTTTTTCCTCAATGCTGTTTATTCTTGACTCAAGCTCCTTGTCAGTTTGGTTTTTAACTAGAATTTTTTCTTCAATACTATTCTTGCACTCCAGCAGTTTGTCCTTTAATGCGTCACGTTCAACTTCCAGTAGTTGTATCTGCTCTGTAAACTGTCTTGTTATTGATGATTTGTCCAAATCCATTTGATCATGTAAACTATACATGTATGAATATAAATCATGTTATTTAATGCATGCAGCCAATACATTTATCATCGCTTGACTACTTACGTTTTGATTTCCGCATCAAATTTGAATTTGGTCGACTTTAAAGTCTCTGTCAAGTTTTGCTCTGCAGCTAATACGACTTTTTCCATTTTCAAGCAAGTTTCGTTATTTTTTCTGATTGCATCCTTGTGTTCAGATTGTAATTGCTGCAATCTAAAGGCGCAATCAAAAAACACATCAGAACTAGTTGAAGAACAAGCAATGCGGCATTGATATGCTTGTAATGGAATTATACCTTTGCGTAGTCGTGTCGTTTTCCAAACGACTTGCAAGCAATTGATTGTCGAGATCTAAATTTTTATCGTTGGATTGCTTCAGATCGGCGATTGTTTGCAGCCATTTTTCCTGACTATTAGTTGAAAAACTCGATATGTTTTAAATCTAAACATTGAATCGCTTAACTATGAAAAGCAGTATAAACTTACTTTGAGCGTAGTCTGTTGTTTTCGCTATTAGCATGCTCGAGTTTCAGCCTTGTGTTTTCCAAATCCAAGCCTATCTCCATCTTAGTAGCCATCCACGTATTTAGTGTCGTATCTGATTCTTGTTGTTTACGTTCAATGGTTTTCTTTGAGTCGGTCAACTCTTTTTCAAGATTCTCACACTGAAGCTGAGAATTTGCAGCAGTAGATTTCAAATGATCCAACTGTTCAGTTACTAGTGTGTGCTCTGCAGAAAGGCTATTTAATTGATCTTGAAGCGTCTTTAAACTTGTGCTGGATATTTCTTTGCAAGATGCCAAGTCGTTTAATGATTGGTCCAATTGGATTTGAGTTTCTTTTAATTTATCACTTAGATTAGCAATACTTTCATTCAGCTGCGACTTTGACAAAGAGTATTCGTTGTTGATTGCAGTTTGGCAAGCTTTGGCTTCGCTAATTTCAACAGTCAAATCTTTGCAACAACTTGACAGGGTTTTGACAGAAGATTGGAGTGTTTCTATAGTTTGCTGTTCTATAAATTTGTAAATTCAAGGTTAAATAAATATATTCACAAAAGCTACTTTTGAACACATGGTTGTAGTGATTACAATACCTGACAATCTCTGCGCATCCATTTCAGTAGCGAATTTATTCTTTTCCTCCACCAGCAGTTTGGTTTCTAAATAAATATTTGGTTTAAACTCCAAATTTAAAGTTGATGTAGATCATCAGTTTGGTATTCTTGTCACACTACCTGTTTCTTTAAGCTGAAGCTTTTCTTGTAAATCGTGCACTTGCCCAAATAAGCTTTTTCCTTTCTCATTCAATTTTCGAATGGCAGTTTGGTAAAGCTTCATCGACTCTTCCATTTTTGATAATCTAAATGCAAACAAATCCTAGATGAGGCAATGCACTGGAAAATACAATTTGAATACTGTCATTTCTTGAATCTTACCTTTGGATAGAAAACTGAATCAGCCTTTTCTGATACTCATAAGCAGAGCAAACTGCACCAATTTCATTAGACAACTGCGAAATGGTTTCACGCTGCTCCGTTGCTGCTTGAATGGCTTGATCTCGGCTGATATTTGCAATAGATATTTCTCGTTCCAATGCCAAACTGTGTTGTTGTATATTTTGAACAAGAAAAATGATTTGAGATGAATCCTTTTTTGAGTCGGCTAAATAGTCTCCATTTGAAGGACCCAGGTTATATGCACGATTGGCTATATTTTTGACTCCTTTAAAACCATTGGTTTGACTCAAAATACCCAATGAAGCGTGTCGTTGCTCAACCATGTCAAGAGTCTGTTTTTTGGAAAGACACGTAGAGTTACTACCTGGTTTCTGGAAAATGGTTAAAGGGTTATGAAGACTTGATAATGAAAATTGAGATTTAAAAGACGGATCACTGGGAGTATCAGTGACCAGAGTTGGATTAGACTTAGATAGATTTAAAGACTGCGTGTCTTGTCTGTGAGGTACAGCTTCTAAAGCTGTAGAAGCAGCAATATGATCAACTGGAGGATTTGGATTTATTACGACTTCTTTGGGCGCCTTGAACATGGTAGACGAAGTACAAAGTAGATCCATTTCAGCAGATTGACCAGTTTTCAAAGTAGATGGGGTAGAAACAGAAAGATCAGCTGAAGCATTATGAATGGTGTTGGACGATTGTGTAGTCATAGAAGCATCCAAGTCAGAAATATTGGACTGGGTGCGTTTTTGAATAGCAGGAAGTTTGAATTGAGATAATGAACAGGTTCCCAATCGAAAACGAGACTGGCCAGATGGAAGGACAACAGAAACAGTATTATGCAATGGCGAATCTGCAGCTGGACTTGCACCGTTCAGCATTTCTACCATGTTCACATGGGAAGACTCGGTCTTGGAATGATTAGAGGGTTTGGAACTCAAATCCATAGCAGTATTATCAGAAATTGGTGGGTTAGATGAAATACTTGCAGATGGATTACAATTCATAGGACTGGGCTTATGAAACTTGAATTGAGTTACCACCGAACTCGTTGTGGATTTTCTGGGTTGGAATGAAAAGTAGGCTGATGAAGTCTGATCATTGGGTATAGAAGTAGGTTGTGTGTGAAATTGTGTTGAATGAGACATGTCAGGATTGTCTCCCCGAGCTCGTTCTACTAGTTCAGTATGAACACGACTAGAGAGAGATCGCTGTACGTTGGTAGGAAACCCCAGTTTAATCTGTTTGTTATTAGAATCCATTCTGTTAATCAAGTATACACCACTCGAGCCAATAACGATATGCTAAAACCTATTTTTTGATGTATTTAGACAAAGTCTGGTTGGGAGACAAACCAATAATCTGGAAAGTCTGGTTGGGAGACAAACTAATAATCTGGAAAGTCTAATTGGGAGACAAACTAATAATCTGGAAAGTCCGATTTCCACTTTGGCTACGCGTCACAAGGATGCATTGATTCCATTCCTGGCTAGCAACGCTGGCTGCATAAAAGCTAAATAGCAATTGTCGCTTTATTATTTGAGATCAATAGTTATTAAAAATCTATAAAAAGTAAAATTGTCTGCTCAATCACCTATTGACACTCGTCTCATTTTCCACACAAAATCTGACTTGTTTAGAAAGCAATAAACTTATTTAATATCTAGAGCATGCAATGCCCAGGATTGGTGTGTAAGAATAGTAGAAAATAGGAATGAATCAATTCAAAGTATGTCGATTCGGTTGTTTAATGGAGCGCAGTCTCTACAGCATTTCCAAAGCGAGTATTTCCTTGACCACCAGCTTGCCCTTGAGCGTGTTGGACATTGTGGTGAGGCTGATTCCACGACAGATAGTTGTGATCACCCAGTTTTCTGTAAAAATGCAATCATGAAATGAGTAAATGAACACCATAGTGCATAACAGATTCCTAGAGTTGGCTTACCTTGGTTTAATCATATGGCGTGCAAGGAATGCAATACCAAGTGCCCAACAGACTGTACCAACACAAATATATGCAATACCCAAAAATGAGTTTTTGCCACCCAGCACAGAGACTGACGAAATCACAATTGATTTGGTACCACTAAACCGAGAAACATCAAAATCTATTGTCGTCAAGTATGAATGCATCATACAGTTGTATAAAAACAATCAGTCAACACGCTTTGAATAAAGTGGAGCCATAAAATCACTTACTCTGCACAATATCAACTTGCCAAGTTCCGTGAGGAAGAACAGATTCGGTATTGCGACCCCAAAGTTTTCTAAAAGTTGGAAGACCAGCAGTACGCATCCATACCTGAAATGCTTCCCAGGTTTTGAGATTAGGAAGATTTGTCGAGTTGTATCCATCCTTCCACTGTGGGAAAGCCGTGCGCCAAAACGGTGGTGGGATAAGTGTGGTTGAGATTTGTTCAGCAGTTAGCGCCGTTTGGGTGTTTATATTACCATACTTGTCCGCATCTGACGGCCAGGCAATGCCTTGGGAATAAAGTGGATACACAAAACTGGTGAGACTTCCTGGGGAACAAACTTGATTATCTTTGAATTGAAAAGTAGAACTGACGCATGTCAAATTAGAGATGTTGTCTGTATTCAAGGTTGTAAAGATAACCCAAAAGTATAAATAGATCAGACTGCTGACTAAAATAAAAAATACAACTGTTTCATAGCTACAGACAACAAAGTCATACCAGAAAAAAGAGAATTGGCTATCAAACCACATGGATAGTACTGGGGAGTAGGCTGCCCAGAAGTCTTTTTGATAGTGGTATTCACACCAGCAATAGTAACAAATTCAGTCCCGTCAGTAGGCACATTAAGTGGAATACATCCAATATCCAGATTCTCAGCAGCCACATATCCCTTGAGCTGATTGGCATCAAACGACTTGACATAACGACGGTTGTTTTGGAAAAAGTTGGTCAAACGATAATACATGAAAACTGGAGCAGGAATCTCAGAAGGAATAGGAAATTGAATGGAGCAGACTTGCGAAGCTGCGTCATATTTCCAGCTGGTAATGCCAATTGATGAATCTGCTGGAGCGGTAAAATTATTGCCAGCCAAAGTGGAGCATTTTGTATAGTCAAACGAAACTTGCACCACCTAGTAGGATTAATAGGTAGTAGAATTAAATACCAAACCATTCAAATGATATATAGAGAATGTGTCGAGTAATGTGGTGGCTTTGATAATCATCACAAGATAGCCAAAGAATAGCATACCTTTTCAGAAGCTAAAAAAAGACCAATTCCTAGAGGAACAAAAATAATGCCAATAAGAAAGAAGGTTGGCAAGACGGTCTTTGGAGTGAGTAGTGGCTGCCATGCCTTGAGGCGCTGCTGTTTAAACGCAGTGTCTAAAGGGAAAATGCAAATCCACATAAAGCGGGTGTTAGTCCATATACCACTTGTCTTTCAAAACTACAGCCCAAAGTATAAATACCAAGAACCAATATTAATGGGTAGCTAGTATAGGAAACGAATGAATAGCCACATGAATCCAACAAAGTGACCATGAATGAGCAGGAGGGTGGATAGCTTGTGCAAGTCATAAACTCCACTTCTCAAACATGGCACAAGTGTAATATTGTATTGGATGTAGCTCAACACTACTAGGATCTTGTATCTGAGTATTAAAGTATCTGCCGTACTGAATGAGTTTTGTTAAACAAAATAGTGAATCACATACTTGCAGGTTTCTTGCTCTGCTTCAACTCGGTGTGGGCGGCGGCTGCAGGCATCTCCGTTGGTTGGTTACAGTAGAAAGTCACCTAAATTTTTGCGGCTTTCAATTACCGAAGCAACAACTAAAGAAGGGATTTGGGGTCTGCAACAATACATTGAAGCAAATATACAGCATACACCCCATATTTCTCTCATACGAAATAATCATAAACTCGCTCAACCTTGTCTGTTTGTCTGATAATGCCAACAGACAATGCCACCAACGAGCTGCAGTCTAAAAATATTTCAAGTCAACGACGAGTAGCTCAACTGACTCTTCGTCGCATGGCTACATTCGACTACTTGAAACGTCTGTTTTTGGGCAAGGGATATCATATGGGCACAGTTGCTATTCCAATGCGAGTTTTGGCAAGTGATTAATAGTCTTTATGAAAAATACATGCGGCTGAATCAAATATTCTATACATCAGACCATAAGCATGCAACTAAATGCTATTTTTTATCTAATCATCAAATTAGGCTAAAATATACAGCACTCCACAAATGAAAAAAAGGTGATACAGTTTACTGCCATAAAGCCCAATGTGTAGATATCATTGGTATTTAATAGTATACTAAACAAATATATTAGATCTGGTCAGCTATTTCAACTAGGGCTAGGTATTGGAAAGTTGCTACGCATCGCAGATTCGGCTGAATTTGGGAAAGCATTTGATGCTCTACTATCAGAATTTGATGTAGCAATAGGCGACTCTCCCTCGAAGCAGGTACGTTGGTCAATCCAATATTTATGACAGAAAACCATACCACGCGCAAAAGAAACATGGATTTAAATCATGAATGGGTAGACTAAACTAAACCGTTGAACCCGACTGTATTTTGTCAATACAGAAAAATAGTCTGTTTTCAAGACTAAACAAAACGTTTGGAGATCAGCAACTGAACAACGATGGATTATCTGCATATGGCTTACTTGAAATAGTTCAGTTGGTAGGTGCAATGTGTGGAGTGGACAATCATTCAAACCATGTATCTGAATTTTTGAAACTGACTGCATAATAATTAGCCATTCGAACTCGACTTTATTGAAACGTATATAACGCTGTGCGAAATACTAGTATTATCATATAGCAAACTTTTGCCTGCTAGAGGATCTGATTGCCCAGATAGCCATTTTGAGTGTGTACATCGACTTGATCTGAAAATCAAGGTAACTGCACTATACTGAGCCGATTTTCTAGCATTTAGTCACAATCCAACTTCTAATCTATACTATTTTTCTGGAATGTTTTGATATATTTGCTACTTGTGCTTGTTTATTAGAAACATATTATTCATAGTGTTATCAGGGAGATAAATGGTGCCGCAAAGCTAATTTTGGAAGAGCAGTTTCATGCACTCGCCAATGGCGAATAAATGTGCCATATATTTCCTAAAGATAAACAGTAAATCTTTTGGTATCGTGATTATGATTGGTCAAGCAGTATTTTCAAGTCGATGCTTTTTGGGAATCTCTAATAATCTAGTGTCGAATATGATATATTTTGCAGCTGCATTCATGCAAAATGAAGTACTCGATAAGGGTGTTCGTGTATAATAACTAGCAAGTATCATGAAATGATTTGTATCAATTTACTAGACACTGTGCTCTTGAACTCTTTATTTTATTGGTATTCTTCTGGTTATCGGCATGGAAACAACAGCTGCATTCCTGGATTGCAATTTTTGTTTCTTGAACACAAGCGTATCTGAGATTCAGGATATAGAAGATGAGTTTGATTGAAAGCATTAAAACAGCTAAAGTCAGTATATAGATTACAGTAAATGAATCCAATTTCAAACTTGATGATCGTGCAATGTATGGCTATACCCAATGTGGAGAGATTTAAACTATAGTTTGTGTGAATTGTATGATGAATGTTGATTATTCAATTGAGAATATCTATTCAAATCAATTTGTAGTAGAAAAGCGCAACAAGTATTTAGTCATTATCCCAAAGAGGCAGTCGTACAGAAAAGTGGCCCATCTTACGTAAATATGGTTGCGGATTGCTTCAAATTATACTTTTAGCATCCTCGTAATATCAAACCAACACACTCATGATTCAAAATACTTTGAAGCAGTACAGTCAACCAAATTTATTCGAATGAGTCTAGTCCATAAAATTCAATCCAAAAGTACGCTGGACATTTCTCAAACAGTCAATTTTGATCATGCTCTGCCTTAGTAGACTCTTGACTGGTTCCATCTGTCGACTTGCTACATGCCATGTTTCAATCTGCTTGAGCCATGAGATCCAACGAGAAATCTCATGACCACCAGGCTCGAATATGTCATACTCAATTCCAGATGCATGTTGAAGCATTTCTACTGTTTCTCCATTAACAGGCGTTGGAGGAAATGTAGATACAGCTTCACGAAGATTAGTAATCATGGCTGTGGTTGGAACAGATGCATTTGTTGGGAGTTGAATTCGTAATAATACAGCTACAGCTGTATGAATGGCAATAGCTGCTGAAATGTTTTTTTCAGATGGTATGCCAGTATCTAAATTAGTAGATGAATCTAATATTCTGCTACCGTGGTTATCCAGGTCTTCATTACTCAGCGCGTCGTCACCATCAAAAAACCCATCTTCCTGTGTAGTATCCAATGAAAAGGCAGATACATTGTGCAGTTCAAAAAGTGGGACTGCTTGAGCACCAGTATCTTCTTCATCAGCATGTTGAGTATCTGTACCATGGTCTACGCCGTTATGATCGCGAGAGAGAACAGCAGATAAAGATTCACCAGGTAAGCTTGTTAAAGACTCTGTCAGCATTAGTGCACTCTTACCAGTGGTCTGTTTTGCTCCACCTTGCATAATTTCTACCAGTTGTGTTACGCTCAACGATTGCGCAATCGACAGTGCTTTATAATAAATCATCGTGTAGCAATCTAGTAGCCGCTGAGCAGATAATGTCATGAATTGGACTTGGAGCAGCAGTGTCGAGCTAATTGAACTCAAAGCACTACGGCATTTAGATATAAGCATTGGGCGGATGAATCGAACCAAATCTGATTCTAAATTGTGCCAAATAGGTTGAGATGCAGTTTGTAAACTGTCAAGAAGAAAAGTAATGACGCCATAAGCTTTATGAGGAGAAAAGTCAAAACCACGCCATTCAGGCATTAAAAATACCCATCGACGGCAGGATCTAATCAGCAGTGTAAGAGTAAACGATGTGGATGGAACACGCTGCCATACAGTGCTAAGAGCAGTAGATGATTCCTTCATAATGTCTACAAACCGGCCTGTGCTTTGAGTATTTTCTACGCCCCGATCTTCTATCTCCATAAGATATGGACAAAGACCTGCCAACGTATAGAATATAGAATTTGGAACCGGAAAACATTTCAAACTGGGTGGAATAACTGTCCTTGAGCTAGGTTGTTCGGCTAAGGTTGTCTCGGTCTCATTATCCAAGGGTGCTCTTATTGGTTCATCTGTACCTTGATTTTGAGATCTAGGCAACACAGCTGGAATTCCGGTATTTTGTGTTTCTTGTTGATGAACCAGATGTCTGAAAATGCTGCTATGCACAGCTCGCACGTTATCAATACCCTCAATATGCGGCTCAGTACTATTTGGCACTAGGGAACCGTGTAGGTCAGGCTCAAACGTAATTTTTTTGACCATGGCAGAATAAGGAAGCCAAGTGGTCAAAATAGGTATGGAGCTTTGATTCGATTTGTGGGAATTCATGTAACCAAAAGTACTTGCATGCAGTACTCTGGTAAATTGAGACAGTGATTTCGACGTAGATATATGAGGATTTTTGTAAATAATACGTGCACCTACAGCAAACATGCGATGCGATGTACGAGATGCTGCTGATAAGGATGGTTGATCAAAAGCAAGTTTTGATAGAATAAAGCACAACAACTCGGTTGGAAGTCGATAGATAAAGCAAAGCTGGTGAGCTAGTGCTGATGAACCAAATTTTAAAGAATCCATGTGTTGAGATTCTTGAAAACGTAATCTAGATGCAGACAATGATTGATTTGACAATGCAGTACCGTCTGCAAAGATGGCCGTATTCTTGCATTTTTTTGCATCTGCTAATGAATCTGCGTATTGAACAAATGTTTGCTCTACATCCATGCCTGATTGAATGGAAGGTATATTGGGACCAGATTGCATATTTTGACTTGATAGTGGAGATTCTAATGCCGATCGAATTGCACAGTTGGGTACTGAAAGCGAGATATCACTTGGTAGGTTATATTGTGCACATTGTTGGATATTAGCAAGTGCTCCATCATGACTAAGCAGTAATTCTCGACCAGACTTGGCAGCAACAAATATTAGAACAGTTTGGAATAGCGCATTCCATAGTTCATTTGGAATAGAATCGTTTTGAAATGTTTGCGAATACCACTTGATACACACCAATAAAGCTCTAAACTTTTTTGATGTGCTTGACTGACCAACTACACGGATAGGTATAGCTGATGTATTGGTAGCAGCGGATGTGCTGGGCACTGACTGTAGTTGTGTCTGTGTAGCTATAAAGCGTTCGTGATCGTCATGCATGTTCACTGAGTTGGGTATTAGCGAATTTTCAGTGGGAGTCTCCGATAATGTGTTGGGTACAATAAGTAGTAAAGTATGCAATAACCATCGCAGCTCGTGAATAAAACAAGCTTGACAATCGTGGCTCGAAACATCACAAATGTTTCATACCCACGTGATTAGTCAGCGTAGCTAAATATTGATGTGGATGTTCATTATAGATGCCAATTTTACAGCTATATTCACGTAAGATAAAACACTGAATGTCAAAATACATGATAACCAGCTAATCTCATGTTTGATTGGTGCCAATCTTACTGAGTAACGTTGCTTTATAAACTCTTTTAGTTGACTGGACTTTGTGCTCATTATTGTACAAAAATACAGAGCGAATATTCATATCCTTGACATCTTTTCAATCTCCAACTTTCCTTTTCTTCAAAACAAATACTGGGTGACCAGCATGTATGGTTGCATTCCCGAGATATGTTGAACGTGAACGTATCTGATATTAGGATACGACAAAGTTCCAATAAAAGTAATCAATTCCAATAACAATGAATATTTAAAGATTGTTTATTCCGGGGGAAATAGAGGCTCCAACTGCAAGATCAATACAGAAAAGTGTATCATTTTACGTGAATACGGCTGTAAAAAGCAAGTCGTTAATTTTTTAAAGATTGGAACCAAGATTATTTAGACGTTGATAACATTGATTGCGCAATTATATTGGTCTATGAGATTAACAGGTTATACGGTAGAAGTTGTATCTATCAAGTAGAATATAAAGTGAGATGGATGACTCTAAACATTGCAAATTAAAAGTAGATTGGCACTTACAATCATAGTCCATTGTAGGGAGAACAGCAGACATAAACTTTAAAAATAACATGAGATATTGATCGACACGGAGTTCGGTATTTTCGCCTGTTTCTTCCATATGGTCCAAAATGCGTTTCATGACATTGGCATGTTTGCATGGATGAATAGAAGCTAAAGTAAGATTTTCATGAGGATGTGCCTCGATAGTTACTGTCTTGTGTGCATGATCTTGAGAAATATCTTCAAATACTTGAGTAGTTGTAAGGGGACGGCGATGCTCGTCATACCCAAACAGCCATACTCGTGGTGTTTGATAATACTTGTCATATGTAATAGCCATGTCATATGTTCTATCCAAGCATCATTGTACTGTTAGTGAACAGTATGGTCACAAGCGTGTAGATCAGCAGTGACTAGTATATCCCTAATAAAGCTTAATAAAACTCAAGCATTGACATCCACAAGATTACCTTGTCTTTAAGATCTTGTCAGCCGCATCACAATCACCCGTCTTGTTGGACTCTAGAACGAGTGCACCAGGATCATTTTCCTCTATGATTATACCCACATCAACCAGATCGTCATCCATGTCCGGAATATCGTCCATGTCCGGAATATCATCGTTATTGGATACTGATGAATCTTCATTACCCTCTTTAGCAGTCGTTAGTTGGGCCAGGTTTTCAGTGAGAGCCTTGATATCATTACCATGAACCTTTTTGGGATCCTCGTCCATATCACGAATTTCTTGGTGGTCATTGCCATCAATAGTATGGCCGTCATTCTTTCCAGCCCCCTGTACCCTCGCTTGATGTGTAGCAACCCATCCACCATCCGCTGTATCATCAGCTCCGCCATCTAGTGTCTCTTCAAAGTCATCCTCGTCATACTCCATAGCCTTGACTCGACTCAAGCAAGGCACATTACGAGTAACAAGATATTGCTTTCCGACTGGAAGATAATCTTTTGTTTTTGTAGGCTCACCAGCAGACCAAGACCATGTAGGACACTTGAATACGAGAAAGTCCCCAGCAGCAACAAACTCTTCGGGAGTGAGGACACCTGTCTCTTTAAACTTTGAGTTCTTGAGCAAAGGATTAAAGTACTCTCTTGCCGAGTGAAACATGGCATGAACTGTTGAAAAGGCCGTTCGTTCCATTTCTGTTGTTGGGGATCCTATTGTTGTTGGATGCTACGATGAATGAGTTGAAAGCTTGTTACTTGAAACCTACTGGTTTGTAACTAAAGACAAAAAGAATGAGAACGCAAAACTATTTAGATTTCAACCAAATTCATTATATTTTGACAGAATTCCGATATCAAACAGACTGCTGCTGCATTTTGAAAACAAGAGTTTTCTGTTTGTAAAACTGCACGATTAGTTTAAGTTGATTCAAGACTATATAGGCAGAACACCAAAGATCGTGTCCAAACAAGACCAAGTCCAGCAAGCAATTGGCGCTTGACTCAATGGGCGACGTTGCTCTATACTTGGTCGAGACAAGAGGCAGACTGTCCAACAAATTGGATTGTCGCCACAGTACAAAAAGACACGAGCAATAAACGATCCTGCCATTCAAATCAATAATCTACCAATATTTGAAAACAATACCAAAAATAATGGTTGACAACCTTTATCTCATCTCCTCATTGTCATGCTTTTTGCCACCAGTTATAAACTCGATGCATTGATTCACGCCTTTTAGCAAATCCATTTAGACTATCATCAGATTCAAAAAGCATTTATAAAAATGAAATGTGTAAGAATGTAACAACATTGCAATACAATAAAAAGATTAAAATATATATCTATTGTTTGTCTGGCATTTTATTCCGTGCACAAGTACATCCACCAGCTTCTTTAAACCGCTTAGCAACCAAATGAGTACTATAGGTTTTAGTAAATAGTGTCATGTCCCCATTATGGCAGTGAAAATAGCAGTTTAGGATAGGTCTTAAACACTGAGTAATCCATGTTTTGCACCCACTGGTAACTAATGAACTCATTGAAGAACGACGTTCAAGAACCTCACGTAAAGCAGGCTCATCTTGGACTACTTTGAGAAGAATAGCAATTTGCTGAGGGACGGTCGCAAACTGGTTCATAAAGCGATTCATGGCAGCACGACGGTTAGAGCAGTCATCCTTGATTTTATTGTTAGTGCTGGTTGCATTAGATTTATATTTTCGGCGAAAGTTGGGTTTGGGATTGGCGACAGTCACAGCAGTTATGGGAATAACTGAATCGCACTTTTTTGTGATGGAGTCGGTCGAGTTTTGCAGAGCTGCATGCGGAAATGGTTCTGATTCAATATTTGGCTCTAGTCCTCCGAGGGATATTCGGCTTTTGTTGTCACTATCTTTAGATGCGGTTTTTTCTAAATGGAAAGAATGGGCATCTAGTTGGGTTAAGACAGAGCTGAGCGGAGGTTTAACTGAAGCGCCATGATGCCGACTTGCATTTTGGTCAACAGGTACATGGTCAAACAGTCTATTTGGACTCTCTATGTATTTTTTTGCGACATCAGTGTTAATCTTGGAAGGAGGATAGGAATACGGCCCTTGTGTTGAATGTACCTGCCAATATGGAGAGTGATATTGGCACGGATCTGTTGTAGAACGAGATGTATACCCATCATGGTTCAGAGGCGGGTAACAATGAGTATACCGAGGAGAATAAGTGGGGTATGAAGAATGGGTTGGATAAGAATATTCGGCACAGCAAGCACTGGTGTATGCTTGAACATCTCGATGATACGTAGGATCGGGATACGATTGAGACCAAGCGTACTGAGCATGGCGGTGGTCGGATTCTCCGATAATAGAATGTGATGCTTGAGTATAGTTTGATCTGGCAAGGTCCGAATAGTTGGATGTGCCGTAACTATAATCTGCTGGTAAAGCATATTTTACCGATTCATTTAAATTAGTGGAAGATGGTTGAAATGCCAATGAACTATGGGATAGTGATGGCAACAGTGTATCTGGGGAAGGGTTTATATTGGTAGCATCATCTAGCGAAACAGTTGCCTCGAGACTGTTTATAGTGGAAGATGGGACCTTACACTGGCTAATCATGGATGGCGAACCCCTAACAGCTGGAGCAAAGTCTGAAACAAAAGGGAATGGAGTTTGATAAGATCTGTTGGTATGTGCAACAGTATGCTTCATTCGGTCCAAAGCAAGACCTAGTTCGGCAAAGGATGGGAGCGAGTGACGTTTTCGTGGCTGCTGAGTAGAAAACGCGAGAGCGTGAATAGGTTGATCAGTAAATGAAGAATGTTTTGGTGCCGACGAGGTTTCTAAAACAGAATCTGGATTAAAGGCTGGAATAGGATGTGGGATAAAGGTATTACCACATGGTGCGGATGTGAGTCTAGTTGTAGAAGCAAGAGTAGCTGGCAATGTCGAAGGATATGTTCCAACAACTGGCAATGGATATGGATGATTCCGTAAAGAAGTAGTGCCTTTGAATTTAAGTCTAGCAGGAAGGCTGAATTGGGGAGAATGGGTATCTATATGACTATCTTTGCATTCAGGTCTTGGCAGTGGTGGGAGAGAGTATGTGGCTGTTGGACATTGGGAATGTTGACATAATTCGTCATGTTTAAATGGCGATGCAGATAGACCTGGCTGATGGCAGAGTGGCGGTTGGTGATTCTGATTAAATCTTATAGGCTGGTTTAAATCTAATTGGTTTGGAGTAAATAGAGTTGGCTGTGGATCCACCGGCTGTTTTGGATACTGATGTGTTGTCTGCAATGGCAACTGTGGTAATGGCGATAGCGGGCAAATGTTAGTCTTGTCATCTTCAATTCTCAATCTACCAACTGAAATCGACAAGGGCGCCGCATGTGGTATCTGTTTCTGTTGTTGTTGATATGAGCCAGGTGAATGGTGGTGCATGGATAGTGGTTGCTGCTGCTCTGGATTTATACAACATGTTGCATCCGCTGCGATGGTCTGGACGGGAGTAGATGCGTCTGGTTGAACACGAGCTGTTGATTGCTGATGGCAGTCCAACATACTATTGTCGTCGTCGTTGCTACTACGAAACACGCAAGCACGAGCAGGGGACTCAATAGCAGTTTCCATTACAGATTGATAGCGTCGCAATTTAGCGGCCAAGTAGATATATATAATAAAAAGGCTGAAAAGATTAGACAATGACCGATTAGAGAAATACAGCGTAGCGCAAGCTGGATAAATAAATGAGTGCAATAATGCGATTCAATATAATAATTTGGTTAGAAAGTAGCAGGGTACCAAAAGTGTAGCTAGAACGATATGGGAAAATATGGAGTAAATATTCCAATAGAAATTAGAAGCTCGAGTTTACAATTAGATGAATACTCAAAAAGAAACTCTAAATGAGGAAAAGCAGCAGTTGAAGATGAAAATAAATCTGAGCAATTTGATCAAGCAAGGGGTCCGATGTAGATTTTGCTTGATTGTTGAGTGTCCCAGAATATCGGCCGGCTAAAAGAACTCGTTTGAAAATATCAAACAATCAGACCAGTAAAGCTAATACATAGGATCCCTAATGAATTGTTTTTTTGTATTCCCTTGTGAGTAAAGTTGTTAGGCTTTTCCTTGTTTGGCCCCCTTTATTCCATAGTCATCTTTTCTTCAGTGCTGTCTTCCGTAATAGTTCTTTTTCATGTTTGATACGCGCTTATTAAAATATGCTCAGTTGGATAGCAAGAGTCACATGTGACCAAGTGTTACAACCCCTATGGCTTCATCTCACTGACTACTGAGATGAAGACCAAGTCAAAATAGTAATTTGTATTCAAATATAGATACTGTGTTCCATATTCTCTACACGCTATCTATTTGGCCGGAAAAATTGTGTTGCCGTTGGTTTTATCCAATTACAAAAGCCGTTATTACCCCTGATTTCAATCTTAATGTCCAAAAAAGTAGTATGTAAAGCATCAACTCCGCTTAGCCAAGCACCGACATACATATATACTATAGGTAAAAGTGTAAGCAGGCTAGAACCAGACTTACTACGTCATGAATATACACTTGGTAATTAGTCGGATTTGCCTAGCCAAATTGAAAACGAAAAAATAATTTCAGCATTTACACATTAAAAGATATAAACACGGTTGTGTAAATCCGACAATAGCCGACTTGATTTATTGATTGCTTTTCAGATTCAGTAAATCTAGCCAGATTCGACTGCTCAAAAGTATACATTACATCAATGGCGTGTATTTACACGCTTTCTACTGTTTAGCAGATATCGGGTCTGATTTTTTAGGCTGATACCATTGATTGTTTGATGGTGTACAAGGAAAGCATTGACATGTGTCATGCACGAGTCTCAAACCAAGCAATAGCTTTTGGATAACATTCAAACCATGTGTCATGTTACTATACATTGTAACCAATGTTCAATCATGTTTCAGTCACAACCGACTAAAAATAGCTGACACTATGCCAATTGTAGCAACTGGAACAAGATGATCACAACAAATGACAATATTGCTTTAAAAGTGATTCGAGTAACATATATTGCACATTCAGTACTATATAACAGCGATATGGCTGCTGTTGAATACATACAACAGTCGACATGTATCTACAACTAAACAGCTGTCAATTTAATGTCAATGAATCGAATTTGAAAAGCTGCGAGTAAAAAATTATAATTTGTGCTTGACAAATAAACTGGACACTATCTTGTATTATACTAATACCATTGGTTTAAAATTCAACATTTAGTCTGGTAAAGTAGTACATGTGTATCAATACATTACATGGCAAGTTTAAAACTTGAATACATTTTTGAATCTACCAAGCCATTTGAATATTATATTTTAAATAACAATATTCTGTCATAAACAGATTGGATGTATAGTTGGTACATGTAAATCCATGCAATGTCTTGATTTTACATCATGGCAGTTGTGAGACAGTTGGACAGAATAGTAGTTGCGACTATAAATGAAAGTTTGAATAAACTGCAATTCAGCCTGACAGACTATCTGGATTGTATTTGTACTGGTTCAGGTTGAGCACAATAAACCAAAAATCTAAACAGTCGCTTGTCGATTATAACAAGATAAAACTATATGTTGAGCAGGATGTTCAGCAGGATGTTCAGCAAGGTAATAAATGATAAAATTTACAGAGTGATTTAGAAAAGGTTCATTTCAGTTAATTTACAAACGCAGAGTCACTAGTTGACTACTTGGCTGAAGCCGCTTGCACTCGTTGCAGATTCAATACAAGTTACTGTGCATTCGATAAAAAATTAACTACTATAAGCATTCCATACTACTGCACACTAGCATCAGTATCACAGATATCCAACTGCGTGCGTTACATCTTGCTCATCCATTGTAATCTAGATATTGGGTTCTGACGATCGCAATTAAACTACAAATTTATCTGTTGTATTCTAAAACCTCGAATACATTCGCGATTCTAGTTCAAAAAAACAATGATTGCATGTCTTGGGAATGCAATGGTTGCTTCATGCAAATTATCCAATGTTTTATAGGATATTTGCAAATTGAACAAGTATCAGGAATGTGTGATGTAAACATTTTAGTTTTTTATACAAAAATGAGCAGAAAAGAACATTGTAGACTTTGTAACAAGTCCAAGACACAATGCTGTCCAGTAAATGTGGTGCCAATTATTCCATCAAATCAGCAGTTTATTGTATATGGACATCCTTATTCATCATCCCATTATATGTGAATACGATTGTAATAGATCCGCCAATGAATCGTTAATAGTGGTTTTTTATTGGGCTGCTTGTTTTTGAGCGGCAATATAGAGTACTGTATAAAAAGTCAGTGTACTGTAATGCATACCAACATACAAGGCCAGTAATAATTAGGTGGTCTATCACATCTATGACCTACCATTATTTCCTCGAATAAAACAATCACCGTAGTCATGCTTCTCTACACCATCAACATATTCCTTGGTCTCCTCCAGTGCGATATTCATATAACCGTCCAAGCAGGCCAAAATTCCTATATGTTTATCAAAAATAGGTTGAAACGGCAGCATGTTAGAGCATAGCAGGTTCAAAGCAATCCAACACTCTTTCCTAGTGCATGGCTTAGCTCACCTCGATAGTCTACTCCAGAATTGAGCTTGACAACCACAGGCTGACCAATAACATGCTGCAAAAACTCCTGCGGTGATCGAGGCATATATGTAGGTTGACCGTGGAAACTATCAGAAATGAAGATTGAAAATTAGATATTTATATATGCCCAAATCATGAGTTTCAAAGCAATAGATAACTTATTTTAGTTTTACCCAGCCGTCGATATATTCGGAGTTGCATTCCAAAAACTTTTATCCAAGATCAACAATCACAATGAGTCAAGTCGGTGCTTCTCAAGTTCATTTATGGCTACGTGCAGAGACTAAGAATAACGAACAGCGCACAGCTCTCACTCCATCGGTATGCAAAACTCTTTTGGCAAAAGGCAAGTGTGGTTGGATTGTGAACTCATGTTATGTAGAATCCACTAAAAATCATGATCATGATATACTGAATGACAGGCATTATTTTTATATTAACCTAACGTCTGTATTGAACTGTCAGGATTCTGCATCACTGTGGAGTGTTGCAATCAGCGCATATTCAAGGATGTCGAATATGAAAAGTATGATTTGCATCGTATTGAGTAGTATGCCTAGCTTGTTTCAAGCTGATCGTTGCGTTGGAGCCACTTAAATTAATATCAATTTATTATACTTTTAGAATTGGTTGCACTTTGGCTCCGCATGGGTCTTGGCGGTTTGCACCTGCCAAATGTTTTATTATTGGACTGAAAGAGTTTTCTGAAAAGGACGACTTCCCACTCTGCCACAAACACATCATGTTTGCTCACTGCTTTAAAGGTCAAGATGGCTGGAAGGATGTTTTGGGTAGATTTGTCCGTGGCGGAGGTCTTTTGCTGGATCTAGAATTTCTTGCACAGAATGGTACAAATACATGATCCAATTGAGTTGTGGCTTTTCATTGATCTCTTTCAACAATTAAATTGATTTGGTATTGTGCTATGTTATAGGTCGCCGAATCGCTGCATTTGGCTATCACGCTGGCTATGCCGGAGCTGCCGTTGGTCTGGATGTATGGTGTCATAGACAGCTGTCACCATCTTCAAGGTAGATTGGATTTAAACTTGTAATTGTTTGCCAGTCTATTTTGAATTACCGTAATATATTTAGTGATGTTGATTTAAAATGCATGTTTGGAATATACAAAGCTTGATTCCTAAGCAACATCCGTTTTCAAATGACTCGGATCTAATTAAGCATATTCGAACTCGATTGGAAAAAGCAGGCAAGTCAAATCTATCATAGTTTTGACGCTCATTCCAGTATCTCATTCATGATTGAAAAACTGATTTGATTTTTGTAATATCAGGTAAAGCTGCAGGCAAGACACCAAGCATCATGGTTATTGGCGCACTTGGTCGATGCGGGCGAGGTGCGTGTGATCTGGCGCGTGCAGTTGGCCTTCCCGAGTAAGAGCTTGCTTAGTTTAGTTTTAAATTGACCAAGTAGCTAATATCTATTTGGTACGATCAACAAACGCTTAGATCATCCATTGTAAAATGGGATATGGCAGAAACTGCTGCCGGCGGTCCATTTAATGAAATTCTCCGTCACGACGTATTTGTCAATTGCATTTATCTCTCGCAGCCTATTGCACCTTTTTTGACTACCAAGATGCTACAGGATCCGAGTAGAGTGGTTTCAGTGATTACCGACGTCAGCTGCGATGCCACTAATCCTCACAATCCTATTCCAGTTTACTATGGGGCAAGCACGTTTGACAACCCTGTCATCAAAGTTGAGGCTGGGTAAGGTTATTGCGTTTATGTTTTGGCTGATAAAAACCCTAGCGGTTGATGAATTAAACTCGAGTTAAATGGAGTTAGTCGCGGCAGTGTGGATGTCATTGCGATCGATCACCTTCCAACTCTATTGCCACGCGAGGCTAGTGAAGCATTTTGTAACGATCTCCTTCCTAGTTTGCTTGAACTCGTTGAGCCCATCAGGTCTCCAGTATGGACTGATGCAGCAACTCTTTTTTTCAAAAAATCTCAAGCATTACGTACAGATGCTAAATTATAAGACTGCCGAGTTGATTAGCACAAAGCACGAATATTGTTTATTCTGATTTTGACCCATATCTTATTGGTTTGTGCCTTGAGTCAGATTCTGGCGTATAGTTACGTTGACACTATGCAATCTTGATATTGGTTTACAACAATAAAGTTTTGAGTTGATTACGACAGTGTTCTATTATTGCGACTGATTTTGACTGTTCAAGATTTATAAACAACGTGCGAGTTTCAAGTAGAGGATGGCCAAGAGTAACAGATTTGGATTTTGTTTTTGCAATTTCAAGTCGCAATTTGACATTCTCAATTCTTAAACCCTTTAAATACATTCATGGTATTGACCCATTCAAGACTAGTTTCTCGATATTGTGTGTAGCTCGTTACTGGACTTATATAATTCTCATCACAAGTACTTGAATCTATACCATTAGCCATTATGAATCAACCATTACAGGGACTGTTTTCTCAATCTGGCAGCTTGGATAATGCCTTGTCCAACCTTGACGTTGCACTTTCCACTATTCCACTCAATGATCAGAGGGCTCTTTTACCAGCTTTATATCAGCTTAAAAAACGACTTTTAGACAATCAGTCAGACCACAACCAATATGTGCAGGTGCATTTCAAATATTGCTTTACATGAGCATTATCAATTTCCAATGAGATATGCATTCTAACTGCTCAATTATCTGATTGATTTCTGTTTTAAGTGGGCCATTCAAACTTTGATATCACGCACGATTCAACGTAAGATAATATACTGGAGTTTACAAGAAATTAGTTTTATCATATGCTCGATTTTAGCATGCTAGGTCTGATATGTATATTTGATGTATTGTGAATTTATTTTTAGTTCCAGGAGATGTTTCCATCACTGATATAATGGAATTGAATATGAGAAACCCTGCTGTACGCACACTAGCGGAAATGGTCGTTTTTTGCCTTGAACCAGAGTGAGATCTACTTGCTTTAATGTTAGTTTTGTGATAACAAAGTTGGCTGCTTTTAAATCAACTATTCATTTAATCATGTTAGATCTGGAAGAGCAAATGCAGATCTTATATTTTCTACGGTAAATTGGATTTGATCTGTGCATAGATCATATGTCTCAATTCGATCACCATCAACTATAGCTGGTGCAATCAGTCATAATCATACTTGTTATTCAATAGATTTTTACACATGGTCGTATTCATTCAAGTAACTCCATGTCTTTTCAAAGTCTTTGGATTGTGATGTTTGTGATATCAGCACTTCCGTATTCCATGATATTGCCCTTTCACGTCGCTCTGAATCATCATTATGCAACCGTTGGAAACACCACGCTTACAGCCATCTCCAGTAATATGTTTCAAAAAAAGTAAAGTATTGCATAGCTTCATTGCCTTATATTATGCTTGGATTTTAAAAATTAAAATTGAAGTTTTGTCCGACTAAAATGACGTTTAGTTCTGATTTTTCGCCACTGTCGCTTTTCACCGTTCAGTGTCTTGACAGTATTGCCGTGTTGTACCCTAATATTCTCGCTGGTGCTTTGCGTGAGATGATTGATATTTATACTAGAGATGTTGTGCAGGCCGCAACGTTTACCGATCATAGTAAGTTTGCCATGTATTTTATCTATATATGGATGAAAACGTTGTTGATCACTGTAATTTGTTTTGTGTTAGGTATGTCCAGCAGACACATTTTGGCATACCTTTTTACAATTTGTATTTTGAGTCCTGCCACATGGAAAGGTGAGATTTGATGTTTGGTGGATTGATGCTGCATTTATGTAAAACAAGCATACTAATATTCAAAAACAACTAGTTTGCGAGAAAGTACTTTTAAATTTTGTTTTATATGACATTTTTACGGGCCCTATTCTGATCGAGTCCAATATTGGCTTTTCCATATTTACATTGACTCATCTACAGCAAATGTAAGATTGTATTATATGCAGAGACTAGGCTAGAATACAATTAGTTTTAGCTCACCATCTACATTATGTGCATTTAATGCCAGAGAATATGTCCCACTGCGACCTATTGTGAATGATCTTATCACTATTCTATTTCGCAGCACACTCGAGAATCATTCGACAACTTTAAGGTGTTTTGTAAAACTCAGTAACTGGTGCACGAGTGTAGAAAATGACATTGATGATGGTGCAGCAAACGAAGTGCGCCAAAAAGCTAATCTAACGCTACTCCAAGATCTTGAGCGGACCTTTTCAATTTTGTATTGCATGGTACGCACCATTACCTAGCTGAAATAATGCGACTTTATCTAACCTATTTGATACCTAGGTTCAGGAGTCATGGATTCTTCAAGCTCCTTTTTTGCAGCATGATGACTCGAGCGCGTATGTTGATATGGCTAACAATACAAACAGTCATTTTTATTCCTCCAAGGAGTACATGGCGATATTGCTATGTATGAAACTGAATCAGTCGTCAAATATTCGGCAGGGACTTTTGGTCAAACTTGTAGGACTTCATCTAGATCAGCATGCTTTAGTAGAGTTTTTGAGTCAGGATAGCTTTTGTTGGTGGATGAATGATCAGGTTGTATTTTTATTTGCACAGGTTTATCCAAAGCTTCAAAAGTACGTTTTTGTTTTGATAAACAGCATTTGGTTTGATTGACTCACTCTGTATTTATACTAGACACATGCTTAAACATGCGTTATCACTTGCAAAAAACTCGGATTCCCAGAGCATCAATATGGACACCATCATGACATTGCTTGACAAAAAACTACAGCAGCAGAATGGATTAGTCATTTTTCGTCAGCTTTTTAGCAGTTCCAACACAGCAAAGCAAGCACTCAAAGTCAAACACACGGATGTCCTGACCAAGTCAAAGATGAATGCTGTTAAAATACCAAACGCATCGAGTTTAGGGTTTAATAATTATCTGCAGACGCTTGCAATACTTTTAGGACTTGAAAGTGGGTTGGAGCCAGCAGTTTCCTTTAAGCTTGGAATGTTCAAATTCAATCAAATAACTCAATTACAAGATAGTCAGGAGGCGTTGATTGTTCGCGAAGCCCAGATGAATCTTGTGGTGGACATTTATGGTTTTAGAGAATTTATTCCGGCGCTGTTTCAAAGGTTATTGCGTGGTTGCCTTTTTAGCAAGCACAAACCATATCACATAGGCTTTGTTTCCGACTCCAGACCCAACCCATCAACACTTTATCCACACTTGTTAATGCTGTGTTCTTTGCACCTAATTAATAACGTGCAAATGATTGATTGCTTATGCATTGAGATTGCCAGAACCAAAGAAGACCCTTTGAAATTGTTTATTGATCTTCCCTGGCTGTGGAATCTAACGAATGGTCTTGTTACAAGTTAGTCAAAGTTGATTGAATTTGTATTGTACTGGCAGACTTTAACTTGTACTGATATACCTTTTTATCAACAGATTCCATGGACACATCTGCCCGTGGAAAGCTTGTACACCTTTTTAGTATCATGACTATATCTATTCGACGCTTTTGGAGCCTACGCGTCACTCAACTAACAAGCCAACATCCATTACAGCTTGAGTGCACCAAGAATCTACTGGAGCTATTGATGAGACTGTATCCCCAACTCACAACATGCCATACCTCTGTACTTTGGAATACTGCTAGGCTTTTGGACCATCTTGATGCAAAACAGACTATATGTTTTCTTGATATATGGGTAGATATTTCTCGAGTTCTAGCAACTAAAGCAGCATCTGAGTTGCTTGAAGATAATGTATTGCGTGGATGGATCTGCCAAATGTCTGCTCTATGGAAATCTGCCTCACTCTATAGCGATGATCCTTGGCTACTTGCAATGACATCAACTATACTACGTACATCTACCACCTAGTAAAGTTAGTAGTATATAAAGAGCACCGGATAATACCGTTTTACTTGAATGAGAATATATACCAATTCTAATGAATTTAATAAATTTTTCATATAAATGTACTACTTTTTACCACTTTTTTTATTCCTTTTTTCTTTCGTAACAATCAAATGTCTGATGAAGATAACCGCTGGAAATGGAACGGGTTTGTGGAAATAGGAAACAACATACACACAAGATGAGAGGTCAAGTTCGTATTCTGCAAGCCAAGGCTGCCCTTGACTTCTCTGACGATTTACTTTGCACGAAATACATCACTGACTCAAAAGAGCGTTATGAACTCTACAAAACTCTTTTACTCAAATAGCAGAGTATCTGGATGGAAATGCTGAAGTCATTCAAGATGCTGTCAAGGAATACTTTCTCATTCAACACTGCAAGGCAGGTCTTGACGCAGATCTCTTTGATATTACATTTTTTCCAAAAAAGAGCGGCATTCAAACTGGATTCACTTGTAATGTCAACAATGGAACTCAAAGTGTTTGCTATTACATCAAGACGCATCAATACGGACCAACAAAAGACAATATAAAGAGTATCAAACCACCAGATACAAAGGAGTTGTTTGTCTACAAGATTCTGCATCATATTGGAATTGGTCCTCAAGTTCATTTTATCATCCCATCTCATGGCACCAAAAAGACTATCTACATTGCCACCAAGGATTGTCATTTGGTCTTATTGTCCAACTTGACCAAGGATACAGTAAACAACAATGCTCTACTTCAATTGGATCTGATATCTCGCATCCTCTGTCTTCGTGATTGTGCTGGCAACACTTCAAACTGTGGTCAAGTCGGTGAAAACCCAATGATTGTTGACTTTCGTATTGAAAATCAGTCGCAGGGTTATGCCAAACTCGATATCCTGGACAAATTCTACGAAGGAAACAGTGAATTTCACTATTCTGGATTGATGGAAATCGCAATCAAAACTCCAAAAACTGTCAAGATGGATATTATGAACAAGTCACTACAGGAGTGGAAGCTGTTGGAGAATATCGAACGAGCTGAATTGGAGATCAATGAATTGGTTAAAAGATATGATGGCAAGATGGGTTTTGAAAACGATTTACAACGATATGTTCAGGATCTCAAAACAACAGTTGCAGTTCTTATGAAATCTTGAAATAATATATAAACTCTTATTCACTTTTAAATGTCGATAGTTTTAATTATATTGGTATCCAACAAAAATGGAAAATGTGTAATATTACAACTGTAATATCTGAAAATCATCGCATGGATAAGACAAGTTACTAAGAGCTCAAATTATTCAACAGCACTCTATCAATGCATTTGCAAGAGTCATTGGACGTATATGTTGTTTGAAAGTTGATTCTCATACATTCAGTAATGTAACATACAAAGCTTATTTCCACACAGACACAATCAATGTATTACTTTTTGTTGGATAGACTGTATCATCTGTCATCAATTCAGACATACTTGTCAGTCATGTTCCGTATACAATGAGTCACATATGGACACCAATGCAACAATCAAGAATCAATTGTCATTTACAAGTCTGAATTGCCAACCAACAATCGGACTAATGGACCAATGCCAAAACACCTTCAAATCAAGCAATTTATTGGACAATGTTAAACCAGACTTTAATGTTGACATATTATGTGTTACATCTATATTTGTGGTACGTAAGCGTAGTCATCACTGATGATGGCATAGTAGTTAGTTACCTCAACAATGGTGTTCAAGGTGTGCCATCATATCGTTTTTAGCTTCACTACTTTCTATCTTTACTTTTACGATAAACTCCTATATTCATTAATACAACTAGCTGTTACAACTATTCGCGTTCGACTGTCCAGCATGACCATCTTGGATGATCCAATACACAAGTACGAATGTGATGTCTAGCCATTTATATCTGGACATGTCGGTTTATTGCAAGTTATAAATTTTAAACGAGCTAAAGCAAGTTGCCTTTGTTTTTGATACCACAATGGACGAGGTCTCGTCGGTGTCGATTACACAACCACTCAAAGGCTTATCTAGGGAAGCATTCCGTATCAACTTCCGTCGTCATGCATTTCAAATACTTAATAGAGGATTGTTCTGGTTTGGGTAAGCAGATATGAACATAAGACATCTGCATCTTGCTTATAAGCGCTCTACTAGTTTGTAGATAATAAAACCTACCATTCATACCGAGTGACTTGCCATTGACACTGAATGCTCTTAAAACAACACATTGGTCTGCAATATAAACCATCAAGAAAGTCAACCACTGTTTACTAGCATAATACTGACATGTTTTGGTATTCAATAGTCCTGCGCTTTACTTATTAGGACTTGTGCTTCTGCTTCTTCTGCCTCTTCAACTGCCATCCACCTGGCCACAGCTGCATCATAGAGCAGAGATTGATGAAAAGGCATTGCTGGTTGGTCAAGTCAATCGCTATTTCTATCATGCAGATGTAGATCAGTCGTTCCATTCCGAGTTTGGAATGCAACTGTTTCAACAAAATATTACACTGTTGGAGTAAGGTTTCATCTCTGCTGTGGTTGCTCCAATGTAACCTATTGTCATTCACTTACTGTTCATAAATAGACAGGCAACTCTTATCCAAGATGAGCTTGATAAGCTTGGGCTCGACACTTTTATTCAATACTTTCATTATCCAGCCAATGATGAGTTGGTAAAAGGATATAACATACATGGTGTTTTACGAGCACCTCGTGGAGATGGAACGGAAGCCATGGTATTGACGGCCCCACTAACTCTTGCGGACAATGCATTCAACGCCAACGGTATTCGATATCTGTTACAATTGGCCAAATTCCTGAAAAGTACGAGTAGATTGTATTGACTGTTGACATGCATGTGTTGCAGCACGATCTTGTCCGTACTGATGCATGTGTTTAAATAGAGTATTCGTTTTGGTCAAAGGATATCATTATACTGGTTACCACAAACAATGCTTATGGAACCTACTCTTGGCTACAAGCGTATCATGGGTTTAAACCGGATGTTAAACAAGGTGATTGTCCTGCTGAAATACATGTGTTGCAGAGCATATTGTTAACACAGACGCGCAGGTCTTATATTTGATTCGCTTGACACACACGCCGGTTCTATTCAATCTGCCATTAGTTTGGAATTTCCTGGTACAGAGGATTACACTAGTATTGGAATTTTCCCTGAAGGAATCAATGGGCTCCTTCCCAATGCAGATTTGGTTACAACAATTATTTTAAGTATTTCTGATCCATATTACGGATCTCCTCTTGAGTTGCATCATGGTGATCATAAGACAGTCGGCTATAGTATGACTGACCAGTATTTGGCTTGCATTAAGCGTCTATGGCGTTTTATTGGCTACCAAGCGTCTTGCATGCCCAAGGCTAGTCACGCTCTTTTCCTCCAGTAAGATGCTTGAGATTTTATTGTTAAAAGCGTAACTACAACTCATATGATTATACTTCTCTTGATTCAAATGTGCTGCAATTTGGTTTCAGATACAAAATTGAAGCAATTACTTTACGAGGACTTGTTATTCCTGGGTTTTCACAGTCTGTGGGTGCGATTCAAGTTGGACAGTAAGTAAATCTGAGTTCTGTTGATAGATTTTAGATATACTGACCTGCTGGAATACATAATATAGGATACTAGAAAATGCTTTGCGCAGCTTTAATAATCTCTTGGAAAAACTGCATCATTCATATTGGTTTTATTTCATGCCAACAGCATCCGAATTTATTCCTATATCCGTGTATATTGCCCCAGTTGCTATTTTAGCATCATCCATCATCATTTTCTCCATTGGGAAATGGTGGGAAACACCTTTTGCCTTGATTGCATCAAAAAACTTGAAAATAGACCAATCTGCTAGCTCTATATATGTTCATCGTGTACTTGGAGTCACATCGTTTACTCATTTTGTTCGCCCAATGTTTTTACCGCTTCTTACTCTTGCTACCAGCTTTGGTGCTTGTAGTTGGATGATGGTCAACATTGAAACAATAACATATATTTCAGCCATGCGTACTGATTTAGTAAGTTGATGTAGATATGTCGAGTTTATTTTGTAAACCAGTGATTTGAATTAACAGGCGTTTTTTGATGGTTGACGCTGCTGTATAATTGTAGTTTGCTTTGGTTGAAACAACCATTATTGGGCTACAGATTTTTCTTGTCTACTACATCATGCCTTTTGTTCATCGCCTTGCTTATGGATCTGGAGCTTCAACTAAAACCTCGGTTCCAGCATGGAAAATTGTGAGATTGTGTTGCTGCTGCGTGCTTGGAGTATTTTTATTTATGTTGGCTGGCATCAATCCAAGTCTTTGTATTCTAGTTGCACTTCCTTATGTACCAGTGTTTTTGTTTATTCGTCCTACAACGAGCAAAGTATTAAGGATTGCTCAGATTGTCTTGCTTAATCTGCTTTCTCCACCAGGATATCTTTTACTTGCCTGTTTTCTGTATGGTGATACGGCAGTCGTGGCACAGGCAGTGAAGGATGCAGTTTTTGACTGGCATTTTTTCGGTAGTCAATTGGTCCCCTTTGTTTGTTTGCTCATCTGGCCACTCAATCTAACAGCTCAAACACTTGTGGAAATGGAAACATGACCCAATACATGGATTGATTGCATTTTTTGTTTCATCTCGTCATACAGATCTCTTGATTTTTACATGGGTTTAGTCCAAGATGATGTTGTGGATAGAATACGCAATCAATAAATCATAACCGATCCTACACGTATACATTGTATTGACAAGATGATTCAAAACAACATCTATATTTGCTTGAACGCTTGAGCGTATTGTTGATGGTCGTGTTCAGTAATATGGAGCATTAGATACCAATCATTGTATTTTTGAAATGCGCCATCATTGCTTTTAAACTAGAACGAAAATGGATCTGGTAGTTTAGGATACATCAAAAACGAGTCGACTGAAAACAATCGAACCCAATATCTGAATGACATGAATGAATGTGATGAGTGTACAATGTATAGCTACTTCAAACGACATGTTTAGTTCAAAACTTGGTTTTATTTTGCACGAATACGACTGCAATATATGGAAAAATCAAAAGACTGGACCCATTTGCTTGTATTGACTCGATGGGTTGAATCAACCACGGATCGTGTATATAGTGTCAGGGTTAGCTAAATAGATGGACTAAGTGGATAAGGGTTGATTTGGATTCGAGGCTGAACCACAGATGGAAAGAAAATCTTTTTCAAGAATATCAACTTGATATTCCAAGTCAATTCTACGTATGTAAAACAATCTTGACAAGATATCGAGGTACACTTCAAGTGCAAGCGGCCAAGAACCCATAGTATCCAGTTCAAAATGCTGATAGTAGCGCATATTTCCAACTGACCGCAAAGACACGTGCGGGGGAATCGGTTCTCTGGGTTCGTAGAGAGGATATACAAAATCGCCTTTGTATTCATTGGCTTGAGCCATTGGGTCACCAAAGAGGTCCTCTCCATTGTGCATATAATCATTAAATATATCAAGAGACTCTAAAATGAAACCATTAAAATAAATTGTGAAACGATATTCATCACATCTAATACTATGTAAAAGAGCGGGAGTACCTTTTGCATGAGATTTTACTGGAAGCCATAGTTTAGTTGATTCAACCCAACTGTTCCAACTGCTTTTAAGAAATGATGCCTCAAGCTCAGGTCTGTGATTGATAATTTAGGAATCATCACGCTATTTTAGTTTACAACATTGCATGAATCTTGTGGATCCAAGACTTACTGTATAGGTGGATGATAACTATGCAGTTCGTTATATAGGTTTTCAGGAAGTGGTGATGGACTATATACGTTTTACAATAAACTGGTCAATTAAGCACAACACATTACATGATATCATTAGCAAAAAGTATCCTACTTGAATGTGCTGGAATGCAAACATGCTTTGATTGCCAGAAAAAAAGATGCAACTGCGCGTATTTCTCGAAGTGTGACGGCCGTGTCTAATTTTTCCTTAAGAAAGCGAATCGCCTTGTAATGCAGATATACTCCAGCTGTCAGAAACAAGTGTGTGATTTGAATCTACGTGAATAACTTGTCTGCTTAAATGAAATAGAAGCATGCACGAAAATACCTGGAAGGTTGAGTTGCTTTAAAAGTCTCAATACAACGGACGGTGGAAAAGGGTCAGATAATTGAATATTTTGGCGGTTCATAGCCCCTATTACAACACTCTGGAGATGAGTCATCTCTATTATGCCTGGTCTAGCCTATCCAAATTGAAAAACATCATAATATCAGTCAAATCATTCGACTTGCAGCCGTATTCACGTAAAATGAAACACTAAACAAGTGTCAGTGTATAATAAACCGCCAATCCCATTAATCAACACTGTGATCTTTGGTATTGTTTGTGGTGATTGGCATGTACAGTTGCATTACTGAGACTGTTGAAGACGCGAATGTATCCGAGATGTTAGAATACAACAAAGAGGATTTGAGAGTATCAAAACAATTCAACACAATGTATGAATATGTCAAAAATGAGGAAAAGAATGGTTTGATTGTGTGGATCATATAATGAGTGTCGTGGTTTAAAGAATTGAGAGTAACTATTGAACAAGACAATTCTAGTAGGAAAACAGCAGATATTTAACCATTGCTGATTCCAAATCAAAGTCACTGAAAGATCAACACAAAAGTGCTACATGAATACGAGATGAATCTAACTAAACTTTGACTTACTCTGACAAACTTTGTTTCAAAACGAAAATGTCGTTTGATTTCAACAGGAAGTATCTTTGGTAGTGAAAAAAACGGCATAGAGCCATCGCATACCCATTCAATCAGATCACCCAAAAGAATAGGAATGCTTAAAATGCGACATCCCAGACGACAAAAAACAAGAGTAACACAATGTCTAAAACTGTTTTTGTATTCAGCCTTGGATTCAGCCTTGGATTCAGTGTAACGGCTGTTACTCGTATTATCATCAGTGCATGAAGAATCGTCATGGTTTGTTTTAGCAGTCCAAGTTCTTCGTATTATGCGGTCTGAGATACTAGGATCGCATTGTATAAGCCAGATCAGCCATAAATCTCTGACCACATCAATCAACTGTTTAGGAAGATTACGACTTTTTACAAGATGCAGGACTTGTACTCGCAGCTCGAATTGAAGCTCTTCCACAAGAATCGAACTGGATCGTTTGGCTGGACGATATCCTAGTTGATTGCCATGCGTTCATGTGAGTTTCGAGTCATGTACAACTTAAACCAGCAAATCCATTGCAGTCTACCTAATTCAACCTGCACAACTCTCTTTTTAAGTTTATGTATTTTCCGCTTCTGCGAAGAAAAGTCCATGTCTTCATCATCAGCCTGCTCTTGTACCTATCAAATGATGTTAAACAGTTTAGATTTATAGCATTGAGCAGGTTGTCAACTTTGCATAAAGATATTCAAGAGTTGAACATACAGTATGTTGATGTCCTTGTTCACAGACATACAGACCATCGATATTACGACGCCATTTCTTGGATCCACACCTCACACACGCAGATGGCATTGACAGATATTAGATGGAATTGTAGTGACAGTTTAATTGGATTGAATTAAATCAGTTGTAAAGACTAGAAAAATCAGTGCTTTTTACAGCAGTATTCACGTAAAATGCAAGACTTGTCAATGACTTTTTATTTTGAAATAAACAGTATTTAAATATTTATTAGGTTGTCTACACATTGACGTTTAGATTATCAGTGTTTTCATACAACACTATTTGTTATAGTCGAATGATTGTCGAGTTCATGAATGAAACTCGCGACATTGCTGTTGAATAATAAATTATATTGAATGAGTTGAACAGTTGAAACTATTCAACAGTAAATTTAACAAGTGTTGAATAGTTTGTCATTTTTATTCTATTTTATACGAATACGATTGCAATCAACATGTCAGAAGGGTTTTTTAGCAAGTCGTTGGGCACCAAGACAGAGACTTCAGTGGTTGCAGTTCAAATGGCCAGCAAGTTTGTGACTGAAAAGGAGTTGGGGAATCAAGATCAAACAAAGGAACCCGACGCAGAGTATGATCCTCGGCCTTTATTTGAAAAACTGGCCGAGAAGAAGCAGTTGCAGGATGAAGGTGAGTTGACTAGTGTTTTTAACAGTCTATTCTCTGTATTCTTGAACAATTGACTGATACACTGTCTTGAAGAGTTTGCTGAAAAGATGAAGTTTTCAAACCAGATCAAGTTGCTGGATTCAGACGAAGTCGAGTTTTTAACCCATGCCAAATCGTTGGCTGCAGCAAAGGAACGAGACATCAAGCATGCTGATCAAGCTGCTTTGGATGAATTCCGTAATGCAAAGATTTCTACTGTGACTCATGTGTTGGATTCAGCAGATCGTTTAGATTCTAACATGACATTCAAACCAACTCAACCCATTCATGCCAGTCACAAAAATGTAATTCAAGATACTCAAAAGTCTATTTTATTAAAAGGAGTGAAACGAAAGTCGACGTTGAATACCAATGTGTCGAGTCATTCTACTACAACTGATTCACCCAAACGAACAAAGCATTCAATTGATATCAAGTCCAACGCAGTGTCTTGCAAGCCTACCAGCACTGTATTGACTGCAATGATCAATACTTATGAAAGCTCAGACGAGGACGAGTAATTTATAATGAATACTTCAAAATTCTATACTTTTAATTCCGAGTAATACAAAGTGTATTGACCACAACATCCATCTCATGCCTTGATATCACATACAAAAAAACCATTCAAGCTATATTCCATTCAAATTTATCAAATTTATTTGCTACCAAGATCCAATCAACACGAATCAGAAACTGGTGGATTGTCCAAGTTGAACAATTAAAGAAGTGGTGGACGAGGTTGATCGGCATACTAGATGGAATCAAAACCGTGTTGGTAACTACTCGAGCACTGCATATACTGCATTTTGAACATACCTCATAGTGCAAATCCATCACGTCGGTGTTGCTAATAAACTTCCAGCCGTCCTGTTGAACGTGATAGACTAGATAGACAAAGAATATCAACACGATGTACAGTCAAACAAGTTGTATGAACCACCTATTTACCATTTACTGAGCCACCACTGTATGCATCACGGAAAGTAGCGTGATAAATAGAACGACGAGCCAAATCAATGGCATCATTTACAGAAAGATCGTAATCATAGCCAGCATCAAGCACGCCGTATGCATACGTAGATCCAGAACCAACAGAAAACATATGATTTTTAAGACGTTGTCCATCCGAATCGACATAAAACAAGCCAGGACCCTATAATATTTATACATCAAAAAGACGAGTAGTTGAAGAACAGTGTACATTAGCGTTTTGCAAGAGTTGTCAGATTTGAATCACAGTGAATGTACCTGTTTATCCCATCCAGTGATCATAGTTCCCTATTTACAACAATACGATGAGTTTAATACACTTGAAGACCATTCAAGTTGATTACACAACACATTTACCATGGAAAGACCCATTCCTTTGTATCCATAGACCATGTTTGAGAGAAGTTTTGAAGCAGCAGCAACAGAAATGCGCTCCTTGTTACGCAATTCATAAAGTCTAATATTGAATTAATACATGACAAGTCATTCTACAGCGACACTCTTTACCTAGCACGACGACCAAGCTCACGCTCCCAGAAGGAACAATCGGCAGCACCACCAGCCATGGTACCCAAAAGATAAGGATTGATTTCAATGACTTTTTTGACAGTCTGAGAGCCTAATGAATGAGACAACCAAGTCAGTCGATACTGGAATGAATCTAGATTGAAGAGTGACTTTACCAATATAAGAGCCCATTGTTGCACGAGAATCGACTGCCACAACGACACCTTTAGCAAACTTGAAGGCAAGAGTTGTAGTTCCTTTTTCAAGTTTGATACTATGAGGAGTAGCGTCACTAGTGTGATGTTTTAGAAACTCAGTAGGCTATGAATCAACAAGAGTTAGATCCAAGACAACTGATAATCAAACCCTGGTTAGAACAGAATACATTACACTGGCAACATTTGGCAAGGCAAAGCGAGGCAGAGCATCAGCACGAAGACAAGAATGAAGCGAGTCGAAGCAGTCCAACGAGTCAGAAGCAGTCGTGCAATCAACAGAATCCAGAAACGATAAATCCAACATTAGATGACAAGAATGGGTTAAAGTTGAATTATTCTTTCCTTGCAAATTGTTTTCTTATGTTTGCTTCCACTCAGATCTGTGCTGCTCCTGTTCGAGTTCCCATCGAACATGCATTTTCTCCTTATACTGACAATGGAGGGTAAACTAGTCTTATTACTTGTATTACTTGTCTTGCTCTTACCTTTTTATCTTGTTTCTAGTACGACCCTGGCTATTGCTGGTGATGACTTTTGTGTGATTGCTGGTGATACTCGTCAGAGTGAAGGCTACAGCATCAACACTCGTTATGCTCCAAAGGTTCATGAGATGTATAGTATTGTCGCTGGCTTGGTCTCTTGTTATTATCTGTGTTTCTTATCCTTCTCGTTTCTAGGCGCAATGGCACTGTCTTGGCTACTGGTGGAATGTTTGCTGATTCTCAAACTCTAATGAAGCGTATTCAACAACGTCTCGAGGTACGGTTTATCCCAAGATTGCATCCAGTTATCTGTCAATCTGATGTTGTGTTTGTAGTGGTATCAATTTCAGCACGATAAGAACATGAGTGCTCCTGCCATGGCTCAGATGCTTTCCACTATTCTCTACTATAAACGCTTCTTTCCCTATTTCTCATGGTGCTCAGTGGGCGGTCTAGATGAACATGGTAATACTATTCTTGCTTTATTCCCTTTTTACTATCTTGTACTCATCTCGCTTGTCTGTAGGAAAGGGTTGTGTATATACTTACGATCCCGTCGGAAACTATGAGCGAGTTTCATGGGACTGCGGTGGTTCCGCTGGAAAACTCATTCAACCTTTCCTTGACAACCAGGTAATCGTGCATTCTTTTTGTTTTCAATTTCTCAGTGTTTCTTATTCTTGTTATCAAATAGATTGGAAAACATCACATGTCTGGCGCTTCAAAGTCACTTCCATCACTCGAAACAGTCAAGCGTATCGTCAAAGACGCTTTTACTTCCGCAACTGAGCGTGATATCTACACTGGTGACTTTCTGGAAATCTTTGTCATCACTAAAGACGGTATTACAAAGGAAATGCTGCCATTGAAATTGGATTAATAGTCGGGAAAAATGGTTTCGTGATGTCAAAATGAACTGGATAGTTATTACTTTGAACTTGCTATTTCATACAAGTCGACTTTCATCGTACCCCATTTGAAATTCATGTCTTGATTCAATTGTTGACATCCTTTTAATAGAGTATGTCATTGTTTAAAATACATTTCATGCAAAAGTACTTCAAACAGAAACTGTTCCTAGTCTGCAAACACCCTAAACAGTTTGGACAACCAGTGTATCATACAAAAGTTGTGTCTTGCATTCAAACTTATCCACTGTCTATCTAAACGAGTACTTTATAATCAAACTGCTCCTGCTTCATAGATTCGTGTCAAGTCTGAAATGGGCTTGATAAACATCAAACGTCTTTCTTCGCGCTCAAAGGCATTTAAAAAGTAACCAAGCTCTTCAAACAATTCTACACGATAAGGTGATCCAACTGCATCAAACAGTGAGTCACTCATCCTATCATCCCAAAAAAGTCAAATGTCTTACCTGTCGAAAGCATCAGCAATCTACATGTTTTGAGTACCTCGCATGCAAACATATAGTATTCATCTCGCGTAAACAGCTGCTGCCAGTTTCTAATACAAAGTCAGCACATTTTAAACTTTAACTGAAACTGTGCACTTGAATGTTTCTGTGAAATAACATAAATACCTTTGAAACTGCAAATGTGCAAACAGAGCTGACATGCATGTTTGAGAAAGCAAGTACGTTGGTGTCACATCTCCATACAGCTTTAATGCCAGTTGAAATATCACGGCTGTACTAGAAGGAATCGCTCCAGTGTCACGCATAAGTGTGTGTCCACCAAGAATCAGTGTATTCCATGACTGAAGTATCCAAAATTTCGTAAACATGGTATACTGTTTATCAAACAAAACTCGTGCGGCAAATCTAGTAGAGTTAGCAAAAAAAACTAAACGTCGAGCATACCCTCTACACTATAAACTCACTCGGCAGTTTTTTTTGGAAAACGAAGACTCATGGCCGTCCAAGCATTGACTCGATATACATCAAATCCATCTGTATCAAACCTATCCTCAATGGAAACCAGTACACTGCATACAGTCTCGTGATTTTCCTCTATTCATACGGTAATCAGCAGTTGATACAACCTTGACCACTACAAGTATTCAACTCACCAAGTTCAAGTGTTGAAATGGTAATAAGCATTTTTGCTAGCGCTAGCAAACATTCTTCAAAACGATCAGGATCATCTTTTGACTTGAGTGCTGCCAGATAGTCTGCCAAAAATCTACCAAAACAAACCGTATTAGTATAAACATTTAAATCGTCTTGCATTCGCTTAAAATAATTTACCCTTTGGTTCCTTGGCGATTTTCCTTTATAGTAGGCACTTGATCCAATTGTTTTGATTCAGGTGCTTCATCCCCTTGGTTGTCATCTTCGCTATCAGCTAACATATACACTTGAAATAAGCCAAATGGTGACTCGATACAATTACAAGTTCAAACTATAATGCATGATTAAAATTATATTCACGCACATGAATCGTCATCAAATAGTGACCGGGTAAGTAACGACACAACTGGAATCGATGCAGTGCTATCGGGATTATCAAATGGTGCTGGTTCAGTTTCGTTGATTTGAAAAACAGGACGCGCAGCTAAGTATACAAGAGTTAGTGTGATCAGGGATTCAAATCTAGTGTATATCAGCTCAAGCCTACTTGCCATTGTCCATCTCTGATTCGTCGGTAGGCTTTTGTTTTGAAAATAACAAAGGAAGACCTTGACCCAAATTCTCCAAATGAATGCAAGATTCCAGTGCTTTTAAATCATCCGATGGTGGAATATCTAAATGCAAGGCAATTTCTGGATACAGCCTAGTGGAAAGTATTTCTGCAAGACGCTGGATCAAGGCATTTGTAAAATAACGTGTTAGCCTAGAGCATTCAAAACATCAATCTATTCAAGACATACCAAACCAAGTGTTCGCGTCTTGCTATTGGCTAGTTCAAGGTACGTTGAAACAGCATGGAATATGATTTTTATCGGCTCACTTTCGTGAATCATGTCGGCACGACAGTAGTGACATGCCAAAACAAGAGTGATAAACATGTCTATAAAAATGTAAGAGTAAATCCATAGAACCATTTCTTTCGCACCAAAATCGTATTACTTTTTTGAAATTCATAATCGCCGTTTACAATAAAATCTCGCGAAGACCATATCATCGATAGTGCTGACAAAACCAACCCAATCTCAGTTTTTCCTAAAGCAAGTACAGAAATAAGCCGAGTTGGACCACAATCAAACATTGACGTGATGGTAAACATATCGTGGATTTAATATTACAACTAGTACCTGAATTACAAAATACTGACCACAGTACTATATCCATCATTTCCATGGCTAATTTTTGCTGCTGAACAACCCAACAAGCAAAGCGACCCAGTGATGCACCAGTGCCACAAATAGTCTGTAAAAAGATCAGAGATGTATCTAAACAATGAAACAAACCATGAGCTGACACGATATATTACAATACAGCAGGAATTGTTTTACAAATCTAGACACACCGAAATCTAGGTTTAATTGCTGAACATGTTCTAAAAAGTGCAGCAGGTATGTATTTTGTTGGTTGCGAGACATGTATTCACAAAGCTTATACAGATTCTTGTATGCCAACATATTTCGATTGCTGCTCATCAAGGCTCGTGCAAAGGCATGTGTTATAGCATCTAGTTGAAGATCCATTGTTAAATTCAAATTCGTATATTATCATGACAAGTTAGAAACCTTTACCTGCATGTCCACGATTGATCAAATCCCCCACAAGAGTTGCAATGCTTTCAGTTGTCCAGTCACTAGCTGAATCTGATAAACACAGGGACTCGAATGCTTCGATAAGCTGATTTCCGATTCGTGTACAATATCGACTAGATTAGAATTGATTAAAATATCACTGTTTAGATCCTGAAACTAAACCATTGAAATGCATTGACCAGTCTAAACTTACGATGAGTCAAGTTGAGAATCATTGATATCTGGAAGTTCTGGGATCGTTGAAAGCACTCGACGCACTTGCAGCCATCGAACTGTTGCAGTGTTTGTAATGGTCGTATCAGACTGTACGTGTATCAGTAAACTAGTGACTGAATACACTTTTAGGAAATGAGCCAATGTTGCAGAAAGAAGCCTTCTGACAGCAGGACTTGAAGAGCATCGAATGGCTTGAAAAAGAGCTTCCATGGAATGCACCAGATCGTCACTATTTACTATTCTATCAGATTGCTCTCCACGACAAAAAAAACAAGTGTCATACAAGGACTCTCTCTCAGCTGTTGTTAAACACAATGCCCATTGCACTACAGAACTTTTGAGTAGAATTGAAAGCAATCGTTTGTTCATGGTTGGTGCTGAAGTAGTTTCTTGAATGATTTGGCCATTCAACTCAGATGAACTATGACTAGATCTCAAACTCTGCAGCTGTTCCAATGCATGTTTCAAATCATCAACACTCTGTAATCCCTTGAGAGCATTACATATATCTTTGTCTGACATTCAATGCTATAAATCAAAAGGGTTGAAACGCTTTGTGGTTGACTTGAACATTTGTTAAATTTGCTGAAATCCTCAAACATTGCAAATGCCTAAACGATCCAGACAACTAGACACTCCTGCAGAGTCGCATGAGAACGATAAACAGACATTCAGTATTTCAAAGTCTTGTAAAACTAATTCAGACTTTGATTTTTTCGACCTTGGAAAAAAGTCTGTTTCTAGGACAAGGCCAACTGCATTGGAGAATGTCGATTCCACTGCAGGTGAGTGTGTCGAACCAACTCCAGTGTAGAGTATTGTTCTGATTTTATCTTTTATAGAACAACGAAAGCGGGCTATTTTACTGGATTTGGACAATGATTCAGAAGATGGCGATATTCTTCAACCATCCAATTTAATTGAATCTACTTCATCACCCGGTCGTATAAAGGATGCTAAAGACTCGAGTGCATCAAGTCTGTCAAAGTCACAGCAGATTCGGGACGTTTCTCTGACTCCTCCACCTATGGATTTGTCTGCAGAATCACAAGCAAGTCTTGATGAAATCAGGTACGACTTGTTCATTATTGGTAACGTATCTATCCAGAGTATTCATTGCCAAATGATTTGATGGATTACTTTAGACGAAATTTATGGAGTTTTCAGCAAAGTTTAGGCCGCGAAGTCGATGTGGATGTGGATGAGGATGACAGATTCGAAGAACCATTTGTACATGTATCTCATATTGTTGGAGCGGGATCATCCGCTACCACGCATAGTTCCAATAAAGTAGCAGAGCAACCTGATTTCAACATCACGGTCAAGATCGAGCATCATGTATGGCCACATGCAGACACTCCATCTCTTTTCAAACCATTCAAGATCAAGGTTTCAAAGGTGCATTAGACTTGGATGGTAAAGTGGTTTATTTTAAAAAAAGAGTTGCTAACAACTCGTTTCAACATTAGAACCATCGTGTCCAACAGCTATTGAATGTAATTGCACATCGTTCTGGCATTTCAGAGCTAGATCTGGTTCTTTCACACCACAATGTCAAACTGTTTCCATTGTCGTATATTTCAGAAAGTGGTGTCCACGACGGTGATACTCTGGGTAAGGCCTGCTGTAAACGACATCAACTACATAGAATGATTATTTTATCAACCATTTTTTGGTTTCAGTGTCTTATACTAGCCATCAGTTTACACAAATGCTTAACGATTCGCCCAAAAGATCTATTTTGAATCGGCTATCTGTAGACAGTCCAGAAAAAAGCAAAGAGGATCAAGTTCTTGGCGAACATACATTTGTGATTCAGATTCGACAAGCAACTGGCATCACAAAAGTAAGAGTTGGTCAGGTAAGAATCGCGCTGATACAGCAGTTTATACCTATGATGTACTGCTTGGATAGTCGCTAGATTTAACGCTTAATATTGTATGCAGAAAACAACCTTTTTTCAAATTTCCGAAAAGTTGGACATGCCCGACATACAATTCGAGTTTGATGGCGAGCGTTTGGATAAATCAAGTAGTATTGAGGAGATTGGTATAGAAATGATGGACTTGATTGACGCAAGGTGAATGGCCATTCATCGATAATAGTTAAAGTCTACGTCATCTGCAACCAACCCGATTCAATTGGTTCAAGTTGCTAGCAATTATTATAAACTTTCATGGCCATACCAAATAAAAAAACGGATACCAGCTGTATTTATAACAATCTTTTGAAAATCTACTTGTTCCAACATGCAAGATTACCTTTGCATTTTATCCAAAACTCGGCAACTCTGAATATGTTTTCCAGTGAGTATAAACTAGCCATTCTCCAGTTCAAATGCTATATGAAAGTCTATACGTATTTTTTATAAAGAATAAATGTAACCAGAGCATTATCATTGTGCATGACTAACATGAATACTAGAGTTTGTATCGTCATTTGGAAGTAAGCTAGTGACCACACTCAGCGAAGCCAATGCATCTTTGGATGCACAGAGGGATGAATATCTAAAGGCTCGAAAGGAAAAGGACGGAGGAGACTTTAAAGAAACCCCTGCAGATGCACTCCAGTTGAGTCCGCTTCCTATGCCATTATTGTCGAATACGTTGCTGGGAGCATCAAAAGGAAATGGTGTTGAATCTGCCTTGGATGGACAGAACAAGTCAGTCACAACACTTTGGACAGCCTCGGCAGACCCAAACAGTCTACACTCTCAGTCCAGGGATGTTGACAATGAAGGGCAACGTTCATCTGACAAGAAAGGCATTGTTGATCCATCTGAGTCAACCAACGACACTGGTGCTGCCGCACCATCTGGATTTTTTGGATGGAACCGATGGAGTAATGCAACTGCTACATCACTTGTATCGACAGTCTCAGCACACCCCAGTCCAACTATAACACCATCATGGACTAATGTCCCAAATGCTGATTCACTTCAAAAAGACATCTTTCTTCTTTCCAAGGTAATGCTTCACTCTCAAGCTTAAATATCAATGATTAGATGTTTAAATTTAAACTCTTGAACCATCTTGGTCTCCAACTGACATCACCACATTATGGTTGTGCTAGGAAAAAAGAAACTTTTTGACACCTCTACCAGAAGGCACAGACTTTGTATTTAAAATGGATGTTTTTTACGAGGATGCTATGGTAAAATCGTGCTGAAATTGCAACATGTGTCTTGAAACCATAGACTCAGTGTATTGATTGTGTAATACAGTGGATGCTCAAGGAAGATCCTGATTTACAAAAGATGCGGTTTGACCTTGTTCCTAAAGTGTAGGTACATATTTGTTGACATTATAGTCGTATTATCAGCATCTAGATTCACTCATCAGTCATGACTGTGCTATCTGATGGATCAAACTCGAATGTACTTGTACCAGCATCAACGACAATGATTTTTGGAAAAACTATTTTTATCGGGTAAACATGTTGAAGCAACAAGCTATTTTAGCCAATCCACAGTTTGTAAGCAACGTGGACTCGTCAGAATTCCAACCATCTGTTGATGTAAAAAACCCTGTAGTGGAAAATCTTCCTGTTGAGACGACCGCATCCCATTCTGATCATTTGGAAACTGGAGACCCAATTATGTCAGGCACTGCACCATTAGATATTGAGCAATTGATATCAAGTACACTAGAGCCTGTTCAAAAGGTATGTTGATCGAATGATTGATGCTTTGATATCACATGTAGTGATTTGGTTATTTTTCCAACTATTCGTTTAAATATTGCAGACTAATCCAGAGCTGGTGGCGAAGCAAGAGACGGATTATGACATGGGTTCTGTGGCCGATACTATAGCTGACGACGAAGGTGATTTGATCGAGCCTGATTATGGTAGCGATTGGGAAAAAGAGTTGCAAGCAGAGCTTGGGTTGTAGCATTTGATCCAGAAATAGATTCTCGTTCACTTGTAATGAATTAAATTAGTATTTAGCCTACCGAGATCATATTTACAGCAGTATTCACGTAAAATGGAAGACTTGTCAATGACTTTTTATTTTGAAATAAACAGTATTTAAATATTTATTAGATTGTCTACACATTGACGTTTAGATTATCAGTGTTTTCATACAACACTATTTGTTATAGTCGAATGATTATCGAGTTCAAGAATGAAACTCGCGATATTGCTGTTGAATAATAAATTATATTGAATGAGTTGAACAGTTGAAACTATCCAACAGTAAATTTAACAAGTGTTGAATAGTTTGTCATTTTTATTCTATTTTATACGAATACGATTGCAAATAAAATGCAACATTGCTCACCAGCAATATGTCATATAAACAGAAAACACATATGGACAGCAATGAATCTTTTATGCAGGGAATGGATTGTTCAAACCAATAAGAATATACACAGCAGTCGATTGCATAGACCAACAAGATTCAATATAGAGCATCACCCATCATATCAGACAATTCGACCCTTTTGCAGGCCGCGCTGTTCAGCCTTTTTATTTTTTATACCATTGACGACAAGATCATTACATATAGCTTGCAATCAGCATTATAATTCTATTCCAGCAACTACTCTTTCTTTGAATCAATTCAAATCGACCATGTCTTTTGCTACTTTGATTGATGGAAAGGCTATTGCCGAGTTGAGTCGTCAAAGTCAATCTTTGTTATTATACTATCTATTGCATGGCATTCGCTTGGATCGGTTATGGCAACTGACGTTTGTTTTGTTTTATTCACAGAACCATTCGCAATGAACTCCAGATTCAAGTAGCCGACCTGCGTACCCGATACAACGGATACACACCTCATCTGGCCATTATTCAAGTTGGTAGTCGGCCAGACTCGACCATCTATGTGCGCATGAAAGAACAAGCTGCTATCAAGGTGTGTTGCCATGCATAAGGCTGTGTCTGGACATATGAAGATGACAGTTGGATTGACCATCAACGCCATATTGATGATTGATTACTAATCCTTTCATTTGAACTGTAAATTTAGGCTGGCATCAAACTCACTTTGAAAAGGTTCGATGAGAGCGTATCTCAAATGACAGTAAGCAATGACTTTACACTCCATGGCGTTCTACTGGTGTCTTGACTTGATATCTGATGCTAATACTCTTTTCTATCAACACCATTGTGCTGATCTTGGAAATTCATGGTAGTTGATGGACGCCGTGTATGCTCTAAACGATGATCCATCTGTACATGGCATTCTAGTTCAACTACCTCTACCTTCGCATATTGATGAAAGAAGCGTTACAGAAGCAATGAGTCCTACCAAAGATGTGGATGGGTAATTTATTTATCGTCTAGCTGATTGCATATTCAAGATTACCATTTTCCTATGATTGACTCAATCTCTATAACATGTTCTATTCAACCATCAAGATTTCACTCAACCAACATTGGCCAGTTGGTCAAAAGAGATCAGCATCATGCATTTGTGCCATGCACCCCAAAAGGTGTTGTTGAATTACTCCGTCGTAGTGGTATTGATGTCAAGGGAAAACGCGCTGTTGTTGTTGGACGCAGCAATATTGTGGTGGGTAAAAGTAAAATAACTGTACAATTCCTATTGGGATAAAATCAGTATCATAGTTGGTCTTGCTCACTCTATCATTGTGTCTATGGTGTCTGATACCACATAGGGCATGCCAGTTTCTCATCTACTGCAAGATCTTGATGCCACTGTTACTGTTTGTCACTCCAAAACTCAAAACATGCAAGAGATCATCAGCACTGCTGACATTCTAGTTGCTGCCGTTGGTCATGCAAATCTCATTCAGGGATCTTGGCTTAAAAAGGGTGTTGTTGTCATTGATGTTGGCACCAACGCTGTTGCCGATCCCACAAAGAAATCTGGCACTCGCTGGGTTGGTGATGTTGATTTTGAAACTGCATCACAGGTGGCATCTGCCATTACACCCGTTCCAGGTGGTGTTGGGCCAATGACTGTTGCAATGCTCATGTCCAATACTGTCGAGAGTGCTGTAAACTTTCTCAAGGGAAACAAGGAACCAATTCAATACTTGCCTCTTTCTTTAAAGCGTCCTGTTCCAAGGTATTTTAAAATCTGTTAAATATAATTTTAAATACTCAACTCATGCGTATGTTCTATTTAGTGATATTGATATTGCCATGGCTCAAACGCCAAAAGTCATTAATCGGGTTGCTCGTGAGCTTGGTCTTTTTGAAAGCGAGGTATTTTTTGTGAATGGATCCAATCGAGTTTAAATCTGATTCATACTCTTTAATAACGCTTATATTTATGGACTAAATCCAGTATGAGTCTTTTGGCAGAAACAAAGCCAAGGTTTCGCTGTCTGTTCTGGATCGTCTTTCCCATGTAAAGGATGGCAACTATGTCGTTGTTGCTGGGTAAGCTTATTCATGTGTTTTATATTTGGCTGCCACAATTTCAAATTTTATTTACTGGATCTCGATAGTATTACACCCACTCCACTCGGTGAAGGTAAATCTACTACCACTATTGGTCTTTGTCAGGCTCTTGGTGCACACTTGAAACTTCCTGCCATTGCATGTGTTCGCCAGCCATCACAGGGCCCTACGTTTGGTATCAAAGGTATGTTTACTTGTGTTTTTCAATGTGTATTACCAATCTAATTTTTTTTATTGAATGGCTAGGTGGTGCGGCTGGTGGTGGTTATTCCCAGGTTATTCCCATGGATGAATTCAACTTGCACTTGACTGGAGATATTCACGCAGTAGTTGCTGCAAACAACCTGCTTGGTAAAACACCGCTTTGAATATGAACATCATGGATATTATCGTGTTGTGATGACACAGTATTCATTTTTGTAATGTATTTTAACCCATTGCATTGGTATAGCTGCTGCCATTGATGCAAGAATTTTTCACGAAGCAACCCAAACCGACAAGGCTTTGTTTGATCGTTTGGTTCCAGCCAAAAAAGGAGTCCGCACATTTTCTGCAGTGATGTTTAGACGTCTAAAGGTGAATACTTTGAAATTGACCAGAGATACAATTTCAATGATGTATTTTAACCAACTTTTATATTTTAGAAACTTGGGATTGATAAAACCAACCCAGATGATCTTACTACTGAAGAGCGTTCCAAGTTTGCTCGTTTGGATATAGATCCAGCTACCATCACCTGGCAGCGTGTTCTTGACACCAACGATCGTTTTCTCCGACGTATCACCATTGGTCAAGGACCACAGGAGCAAGGTAGAACTCGTGAAACTGGATTTGACATTGCAGTTGCAAGTGAAGTCATGGCTGTTCTTGCTTTAACTACAGATATGCGTGATATGCGTGAACGGTATGTGTATGAAACCTGGCAAACTTTGCGGATTGATGGATGGGTTTAAACCCATAGTATGCATTCAACAGTATAAACATGTCTCAAATTGTCTGATCTTGCTTTTTACCTTGGTTGAATACAGACTTGGACGAATGGTCGTTGCAAGCAACAAATCGGGTGAGCCTATTACTGCTGATGATATTGGCTGTGGTGGTGCGCTTACTGTGCTAATGAAGGATGCTATCAAACCCAATCTCATGCAAACATTGGAGGTAAGTTTAGTCATACTGTTTTGGTATTTGTATTGGTTAGTAAATCAGGAACCATCGTGTTTAAACACATCTAATGCATGTTTGAACTGCCTGTGATCATGTAGGGAACCCCTGTTTTTGTTCATGCTGGTCCATTTGCCAATATTGCTCATGGAAACTCATCCATCCTTGCTGATCGCATTGCGCTTAAACTTTCAGGTACCATTGATGGTACCGAAGTCTCTCAGCGTGGTTTTGTGGTGACCGAGGCCGGATTTGGAGCAGACATTGGCATGGAAAAGTTTTTTGATATCAAATGCCGCTATTCTGGTCTCATTCCCAATGCAGTTGTTCTTGTTGCAACGGTCAAGGCTCTTAAAATGCACGGCGGTGGTCCTGAAGTTGTTGCTGGAAAGCCTCTTTCTGAAGTCTACATGCAAGAAGATCTTGCTTTAGCCAAGGCTGGCTGCAACAATCTGATCAAGCACGTTCAAAATGCTCAAAAGTTTGGTGTTCCAGTTGTAGTTGCCATTAACCGTTTTAGTACCGATACAGATGCAGAAATCAATGTTATCTGTCAAGAAGCCAAGGCGGCAGGGGCTTTTGCCGCTGTTTCATGTGATCACTGGGCTAATGGCGGTGCAGGTGCAGTAGATCTGGCAAATGCCGTTGTAGCTGCCTGTAGCTCTCATGATCCAAAGCAATTTAGATTCCTGTACAATCTAGATGCATCCATTGAGGAAAAGATTGCTACTATTGCTCGTGAAATGTATGGTGCTAGCGGCATCGAACTTTCAGAGGCTGCCAAAAAGAAAGCCGAGACGTATACTGCTCAAGGCTTTGCAGGGCTTCCCATCTGCATGGCCAAGACCCATCTGAGCTTATCTCATAACCCTAAATTAAAAGGTGTTCCCACTGACTTTGTTGTTCCTGTGCGTGACATTCGTGCTTCGGTTGGTGCAGGATTTCTCTACCCACTCTTGGGCGAGATGCAAACCATGCCAGGTCTTTCTACCCGCCCTTGTTTCTTTGATGTGGATGTGGATCCAGAAACAGGAAGAGTTTATGGTCTTTTTTAAAAACAATGGTGTTTATTATTTTTGAAATTAATGCCTCCATCTATGAAACAATAGTATTACATTATGAATTGAAAACAATGGTATAGAATGCTGTTAGCTATATACAGATTAAACTAGACAACAAAAAAGTATGTGTTTACATTTTAAGAATACGATCTCTTCCACCACTGGCAACGCGATCTCCACTTGGACTCCAGTCTACCGAAAAAACTTCATCGGCGTGCCCAGGAAGTTCAGCCTTCATTTTTTTGGTTTTAATATCCCACACTTTGAGCGTAGTGTCACGACTTCCTGATAAAACCTGGCGAGAATCAGATGACCAGCAGACCTGATATACAGGAGATACATGTCCTCGTAGCGATGTAATAAACCTGAAATTATACACAAGCCAATCAATTAAAACTACATACCGACATGTTTGACATGGATGGCTCAGTCTTAAAACAAGTCAAACTACATACTTTCCAGTAGCAGCATCCCACAACTTGACGCTCTTGTCAAAACTTGCACTAGCAAGAATACGACCATCAGGTGAAAAGCTCAAATGATTCACCAACTGCTGATGCCCAGTCATACGCGCTACAGGCTTTTTGCTCCTAATAGGCTCCCATAAAAATATGGTAAAATCGTCCGAGCCCGATGCAAGGCGCTCTACTCCACCTGCCAACTCTAGTTCTGCAGCATATCGCTTTTTTGCAGCCTCAAATGCATCATCTTTGGATTTAAACACTGGATCAGTATGACCGTAGGGACCTGTTCGTAGGATAAAGTCGGTAGATAAAGCAAGATGATTAACCCAATGAGCGTGTCCTTCGAGTACATTCAACAGTTTTCCCTAAAATAATCCACAATGCAGTCGCATTCAAGCAGTTAGAGTTTTGTATGAGTAGTCTGTGTTTGTCCCACCAAAAACTTACTGTATTGCTATCCCAGACACGGATAGTTTTGTCCCGAGATCCCGAGTACAAGTATCCATTACCGCCCCACTTGACACACATGACTGGAGCCGTATGCTGTGCAAGAGATATGATAACACGTCGCTGCGTAGCATCCCAGATCCTCACAGTATTATCCTTTGCTGCACTTGCAAATCGATTGCAAGCCTTGTTGCTATAATTTTAGCCAAATACCGTTACAGATAAATACAAATACAATGTCTACGCATCAACATATAGCCATCAGCAAAAACATACAGATGCATTGGCTCCCAGCTAATACTAGTGATACAGCTGCTATGTGCTCGAAGAGCATCGCCATAAGCTTTTCCAGTTTTAGGGTTCCACAAACGAATCTGTTTGAAATATAGTTAGCCAACAGACAAACCCAATAGCACCGTGTTGCGTAGTATAAAGCATAAACTTACTGTTGAATCCATGCTTCCAGATGCAAGAAATTCACAGTCGGGTGACCAAGAAACAATTTGTACCCAGTTTGTGTGGCCAGTTAAAGTGTATTGTGGAGTTTCAGTATTGAGATCCCAAATTCTAACCGTGGTATCGCCTACGTTTAAGATGAATTTAAATGTTTAATGTTTGATCGATAATACAAGACATTCAATCTGACTGCAAGTCTTACCTGACCCACTAGCCAATAATTTCCCGTCGGGGCTAAAGCATACTGACAAAATAGATTCGGTATGACCTAGACTCGTGAATTGATTTAGTAACCAAAGCAAGCAACAATCCATCTGCATAGACTTGCGTTCAACAACCCATCGTACCTGTAAGTGACGCAGTACACCGACTGACAGTGCGAACTTTAAATACAGCTTGAGGCTGATACTGAATTGTAAGCATATGTTCACTTGATTTCCCAAGACCGTGAATAACATCCTGAAAAAGTGTAGTCGTGATATCTTTTTCATCTACAGTAAACAAATATGGCAATGGATCGTCCTATATCGATTCAAGCGTATGATTGAATTTAATAAAATATTCAAGCCAATCTTATAGCCAGATTTGGCGATTCTAGCGAATTCAATGCACTGCGGGATAATATTACATTTTTCAAAAGACTGTTCAAGAGGAGCTCCAGCTGCTCTGGATTAACATCGATTGGAAGATTAAGCGGTGGTCCGCATGCTTCACCATGACTATCTTGAAACTGGGCTATCACTTTGACGCCAGCAGGTGCAGGCGGTGGACCTGGAGGAAGTGTGCCTCGCTTGGCAGGCTTTACATATGGTTTAAATCCAACTTTGTGATCCCTTTGAGCATCAGCAGTGTCTTCCGTTGATAAAGTTGTATCGCATCGATCCATTGCAGAATTAATTAATTTTCAGTCAACTCGATTTCAAGCCAGTCGAGTTTTTTCTTCAAAAAAACATTGCAGAATTATGGGCAAAATAAAGCAGTTGAAATAAATCATTCAAAAATTGTGATTTGGCCAAAAGTAAAATTAATGGTTTGTCCATTCTTTTCAAAGATTGCATATTGCTATATTCTGAGATGAGCGGCCTTGGACGACCAGGAAACAAAAGTATGGCGCTGATTCAAGTCGAGCAAGAGTTGGTAAACACACATGGATCAATCGCTTTTTCTACTGCATAGTTCCCTTGATGGTTGAAATCTCTAACCAATATTCTATCTGATGATAAACAGCTCATGACTACGCAGCTGCTTGGAGGGTAAGGAACAGTACTATATATTTCTTTAGTATATCAGATTTGACGCATTATTGATGAATTGTCATGAATGATCAATGCTGAATAGATCCACATTTAGGCAGACTCGGCTATTTTAACTAACTTGTTTTTATTTCAATCTGGCATGAAATTTGTTGCATTTGAATGCATCCAAACAATCGCTACTGTACTGGATTTTCAACACACCATATCTATGAACCAAACAGAGCACTTAAAAACTGTCATCCCAAGTGCATTAATTCTGAATATCACGATGGTGAACTACACAAAGGAGAATCTGTATGCGTTGACAGATGTGTATCAAAGTTTCTAAGTGTCAATATCTTCATCTTGAAGAAATTTCAAAAAAGCCAAGAGGATGGACTTTAATAAGACTGTCCGTCTTACTGACAACTTCACTATGCATGGTTTCACTCAAGATCTGATCTGTTTTCTGTGGCTTCAATGAATGGCATACTCAGTCTATCGCATATTATTAGATTCAAATTTAATCAACATTTTATTGTTTTCTAATAAATGCTCGTCTTGCTATTTTCATGATAATCGTATCTCTAATAGGGTTTCAATTAAACCACAGCCTATACACAACTGAATAAAGTCATTTACAGCAGTATTCACGTAAAATGCAAGACTTGTCAATGACTTTTTATTTTGAAATAAACAGTATTTAAATATTTATTAGATTGTCTACACATTGACGTTTAGATTATCAGTGTTTTCATACAACACTATTTGTTATAGTCGAATGATTGTCGAGTTCAAGAATGAAACTCGCGATATTGCTGTTGAATAATAAATTATATTGAATGAGTTGAACAGTTGAAACTATTCAACAGTAAATTTAACAAGTGTTGAATAGTTTGCCATTTTTATTCTATTTTATACGAATACGATTGCAAATAAAATGAACAATTCGAAAACTTTTCCAATTGAATTGCAATCGATACAAATTTCAAACTTGAATTAAAAATGTCGATTGAATATGTTGCCATTGCATGCAACCGAACCAGTCATGCCATAGACTGGTCTATAGATGGTCAAATGGCTTTTGCTGCCGGAAACTTTGTATGCATGTATAGACCACAGGTGCGTTTCAACCTATCCTGACTTGGTGATTCAGCTGATTATCAATTTGCTGCTGTATGATCATGTACTGATTTGATGTGATATTTGGAATATCAAATCATCGGTATTTTCTCGATTGATTATATTGAAAACTAATGCACTCTATTTTGTATTAAGGCACCTTCAAACGCTGGAGCATCGCATACACTAAAAGGGCATTCTGCAGATGTCACTTGTGTAGCATTCGTGCGACAAGGCAAATATTGACTAGATGCTAGTTCATGTATAACTATTTATTCTGTCATGATGACTGATGATTTTGTGTTAATTAGGATCCAATTGCTCCCAGTCTGAAGGAAATCTCATTATTTCTGGATCTGCTGACAAGTCATGTATTGTTTGGCGCAAACATCCTTCTGGCCAAGTAAGGTTAAGAGTGTCACAGTCGAGCATTAAAATGGGTTTAACCAATGTTTATTTAGTGGGAACTCTCGTGTAAAGTAACTGGGCATACCAACGGAGTTGTGACATTGGCCGTTGTGCAAGGAAAAGATAATTTTAACGAGAATGGTGACTGGGTTGCTACATCTGCCTCGGATGGAACAATTTGCATTTGGAAACTATTAACCAATGTAGATGGAAAAGGTGCTGCTATTTGACTCCTGGGTTGAGCATGACTAGATCTGGAGTTGAGTACTAATATAGTGTTGGCTTTAGATGAAATGCAGCTTATGCAGACTATCTCCATGGGAAACCATCATATGATGGCACTTGCACTGGCCTATTTGCCAAACTCCACAAGTAAGTTTTGCTCGTCTAGTTTCAAGATGGGTGACGGTTGTACTAAATGATGCGTATAATTTTATATCGTTAGCCTTGACTCTTTTAGCTGGTGGTACAGACAAGAAGATTCATGCGTTTGTTCATGAAAATGACAAATTTAAAAAGGTTTTGTCGCTATCAGAGCATACTGATTGGATTCGTTCTATAAAGATTGCCACTTTACCATGTACTTTGACTAAAGAAGAATCGCACAAACATGCATCCGAGTATGGATGTTTGATGGTTGCCACTGCTTCTCAAGATCGGCATATTCGAATTTGGAAAATTTCTACTACCTCGTTAACCGGCAACGCTTCGGACACTCTAGCCAATGATTCGTCAACTCAAAATCCAGTCGATGAAGCAATTTTAGCTTTGGAAAATATGAATCCGTACGTCTTTTACTATATTGATACATGATTTAAATCTGTTTTTGTGTACAGACGACTTAGAATTTTAGTATATATTTAGTGATTTTCCTGCTGATTGGACCCAACTGACTACCAAGGCACATCAATTCAAGATTCTTTGCAATTCAGAGACTCAATCTTACACAATGATGCTTGATGCTCTTTTGATGGGCCATGATGACTGGGTGCACAGTGTGAATTGGCAACCAGCTGTATGGAGAACAGGTTTGTTCAATTATTGTTTATTGCAGATATTTTGCGCATTAGAATTTCGCCATGGCTAATGATATAACTGTAATCATGACATTTCAGATGAGCTTACTAAAGAAAAAACGTATCATCAGCCCCTAACTCTCATCAGCGCATCTGCAGACAAATCGATTATGGTTTGGCAGCCTGATACTCACAGTGAATCGTGGATTTACAAAGCTAGATTGGGTGAGGTTGGTGGAGCTACACTTGGCTTTTATGGAGCTATTTTTTCACCGTTAGGAGATATGATTGTGTCCAATGGATATAATGGAGCTCTTCATATTTGGAAACGTTCAGGTTTGTATTGAATGCGTTTTGCGTTTGAATTGGATAATTAGCAGAATACGTTACTGATTTGAAGTGTTGATGCTGCAATGTGCACAACTGGTTTTATCACAAATCAAGATGATAGTTACACTAGTTGGTCTCCATCTATTGGAATCAGTGGTCATTTTTCTTCAGTTGAAAATATTGCTTGGGATCCATCTGGAACATATTTGCTTTCTACAAGTTTAGATCAGACCACTCGTGCAGTTGGATACTGGAAGCGGGATAACGCTATATCATGGCATGAAATTGGCCGTCCTCAGATTCATGGATACGATCTGCACTGCCTTTCATTCATACACAAATATCAGTTTATTTCTGGAGCTGATGAGAAAGTGCTGCGAGTGTTTTCAGCACCGCGTGCGTTTGCTGAGACTGTGGAGAACCTCACTGGCATCGCTGAGCTTCCAGATGAAATGGCAAGTATTTAGCCTGGCAGTTTATTTGGATAAATATTTGAAAAAGGTGCTCATTTTATGATTTCGCTGATTCGGTACAGGAGAAGCGAACTGCTGGTGCTTGTTTGCCTGCACTTGGACTTTCAAACAAGGCTATTTATGCAGGTAAACCGAGATTGCTCATTCCGATTATTGTTAAAATTAAATTTAGATTAACTCGTAATACATGTAGATGCGGGTGCTACAAACTCTACTCAAGTTAATCCCAACATCTCTGCCTTTTCTGCAGTATCTAGTCCTCAAGCAGCATTGTCGGATGCTTTAGTTCAACCTCCATTTGAGGAGCATCTTTTGCAGCATACTTTGTGGCCAGAAGCCAACAAACTGTGAGTATTCTTCAATAGCACACATCATACAGCAATTGCTAACTATTTTGTATTGAATGGTGCAGATATGGACATGGATACGAAATCATATCTGTAGCTTCCAGCAGCGATGGAACTCTTGTTGCATCAGCTTGCAAGGCTGCAAAATCAGAACACGCGGCAGTGCGACTATGGTCAACATCGACTTGGAAAGAAGTGTGCCCACCTCTTTCATTTCACACTCTTTCTGTAACGTGTATTCAGTTTTCGCCAAATGGTCAGTATGTTCTTACGGCTGGTCGTGATCGTGGATGGGCTCTGTTTAATGTATCCAATGCCCTTAAAGGTAATTCTGCTTGCATATTCAAACTTGTTGACTCGAGTGTTTGGAATTGAACAAGAGAAAGATGCCATAAACTCATGTGCTGATTATTTTATTTTCGTGCTATAAAACTATTTAGACGGTACTTATATTTTGGAAGCCTTTCAGGAAAAGGCACATGCTCGTATTATTTGGTCAGCCAAATGGCTACCAGACAGCAATCATTTTATTACTGCATCTCGTGATAAGCAAGTCAAAATATGGGCAAGATCTGATAGCAATTGGACCGTAGTAGCAACGCTAAAGTTTGACGAGAGTGTGACAATGATTGACATTTGTCCAATCTTGGTAGCCAATAGGTATACACCAGTCAATGCATTTGTGTCGAACCCATAAAATTGAGCTGGTGTATTGAACTAATACCATTCAACTATGCAGATATCTGTTGGCTGTTGGTTTGGAAACCGGAGATATTCATCTGCGTCAGATTTGGGAAGAACCTGATAAAAAGTGGCAGTCTGTAGCACATTTCCAAGATATTCCAAAAGCGTATGTTTTTTAAAATATCTGATTGATATATTTTTATGCTTTTAAGCTACACATACTAACCACGGATGTTTATTCAGCGACTCGCATGCTACTACTATCAAAGGTCTGTCGTGGCGACCACAGACTGATGGCACAGTCCAATATCTGGCATCTTGTAGCGAAGATCATAGTGTGCGTTTGTTTAGGATAAACCAAATGCTATGATACCTTGCCGTGATTGAAATTACAAAAATGAAATTGCATGTGAACGAGTTTATTGGCGTTTGACTGAATGCTTTTGATTATATACTTGGACTGATCAGTCTCGGCCCATTTGGTTGAAATTATCGAGTCAGACACATGTAAATTGATCTATTCATTCCTGGAAAAATCCAAAACTGCACTGGGATAATTAAATGGTGGAATGGCATACTTGCTGAACAGTTCCAATCTAAAATACCAAACTTGACTTTGTCAACTTGAAATCATATCAAAAATCAGTGGGTACATTTATGGCTAATTCATTACCCATCAACAATCGTTTTTGGAACAATCTTGTCAATTAGTCTGTAAGGATCAAGAGTGTATTGTATGAAATAAGACACGGTCAATGTTCAGTTCAGTTGAATAAACGAATACCAGTTGGTTTTAAAGTCGCAGATTGTATTGTAAGCAGTTCAAACCTACTGTTGCGTAATGTCATTGGGTTGACCATACTCGGTACAAATGTTGAAAAGGCATTGCTTTAAAAGATCTACACGAAATTTAAACAGTTGGCAATTTCTCAGAATAAAGTCTTGTTTCTGCATACCAATAACAAACTATATACCTAGATCCGGCTTCCATTGAGCAGGTTGTGGTTTTAACAAATTAAAGCAGACCTTGTATTTATGGCACTGAATCAGTGCGTGTATTGACTCTACAGTAACCAGTTACAAAACTGCAGTGTTGTCCCATTCAAGCTCAACTCACCTGCTGATCAAATCTGTGCCCGAGTAATTCTGATTGATAATCAAAACAAGGTATAACAACTGCACTGCTTTTAATCATATTTTTAGCACGGTTGATTGTAACACCATTTGTCGTAACAAAAAAGAGCGTTTTTGAGTATGAGATCTGATTAAGAATAAGCTCTTGAGTGAGAGGGAAATGCATGGCAGAACAAACCACAATCACTACATCAAATGAAGAAAGTAGCTACACGCCAGTCATATGAATTAGACACAACATATGGAAACCTACTCTATATTTGTATTTAGCGTACCTGGGTTGAGCTCCAATCCCAATGCATTTTAATATGCTCGAATGCTTTTGGTAGTTTATCATGAAGTTTTTCGCCGCGTCTGCTCAACACACTGATGTGTTGAGCTCGAGTTAAACCCGGTGCTCGCAATAATGCTTCTAGTATGACTGAACACAATGACTCGCTACTTTCTGGAAATATATCTGGCAATAGTAGTGCGATATTTGGGTCTGCATTTTCTGGTCGAAGTTTGGCCAAAAGCTGTCGCATCAGTATCACCGAAAACAATGCCTGGTTGCGAATAGACTCGATAGAATGATGAAATGCCATTCGAGCATCTGCATACTCTTTTTTGTCAGAGGATGAAAGCAGCAGTGATTCATAGTTAAAATTCAGGTTACTGCAAAGCGTATCCAGAGTCGTCATTTCAAAATATTCAATTTGTTCAGGTCAGAGCAGTTGTGAAAATATGATTCGAGACAAAAGGAATGAGAACGCACAAAAGCATCTTCAAACTAATTTGTGATGTTTTGAACTCTGATGGCATCCAAACAGGCTGCTCTTTCCATTCAAATCAACAAATAGTACTAATATTTACCACACCAAACATACAAAAGTGATTGAATTTTATGCAAATACATCATGATGCACACTGATGATTGCTGACAGTTTCTCATTTTATCACCAGTCGTAGATGGTCCAAAGTGCACAATGTTGTCCAGTAAACTAGCACCCATCAAACATGAGACCCACTGTTTATTATACTGTCACTTTAGTCCAGTGAATACGGCTACGATGAGCTGATCGCATTCAGGACCGTGATACTCGATTCTAAAGTCAGTTATAAAAATCAAAGAGCCGTGCTATTGGCCAAGTTTAACAGATTTCAATTCATTTTTTGGCAGAAAGTTTGGCGGCAGCATCTTCTGCATCATTCTGAGCAACAGCCCAGTTGGACCATTTATCGGCGTCAAAGAAGATACTGTCCGAGTCGCAGGAGGCAACTAAAGAATATAAAAGGTTAGTATATCGAATAACAAGAGGTCTATATTTAGCAATTTGAAATGTAGTGATTGGGTGATTGTTGCATTCAAGACACTACGGTTAGACGATCCACTCATTGCAATGCAGATGAGAATCAATAGCTGTCGTTTGCTGATCTATCAATACAATCGTACAGGTAAATGCTTGAATTGGATAGAAACCCAGTTGTAGTGACAAGCCTTTACAAATTCCAACATGAGTCGATTCCAATCATTTGAATGTCAAAATGTAATTTTTTGATTGCAATACATGAATGCCATGCAAGACTGGATTTAGACCTCTACAGTGCCATTCAACAGGCCGTTTGTGGATATAATTCAAAAGTCTTGCCAACTAGTCCTTATTGAATATAACAGAATCTTTAGCAAGATAGTAACATACCGCCGTCCTTTTTGGCAAGAGCGTTTTGAGTTTTGTTGTAATGAGCTTCGTATGCAACTCGAGCCTCTTCAACAAGAAGGTTATGGTGAGCCTTTTCGGTATCAGCCGCACGGTCCTTGACAAGACGAGTGAGAGAGTGATGGCGGGTCCATCCCCACCAAACACCAACACCGAGGGCAGACCAACGAAGGAACTAATGAATTCAGCAAGAAACCAGAAAATGGAGTCCATATAGACATGGTGAGCAGTGATTGGTATGACAGCAAGCAAATCAATGCCAAATTGAGACAACACTAATGATTCCAAACACATACGCTGATAGATTGCTGATTGACGATACTGGCCATGACTGTGGGCTTGACTGGAATCGGTTGGTTTGAGTAGGAGAAAAGTCACGCCTTTGCAATCCAAAAGAATGATTTCTAGATCTGCACTGACATGTTTTTTACTCGAATATTCAGCACAATTGTGTAACAGATTTCTATTGAAATCATAAACTAAATCAATCGATTGTGATTCTCTGCACAACAGTCGATGGATTCAAAAACACTATTTCTTACTCAATTCACACTAGTTGACTCGATACAATTCTTGATTCAACTCTTGAAATGTCATAATCTCGACTAAAAATCTTGATTTCATGGTTTTAAAATTGTTCATTTTTTGATAAAATAAACCTTTACCAGTTCATATTGCTTGAATTGTTCTCTGGAATTATCTTTCGTTGCACTAGAGCAATGGATAAACTGGTTTTTGTTTCTAGCTCAGAACTACCTCGTCCTCGTACTCTCTCAACACAACCCTCTACAAAGTGTTCTGTATTCGAAACTGGAAAAAAAGCCGAGGCTTCTTGTTCTTCTAAATGTGAGCTCAGTGTATTACCCAACATGCTTTGAAACATCATTCAAGCTTTAAAAATGAAAAGACTGCTAGCCAACTTAAGAATTGTCTTTCAATAGAGACTTTGGTTCAATGGAATCCTTTATTTATATCATGCATGTTGGGCAATAGGTATTACTCTCGACTCAAGCGATGGTATTGCTAATCAACAAAATGATAGTATGGATAGTCCTACACATAGTACCAGTCTTGATTTAAATTTGGGTAAGTGTCTGATGCATGGATTAAATGAGTCGATTATTCAGATCATTCGTACTTGACAAGCTCTAGCTTGCCAAACTATACATATTCACGACTTTAAAATAAATTAGATTCTGCCGTATCCGCCGAATCAGAAAAAATTCATAAACTCTTGCTGGTTGAATCATCTGATCATGATAGATGTCAGGTCTTATTTCAAATGTACCTTGAAACAGTAAGGTTCCATGACATAATAATTCAAAACTCGGCTAAACTTGGATTGCTCGATTTTCACCACGATGTTCCTGACATGCATCATATCTAAAATTATAGTTTCGTAGCAATCTACAAAAGAAAACCGAATGTGTTCGTTTGAACGAGCAGTTATCAAAGTTTATAAACAAACAGACAGGTACATACGCTAGCTCCGCTTTCAATAAAAGATTCACCATGTAGTCTTGTTTCTCACTGCTGATTTCCAACTGTCCATCACCTTCTAGCAGACGATTCACCAAAACATACAATCTCAGATTCGATTCCTAAAACTAATGACAATAGATCAAAGGTAACTCGGCGACGCTTCATATTTCAACTATGCCATGTCTCTATTAATGATTGATACCCTACTTGTTTTATCAAACTACAGATTTCCGACGTCCGTTTAAAAATGGTAAACATTGGCGATTTAACCGACAACACCAAACTAGACACAGTCTTGCAATCAAGCAGTTTAGTCGAGGAAAGTAATCAAAACAAGAAACTTGATGATGTGTAAGAGTGTTTGTTTCGATAATGCTGATTTATTTAAAAGAAAGTTTAAGCCATGGCTTGAATTTGCGCTGCATATCTAATCATGAATAACTCCTATTGGTTTTCATAGCACTCATCTCAAAGAACAGTTTAAAGATCTTCTTAAGCAATATGAGCTACGAGAGCGTCATTTTTTGTCGCTTTCAAAGTCTAGAGATATTGAATTTCATTTAACTCAAGCAAAGTACGAACAATACCGTCAAAAGGCTGAGCAAGAAAAAAACAAGGCTATAAATCTTAAAACTCAAATGACAACATTTTCAAAAACTGAAGCTGAATTGCGCAATCAACTATCCCTGTACATTGGAAAATTTCGAGAGGTATTTTTAGTTTTTAAATTATTAGGATATTCAAGATTACAAGTATCTGAGTAGTGTTTATTCATTTTTTTTCTATTGTACATGCATTACGTGTTTGATAGGTTGAATCTACACTAAATCAAAGTAATGAATTATTTCAGACATTTAGACAAGAGATTGAACAGGTATGAGCTTTCAATTACCTTATATTCTAAATATCAATATGCTGATATAAACATATTTGATTTGGCAGATGGGTAAAAAAACGCGGAAACTTGAAAAGGAGAATGCAAATATACGCATAAAGTATGAAGCGATGAATAAGGCAATCGTGGAAATGGCTGAAGAGGTTTGAATCTATAGTGCTTGTACTGCCGTGCATTATTATATATACCATATTCAGTCTTTATTAAATTTTAATATATTATTACTGTTCAACCAAACATAGCGCAAACAATCAAATAGAGAAGTACAAACTGTAATGGCTTCCAAAACAAAACTAGAATCATTGTGTCGAGCGTTACAGGAAGAACGTAAAGCTCTTTTGAAAAAAGTTAATTCAACATAAATAGTTTTTTGCAATAATTTTATTATGAACGTGGTTGTTTGAATATACTTGTGGTTGGTTATTTTGATACTGTTTAATCATGTCAATTGTATAATATGATATGCAAAAAGTAGGTATTTAAATATGCTAGGACTAGTATTATCAAGGTTTAGATGACTGGTATTCAGTATACTTTTTAAATCTACCACTGCAACTGGACAATGTTTTGGCACTTGATATATTCAACGAATTTCAATTTATTGATACGCTAATCATTGATATTCATCGTCTTCGTCATCTTCAAACCATAACGAATCATGGTGCTGCATGTCAATGAGATCCACAGCATAATGCTTGTTTTGAGCAGTCGAGGCATCGTTGTTTTTGTTTTTGGATGAGATAGTTTTTAGACTAGGATTATTTCCAGTATAGTGGGGTTTGGCTTCAATGCAAGGTGTCTTGGAATGCAGTTCTTTGTTCAGATTCAGTATTGCTTTTGTCGATTGCGGCTCAGTCGTGCCGCGGTTTCCATATCCAGTCGACTTTTTACTAGATGAATTTATTTCTGTATCGTCACTAACCTGCAAGGAGTGCACTTTATTCATTTTTAAAGGTGATCCCAGCGCAGAAAGTCCTTTGTTGTACAATGCGTTTGCCACAATCTGCTTATTTCGAGAAGCATGCAGATATTTTTGTTTGTTTTTATACCTTGCATCTAGTTCTTGGGCCTCTACAATCTTTTTCAATCGAATCTTGACCAAATCGTGTCTTAGTCGTTGCTCTCGTTCAAGTTCTCTGTTTTCTCTTTCAAGACATTCTATGTGAGCAATCTGCTGCTGGGTAGCGAGGGTAACTTTTCTCAAATCTTGACTTAGTCGCGAGTTTTCTGCTTCAAGTGCTGTTGTATGATCCGTCAAATATTTTGCTGCTTTCTATAGTGATTTGTAAAGTGAATAATATTTGGTTATTTGATACACATGAGATAATATTATTTTTCTAAATTCGATTATGCTTGAAGAAATAAAACTATACCTCATGAGCAGCAGATTCCATTGATTTGATTTTGTTTTCAGCTTCCTTTTGAAGTTTCATACGAGCCTCCAACAATGAGCGTTCCAGATCCGCCATTTCAGTCAAATGGTTTAGCTCTGCATTTTGCATTTCCTTGCGAATGTTTGCCATCTCCCCTTCATGTTTTGTCCTTCTTGCCTAGACATTTATATACAATCAGATTATACATGGAAAAAATAAAATCTGTTTTAGCATGCTATTTCTTTACAGCCGTATTCATATGGAATGAAACACGGAACAAAAGTGTGGATAATAAACAGCCAGTCTCATGAAATGATTGGTGTCAGATTACTGGACAACACTGTGTTTTTCCTGGTGGTTGACATGGAAACAGCAGTGCAATTTTTTCAAACTAGAACGCAAAAGTATCCGAGCGTTTAGGTGTTTGACAACATCAGTCTGCGAAAAACTTCATTTTACGTGAATACAGTTATAATTTGACATTGAAGTCAACCCCAATTTACCATGGTATCTGATAGTTGCATGATCTCGGTTTCCTTGGCGGCCAGTTTCATTTCAAAGTCGACCAATTGATCATGAAACTCTGTTTATTCAAGGATCAATACATTAAACAACATATGTTAGTCAGTCGGTATAATTGTATGAGTTGGACCAAGTCTTCAATACCGCTGATCTTTGCTTGATTCTCCTCTTCACGCTTTTTTCGCTTTAGCAAGTACATGTCCATGTCTTTTTGATTAGATTCGGTAAGTCGTTGAATTGCATCCAGTTTTTCATTTTTTTTGGATTCGAGATACATGATGTAATCAGCAGTGTCCTTTTGGCACGTCTCAATTTCTTCTCTATACCAATCGTTTTCTTTTTTGCTATAATCCAGTCCATTGAAAAAAGTTGCAATGATAACCAAGCCGGAAGATAATAGCTGCATGTTTAAAATTGAGTCAATGTGATAGACTTACTATTTGGCACATTTGGCTTTGTAGTCCTCGAGCTCTTGGTCAAGCTTTACTAGGCGTTTTTTTAAAACAGATTCGTCGAGTTCTTTGATTTGTATTTCTCCTGTGCCTTTGGTATTTTTTTTAAGAATGTTTCGAATGAATGCTCCGCCTGCATGAGGCTGTTTTTTGGTAGCCTCTATCTTTTTGACCCCCTTTATTGTAGATACTTGACTATCCATTTAGTTGCGTAGATGGCAGTTGTTGTATAAAGTGCAGCTGAATAGTTGGCCAAGAGTAGTAAACTTGGAGGATTCGCGTTTACTTGGGCAGCCTGTAAACCCAAGATAGCAAGTCAATTATTACAGCTGTATTCACGTAGGATAGAGCACCAAATAGGTCTAAATAGGTCATAAACAGCTAGTATCATGACATGATGGGTGTTGGATTACTGAACAACATTGTGGGGTTTTCTTAGTGACTAGCATAAAAACAAAAGTTGCATTCCCAATGCATGCAATCTTTGCTTTCAAGTTAGAATACAAACATATTGATGAGGCTTTAGGACAGCAGAGTTTGTACAGAATTTAAACCTCAAATTTACATCAGAAATTAGTTTGGATTTTCTCTTGGATTTTCGACTCGACTGAACTTTAATGCAAGCCGATTTGATAAAGTCGAGTGACAACAGGGCAACACACCTGCCAGTGTTTGCCTACGGATCACTCATGGCAGATCATGTATTCGACAGTGTAGTGAGTAGTCTAGCCAATTAGCCATCTGGATTACACGGCATTGTTTTTATCAGCCCATTCTTGTCAAGTTGTTTTGATTTGTTTATTAACTTGATAATAGATGATATCTGGACTTGGTAACAATTACCAACGACCTCGTAAAACGACTGGCGCAATACTTTCTGGATATCAGCGGTTTGGAGTCGCTGATCAACCTTATCCGGCTGTTGTTCCTGCTACACCCAACAACACAGTCCAAGGTGTGCTATGGTATATTCAATCCAATTCAGAAATACAGTTGCTCGACCATTTCGAGACAGATCTGTACCAAAGACAAGTTGTTTCTGTGAATAGTATGGGTGAATCAGACACTGTTCAAGCCTATGTCTATATCTGGAATCGCGAACTATCTTTACTGACTGGAAAAGAATGGAATTATGAGCAGTTTCTTGCCAAGGAAATGAAGGAATGGATCAAGACTCAGAATGGGGCTGATGGACAACCCTTGACGACTCAAGGTTGACCGACAACCAGCAGCTGATTTAAGCTACAAATCAACTTTGAATAAATTAGATTTCACAGGATTGGGTGCTTCAAGGTTGGTATTTTATTATTTACTATCGATTGTATTTTCAAGAGCAGATAAAGAGGTTGTATCCATATCGCTATTCCAGATTCCGGTATCAAACAGTCGCACCATCCCATCTTCAATAATTCCTATTGGATCAGGAATATCCTCGGCGACAAACTCGGTGGATTTACGTACCCAAATAGAAGATCGATGAACGGCAGGGAGCTTGGTACTTGTACCTGTTTGCTGACTCAAGAACGCACTCATGCGTTCAAGTGCTAATCGGGCTATTGCATGAAAGGGAGCAAACATTTGAAACACATGGACTTGATCTTCGTATATTTCGAGCTGGATGGGTGACTTTGCAAAAGAAAGTTGGCTAAATACAATACCATCGTCACGAACACGCTCAGCATCTCCTACTTGGATCAGCATGGGTGGAATGGGTTTGGATGGATCTTCAATTGCTAATACAGGTGAGACATAGGGGTCTAAAAGCTCGTCCCTGCATTTGATATATGGATGTGGACGTTGTTTAGATACATGGAGTGGATCTGTAGATGAAGCAGGCAAGTAATCAAATGGTTCATTCAAATGCCAAGCTGGAAAAGATTGAGTAAGATCCAGCTAAAACGAAAACAAAGTTTCATCATTAACAGAGTACAAGTAAAGATATATTTTAGAAACAAGAATAAAGCTTACCCATGGAGAAAAGCATCCTATGGCACCAGGAACGGGAAATTTGCCAGTATCCCGACAGTATAGCATGGTAGCTATGGCTAAACCACCACCAGCCGAATCGCCACAAAAAGAAATTTGGTTTGGAAGATATCTTGGCTGATTAGACATTGCAGGAGGATCAATCAGAAATTTGTAGGCACAAAGAGTGTCAAAGATGGGAGTAGGAAATGTGAATTCAGGGGCTAAACGATAGTCGATTGCTAATCAAATACAAGGTAAGCTTGACTACACGTTAAAAAAACTGAAGCTGCACAAGATAAAAGCTTACAGAGAACTCTAGCATTAGCAGATTTTGCAAGACGCCAAGTGACGGATCTGTGTGTACGACGAGATGCAAATAGGTATGCACCACCATGAATATACAGAATGACTCGCTCGACAGGAGTTGTGACAGTTACTGGATGTGCATCGACCCACTCAGCCTTTATGGAGCCACGAACATCTTTATCAAGCATTCCGGGTAATGCAAGTTCCTCACACAAGGGAATGCGAAGTTTGGATATTTTTGTTTTGATGGGCACAGGAGTCGTTGTTTTGCGACCAGAAGCCACAATTTTGGCTTGAGAAAGATTACCCTTGAAACAATCAAGTGTTGCTCTGAGCAGGGCAACCGAACTCATCTAGTAAAAATTGATGAATTGCAGGATATTAAGCCACTATTCATTTGGAGTCATTCAAGTCGTTACAGGTTACATGGCTCAACATACCAGTAGAAATGAGTCAGTCAGAGTACCTCGCTTGGTACTCTTGTATTGATTGGACAGTTTACGACGTACACTTGATTTATCAGCATCAGTTGAATCAGTCAAGCTGCTGTCTTTTATTCGGTATACTTTGGCAGTGTGAGGTATGCACATGGGTGCTTCAATAGACATGGATTCCATGGTCGAGTCTCCTATCTTACTAGTAGTCATTAGGTTCAACTAGTATAAATTGGGTTCCAAGTTTGGCTTTTTATTCAGTCCAATCCACTGCTTAAGATAAGTGCTTTTAAAGGGCTTTGAATCTTACAGCTACACAAATCCAGCATCAAATGAGGCATAAAAACTCCGAAAGTCTCGATTCTTTATCGTCAACTACTGAATGGGTCAACCCATCTAAGCATTCTCATGATCAAATAGTACATTAGATTCATTTCTTCAAAAGTCATGAAAACGACCGATCATCATGGTCCATCAGTCCATATTTGTGTAGGTAGTCGAGAGTTGCCCGAGAATATGCTTCTTTCGGCACTTGACTCGGGATTCCGACGGATGTTTCAGCTTTGTTGTGGCTGTAACTGGGAAAGTCTATAGAAAATGATACGCTTGCATACTCGTCCACAGCAGATATTGCCGAGATGTCACAACCGTCCTTGTAAACAAAACTCTGCTCAGGGTCACTCACTAACCCTGCAATAATATCCTTTGGGTTAGTCACGCCAAGTGAGCCAGTGTCCTTGTGCATTGGCTTTTGGTTTTCCAACTCGTGCTCAATAATTCCGGCTGCTGCTGGTTGCGGATATAGCTGAAAAGATTCTCCACCTTGAGATATCCCACTAAAAGTAGAAATCATCGTCGAATAATTGGCCAAAATAGACTTTTGCTCGGCTGGTCCAGATGCTAATTCATTGCACTGAAAAAATGATGCGTGGTTTTCTCGATTGTCGAAAGGTGGCCACGTTTTCTCCGTTTCATTAATCTGTAACCGTTGGAAATCTAATTCATGCAGCGATTTGTTGGTGTAGTCTATATCAGATTCTGCTGTATGTGCTACTGCCTTTGTGTTCAAGTCTGCATCAAGAGAAGCATTGGATTCCGACTCGACCAAATTTATGCCAGTGTTTATAGACATGTGGTTCTGCTGTGGAGGGTTTTGAGGAATATAAAATGATGTGTTTGTTGCTGCATCGCACATGGATGTTTTTGCAAAGAATGTGGTTTGAACCAAACAACTTGAATCAGTAGGTTGCACAATGGATCTCTGTTTATGCGATTCACTCGTGGTCTGTGGTTCTTGAGGTGCGTGATTTCCAATACATGTGCTAGGTGTAGCAGCACTACACAAGTTTGAATCTATAGCATTGGATGGCTGTGAAACATTACAAGACAAAGTAGATCCAACGGGTGCTGTAGAATGAAGTCCAGAAATATGATAGGGCTGTCTAGAAAAGGCTACAATCTGACTCTGAATTATCTCCACTTGTTGTTGAAGCATTGATAAATACCACATTTGATTGATACCATCTGGAAACATAGGATATTTATATGGCAATGGAAGAGGCGGTAATTCTGGCGGACAGCTAGAGGTACCAAAATCAACTGCTACATGTGTTGGTGCTGTTTCAGCAGAGCTGCAAACACGCTCCGTTAAAGTAGTGGGTATATTATTTTGTGCATTATCTATAGAACTCGCTATATTGGCAGTATCCTCCACATGTGCTTGTTGTACTTTTGTTTCCTGGGTGCTGCTGACATCGGGTTCTGAGGCATCCATACCATAAACGAATGGTTTTTCAGAAATTTCATCTTCAATGTGGTCCATAGCTGCAGTTATGGAAGGAGTTTTAGCTGGACGTAAAGAAATCTGATAAAACGACTCCAACGCTTGACAAAAATCAGTGTTTTCATCATTCATTAGATCAACTGTTGAAAATGAACATGGCTGCGCAGATTTGATTTCTAATCCATGCGTCTGATAAAACTTTACCATAGATTTGTCCACCTAGGCAAAATACATACGGCATAGAAACATATTAAATAAATCCAATATCATTATCAAAACATTCAGACGTATACTACGTACATTGAATGTGCACTCAAATACAACCGGCTTGAATACTTGAGTAGAGCTAGTTAATCGAAATGCAGACGATTTCTGATCTTCCATCACGCGAGTGTTTCCACTATTGGCGTTTCTCTGAAATATACACACTAAAAAAGTAGATTTTCCAGTATCCAGCTTTACTCGACTACTATCCAAAACATATTGAATGCATGCTGCATGAACGTATGGATCTACAAGAGATGTATTCACCGATTTAAACCAACTGGTCAAAAGTAAAAGTGAGTCAAGAATTCAATTAGATCAATCTATTTGAAATCAAACTTACAGTCCAATCAGCGGAAGCACTTTTGACTTTGAATCGCACTCCTCCAGTAGATACAAGTGACGTGCTTGATCCAAAGACATGAATCTTAAAGCAGCATTAAAATCATATACAGCACATTGTAACACATGTGACAATCCAACTTACCCATAGGTTGGGCTTTCTAAGCATTCAAGAGTAAATAGTTCATGTGATAGGGATGTCGACACAATGCGAAGTGGATGAATCTGTGCAGCATCGATCTTGACATATGGAATAGCAAATATTGCTGTACAAACTAGTATGTGAGTTGCCAGTGTAAAAACACAGTGTTCAAATTTATGATGACTTGCCTTGTAACCATACTTGCTTGGATGACATGTCAAAAAATGATTCAGCAATCAGTGGAAAGCTGTGGTGCTGATTTAAAGTCGTGCTACTATGTTTATCCTTGAGAGTCTGTGGTTTAAAAATAAGCTTTCTAAATAATGCATTTGATTATACCAAACCAAGCCACAGTCATTCAATAGTACCTTTAATAACTGCAATACACGATCACTGCCTGCTTGTATTGGTTTTCCATCACTCTGCTCTCGTAAGTACACCTAGCATTCAGCAATATTAATAATGCCGAGTATTATCGATTCAAAAATAGTAGATTTAAACTTACTGGGATGATAATATCTGCTTCTGAAACAACTGAGGGAGATATGGTTCCAATAGGTCCAGTTTGAGATAAGACCTGCCGACCTGCATCAAACCGATCCACCACAATGCTATACTGTGTGGAAGAGTTGGACTCCGTGTCCGAATCAATCCAGATCTTTCGGCCAAGCATAAATCCAGTTGGAGATTCCAAACCAACAGATGATTGCTCACAAGCACTCTGTTTCCTATTGCCTGCAAGAAGTCCAATTTTTGTACTGTGAATTTTGAATGCATGTAATGCTGATTCTTCAAATTGAATGTATTCTGGGCTTAGTGAATTGGAATGCATTGTATATTCAAGACCAATTCTAGTGCTGTCCCTACGATCAAATGAGTAATTAAATGATAGCACATATCAGTATCCATACATGAAATAGAATACGATCCATCAAATGTTGTATTGGTTTATCGTACCAAAGATAGTATTTGGCAGCAGCAGGCGGATTGTATTCATAAACAGCTTCCTTTTCCAATTTTGCAGATGGAAAGTACCGACTAACAGGTTTGTAAGTACTAGCAACATTGCATTCTTTTTCCAAAATCGGCACTTGATGCTGTTCAACTTCAGTAAAAGAGGACTTGCTGAAATGAGCAGGTTGAATTAGATCCAGCTCCTTATTTCCCGATCGAACATTGTTATCTTGCATGCTTCGAGCTACTCGAGTACGTCCGGCAACGTGCTGCACAATTGGTACTTTTGAAAGACAAATCTCTACAGCTCGACTTTCAATCGAGTTTCTGGGTCGATGCAACAAATCGCCATCATGAACAGACCTGACAGATTTTGACCCAAAGACTCTTTGTGACGGCTGTGGTAAGCGAGATGCTGTAGACTTGTCATTGGTGGAAGAATGTAGAACTGACTGATTTATACTGTGTTGTTGAGAGTGTACCGGATAGGTTGCACCAAGCGATGGATGGTTTGGATTTGGATTGAATGCAAAGGAGCGAGGATGAGGTTGAGGTTTGGGAGGAATCGAACGAGGAATTGGTTCATGCAAGACAGACAGATTAGACGCTGAATCAGGAGTTGCTGTAAAATGAGTTCTGTCATTAGCAAACCGAACAACTGTATTGCGACTAGTCATTTCTCAATTCAGACTTGATTGTCCGACTTGAAAGATTTAATGTCAGTCGCGACTGGCTAGTTTTGAAGAGTCTTGTTTTGGGCGTTATTGCACAATCACAAAGTCTGCAATTCGATCTGGATTCTGATGTAATCAAACTGTACACACTTTTGTTTGCATTCTAGTTGAAAAAAACAATCATTACAAACGCAACTGTTCAATCTCCAAAACAGTCAACTAAAGAGTTCAAATCACATACTATCCAGTAAATGTGATTGTATCATTATTGGATATACATGCTTGGTTGTTGTTGAAAACTATAGTATTGTATTTAAACCATCTTTTGCAGGATTGATCGACATCATTCATTCCATAGATCTTGAATCGACAAGCATGCAATTGCCTAAAAGTCTGGATTTATTTTGATTTATTATTCCAGACAATACTTGTATCCGAGTCGTCATTCACTTCATAGTCATCATACTCGTTTTTGTTGGCACTATTCCCTTTTGTTCGTCTCTTTCGACGAGCCTGTTCAACGATCGAGTTGCGCGCAGAAGACTTTCCTGATGCTGACTTTACCGCATTTTTTCCAGATGAAGCCGAGTCTACAGATCCCTTACTTTTTTGCATTGCCTGTGGTAGGTTTTTGAGCCAGGTAAATATGCCCAAGGGAACTTGTACTAAAGCAACGTTTGTAAGCAAAGGTTTATGAGCAACAAATTCAGATTTGTCGACTTCGCCAGAGGCAATCAGCAATTCCAAGGGAGTCGAGTTTTTCAAGGAGTGTTTGTTAATCGTAGGAATAGTGGTGGTAGATTCAGAATTTGCATCCGTTTTGGATTTTTTGGCAAGTTTCTGAAAGTGTTTTTTGAGTTGAACAAGGGTAAGTTCGTTGAGAGTATTCATATAGTCGTTGATTTCCTTTTTTTCTCGATAGTAAAATATCCAGGCAATAATGTACTGAGCAACAGAGATAAAGAACAGAATGGCAAAGATGGCGACAAAGATACCAGGCTTGTAGCGAGAATAGTAGTAGCCAGTGCCACGCCAGGTTGGGAAGCCACGAGCAAGATGTTCATCGTAGCGTATACGTAGATCCGAGTCTTTAAGAATAGTGCTGATGGAAGTCAGTATGGTGTGCAGTTTACGCAGTTTAGGATCCTTGGTCTTGTCAGGATGAAAGGCAAGCGACTTTTTCCTGTAGGCTCTGTTGATCTCGGCAAGTTCAGCAGAACGAGGGATTTCTAGAATCGAGTAAAAGTCGCCTTTGGGCTCAATACCAACAAGAGCATCCTGCAAATCAAATATTTCATGGTCTTCAGTCTCCCAGGCATAAACCCAAGACAAACATGCTAGAAACGGAAGTATCCGACAGACCAACATTGTAGCTTTTAAATCAGATAAAAACTGCGTTTGGATTCAAGTTGATTTCCAAGCATTTCACGTGATCTGATGGATTGCAGTTATCTCGCCTGAAAAGTTTACATCTGCGGTCATGGACGATTCAAACGACATTCCTGCTGCTGGCGCATACTCACACAATCCAATTCGGAATACCATTGACGAAATGATTGAATCCGATACTATGGAGCCTTCTTCTAGTGCTCAACCCAAGTCTACTGCTCGAGGCATTCTAAAGCGCAAGTCCAATTCTGAGCAGCCAAAAACTAGAGGGTAACCGTTCTTATTTATGAATGCTTACCAGCCAGACCTACCAACCTGTAATGTCCATCTTGACTTGGGATGGTTTGCACATTTCGTGTTCATACCTTGAACCCAAACCTGAGTTGGGTTTCGCATGAACTTTCAGTTGTCAACGAACGTTTGAGTTGTCCGTTTGTTCAAGATGATGGTTGATTTAAGAGTTAGTCTCTGATATGTGCAAAAGGTTCTAATTGCTGCACCGTTTTTTGGACTCCAGGATTTGCTGGGATGAAGATAACCTTATGATTACTGAGGCACAAAAAGACTCAACAATGAAGGTGACGGAACCCAAAACACCATTTATCAGATACGATTCAACCACAGACCAGCTGTTGGGCTCTACAGGTATAGCTTTGTTTGAAATACTGGATCAAAGATACGTCATCATTGGTCACAATGGGCTGTCGAGAGTGTTCAAGGCTGTTGAAATTCATCCATATACTTTTTAACAATTAGGAACGGTCCCACCATTGGAGCTCGCTACTGCCATAGAGAATTCACGTAATAGATCTGACTCGCTATCGTCAGAAACACTCCCTGCAGAGCTCGATATGCGGATGCAGATGTGTGAATTTAGTGGAAATGAGTGGCAATCTGACGGTGATATAGACGATGCAACCAGTGAAGGTGTGTTGGTTCAATTCAACCTATACTGAGAATTAGAATGCGTTTGTTATTAGTACTAAACTTTTGAATTCAGATCAAAATAAGCGTTTGAAATTTAGCTCACATCGATCAGAGCACTACAATATGAAAAACATATTACGGCGGGGTCGTGAGCTGATACAGCACGAAAAAGATGACGATGCTTATAATGATCCTGACCAGTATAATGAAAGCGATGATATGAGTGATGTCGATCTAGAAGAGGATGGATGGGCAAGTGAGGATGAAGATGCAGACCAGATCAATGCACTGCGCAAAGAAGCCGTACCGCCATTGCATCTATCAAACTCGTCTGTTCGTTTTGCTTCCGAGCCAGTAGATAGTGAAGGCAGTGCAGCCAAAAACATAATGTCTTGATATAAATATATATTTAACCTTTTTGGTGTGGTTATAATGCGTTTTTTATTTAGTTTGGGCTGCTTGAGAAATAAGAGACCACAATGTATGTACATGCATTTGTACTCAAAAGTATACATCACTCAAGTGCATAGTTGGAAATAAGCTGGTTGATCCATGGATGCTGCTTGAAATTGATATCCCGATGCTCCATCCAAGACTTGACACAATCCACTTCAGATTTGCTAAGTCTTGTCGACATGCTGGGTGTGGGTTGCAACGGCATCACTGATGCAGCACACAACAGTGCATCTAAAACTACCAATAAGCGATCATCCCCAGTTCGTTTAGAAACACTAAGCGAATAGTGCATTCGACAAAGTACGGATGAAGGTCCATGTTCCAAAACGGTATCCACAATTGACACAAGTCCCGAAACAGATGGTGTCCAGCAAGAAAGAGCTGCAAGTTGCGGTAGGATAACAATACTGCTTGACGGGTTTTTTGCAATGCGTAATGCGACACCATCAGAAATACCTGAATTGGCTCCAAAAATAGAATGAATACGATTAAAGCGAGAAAAAAGTGTCGTTTCAGACAAATCTTGACATATCAGCTCGACAAGTGGCTCAGATAGAGTATTCAATAGATTCGATTGATCCCACAGTATATTGGGTGACTTTACGTAGTCGAATGAAAGATCTAATGCTTTCCACGCGTCATCAAACTTGGATTGTTTCATCAAGGCAAAAAACAGCGGTAAAGTGGCCATGGTAAAGCAGTCTGATCTCTCAGAAAAGGGTATATGATGATACATTTTAGAGTGAATCTCTACAGCTTTGCTCATATTTTTATCTTGAATACACCGGTCCACGAGACATACAAACGTGGTGGATTTAAGATCAGCTAGCGATTTCAAAGCACTTGCACAATCATAAATTTCAACCCATAAGGATTGAACAGTATCGCTTTTGCTTGCAGCATTAGTGTCGAGTTCTTTTACTTTTTCAAAGTGTGCAAACTTTTGTAAATATATATTGAGCAGGATGGGGGTCAGTTGTTTAGTTTTGAATGAGCTGGTTATGTCGAATACTTGCTTGAGAATATCGACACGATTACACTTTTCCGAAATAAGAGCTACAGATTCACAGAACAGAATGGATTGTGCTTCAGATCTATTCGATAGAATAAAGTGCTGCAAGATGTCAAGGGCAGTTTCTGGATCAAGATAAGTAGTGCAGGCTGTCATGAGAAACTTGTATAATGGCACGAGAGCCGTTTCGGACGAGTATTGGAAAGTATTTGAATATTTGACTAATAGCTGCAGTGCTTCTTTGGGTCTTTTTAGATGAGAAAGTGAAACGCAGACATTTTTTAAATACAACAAATTTGGAGCGACAAAGCACGATGGATTCTCAGAAATGGCTATTAGCTGGAGATGACAGGCATATGCAGCAGAAAACATACGACGACGCACAAACGAATCGATGATGGTTTGGAAAAGTTGTGGCATAATTTTTAGTTTGCTGGATTTGAAAACAGAAACAAGGGCATCGACATTGTAATGATCACCACGACGAGCATATTCTGCAATCAGAATTTCGAATGCGCTTCGATTGGGGTAGGGCAGAAAAGTTGCTTTAGTTGATTCATAAAAGTGAGGACTAGAGGATGGAAGTACCAATGTCCCAAATGGGGTAGCAATATGTGATGTTGGCAGTGTATCTGCAGAGGTAGTTCGCATGCAGGTAAACAGAGAAGTAGCAGATTCTAGAGCATCGTTGGCAACCAAGGACTGCAGTAACACGGTATAAGCCCAAGAGGCAGCACGTATATTTAGCAAATGCATTTTATTGAACAAACGAACCAGTTTCCGCACATCATTCTATTATTAGGTTATCAGTCAGCATTCAAGATGTAATTTAAACATTTGCAATTCTAGATTACTTGATAGCGTATTATACATGGCAAAATAAACTCGGCACATTTACCTGTTGCCCAAGCAAGAGCGCAAGTCGATAATATTGAGAAGCAGTGGCAGCCTTTCCAAGCCTATCTATAATCCGTTCCAAAACGATAGTTTTGAATGCAACATTATCCGAATCAATAGCTAGAGTGTCATTTACAATGTTGAAAAGCTGCCTATGCTTATCCAGAGTGAAATTCGATGATTTAAGTGATTTGGAAATTAGCTCAGAATACTCTTCCCATGGAGAGATAGTCTTTGTAATGTCGGTAGTCCTGGAATTGGCATGGTGGTCTTGAAGGTCTTTGACAGCAGATTTGAGTGAAGATCCAGTCAAGGATGTGTAATATTGAGTATTCCGGTAGATAAAAGCAAGACGAGGATAGCCAGCAGCAATCCTGCACACTAGTTGGTTGGCAGTAAATCCAGTGGTTGCAATAGTCATGGTCAATGTGATGAATGGTTTTGACAGCAATTTGAGTCGTTCCAGAACACCCTCAGGGAATTGAGGGATAGATTTGCTGGCTGGAATCCAATGTCAACTTTGTAATACAGTCTGCATGATGCTTGCTGAAGCTTCTTCTCCCATCAGTGTGAGTGCTGCTTTAAGAATAAGTTTGAGTTTCTGGATTGAACGAGATTGACTCGACTGCACATGCATTCTGGTATGGGTTCAACTCCTAATTTGGCTGCGTAATCTGATCTTATTATGCGACAATAGGGGAATGTTGGCCAGTATTTAGAGTCTCTTCCTAGACCTGTTTTGGACAGATTGTTTGCTCAGCCTGCTACTTGTCTAGCCATTCTTCGGTGAGTTATTTTCTTGTGTTTGAATCCATGCACAAATCTTTGAATCTCAAATATTGGTCAAATCATCCAATATGCTTCTTTGTATATGATCAAGTATCAACTCGGCAGGATTTCATTGGTTTACATTTATTTCAAAACACTGACATGTTTTACAATTTAGTCTTCTTCCTGATCTGGCAAAGCACACTATACTAAGACTGCTCTATACTAGCATGACAGTTAAGATATCAGATATTGAAACTTGGGAAACACATGAATACAGTGGGTATGCTCAACAATCGATTCATGATTTTCCATTTATATTGGTTTGTTAAAGATTGCATTTGAAAGTGAGTGCTAATGGATTAAACCCAACAGTCAATTTTCACATGCAGTTACTGGACTGGCAAAACTACATATTCTGTCAATAAAAAACGAAGGATCTCATAAATCAGTTCATATCAACTCTGTGTTTCAAAAAAGCATACATAATGCACTTGTTGGAAGGTATGACTTGTTTAATGCGACTGAAATATGGGTGGTGTTGATGAATTCATGTTCAAGACTGACATTCCATCTCTATTGTAGTGGTAGTCATACTTCATTTGGTATGCCCTGTGAAACGATAGATAAGCACCGGCCAAGTATCGCGTTTTTGGAAACGTATGCCAAAGAATGTTGGGAGTCAGTACTGCACTATCTGGTTGGAACTCCATCAGATAAGCGGCCAAAGGTAAATGTTGGGTCATTGTAGTATAAACTTCTATCAGCGTGTTGATGCGTCTAATGTTTTAAACTTGTTTTCAATTAGGCAATAGTAAAGCTTTTGGAAAAGTCGGGTTTGATGGCACCCATGTAGGTTAAAGCATGAGTTTTGTATTCAAGCATCTGCTATTTTTAAATCATAAAATGTTGATGTATGTTTATATTAGATCTTCAACAAATGCAGCTCACAATGGAGATTTGCGGATAACATCAAAAGGATTTCAGTTTTTATTACAGGATGTCAATGTGCAAATATGGGCGTTTTTGCTGCAGTATTTGGAAATGGCCGAGGTGTGTTGATTTGGTCAACAAGTGTAGTTTATTTAGTCCGAATGATAAGAAAATAATGCATTGGCCAGTGATTATATCTACTGACTTTTGTATCCAATTTTATAGCAACTTAACATGGAGCTTGTTGAAGTATTAAACTTTTTTTTCCAGCTTGGTAGTTTGGAACTTGGACAGGTATTTTTAAATTGAAATGGAAATGGAAATGCAATACCAATTTTACTGACCTGTTTTGCATTTAACCATAAACTCAGGACTACTCTGTAGAAGTTTTGACTCCAACACAAAAACATATGCTGGACGATCTTAAGCATTTAGGTCTTATATATCAACGAAAGGTACAATGCTATATTGAGTATTTTTACCACTTGGATTTTTCAGGCCGAATCTAACACTGTTTGCCACACGGTATTAGAAAAAATCGACTCGATTTTATCCAACCCATTTAGCCACATCTCTCACGTCCGGAGCCAGTGCTGGTGCAGTATTGTCTCCACGATCGCTTGAGGCAGATTCGGATGGATTTATTATTATTGAGACCAATTACCGTGTCTATGCATACACGGACTCGCCATTACAAATTGCAGTATTGAGTTTGTTTATAGAGATGCGTGTTCGGTTTGCCAATATGGTGATTGGAATCATTACTCGAGATAGCGTACGAGAGGCTTTGGCCAAGGGTATATCTGCTGAGCAGGTAAAGTGATACGATTGAGCTGTCATGAAATGTTTACATTATAATGGATAAGAGGTTGCTGATACCATTAGTTTTAAACCAGATTATTGCATACCTTACAACCCATGCACATCCAGAGATGAAAAAGGGGGTAAGATTTACATGTTTGGTTTACTATTTAAATTTATGATTTGTCCAAAGCAACTAACACACTGGTTTATGCATACCAAGTCACCTGTGCTTCCTACAACTATAGTGGATCAGGTTCGACTTTGGGAAATGGAGCGAAATCGTCTTCGGATTTCACGCGGACACCTTTACCAGATGTTTTCTGGTGAGCAAGAGTATCGTGAGATTTTAAAGTATGCAACAGATCTTGGATATGAGCTATGGCACTCTGATTCAAAGAGACTTGTAGTTGTATCAGCAGAAGGACATGAGCACATTAAAGTGTTTTTTTCCAAGCAGAGAAATAAACAGTTGGGTGCTGCGAAATGAAGATTGAATCTACAGATCAAGCTATCCAAGATATTAAATAAACTGGATTGGTGATTTTAAATTGGATGTGCTAGTATGAGGTTTGTAAAGGGTTTTAACCTTGAAGGGGTTTTCTTGAGTCATATCGATGAAACCAACTAAATCTGAGCGCAACAGCAGTGACACTGGATCAAGCCATAGTGCATCGGAGAGTATATTCAAACAGTCAAGTTTAGATGTATTGTCAAGACAAACGTCGCATTCCTATAGAGCACTTGGTAATCGCTCTTTGGTGACTCCATATGCAAAGTGTCGTAAAGCAACCTCAGTAAAGCAGAAACAGACTAAAGAAATGGTACAGACTACTCTACAACTAGGACAACGTCAACCTAGATCTCAAAAGTGTAAGGAGTGTGAGATGGAGTATTCGATTGGATCAGCTGAAGACGATCAATTGCATAAAGCATATCACAGACAATACATGGATGGAATTCGATGGGTAAGTTGAATGTATTCAGAGCTCATTGACCTCTTATCTGTAGTGACACTGCATTGAGTTTACACTCTTCCACATGTCTGTCTACACTTAGCAAGTCTCACTTCCGTCTCTGTTTATTGGTTTGGATCGATCCTTTATTATCCACATTCATTCAAGCGAGCATCCAAAGGAATGGTGCAAGGTGAGACAGTCTACATTGCAGTTGAATAGGAGATTTGAATCCTAACGCAGTGTCTCCCAGTTTCTTAATCTAGTCAGTATCGTAGACAAGGAACTTGGTGCCATTCCAAGTGATATTCCCAAGACTGGAACTGGACAAGGATTTGTATGCTTGACACCAGATGGACGAGTCAAGGGTTGTGTACTAGCTGAACCCATTCACTACGCACATGAGTCAATAAGCGATACCACATATTCCGAGTGAGTATTTCATGATCGTGAAATCCATTATTATATTTGTATGCTGATGAACTTTCTACGATTGAATTGTAGTGAGAGAGTGGATGCCATTTGTGGAATAAGTCGCATATGGGTATCAAAACTAGACAGAAGACAAGGCATTGCAACACGATTGTTGGATGCAGTGCGGTAAGTAACTGAATCTGGTTCATATTAATTATCATGTATGGCTAGTCTAACAACATTCACATTGATTCAGTCATCGGTTTATTCTGGGACAAGTTCTTCCACATCAACTGTTGGCATTGTCACAACCTTCAAGTGCTGGTCGACTATTAGCAAATCATTACTTTGGGAATCCATTCCGCGTGTATCTGATTGAATAACATTCACAGACCATCACTAGACTCACAGGACAATATCTAAAATACATGCTTTCAAGTATCTTATAATAATACGACTTGATGGACTCTTGTTCATGATGGGATCACGTGTAAATAAGAGTGGGTTGAAGTGTTGGACAATCGAATACTTTGTCAACTTATTCCCAAGATATTGGTCATGGCTGCAACCAGTATAGAGATCCCGTTGCTTCGTAGTGGACAGACAAATGAAGTGCTGGAAGTCGACTTGAATGACTTGCGTGCAAATCATGATCATATTATTGATATTCTGACATCTGAGGACGGTTCATTGTCACTGTTTCTCGAGTTTGCGGTTAGTCTGGCTTATGACTTTCATAACCTAATGGATTGTACAAATTCATTGGTTTATGTCTATTAGTGTGGTCTATCTGTCACTGTCTTGGTCAACTCAACATTTATATCTCTCCTTCATCCTATCCAACTGGACTCATTTCCTTGAAAGGCTGGACGGATTCAGAGTTTCTTGGATCAACTGCATTCTAGCTTGCATATCACTTGCACTATAGATCTAATCAACCTTATAATACTTTAGTTTCAATACCTCAAGAGAGACATGGTAGACGAATTCGAAATATTTCTTCAAAAAGGTCGAGAGATTGGACAAGGTGAATTGCCAATACGCTGGCTTGCATCTCTTGAAATTGCATTGTTTCCGTCTTCCAAAAAACATAATATTCGTACTCTGAATATGTCAATCAAGCTCAATCTTTTGATAATCTTGTTTCGTTATTTTAGCTCGTAATTCTCGTAGAGAGGAAAACTCGTTGATTTTGATTCTGAATACTCTGGCTTCGCACTATATTGAAAAGGCAAAATCGGAATCTGATCCATCCATCCACGATCAGTTTATTGCAAATGCAACACAGATTTTAAACGATGCCGAACGTTTGGATAGAATGCATTTGTACACTATTGTCGGAAAAGGTAGATTGTGCCATTCGCATCTTTGAAATCGTCCTGTATTCATTCTATTTTATTCAATTAGCAAACGTCATGCTTTCTCGGAACCAGCTTGATCAAGCACTGTACACATTCCGTGGAGCTCTAAACCAGGAACCAAACTTTTTACCTGCGCTTATTGGATCGGTAACCCTATACAGTTTTATATAATGGATGAGTGGTTTTGGTTTTAGCAATGCACTAATTTCCAAGAAACAGTCTTGCGTTCATTTTTTAAAACAAGATTTTAAATCTGCACTAGCCGGATACCAGACCATCCTTCGAATAAATCCAACCATTAAGCCAGATGTTCGCATACCCATCGGGATATGCTTTCACCGTCTTGGAATGGAAAAAAAAGCCCACGCTGCATTTCTTAGAGCAGTTTCTCTTGTAAGCTATTTCAACCCATTTCATCAAAACACTTGTTCAATGGCTGTATCGTAACTGACAGTAATAATAAATGGATAGAATCCAGATAACTTGGATGCGCTTGCTTTGCTATCCATCTTGGAAAACAATCGAGCAATAAGTACTACGGCAACACCTGAAGAGAAAAATACCGCCATGACTGCTGCTGGTGGCTATTTGGCTCGAGGATATCGTCAAAATAACCGTCACTCTATAATCTTTAACCTGATGTCCGATCGCTTTTTTTCAAAAGGAGACTATGGAAAGGTATCATTTCAATACCTTGACTTTTTTCAGTTTTATATCTGAAATGTGCAAGTCTAATATCCTGTATACATAAATGCGACAATGACAGGCTCGAGTGTTTTCAGAATCTGCTCTGCGTCTTCCTGGAAGTAAAATGTCCTGTGCAGATTCGTATGCGCTTCGTGGAAAAATCGCCCAGGCTGAGATGAATTATGACTTGGCCTACACCTGTTTTGTAAAGGCAAGTGAATTGAATCCCGACTCAGTTCTTATTCAGTTTGGACTTGGCCAGCTGCAAATATACAAGAGTAAGCATTTTTAATGTATATTTGAACAATGGTGTCAATCGATCCTAACATATTATAAAAACGACAGAACAATTTGATGAGGCTATGGTACCACTTGAAAAAGTACTTGCCAAAGTTCCAGATAATTACGAAGCATTGGCGGTAAGTTCAAAACTTGCAACTTCAAGAATTTGTATTGCTGAATTTTATATCTAACATGATTGATTGTGTTGTAGATTGCCACAGAGATTTATGCACAGCTACCAGATTCTGCCCAAAAAGTGTCAGAAAAACTGGATCGTTTAAAAAAGATCTTTCGTAGCTACTTTGAAGAGGAACATGGCTTTAAAGCCAAGACGGATGACGATGAATACATCAACGATCCCGAGTTGCTTATTGTTATTGGCTGCTATTTTTCAAAGCAAGACCTTAAACAAGCTGAAAAGGGTGTGCGATGATTGATCACTTGGAGATACAAAGCACTTTGGTTTTGAGCTTGTGTTAATTATCTTTTTATTGTTTGGCATTTAGCTTTTGATCGTGCCATTCGTATTTTGGAAACAATACCAGACATGTCAGTTGCACCGGAGCTTTTTAATAATCTTGGTGCTCTTTATCACCTTGATGCTCAACAGCTAATCCAACACGCGAGTGATTTGGGATCTAGTCGTCCAACCAGTCTTGGAGATTCAAGGTCTGCTTTGCAACTACTTGAATTGGCCAAATCTTTTTATGATCGCGCTTTTGAAGCAAGTCCAACTACTGTTGAACCGGGTGACGCTTCAGATATTTTACAGACTACTGTGCGATACAATCTTGCTCGTCTTAATGAAACTCTTGGTGATACAGAAAAAGCAAAGGCGCAATATCTTGCTATTTTGAACGATCATCCTGCATATGTAGATTGTATGTAAATTTTTAGTCCAGATGAGATATATACGGCTTTATAATGTTTGAGATTTGTAGCACGTTTTGATTAGTTTTATTTTTGTGCAGGTTTGCTTCGTCTTGGATATATATCTCAGAATAGTGGTGACAATGCAACTGCATTGGATCGGTACAGTGATGCTCTTGCCATTGACGAAAATAATGTCAAAGCATGGTCACTTGTTGCCAACGCCCATCTTGAGAGTAAGGCGCTTCGACCAGCTAGAAAAGCGTTTGAGAAAATTCTTCAAGAAATTGACAAGTACGACATGTTTTCACTATGCAGCACAGGAAACATGTGTCTAAAGTTTGCTCGTACTGATTCCAAGCAGGTAATTTTACTTTGCGTTTATTTTGGTGCATACAAGGTTACTATACTCATCAGGATAAACTATTTTTGGGGATTGGTGTGCAGCGCGATATTCACTGTAAACGTGCTGTCGAGTTTTTTACCAAGGCGCTTCGTTTGGACTCTCGTAACATGTATGCTGCTACAGGAATCGCCATTGCATTTGCTTACTTTGGTGATATGGACGAAGCCCGTGAAATTCTTACTCAGGTAACTTTTAATGTCGGTTGGTTAAACGTCAATACTATTGTCATTTTAATTTTGTGAGTTTCAATCTTTACTGCTTTTGAATAGATACAAGAGGCAGCTGGTACAAATATCAATGTTACTCTTAATTTGGCACACATTTTGGTGGAACTTGGACTTCCACATTCTGCTATTCCTTTGGTACGTGTTCCATCTGTATTATCAATGCATGGTCGAGTATTGTCACTAACTGCTTTATTGTGGCGCTAGTACGAGTCAATAAAAAAACGATCCACTACAGCCGATATTGATGTTATTCGATCCTTGGCCCGCGCACACTACATTATTGCGAAAACTGAAAAGCTGCCAGATGCAATGGCTACAGTAGCTGCAAGACTTAAAGAGGTTCGTATTTAGCACTACTTTAACGTATACATGGCGTATATTAATTACAATGAATCTGAAATGGAGTATTTAGGCTTGTGATTTGAAACCCAACGATTTGGCACTTCAATACAATTTGGCTCTGGCAAAGCAGCAGTATGCGCAAATTCTCAACGAACAACCTAAAGAAAAGCGACCTCTGTCGCTATTACGGAGCGCCGTAATAGGTTTGGAAGCTTCTGAAAAGTATGTATTTTAAAACTAGTTTTTTCATTGTGTTGTGAGTTGCAAGCCAGATTTGGTTTTTGCTCAAAGTGCTCCGTCTAATGAATCTTGTAGAACTTTTGAAGAATTAAGTAAGCACAAGCCAAATCCACAACTTGGATATGATGTTGAACGTGCCAAAGAACGTGCAAAGTATTCCAAGGGTGTGCGTCGTACTACAGAAAAAAAGATTCACGAAACCGAAGTTTTAGACTCGCAGCGCGAAGAACGTTTAGCAGAAATCCGTGCCAAACGTGAAGAAGCAGCCGAGATCAAGCGTAGTGAAGAAAAACAGCGTGCATTGAATGAACAACTTAGATTGGAAGAGCTCGATCGTAAACGTCGAGAGCTGCAAGCGATTGTTCAGGAAGACAATGAAAAAATGCGAGTTGAGTTGGAGATGGAAAAGGCAAAGCCTATACGTCGCAAGGCTGCTACGAATGAGGATGACGAAGATGACATGAATCAACACGTTGATCAATCTGAAGCTGATGGGTTCACACCAAGTAAAGGGTACGTTTCAAGCATGAACCATGTCAGTTGCTAAAGCTTGTTGGTGTGCATCTAACCATTTAAACTATAAACCATTTAGAAAACAAAAGCGTAAAAGGAAAGAAAAGATGAGAGAAAAGCAATCTAGTGACGAGGCACAGATTTTAAATACAAATTCGACAATAGCATCTGATGACGAGGATGAAATGATGATGAAACGAGCCAAAGTGTTGGGTGTCCGCTCGAAATTATCGACTGCTGTTATTGGGGAAAGCGATGAAGAGGAGTAATCTTTGATGGATGCCTGCAAAATGAATGCTTTAGCTTTATTCTCCAAAGTATCAAAATGCTCTTGTGGCTGCGTGCCGATAGCAAAAATAAAGCCGATGATATACTTTTAAACTGGCGCATTATAAATGCATCAAACATGGAAGCTGAGATCTATTGATTCTGTTTATTTAGATTAGACAAGGTGAGATAATAAAGCACAAGACCATTGTTTTGATCATTCATTATCGTGATCATCATCATTATCCAACGTGGGTTCATCCTCTTGCTTTACAGTAAAAGCATATGTTCTAGACGGTCGCTTCAAGATCTCGCTATTATCATCCGTACTCAGTCCTTCGGAGAATCCAATTGTTCTACGATGCGAGTATCCAGGAAACGCTTCAGGATGAAATACAAACGATCTTAAACAACTCATGCCTCCATTCGCCTTGGCTAACCCTTTAACATCCCACAAGTCGTATGGCATTCCTGTTTTGACAGTAATGTAAATCACACCATCTTTTGAATCTCCGTAAAGCGATCGAGAAGTAAGGAGATGCATGGCCGAAGCCAAAAAATCACTGATGAGTGTCTGGTTTTGCTGGATATTACGAGTTTGGTCCTTTATACCCAATCCAACATGTGGAAAATTAAAGATAATGCAATCAAAGCGTTTTGATTTTAGCAGTTTTGTTTTATGCAAGACGGTTGCATCAATGTTGAAGAGAGTAGTGGATTCCCAATCAGCAAGAAGTGCCAGATTTTCTACTGAATCGGGATACTTGGACACCACAGTAGAGTGAGAATCGTAGCTAGTTGCTGTGAGATGAAGGGTTCCAGAAAGTTCTTGTATGAGAGATGCAGCAAAACTGAAATTCCCTTCGCCAACTAAAAGAACAGTATCATCCGATTCAAAATAAAAACTCTGTTGGCTCTTGATGCTTCGAATTACACATGGTTGAGTTGCAGTAAGAGATCCAGTCTTGGCATGTGGTGATGATCGCTTTTTAACGTTGGATGAGGGTGTGGATTGCTGTTTCTTGGCATGTTTGGATACTGGCTTACTCATGTTTTTGAGTAGCTGAACCAGTTTTGCCTTTTTTGGTTTTCCCATTGTGTTCTGTATTCAAAAAACTGTTGTCAAAAGTATTAGAAACCTTGCAATCGTATTCATGTAAAATAAAACTGATTTATTTTTAAAAAAAATGGTTGAATATTTGTTACGCTTATTAGGAATTGACCTTTTCAATACAAAATCTAATACATGTTCGCGCTCCAACTCAGAGTGTCAAGGTGCAGGACATACTAAAACTGCAATATACTGATTTAAATATGCGTCCAGTTGCTATTAGTGTTTTATTTACATGAATGCGACTGATTTCAGGATAAACAAGTGATTCGTTTACAGAAAAAAACTTGACACTCAAAGGTTTATCATCAACCCTGCACGGTTTGATTTGAATCAAAAGTTATTCAAGTATAGATTATCATGTTCATTTCAAATGACAGCTTGTTTATTCAAGTTGCTCTGCAGGGATCATGGGATTCTCCTCACTGTAGATGTTGCTTGCCTAAAAATAAATTCAATTAGACAAATAGTTCAATGTGCTGTATAGATTAAATCAAAAAACACCCATTACCATCTGCCACACTTGACATATATTGTCTTCTGCCACACTGCATAGAACCCATGGATCGTTAGAATTCCAGCTAAAGTCTGAGATTTTGTTGGTATGGCCACCATGTACAAAGAGAAGTTCTGGTGGTCCATCCTCAGCATCTTCTGGAGATTGCTCCTCGCCAATACGGCTAAGATCCCAAATATTCAATCTTCTGTCGCCACTGGAACTGGCAAGAATGGTTTCGTTATGAGGAGACCAAGCAAGCTGCAATATTTCGTCCTGGTGAGACTCGAATGAGTGCAGACGATGTTGTAGATTGCGCATATCCCACAAAGCCACAGTCTATGCAAGACATTCCATATATATCGAATAAAAGCAACTTAGTATTAGTATCGACATGACATTTAATTCACCTGCAGTGCATTGAGCGCGGTGATGAATTACCTTGTCGGCAGAACCTGTGGCAAGAAGATGTTCGTTCTTTGGGTTGAATGCAACACAGTTGATTTCAGCAGAATGAGTATCAACACAAAATGATGCCTTGCTGGAGGAGGCTGAGCGTGTGTCCCAGCTGTAAACATGCATATAATTACAAATGTCTTGTTAAATACTCTGAACAAGTGCGTTATTTTTACATCAATATCTGCATACAAAAACATGGTACTTGCATCATCATTTTTCTATCATCACCCACAGAGGCAAATACAGATTCGATCAGCTCAGACCAAGCAACGTCCTTTTCAATAAATCGTATCAGTAATACGTAGACTTGACAAAATTCAGCTGCCTATAGTGTACACTTACTTCAACCCAAGCAGTATGCGCAGTGTATTTTCGAACTGGATCCATGGTTTTCCTATCTTTAGAAAACTTGCGGATATCCCAAGAGCAAATAGTAGTGTCTTCAGAAGCAGTGAGCAGGTCACCCTCGCGACGAGAATGCCATGACATGCCATAACTGATAGTTTATAAGCTGTTTAATCAGTAAACTGCAGACATTGCCCAATAGAACCCAACACAAACATCCAATATTTACTTACCCTTCTTTGGTATGACTGACAAGTTTGATTTCTGGATTGCAGATACCATCAGAACTTGGAGTCGATGTATGCTTTGTGCGATCAAAAATATAGACAGGACCCATGCAAGTGCGAGTAGCAATAATATCTGGGTTTTGAGGCATATACCTTGCTCTAGAACATGGGGTAAATTGTCCATAAAGTCAGAATGAGTGTGATTAGTTTCAGACACAAGATCTTGGGAAAATACCAAACCAAAGTTGATTAGATGTAAACATTAATAGATTACCTGTTGACTTCGCCATCGTGATTGATCTTTTGAATAATATTGATTTTGCAATCAGCACCACCGTAGCCGCCAGCATCTGCTTTCAACCACCAGAGTTTACACAACAATTGTCCATATCAGTCAAATGCAAATCAGAGTCAGCCAAAATTCGCAATAGGTTAAATTCAAAAGGAAATAAAAGTACTAACCAGACAACACATCAATGCAACTTACCACCACGTTCATGGTCGTTGCTTTGTCCATTTACTTCAACATTCTCATTAGGGAGTTGAACTTGAGCGATCTGCAAGTAATTTTGTGCACCTTCAGAGGTATGTGTTCCAATAAGAAGTCTATGCAGAACATAGTCCTTTCCTTCGGGCCTTGATAGATATGCAAAGACCAAACACAGATACGAACATCAGTGATTAAACCGACAAGTTGGAATCAGAATCAACCACACAGATTACCGTTCAACATCAGGAAACCACTGGCAGGTCAAGGTAGGCCATTCAAGAGCATGAGTAACTACCAGACTATATCAGGTTTAAAACAAGATTAGTGTTTCTAGTAATAGACTGGACAGGAATACGACCAAGATCATCAATAGAAACGCTTGCTCCCACTATTTATAATCGCAAGATACCAACAGAAATCCTTACTCATAAAGAAAAGGACTGTTTTTCTTCCAGATCTTGTACTCTTCGTTGATGAGCTTCTCCTCCATGATCATACGGTCCTCTTTTTTGTAGTTTCCTAAGATTGTGCAAGTGGAAAAATAAGCATAAAGTGCAAGCAGTGCATTGGTAAGTGGAAGATCAAGACTGAGCGTATACATTAGTTTATGCATAACAGAATGAAGATCTGGCAGATGTCCAGGCCATCAGATTGAAACGCAATTGGAGTCGGACAAGTGGATTTAAAGCCTTTATCAAAAATAAAGAATATCATCAAGAAACACAGCGTAAACAGGATCAGCAGTAATCTTTGAAGTAGTACCTCCAAGGTGTGCAGACTCGGCATCCACAGGCAGCGTCATTATCAGCGTAATTGATTTCAAGCCAGACAAGAAACGCAATCAAATTGTATGCACAATTAACCACGTGTTGGCCACGTGTGTATCACGTGTGTATCAATCACTTGTGCAGTTTGGGTGTTTGCAGTCCAACCCAACAACATGCAAACCAATCTGTCTGCCACCACCGGCAATGTCTGGATTGACTGTGAAGATCATGAAAATATTAATGAAAATACAGACAATGTTTCTATTGAAACTGCTGATTTGCTCATGAATGCGTTATCTAATCTGACATTTGACGATGAAGGATTTGCTACCGAGACTTCCGATGCTCAATTACAGGTTGAAGATTCAATCCTAGGACTCTTGCGAGAACATAGCTGTAATCCAAATCCAGTGTATGTCTTATGAGTCCTGGAAAATGATATGAATTGACATTATCGCATTTCATTAATGCATCGGGTTTATTGACAATGAGAAATTAATATCGTCTTGTATGGATGTCGTATATATTGACTGCCATATTCACATAAAATGGATCACTTTTCTGTATCTTGCATTGCTTGTATCTTGTTTGAATGATACAATGGCCAAATATGTGTTACGCTCTTTTACTACAAATTGATCTGTTTAATCGACACTTTCAATTCTTTAAAGCAACGTTCATATAATGTTCACACAAACTATAGTTTTGAACTGAAATCATTTCTTTCTCCACATTTGGCATAGCCATGCATTTTACGATCGTTAGACTCGTTACAATACAGTACAAGTTTGATGTTGTCAAACTTTTAAACTCATACGTTCGCGTTCTAGTTTGAAAAGATTGCACTGTTGTTTACATGCCAATCATTTCATTGATACTGGCTGTTTATTATTCACACTTTTATTCCGTGTTTCATTCTATGTGAATATGGCTGTAAATAGACACTTGAGAATATTAGTTCTATTTATTTTACTCATGTGCTGTTTTTGAATTATATTATTAGGTTATTACGATCAAAGCATATTGATTACATTCAACACGCATTTGCTGGTCTCAAATGTGGATGGGTATCTCTAGATGCAAGCAAACCTTGGCTAATCATGTGGATGATGCATACCTTGGATCTACTTGGCACTGAAATTCCCCTTACCATTAAAATACGTGCTGTCAGTTCATTGGCTGCCTGTCAACATCCTGATGGTGGATATGGCGGTGGACCTGGTCAAATTCCTCATCTTGCAACAACTTATGCTGCTGTAAATGCACTTGCAATCATTGGAACTGAGGATGCGTTTCAGTCAATTAATCGGTACATTTTATTGGTTGATGTGGTGACTAACACACTGTTAGCTTGATGGAATAATCTGTTATGAGCTAGTTAATAACTCTGCAATTTTAGATGGAAACTGTATAATTTTCTGGAGCAAATGAAGCAAGAAAATGGATCATACCGCATGCACAATGGAGGGGAGATTGATGTTCGGTAAGATTTACTTTGCGTACATTTTGTTCGACTGTAAATCGATTATTATTTTAAAAATCATATTCAAAATGTTACTCTTTATATCAACCATGCTAATATTCTTTAAAATATGTTTGTGTTTTGGTATAGTGGTACCTACTGCGCAGTGAATACAGCCAAACTGCTTCATATTCTTACTGACAAATTGATGGATCGCGCAAGTGAGTTTATCGTCCAATGCCAAAGCTACGAAGGCGGTATGGGTGCTGTTCCTGGCATTGAAGCTCATGGTGGATACAGTTACTGTGCTGTAGCTGCCATGGAGATCATGGGGAAAATGAACATGTTGGACATGGATGCTCTCACAGTGAGTTGCACTAGATTTAGAACATGCGAGTTGGGTACTGATCTATAGTAAAAGTATTTTCAGCTTACAATCATACTTTTTTGTTTATTGTTAAGCAATGGGTCTGCTCTCGTCAAATGGCACTAGAAGGTGGCTTTAGTGGACGTGCCAATAAGCTCGTGGATGGATGCTATTCTCTTTGGCAAGGCGGTATCGTGTCACTGATTGAAATGCATCTCAAACGCAAAACAGGCCAGCAAGGTAAAGCATAGCTTTTATCATTGGCTTGAAACTTTTGCGCATGTTTATGTATTCTAACTTTTCAAATTCAGTCAACCTATTAAATCGCGGTAATAGATTTAGTTTTAAACACAGGCAGTGCTGAAGCTGCTTAAATACTAATCTTACATTTTGAGTAGATGCACTTGAAAGATACATTGTAGTCTGTTGCCAAGGCGGGCGAGGGGGCTTAAGGGACAAGCCTAGAAAGTATGAAGTTGCAATAGGTTTAACGCCCATCTTTATATCTTACTGGCTGTTTGTATGTATTTTACTCACAATGCTTTGTACGTGTCCTATCATTCCAATGAATAGACCAGTTGATTATTATCACACCTGCTACTGCCTTAGTGGTCTTTCAGTTGCTCAACACATATACACGGAGCATAATGGTCAAGTTACGGCCGTACCACGGTCGCCTATTTTTGGCTCTTCTACAAACCTTGTTGTAAGTACTAATACAATTGCATAACCCGCCAAGATAAATGCAATATTGACCTGCTAATTCGCAAATATGTATGGTTGATTGTAATTAGAATCCGACACACCCAGCATATAACATTTGCATCAATCGTGCCAAAAATATCATTGATTATTTTTCAAAAATTGACATGACAGAATCCCGTTCTTAAAGTAAAAGCATTTTATTGATCTGGTTGGACAATGGCTGTTTTCGTTCTTTTCAATATCGCTTATTATGCGCGCTTAAATAAACCAATCGGGTCTAGTCAGTATTTGATTTGTAAAAACCCTCCAGCATTTGATATCTTTTCTTCATTCAACTATGTTTCACAAAGGATGACAAATCGACCGTAATGGTGATAATGCCAATGATAATTTCAAAGGCTATTTAGCGATACAATCAAGTAGAATCAATTCACAAAATAAGTTAGTGTGCACATTTCAACGTATATTCAAACCATTGCAAGTTTCTTACCAATAAGGATAATCACAATCCATTCAAGTTGTTCTCCATGAGAGCTATTGAGGTGCTCTTTAAGCATATCTAGTAGATCTGATATCACAGATACGCGCTGATTCAATAGCTCCACACTAGACAAGGTTTTAAACACAATTAAAACGAGACTGTTAGGTGAATATACAATACAATCCAATCCATTTAGTAAAATCAAAAGATTACCGCTGCGAAATTTCAAGATATCCACGAATAGCCATATACAATGGTTCCAATGGAGGCTCACTCCTAAAATACATAAGCAACATGATCCCAACAATAACTGATAAGCCATCTATATATTTGGGTAGACTGCCAAGTCAGGTATGATTTACCAGAAAATCTCAGGAGTGTCTAAACATAAACAGATACGTTAGGAGTTGTACGCTTATTAAATACAGCAATGAGAATACACATGACCTTACCCAATACATTTGAAACTAAATTAACGTTAATTCGCATAATAAATAGTTGACCAATTTTCTTGTTGATCGCAGTTCTATAACAAGGATTAGAACCCCGACAGGTCAGTCAAGTATACGTTCAAATACAATACAGTACCTTGACATGTGTATCTTTCCTTCTTCAGCCATAATTTGAGGTACGTGCTTAGTGCTCTCAATGGTTTCTTCAATCAGACCCTCAAATAGCGTCAGTTTTACAGACTGAGCAATTGCATGTGAAATTGTGATTTTTAACATAAAATTTGCAGGGTTTCTAAGAGTGATGATGTCATTGTAAATACGCGGCTGATAGAAAGCTACAGTCGCCAAATATGCGAGTTAAATTACCATATTATATGCCAGTTAGTGGTATATTATATCGTCCAAAAGGTTTAAAATAAGGGTTATAATCAGGTATAATTTACTGTTGTAGTGGAAATAAAACTGCTCCGTTTCAATAGACGATGCAGCTAAAATAAGTAACAGTGCAAATAATACAGTTAGAAACTCGGAGTGATTTCATGCATATATACATTGAGCAAAGCAGTCTACAATTCAATTGTGGATATTATGACATACGCAGATTCTCTTCTTCAAACCGCTCTAGATCATCCAAAATGATATGCTCTTCAGACTCGGTCAATCCCCACATGACAACAACGCCATAGTCAAAGTAAAGAACTTCTCCGATTGGGGCAATCCGTTTGGCTAAATTCTCATATGGAATGTTTCCAGGAATGCTTTTTCCAGAAGCATCAATGTTTTGATCAAAAAAGGAATTCACATCACCAACAGTGGGATTCAGTAATGTTCCAATTTCCTGTATATGGTCATGCACAGGCCGTATATCGATCAAATCTGGTGCGTTTAAATCTGTTTCTGAAAAGTTGAACGGGGTGTATATGACTAGCGAATCATCCAAAAGCAAGCGTGTCCATTATTAATAAGCAACACCAATAGACCAACCTCATTTTAAAATGAAACTCGACAATGTATACCTTCATCAATCCGCTTGGGTGAAATGTGATATTTTGCTTCTTTTTGTTTCAAGTGATCCATGAGTGCATCCATTTTATATGTACTAATCCAATCCATGCCAAATGGTGTATGGTGTTAACATTGATTTAAACATTCAATAAGCATGGTAATTAAATGAGATTTTGATCAATCGACATACTTGGCAGTACAATAAGCAGTCACCCGAGGAAGCCATTTTCTCTCCAATTTGGTCAGCCATCGTTCTTTGATTGTCTTTGCGGTAACATGGGGTAATTGAGGAATCTGATTGCAGTCTTGAGCATTGTCAAAGTCGGCAACATCAGCTCCAGCAGGTCCACCTTCAGGAAACAGCGTCAATTTCTGGGACGTCTTGGTTGTTCTAATATATATACGTTGATTCAAATAAGTCAATTTGCCTCGCGTATTGTCCAATATAAAAGCATTCAACATTTAGAATGCAAAAGTAATTCACAGCTCAAATACACGAATATGAACAACCAGTTTGGCAAAACTTTAGTTCAAATCCAAAATGCAACAGTGCTGGTACAACGGGTTATCCAAGTGCTAGGGTTGTAAAAAACAAGATTACAAGGTTGATACCAGATCAAAGTATTGACCCGCCAAGTAAAAGTAGGAATGCATATTAAACCATATCTTTGAAATGCAGTTCTTGTACATGAGATTATCAACAGAACGAGAATCAACGTAGCATATAGACTCGCTTAAAAAAAGTATAATTGAGATGTAAAAACCGACCTTTTTGGCATGCGTTGAGGTTGATTCTTTCCCACCATTGGAACGTAAGAAAGAGTGGCAACAGCCGGATAAGACATTAGTCCAGCACTTAGAGATTGGGTTGTGTTGGAAGCAATTTCAGTAGTAGGTGGAGCAGTAGCAGTTCTCTCCATTGCAACTCCATTATCAGTCAATGCAACACCATTGGACGTAGATTGGTCGTAGCTCTGTTGCCATACAAGTGGCAGTAGGGGCTCCGATGACTCTGAGTTTCTATTTGACCTGTTTGGCAGCGAAGCGTTGGCAGCAGTGTTTCCATTGGCAGATGCGAACGATGCCATGGTTGCGGTGAGGAAAGATCAAGACGATCATTTAAATGATCGTTTAAGTTGCACAATGTAAATCACGTGTTGTAAACTGATCGTGTTCGCTCTAGTTAATGCTGGCCTGCTGGCTTTTGCTTGACTGCGACCATCCACAAGCTATCTTCATCCATGAATACTATAAATAGCAGCACATCAACTACTATTTCAGATACTGATGGTTAGTCTATTCAATTTATATTCCACTTGCTCAGCAGTTTGTCTTGTTCATGCCGAGTTGGCTTCATGTTGATTCTCGTCAAGATTTGACTAGAACGGTCGGATTCAAAGTCAACCCCACTAAACAACTCTTTAACATGATCAATTTTTACCTTTTCATTTTAAACATTTCTATTTTATTTAAATGTGTCGCTATCTACAGAGGGTCGCAGAGATGTAGAGTTTAGAAAGTTTGGATCGGCCATCGAGCGTGCACTTCAGTCATTTGATTCTGTCAGTGAATGGGCTGATGTCATTGGATTTCTCACTCGACTTGGAAAGGTTGTATATTCCAAGTTACTATGATGGTCGTAAAACTCGGATCTAATGTGATTCATTGTCTATTACGGATCAGCATACTCACCATGTCAACACTCGTGATATATAATTATTGAATGCATTTTTAATAGATCTTTCAGCTCAACCAGCAGTTTTCGGCCGTTCCAAAAAAACTAATTGTTTCAAAACGTCTTGCACAATGTCTTAATCCAGCACTACCCAGCGGTGCTCATGCCAAAGCACTCGAAGTTTATTCCTTGATTTTTCAAGCTGCAGGAGTACGCTTTTTGTTGTTTTATTATTGTGTATCTACTTTATTTAGGCATTTTTATTTGATTTTAGTTAGATTGTTCACTAATCAATATCTGACACCAATATTTTTCATAGAAAGCACAAATGGCTGAAGACTTGATGTTGTGGTCATATGGCCTGTTTCCATTTGGTGCGCATGCTGCAGTTGCTGTCAAGGTCAGATACGTCCTGCTTTAAATTAGCATTGAAAACCACTGACATTTTTTCTGGATTTATTCCAATCCAGCCACTACTACTGGGTATTTATGAAAAATTCTATGTTCCACTTGGAACAAGTCTTCGTTCAGCACTAAAAGGACTTATTCTGGCCATTTATCCCATGCTTGAAGAAGAAGGAAATGAGTTCTTTGACAAAGTATGTAGTATGCATCTAAATGTTACAGTCTGGTGCTAAAGTTGTCAAGTCTGACTGATCATTTGCAAAGGCAGTGTCCATTTTGGACCAGATATCATTGGCAGTCGACCATACATACTTTTTTCACGCGTTGTGGCTCTCAATTATATCTGCAAGCAATCAGCGTCTTTCAGCAATACACTATATACTTCGACGGTTTTCAAAAATGAATAGCACAGAAGATATGGTCGTTGTTGTTGGTAGTAGTACAATCAATGATCAAGCTGAAATCTTGGCCCCTGCCTTGGTTTGTCTATTGAGCGATAAATCAGCTTTAGTTCAGCGTGGTGCACTTGAATTGCTTGTCACACACTTTCCAGCGACTACAACGTATGCTATTCTTTTTGAATTTTCATTTGGTGAAAATATTTACCACATGATTGGTTCTCTGCCGATAAATAACATTCGAAACATTGTATTTTAGACTATTGACTGTAGATGATATGCAACGTGTAGTTAGTGCTGCTGTTGGAGTTGTTCTTCGTCGAGACATGTCATTGAATAGACGGCTATACTCGTGGATATTGGGTAATCAAATACATATCTTTTAAAGTGAGAGCAGAGCATTACTTGACAATGCAACCCTTGCTTGTTGTATTAGGATCTGCTGAAGTACCGCTACGTAATGTATCAACCAACATTTCTCTGGTGTCGCAGGCTCTCAAGGTACAATACATTGCTTTATGTACTGATTTTATAGCACAACTTTTGCTGTAATACATTCTGAAATGATACCTTTCAATCTGACTGCATGTCTACGTTATCAATTATAGTGCATGTTTTATGCAAACAATTCTGCTACTCCAATTTCAGAACTTAATCGTCCTTATAAAATCATCATCTCGCTGCTGGATAAACCTGAACTTGGACCATTGATTATGGACACGCTTTTTTTGGATATTTTACGCTCACTTAAGCGACATTGTGAGCGCTCTAGCCAGCTTTCTGCAGAAGTAAAATGGATTTGGTTTTGTATGCACAACTATCATAGCATTGCCCAACTCACGATTGTTATTTTCTAGCTACTTTCTGTTGCAACTATGCTACTGGACAATCTTGATGCGTTTTTTATTTGGAAGCAGCTACATGAAATGCTGACGCTTGATAAGGATCATATAGAAATTCAGGTATGTTTATAGGCGAATTTGAAATGCCCTTTATTCATAACACACTTTTAAATCTTGGATACAATACTCAGTATTTTATTTGTATAGGATCTGGAACTGATTTTATTTGTACTGGAAAGTTTTAAATTTTCTGATGACGAAACACAGCGTGTGCATTTGCCATTCCTCTATCAAACTATTAGCGCTTCGCTGCAGATCACCTCGGAATCTAATCAACATCAGTCAAATATGGAACTGAGCTTGCGATTGTACATTTGTGCTAAAATTTCTGTACTTGTTGATAGCAATGTGTTTTCTAATTCATGGAATCTTCGCGAGTTTCGTGGGCTGAGTTTGGAGCGACGCGAGCGTTCAGCGTCTGAAATGAATATAGAGATGCATCCTTCAGACAGTATGGATAATGTATCATCACAAGATGCTTTGTGTGATTCTACAATGGAATTACTTTCTGGAAATTTGGATCTGTTGATACCAAGTATTTCTGCAGTTTACAGTTTAGCCGATTCCAGCGATCCACGCGTCCGAGATCAGCTTCAAAAGATCACGGTTGGTAAATCTCCATTAGACGCAGCACTAGCCTCAATACGCATCTTCACAGACTTTTTTATTCGTTGTACAAACCCAGCCGAATGTGTTTTTACAAGCAATACTCAATCTGATCAATCCTACAACTTTCGAATATGGGATTGTCTTATGAAAATCCTATCACGTCACGTTGAAGCTGGATCCTCGTTTTCAAAGTTTGATAGTGTGTGGATGAATGCCTTGGTTTCATTCAGTACTAGAAGTGATGCCGATTTTTCGTTGACGACTCTTGGGCTACGCACCTCGTTTTCTATTTTAATTTCTGCTCGATCACACTCTCGCACAACGATATCACACAGACTTTTATCTGAATCTAATATCAGCTTGATATGCTTTAAATTGTGGAATTTTTTGGTGTTTGAGCATCTACCATTCCACTCGGATTGCGTTGCGTTGATATTGAAGTTGACTGATATTACTGGTGTAGCTATGATTGAAGACTGCATTACAAAGCTAATGTCTCAAGGAAATACCAATCATCGCATTGAAGAGTTTTATAAATTTGGAATATTCTGGCGACATTTGGGTGAGTTTGAATTTATTGGGTTTGGTTGTCTCGACACTTTGCATGACCTAAGATCAAGCTACTCTGTAGAATCATGAAACTGATATCCGTGTATTTTTTGTTGTGCATTTTATTTTAATTTCTATATTAGAAAGGCTTAATTTGAACACCTGCTTGCTCTTTTCTCGTCCTCTTTTGCTTGTGCTTGACTCTCTCAAGAGTTATGATTTGCAACTGCAACTTTCTGCTCAAAATTGGATTCAATTGTTTGTAAAATCGTATGCTAGGTAAAGTAGATGATTTGATTGCTGTGTATGCTAATTGACTTTTAAACCCAACCACTAATTTGCTAATGTATTTATAATTCATGTAAATGTATGAAATTTTAAATCAGAGTCATACCACTACTTTTGACTGTTCTTACACACGTAGATATCTGCTTTGAGGTGATAAATGTACGAATTGACTCTGAATACGTTCAAGTAACCCGATTTACAAAACCCTTCAATCAAGCACAGGCCGGTCGCGCTTTTGATATTTTGAATCTATTGCTTGAATTTGATGACGTCAACTTTTTAAATTCAACCATGTCTTCCACCTTGATACAACCATGGATTGAATCTGCATGCATGTGGCCAGAAACATGTTTTGAAATCAGCATACCTAAATTAACGCTGCTGGATACAGCTATCATTATCTCGCTGAGATTTATTCTGGCCGATTTTGTTGATCTAGAATACCCTGATCCCAATGACCTATGTGCACATTTATTGATTCAGCAAAACTCGTGCTTGTTTCTGCAAAAAATCATTTCCCGATCAAGTGTGATGCCCGCATCGATTTCGTTTCTTGTTCATGATATGATTGTTTGCAAACTCCAAATATGTTTATTAGAAAAGAAATTGGAACTTCAGCCGCATCTTTTGAAGATTCTTGGCTTGATCTCAACACATGCTTATCAACACTACACTTTTCATCAACTTCATAGACTAAAGGCGGCCAATGATGATGCCATTCTTAAAGACAAGCCATTGATTGTAAAAACCATGCTAAAGGCAATATCGTCTCATCACAATCGCTCTATGCTAAAATATTGGCTAAACCTTGTACTTGCAAATATGCCGCGATTTCAATCCTACTTCACTTCGATTGTCTTGCCATTGTTTATTACAATGTGTGTTGAGTTGCGCGAGACACAGCATCAGTTTGCTCGACTGGCCCAATTTAGCATACCAAAATCAGCATCTGCACAAAACCTATTTTTTGCAGGTGGTTCCGGTTATAAACTTATTTCTGATCGGTCATCTTTCAATCTTTATGCCAACCCAGAATTTGACACATTGGCACTTCTTAATGGTATAAAAAGGATGTTGTTATTTAGTCTTCAGGAGGATAGAGGCATGTCGGGTGGAACACAATCCTCGAATGATACCCGTGGTCCTCTACTCAACATTACTTCTATTATTGGTAGTGTGTTAGTTCGTGATTCTCTGGGATCAGAGTCTGCAAACGATACTACCTCATTGCAAGGAGCCATTGATTTTGCTACAAAAAGCAAGATACTTGAATTGATGCCTGGCTTGTTTGCAATTCTTGCCGAGTATTGCACGATACTCGATAGGTATGAAGCAAAAGATGTAAAGCAAGACGGAGATTCAAACAGTCGTTTGGATGATAAAAGTAGCATTGCTGGACAAATTCGAATTTCTGTCAAGTGGGTGGTTGAAGCTGTTTACAAAACGTATCCGCAACAATTCATGGACGCGATTATTGAAGTGTGGTTTACTGAAGTCGAGCAAGCACCCAAGGTACTACTAAATAATTGCTGTTCCAAATGTGAATTTTTCCGTTTAACCTTTGTTTTTTAAACTTGCTTTATTATTATGGCATATAGCATGAAAGTCAAATTAAACATGCATCATTGTCACTCTTGGAATTGATTTCAGAATGCTCACAAAAAACTGTTGTCAATGTTGTGACGGAAGCAATGCGATTTCAACTGCCGTATTTGTATCTGTCTGCTTCGGCAAGTTTAAATAGAGACAAGTCAAAGGTTATCAAGCCAATGTGAGTCAGGTTCATTGAATCGCTATTTCTGCTTTTTATATGTCATTGTTTTTAACCTATTTTGAATGTGCAATCTTGTTGACTTGGGCTAGCCCCGATCTGAGTCTTTGTGCCTTTCTCGAGTATTACATTCGAAGCGTTGCCTCGTCAACCTACTTGAAAGAAAGCATGCCTATTTTGATAGCATACTTTAAGGAGGCGTGTGTTCAAGCTTCATCTATAAAATATATATTTCCACAACTGCTTTGCTTAATTGATTCGATTTTTGAAAAACTCCAAGGCATGACTACAGCGGAAGATAAACGTATGCGTCGTGAGGCAGAGGTAGTATATTGTTTAAAAATGTGACAGTTACTTATTACATGCTTACTGTGAATATGTGATTTTCAGGAAATACTCCAGCGAGTGATGGACTATTGTATATTGATTATTGGACGTGCGTTTGATCAAGGATCATGGCGCCGTGTTGTTACGGGAGATGTGACAGATTCGTTGTGTACGTTGATTTATTTTCCAGTATGAGCTAGCCAGCGTCAATACCTTGATGAATGATGCAACTAATACTGCTATGCATCTAATTGAGATAGTTCGAGATGAAAAGAGTGATACAACTACCGTGCGTGAATTGGATCCGCTTGGATTTGTTTCTATGGCGAGATCCACCACTAAACCAAGCGAAGATACTTTAATTCAAGAGGTATTGCTGATTGCTCTATAAAGCCATTCATTGTGATGCTAGTTTAATGATTGCTAATGATACGTTTACTTGTGATACAGACAATGGTTTATTTTGCAGACAAATTGATTCCAAATTTGACCAAGCTTATTCAGGACAATGACCGAATTGTAGCACTTTCCACCAACTTCACTTACTATGTGACTTCACCCATGTTGAAATCTCGACATAGGTAAGCTTTGGCCATTTGTTATTGATTAAAATGGCGAAAAGCTACTGAATAACAATATATTGACGTTCTGATTATTTTTAATTATAGTATGAACAAGCTTTTTTTAAACCCGGTACTCGATTGTATCTGTGCGTTTTCACAAATTCCCTCATCTCTTAAAGTATGCCGCAAAGATCTATGGGAAGCATTTCTAGACCCTCGCTTTTTTCAGCTTGGTTCACTCAGTTCCAAAAAATGGCAAAAAATCATGCATGCAGTGATGGCGTCTGACAAGGAACGACTCGCTGAACTATTAGCACGGATCTCAACTACATCATCGACAACGCTGTTTGTATCGCGTGAGCAAGAGTTGACCAATCGAGCTCAAATGTTACGAAGACTATCGTTTACTCTGTACGCTGCACCCAAAGATTTCTACTTGCCGTATCTTCCGGGGATCCAAGAAAAAATTGTTGAAGTTTTTAAAAACCCCTATATTATATTGCAGCTTGAGGTATAGTTTAGATGATGGGTTGTTTTTGGTGCTTTGGTGCTAATGCATTGATACTCTTAAATTGATCGACTTAGGGGTTTTTTTGCTTGCGGATTCTTTTTTGCCGTATCTCAGCCAAACACATGTCCAACTTTTGGCCAATGATTCTTAGCGAACTGGTAATTTTAATTTACTGTGAATAGCTCTTTTATGTATGCATGCACTGACTGATTTTTATTACAGATTCGAGTATTTAGTATTTATATTTGCGATCCGGCACTAAATAAGCCAGACGATCTTGCGCTTCTCCTTGCAGCATGCAAACTTGTGGATATTTTGGTTATGCTAGGCATAGAAGAGTTTCAATGGTAAGCTTTGATTTTTCCAAAACTATTTTGGACGTATCTAATGCCAATACCATGTATTTCTATCCATTCAAGGCACCAATGGCTGTTTATTACAGAAACGTGTAACATGGAATCGTATCATAGATCTGGGGAATCTACATCAATTTCAGATCTATCTAAACCCGCTAGTTTATTGGACAGACTTGGTAACAAGTGGATTTCTGCATCCGGATCAATGGATGACATTCCATTGGCACAAAATAGTAGCGATATATTTGGCGAAACTGATGGTTCTCTTGATCGTGACATAGATCCTTTGGGTACAGGCCACACAAAACTCCGTCGACCTATGATTTCCCAACGAACCATCTACCATCGATCGAGCTTGGACTGGTTTGTGCGTCATGTCAGTCGTGTAGTTTACAATGATACTCTTGGAAACCGACTTCCTGATATGGATTATTTGGATTGGCTTCTTGAGCAAGAATTTCCCGATATGGATTTGGTCAAGCCATCTGGCAGTACACAGTCACTGAATGCATCTGGAGGTAGCGGATCTGGATGGGTTTCGCCACCACTTGGCCTAGCAACTCGAGAGAATTCCAAGAGAACACCAAACCGAAACATTGGAACTACGCTTTATCATTCTCCACGAAATACAACCCAATAAATATATTTATATATGCTTTGCGATACTGTAGCATGTTGGATTTTATCCCAGATTTTCACGTGACACACTCGAAGCTATTCAATAATTTGTTTTCAAGCAGCATTCTTGTAATACCGGATTGAAAATCTGCAACCTAGCGATCAAGATGAGTCGACGGGTAATGAAGCCAGTAGCACAAGTGAAGCTCACAAACGTATCTATAGTACGACTCAAGAAGGGTGGTAAAAGGTTTGAGATTGCCTGTTATAAAAACAAGATTCTAGAATGGCGAAGCAGAGTGTAAGTTGCTAGTCCATATCACCTTTTTAAAATAAGAATAAATGGGTCATTCCAACTTACTCTATGTTTTGGGCCGTACAGTGAAAAGGATTTGGATAATGTACTTCAGATCAACCAGGTTTTTCTCAATGTTTCCAAGGGACAAGTAGCTAGCAAAGACGATCTTATCAAGGCATTCCAAACGGAAAACTCTGAGGAAGTGGTCAGACAAGTAAGTACCTTTTGGGGTAAATCCAGATGCTATTATAGAAATGGACACTATATGCACGATCAACATTCACATTGTTTTAGATATTAGAAAAAGGGGATATTCAAGTTGGCGAAAAAGAGCGCACTCAGCAGCTAGATAACATGTATCGGGATATTGCCACGGTTGTTGCAGAGAAATCAGTGAACCCAGAAACAAAGCGACCGTATACAGTTACAATGATTGAAAAGGCATTGAGCGATATACATTTTTCGGTGCATCCAAACAAGGGGGCAAAGCAACAAGCCATCGAGGCAATAAAGTTGCTGAATGAAAGTAAAACGATCCCAATATCCAGAGCACAGATGCGGCTGCGAGTTATCATGCCAGCAAAGGATGGAAAGCGACTCAAGGATAAAATTGCCCAGATTATCACGAATGTGGAAGTCGAGGATTGGAGCGATGACTATGAATTGGTAAGTTTAAATTAGCTCATGCCGTTTAAATAGGTTGATTTGTATATTCTAATGACACCAACTAATCACATTGATGTGGCTTGCTGCACTGAATATCTGATTAGATTACTGTAATTGATCCTGGTAGTTTCCGTAAGATTACCGATTTATTGCAAGAGGAAACCAAAGGACGTGGCCAAGTGGAAGTTCTTACACTAAACGAAAGTGTAGCTGATGAGCAATAAATTCATATTACAATTGTCTATGATTGCCATTTGATGCAATCTGTGGTTTGGCAATAAAATTGTTTAAATTTATACTCGCTTATTTCACCATTGTCCATCCAATCGAGTACGTTGATCCAAATCAATGTCATTTAGGTAAACACATGCAACTGACAGTGGTCACTGTTTACTTGCTGCTAGCAAGTGCAGACACTACTTTTAGAATCAAGGCTGATATATTCTTGCCGTGCAATAGACCACCTGAACCCAACGGAGCCAGCGGTAGCAGCAATCCTGACAGAAACAATCGGATAAGACAGGAGCAGAATGAGAGACTGTTGGAGTCTGGAAATGATTCACTAACAGATGCTCTACACTCCAAAGTATCTAAAATCAAAAATGTAAGCAAGATTTGTAACAAACTCAATGGCTGGCTGAGATGACTAACTGCAACACCTTGCAATGACAAATAGATATCTATTAGAATGCAGGACGATGTTGATTTACAAAACAGGTTGGTTATACTCTAAAATCTTATTTGACTTGTGAATGAAAAGCTCAACTAATCAATATGTTTGTAAACCAGAGATTTGGACGATATGGTAATCTGATATGCATTGGATGAATTACAGTGAATTCAAGCAACTAATATGTTTATCTAGAGCACATCGTTTGACTCTGTTGGTAACCAGATGAAACGCACAGTGAACAAGCTAAAAGTAGTCATATCACAACCACATTTCCGACAGACAATGATGATAGCGTTTGGAATAGTGTTTCTATTTCTAACATTCATCTTTTGGAGTAGAGGTGGTAGATTCACTCGACCACCGTCTTGATAACGATCTGAATGTGTGCCAAGAGAGCATCTAGCCAACTGTTTTTATTACCAATACATAAACTTATTGTCTCTCACGAGCGTTTACCAAACTCCTTGTATAAAAATTAAACTTGAGTTTATATCTCAAATGCCATTAAACTGCTTGATTAAAACACACTTCTAAAACCAGTCTTTATGGCTCCTCGCACTAAACCACTGTCATTGGATGAGAAGCGTCGTCGTATGATCTGCATTTTCCATGAATCGGTCGGTTTCAGCCATTTATTGTTTGGATCTGCTACTCTACTGATTGACACTGTCAAGGCATATCCATCTGTTAACCGCTGAATATACTCTTGAATTACTCCATCGTTACTTGTGTTTTTGTAGAAAGAGTTTTACAACCTAAAAGAGATTGAAAAGATTGCTCCAAGATCTAAAGGAATCAGTGAGTAACCTCAAACTATGGCTAGTCATGATCACGGCTATCCACACTCAACACTTGCTTAATTTTAGTTGAGAAATCAGTCAAGGAAGTCTTGGATGGTCTGGTGGTGAGACATTTTCAAACTCAATACTCTAGCAATAAGCTAGTTGATGGATGTAAACCTTGGTTGATCTGGTGATATGTATAGGCAGACGGCCTTGTTACAATGGAAAAGATTGGCTCTTCCAACTACTACTGGAGTTTTCCTGGAGCAAACTCGCACCAGGTTAAGTAACTGTTCAGATCTGTTGTTTGTCGACTGTCTCCCAAAGTGCTTATCGTGTACTCTAATTAAAGATCCGTAATCGATTGGAGACTGCAAAAAAAGAACTCAAGGCAATCCATGACCAAGAACAGCATACACGCTTGGCCATATCTAATGCTCTTTTAGTTCGCAAAGATACGGTTAGTAAACTACTGTCACGGACCTGTGCAGATTGTATTATAATAGTCTATTCAACCTTTTTATCGGATAGCTAGGATGAGCGCACTGCTCTTTCTACTGATCTGGCTGCAGCCCAGATACGCAACACAGAACTTGTTGCCAAAGTTGCCCAGTTCCAAGATGCCGACCCAGAAGTCATGCGTACTAAAGGTATCAAGTGTTGCATACTGGACTGCTAATGCTGACTCGATTTCTTTAGTTAAATCACTTGATCTAATCTTGCGATTTGATCATAAATGATAGAGCAAGGCATACAGGTGGCCAAAGAAGCTGCCAATCGATGGACAGGTATCTAAAATAGCTGTTTCATTTTCCATCATCCACCCATTGTAAGCTGTTTTTAATTCATTTACAATGGCGTGTATGTTTAACCCATGCTAGACAATATCCTTGCACTGCAGCAGTATTGCCGAAACTCGTTTGGGGTATCAAATGCAGAGTTCTGTACCCAATTTGGTATTCCAGAGGATTTTGATAGCATCTCCTAGTCTTGTCAGTAGACATCTTGGATCAAAAAAATAAATGCTTTCTATTGCATAAATGTCTCTGTGTAGTACATGTAGATGCATTTACAGCCGTATTCACGTAAAATGAAATACTTTTCTGTATTGATCTTGTAATGATTGTCTTGGAATAAACAATCGTTACATATTCATTGTTACTGGATATTGTTTTTCATTGAAACTCTATTCTAATATCAGATACGTTCGCGCTCTAGTTCAACATATTTTGGAAATGTATTGAAATAGGAATGTGAACATTCCTTCAGTATTTTTGTACAAGAATAAACACAAAAACAAGTCAACTAATGAGTTCAAAGGACATATTGTTGTCCAGTAAGATTGACACCAAATATGAGACTGTTTATGATGTATTCCGACTTTAGAGTTTTATTTTACGTGAATACAGCTGTAAATGCTCCATTGATATTCTGTTACCATAGCAACTTAATTCTAAAAGATCCAGTTTCAAAATGGCTTATAAACTCAATTTGTGAATCTTTTATGTGTTGGTTTTGAATTGATTTAATAAACTTTATCAAACGCCAAAATTATGGCATCTCCAGATATTGCTAGCTGGGCAGACCACGCACTTATTCTTGTAAAGCATGCAGACGGCTATCTGTCTGCCCTTTACTCTCTCAAACAGTTACTTGACCTTGAAAGTAAACAGCCTACCGACCTTATTGTCAAAGGTGGTTTATCTGATATTGTATTTGGATATGGCGGTGTACCATTCACTATTGAATCTATGGCACGACCAGCTGTCGAGAGAATGACAATATTCATTGATCCTACTATCACGGCACTGCAGAAACAGGTTCTGAAAAAATTCCCCGACTATGGTGACCTTGGAAAGGTATTATTTACTGAATATACATCTTCTAATTCAATACTGATATGGAGGTTGTTGGCAAAAACTCTTTTTGAGCTATATGATGTCGGATGAACGTGTTGCTTGAAACTTGATCCAATAACCCACTCTGCCAACTTTACCCAATAACACCATCCAACCTTTGTTTTATCTGCTGTGGTTTGTCTTTTGGGTGGATACCTTGGTTTAATACGTATGCCATTCATTTATCTTGTAGAGCACGCCAGCATTTCAAAATGGATACATGGAAACTATAGAAAGCACCAAATCGTATTTTCAACTGCTTGCTGCTGTTGCTGACTACTTGGAAATGTGTATTACCGCTTTAAAAACTGCTGGGAAATTCACGCGACTAAATGTAAGTTGTTCTACGACATCATAGGATCAATGCCATGTTATCCAGTTAAACAAATTCATTAATGCTCACAATTTTAAAAAATCGAAAATACAAACACGCAGCCAGAGTTTAATCCAGATCTGACAAATACGTTTCTTGATCTGTTTCTGGCCGTAACTTCCATTATATATCTGGTTGGGTCAATAGGACCAGAAGTAAAACTTTTGGCTTTTGTGCATAATCGTGCATACCAGACTCAAAGTGGTGGTCCAAATTCCCCTGGATGGTTAAAGTAAGCCTTTCAACCACACATATGTTTATTTTTACTGAACACGCCCATGAATCTAATCCATACTGGCACTAAATGGCCAAACCTTGAAAATATGACAGTGTGTCCAAACTGCTTACAGCCTATCAAAAATCATCCATATTTCTTCAAGAATCGCTAGCTCCAATTGCATCTCGGATCATTACCGTCATTATTTCTTTACGTCCAGATGTTGATTCACAGCTCGTAACAACTGCAGAGACCCTGCGCAATGCGGGCACGTTTTCTGTTGTTCCGGAAATGTACGGCATTACTTCCAACCCGCCTACAAACCTCTATTTAAAATCAATTAGCAGCCTCATGAAACTATTTAAAATATGTACGTTTGGAGTTTTAGCTGCACCAACAGAGGCGTTTCAGCAAACCGCTAGTCTAGAAATACTGAAAACTGTGCTGGGCTATGGGTCTGTTGTGCCCTTGATTCGTAACGAAGTGAGATTCATTTAATATGCAGCACATGTGTGCAATATTTAGTTTTTACAATGAGGGTTTAAATAAGTAGCTAACCTATAAACATCTACAAGTTGATGAATCTAGGCACCGAGTTTGAAGTGACATCAAAATCAAAAGAAAAGATCGGAAAACTAAAGTCTATTGTAAATGAAGCCTTTTCAGCTTCACATTCACAGGCAATTATTTTACATCGTGATCGACGCCAATATATTCGTGGCCAACTTCAGCAAATGTTGGCGTTGTTGAACAATGACAATATCTTGTCCAAGAAATTTACGGTAAATCACCATATTTTAAAAACAAATGGGGTGTATCAATTGACTATCAATTAACCACTAAATATACAACTAAATGGGTTAATATTCATCATAGACAATTGTGGCGGGCATATCCTTTGCTCGCGATGAAATTATGTGGTATTTTGTGCACAATGACAAGGACCCAAAAAAGAAACGCGACTCGAAATCCATTGATTTAATAGTGATTGATTTGATTTATCTTGTTTGCGAGATTGCCAACGGTCTTTTAAGTCGTCGAGAAAGTAAGTTGAATTCATCCTATAATAAAATGCATACATTTGGACTACAAAAAATAACTAATTCGGTTATTGGGTACTACAGTTGCTCAGCGTGGTATTGCAAAGCACATTCGTGCATTGGTAATATCTCAAAATCTGCCTGCAGAAATTGAGCTACTGATGCATGCACCTCAACTTCCACACGACTCGGCAGGTCTTATCTTATATGGCATTCACAGTTGCATCAACTCGATTCAAAATTCAGATATTAAGGAACTTGCTAAATCTGGCGAGTTTGAAGCTTTACGATTAAATAATATTCGCTTCCAAGCACATGCTTCACTTCAGCAGGAGCTTCTACAAACAGAAAATTATTCTACTATAATCAATCTAATGTCCACTGTTTCTGATCTCACAAAGTAGGATGGTTGATTTGATGAATATTCTTTTAAAAAAGTATTTCATTTATTCAAGTGAATTGTTTCTACTCAATTATCAAATTCAGGTGGCTAGACATGTATGATGAGCACATTGCTGAAGCATCTTCTTTCAAATGTCTGTTTTTCTTTCAGACATCACTTCAGGAGCATATAAAGGAATGCTTTGATACGCAAGCTGATGCACTCCGCTCAATTGGTGCTTTGGGATCCATTGTGACTGATTTTAGTAACAATTTGACTTCCATTTGGCCAGCCGAAGTATGTATAAATCAGCACATTTGTTGAATTGAATTTGGATGTTCAACTATTGGTCAAACAATGAGTGTAAAGTATAACAATGCTAACCTTGCACTATTACGCAATCTATCCAATACGACTGATGAATTTAACAACTAGTATAATTGGTTAAACACGCATACAATCTGTTTTGCAACCGAGTTTTATTCTGCACTTGGACAATATACAAGCGCAGTGGCTTACGATGTTGCAATGCAAAAAATAGAAATCCAATCACGCACATTGCCTCGAGAAACTGTTGCATATCTTCCAAAACCTTCGCGTGTGGTTTTAGATGCCAAAAAAAAGGCACTGAATCGTCGTCAAGCATCAGAGCGACCTCTTGTTCGTCCTGGACTTGAAAGTACTCTTAAAGGCACTGATATTGAAGTCCAAAGGTATTTGCAATTGTGATACTCGTGAGCAGTTTTTATTACATGATTATAACCTTCATATTTTCAAATGTATGTTATGGATATTGTACTATAGTTTTGATCGTCTACAAACGTTGATGAAAAATCTGATTTTAGCCATTTCAAAGCAGCCAAGTATCAAAATCCAGGAAGTGGAATTTCAGCCCATCGAGTTTTTTATCGACTCGTTGGCAAACCGCTTTCGCAAGTAAGTCAAACTGCAATGCATTGTCATGCATTTACCAACTAATTGAGTATACCTTTAATTTTACAGTTTTTTGAACCAAGCAGTCTATCGTATTGATCTGTTTGGCAAGGAAATTGTTGGTCAGAATAAAGATGATCTCATGTCATTTGATGCAAAAAGACCAACAGTTTTATTACACGAAATCAAGTCGTTTATGATGATTGCCAAGACAATTGATGGACTGGCTGGAACAGATATTGTAGCGGTGCTTCGTGATATTTTGATTGAGCAGTCTGATTTAGAAAAGTATGGTGCTTATTTTTAAAAATGTTTGATGGCCTTTGGTCTATTAGTATGTTAATTTTTGCATTCATTGAATGTAGAGCTCGTGCATTTACCAGTGGTGACGCAGAAGGATTTGCTGATCAAATCAAGGGCAGGCAGGCACGCGAAAAGGGAAAACCGCCTGTAATGAACGTTATCCAGCCTTTTCTTGTGACTTATATGCAATGGTATTGCGAATTTCTTTCCAGCAAAGCTGCTACTCGAAACACAGTTTATTCGCAAAGCCGTCGCGCCTTTTGCTCTATTTCTGCCAGTACTGTTGAGGCCCAGACATACACCGATGCACATGGTATTGTATCGTAGTATTGATGAGATGCACAATGATTTAACATGTCAAACATTAGTCTAGTTATTATTTGTATATACTAACATAAGTGTACGCTTCATATTTTGAATGATAGAACTTGAAGCATTGAGCGAGCTTATTGGTCCACAAGGCATCCAATTCATGGATTTGAAACTTACACGACAAATTACAATACTGTGTGGATCCATCCAGGTGTGTACTGATTATATCTATTCAAGAGATCCATAAACTTTACAACGCTATACTTACTCTACTTGTTTCACTAACTTTGATTTATAAGGAAATGATTTTTCAAAACACGGAAGCACTAGAGTTGATTAGTGTGTGCTGGACAGATGAGTCTGTTATGAAAGAGGCTCTCAGAAAAATGAGACGTAAGTGAAAAATATTGATTTTTGTGAAATAGACAGTTGGCTCACTACTATTGATGTCTAAACCCATGTATGCTTTAGACATGCGCGACTTTATAACCAAGATGATTAGCGTGGGGATTATTTTGGAATTTAGAAAGCTTATGGCTAGCTCATCCCGCCATGTAAATTGCACTATTTGCATCGGATTATATTGTGTTGCATTGTAAACTTTATTGATTGCTGATGAAATACTTTAAACTTGTGATTAAATTCTTGATAGGTGATTTCAACTAAATTCCCAAAGATCGAGGCGCTGGTAGTTGCCACTCAACACCAATATGGAGACTCTTGCACAGAAACTGATAAAGATTTCAAGGTGTGTATAGACATTTTAAATTTACAACACAGTATTGCTTTAGAATAAAAATGCACTAAACTATGGTATTTTGTGTGACATGCAGGTACTTGATAGTCTTGCAAACCAAATTGGTATGCGCGAGCGATGCGATGTGATGCTAAAATGGGCTCTTTCCGCACTTACAGGTAAGCAAAGTAGTGTAAACGGTGTTGTATTTACAATGCATATTTACCAGCTACTCATTATTGTATCTATTCACTAAATATTGATTTGGGTGATTCACCTAGCATCCCAAACCGATCCAGCCATGTGGAGATTTCTTCCATACCTGTTTGCAGCAGCACTTTGGCATACCATATTTGATGATTCTGTAGTTTACATTTCGCATCTAGATGGTAAAATCTTAATTTTGTATTCCTTGAATCCATAAATATGACGCAAAATCATAGCTAAATCTGAATATTGTCAATAATCTATTGAAAAACAGCCATGGAAAACAATGCACATTGTATCATGGCGACATTCTCAACACTGACTGCAAATATAAACTCATTGTCAAACTCTCAAGAGTTGCAAATGGCTAGCAACATGCATATCGAGTTTTTCAAAGTGGCGGCCACACTACTGCTTTGTGCACCACAACACACTAGTGAAAAGGATCGTGAGTGGCAGTCAAAATCGTACGATACAGTGGTGCTGATTCTTCAACAGGTAACAACTTTCCAGAATTCAACACTATTCATCTAGATTTGCGTGTAAACCCAAAAGTCGGATTGCATTTTTGAAATTTACAGCAAATGGATTCTAATCATTGCCTTACATTTTAGTTTTCAAGTACCTCACCCTATATCACGGCGGATGTGGCTGAAAGATACTTTCCGTACGCTATGTTGCAATTATCCACTACTCAAATATTTCAAAATCGTCTTCAACTCCAATCAAGTCAGGGTCTGACAGCAACAGGACGTGGAGATGAAGATCCAGCCTATTGAACTAAAAGTGGTAACAAGAAATAAGCGATATTTGTCTCGTTCAACATCCTTGATTAAAACACATTCTCTAGTCAAATTAAAACGGTGCAAACTTCCATTGCAAAATAAAAATGAAAAGCAATGCTTGAAAATCACTAGATCTATATATATGCTCGTAATACATGATGGAAATACGATTAATTATTATTAACTATCAGACTGTGACATCCAGAGCTCGATTGCACCTGAAAATGCAGCAAATCCAGCACATCCTAAAGCCATAGATTGGGGACCAGCTAAAAATCAATACATATGTGGGCACGTACAAAGACATGTATGATGGAGGTGTTAGATTGGATCAATCGTACAGCAAGTATGTAGTTGCAGCGACACGCCAAGATCCATTCAACAACTTATCCTACATTTTGCTGCCATGACTGCTCCTGCAAAACATCCAGACATGATATTGTTATAAATATCGTGTTTGGCACGAAACTAGTAGTTCAAACAGGGTTAGTTTACTAGCCCAATGTTGATTTACAGTCAATAAAGCGAGGACCCACAGATTCAATGACACATTCAGATGAGGCAAAGACTGCACCAATAACAGCAAAACCCTTGGCGCTGGAATAGGATTTAGCAAACATGTCTTTTGCCGTTAACCGCATCTGCTCTCTTGTGGAAAGTTTAGTAAATTCTTCATTGTTAATATTCCAGTCAACACTGGACATGAACATGCCGATTGCAGCACCCAGACCAAAGCCTTAGATTCGAAAAATCAGATTGCACCAAACAGATTGATAGCATGGATTATAGCAAAAAAATTGTATTTCAAAATCATGTCAGTGCGATCTAATATAGATATACAGTCTGACATCAAGATTGATGAATCTATTTACCAATGACACCACTGGCAACAGTTCGTCCAGGACAGGACTCTGCAACGCTCCGAAATGCCATTTCCTGTGCTTCTTGCTGCTGCTTTGCAGCCATTTTATCAAACGTAGCCTGATCCATTCCCATTGGAAGAGGCGGCTGTTGTGGCATGCTAGAATTGCTGTTGGCTTCCTGATCCATGTTAAAGAATATAGGCGAGTAATGGCAGCCAACAAAAAAAGCAAGTGGTTTTGGCATTAAATTATGGCTAAATAATGCAAGCATTTGGCCAAAAGCTGCTTCATACATTCAGACATCAGTTTCGGCATCTTGCAGCGAATCCAATACTCGCATCAGATGCCGCATCGACTGTTGGAATTGGTGCCTGAACCTATGAGAGAGCAGCTTCTGGCTATCATGTCCAGCACTCAATATCTCTCATTTAGTCTTGCTTTTGTAGCTTCCATGGGCACATTTCTCGGCGGTCTACTAGTGGTTTTGGGAGTGAAACTCACCAATGCAGATCCAACCTCTTCCTCCACCAAAAAGCTCATGGGTGTGTTGCAGTCGTTCAGCGGGGGAGTGATGCTTTACATTACCTGTTTTGATCTTATTCCAGAAGGAATCGAGGTTCTTGGTTCACAAGAAACCATGTTGTGGATGTTTGTGGGTGTGTTGATATTTGGGTTGTTGGAGGTGCTGTTGTTGGATCATGGCCATGATGAGCATGATGAGCATTCAGAGCATATAGAAACAGATGCTGTTTTTAGTGACGAGAATCTTTCTGATCATGCTGCTTCACCACGAACAAAACGAAAGAATGCTGCTTCCACTCCCACCAAAAAGCCTGTTTCAAGTACTCGCAAGCGGTCTGCTTCCATCTCGAAAAAGGTTTCCGCTACCAGCAAGTCTACAATCTCGAAAAAGGAGAAAAAGGAACTGATGAGAGCTAGCTTTATTACGTTTGTTGCATTGGCAATGCACAATCTACCCGAAGGATTGGGTGTATACCTATCTGCCATGAGTGATATGCGTCTAGTGAGTTGATCCGTTACTACTTCAAGATACGAGTCTGAAGCGTGTCTTTTGGTTTAACAACATGGATTATCGAGTATTGAGACTAACGTGTTTTGCTTTGTACGCATCTAGGGTGTTCAATTGGCCATTGCGATTATGCTTCACAATATTCCTGAAGGCATGGCAGTTGCCATTCCACTATATGCGGCCACTGGATCTACTACCAAAGTTCTTTGGTGGACTCTTGTGAATGGACTTGCAGAACCACTTGGGGTGATTATTGGAGGATCACTGTTGCATGCCTATCTTACCCCCTACCTTCTCAGTAGATGTCTTGCTGCAGTGGGTGGTATTATGCTTTGTATTTCCATACACGAACTCCAGCCCACCGCCATCAAGTATTCAGGAAAGATTGCCGCAAGTGCATCCTTTTTTGTTGGTATGTTTGTGTGTTTCTGCGCACTGGAGAGTGTTAATGTGTGGTTTGGTGGTCATAGTCACAGTCATGGACCTGCTCATGATCATGGACATCACGGACATCATGAACACGCTCATGGACATCATGGACACGCTCATGGACACCATTTTACTGGAATGCCCGCAGGACACCCACCTCATCATTAATTATTTCAATGACTTGAATTAACATTTGCTGAAAAAATTGGGTGTTGACTCAACTACCGCTTATTGAGCTATTGAAAGCGATTCTTTGGTATGCTAGCAGTTTATTTTAAATTATTACACTTGAAAGATATGAATCATTTCGTCCCAGCCACATGTTGCAACTTGTCCAGATGTAAAAATTGAAAAATCCAAACCAAGAACAAACTCGCTGTGATCGTGATGCACATGGTACGCGGGAGATTGAATGCCCTTTTCTTGGAACTGATTCAAGTCCCAAAATCTTGCCGTCATGTCATATGAGACGGATCCAACGACATTTCCTTGGTGTGGAGAGCATTTGACTTTTCTGACAGCATACTCGTGTCCAACCAACACTGTGCCAGGATTCTGTGGAAACCGTAGATCCCATACACGCAGTGTAGTATCCACACTGCCAGATACAATCATATCCTTTTGGTATTTTCCCCAATCCAAGGCAAGAACTTCAGCATTGTGTGCGTGAATGGTTTGTACCGACTGAGGCTGACGAACGTCCCATATTTTGATTGTTTGGTCACCTGCGGAAGCAAATACGTCGGCATGAGTTGGGGACCATACTGTTTGGTATATGCATCCAGTATGCTCTTGCCATGTTCTTATCGAACTAGGTATTTCTGGATTCCACTGATTGAATTCATTGTTAGAATAGATACAACGATCGTATAAGATCACAAGACGATGCTATATTGGCTGATTTGATCTTTACAGTGCAATGAGCAAGATCCAAGGAAATACAACTGCATTTTAAAACAGGGATCGATTCAAGATCTCATCTCACCAATTTGATTGAATAATCCCAAGATCCAGTGACAAATGTATCTTTTCTGACCAGATTCCAGTTGACAGCAAACACTTCACGACTATGCTCGGACCAGTTCATGACAGGAAAGTCCTATATTTAATCAGGAATTGTAAGCCAAACCTTGTTTATACAGTGAGTAGCAATACAGAGCTTAAAAGGTGATAGTTGGACATATAGAACATCTCACAGGCATTGTAAGATCCCATAGCTTGATGGAACCATCACCACTGCTAGATACAAGCTGATTCTCATGAATCTCACTCCATGCGCAGTCAAAGAGCCCATCCTGTGTGTCATAGCTGTATTTTAAAATATAGATCAGTCAAAATGGAGCATGCATCAAGATACTTGATTGACCATATAGAAATATATTGTACAGTTGAATCTACATGCCTTTGTTCGACTTGAATGCCATCTGGGCCTAGTCGTAAAACCCATAGACGACCATTACCAGCAATTCCAAAATTAGCAGCAGATGCACAGGCTAGTCTATTTTCAAAAAATGGACTAAACTCTACCTAGATACAAGATGAATAGAGTATATGAGCCATGGGCTAAAGATCTATTCTAAATCAATCAAGGCAGTCTAGAGCATATTGTCATATCCATACAGCATAACCATTAAACCCGGCAGTTCTGAACCCGATCCAAGGACAAGATGGTTTTGAATGTTGCATCGGTGAAGATGATAGCACACTGTCGTATCCACGTAAAACGAAACACTAAATAAGGGTGTCAAAATGCAAACTGGCCAATCTTGAGAGTCGAATATCTTGTTTCGAAGCTTTCTAGTTCACCCGTCTTTGTGATGATCGACATGGAAACAACTGAATGTTCACATTGCAGTCAATCTCGCACCTGTTTAATTCTTTTTTAAACCAATTATTGGGTGATTGACATGCAACACTATTTCCTAAATATGTAATCCTATTTTATTAAACTGAAACGCGAGCGTATCTGATACTAGAATACAAAGTGGAGAAAGAGTAGGTTTAAAAAAGATAATCTTGATTTAAAACTATAGGTTGGTTTTGTATAATGAATGTTTGAAAGAAACGACTAATACGTAGTAGGAAAGCGCAACGAATGTTTAAATATTATTTATTTCAAACCAAGAGATCATCACTGCAATACAATAGTGAGAAATCTGAACATAAAAACGAATATAGAAAACAAACAGAAATTGATTGTACAATATTTAGTATTTTACTTGTATGAACAATAAAGAATATCAAACACAATCGCAAAGTTCATGTTGAGTGCAGTTGAAATCCAACAATTTTGGCCAAATTTTAAACACCGAAATTCAAACCGCGTGCAGTTGTAGCAATTTGCACTTTCTTTTTGCACTCACACTCAACATGGCGATCGGCAAGAACAAGTAGGTTTGAGACTGCAAAGTCCGGATTGGATCTGCTGTACTAGTAGATTGGATAAACTAACTCGTATTTACTTCTTATTATCTGTGTTATAGGCGTCTTTCAAAGGGCAAGAAGGGACTCAAGAAGAAGACGTGAGTTGTTTCTGTTGACTATTCGACTTGGACTCGACAATGACAATTTAGAACCATCCATCCTCGAGTGTTGATGCATCCACAGCAGCCAATAGTGATTCATTTTTCTTCTAGTTCATGCATGCATTATTGGCTGTGCATGCATGACCCAGACCTGCTTGGATGGATGGTTATGATATACATGGGACTTTGATATGGTTCAGACTGGTCTTTAGAATCACTTTGAAATTCTTTCCATTTGACCAACATATTCCATCAGACAATGCAGTGTTGACTTGAAACAGTCCAACTTTTGTTTTTGGTGTTTTTATGATATCTGGATGGTCTTGCAAGTCTAGTTGGATTATTTTTCATTACTGGAACTCATGCTGACCATCACTTTTGTATCTATTGTTTGTTTAAATTTGGACGACACTATAAATTCACTGGGCATATTTTGATGGTCTAGCGTTGATCCCTTTTCTCGCAAGGACTGGTACGACATCAAGGCTCCAGTTACTTTTGATGTTCGTAACGTTGGAAAGACCCTTGTTAACCGCACCCAAGGTCTAAAGAATGCCAAGGACTACCTCAAGAACCGTGTTCTCGAGGTTTCTCTTGCAGATCTTTCCAACAACCAGGAAGATAGTTTCCGCAAGGTTAAACTTCAGATTCAAGAGGTTTCTGGAACCAACTGCCTGACCAACTTCCACGGTATTGACATTACTTCGGACAAGCTTCGTTCCCTTGTCAAGAAATGGCAATCACTGATTGAAGCATACGTTGATGTCAAGACCACTGATGGCTATCTCATCCGTATCTTCACGATTGCATTCACTCAACGTCGCAAGAATCAGCTTCGCAAGACCACCTATGCCACTAGCGCTCAGATTCGTGCCATTCGCAAGAAGATGTTTGAGATTGTTACCAAAGAGGCAACATCGTGCGATCTCAAGGAGTTTGTTCGCAAACTTGCACCTGAAGTGATTGGCAAGGCCATTGAAAAGCAATGCCAAAATATTTACCCACTTCAGAACACCATGGTTCGCAAAGTCAAGATTCTCAAGGCACCCAGATTTGATCTTGGAAAGCTTCTTGAGCTGCATGGTGAGCGTGGTGATGACAAGGGCTTCAAGGTTGTTCCAGGATCCAAGGAATACAAAGAGATTGCCATTCTCGACAGCGTCTAGTTGTGTTTTATTTCAAAGATATTAAGGAAACCGTTCTAAACTGACGCCATGGTGTTTGATATTTCTTCAAAATGAATGTTTTGGCGTCTCCATTTCAAACTCTTTGTAGTGAATAGAGTGGGTGAATACAAGAGCTTTTAATACAACTTGACAAGCTTTAGTTTTTTGAGTATTTTCTAGTGGACAACTTGAATCTGTAACAGCACTCCTGTCTTGACTAGGATGATGCTCACTACCACCACTGTTCTTGCTGCACTGTGCTTTCTTCCTGCACACTCCTTTTATCTTCCTGGTGTTGCTCCGCATGATTATCTAAAAGGTGCCAAAGTGGAGTTGTTGGTCAATGCCTTGTCCTCTCCTGAAACAGTGAGTTTTGGTACCGTTGATTAAACAACTGAGCAACTGGAAAGACAGAATGCATGGCATCAACCTGAATGTGTTTTACTTTCAACTGGTTTGAATGTCTTGGAGTTTTAACTTGGAAATACTGTTGTGCGGATCTGTCCTTGATCGCTCTACGTTGATGCATCATTACTTACTATCCTAAATCTATATACTTGAATATAAACACTACTCAAGGTCATGCCATTTGACTACTATTATACGCAGTTTCATTTCTGTCTACCAAAGAATGGTCCTGAACCACAGAGCGAGTCTCTTGGTAGCGTGCTTTTTGGTGATCGTCTGTTCTCGTCTCCTTTTGAGGTGATACTTTGACTATATAATGGTTTGGAAAATACTCCTGTTTCTGGTTGTAAACTGAATCTCGCCATTCCGCATATTCTTGTACAGCTTCGAATGGCAGAAAATACCACCTGCACACACTTGTGTGAAACCAGTATCGATTCGTGGGATGCAGGTTTCATCAACGAAGCCATTATGGAAAAATACTTGATCAACTGGCAAGTTTCTTAATCATTAGATTCTTGTTGAATTGGATTTCAAATTATAGTGTTCAACTCATGCTTCGGTTTGGTATTTTATTGTTAGGATGGTCGATGGTCTTCCTGCCGCCGCTAAAATTCGTAATGAAGTTGATTTTTATTCCACCATTGGATTCCCTTTAGGATCCATTACACAGGTACTGCTCTATTCATGTTCTTGTCATTGCACTACAATCCCACGTGTCTAACTTTTTTGATTAGGATGGAAAACCTGTTCTCAACAATCATTATGAAATTTACATTTCATACCATAGTGAAAATATGGAAAAATTCCGTGTGGTTGGTGTGCAGGTTGCACCCACTTCTATTCTTGCTAGTAATGGAAAAAACAATTGCGAATCTACTGGCTCTCAATCACATCTACTTCTTACAGTAACTCCTGGCGAATCTACACCCGTATCGTTTTCGTACAGTGTCAAGTGGATTGTATGTAAATCAATCCCTTATTTTTAAAACTGAATTGTTGACTTGCATACTAAATGCAATCTTGTTGTTTAGAAATCAGAAACTCCTTGGGGAACTCGCTGGGATCACTATCTGTTTACTACAGATACTAAAATCCACTGGTTTAGGTAGATTGATCTTTTTAACCTTTTTACACAAAACAAGTGCAATGATGAAATCATTGTATCTGACTGTTTTAACCTATTCTTATACAATATCATCTGTATTAGTGTTGTTAATTCCGCAACAGTGGTGTTTTTGCTGAGTGGCATGGTCATGATGATTTTACTGCGTGCCTTGCGTCGTGACATTGCTCGTTACAATGAAGTGGATAATCAGGTATATCGTGACAATTCATCAGTCAATGCTAAATTGTACCACTATTCCCATCATATACTGACTGACATTATAGGATGCACAGGAAGAGTTTGGATGGAAGATTGTACATGGAGATGTGTTTCGTGCACCACCTTATCGCATGCTTCTGTCTGTATTTGTTGGAAGTGGTGCACAGCTTGGTCTTATGGCTACTGTGACTGTTGGTAAGTAAACTTTTGTGTTCAACTTTTAATACATTGGTTGGGTTATGATAGACTTTGTATCTCGCTTGATTTATTTGAAAACTGACACTTGCTTACAATGACTTAGCATTTGCTGCACTTGGATTTCTTTCCCCATCAAGTCGTGGATCTCTCACAACTGTGATGCTCGTGTTCTATGTGCTCTTTGGTTTTGTTTCTGGGTATACTTCGTCACGTCTATACAAGCTTTTTGGAGGCGAGGCATGGCGTCAAAATGTTCTCATGGCTGCCTTTTTGGTTCCAGGGTAAGTTTGTATTTTCATTTATAAATGTTGCCAAAACTTGCGAGACTAACCCAATCTTTATCATCACAGAACTGTTTTTGGTATTTCATTGATTCTTAATTTCTTTTTAATTGGTGCCAAATCGTCTGGTGCGGTTCCATTCGGCACTCTGTTTGCATTGATTGCATTGTGGTCTCTTGTTTCTGCACCACTTTGTCTTTTTGGTGCATATTTTGGATTTAAAAAAGCTGTAAGTTTTTGATTTACAAGAGATCCATGGGTTGTTGTAGATTGTATGATTGGCATTTACTAAAATTGAATTTTTAACTATTTAGAGAATTGAAGTGCCTGTTCGAACAAATCAGATTCCTCGACAAATTCCCGACCAGGTAAGACCACATGCTTGAATAATAAAAACCTCAACATACATGCTTTAAACTGACTTTGTAATTGAATAGCCATTCTATCTCAAGTTTCTGCCAAGTATCATGCTTGGTGGAATTTTACCTTTTGGCGCAGTATTCATTGAACTCTACTTTATCATGAGCAGCATTTGGTCCAATCGCGTATACTACGTTTTTGGATTTCTCATGCTTGTGTTTTTCATTTTGGCGCTTACATGCTCTTTGATATCGATCCTCATCACATACTTTCAACTATGCGCCGAAAATTATCATTGGTATAGTGTAACATGAAGTTTGGTTTGATTCATTTGCATGCATTACTAAAATGCACACATTGAATGTTTGACCATGTAGGTGGTGGCGATCCTTTTTTGGTAGTGGATCTGCTGGCGCATACATGTTCATATATGGTATTTCTTACTACATTACGCGGATGGAAGTGCGTGATCCAGCATCTACCATTCTTTACTTTGGGTAAGCCTTTAATATGTTACAGTTTTTTGATACGGATTGAATGTGTAGCATTATGCACTAATGGATTTAATTTTTGTTGACTCAGATGGACGTTGATTATGAGTATGCTGTTTTGTATCCTAACTGTAAGTCTTGCCGCTCTACATATTGTATTGTGTGCTGTTGTCTTGTAGTGTGATTTGCAAGGTTAACGTGATGCTTTATAAATTGTAGGGATCGATTGGATTCCTGGCATCTTTTTATTTTGTGCGAAAGATTTACTCTGCAATCAAGGTGGACTAACTGTTGCACGATTTAATAAAGTCAACCCATGAATCTAGCGTAAGACTAGTACGGATGTTGATATGTGCATTTATTTGTCAAGAAAATGATTTTCAAAACGCATCCACACATCAAAGCCCAATTGTTTAAAAGTATAGCCATCCGAGTTGTTAATGTCAACTTGATTCCAAGAAAAAGACACAAGTAAACAAAGCTTAAAGTAGTTAGGTTTTTGAAAGTTGGTCTATAGAAGTTCGAAGCGGAGAGATTTCTCTTGGGCCTTTTAGTGGACTTCGTTTCGATGGTAAAAGAGTATCAGTGAGTTTGGGTGTGTCGGATGATGGTGTGGCCAAGGAGGATGACCGAGTACTGTCTATCGTGCCATCAGAATTTGGTTTTGTAGTAGATGGGATGTTTCCTGATTCCGGAGATGCAGCCACTGGTCGTGACGGAGAAGAAAGTACCGTTTTTGATCCACTACTGTAGCCACTTTGCAATGCAGCCGATCCAGAAAGACTTGTCTGAGCACTTTCAGATAGTTTACGTGTAGAACCACTGCTTAATTCATTGGTTGATCCACGCTCACCTAAATGGGCTCTCAAAACCTTTACTACCCATTGATTTAAATGGCTTATCAATGCATGTTCTGTATCAACCCAAAAATGGTCAGCATCGGGGACGACCACGACAGTTTTTGGGTTGGGAATATTAGTCACGAATTGCATGAATGAGGCTTCAGAGGTGTAATTATCTTTTGATCCAGTGATGAAGAATTTTTGAATGGTATCAGGGGTTGATTGAAGTGCCGAAATATGCTTTTTTTGGTGTCCAAGAGTCAATGCCCATAGTACTAAAAGTAAGATTCAACTGTAGAATTGAGCAAACAGTGTTTTTGTAGGTAGAATAGCATACAGCCTGAGATGGATAGCGCTGTCATCCAATGAATCAAAGTGTTACCTCCAGCGGGATACGACACGCTGACAACTGCCGATACTTGAGGAATCTGGCTTGCAGCAGCACCTGTCGCGACTGATCCGTACGAATACCCACATAAAATGAGTTTTGTTGGAGGTTCTAGACAATGAGTGCATGTCAAAACATAATTGCATACAGTTACAACGTCTTCAATCTCGCCCAATCCTCTAAAGGATGTTCTTCCCGTCGATCCTCCAACCCCTCTAATATTTGAAAATACTCGGATTTTTATTAGTCTAGATATTATCAATGCATTTTGGATTCCAAAATAATAAAGCTGTACCTAAAGTTGAATCGCAAAGTAGTATATCCCATTGAGGAGAACAAGCCGAATAGAGCCTCGACAATATAATTTTTCATATCTCCACCAAGCTAGATGATTTAGCAAGTTAAAGTATAAGATTGGGCACAGATTAGGTCTTGGTAGAATCAATGCTTATTTAGAATATCAATCGAGTTGTACTTACAGGACCATATGGATGTGCTAAAACAACGCAGCTATTGAACATGATAAAACATACAAGGATAAGCCATACATGACAGTATTTATATGGAAAGCAAGGTTCAAACCAAGTACCAAATGAACCATACATCCGACTTGCTGGTATTCAACCACCAATGAATGGATCATGTCATATGAACAAAACCAGCAATATTTACGTTGATTTTCGTTTATCACCCAAGAATAGCCTGCCTTTGAGGACACCCCCAGCAGCAGTAGGAATATCTACATGCAGTTCTTTCAGATGTAAACTGTTGGATATTGCCTTTGGCATTTGTCAAGTTCACGAAACGACGTGATTATCTGCAGATTAGTTGGTATGATTTCAATACTGGATTATATCCAGTATTTATAGTTGAAATTGAGAAAGTTTAGACTTGAATGTATATACAATTGATCGTATATATTCGACTGCTTTGTAGACTGTTGGTCAAGATTGATAAATATCAAGTGGCTTGAACCAACACGCAGTAAAACAGCTTCAACCTGACTTTTCAAGACTTTAGCCACTTTATCATTTCTTTGCATTTCTATTTATTGTGCTAGAATATAGCCATACCATGGATACTGAACAGCTTGTTTCAACTCGTCGTCGAACTAGCATGGATGACTCCAACGACACCACTCATAACGAGGACACTTTGGGAACTCTTTTGAATGATATCGACAAGGAAACAGGTGCTAATGAAAGAACTCATGAACCAGCTAAACCTGTTCGTTCACTTCTTTCATATCGCACAAAGCTTCTATTAGGACTTTTAAGTTTACTGGTCATCATGTATGTCGTCTTTTTTTTATTCGACATGCCACTGCAAAACTCGGTGAGCATCTATGATGATAGTGAGGGGTCTCGGAATGCATTGAATATGGCCACTTGTCTGTGGCAGCCTCAAACCCTGTCTAGATTGGAGCCAAAAGCATATATTCCCATTCCACACATCATTCACCAGTCTTGGAAGACAAAAACATTGCCTCTGGTAAGTACGACTGCCCTGGGTTGGGTTGGTTCCGTTATGGTATCTGTTCAATCTAACCCAACCTCAATGCATAGAAATTCCAAACCTGGCAAGAATCATGGATTGAGAATCACAAGGACTGGAAGTATATCTTATGGACAGACGAGGATAATATGAAACTATGTGAGGATCATTTCCCTTGGATGCTGGAACGCTTTAAATCTTTTCCAAAAACCATCAACCGTGCTGATACAGCTAGATACATGTACATGTATTTGGTGAGTCTTGTCAACTGATTGTGTCTGATGCGTTCTAGTTTTATTGTGGATGCTCATATTTATTTTATTAGCACGGAGGGTTTTACGCAGATTTGGATATGGAATGTCTTAAACCGCACGATCTTATTGCTCGAAAAGGAGGAGTTGTTGTTCCACTCATGTCTCGAGACTATGCATTTCATGATAATATTCCCAATGCATGGATGGGATCTGCACCTGGACATCCATTTTGGTTGCATCTTTTGAGAATGATTAGAGATCGTCCAATTGATGGACGAATTGAGTCCATGTCAGGTCCAACCATCATGTATCAGGCTCTGAAAGAGTTTGAGCAAAAGTATTACAATGAATCTATGCCGCCCATCACATACATGGCAAAAGGTAGGATATTTGATGGTTTTATTCAACTGTTATGCTGGATCAAGGTTCTAAGTCCTACACATCATGATTGATTTCATCTAGAATTGATTTTACCGTATGACTGGCATGATACCAAAGACTTGATATCTATTTGCTCTGCTCAAAGGGACACAATTGATCCAGACTTATGCAAAGAAAAGGTTGATCCAGAACACAAGGCGTTTGCCATTACATATTGGTCACATTCATGGGGTGATGGAGATGGTAAAATATCTACACCTTTCCGTCGAGATATAGGAGGGAAGCGTTAGATGACATCAAGATATCGAAAAGATTAAATAAAGACCAGTTGAAAATACTATGATTCTGTCAGTTGAGTGATGAGAGTATTTAGTAACAATAAATTGAGCTTCAACAAGTATGGATAAATCAACCCCGCAGATAGCGGCGACACTCGAGTCAGGAATGTGTGCTTAGTTGTGTTCACTAACATTTTTGTAGAAACAGTCGTGGCAATCCAAACAAGTCGCGGAATCAAAGATGGAATGCACTCTGCTCTTTGACCAACAATTCAACTGCTCAGGTATAGTGTCAATCTGATAGAACTTGCTGGTTCGACCATTCTTGCTTGGTACTGGAGACTGTTTATTCAGTTGCTAAATATACACTAGCATGTATGCCTTTGGACAACCATTTGATTCAAAAGCACAACTCATTTGAATGTCAGACTTTCACTGGATGTTACTGACAATCTTTTTATTAGGAACAGTACGGCATAGTCTATAGCAATGAGCCTTACTAGATGGTCTTCTACACATTTGATAGTACTGCTGTTTTTTGCAATGGCTGCTATCATCACTATGACAATGTCTTCCAATCTTATCCGAAGCACCATGGCATGGGCAACCACATCTTGCGAACCTCCCATTCAATACATTCCAAAGTCAATGATGTCAGAAGCTGATATTATTCCCAGCATCATTCATCACTCATGGAAGACTACTGAACTGCCCAAGGTAAGGCTGGTTGAATATGTTACACTTTGAATCAAGTGTGTTGCCACCCTATGCAATAGACTAATGGTCAATAACCTCTTGCTAACCTGTCATGTCTTGTATTCACATCTGCATTGGTATAGAAATTCTCTATCTGGAGAGACTCATGGCGTGACCAGCATCCATTCTGGGAACACAAACTATGGACTGACGAAGATAACTTGAAGTTATGTACTGAAGACTTTTCATGGTTTCTGCCCACATACAATAGCATGCTTCAAAACATCAGTCGTGCTGATGTTGTCCGCTACATGTACATGTACAAGGTAAGGTTCGAGTATTTATAAAACATGTAATGAAAAACAGTCTTGTATGTGGCTTTATACTTTGGATTCCACACCATTGTAACGTATACTAACACTTGTTTCTGATCTAGTATGGCGGGTTTTATGCAGATCTAGATGTGGAATGCATTAAAAACCACCGACCCCTTGCACGTTGGGGTGGTGCTATCGTTCCTCTCATGTCTGATGATTACTACTTCAACAACAATATTCCTAATGCATGGATGGCATCTGTTCCAAAACATCCGTTTTGGATGTTTCTCTTGAAAAGAATTGCATCTAGTCCACTTCCAAGTCGAGTAGAGGCTGTTGCTGGACCTATGGCTCTTCGTGAAGGATTGGTTGCGTATAGCGCACTCTATGGTGTTGGCTCTTCTTTTCCAATCCATCATATCGAACCAGGTACATGTCAACTTGTGATGACTGTTTTTACATTTGTGAATACTCAACTACTTTGAAATATGTTTAATAGGAGTGATTTTCCCATATGACTGGCATAAGCCAGGAAATAATTGGAGTACATGTTCTGCTCAATCTTCTCAAGCCAACTTTACTATGTGCAAGCAGGATTTGGATCCAGAACATCGTGCATACACCATCACATATTGGTCACACACATGGGGCGATGGCACTCAAAAGGTTGATACAAACATTGCTATGGGTGAAAATCTGTTGTATCGTCGCATGAATGAGATTTCTGTTGGCTCTGTTTATAGAGAAATGAGAGGTTGAGCCTTTAATGGAATAAAGATTGCTTTACATTCCTATTCACAAAACTTGCTGAATAGTGTGTTCTTTAACCCATTGAAAGTTCTTGAAAGTTCTTGAACGTAATTGTGATGTTTTGGGAAACATAGTTTTAGATCGAAACCATTGTTGAACTTTGACAGTCGTTGTGTCGATTGAAGAAACGATCCGTTTTTAATAAGCGTGAACATGATTCAGCAATCACAACATAATTTCCAGCCAATTGTAATTGAATACCCTCAGGAATACGCATATAAATTTTTGATTTTAATTTTTTCTTCTTACGCTCGGTTGTGGTCTTTCTTGTTCTTTGTAATGAAGCATCCTAATATCGAGGGCGATTGGTTTAAAGAAACCACAGCCCTATGGCCTGGTCAAGGTAGATCGTTGTTGTTTAATACTGTCTGTATAGCTTGTGTTTTCCCAATGCTTATACTATTTCTACTTTGGTTTCTTTCACTTGATCTGTTGATCAGCAATGACTCTGCAGGTCAAAGAAATTCTTCACCACGAGAAATCCTTATATCAAGATGTTTTGGTGTTTGAATCTACTCATCATGGCAATGTTCTTGTCCTTGATGGTGTGATTCAGGCAACTGAGCGAGATGAGTTCTCTTACCAAGAGATGATTGCTCATCTCCCCTTGAATGCTCATCCCAATCCCAAACAGGTATGATAGTTATGATATGTTCTTGAAGTGTTGTTATGATGACTGCTTGCCGCCCCAGGCAGACCTATTGGTGGTGATATAAAAGCGTTTTTTCTGAATTGTCTGAACAACATATGCAATGTGTCATGAGTTAATTTTGGGCTGAATTAACATGTTTTTATCTTGGCAATAAAAGGTTCTTGTTATCGGTGGTGGTGATGGTGGTGTCTTGCGCGAGGTGGTCAAGCATGACTGTGTCGAGCACGTCACTTTGGTGGAGATTGATGAAGCGGTTATTAAAGCCTCCAAGCAATTTCTACCAGCTATGGCAGCCGGTTTTCAGCACCCCAAAGTGACGGTTCATGTTGGCGATGGTTTTGAATATCTAAAGAGCCATTCTCATGCTTATGATGTGATTATTACCGATTCTTCTGATCCAGTTGGTCCAGCAGAGGCACTGTTCCAAGAGTCGTTTTATGACTTGATGAGACAGTCGTTGCTTCCTGGCGGTATTATTTGCACACAAGGTAATTATTTGATTTGGGATTTGTATTATGCGACTTGAATGGCTATGATGAGTATATACATGCATGCACCACGCTTATGCCTTTGGGCTGATGCTGACAAGCATAACCATAGAAAGAATCACTTCTGAGCCAAATTTGTTTTCAAATCTTGTTCCAAACATGTTGACTGACTTGTGATTGGAAAACAATGTATTGAATAGGAGAATGCCAATGGCTTCATCTTCCTTTGATCAAGACTGTATTGGATGCATCCCGCAAGATCTATCCCGTTGTTGAGTATGCATGGGCATCTGTTCCTACCTATCCCTGTGGTCAAATTGGCTTTATTCTGTGCTGCAACGAGGCTGGTCGCTCTCTCAAAGTGCCTGCTCGTCAATTTCCAAAAGACTTTGAGCGTGCCAATTTAAAATACTACAACTCTGATGTTCATTCTGCTGCGTTTGTTTTGCCACAATTCACCAACAACGCTCTTGGCTTTTAGACTTGTGGCTACTATCCATATGCAGACCATATCTTATTTATCACCGTGTTCATGTAAAATGCAACACTTTTCTGTATTTATCTTGCATTCAGTCTCTGGAATATACGATATTCGTTGCATTTTCCTACCACAAATCGACTACACTGCTTCTTTATAGACACCAATTCAATAAACACAGCATCCATCATATGATGCACAAACCAAAAAGTTTAAAACAATATCACCTAATAGATCTAATGTGAATTGGAATCGAACGAGAGTCTATCATGTATTTAGCGCTATACTACATCGATATGGTTGTAAATACTGGTTCATTTTGAATGCATCTAAAAAAAATTGGTGTTGCCATGATCATCGAGGTTTCAATCCAACTTGCAAGTGGTGCAAAGCTAGATTGAGATCTTTAGAGGATCAGGCAAAAGGTGAAGGGAAACAACTTGATATAACCATGAATCAGGCAACACCACTAACTACGGTGTTTTTGACCAGGATGTAATGTAACGCCAGTTTTGAACCAAGAAGTAATGCGATGTATCTTTGTAGAAAAGTAAGACCCACGAGCATCTTTCAAATGACCATTGGGTGCCCCATTCTGTTGTGAAAGTTTCTCGTTGGATGTGACAATACCACTGTCGTCTAAAGGTGATTTGGCACTCAGAGGACGAGGCTCAGAGTACTTTTGCTTGTTGGATGAGGTGGTTTCTTTCTGTGTGTAAAGTGAAGAGTTATCCATTTTAATAGTATAACACGATCGTATGGGTTAGTACTGGTTTTCAAGACTGAATTCACATGAATATCTATAGATGGGAATATCATGTACACTTGGACTTACTCGTGATGGAACTGTTGTAGAAACAGTCGTGTTGTCTGTTGATACAGAGGGTGGAGGAGTTGGAGTACTTTGCACAGGTCGTGCATTTTGAGATCGTTGTTGGGTAGGTGTTTGTGAAGAAGGCGGTTGCTTTGTCTGCTGACTCGCTGGCCGTTGCTGTGGTTGGGGTAAAGGAACAGTTTGCACAGGCTTGACTGCAAACTCGGTTGATGCGCTCACATTAGAAGCTGTCCAAAGTGGTTCCGAGGGTCCTCCAAATTCAAGAATAAAAGGATGACTAAGTGCTTGTGCAGCGGTATAGCGTTGCTTGGGATCTAAAACTAACAATCGACGAACAAAGTCTTTGGCCTTGTCTGAAATGTTATCCCACCATGGCGAATCAAACTCAAATCTACCCGTCATGATCTTTTTGAATAGCTCCACATTATTAGGGTCGAAAAATGGAGGATATCCACAAAGTCTAAACATTGAATTTTGATTAGATTGATTCGACAACTGCTGTCAATACAAAAGTATGCCAAGACTTACAAAATATACGTAATGACTCCTAATGACCAAATATCCACCTCTCTGCCATAGCCTTGACGACGAAGAACCTCGGGAGCTAAAGTATATTGCAGTTGGAGATCCAAGTTAGTATCTCAACCGACAACACTCGAGCCACATGAAGCAAAACATACCAACATAACCAGGAGTTCCGCATGCAGTTTTCATCACCTCGACATCGTTGAAGATTTTCGATAGACCGAAATCGCTAATCATGATTTTGCTGCTCTTGCCCTTTTCAGAAAGTAAAAGATTCTCGGGTTTTAGATCACGATGAACGATACCAAGTGCGTGGAGGTAATCAATAGCACCAAGAATACGCTGAATCGTTTTTGCTGTTTCCTTTTCTGTATACTTTCCTCGTCCCACAACCTCATCAAACAATTCTCCACCCGTAACACTAACATGTTTAGAAATTCATAAAAGTCAGTAAAATAGGTTTGATCCTGATCATAAATCCAAAATAAATAGCTTACAGTTCCATGACAAGATAGATTTTGTCATTAAACTCGTACATCTCATACAACTGAACAATGTTGGGATGACGGACACGTTTGAGAATGTTGACTTCCATTTCAATCATGCCCTCCTTTCCCTTGCATTTTGCCTTGTCAATCACTTTAATGGCATATTTTTGACCATTGCTGCGCTCAACTGCTAGCTTTACTTCGGAAAATGCTCCACTATTGAGTCGGGTTAGGATTCAGTTGATTCACAATATCGATCGTGTAAGCAATGCCGATTAGAATTATAGGCGATTGAGCATCAGCAGTAAACCATTGTTGAAATACATGTCGATACCATCAGGTAAGCGGTAAAGTCAGAGTAATGTCCAGAAATATCAGATCGAGTTTCAAGTTAGGTAATCAAGGTTGCACAATTGATATAAATAAAAAGTAGAGTTAGTAATCTTTATCAACATTGGCAACACTTTTGCCATGTACAACGTTGTAAAAATAGAAAAAGAATGCCATCTGTCACCAGCATTTATATCGGGAGTTGCATTGGGACACTGGCTTGAAAAATGTGTAGCCAAGAGTGGCAATCAGATAAGAAATAGGGGCAAATATACAATAAAAATGAATAGTATTGGCGAGACAGAGTTTATCATGGCGTGTAATCAATAAAAACGCCAGTGAGCGAGCCATCACAAAATGACAGTCACGTCCGTATTGATGACAGCCAATAATCGTTGACATTTTTCAATCACGCACCATTACTAGTCTAATTTTTAATTGCAACAACTAGACCAATACAACTATCTAGAGTAGACAAGTACATCAATAGGATATGCTGTATCCCATTGAATCGTGGATAGTGGATACGATCAGTTATCGAGTCAAAACTGTACTCACGTTCCGATTGTATGCTGCATGTCGTACTTTTCCAAGAATGCTTTCATTGCTGATGTTGATTTTAAAGAAAAGAAGTGTGGTAGTTTGTTTAAAAGTTTTGAGGTGCTGCTTTTTACTTTTGAAGTTTTGGACTGCTGTTTTCAGACTCGCTTTTTAGTTTTCAATAGCTAGATTTTTTCGACTGCTGTTGTACCACAAACCAAATTTTCGGCGTTAATTTCTTGGTATTTTCCAAGAGGACTAAATATAGTGGATCTTGTTTGAGCTAAACAAAGTGTGCTGGGTATCCTAGAGTTGATGTAGCAGATATTGATAAGTGGCGAAATCAAAACTCTTTAAAACTACGCAGATGGCCAAAGACAATGGTATTCCAAGTGCCAATAGAAAAAGGTTAGTTGCTCAAGATTCAAAGTAAATGGCAAATTTGATGATACTATATAGCATGGTTGTGTGGCGTGTGGGGTGGATAGCTGCAACAGGGTGATGTGCAGGTTTTTATATCCACTTGCAAAGTTTAAACATTGCAAGGGGTGAATGACAAAGGGGTTCGTGTAGCACATTATTATAACAAAGGATGGGATAAATCGCCAAGACTAAGCCAAGTGCAACTTGTCAACAAATACATGAGTGATCCAATCTGTCACTCGAGGATATTTAACCTGGCATATCACCAAAATAAAAGTGACCCATTGTATGGGTTGGAAATGAATCTGGGTACATGATCAAAGCAAAATCGCATTCAAGCAATGAAATCATTAACATACAGTCTAATGAGATAAAAGTATATCAAAGTTTGAACGGTTGATTTTTTGATGGAGCTGAAGTAGATGTGTAGGTATATTGAGAATGGTCGACCAACTCAACAGCAGACAGGCTGTCATTTTTAAGTGGTCTTTGTCAACATGGAGGTTAAATGAATCAACGTGGAGAGGCACAAACTCATGACCATCTATAGGTGATAAAGATTGCTCGAGGCACACTTGTCCAACCTATAAATCATCACATATGGATTTAAATTACAGACATGGCACACCCCTCGCTTTCCAACAAACGACGCGCTGGTGTTTGCCTCGCCAACAAGAATAGATTGCGCACCCCGTACTACAGGTATCGGTGTTGCTATATCCACACCGGCTCGACAGCATTAATATATTTAAAAATAATCAATTTCACAATATCCACTGACACCTACTGATGGCTGAATTCAATCTAAGCTGGCATTCACATTCCCAAAATCATATTTTTGTAATGTCTGGTATAAAGGATTATAGGGATACCAACTGGACTTGGTATAAGATCTTTTGCATACTATGGTCGCATTCACATGAAATGCAGCACTTTTGTATTGTCATCATCTTGTTTTGGAATAGACAGTAATTGAATATTCATTGTTTTCCTACTACAAGTAGACATTCTCAATGTATCAAAACATACACCTATTGCACGACTTTAATTCAAACTATAATTTAAAACCAGATTCATTCAATGCAGTCCAGATATCATGGTTGACTGTTTTCAGCCAAACTTCACTTTGTATTTCAAAATATTTCAGATACGTTCGTTTCTAGTTTAAAAAGCAATGGTTGTCATTTCAGGAATGCAACTGCTGTTTCCATGCCAACTACCCAATGTCTGGTATTACAGGGTGTGAATATTCGTTTATTTTATACAAACATGAGTATAAAGACCAGTCAACTAAAAGACTCAAAAAGCAATATTGTTTAGTAAACTGATGCCAATCATTGGATGACTTTATACTTTTATTCTGTATTCCATTTTGCGTGAATACAGTTGTAAATGCATTGGCTATAGTCAATCACTTTTGAAACTATTTATAGCGGATGTTGACATCAGATGATAGGCTTGTCATTGCTACACCAAAAACAAATCCAAATCCATCGACTGTTCAAACAATGAGATCAAGATAGCCTACACTATTTTTAGGGTTGCAGAGTAAAAAGTAACTTATTTCCACGTGACTATCTCGTGATTACTGCTTTCGATTCAAGGAAGCCAAAAACAAAAAAATAAAAAAACGAATTCGACTTACTCGTGCAAGATAACCAGTTGTTATCGTCTGAGCGTATTTACAAAATGCCAGTCAAACTATCAGCGCCAAAAGAGTCTGCAGAAGCACCAACTACACTAGTTGATCCCATCAAAAATAAAGAGTCTCATAAACGCAGTCGGGAAGCTGAGCCAACCCCATCTCAAGCCGTTGCAGACGATGTCATGTCTGATGTCGATTCTCTTGATCTTGAAGAAGCTGAATTGGCTGAATTGGTTTTTGGTGGTGATAGTTTGGGTGCAGTCTCGCAGGCCTTGAATGCTAGTTTGTTGAAATCCACGTTTGTTGGCACAAAAGACAAAGTAACTGCCAGTAAAGACGATCATGAAGAAACCGAAACCACTCTTGGATTTTCCATTGACAATACCGGATCCATTCAACCCAAGGAAAAACTGCATGCTCCTTCCACAGCAGAAAAGCAGCCTTCAGAAATTGGCATGCCAGCTGCTTGGGTTGACGAAGACGATGATATTAAAGTAGATGTGCACAAGGTCAAGCGACTTCGCAAGCTGCGTAACGATTTTGACGAAACCACAGTTGCTGGATCTGACTATGAAATGCGTTTGCGTCACCAATACGAACGCTTGTTTCCCAAACCTAAATGGGCACAAGTTCCTACTGAAAAGAGTTTGTCAAAAAGCGAAAGCGATTTGGATCATGATGATGATAAAGGAGATCGCGATACGTCTGATCAAGTCGATCTAGGCCATAATGCGCTGCTCAAACTGCTTCAATCTACTGAATCGATTGTGAATACCAATGGCAAAGCGTTGCTTTCTGCTGATAAACTCGATGTGATGCGTCTAAAGGATGTCAATCAGCTTGCATATTCACAGGTAATCCTTTGACGCTTTATAACTTGTACTTGATATTGGGTTGACGAGTTTTGCTAAATCTTGCATTTATCATGATTTATGTTTGTAGGCAGTGGTACAGTCGGTCCAATTCCACCCCTATGCACCTGTTCTTCTTACTGCTGGCTTTGACAAAACTCTTCGTCTATTTCAGGTTGATGGAAAACTTAACTCGAAAATTCAAAGCATCTACATCAAAGACATGCCAATCCATAAAGCCCATTTCACGGCTGATGGTCGCCGTATTATAATGACAGGTCGTCGCAAATGGTTCTATGTCTATGATCTAGAGTCTGGCACCACGGAAAAAATCTGGGGTGTACGAGGCCGAAAGGACAAGTCTTTTGAGCGATCCATCATATCTCCTTGCGGAAAGTATATTGGATTTCTTTGTTTAGACGGCAATGTTACATTGGTATCTTCAAATACCATGCAATGGATGTCTGATGTCAAGATGAATGGGCACGTTCGGTGCGCCGTATTTTCTGCTGACGGCACAAGACTGTTTACGTTTGGTGGAAGTGGTGAAGTGTATGAATGGGATGTGGAGACTCGCGAGTGTTTGAATCGGTTTACAGATCAGGGATGTCTGAGACCAACAGCAATTGCCGTATCAAATGATGGCAAGTATATTGCCACTGGATCAAGCTCGGGTGTAGTGAATGTGTATCTGATGGAAAGTATTCGATCGGCAAGCGTAGATGATGGCGCGACGACATATGAACCTCAGCCAGTCAAAGTGTTTATGAATCTGACAACATCCATCACGACATTGATATTCCATCCAGATTCAAAACTCCTGTTGATGGCAAGCCATTCTGACAAAAATGCATTAAGGATTGCACATTTGCCCTCTATGCGGGTGGTCAAAAACTGGCCAACAAAAGCTATTCCATTCGATGCAGTATCTACCGCTGCATTTTCGCCTCATGGCGGGTATCTTAGTGTTGGAAATGCAAAAGGAAAGGCTCTCCTGTTCAAGTTGGGTGCTTATGATGCGTAATGTAAGGATTCGATTTAGATTTTTACAATTAAAGTGAGGATTCGCATAAAATAAAACACTTTTCTGTATTTATCTTGTATTGGCTCTATGTTGCTCTAAACTCTTGATGTCCCACTAAAAATCAATTGCTTCCATAAACGTTATTGTATTCTAATCTCGGATACACTTGGTTTTTCGTAAAAATGAGCATGGAGATCAGTAAACTAAAAGAGTTCAAAAAACAAGATTGGCGCCAATCAAACATGGACGGCCCGTTATGTGTTTCAACTCCATTATTTAGCGTTTCATTTTATGCAAACACGGCTAATTCGGACTTTTCAACCCCACCAGGCCATGAAATGCCAAATTGAATTCACCAACTATCAAAAACTAATTTTGATGTATACTCTAGCTTTATCCATCCTTTTTTAACTGGGAACTCATAGAAATCATTCGAAATAAAGTCATTGTAAAAAATTCTTTTTTCTTTCCAAACAAGTAGGCGTCTTCTTTTAAATTTCGACGGGGTTATGTTATCTGTCTGTGATTTCTTTTTGCTGTTCAAGCCCATACCTACAAGATAGATAGGTTAGCTATAAGCACCATAATAAAATAAACTATTGATAGAAGTAGAAATTACCTTGAGTAAACTGTCCCAACTTCCCGTACAGAGCGCCATACCGTCAGATGAAACGCCTAGGCAAGATACACGGTTCTCATGTGCAGCCAAAACACCTACACGTTCACCCTTGAGCGTGTCCCACACATTACAATTAAAGTCATCATAGCCAGCAAACAACAAACGACCAGAGATGGAAAACGCGACAGATGTAATACCACAAAGAATGTTATCGTGAGTGTACTGATTCAACTCACGGTCAGCGCGAAGATCAAAGAGACGGCATGATGCGTCATCTGAGCCTGATCCAAATGCTTCACCATTGGGGAAAAACTGAACTGCATTGATGTCGGATTCGTGGCCAGTAAAAGTTTGTACACAGCGGCCTGTTCTGATATCCCAAACCTTGGCAGTAGAATCGCATGCACCAGAAACAAACACATTTTTGTCTGGGGAAAGGGAAAGGGACATGACGTCACCTGTGTGATCGTTAAATTCTAATGTCTTCATACCGGCATCAATATCCCATAGCATACACGACATATCTCCAGAGCTAGACAGAATCTGACGGTCACTAATAAAACGACAGCATGACAGATATCCAGTGTGTGCCGACAACTCGCGTGCAACCTTGACACTGCCTTCCTTTGTTTTAAGATTGTAAATTGAGCAGATATTGTCTAAACCACCACAAGCAACATAGTTTCCAGAGGGAGCATATGCACAGGTCATGACCCAAGATGACCGCAGTGGGATTGCATGCACTTTGTTTGTGGTAAATGCGTCCCAAACGATAAGTTTGCCATCCTGAGATGCAGAAACCAGATGCCGCTTATCTGATCCCCAATGCATTGCATAGATCTTGGCAAGATGACCCTTGAGTGTTCTACGAACTTTCATCATGATTCTCGGAAGTGGTTCAATATCGGCTGAAACAGCCTTGACTATAGTTTCCAAAGTCGAATGATCCAGTTAGCAATGACCAAAATTTACATCAGACTGATATCGAGAGCAGCAGAGTGGACGAGCAGTCCAAACTCACGTGTAGTATCCGCCAATGCATCTCGTTTTTGCTTAATCTTTTCTTTTAAACTTTCTGCCTCCCGACGAACATTGGCAATCTTTTCCGCAATATCAGCCATCTGTAAATCAACAGCGTTCACAAACAAGAACTTTAAAGGTTAGAATACTTTGTTTAAATCCAAAGTAGACAGTTCAAAAATACAGCATACCGTTTAAAAAACAACTATTTAAAAGGTGGTGGCTTTAAGTAAAACTTGATATTGTTTTTGGAATAAAACTGGTCAAGATCCCAGTAACTAATAGGAATGAATAGAAAAGTAGACTATAAGGCTTGGTTAGCTTGCAAGACTATACAATCCAATAAGCTAGAATTGCTGGGAGGTGAGTGATGGATTCGGCTTGCGCACTGCTGTAATAAACACTGTTAATTAAAAGTTGGAAATGTTAGTTGATAATGCCAGTTTAAATAGAACCAGAATGGCTAAACAGTGCCATTGTGGCGCAATAAACTAGTGTGGGAGGATTTATGTTGCCAATACATGCTATTTCAGATACATAAATGGCGTGGCTTCTAAATACAAAAGGTTCGACGACAACATGTGTAGTATGATCACTGACTACCAGTATATTTTGTTGGTTTAAATCATAGCCGAGACAAGGTCAAAATGAGGTTGGTCATGCTTAATCAGTCCAATACATTTGATATGCAGCAAGTCTAGCCAGAGTACTATTGGTTGCACATGGCAGATAACACTCAAGCATGACTTTAGACTAGTCAGGTAAAATCCATACACACCTCGAATGATTGAGAATCTAGAGACGAATGGAGATATAGGTCAGTTATTTTACAATTGAGCAAGTAGCTGTGTTGGTGTAAAATTGCAGTAAAGAGGATGGCAGCTGCTTACACTGGATGGCAGTTATCAGTCTAATAAACAGAAAGCCAAGCAACGGTGAGTGGGGTTGGTGATAGTCAAGGAAAAGACTAGTAAAATAAAGGACAAAATACAATACGAAAGGCTATTGAAGTGGGATGGAAAGGAATTTTTGGAGTGGATAAAGTCAAAAACCGGCAAAAAAGAGATGCAATAATGGATTGATAGCCTTTGTTCTAAACAAAATTAAAAATAGTAGATGCAAGAATATATACCAGATGAACACAATAAAACTCAGCTACACATTATCCAATTCACAAATTGAACTATCTAATCCGACAGACAGGCCATTTCACTTCCTGCAAGGGTCTAATAATCAGAACGCATCTTGTTGCAAAAACATCAACACGCGTCTTGGACAAAGAATTTGGAGCGCGTGTTTACAATGATCAAGAAACCCACACCAACAATATGCAGTTGGATTGACAATGCGCAGTGGATGGATTCAGACTTTACTATCACTTCGATACGCTGTCAATCCATCACAAATGCCGAATTGCTTTAAGCTGAAAATACAGCTCACCGTTTTTTCTAGGGTGGATATTGCAACTGACATGAGTGAACAGTGTTTGCCCAAAGCGATGAAAGTCCATACATGGTTGATTTATAATACAATAATCAACCACATGAATAAAAGGTGGGTGCAGCGGGATAAGAAAGGGGTTATTTTGAGGCTTTAAAAAAGTCTCAGTCACCAGTAATGTTACCCGACAAACGACGATCGTCGTGAATGCCATGGCACAAAAACCAGCCAGTACCAAGAAATCAACAAGATTTGTAGCACTGATTATGTACATGACAGTCAGCAAGACAGCGAATCCAAGTTTCAATGACTTGGGACTTGTTCAAATGAGCCTCGGCCGAGCACCACATATTTGGAGAAGTGGCTGAATTGAAAAAAGTCGGTTGAAAACATGTATCTAATAAACTTCAAAACAAGGGTTGCAGACTTTACAATTCTGCTGACTCAATATACTTGATAACCCTTAGCGATGGGTTCAACAAGCAAGATTCAGAACATAGGTCTTGTAACAACAGATTTGGTATTTTCAACAGACTGTAGTTGGCGCCAAAGATAATGAAAGAACATGATAGTTTGTTGCTAGGGTTGTTATAGCAGTGTATCTGAAATGTCTCGTTCCCTAGCAGGAGTAATGTCATTATTTGAATTTTGCTGTACAAGTCAGGGCAGTATGTTGTAGAAACTAATTGTAGCTGCCCAGAGTCATCAATATATACCTGTCAAGTTTGTCCAGCCAACGTGTTGCTACAAGATTATCAACTGCAAAAGTCCATGATTCTATTGCTGCAGAAAAGTACACATGAGTATTATAGCAAATGAGCAGATGCAAGTCCATACAATTAGCAAGTATGTGCAGTAGCACCAGAGCAAGCCAACTTAATCCAGAAAAAACTGGACTCATAGCTGTAGCGGGTATCAGGCTATACTGATGAATTAAACAGCCGATAGGTTGTGATACTAGTTGATGAATATGCAGTGGCTGCAGTGTTAGGAATACATCTGGTACAGGATGGTTCACCTGTGATAGACCACCAGCTCACACAATAACATCTAGCCAAAAGCATAGATAATGATTGATCAGAATAAAACCAGCCAGCTGGACAGAGCAGACTAAACAAGAGCAGCAGTGTATATGTGTAGAGACCAACAACCAAAGACGAAGACAGTCATAGTATGGATGAGCAGCAGTAAATGCAGTGGTGGATGTGGACGTGACGCCCTTGTGCGAGGAATCAACAGCGCATTCTCAACAGCCCGTCCTTGCAGCAAACCACTTGACCTACTGCAGTGACAACATAATAAATGCAAAACAGCAAGACGACAGAGTCGTACTTGCCTTGAGTCCTGGAAATCTAGCGCAAGCCTTTGAATCCAACCACAACACTCCAAGACAATATGAGCGAGGAACAGCAAGACAACTCTGTGCTTACCTTGTCGGGTAGCAAGATACGATGGTGTTGATTAGCAGTGACTGTCTTCCTAGTCCAAAAGGGCAGAAACTTGAGTCGAATTGTAGTTGCAAGCAAAAAAGAAAGTGCGCTTGCAGCTGCTTGCGCTTGCGCTTACAAGCGAGTGATTTTGTGATTTTGGCCAGATTCGCTTGTTTTGGCCAGATCTTGTCACAAGAGTTTATCGAGTCTTTGTCGCTTCTACGCATTTGACATGATCAACTATACAATCTGCATCGAGTTGACTCGAGTTGATTCTAATTCATTCTAGTTTCTGCTGTTTTTATACTATTCTTATGCTGTTCTGCATCACTCAGTCACGTGACTATCGTCTGGCTTAACTCGCTGCAAACTCGTCTTTTTGACTTATCCAAACTTCATCATGAGCGGAGCGGGCCCAAAGTTTAGCATCTTCCCTACTAGAATGTGGGTTTTTGTCATGCATTCATCTGCCATTGTTCTCACTGCTGATAACTACTTCATTCACCCTTGTCATCCCATTGAATTCATCACCACTACCTGTCATTCTTGCTTCATCCTTGCTTCATCCTGACCGTTGCTTTGCGTCTATGTTACCTTTGGATTGTATACTATTCTAGACATTCAATTTACTCATCATTCTACTGTTTAAACCTTGTTAACTTGTTGGATTTTAAAGGGCCCTCACCACCATGAAGAATCGTCTCAAGGGAGCCCAAACTGGTCATTCACTTTTAAAACGTAAAAGTGAAGCATTGACTCGTCGTTTTAGAGATATCTTGCGAAAAATCGACGAGGTACTTTTGATCTTGCAAATTAGATCCTTGCTCATCACTACTTTAATGGTACTATATAAACTAATCCGGTTTGCTTTACTGTTCAAATTTCGCTTATTCGCGGCTTATTCCTTCAATTCGATCACAGGCAAAGCGCAAAATGGGAAAAGTACTTCAGGTTGCATCTTTTTCCTATGCCGAGGTCAAATATTCTACCGGTGACATTGGCTACCAGGTTCGAGAAAGTGTAAAAACTGCCCAGCTTAAAGTAAAGGCAAATACTGAAAACGTGTCTGGTGTCATGCTGCCTACTTTTGAAATGGTCGTCGATGGTCAAAATTGTGAGTCACTTGCTTTAATACAAACTATACTTGAATCCAACCAAACTGCTAATCATGTGCTGTTTTACCCAACACTACCAATCGTATTCCATTCAAGCCAACGACCTTACTGGTCTGGGTCGGGGTGGTCAGCAAGTACAAAAATGCAAAGATACATATCAGAAATCTGTACAGATTTTGATTGAGCTAGCCTCGCTCCAGGTATGTATCTGTTATCGAGTAGATTTTGATCAACGATCCATTTTAATCACCATCTTTATTTTTGAACATTCATTCTTTGACCATGGTGTTGGAAACTCCAATAGACTGCTTTTGTAATTCTCGACGAGGTCATCAAGGTTACTAACCGTCGTGTCAATGCCATTGAGCATGTGATCATCCCAAAAATCGAGAATACTGTCAAATTCATTACTTCAGAGCTGGATGAACAGGATCGTGAAGAGTTTTTCAGACTAAAAAAAGTACAAGGCAAGAAAAAGGAGCGTCAAGCTGTTGCAGATGCCAAGAAGGCAGCAGATGCTAAACGTATGTATACTCGAGGTGGCTAAATTATGATGAATGTTGAAATAATACTTACTGTGACTTGAATGTTTTTAGCTCGAGACAATGAATCCTCCGCCCCTTCCAACATGCTATCTCAATACGAACAAGACCCAGACATCATGTTTTAAATCACTTTTATCAAAGGCATTTGAAATATATCTTTATGATCAAATTCACCAGTTTAAAATGCTTGGTTTGGTATTACAGCTGTTTATTTTAGTGCTATTAAACAGTAACAGGCAACACTGCCTTGAAAAACGACGCATATGCAACACTTGAAAAAATACTGTTTTCGGAAATATCCTGGACAGCAACTAGAGTAACTGCTGGATATACCAATGTTTGCGAGCTTGCATTCACCCTGCTTGATATTGCCGCATGAATAGCAGATTCCACCCATACAGCAGGAATTCGCGACAAATGAAATACTCGAATAGCATACACGAATGTCCATGAACTCGCATCATCATTCAATTTCAATGACAGTAGGGATGTATGAAGACTCTGTACCAATCCATTAGCCAGAGCAACCACTTTATTGTACTCCAGTGTTGAACCTCCTTTTAAACAAATCAATAATAGATGATGATTATCTTCCGACTTGATACAATTTTAAACATCAAACTCACCTGTGCATTTAGTCTGGCTAACGACCGCAACACATTGCCCAAAGGTTTTTATATTTGATACACAGTCTACGCCATCGTATTCAGCTTTAAATGTTTTAAACGTATCCCTTTGTGTGTTGTCAATATACCCATATGTCAATACATCAGAATCTAGCGATGCCTGCATTAATCGATCGAATCTACCCGGATGTCCAGCAATTGCTTCCCATTCGACCACGGCATTTCGTGGAAGTCTTTGAACCACAACAATGACAAGTGGTGGATAATGAGTAGAATCATCTCTTTCGTTCTAAACCCCATAAACGTTATCAGACTCGCATCACAACAGCACTTCAATGTACACATATTAAACGACTAGATCAGCCATACCTTGCACATAAACTCCCAAGCAACACGCGCAGCGTTTACAAACCTTGCATCAATTATATAGCATATACATGCAACACAACTCTCTACCAATGTTGCTCCCACAGCTTGACATACTGCGGCCAAGTTCTTTAATGACATGCTTGCCTGTGCAACCCATCCCTGTACGCCATCAATAGTTGGTAGTTGCATAGTATGCGGAATCAATCCAATTTGACCTGCAAGATATACATGATCACAGATATCAATAGCTTGGCTGTATGGACCAATATTGGCCGGAGCCCAATATGATCTACTTTGAACGTGAAGTGTTTCTCGAGGAGCTAGTTGAGCTGTATCCGCCATTGCGTAGCAGTCCATTTGTACTCTACCTCGATCCAGCAGAGTTTCTACAGTCACACTGAAACATGTTCATAAATGCAATGGATTGTTTAAACAACGTTGACCCATTGTTTTAGTATGTATTAGCAAACAAGATACTAGGCAGAAAATGATTAATCCAAATCCACACTTACCGAGTAGGTGGATTGGTATGACCAAAATACTTTTGGTATACTTTGTTCAACTCGGAAAACGTGTCCATATCTGCCACATTCACATGAATTTGGGTGATGTGATGCGCAGATAACCCATATTTAGACAGCGAGGCCAGCATATACTCGCACACTTGAGTCGTTTCCTCTTCAAGCGTCAACTCTAATACGGGATGAGTATCAAAAGAACAAACCATCACCCCAGACTGAGCATAAAATGGATGGCGAAAGTACACGGTGGGTAAACGATGCGCTGTTTGAATTTTAACCAGTTTGTCAGAGTAGTCAAGTCCAGTTTAGCATTTAAATCAATATAAACAAAATCAGTTATACCTTGAGTTAAGGTGGGGCCATTTGCATCGATTGGTTCAATTTTAGAAAGCGGTAGGGATTCAAATGCAAGGTGCTGAGATGAACATGCGTTGGTGATGGCGCTGGACATGTCACTGTTCAAAGTCTCGTATCTGTCACACATCACATTTTTCATTTTATGAATCCAGCTCGATTCACAGTCTTCCTTGAGTTTCACGACAATACTAGGTGTTTTCAAATATGCTACTGGCGCGACATCATCAAATGAGTGCACATGAATAGTCGACTCTTGACTAATGAATGCCAGAATCAATCGCAATCCATAAAAACACATGGTTTGAATTAGCATCAGATCCAATCTACTCTGCAAGGCATGATCAGGTAGTACTTGCATTAAAAGTTTTTTTTTAAAAAGAGGACAATCCAATGTCAGGGTTTCATACTCGCCACCTTCTCCACAGACATTGATTCCGTATCGTTCGTTCTAAACATTTCAAAACTATTAAATGATACATTCACAGTATTATAGCTATTTCACCAGCAAATCTATACCAGTTTCATCAAAACAGGATACATTTGTGCTAATGATTTTCCAAGGTGATTTTCAGAAAGTCCAGCAGCTGCAACTTTGACCAATACTGCCTCAACACCGCTATCAATCATGTCCATCAGCAGTTGTTTTTGACTGCCTTGCCACATATACGCCAGTGACTGAAGTTTCAGTCTTGAACATCTGTAAGGACACGAGTGAATTGCACCATCTAAAGCATAAGCCGTCGCATCTCTAAAAAGTTGAATGACACTACAAGACTTACACATTCTCGATTCGAGTTCGTTGATAGTTTGAAAGGATTGCTCCACTGGAAACCGCCTCAACATCAGGCACTTGTTTCTACACAATTCATATTTGGCTTGAATCTCGACAATCTTATTTTCAAAACAACGACATCAACTTACAATGACTTTGAGTAAAAGTTGAAACAGATCTTCAACTTCATCGTTGTCATTTAATGTATAGGTTGCATTGATATCTACCGATCTGTGTGCAAGATCTTGACGAAACAATGGGATATCCATACATTCGGAATAGTTGGATATCACATCATGACCCACTGTTTGAAACATGTAGCTATCGAGTTCATCTATAGAGTAAACCATTATATATTGAATTACAGCAGCCATCAAAGTTTGAATGCAGCAATCATACCAACGTTTGATGTGGATGGTGGATGTAAATTAGCGAGTGCGACAATTGTATGACCATTGGCTACACAATGCATCATGTTAAAGCAGCTATCTTTTCCCCCACTATTAGCATTAAATTATAATATCAGCTGGATTGGCAATCTGTTGAACATCACTATTTACGACTGCATTGGTAATAATGACGAATCATGCAATACAACTCGAATGGAATAGTACTTGAAATACCTAATGAGTGCGACTACTTTCATATTGGATTTTGTTGAATGTCTTGAACAAGTCTGGCTGAATCTTGAAAGTTCAAAATATAATAATTCGAGATGACTTGAATCATCAAAATCAACGAGTCGTTTGTCAACCTCGAAAATTAAACTGTTTGTAATCAAGGTTTACCGACTCGTTCTATTCATTAAATCATCAATTCACTCACGAGTGTAGACTGAAACAGCCATATAATGATCTGGAGTAAATGGTTGATGTTTTAAACAGGATTCGAGTGACAAGTTTGCATTGTGGTTGTTGTTTTAAACAGGATTGAATTATATAGTTAACAAGTCAGTCAGATCCACAACTATAGAGATTTTCTTGAGTTTAGCTTTACCACAGATTAAACAGAGTTAAACTAATCAAACACTTTCAGGATGGTTAAAATCAGTTGTAAATGTTGCCTAGTTTTATCTTTTATTGCAACATCTGCTTGCTATTCATTATGGACAGAGAAGCCAAGCTTGTGACCAATTCTGCCGAGAGAGAGATGTATGACAACTTGGGAGAGTTGTTTAGTATTATTGTTGCTACTGAGCATTTGGAGCGAGCTTACATCAGAGACAATATTACTGCTCAAGAGTAAGTTTTTAATCAACTTTTTAAGACGGAAACTAAAGATATTTGGACATCATTTGTATTCAAGTGTCATGGATGGATTCAAGTCTATCCATCTAGTGTTATCCTACACACTATTGATTCAGTAGCGATTGGCTCGAGTCATGCTGAGCTTGTTTATTCAACTTTCTATTACTAGATACACACCTGCTTGCCTCAAATTCATTGCACAGTTCAAAACATCTGTCAGTTTACTCCAAGACACAGTTCCTGATGTGAGGGAGTTTATGCGAGAGTATCAGGTTGGTTCCATATTATTATTAGCTTAAATCTGGTGTATCAATTGACTACAGCCAAATCCATGTCGAACCCAACTCGACCGTGTAGATTTAGCTGCTGATATTCAGTCATGTATGTGAAATGTAGCTTACCTGTCCAGCAGCGGTCAAACGACTACTGGAGATTGGCATTCCAGCAACAGTTGAACATGCAACAGAAAGTGTATCATCAAACAACTCTGCCAGATACGTTGCTGAAGCCGTTCAGTTCTTTATTACTTTGATGGATTCTCTCAAGCTCAACTATGTTGCAGTTGACCAGATTCATCCCCAACTCAGTGATCTTATTCTAAGCTTAAACAGGGTCCAATCAATGCCAAAGGACTATGAAGGCAAAGGAAAAATTAAGACATGGTTGATTGCACTAAATAAGCTAAAGTATGATCTCAACTGCATCAAGATTTAAAGTTGCCATGTTGACTCTTGTGTCTGTATAATATAGAGCATCTGACGAGCTAAGCGAGGAACAAGTGCGTCAACTGTTGTTTGATCTCGAAAGGTGAGCGTTGACCATATACAAAGATAATATTTTGGAGGGTTGAATTAACGTCATTCAACTCCATATCTGTCATGTTTAGTGCATATTCAGAGTTTCAAAGATCATTGGCATCAAAATGAGCTTAATTGGAAATAAAATGCATATTGATATAGGATGAAGGTGTAGATTTATCGTCCTTTTGATGCCATGCTTTTCTGAATATCTTCAGGCCTATACATGCAAAGCAGTAAATTTGTAAATATGCAATGCCAAACATTGAAGATGCTCAAACATCTGACGGCAGTTTAAAACTACCTACCAATCAATATCCCAGGCTGGATTGTCCAGTTTTGAATTTTCAATAATAGTTTTCATAATAACTGCGTTTCGCTTCTGGTCCTCTCGTAAAATATCTGGATTGATATGTCCAATTCTCTATATGAGATAATACGATCAATATGATTTGATTTCCAGTAGTCATTAACGTAGCAGAAAAATACACACAACATGTTAGATTATGGATTACATCAGGCTTGTGGGACTGGCTTGAATCAATCAATAGTTGGATTGGAAAACACTTGCCCGATGCATCTCTTCACTGCTGGGAGTGGTTGTTCTCATAATTGTGTATCCACTACCAATAATCAAAACTCCAAGAGCAGTAGACCCGACAGTCACTTTAATGATCTTGATGGCTTTTTCTCGAAATGAAGACATTTCGATTGTACAAGATTATACAAGATTGACGAGTTGAACGCAGACAATAATTGATCCCCAATTCACGTGACACGTACCGTGACTCAATACTCGGTTTTTGGAAATGACAAGCTTAGACTTGCTGATTCTGCCAGCATTGTCATGTCACTAAATGGAATTGCAGTGAATCCAGTTACATCCCTCCCAGTCTGGAACACTGGAGAGTCTGTGTTTTTCACAAAATGTAATTGATGCATATTCTTTTTATACCTTGTTGATTCTGTCGCTCATGCTGATTCCTGTTGAATTGTCAATTTCACAACCCATTTCGTCGATATACTCGAGCAGACAACGTCAGACTCGAGTTTGAGTCTAGCGATGGCTATCCAGGCTCGTCTGGGAATCTATTTTCTCAAAACGGATATTTATACTTGAGTAAGCTACTTTAAATTAAATTAAATTTCGTGCCAGTAAGCCTATTCTGATAGTTACTGATCGTCTATTTGATTCGTAGCCAATATGCGAGTTGTGTACATGCCCAGTCCTCCAATTCCTGGAACTATTGCCTTGACAATTCCATTAAAAAACTTGCTGTAAGTTGCCTGATACAGAGTGTGTCGTACAGTTTCAAAATATTTAACTTGATTTGGAATGACCGATTCAGAAATGGAAAACTAGTCCGGCCTTGGATAGGATCAAACAGTTATCAAGGCTTAGTTATACCAGTTGAGTGACTTTACTACAACCAGTCTCTATCATCATTGAATACCTTCATGTGATGGCTATTCATGACGAATTGAATTTTAAATAGGTTCCGAATGGCGGACTGAATGATGAAGGATCAATTAAACTTTACTTTGAAAAGGGCGGTGGATTTGAATTTTCGTCTGCATATACCATGCTACGGTCACGGATTGCTGAAGACGTTGCGCCATTTGAAGAACCATTACCATTATATTCCACTGAACATGGCGTGTCTGGTCCTACATACGCTCCTAGTGGTTCATCCAGTCAGCCAAATGAAGGTGCATTTCTCTATACAACGCCTACGTCCGGTATTCCAGCCGCCAAACCATACCAGCAATCTGAACAGCTTCCTGCATTTCAACAAAATCCTTTGCGACCAGACCAGGAAAACTATGATCGTAAATCATAAAATCATGACGGGCTGCTCTATTTCGAAAATTAAACGACCCAGCAAACTAACACCAAAAAATAAAACTGAAGCTTTACAAATAAATTTTATCTTTAAAAACTAAATAGAAACGATTGAATCAAATCTAGATAAAAGTAATATATGAATTCACAGCCTAGCTCCATGCAGTCTCCATATTCAACATCTTAACATGTGCACCATCCTCATTCTCTTTACGATCCACTACACGACCAATTTCGTATACTGTTTCGCCATGCTCAATCAAAATCTGTTTCACCTGTTCAACATGCTCACCAGCAACCACTAAAACCATGCCGATGCCACAGTTAAAAGTGCGCGCAAGCTCAAGATTGGCAATTCCTCCTGCAGATTTAATCCACTTGAAAACAGGCAAAAGAGGCCATGCATTGGCATCAATCACTACACCAACATGATCTGGAAGAGTACGAGGCACATTGTCGATAAAACCACCGCCCGTGATATGAGACATGGATTTAACAAGGTTTTTACGAATAACAGGAAGAAGTTGCTTGACATAAAGACGTGTTGGCGTCAAGAGGGCTTCTCCAAGGGTTTGGCCAGGATTTGGGGTAGTGAATGGGCACAAAGAGTCATAATCCATACCAGCCATGCCAACGACGTGACGCACAAGCGAAAAGCCGTTGGAGTGCACTCCGGAAGAAGGCAGTCCAAGTAAAACATCTCCTGGAATAATTTGATCGAGTTTAGGGAGAACCTGATCACGATCCACTGCACCCACAACAAACCCGGCAAGATCATATTCGCCGTGTTGATAGATGCCTGGCATTTCAGCAGTTTCACCACCAACAAGAGCACATCCAGAATCTAAACATCCCTTGGCAATGCCAGCAACAACGTCTTTGGCAACCTCAATTTCAAGCTTGCTGCTTGCATAGTAATCAAGGAAAAATAGAGGTTCGGCACCTTGAACAATCACGTCATTGACACTCATGGCAACAAGATCAATACCAATGGTGTCGTGCTTGCGAACAGCTTGAGCAATTTTAAGCTTGGTTCCAACACCGTCTGTACCAGAAACAAGCACTGGATCTCTGTATCCAGCTGCTTTAAGATCAAAAATACCGCCAAATCCACCGAGGTCTGCATCAGCGCCTGGACGACGAGTTGCTTTGACAAATGGCTTGATTTTTTCAACAAGAAGGTTGCCAGCATCAATGCTCACACCAGCATCGGCATAAGTAGCACCTGTACGTGTGCGCGATTGAAGTAAAGCTAACGCACGATGACCAATATCCGTACGGTACTCCATTCCATCTAGTTTGATTTGAGAAATGACTTTGTAAGCGCTCTCAAGTGCACTGGATAAAGAGTCTGTGACGGCAGTGACTGCAAGAACACGGCCGCCAGAACTCACCAGCTGATTGTTCGAAACCAAAGTTCCGGCATGAAAGATCATGACATTTTTGTCAAGAGATGCAGGAAGATCTATTTTCTTTCCCTTTTCGTAAGATCCAGGATATCCCTTGGAAGCACCAACAACAGTGACGGCAAATTGACGCTTAAAGGAAACAGGAACAGAGTCCAAGCGGCCTTGTGTGCATGCCATCATGATTTCAAACAGGTCGCAGTGATCGTCCAGCAATGGAAGAACAACCTCCGTTTCAGGATCACCAAAACGACAGTTGAACTCGACCACCTTGGGTCCGGTTGGGGTCAGCATAAGACCAACAAAAAGAACACCAATAAACGGATGTCCTATTGAAATACAGGATTAATCAAAGGATGACTATTAAAATTCAAAAGATTAAATCATCAATGCAATGTAATTACCATCTCTACGCATGCCATCAATGGTGGGCTGAAGGATGGTCCTTTTAACCTGCGCGGCGAGATCAGACGTGTAGACTAAAGTGGGAGAATATGCACCCATACCACCAGTATTAGGACCTTTGTCGCCATCATAGGCTCGTTTGTGATCTTGTGCCGCTGGGAATGGAATTACAGTGTAACCATCTGATAGCGCAAGAATGGAAACTTCCTCCCCTTCCATACGCTCTTCAATGACAACCTCGCTACCAGCAGAACCAAATACGGAATCAACCATGATGGACTTGAGACCAGTAATGCCTTCCTCGAGAGTTTCGGGAATCAAAACACCCTTTCCTGCTGCAAGACCAGATGCCTAGCAAACAATTATAGGCAAATTTAAAATAAATGAGCACACCACGTTAGAAACAATCTGGATTTAAACTTGAATTAAACCCAATTACATAAATCACCTTGATGACATATTTGCCCTTGTATTGACGTAGATATGCCTCAGCCTCCTCGTACTTTGTAAACGTCTAAATAGATATATTTTAGAGTTACAAAAATCATGTTAGGCTATATCATGTTTCATGTGTGATGGCAAAAGTAATACCTTGTATGCAGCAGTGGGAATGTGATGACGATCCATAAACACTTTGGAGAATGCTTTAGATCCTTCAAGCTGAGCAGCTTCCTTGGACGGTCCAAAGCAGGAAATTCCAACTGATATTAATTTATGCACATTAGTAAATGTATTCAATATATTCAATAGTGTTTATCAAGCTTTACCCTTTTTAAATGCACCGTGAATTCCATCAACAAGTGGTTGTTCAGGTCCAACAACAACAAGATCAATCTATATATTTTTAATCATGGCATAGATGATTGCAGTTGATTAGAAACAATGTTTAATACAGGTTCTGACGTGGATTAAAAGCTGGTATGATTGCCAAATCCAGACAATACTATATAGGCTGTATAAAATACCTGGTTATCAACGGCAAATCGAACTAATTCAGTAAATTCTGGAGCAACAGGTTTGATGGGCACATTGATTGATTTGGATGTAGACGCAGTGCCTCCATTACCTAATTTGCCGAAAATTCGTATAAAAAGTTTTTAAATTGGACATTGCAGAACTTGGTGGTTAGTCGATCCAAAGATAAACAAGGAAATGCAGTTTTATTCAAATGAAAGTTTAATGGAATGTAAAGGATCAATCCTTGACCGAGTAAATATCCAGATATGAAGTTGTATGGCATATCCAAGTATAGAGTGGCTGGTCGCCAATTAACATAATCAGACTGAAAATCTAAATAAAAACCTGCCTGGAGAAACATAGATCGATTCAACTTTGGATGACTTTTCTAGAGCCCAGCAGATGGCATGTTCACGGCCACCAGAGCCAACAACAAGAACCTTCATCGTTCAACTTTTTTGTCAATATTGAAGATTGCAATTTCTGTATTTTGAATCATGCATTTCACGTGACTCTTTTACACCAAAAAACAAAAGGAACGAGAATAAATGTTTATATTTCAGCAATCCAATTTCATGTTGTGAAACCATTTTGATAGCATCAAACAAGTATAAATTTACTGATTAGCATTGCTCTTTAAACTCTCTCAAAAATCCTACTCATCTTCTAGTGATCGTACAATATATGGTTATGCCAAAAAATTATGGTTTAAAGCTATAATTTGAACTGAAATCATATGATGTCTGCATTTAAATAGAGAATGGCTACTGGGGTCGACTGTATTAGAAAAACGTAACATTTAAGCATGGTTCATTTTGAAGCAAAATAGTGACTACTAGATACGAGTGTTTTACGCGAATATGGCTGTAGGAGATGCCTTGGATTTGGATAGAGTTGATTTCAAAGCGTTCAGAACATCAAACTGCTTACAGTAAATAATTCCCTCTAACGAGAAATCGGTCAACCTTGTGCGGTACTCATCCTTCTTCCATCCAATTACAAAAAATCGATTCAATTGGAGCAATATCGAGAAACATTGATGCCAGGCCACTACAGAATGATGAATATGTACATGGAATGCCAACAGTTGAATCTGAGCAATTGAAATAGATGTACTATGTTGGTGCAAAGGGGAGTTGGCTAGATATGGATATGTTTTGACCCTGTACGAATATGATAGCTACGACAGGAGTATTAAAGAGATACAGATCAAGAGTTGTGAGTGAGCAAAAACTGGAATACAAAAACAATCAAGAACTATCGGCTTCTGGACTGAAAGGCGGTGGCCAATTTGCTGGTACAAGTCCATCGCTTCGCCATCCATGGATCTAAATTGCAGAATTTAAAAGCATAAAGTAATCGATTTGTTAGATTGGAATTCACAACTTGACTCGGATTTATATCAAATTATACTTGCAAGAATAATAATGACAAACGATACTGGAACAGCTTTAGAAAACTTGCGTCCGCTTATCATTGACTCATAAATAGAGGCATGGTGGGTGGACTCGACTTCCTGCAATGTTGTGTTGTTTTTGTAATTGGTGCTGACCGGCCGAGTTGGATCATATGGTGTATGCTGTTTCCGCCATGCATCTCGCCGCATCTGCCAGTTCAGATACCCAATTATTCCTTGTCGATCTTGCTCAATATTGGCATGAAAGATCTCCAAGTCTTCCACTCTTTTCTTGGATTTCAGTTCGTGAGTCGAACAAGAAAGGCTTCGAGTGTTTGTGCAAGATGTTTGAAAAGTATTGTCGTTTAATAAAACTGTATCTGATGGAGATTGACCCAGTCTAGTTTTCAGTGGGTTTAATTCAATAGCGATATCCAATGGCTGTTGAACAGTTATGGGGTTTGTGGAGATACTAGCGGTCGGCAAGTTGAACTCTGCAGTAATTGGATCTGTTCTTGTAGGATCATCCAGAGACTCTTTTTCGTTATGAAAAGATAAATCTGTGTTGCATAATGGCATTGGTTCTTGTAGTGATATTCTTTGATAACTCAAGTCCATGTACCAACCACTAGTTGTATCAAACACACCGAGTTGACACAATAAAAGCACTGATATAGAGTCGAGTGTCAGCTCTTTTAGTTGACAAGTAGAAAGATACTTGGTGTATGCAGCCTATTGGGCCAAGTTTAGTTCAATAAAAGAAAAACAATATTAGCGAATCGTATTTGACCAAAAGTCTTGAATTCTCGACTCGAGTTGTATTCACACAAAATGGAACATTAAATGTGTCAAAGTACATGATAAATTATTAATCAAAGCAGTAATGTCTAATAGAAAAACACAATAAACATTCAAAAACCATGTGTTTCCAAGCAAACTAGTTGCTGCAAGTACAACGGTTCCATTTTACGTGAATACAATGTATTTGGTTTTTATCGCAGTTTATTAGACTGCAAACCCAACAAATGAATCCTCAGTCAAAATCATTACATGTCCAGATCCAATCTGTGCAATACCCAAAACCATTCCACCTTGACTACCTTGGCCAATATTCAATACAAGTTGTTTTGCATGCATTTGCTTTACTTCTGGCCGTTCGTATACATACACATACTGCTTAAACTCAACCACAAGTGCCAATCGCATATCTCCTGTCAACGTTACCAACTTTTTGTCCTGCTTACTAGCTTGAACAAATGCAAGAGCAGATAGGGCCGATATATGCTCCAATTCCAAACCAGGCTTGATCTTGAATGCAAGCGCGTCGACATCAGATTGTACAAGCACAACTGGAGAGCGCTCGAGTGGTTGCGAAAGCTGCATTCCAATCCATGCCATACCAGGCATCCCACATCGATGAGAAAGCACCGTCGATGATGATACTTGATCAACTACAAACCGATCAATAAAAAACAAGTGTGCCTCAAAGTCAATGTTCTCTTGTCGCTCCGTGACAGTTTGGAAATGCATTGCAGGTGAACCGTTATCACTAGAATCATCACACTCCATGTTCCTATGGCTACTAAGCTCACCCAAAACGGGCAACTGTTTTGAGTTATGATACTTGTCCAACTTATTGGTATATGACTCCAGCGTAGCAGCATCTAGCGTCTCCAAGACACCATCATCATGCATAAACAAATGTGGCCATCGTGTTCCAGCGTGTGTTTTTTGCAAATACAATACCAGCTGATGCGATCCTTCAAGCGTCCAAATGCATTCAGACGAGCGAACATGATCAAACAAATCGCCAGCAAAGAGTACTTGGCCACTGTGCATAGCCTTGACAGATACGCCGGTGGGCTGGAACACAACACGAATATCACGCTTTACTAGTAATTGCTTGGGAAGGTTGACATTTACCGTAATCTCATCGCCTGATTGAGTCCATGAATAATTGGAAAGAGTGGATTCAGCATTATGTTCATCGCCATTGGATGGAACCGTAGCGTCAGTGTCAGATGCATGAATCAACGACTCAAACGGTGTTGGTGCGCCAATTGTCAATGAAACCGTATCTGACTCAATCTGTGCAAAGTATGGAGCAGATTCACCATGTAATGACATGACAATGTCTGCGATGACTGTGGTGTCTGTATTGAGATTGCTGTCAGAAGCATGTGCCGAAACAGGTATCTGAACACGCACAAGACTAACCAAGAATCTATGCTTTTTTGTATCATATAAATGCTGTTCTGTAGCACTTGATTTTGAGTTGGGTTTGACCAATGTTTCCACATTGAATGTTTGTTGAGTGCATACAAGTAAATCTCCATTTGAAGCTACGACTGCTTCGTATATCATCATACCCTGAGTAGAAAGCTCTCGAGGTAGAACGATTGATGCTATTTTATGGATTTGAAAGCATGGCACCGAGTCAACTTTGAATATCTCCAATGTATTCATTCCATCAGACGCTAGCATCATATCATGGGATGCAAATACAATGGATGGTGGCAAATGCAAGCCAGCAGGAGTTGTATTTTCTTGCAACGGTGGAGCCAACATTTGCAGCTTGGTGACTTGAATACGACATGATTCATCCTAATTTGGTTTATACAAAACAGTGCAAAGTATGTGAATATCAAGTTGACAGCTATATGAAATAATGATCAACACCTTTCGATTACCATTTGAGCAAGGCAGATCCAACGAGCACTGTCAATGAAAAGTGCGCCAGATCCATCAAACAAAGGAAACAAATGGTTGTAGCGAGTATGCAATTCTAGCAAACGGTATGGGCAAGTAGAGTTGATAGCAAACCCTGATAGTCTATGCAGAGGAGCATCCAGTTTTGTATAAGCCAAAGCCACATCATTAGGTTGCAGTTGATAGTTTTCGAATCTAAACCAAAATACATGTATTAGTGGTGATCAAATAACACTAGATGTTGAATCGAATCCTAACTCACTGTGGGTTTAATAGCGACCGTTGAACTACAGGCACTACTGTCTGTGTCATTTTATTGATTTTGGCAAGATCTCGACAAGTCAAAATCTCAATCTCATTCAAAATCCTGAGGATTGGGAATCTTATCCAGAAAGCTAATGAAAAGCCGTCGATATAAAGTTGAAAGTCTTTACAACTATTCAGTATTGTTTTAGTTTAATTGTGCAAAGTCGATCGCTTAATAACAGCATTTACTATAAATTAAATGTTTTTTTGGAATTGAAAAATTACAATTTTAGTCTGCCTTGCAATATATTATAAACAAGTTCAAATCCACCAGATGACAGAAGGGCATCATGCAGTGTTGCCTGAAAATGAACCAGCACAATCTGAACAGCAGGTTTCTAGAAGAGTGCCGAATTGGAATATAGTGAATTTGCGAGTGCAACAACGACTGGTGAGTCCAGCATTCATCAATTGGACATGTCCTATTGAATCAAGGATGCTCTAATGACTAGATTTAACAATCTTGAATTTTAATAATATATGAATAAACTTACTATTGTTTTTTACTAGTTCCATATATGTAAAGAAGCCAAGAGAACTGCAAAAAAAGCTCGAACTGCTGCCATACAAAAACTGGTTAAAATGCTGCGAACTATCAAGACCAAATCCGAGTAAGTACATACAGCTCAATCTCAATCATAGCTTCCATCATCAATATATACCAACAATATATCAATATTGAATGAACCAATAGGAGCAATGATGATGTGCCCGAACCAGTAAAACTCGCCCGATCAAGAGAATCGAAAAAACTCGATTCACAACTGAATGCCTTGAAATGCTCTTCCATCGATCAAATCGCTTACCGATGTATCGTGGAGGGAATTGAACAGAGTCAACTTCCAGACAAACAGCATATAATTGGACTCGATCCCAATCTTTCTGAAGTGCTTGCAGATAAAAAGGTGGAATGGACACCCGCTGATCGCCGCGTATCTTCGTCAAAAATAATGGTGAATGCAGTTTCTGGGTACGTTTCTGACCTACATGCGTTGATATATGGAAAAAGATACATCAAAAATCAGGCCAAAAATAAAACTGTGCTTTCCAAGGAGAAACTCGATGCAATGAACAAGGCAAAACGTATACGTAATCCAAACGAAACAATGAACAAGGAGAGGCAAAAGGCGATTCAGGAAACGGCTACGCTTGAATCTGAACGAAATGCTATCAAAGGCAATATAAATTTGGAAAACGTGGCTTCAAATAATCATGACATCAGCCTGGAGAGCAGTGACTTTGGCGATGAAAAGTCTTTTCAAGATGACGATTTTGATGATCATATGAGTCTAGATGATTGTATTGGCAGCGATAGCGATAAAGAAAGCGAAAAAGATGTCCAAACTCTTCGTGCCATTGCAAACTCGGCTTCTTCAGCAACAACTAAATTAGCAAGCGTAGATTTACAGTCATCATCAAAACGGCCCATCAAACTTTCTGTCCCAGCGTCTGTACCATCTCGTCGCAAGCTAACATCAGCACAGCGGATCACCGATTTTATTCCAATCGCCACTGCTGGTGAATTAAAAAGTGTGTTTGTAGAAAATCTAGGCGGTTCAGTTAGCGATGTATCTCTATCTGATGATGAATTTGAAGGCAACGAGTTTGACGATAATGGAAACAGAGTCAAGACAACTAGGAAATCCAATCGTATGGGTCAGCGTGCTCGACGAGAGTAAGTGCAAACATTTTCATGGACTACTTTTTTGGAATACAGTTGTATGCTTTGCTATTTAAATTAGATTTCATCTGCTTAATATGCTGACTGAATTAAATTTTCAATTGAACTACTAGGCTATGGGAGAAACAGTATGGTAGTGATGCTAAGCATGTCAAAAAGCAAATTGAGCAAGACAAGTTGTCAGTCAAACACAAACAAGGCAAACATGCCAACGGTGTAGCTCATAGATCTCAACGAAACGGTGATTCAGCAACCGATCGACCTGCTGCATCAAAACAAAAGGAAGACCTATCATCCTTGCATCCGTCATGGCAAGCCAAGCGCAAAACTACCATTGCCATCACCGAGTTTAAAGGATCGCGTATCACGTTTGATGATGAAGGTAGTGTGAATACACCAGTTTCTGAATCCAACAAACCATCAGTTAAAAGCCACTCCAACCAGGCAACTGCTAAAAAAGAAAAACCTGCTGCGCCTGCCGAACAACTCCACCCATCATGGGAAGCAAAGCGACGGGCAAAGGAAATGGAAGCAAAATTAAAGGCTTCAAGTAAACCTACAAAGATTAAATTTGATGATTGAGTAAAGACGTTTAAAGTATTTTTGAAATTTATTAAAAACGATGCTTTGTAGATAGCATTTCTGTATGTATTCCCGGTTATAGTTTTGACTAGCAAATTGATTATTAAAAAAGCAGGATCTTTTGAAAATGTCGACAATTTTTGAAAATCAAGATGTTGCTGTTGGTGCAGAGCAAAGAACTAGCATTTAAAAACCAAGCGATTGCAGATTTGCATTAGATACCCAATAATGCATTTGAAAGATATTGGCTAGAGTTTTAAATGACTTACTTCCTTGAACCGCAGTAGGACACTTCTTTTTTAACACGGTAAACACAATTGCAATGATGATCCCAACGACCATGAGCAAGATCATGAACATGAAAATTTTATCATTACCCATCCGCCTATGTATAAATACCAACCAGTCACAGTAGGACATCACGCCAATATTAGCACAATACTTTGGTTCATTGGTTGCGGGGCAATGTTGAGAGTAGTGTAAAGTTACAACTCATTTAAAATCAACCTTACCGGACAAACACTCGCATTTGCTTATCGGCTCGCCGCAGATTAGATTCAATACGTTCTACATCTTCATCAACTTGGCGTATTTTTTCACCTTGCTGCTTCAACTCGGTCTGGACAGTTACACCAACCTATACTCAATGCATGTGTCGTTTAAAGTAGTTGATCTTAAATCTATTGGTATAGTGCTAGAAGAAAGTTTACAAGGCATTTTTAGATATGAGATCTTGTGATAAAGTACCTGGATTGTCTCGTCCAAAATTCTTTGTGTGCGTGCAGTTGATTCTTGTGTTTTGTCTTGAATCAGTAATGCTTGTTTGGTCATTTCGACCGAGGTCATTTCATCCATATCTACATATCCATTCAATCAACCAGAGTAAACAATAAGCTGCCAAGTTTGAAAATTCATACGATTCTGTAAGCTGTCAAGTTTAATTTTCCAATCCTACTTTTTTTTTTAACTGGGCCTCCTTCAGCATTTCCATGACTAGTCTCAGCCCACTCAATATCTTGTCCCAGCTTGCCAAGTCTTTCATCAAGTGACTTTGCTTTTCCATCCCATTCGGTATAAGCTGACCCACTTAGTCCCCGGATTTCAACCACAATGGACCGATGGACTTGACGAGCACGATTAAGTCGGTTTTTGAGATAATGGCATTTTTGGGTACGTTCTTCACCCTTGAGTGAAGGAATTTCGCGGTCAAGTACTTGCTGAATACCTTGAATAAGCTCAGTGATTTGCTCTTCAAAGTCTTCTAGGTCTAGAATTGATGTATTTACCATTTAGGTTAGTTTATAGTTGTGATGGTATATGAATGAATGATGTTGTATTGATTAGGCATCATATGCTTGACTTGTGCGTGGAGTTTAGACGTCTATTCCACTAAAGTGGATAAGCCACGACTGTCTGGTTGTATGAAGCAGCACACTCCATCAAGAACATATATCGTGTAACTCTCAAGACTACTAACAGCTACTTGTAGACAAATGTCTTAAACTAATCCAACGGCTTTCTTACCAGACGACATGAACGCGTATTTTGGAGGATATTTATGTCGAGTAAACTAAACGAGTCAAACTCGGAATCTAAAACAAGACTCGATACACTTCAAATCTTTACAAATGTTTTTATGCGATAGAAAGCAATGATGTTTAATTATCACATTCAAGCAACATGCAATAGTATTATCAAGCAGACTTTGTAGGTGCAGGTCCAGCATTGATGTTCTTGGGATCAAAATATTTTTTTAGTCCTTGCCAGCACTTGTAGTAGTCGGGCTGGAGAACATCACCGCCGGTACCAGGAAGCTTTTTCAGTGCCCACTTGGTCACTGATAGCATCTGGTTCGTCTCAAACATGAATGCAAGACCATCTGGACGCAGTTTGATTGGTTTGAGATCATCTAATGTGGCCTTTTCAAATGTCTCACGGTCAGGTCCGTGTGCGGTCATCATGCTAAACATATACAAGTTTAGTTGAAGATGGTGTGATCAAACGGTTGGATCGAAATAATATACCTGTGAAGTGAAGCACCGCCGGGAACAAAGCCTTCTTGTTTTGCGTCATATCCTCCAGAAATGAGACCCATGTATTCGGTCATGCAATTGCGATGGTAATAGGGAGGACGGAAGGTGTTTTCAGCAACCATCCAGCGGGGAGGGAAAATAACAAAATCAGCCAAAGCAACACCCGGAACACCCGACTTTGCGGTAAGAACAGTAAAGATTGATGGATCAGGATGATCAAACGAAACGGTATTGATGGTATTGAAACGAGCCAAATTGTACTTGTAGGGAGTATAGCCGCCATGCCAAGCAACAACGTCAAAAGCAGAGTGGCCTTGGGAAGTGGAAAACAGATAGCCTTGGAACTTGTTGATAATAGTGAAATCAATACCATCACGATCCTCATATGCAGCAACAGGGTGGAGGAAGTCACGAACGTTGGCAAGACCATTGGCTCCTATCATTTTAAAAACAAAGATGAGGTTGTTAGAAACAAGTTTGACTAGACTGTTGTAGCATGGGTGGATCTTGGAAACTCAATGATCATGAAAAAACATACCAATTGGACCAAGACCAGGCAGCTCAAAGTGACGATCAAAGATCTCGAGAACATATCCTCGGCTAGGACCGTCAGGGAGCTTAACGGCATAGCGAATGCCACGCTGAATTCACAAGATTATATTGTTCAAAGTATTAGGAATAAATGTACAACAATAAACGGAAAAATGATCCGGCAAATCGGCCACCACTATACCTGAATGACGCAGATCTCCCCAGGAGCAACAGACATGAATCCAAGCTCGGTTTGAATATCAAGAGTGCCTTGCTGGGGAACTATTGACAATTTGGTTTTAATAACATTGTAAATAGGCTGTATAGTAAATAGTCGACTTACCAATTAAAAAGTCGCCGTCCGAGTTGTAAAAAGCAGTATCCTTCATGTCAGCATTTGCAGCATAAACGTGGATGGCAAGGCCAGATCGACTGGCTGCAGCACCGGCACCACATACAGTGTGTAGACCACGAATAAAATCAGTGTTTGATTCGGTGGAAAAGGGGAAAGGAGACCATCTGAGCTGATTGGGAGTGGATTCGCATTCAACCTTTGAATCCTCGTCACCAACGACAGAAAAGCTGCGGACAAGTTGCTCAGAGGCTATTCGCTTAAATGGAGCATGGCAGACAGATGGACGAATGCGATACAGCCAACTAAATCAGATCAGCAAATATTGATGCAATCAGTTAATGATCTATATAAACATCAGGCGTTAAAATGCCAGGACAAAGAGTTTTTCCGCCAAAAGAGTCCTGGCAGATCTTTTGTATAGATGGATGGGTTTATAGCAACAGCTATCAAATGGAAACAGCATACATGGGCTAGCCAGTAATCACTTTTTAATAAATAACGGTTTAAAGTCTATTAAAACATGGCCACCAAAACAAGCTCGATAGACTTTATACGATTGTCTGCTATAACATTTCTCAAGAATACAACACAATAATATACAACTTACGTGCGCTGTTGATCCTCACGAGGAACAGTAAAGGCAGTTCCAGACAGTTGCTCAGCATACAGACCATAAGGAACCTTTTGAGGGGTGTTCATGCCTACAAATAGGTTATTCAAAGTCTATTCATTGGTGATCATGTCGATTGGAATCAAATACAAGAAACCAACATACCGACAGGGAGAGCTCCAGGAAGAGCCTCAGTCTCAAAGTCATTTCCAAAACCCGATTGATACTTGTAGTTGGCCATTGTTGTAAGGTTGTAATAATAGGTTTGGCTCAATCCATATAGAATACACGTGATTCATATTCATTCATTTCATGTCATCAATGTTCGGTCAACACTAAGCCGCCTCTTGCAAACCACGGATATTTCTCTTGCGGTTGAGCAACCCTGACTTCATTGCTTAGTGTTGTCCAATCAGCTCACTCACCGCTTCACTGTTTCACACCAACTAAAGCCTTGGCATTGCTCTGTTGCTCTTCATGGCTCTTTTAATCATACCAGTTTTATCACAGCTGTATTCACACAGAATGAACTACTAAGAGTCAAATGTAAACAGTCAGTATCATGGAGTGATGGGTGTCAGTTTACTGGAATATGTAGATTTAAAGTAGATCTATATCAGACATTGAGAGTTTGACAGAGGAAAAATCCGGACAAGCTTCATGTCAATCGAACCTTGCTGGTCTCGAATATCCTTTTCCTTGTTTGATACACGGCTCTAGACAGGCCGATGTCGAATATACGGAAAATCATCAAAAGCTTATATCAAAGCAATTGAAGTCATCCAAGCTGCAAACGTTTGATCATTGAGCAAGTTCAATAGACTATTGGCTAAAATAAGCTTTCCATTATTCAACACGGCAATTCACATGATGGCGGTTGAATAGTATACATACAATAAACTAATATTTATGCGAAACTATACATAAAATGGCCAGGGTTGTTTATTCCATTGAGTATACAAGCCAAACATTGAATTTAAGCTTGCATCGACTTGGTTGATGGCTACGTCTCGATGTATTCAAATTTGCATCGAGATTTACTATATCAATAAAGTACAATGCATAATACAATTTAACGCTTTTCAATTGTTTTTTGATAGCCGAGTTCTATTGTGCGTGAACACGACTGTAAATACTTGTAATTCAATTTCATTCGATTTTATCCCGTTTGAATTACAAAATGCCTACTTCTCAAGCTTCGTATCCACAACAGTCGCCTGAATCTGCCCCTAAGCAGCATTTAACCTCGACGCTTTTGAACAAATGTGGATTTCCTATTGTCTTGACTTTATCTGTTAGTTCGGTAGGTTATATAAATGCAATATATACTGAATATTTACACCTGTATGTTGATATCCTGCAGCTAGCATTAAGCTAAATGATCACGCTTGGGGTTAGGGAATAATGATGAATGTTTAAATTTATGACTGGGTGTCTGATGACTGAGACCATTCGAGTCCACACACCCCAAACTAAACTGCAGTGTACTATCTGTTCAGTTAATGGGATGCACGACTTTGATGGCATTACAGCTGTACTAAAAGATGAACTTTTTACTAACTCATATCTTTGGCTCTATGTCGTGTTTAGCTTGGATGGTTGCTGGACTTTGTTGGGGTTTGTATTGCTCAGCAGCAACAGAACCAGTTTGTTTACACCATCAATCCACTACGATTTCAATGGTTTTTTTTGGCAGTCTATCTCGTGTCTATTGTTGGTATGATTATGGTAGTGCTAAATGGCTGCATTGCTGTATATCGCTTCCCAGTAAGTAGTAAATGGCTGTTTAATACTAAAAATCAATACAAAGTGCATACCAACTAGTTTGATGTCAACGTCTTGGTTTAAATACTGGATGAATATCTGTTGACAATCCGAGTTTTCATTTTAATATTATTTATGGATTCACCAATAGTAAATGGCTGTATTTTCCAATAAGCTAACGCCCTTTTTGAATTCAACACTATGCGTGTCTTTTATTTGACGAATATATATGTTAGATTATAGCAAGTATTGTTCTTTGCATTGCTTTTGGAGTTGAAGATATGGATTCTGGAGTGATTACTTCCCAGCTATCGAATGGAATATCGGCTTCTGCAGGTGGACTTCGTGCTGCAGGCGTTTTCTGTATTCTAGCTGCCATGGTAAACCTTGATCTTGTTGGCTAGAAACTTTCTTGGTACTATTTTTCAACCCAACAGCACCTGTATGATTCTAACCAGGTGTTATTTTGTTCTAGTTTATCAACGTGTTTCTATTTGGTGTTGAAAAAGGTGCTGTTGAACTCCCGCCATTTATGCTTCGCGTTCCAAACCCAATACAAAAGACTGACCAAGGCAACTCGCATCTCCCAAGCCATAACGTAAATGCTTCAGCACCATCTCATCACCATGCCAATTCAGATCGCCAATCTATGTCCACCCAGCATGTACCACTAACGATACTACAGAGCACGACACCCAATAATGGCGTGGTACCACCACCAAAATCTGGCGAACACCCAAGTTCATTTATTGAGATTCCAATGAGCGACCAAAAACGCGTTGGAGGTCCTAGACCCGATTCTGATATGAGCGTTGGTAGTAATCTTAATAATGGCGTATATATGCATCGTGTAAAAGCAGTCTATTCCTGTAAGTATCCAACTGTTTGTATTTGATTATGCTCTATACTCATGTATTTGACTTGTTCAATAGATAAAGCAAACCCTGAAGATCCGACAGAGTTGACATTTGAAAAAGGAGATACACTTGAAGTGGTGGACATACAAGGCAAATGGTGGCAAGCACGTCAAGTCAAAGCAGATGGACAGACTAATATTGGCATTGTTCCGAGCAACTACATGCAGGTGATCTAAATCAGTCACTTTGAATTGAGGTATGCAGCTCAACACAAACCACTGGAATGTCAGTGAGTTTACATCTATAGTATTATCCATTTATAGCCGTGTTTATATAAAATGGAATACTAAACAAGGGTGTCGAAATGCATAATAAACATCTAGTTTCATGAAATGGTTGATATTTCCAAATGTATAGGACAAGATTTGATTTCTAAACCTTTCAACTTTCCAGTTATTTTTGCACAAAACGAATCTGAGATTAAAAAGCCAAATCCAAATCCAATATTTAGGCTGCAACGAGTTTGATGTTTTTACAACAGTTTCATCAAAAAGAATAGTTTGCATTGCATGAACGTTTGAAAGAATTGGAAAGTCGATTTCTAAGCGCAACGAATTTATTCGCAAGTAAAATAAGGATCCATACAAGTGTTCCATCTACGTGAATACGCTGTAAATCAATTGCGATGGTGGTGCAGTTCTTGGTCGTTGCTCTGCTGCTATCTCCTTATCTACCCAATGTTTTCCCTTTGCTGGCATTGCTGGGTGCAATTTCGTTTTTTCTATTGAGTGCAGGCTATATCATGTATTCGCAGCACTCTCGCTCCATTAACAGCCAGTCCAATGTTGAGCGCATTCATTCAAAGTCTAATGTCCAGCATGCTAGTGTCAATGGCATCCATTTGAAAAAAGGGTTTCCCAGACTTGTTCGTCTTCCTAACAATTCCTTGTCCGTATCTTCTAGAGCCTCTGCTCCATTAGTCCAGCCAGCATCTGTCGTTCTTTCTTCAGATATACTTCGATCTGAACCTACATGGACTGCAGAACAGGAACTAGCTAAACAGATTGCTGCTGCTACACAATCCCCACTTGGATTTGATACTGAGTTGGATGCTGACAAGGATCAGAATGCTGATACTAGCAATAACACATTGCAGTCGAGTGTTGCCACGTTTTTATTCTATATTCTACACAATGAACTCTTTGAACCAGCCATAAACATGTTTCCAGGAATTTATTCAAGCTCTACAGTCACCAGCACACTTCCACCCTCTACATACACAATGCACTCAGGAAACTCACCAATGGATGCAATCATATTTCAAATTGCTAATCGAGCAACTGCTACTTTGGATTCATCTGCACAACTTGTACCCGATTGTCTGGAAAATCGCTTAAAAACTGATACAGCTTTAAAAAACGAACCAACAGTACGACAATTTGGTATCTCAAAAAACATTCCACAGTTCAACCCGTCTCAATCTATACTTTCCAAGCAAAAATCGTCAGATCAATGTCCTATAAACCCTTCGGATCGTAGTGCATTTAGTAAATTGTTTGGAAGTAGTCAGATTGAATATGTGAGCAATATGGCTTCAAATACCATCAATCATATGCGGATAAACAGGCTTCATGAACGCTTATGGATTTTGTTTCTCAAAGTATTGCAGAAACATGTCAAAGAATACCGCCAAATACGACGAGATATTCAAGCAGAATTGACTGCATCGCGCACTGAGCCCTTGACTGGGCTTAAACCATCTGCTCCAGATCCGCTTTCTGAGTCCACTAAATCAGGCGATACGCATGGACTTTTTTCAGATTCAATACCACATCCTAAAATAACAAAGCCCAGGCATTTGGACGACTTTAACGCATTTTTGGGTGATGACATGGATGATGCATTGATGTATAATAAGAACATGGACAGTCTTAATGAAAAAATATGCATGCGCATGTCTGGATTGGGTAACTTGCATCCGGCCGTAGGAAAAGGAGACTTTCATGAACAATCGTATCTACGGAGCACCTTTGATCGTGTGTTTGAAATACTGAGTCGCGACTCTTGCACCAAATCATCTCTAAATAAGTCGCCTCGCTCAAGCTCATTGTCTAAAACAGAAGATGCCACAAAAACTCAATCTTCTCAAGTGCCGTACACCGACAATGCAAAATACTCTTCAAGCAAACTTATGCAGATATTGATGCGAGAAGTAACAGTATGTCAGATTGTATGGCCATTTTTAAACAAGTTTTCACAACCTCATCTGATCAGTCAGATTTTAATAGACAAGGTATTGCATTGGAGATGTTTGATTGTAGGGTTGTGATGATTTACTAAGTTTTGAAACCATTATACATGCATCATAGGCACAACGTCAAATTGCATTTGTCAAGGCAGCCAAGACATTTCGCAGTCAACTTGATTTGTGTTATACGCAATTCCCACCAAAATTCTTGCTTCCAGGTCGTGGATGCAGTGCCAGCTTCTCTGTAACTACACTGGGTGAAAAGCAGCGTCTTTTTGAATCTTTGTCCAAATACTCGCGAAAAGTGCGATCATTGATAGATATCAAAGCTGTTCAACATGAGATTATTCGAGAGCTAAAGCATGTCCGCGAAGAAGCTCACGAGCAAGAACGTGATCCTCGTTTGTATGATCAGGCCGAAGAGTCTAGAAGGTATATAAAGGCACTCGAGGTTTTAAAAGTAAAGTTGGACAAGAAAATTGCAGCATTGACAGCTTTACAAGGAGAATCAACTTTACACGTAAGTGCTTTTACTATGCTTATATCTTGCAAGATTTTGTCTTGCTGTTTCTTATGCAACATTTTACAAGTCAAAAAGTATATTTTTATAAAGTGCAAGCTATTTTTTTACTTGATTTTACCATTTAGCGCACCCCAAAACGTATCATTTCAATCCCTATCATGGGAATGATGAATAAACAGGAAAAGCCAAATCAATTTGAAAATAGAATTGAAATTTCACTTCAAAGTATTCTAGACGAATATGCAAACTCGGCAGAGGATGGCCGTACAACAACTTCCAGTAGCATATACTATTTTCTTGATTTTCTTGAAAAGCATGATGGTGGATCTGGCGTTATAAAACTTCGTTTCTGGTTTTCCGCGGAAAAGCATCGGTATTCAATGGCTTACTATTATTTGATATACATATTACAAACTGTTTTTTTTAAATCAATTTTTTGATGTTTATAGTCGGACAATTTGGAGAATAGGCTCGGGGTTAGGATGGAAAGAACTGCCAGCTGCTCAAAGTGACTTTGATATTCTTGAACCAGTAGAAGCCATTCCTTCAATCGCACATGATCGACTTAGAAAAGACGCTTTGCGTATATTTCGCACTTACCTAGCACCTTGTCCACCAACTGCTGCACAGATTCAGGTCCCACAGAATGTGATTGAATCCTTTCATCGTTATCTCAAACCACTTTTGCGATCTGATATGAATGACTCATTCCATGAAGCAAATGATGAAGATTACAACTGTGTCACGTTAGCTCAACAGACAGTACAAGCCGATTTGGAAAAGTTATTTAAAGCATTTTTGCATTCAGAATCTTATTTTAGATGGTTGAGCGAGCGCGAACGGGCCAAAGTTGCTCAGCGTGACCGAGGAACGGATATAGCATTAGGACCACATAATACGTCTAACCATCCAACTGCAAATCTGAATGTTCTTAACCAATCTTCAGTAAAAAATCCAAGCAACCCTTCCGCCTCTGGATTGCTTCCTGTCAACCTAGGTTTTACAACTGCTGGTGGTTCAGTAAGTGGTACACGGGAATCAGGTTCAGGATTAGCTGGTGAAATGGGTGGGCCTTTTGCTTCAGTTAGTAAATCGGCTGCTGGTGATTTGCTGGATGACACAAAGCTACGGAACTTTTATCAAAGCGCACTAATGACTGCATTAACCTATGAACTCGATGTTGCTGCAGCCAAGCTTATTGTTACCAAGCGAACTGTTCAAAGTGGGGTTATTGTGACGTCAAAGCCTGACCATGTGATTTCAAACGCTCGTACTGGGATCAATGCGCAGTCAGTGTTTGATATGAATGCGCTTGATTCTGATATTATCACACTTGAAGAGGCAAATATTATTGATGGTGGTGATCTCATTGATGATTCAGAACTTGGACGTGGATTGACAGTTAAAGAGCAGGACCAAGATGTAGATTTGCCTGCGCCTGGAGAACTACTTACAAGCATCACCAAACTTCAAAAAATCAAGGACGATATCGATAAAGTCATGTTACAGATTGATACCATTGATATGATATCTTGGCATATCAATTATTTGAATCAAAAAAATGCAGATAGCCAGACTAATATAGATAGCAACGATGAAGAGACTGCCGATATACCAGTGTCGCACCGAGCAACTGTGCTGAATATTCTTGATCACACCAAAGAAATATTGCATTTAGATATTGGCGAGCTGTCGCGCCAGAAAGCCAAATACGAGAGTCAAGAGCAACGAGAAGCAATTGTGCCTGGGCAGTGTAGTATTAATCTCCAAACTGTTGATGAAGATTCTACTGATCCCCGGGATGATTCACGCAGTTATCTTGGCGGTAATGCATTAGGGTTTGGTAGTGGTGCATTGAATGCAAGTTCTACTAATATGTCTACTGCAGCTACTGGCAGCTATCGTGTCATTTACTACTTGATTCAAATTGAACGCATTGATCAAAAAACAGGATGGACAGTCAAGCGACGGTATAGCGATTTTGATGCACTACATCGTAAATTAAAAGAAACCTTTCCCATTGTTGCCGATTTTGATTTTCCCGGAAAACACCATCTCGGAGTATTTTCGCTCTCTAATAAGCAAGAAGAAGCTAGACGGAATGCACGTATGATAGCTCTTCAGCGCTATCTCCGCCGACTTATTGACAATCCATCCATTTGTCAATCTGACTACTTGCGTGATTTTTTATCATCGACTTACCAGTCTGTGCGTCGTAAGGGACTTTTTAGATCCCATGTAGAATCTACAAAAACCGGCCCACAAAACTATTCAGCGCCTGCCCAGAATTTACTTCGGAGAAAATCACGAAATGTTGCCATGGCACTGGCACAGCTGGCTTCAAAACCCCTCAAAGCAATAAAATCTGAAGGAAACGATTCACTTTCCAACAGCAGTGGATTGACTGTACCGCTTGACACGACGGCTGGTAGTGTTTCTGCGGTAAATCCGTTTGTGCAGGGTACTAGTAGTACCACGGCGATTAATTCTTCTCGAAAAGTGCATCTGGCTTCATTTTTTAATGGTAGTCGGCATCGCAAATGGGGAAAAGACGGTGCGTCTGCAGCAAAAGCAACGGTGAATAGGTTTGGTGAAAACAAAGATGCAGACGACGGAGATGGTGATGATTTTAACGACGAAGACAGTTTTGGAACGGATGAGGCAGAAGCTAGTGATGGAGTTGTTGATGTGGACGATGATGCAGACACCAATTCATCAGTTCGAGCATTCGTATCACGTTCACCGTCCACCAAATACAATGACTCGTGTCTTTTAAACTCCAACGGCGTGGATGTTTCCAAGTTTACGAGCGATTCCAGTGACGATTCCAATAATGAAGACACATGGGCTGGTGGTCATTTGCCAGACTTGCTATCTGATGATGTTAGTGGACTAGATGATCCGAATGATCCGATTTTATCAAACTCGTTTGTACAACCGTTGATTGATCCCTTGTGTGCATTGCTGATGGAAGCGTTTGATTTTAAAGAACAGAATCATTGGTTGAAGCGAAGCACAGCGTCAATGCTACTAATGGAAGTTATGGGTGGTACAAATGCATCAGAATTGTAAGTTCTAGAGAGTTGATTGATGTTTCCTGTCCAATTCACTATCTAACAATTTAATACTGCTTTACAAACTGTGTTTATGCTTTGCTTGATACTATTTAGCAACGATCGTCGAATCTCTATACTGTTAATGAACATGCTCAAGGGTAATTCTATATCATGGTTTCTGGAGACTTTATTTTCCCCAACCAACCCCCAAACAGGCTTGTCCACCCCAGCTCCGGCTTCTTTTCGAAGCACGGTCCCGTTTTATAAGTACCTTGTAGGTGGAGTACCTTATATTTCACCGAGTCGTCAACACTCTATCCGGATCGAAGCCAAAACCAAAATTATTCAAGCTATTCCAGAAGTGTTTTTTCGAGTTCTCGGGGCAGATATAGCTACTCAAGGAGCAATCCGATGTTTTGAAATGCTTCAAAGCGTTACTTTAAACAAGAGTTTGATGTACAAACTGCTGGATGTGTTTTTAGACACTATTGTGAGTGAGTATGGTTGACGATTGAATATTCGATCATGTTGATATTGTGATTTAAAGCCGTATTCACGTAAGATGGACACCGAGAGTGGTCAAGTACATAATAAACCGTCAGTCTCATGTTTGATTGGTACCAATCTTGTTGGAAAAGATTGTGTTTTTTGAATTTTAGCTCACTGGTCTGATCATTTTTGTATTCCTGTTCCAATAATTTCTACACTCAACATTGCTTAATCTGCCACTTTCCTTTTTTCAAACCGACCATTACAAATATTGTGCGATGAGTATGGAACATTTTCAAACGCATATCTTATTTTGAACAACACTTTATTCCACAAAGCAACACACGGCGCGAGGATTGAAACTCCACAACTCCATATTGCTCATTCTTACCAAGACAAACACTCGATTATAATAAAGAATGAGCTCGTGTGTTGAGCCATCGCAACCACCAAAAAATCGAGTGTTTATTACGCCAATCTTTAGTATGAAAACAAGAAAGATTCAGTCATGAAAGATTCTCAAACATTCAAAATCCATACAAAATCCACTTTACTTGGTCTTCAAATCCAATTCTGGTGGTGACTTTTGGTGGTTTTGAATTCAATTCTCAAGATATGATCGACCAAATAACAATTCTCACTCAAGGAGGTGCAGTGCTGTGGACTAGAAGACTCTTTTCTACACAGTCGAATACGCTCGACCTAGTCAATGCTCTTATATCCAATGTGCTTCTGGAAGAACGGGCTGGAAAGGATGCGTACCTTGTTGACCCGTTCCTATTGAAATGGACATTTGCCAACGAAGTGGGTTTGGTGTTTGTGGTATGTGGTTTGATATCCGGTAGATTCTATACCTGTACGTTCAAGACTTTCAAAAGATATATCTGGATTAGTATTTGGGAAATAAATTCATGTGTATTGGTATCCAAGCCTTGGTATTGAACATGCAAGATCACTGCATGCCATGTCCACTATATTGTCCTTGGCAAGCTGATTTCGTTCCATGCAATCACATATACTGAATCAATTCAATTGTAGGCTGTTCATCAAAAAGTGCTGTCGCTTCCATACATTGACGAGTTGCTCCAAGCCATCAAATCTACATTTTGTAGCCGCTTCAAAAATATTATTGGCGACATTTCTCATATTGACGAGTATGCCGAGTTTGATGACGTATTTGATACAATCCTAGATGCTGTAGAGGAAAAGGCTAAAGAGGTAGATACCTACTCAGTTATTGAGAAACACAGATGGATAATTCTGGATTGGAATTTTTGAATGCATGTTGAAACATCTTGAACTAGTATATATGGCAGTAACATTTTTGGTATGGGGATTTGACTGTTTTATGGTGTGACTATCTAGTCTAAAAAGGCAAAGGTGCCTAGATCATTCAAGGAATCGCGCAAGTACACCAACACTCTTGAAGGATCACAGCAAAAAAAGTCAGACTTGGCAGTATCAGAATCTGTATCTTTGGATGCTGCTTCTGGAGATCCGACTACACAAACTAAAGCAGATGAATTGGCTTTAAAACTAGAGAAACTGGCCAAGCGTGGTGTATCTAGTCGTAAAAATACATCAAAGAAATCAAAACCACTTGTATCAGAGACTGCATCGCCGTCATTGGCAAAAAAGGAAAAACAGATGCGTGCATGGGATGCTGCGGGTGGTTCCATGTCTGTTGATAGCAATCAGAAATTAGATTTTAGCGATTCAAAGCAGGATAGCGAAACTGTGTTGCTGAATTTAGTGCGTATACATTAGTGGTGTTTGCATTTTTATTTAAAAAGTTGAACTGATTTTTGGTATAGGTGGGCCACTCATTGGGCACACGAAGTGCAGATGGATCGTATGAAGCACTGGACATAGACAGACCCGCCGAGACTGCAAGCGAGAATGAAAGTGATGATGCAAAGGATCAAGACAGTTCCACTGCACATTTAACTATTTCAAAATCTAGCACATCGGGAGGTGACTTGTTTTCATTTTTCTCAAAATGGGTATCAGCACGCACTCTTACCGAGGTGGATTTAGAGCCAGCACTGATTAAAATCAAGGAGCACTTGATCAACAAAAATGTAGCGGCAGATATTGCATCTCTATTGTGCGATTCTGTAAAATCTGGTTTGATTGGGAAAAAGACTGGTCCGTTTAAAGCTTTGAACACCACGATTAAAGAGCTTATGGAGATTGCGCTCAGTCGTATTCTTACACCGAGCACATCTACAGACGTTTTGCGTGAAATCAATGCCGTGAACAACAAGAGCCATAGTGGTAACAGACTTTCATCAAGCCATGTTGGTCGCCCTTATACGTTTGTGTTTGTGGGTGTCAATGGCGTAGGAAAAAGCACCAATCTTTCCAAAATCTGCTTTTGGCTGTTGCAGAATAAGAAACGAGTATTGATTGCTGCGTGTGATACGTTTCGATCTGGAGCAGTGGAGCAGCTGCGTGTGCATGTAAAAAATCTCAAAGCACTTGAAAAGGGTGCTGTAGTTGATCTATTTGATCGTGGATATGGAAAAGATCCTGCTGCAATTGCAAAAGAAGCCATTGCATATGGTAAGCAATAGTTTCCGTGTGCATTAAAGCTAGATTTAGCTGAAGCATTGACACTATTTGTGTTTATTGTATAGCTACTTTGGAAAGATACGATATTGTACTTATAGATACTGCTGGTCGAATGCAAGACAACGAACCATTGATGCGGGCTTTGGCCAAGGTATGACTCGACCCATTATTTATTTCCCGGTATTGCCCAAGTTTACCTTTTTATATAATGTTTGGTGTATTCTTCAACTGCCAAATTTAGTTGATTTCCACCAACAACCCGGACAAGATTCTTTTTGTTGGCGAGGCACTTGTGGGCAATGGTGCCGTGGACCAACTTACTAAATTCAACCAAGCCTTTCGCGACTTTTCTGGAATGCGTGAACCCCGTCAAATCGATGGGATGATTCTGACAAAGTTTGACACAATCGATGACAAAGTCGGTGCAGCACTTTCAATGACGTACGCAACGGGTAAACCTATTTTGTTTGTAGGCACTGGACAGACTTACACGGATTTAAGAAAGCTGAATGTGAGAAGTGTTGTCAGCTCTCTTTTGAAATAAAAAGATAATGCGGAGACTGAGTTAATAAAGTTGATATATTTAGTTTTTTGTCTGTGATAGGTTATGGAAATCTGCCATCAGAATTCAATGGGTTTCAAATCAATGAAATCATTGAAAAATCTATCGAATTGCAAGCAGCTGTAGGTTTCGCCAAATACATGGCATTTATCAAGCATTTATGAAAATGGAGCGGTAGGAACATTGGAGGTTTTCCCGTAAACTTCAATGTCAGATTCGTCACTTAATATAATATCAGAAAACTTTACAGTAGAATGTCCAGAATGATTAGACACAGCTTTTGGAGCAGTGCATAAGTCGGTTCCTAAAGCATCGCTAAACACTGTTTGAAAAACATCTGCGTCAGTCGTTGTATTTGAATCGTTATTTAAAGGTTTAAGATCCGCATTGCCAGGTAATTGGGTAGAGGTTGTAGATTGCAGCTGAGATACACTAGGAACTGCTGATATTGGCTGCGAGGATGGTGCAATAAAAATCTGCGACACATCACTAGCTTGGGTAAACCAAGATGATCCAACTCGTTTAGCAACAGAAAACATATCACCGACAACTCCATTGCCATCCTGACCAGCAGAAGCCCGGTTTAGATTTCTTGATGCATCCATCAGATTAGGAGTAGAATTTGTTTGTTTAGGTTGAATATCTATACTCAGACGAGTTTCAGATCGTTTGGCAATTAAAGATGCTTTAAAGGAGCTTCCGCTTGCACTGAACATGGACAGTTTTCTGTTTTTTTCTGAATCAGCAGAGGACAGAGTTGGCGAAATCAGTTGCTGTTCTTCTTCATCGTCTCCATCGCTATCCAGCTCGTTGGGTGATTTTGCAGTCATACCAACTCCATCTGGCAGATCCTCCGCAGAATTAGCTGTTGAAAGAATGTCGACTGAAATAATGTCATCGTAATGTACAAGTAGATCCTGATTGTTTACAAATATTAAAGGTACATCTCATGTATCAAGCGCAAACTGTTGAAAGTAAACGACACTTACTCGCAAAAGACGGCCACGATGCTTGTCATGAACACTAACCGAATTTTCAACCTATACAAACATATTAATAAACAAGCAAAAGCTTGAATTGCAGATTGCAATGAGTTGATTCATGCAAATATCACACATGCTTACCTCGGGACGAAGAAAGTAAGGCCCAAGAGCAATCGCCAAATCGGTAATGCGCGAGTCCAACGGATCCAAGTCAGAAATCAAACTAAAGTACAAATAGTTTGCAGAATTGAACATATCAAGCATGTTAGTACATTCAACCAATCATATACATTAAAATCAGCAAACAAAAACTAACGATCGAATACGAATGATTAAAAATGAGAGCGTATGAAAGTGAGCCGATGACATTGTTGCAAGAAGACTTCGAAGCGAGTTGAGTCGCATAATGCCCACATCCTCAGATTCTACAAAAATTGAATACACAGCTGGTAGTTAGATTTGTGCCACAAATGATGATTGCTTTATGATTACAGTCACAAAATAACTCACTGGATAAATACAGTAATTTCAAGGGTTCGTATAAATCGTGACTGCAAGTTCAATATAAATGCATTGTCAATATTGTATCAAAGCTAAAAAGCCATCATAATCTATTACCTGCAAACAGAACTAGGAAGCTCCATAAGATATATTCGAATCGCACCTATGATGGCGGATGGTGGATATTTTCGAAGGGTTTTCGCCCTCACCTTTCCAGAATTAAGCTCATTTCGAAGTGCAATGACACTGCCAAGATTTTGAATAGGAAGCAGCCTATAATTCCAATTCAAACACAAAGGGTATAATAGCTGTCAAAACTCTATTTTAAACAGCAGCATATTTAATCAAAATCTTCACACGTGTAAATGGTTTAAAGCGTATACAACTTGCCAAAACTCTAGATGCTTGTGAGGCTGCTTTCTTGGTGATAGAGCCGAGGAGTTTTCTGGTGATTGAGCTTCAATGGTTGTTTCGGAAATATCGTCAAGAAATTTGAAGCTTTTTCTCAGTATTGCTGGTACACGATATCCACTTTTGGAGTGTAATACATCTAGATCCAGACCAAATATCTAGGCATAACAGATATAAGCTTCCAGTCATTCTACAGATTTTGATAAGCAGTCCATTGTGCAAAACGTACCACATCGTTTGGTCCTTGCAAATACCTTTCAAACAAGTGGGGAATGGACGGTCGCACACCGGTACGATCGCGTTCAGCAAGTACCTGAGTTTCTTTATCAGCATCGAGGGTTTCCAAAAACAAAAACAAACGCTCCTGAATACCACGAATAATATGAACAGGAATTTTCTCTGTTTCTGCACAAGTCGATAGAACATCCTTGATAGTGCGAATCCGCTCACTTAGAATTTTCTGGATAATGTCCATGAATTCTGCCGACAAAATATCAAGCGATTGTCGAAGAGTTTCGACTTGCATGATACTTTTTTTGTACTCACGTTCGCTTTTCTCGGCTTCGCGAATCGCTTTGCGATGTGGAACTTCATTGGTGACTTCATATACTGATCGTTTCCACTGGTAGTTGAGTGAAGGAACAAAAGTGGCAAAACGGCCATTTATGGCGCGAATGAAACCACTAGAGTGAAGATCATTGAAAAATGCAAGAGCATCATTTTCGTCAAGTCTGCACTTTGTCTTTACGTAATGGAGCATATCTGTTCCTAAATAGCAGGATTTGTAAGCCCCCAATATTGAGCCCACATCCTTTACATGGTAAAAAGCCTGTCAGTAATTTGCAAGATGATCAAGATGGTATAGAAACAGCAACACAAGTACTTGTATTCCATGATGCATTTGTAATAAGAATGTCTTACAGTACACTTGACGTCGCGCTGTATTTCGGCAATAAAATCATTAAACTCGCTCACAGTCAAGGATCGTAATCCGACATTAATCATGATTTCCATGACAGGCATATCTCCACATATGGGAGATTCGTTGAACCTGGTAGTTTTTTCTGCAGCCTCGATGCTTTTTTGCTTGTATAGCTGTCTAAGCGTTTGAACTTGAGCAAGGGCCACATGGTACTGTTTGGCAAGTGCATCAATACTGTCCATTTTTGGAAAACATATCTTACGAGCATCTTCGTTGAATTGTTTTAATGGCAGCAGTACTTTAGAAATCTTGCTTGCAACGTCTTGATGCGAGTTTGAAAGTGAATGCATTTCCTAATATCAAGCGAGTTCAATCCATTCAATATACATGGATACAGTCGAGGATGAATTAGATTCACTTTTCAAAGCAAACAAGTCGACCCTGACCAAATAAGATACCTGTTGGTATGTACAAAATATATTAGCAATCAATGAATCGTCCTGACCAAAGCCATCAGGCCGTAATGGTTTTCGAGCCAGATCAGCCAGACGATTTGCATAGTATTCCTCGGCAGCAATGCGTTGCTGAAAGAAACTCAACAACTCTTCAACCTGAACAATATCCTACAAAATAAACGCATTCAATATTTTTAGTAAAAAGGAATGGCAGGATGCTTTTGACAGCAGTTATCTGAAAATCATATTGCCATCCATGCAGATAACAAGTGCCACATTAGCAATGTCTTGAAGACTTGATGTCCAATTGACAACATAAACAGCTTACAGCAACCAGTCGAGCGTGCAGTTTAGAAACCCCGAGTATTGGGTTATCTAATACAAAATAACAAGATTAGTATGAGCGAGTCCAACAAATAGCCAAGACTCGAGTCTTGAAATGATTGTCTTGAAGAACACAAGACAAATCAGACTCGTCAATACAACCCACCCGGAACACCCCAAAACCAATCCTGAAAATGCATTGGCGAATAAAGACCAAATGACAGCTTTTTAAGCAACAGACCATCAACGAACCATCAGCGAGCCATCAGGTAAATTTGACGATTGTAACGATTCCAAGTGTTATCTCGACTGGAATCGGACATGGCCAACACTCGGAGTGATGCGGTTACTCAAGACCTTTCTGTCCACACAGAACAGGAAGACGAGGTACGCTTTACACACTTTGTATTCTGGTCAATATGTTACTAACTGCTTGATTCAAGTGGGAAAATGTCGAGTCTATTGTTGTTCCACAACATATGCGTTGTACTGCTTCTACTACTACATCCTCAACAGACAAGTATGTGGTAATAGTCTAGTATAGTTGATCAGTAGTATATAAATGTATATAACCTCTTTATTTAAATGTGTCTAGTTGGGATAGTAATGCAGACAAAAGTGCATCCTTCACTGGTGGGTTCCAAGTGGCTATAGATTCAGGCAGTTCAAGGACAGAGTATGTCCCACAGGTAATATCAAGTCTTGTCTGAAATCATTCAATGAATGTGATTGAGTTCTGATTACAGCGTTGTATTAGATTAAGCTGTTGAAACGGAATCCCAATCCTCCAGCACAGTCGCTGACTCCATCAGTAGTCTCATCTGCCACTGCACCTAATTCAGCAATGCAAAAACCGCTGTCTGAGCGTGAAGCAGAATACAATGCTGCCAAAATTCGTATATCTGCTCAACTAGACAAAGAGTATCACAAATGATAATGCATGCAACCTGCGCCTTTATCTTTTCAAAGATACCATCGTTGCTTGAGCAACTGCAATCTAATAAGCTATTTTACAAACTGAATGACACGTTGAGTTCACATCAGATTACTTTTTGGAATTGGTGCATGTGCTGCTTAATGAAGACTATTTATTGTAACTCTTCGTGCTGAGTAGACTTGGTAGTGGTATCGTCTTCAGTAACCGATGCATCGAGACTGGTGGTGTCTGGCTGTGTTGGCACCTCGTAGATCTGAGTTTGCCGTTGTATGCGCTCGGCTTCCTGTCGAGTGCGGTGTTGCATCATTCTGGATAGGGTAGGGAAAAGTGCACTGGTTTTCGGACTTTTAAGTCGAAGATCGGGTGGGAGATGAGGATCAAGTGCTGATATAGATTTGACTAGTCGATCTAGAATTTGCAAGGTTTTGCGACTTTGACTCCGCACGTTGCTTACTATAAATGATAGTTGGGTTGTTGAATTCCATCAAACTCCAAATCAGCTAAATATAGCTGAATGTCAAGGTATACAAACCAAACTAACCAGGCAATCCAACATGGTGTAGTTACCTTGAGTAAATTGATCTACTGCAGATCTTATATGAACATACCGCTGCGCAATAGTATTGGCCACCATAGCAGAAAATTGATCCAGCTTGAGTATGTTGTTTTCCAACCGTTTCTGGCATTGTTTATATACTGTCAGCAAATACACGCTCATCTATATCAAACAGACACTTGCATAACTACCATTGTATTACCTGATCTTTACATAGTTCAGATGAAGATTGACATAAATGTCTTTGAAATGCATGTGCAATCTTGATAAAGGGTTCTGGACTGATTGTCACTTTCACAAGCAAAAGGTTGGTGTCAAGATGAAATCATTTACAAATTGGTCGGGTTAACTACTTACAACTAGGGTGAATTGACCCAGAGTGTTTACGAGCAGCCAAAGATCCAAACAAACTGGCCCATTTGAATGGCTGGTCTTGTACCAGAGATGATCTTAAAAATGGCTCAAACTATACAACAGAAATCAAATAAAGGAGTCAGATTCGTATTGTCATACTGAAATAGTAAAAATAGACTTGTTAAATGACCGAGGATAATCTGCACGAATTCGTAGCAGGTTGATTCCATTTGAAATGGTACCTTGGGTATTTGATACAGCTTGTCTATAATCATTCTCCCCTCCTCATCTAAATCACTAGTGTTGATGGTAGCTTGCACAACATTAATGATGCCAGTAGCATCTGTAGAATTGGTACTGTCAACTTTGGATGGAGTAGCTGCCAATTGCTCAAGGTTCATGTCGGTATTTACTCTTGATAATGCCATAATATCACTATACGGTCCTTCTATCTCATCATCAATGCTGTCTTTAGAGCTATCTTTGCCAGATGCATTCAATCCTGAACTCATATTTTATGTGTCGGTAAAAGTTTGAATCGAGATTTTATTAAAGAAACTTATCTGAGCTTGATTGGATGGTAACATTCATCATCATGGTCAAGTATTGAAACCCATGCATGGATTGTATCAAGACTTTGGTTTTACGGCCCTATTCACGCAAAACAGAGCATTGAATCACTGAACAAATGTTTACATTGCTGTTTCAATATATTACATCTTGACACCTGTTCAATCTCTAATCCTCCTTTGATCACAAGTAGACAGCGAATGTCCGACATGGAGGAAACCGTTGTATTTCCAAGATGCGACATCTTTATTCTCTTGGATTAGAGCGCGAATGTATCTGATATTAGAATACAACAAAGTCGAGTTTGATTGACAATCAAACCAAATATTTGGATTGCAATGAATGAATCTGGTGATTGTGCAATGTATAACTGTCAAATGAGAAAGGGATTGTATGTGCATCATAACATGGGCGTTGTGTTTGAAGGAAACAGTGTAGTTCATTTGTATTAGAAAAGCGTAACACATGTTTAACCATTGCCTAGTTCAAAGTAAAATAAATAATCACAAATACAAGTGTTTCATTTTACTTAAATACAGTTGTAATATAACTGAAATGGAATGCGTTTATAGCACATGAACAAACCGACATACACCAAACCAGATCTGTGGGTCGTGATAAACCGTATCAAAACAAGTTTATTATTACTAGAATGAATATTTTAGTATGAGCAACAGTTGGATATGAATAACGTGTTGGAGAATCAACTTGATGCAAGAATCAATGCTTCAAAATGCAAGACTTGATTTTTTGCATCGACAAGATCTTACCAGCACAATTGGACTAAACCAAGTCGTATCGCTAGAGGTCACATCGTCTATTGCTCCAGGATTCATCCAGTGTGCATATATAATCAATCAAACAGCCTCTTGATCTGGATTCAATTCAAACTATATTATTTCAACAATGGTTAGGCCACTAAAATCTGCAAAGACGGACACCAAGACTGATGCAGCGTCTTTATCGAAACGAAACCGACCCACATCACCCATCAAACACCATGTATCTAGTGCTAGTCCAGCATTGGCAAGTGTAAGAGTTTCCAAGGGAAAGCCCACTAGAAGCGCTTCGATGCTGACCGAGTCGTTGTTGAAAAGTGCAAGTACCAATGACGCTGGTGGTCGCTTAGTCCGCCAACAGAGCAGTAGGTTTTTTGTTTCAAGATTGTCCGGATTATTCGTATGTGAACAGTTGAAAAGTGAACAAATGACTGAGTCGACAGCTATACTTTCTCTATTACGGGAAATGATATCTTGTATATGTGTCAAGAATACAGTACCAGATATGGGATATTATTTTTTCAATCCACATCAGCCAATTACGGCAAGTCATTTATTCTAACAAAGTATCTTGTATTTGCTAGTGCCAGCGCCCTTACTTGCTTTACCCAACACCGAAGTCGGTGATGTTTTTGTTGTTGGTAGTGGAGATTGTGGCCAGCTTGGGCTGGGCGATGATCCAGACAATATGAGCAGAGAGAAGCCTGCCATGCTACGCTACTTTAACGGTAAAAATATCATTGGCGTGTTTGCAGGCGGACTTCACAATATGGCTTTAACGATCGATGGGAAGCTGTACTCGTGGGGCTGTAATGACCAAAAGGCTCTTGGTGAGTTGCAATTTACATGTTTTGGCTTAAAAAGCAGCACTTGAATGGACTTGCTGTTTTAAAATCTAGTATGCTAAACTGGGTTTGCTATGTTTGGTTCATCTTACTATGATCTCTAGGACGAAACGGAGAAGAAACTGAACCGGGCTTGGTGCAAGGACTTGACAAAGAGTTTATTGTATCCGTTACCTGTGGTGATTCTGTTACTGCTGCATTGACACGTGAAGGAAGGGTGTATGCCTGGGGTACATTTCGAGACAACACAGGCATATTTGGGTTTGCACCTGGCATCAAAGAACAAGCTCTGCCGTATCTTATGCCAGATTTGAAAGGCATTGTGCAGATCAATGCTGGAACAAATCACTTGGTTGCTGTTGCACGCGATGGTAAGTTTCTGGGTTGGATATTCCTGTTTTAAATAACTTGAACGGCCGAGTGTTTGATGTCTGAAACTTGACCATGCATTACATGTCTCGATCTAGGCAAGATATATACATGGGGTGTAGGTGAGCAAGGACAGCTTGGTCGAAAAGTGATTGCGCGACATGTTGTAGATGCATCGCTTACACCGCGTCCAATCAATTTCCGTGGTGGACATTATCTATCGAGCCGATTTGCTCGTGCCTACTGTGGTGGGTACAATACATTTCTTGTGCATGAAAAGAATGTGTTGTTTTCGTTTGGGCTCAACAATCATGGCCAGCTGGGACTTGGAGATACAGAGAGTCACGACCACCCAGAAGCCATTAAAGAAATCGATCCTGATCATGGCATTGCAGACGTAGCTGGCGGTGAGCACCATTCCTTGGTTTTAGATGGAAAGGGTAAGATGGATGCCATTCTAGCCAATATACTCTAGGATTTGTAGAAACTCACATGGAATTGAAATAGGAAATATATATACATTTGGCCGAGCAGACGACGGCCAACTGGGATTTCCGGACAAGAAACGCCTGGATGTACCCAAACACTTGGCATGCCTTGAAAATGCAGTGAGTGTTTCAGCAGGCGGAGCCTTTTCGCTTGCACTGATACGCAATGCATCAGGCACTAATGATCTTTATGGATGGGGATATGGCGAGATGGGACAGTTGTCAAACGGCAGCGTGGATTGTTGCGAGCCAGAACAGTTTAATCTCAAGGGACGGCATGTTATTCAAGCAGCAGCAGGTGGACAGCATACATTGATGCTGTTGCGTCCTAAACCAGAATAACCCGATGATTTCCGATGATTTCCGATAGTAGCATATATTACAGCCGTATTCACGTAAAATGAACCACTTTTCTGTATTTATTTTGCAGTGATTTTGCTTGGAATAAACAATAATTAGGTATTGTATTTTCCTACTAGAAAACGACTACTTGAATCAACACAATGTCCATAAGATGCTGTCAGACTCCACAACTTTATTTTTGTTGTATTCTAAACATTTCGAATACATTCTAGTTTAAAAGACAAAGATTGCTGTTTTCATACCAATAAACTTTGACAAACAGTTCATGTCACAATGTTACCTAGTCATTGATTACAATAAACGAGACTGGTCATTTATTGTACACTTGTTTAGTGGTTTATTTTGCGCGAATACGGCAGCAAAGCAATAGTGTCAATACATTGGCTTTGTAGAGTTGGATCTAAAGATTTAAACAAATCTACAAAGATGAGCAAGATTGAGTATGAGAATACCTTGGTATCTACAGCTGTATCAAACACTGAGAAGTTGACAGCGGACAAGGCGGCTTCTATCCATACTACTCAAGCATTCTCAAGTGATAAAGTAATAGAGATGGACGCCAAGGCTAATAGCGAATGCCAACTACTCGATGCATCCAACTCTCAATCGGACAGTACGTTTTCATACAATGTACCCATATCTTTAATTTCTATAGATCCTGCAGCACAAGTATGTGATCCATCTATCTGCGTTGTATCGGATATTCATGCCACTACACCATTACCCAACATGGAATCAGCATCTATCTGTGAAGAATTCAAAGACAATCTGAGCGAGTCTTCATCATCCGATTCGACCAGATTTGGACGCAGGAGAGTTAGAAAACGGGATGGTCCGCATCAACCCATGTGCCATTCATCAAAGACGATCTATCAACCACCCGAAATGATAGTCCGCAGACAACCAGTTCGTAGCCCTACTCGACAGTTTATTCATGTACCACATCATCAACCAAAGCTTCAAACAATGCTAGGCCATACAGGAGTAGCAGTGACGGCAGTAAGTTTGTGATTTTATTATGATTTGTATTTGGGTTGATCTTGATTAACCCATTGTGTTAAGCTTCTTACTGCGATCCGACACGATATGTTGGATTTATGGATGAGCACGGTTGCACTTGCCAAACAGCAATTTGAACAAGAGCCTAGTGTCAAGATGTTTGTGTATACAGCCGGTGCATTATCAGCGATTCCAGTTGGCATATTCACACTCTATGCGGCAGTGACACTCTTTGTATCGTTGATGACTGCAGGTGAGTTGAATTGGCAATGCAGTTGCTTACTTTCACCACGTGTTGAGGTTGACCTTTGATGGTGATTAGCACTGGGAGTACTACTGATTGGAGGAAGCTTAGTGATGATTGGACTTGGAGTGTTGATACCGATTGAAGGAGTAGTGTTGATTGTTGCAACAAGTGTTGCAAGTGTTGTTTGGTTAATTCAAGGACCTAGGAAAGTAAGACCAATAGCACAGAACCATCGACATGCACATCAAGGCAAACTGCTTGGCAGAAATGATGGACGAACAAGTGGACATGGTGGGACAGTTCGTCGACGATTGAGGAATGCGTCAGCAAGACGATCATGAGTGTTGATGGTATCCACATGCATTTTTGCACCAAGTGATACCAACTTAATGAATGCGTGACCATTTTGTTATTATCAAATCATGGCAGTTCTTACCATTTGTAGAGTATTATTGGTTGGATTGCTACCAAGTTTTGTATATTGGACCACTCTGGAGTCTATCCATAAGCCATATTATTCATAAGCTACACTATCTAAAAGAGCAGCATGGATCGAGCAAGACCCTATGCGACGATGCACACATTGGATGATGGCAATGATAGCTGTGACAGCATTGAAAGCAATGCAAGCAGTGCCAGTAGCAGCAACACTACCTCACAACGGAGATGGCAACCCTATAGTACCGATTCACAATTAGTTCAGCACCAAGGACCTGTTGAGCCATCCTATCATCATGCAGAAAGCCATTCGATTAGTGGATTGAGAATAGTTCGCAAGCGACTATCACGCCATGACAATGAATTAGTTCATATGCCTCTGACGATGCGACTGCCCAGTATAAGCCAGCAAACTGACCTTCACAGTCATGTAAATGATGCAGCAGGTCATGATGACGCACACTCTCAAGGTAATAGAAACAGTCGTAGTAATCTCTATAGTAATGGATTTGATCCCAATCAGGAATACACAGAGCCTGCACATTATGGTGTGAATTACACTCGACGTAGTCATCAATACAACCGTCGACCTAGTTATGGACCGGGAGCAAGTTCGAACCAACTACGACCATTGTATTCCATAGCAAGACCCACTCCTGAGCGAGTAAGTAGAACTGATTATAAAATGTTTCATTTATGTTCTAACTTTATGATTGTATTAAAGTGCGAATCGATGAATTCAAAAGCAAGACAAGACAGTGTCAAGGAAAAGCAAGACAGTCGAAAACAGACACCAACCATCAATCTTATGGACAAGAATTCATTCAATGACTATAAGCACACTCATCACAGCCACGAAAGACAGTCCAACACAGCATCAGATGCTGTGTTGAGGTTGCATCAACTCACTTCAACTGTTTCAGAAGCTCAAGGTTGGATTCACGGTGTCGTGCAGACTAAAGACCAACTCTTTCCTTTAGTTTCTTCTGGTAGTCTGCATTCAGTCAGTAGCCATTCGAGCAATTCTATGGACACGACTCGTCAGTCTCGAATGGCAGTTTCGACTACAGTCATGCAGCATCCATTAGCCATGAGCCATGCTAGCTCAAGCGATTCTGGTAAGTTTTTGATTCTCTGCACAACTGTTCAAGCATAAACTGATTTATTATTCAAGCCATTGATACACTCCACAGACAGCAAGCAGCCTCAACTGGACATAAGCGAGCTCTTTCCATCACAGAACTACTGTCTTCCATGAACACTGATTGTGATCCAGCAGCACCACGTGCTGAACCCCCATATCAGCAACAGTCTGAACATCCTCTGCGTCGAATTCAACACTTGATAGATCCCATTATTCCTGACAGTAGGGTTCTGGCTATACCTCATCATCCCCTGGCAACGGCATATTCCGACCCTTCTTTACACCAGCATTCGGATCCACTTTCTCATACTGAACCTGCTCCATTGAGCCAGTCATTGATGTGGCATTCACACTCGACTGTTCAGCAAATCCCTTCTATTCGAGCTTCTATCCCAAACTTGAACTGCGCTCCTTCCTCTGACCAGATTCCGGATAGTGTCGAGTTTGTTCAAGTTGCTCAAAAACATATGATGCCTTTATATGCTAATGTTCCCCAACAACTGCCATTGCTGCAGCCTCATCTACAGCAACAGATCGCTCTAGGTCTTTCTTATTCACATGAACCTTCCATTCAATCTCCAATATCACGAGCCTTGTATTTCCCACATCAGCAACCATCTGCTTACATTCATCCTTATTTACTTCAAGACCAACAGCAATTATATCGTGCTCATCCTTATTTACTTCAGGACCAACAACATATATCACATCCTTATTTGATTCAGCAGGATCAACATCTTGCAAACCAACTCCCTCTTTCACATTCTACTCCTTTGTATCCATATGCTAGCTATGTATATATGGCAAATGGTCCTTCTTTTGGTCATTTTACTGCTGATATCAGTGGTCATCCTAATTTTGGCACTTACACACCTGTCGTGTATCAACAACCTTTACCACTTCGTTCAGATTCTTACCATTCTAACGCTTCGCCCCTTGTGCTGCCTCCGTATGGAAGTTCCGCTGCTCCTCTTCTGGTCGGTCATGTCCAACCGCAGGCTAATCGCAAAGAATGGTTCGAATATCTGCTTCAACTTGCTCACACAAAGTATAATGCCCAGGACTATGCCGGTGCATTGCCCATCCTTCAAGATCTGTGCAATGCAAACCAAACTCATCTACCTACACTATTGCTACTCGGCTGTACTTGCTACTCGCTCAATCTACACAGTTTGTCCATCTACTACAATAAGATGATTCTACAGATGCAACCCCAATTTGCAGAGGCTTACTCTAATTTGGGAACTACACATAGAGTACGTGATCTTGCATTATATACTTGAATCCCGTTTTGTTTTTAAACCATTTTCAATTACATTAGGCTCTTGCACAAAATACTGCTACAAAAGGGCATGCTCCTACACACACTGAAATCATTGCAGGTTCAGAAGTCACTCCTGTTCCCTCGGATCCTACAACCAACTTGAATCTTGCCGAACATTATTACAGAATCGCCATCTCAATCCGTCCCAAATATTGGGATGCTAGCATCAATCTGGCAGGTTTACTGAGCACTCAGGGTAGATGGAAAGAGGCAATTGATGTATACAGCACTATAGAGACACTGATGGAAAATGAATTTACTCCCGACGAACGATTCGACTCCATCACACTATCTGCTCCTGTCGCTGGCTCATCACCACTTTCTGCAATTCCTGCCATGGACGGACATTTTGCTCAAACCGTGTTTGAAGCAGAACAGCGAAAGCGTAAGCGCATCGCATTCTTGCGTGCATCGGGTGGTGTTGTGCCAGGTGAAGGAAGTGGCTTTACCGTTGAACGACGCCGTGATTTGTATTTTGCAAAAGGAAATTTACTGTTTGCTACAAATGATTTTACTGCGGCCAAGCAAGAGTATCTCAAGGGATTGGTTGCAGTAGGAATCGATATTGTTGGCATCTTTGAAGGAACGTCTTCTCCTACTATTCCTCCTCCTTTAATCACTCCCGAACAGGTCGTTGCGCTAATTAAACAAAAACAGCTGCATTCAGACGCGACTCATCATCCTACCACTTCATATATTCTGCAAACACTTGCCAAAATCTATCAAGACTCGAGTCTTGCCAATTTGGCCGTCAAGTTTTACTACGTTTCACTTAGCATATTCCCTGCTGCCAATACATGCAATAATTTGGGTATCTTGCTTGCTCCTCGACGTATCCAGGAGTCTATTCAGTGGTACGAGGTGGGACTGTCATTGAATCCCAATCACGTACATTTGTACACCAACTTGGGATCTGCACTTAAAGATAGAGGGAATATGGAGCAAGGCATTTCATGTTATCAACGTGCGATTGCACTTCAGCCCGATTTTTATATTGCTTTGGCAAATTTGGCCAATGTTTTCAAAGATTTGAATCGGGTCGACGAAGCAATCGAATTATACCGTCGGGCTTTGGCAGTCAAACCTGATTTTGTAGAAGCATTTTGCAACTTTGTCAACTCGCTACTGTTTGTGTGTTCATGGGAGTCGCGTGATCAGAATCTTGAAGTCATCAAAAATATTGTTTTAAAACAACTTGTAGACGGTGCTGCAACTGTGCCACGAGGTGTTCCTACTGTATTGCCATTTCATACGTTTACCTACGAATCCCTTCCGGCATGGATGGTACGCGAAATTAGTCGACGGAATGCGGAGCGAGTGTTTTGGAATGCAACGACCAGTGATTGGTTTCCTGGCTTTCCTGATCGTCCACGAACCCTTGGACTAAGATCCCTTAATAAAAACAAAACAGGTATCATAACAGATGCTGTTTCCACAGCATCCGACTCAAAACTAGCCGCTGCTTTAATTCGGTCTCTGCAGTATCCATACCCATACTCTGTTCCGCCTCCTTCAGATCGCATTCATATTGGCTACGTTTCGTCTGATTTTACCAACCATCCTCTAGCACATTTGATGCAATCTGTCTTTGGAATGCATGACAAGTCTCGCTTTAGAGTGTTTTGCTACTCGCTATCACCATCTGACGGATCTCCCTATAGAGCAACGGTTGAGCGAGGATCTGATGTTTTTCTTGATGTATCACAGTGGACCACTCAACAGATTACTGAGCGCATTGCATTTGTGGATCGTATTCACGTCTTGTGCAATTTGAACGGCTACACCAAAGGTGGACGGAATGAGATTTTTGCTGCTCGACCTGCACCAATTCAAATTGCTCTCATGGGTTTTGCTGGAACAATGGGAGCTGGGCGTGTGAATGATCCTGAACACCCAGATGTAGTCGAATGCGATGTTTCTGACGATGAAGGCTATGCCGGTGATGATGATTCCGAGTTTGACGATCCTGTTTCTGGCAATGCTGGAGTTACTTCGACTGATGAAAATGACAATATTTTGTTTTTTGATCATCTCAAGACACGCTGGATCGATTACATGATTGTTGACGAGATTGCAATTCCTCAAAAATTCGTTTGTGGTGAACCACTTCGACAAGACGAGGTGGTTCCACCCGGAAAACAACTGATTGCTCGTGGTCCTGTTGTCAAGGGTGATGATCGGAATCGAGTGTATACCGAAGCCATGGTGTATATGCCTCACTCATTTTTTGTTAATGATCATCGGCAAGGATTTCGTGAACATCACGATTCAAAGATTGATCAAATTATTTTTGAATTGGACACTGGCATATATGGACTTGAAGACAGTAATAGTGCAATTGATCTAGCATCCATTACACTTCCAATAGCGACTTTTAGTCAACCATCATCTGCCGTTCCGCATGAGCTTGATGTCATGGCTCTCACATCATCTGAAATTCAGCACTGGCGCAAGGAACAAATACGCAGACTGAAAATGAGACACGAGCTTTTTCCTTGGCTTGCAGAAGATACAGTGATTTTTGCTAATTTCAACCAACTGTATAAAGTTGATCCACATATTTTTGCTACATGGATGCGTATCTTGTCTAGAGTTCCGAATTCTATTTTGTGGCTTTTGAGATTTCCACCTGCTGGCGAAGCGCATTTGAGACGCAAGGCGGTCGAGTTGGTTGGTGAATCAGTTTCACGCCGGTTGATTTTCACTGGTATGTATTCATGGTGTATTGGCCATGCTTTGATGCATTGAATACTGACGCTGTTTAAATGTTTAGATGTTGCGCCAAAGCATTTACATATTCATCGTGGACGTATTGCAGATGTGTTTCTTGACACACCCGAATGCAATGCGCACACAACAGCAGCTGATATTCTTTGGAGTGGTACGCCCATCATCACCTATCCCAAATACGATTTTAAAATGTGTTCTCGTGTAGCAGCATCGGTTGCCTATGCTACAGGATCGTGGCACTCGACAGATCGCCACTATATTCCCAACGTTGACAGGTCCAGTCGTAACTGCCAAGGCTTAGATATTGATCTTCATCGTCTTCGTGATGGAAATCTATTGGGACACTTGATGGTTGTAAACAGCTATGAAGAATATGAGGAGCGGTCTGTCATGCTTGCTCAAAGTTTGCGTTGGGGATGGACTCGAATCGATATGTGGTCTGGAAGGCATCAGCCAGTAGAACAAACCAAACTGCCTAAAAACATTGGCGCCACTATTTTACCAGCCGAAAATACAGCGACAGATACGTCCACTCCTGAGCAGCAATTACCCAATCTACCCGTATTTGATACCAAGCAAGTATTCTATCCCAATGCAACCCGCCCAACACACATTTTTGTTCCTTTTGGTCTTGCAATAGATCTTCGCAGACGGCTGTTTCTTACACGTGATTCTATGCCGCTGTTTGATACCCCACTGTGGGTACGCCATTTAGAATCTGGTATAAATGCCATGTACACCAAATGGGTCAAGGGATATACCCTTTTGCAGAAACGCAACGAAGAAGAGTTTGTTGAAGTCCAACAGGTTGGAAACAAACCTCGATTGGCTAAGCGAAGATCAAGTGTTGGTAATGGGGCATCGAGGTGCTTATTTGTCAAACCTTTGGAACAATAAATTAAATTGCGTTTGATTCTGCACTGTAATTATGGATTCAAACGAGTTGATAGTTTGTTTAAAGCAATATAATAAACGTAATCTAAGCGATTCGAATGTATTTATGATTTGACCTGATATATTCATGGGTTTTGGAGAGCTTGCTCAGTCATAAAGTGATCCAGATTGGCAACATGATTTCAACACCAAGTTTATATACGCGAATCCCCTGATGGTGAGTCTTGTGTCGCGTACTCTGAATTTACTCCAAACTCTTGCTCAACGCTTAATAGAATTGAGCATTCATCCAAACGGTTTCCAATGTCATTTCCTCCTTTGCCACATACATCTTTCAAGCCTCATAAACAATCAACGTATGTCATGATGATATAGAATACTTTATTCTGGTGCCAATTCCTTCTTGTCAAACCATTCGTTGATGATTCCTACTTTACTGCAAGTAGATTTGAATGGCAAAGTGTTGCTGCTCCACTTTTGCAGTATCCGCTAGCCATATGTGTATCGACTTTTTCATCCCATGCATTTCTATCTTCTTTGATCACTTTGACTCTTGGCACTGAATTAACCTTTTGGCATGAATGCCATTGCTTTTGGAAATCGGTTGGTGTATGTAGTGCAAGTACTTTGATTAAACGTGAAGGCTCGAATGCTTTATCTACAGATATGGCAGTCATGGACACATCTGCAATGAGTACCAGTGGGTCAATAGGCACATCCATCCTAGCAGGTCTATCCGATGCGTGTAAAGATTTTATGGTACTTGCGCATTAAATAACATACCATTCTGATGTTTCAAGAGTTACTGACTCAATGCCAAAAGGTCGGCTTGCTATGGGAGGATATTTTTGGTGAATTTGTAACCGAGATTATGTTTGATGTCCATCGGAGAGCCAAGATAGATCAACGGACTTGCCAAGTCTGTCACACCAGGCAAGATACGCTTGCATGTTGTGACTATGTGTCCACTTTTATGCTATAACCCTAATACTTGTTCATATTTCATAACTGCTAGTTGTCGAAAATATGGTGAGTTGCAGTCTACACTAGTGTATTCTTTTTCACGATCGATCATTCACAATGTTATACTGTAACTGGCAATCTAAAGCCTCAGGTGTAGGATTAGATATATTTGGTGCCAATCCTTCTCAAACCAATGGCGAAAAGTACCAATGCTTCAATTGCCAGAATTTGTTTCCTTCTGTTCGTTTTGCACCTCATTTGGAAAAGTGTCTTGGATTGGGTAGAACATCATCCCGTGTAGCTAGTCGCAAGTATGTAGATAAGATCTTACTGGATTGCGTAGAGTGCTAACCTTGTTTTTCTATCCTGATGCAATGTACTTTAGAATTGCTTCCAGTGAACGGTTATCTTCGCCTACCCCTGGCATGAACAATGATTCAGACACTGACAAGGAATTTAGTCTTGAAAAGAAAAGTAAGGCATTGCGAGTGAATCTACTTGTATAGACACGATTAAACTTGATAATTGATGTTTGGGTTGTGATTGCAGAGAAACAGCGTAAGCCATCTCCGATTCGCAAAATCACACTCAAAAAAGCCAAAACAGGTTAGAATTTTATTTTATACAGGCTTGTATTCATCATGGCATGACTCACATTGAATCCACCTACATATATGATTAGATGGATCACCTGGTAGCTCACAGTTTATAAAGGTAGGCGTTGATCCGTGATGCATGTGTTGAATTGTGACACATCACCAATCAAGCACCTTTTAACTGATTCGTCTTGTGCTGAATGTTTGACTCGACTGCTACCGAGTAGAAGGTGAAACTATCCAAGCCGTTAGGAACAAGTGGATATTTACCATTTCAAAGCCATCCAGGATCTTCACTGACTCAAATAGTTGCTAAAGGCGGTCGGGCAGACGATGATTCGTCAGCATACGCGCCATCAGACGGCGCGTAGAGTTTTGATATGTTTCCATGGTATCAATAAACAACATGAGATGAAATCAGAGTGAATATTTACCGAGTTTCATGATTGATGCCTTGTGATGAGAATGTGATCAATATTTCTTTTTAGTTGGCAAACTTGCAAACGTGTTTTCTAAACACTATCGTCTGCAGTCATAATAGTATACAAAGGACACTGAATAATCTGTTGAGAATCTGGATTGATTTATTCAATAATTTATTTCTAGACTCTCTTCCTTGCACAATCAAATGTTCAACACTGCTGAAAGTGGAATGTGTTTGTGGAAATAGGAAACACTAGACAAGATGAGAGCATTTGTTGTGCGAGAAAAGAGTAGAAATAAATTATTGAATAAATCAATCCAGATTCTCAACAGATTATCCAGTGTCCTTTGTATACTATTATGACTGCAGACGATAAACAAGCAGCTGATTCTATCAAATCATCAAAAGAAAGTGCTGCTTCTACCAGCACTGCAGCTTCACAATCTCAAGTCGATGTGCAGGTACAATTATTGCTTGCTGTATTCGCAAGTTGTCCGCTTTATCATGAACACTTGGGTCAATATCAGTATTTAGACACCTTCCATTGTTCTGATGGATATCTGCTTTATCTATACACATTATCAGGAATGTTTGCTTCATCTATGCACATTAGTGGGCATACCTGCAGTCCAACCCAAATCTGTATTATCATATAAATCAACTGCTTCAACCCACTAACTCAGTTCAATCTACTGAAACCCATCTTATTGTCAAAAGGACAAGGCAAGTGTCGAGCGGATTGAAAAGATCATGGAAAAGGTATTCTATAAACCATTTTTATATAAAAATGCTTGTCAATCTAACTCGGCATTTACTAAACCCAATGACAACTGTCTGGTTCAAATCTCGTTGATTGAATCTAATCAAATAGTTGAATACTCTCAAAATGATGCAATCTCCTGCCAACGAAGCATTGCAAAAAAAGCTTCCCAAAGAAGATATGAGCCAATACAGGTTTTGGAACACTCAGCCAGTTGCTCGCACAGGTACTGATCCACCCTATACTATCCATATGACAATTGAAATCATTCGTTTCCAAAGATGCCAAACCATAAATCTAATTCCTGTTTCTTGTTTAGATGAAGAAGTGAGCACAGATGGTGTGATTGAACCCAACAAACAGCCTGAAGAAATCCAGCAAGATCCTTACCCATTGCACAAGGAATTTGAATGGACGTTGCTCAACTTTGAAGATGAGCAAGAAATCAAGGATGTGTATCAGCTATTATCCGCCAACTATGTTGAAGACGACGAAGCCACGCTGAGGTTTGATTATTCTGCCGAGTTTTTGAAATGGGCACTGATGCCTCCAGGATGGCGATCTGACTGGCACGTGGGTGTACGAGCCAAAACAAGTAAGAAACTTGTTGGATTTATTGGGGCGACTCCTGCTACTGTAAACGTTCGCACAAAGTAAGTCTGCATGAATTGTATCAAAACTGGTTTATTTTTTGTATCTCATGTATTACTTTTGAATTTGGTTTAATCTCCAAAGTAAAATCCCAATGGTTGAAATCAACTTTCTTTGCGTTCACAAAAAACTTCGATCAAAGCGACTTGCACCGGTTCTGATCAAAGAAATCACCAGACGAGTGAATCTTGCTGGTATATTCCAAGCCGCATATACTGCTGGTGTGTATCTCCCTACACCCGTGTCTACCTGCAGATACTATCACCGATCTCTTAATCCAAAGAAACTGGTCGATACTGGGTTTTCCTACATACCTCGCAATATGACCATGGCGCGTATGATTCGTTTGTACAAGATGCCCGATGTAGGATGAAATGCTCATTTATCTTTAGTTGCTTCATGACATCTAATTTTTGCCATTGTGGCGTGTGTATAGGAACCTAAGACGCCTGGAGTGCGTCCCATGACACTGGAGGATGTACCTCAAGTCAAGAAACTGATGAGCGAGTATCTGTCTCGATTCGAGCTCTTTCACGACATGACAGAAGAAGAGATTGCGCATTGGATTCTTCCAGTGGATAAAGTCATGTATTCATATGTGGTCTATGTACGCATAATACGATGATGATATTTTTGATGCATTGGATTCTACAATGGCTGACTATTCTTACCATTGACTGCTGTTATAGGATGACCAAAAGAAAAAAGTAACCGATTTTTTTTCGTTTTATTCTCTACCTTCGACTGTAATTGGAAATCCGGTCCATTCGCATATCAATGCTGCATACTTGTTTCATTATGCACCCATGGGTATGGGAGAGGATCCTGCGCGTATTCAACTTCTTATCAATGATGCTCTCATTCTAGCTAAAAAGGTACACATTAATTGGTCCATTGCGAATTTATTTACAATTCAACAATTTAGATCTCCACTTGTACTAATTATTTGTATTTTCCTATCCAATATTTTTTTGAAACCCAAGGCTGGATTTGATGTATTTAATTGCCTCGAGTTTATGGATAACCATCTTTTCCTTGAAGAGCTCAAGTTTGGTAAAGGCAATGGCGATCTCAACTTTTATCTGTACAACTACCGTAGCAGAAACATTGACAACAAAAAGGTTGCTTTGTTTATGGTGTGATTCCTACAATTGACTTTTATATCTGGAATGTGCATACTTGTGCAATTTAGATGAGTAATAATAAAAATGGTGTGAGAGTATATAGTTTATTTCAGTGGGTAGTGCGGTGAGCTCGAGGATGACATACCAAATACAGAGTCTACAAGCTCGCACTACCGACAAGTTTGTGGTGTGCAGTATCTACTGATACGACTTGCGTATCGGTCTAGATCCAAGCATACTAAAGAAACCACACGTAATGGAATTTGACTAGTTTATTTGTTATCTAGTATTATCATGTGGGCGGACTTTGTAATGTTTTTTTCGGGTTGACTTTAAAGACCCAATAAACCCAACACGTCAGTTTCCCTCATACTAGTCAATCCGTCGTGTGGCAAAGTGCTTATTGATTTCAGGTACGTTGCATGACTTGGAAACGTAACTTGTCAACCCTCATACGCATACAAGAGTGTCAGTGTTTCTACCAAGATGCTTGTCTAGAAAATGCAGCTGTGCTTCCAGCTGTGTATTCTGCTTGTCATGACTGTTTAAATGAAACAGCGAAGCTTGCAAGATTTTATCTATTGGATAGCGTGTAAGCAGCTTCAGCAAGTCGTTGTTTTGCCTATGCAGTGATGGAAATGGAGACCATGCTACAGGTAGAAAATCCGCATACGGCCCAGCAGATATCATTATGTTCCAGTTGAGCCTATCCTGCGCTCAACGTGGCATGTTCGGTATTGTGTAAGATGTGATGGATAGGGTGGTAGTGGTTTGCAACGGCTGTCTCGCATCAATGACACATTTTACAATGAGTGATATTGCACTCAGCGATGCAGACTATGCGAGGCATATAGGTTACAATGGCATGTAGTGTAGATAAGGCATCAGCGAGCAAGAGGCTGTCACGCTTAAAATATTTCTGCAATGTGGCTCCTCTTTTTTTTCTCGGCTGGCTGTATCCAGTTTGAATGCAATGATGCTGTCATCATCCCACCCACAATCATTCGTTTATAACGTTAATTTAATATGGCTTAGGCCTATATGTAACGCATTACTTATTTTCCGCTCCTCCCTCATAGTCATACAGCACATTTTTGGCTCTAGACCCTTGCCATTGTCAATGTATTTGTTCTATAAACACGCATTTGAAAATGTTTGCAGACATGCGCGTCGTTGTGAATACAAGCGGAATTGAATTTTTTTGCCATTACAAAAGCAAGCCATAAAGCTATGCAATTCGGGTTCTATTCTTCTTATCTGGTACATGGATGTAATCAGTAGGATAGAGATGAAGATGCTTTCCTATTGGCTGTATTGTTTTATGCATGAATGTACCAAGTCTGCTTTGGATTTTCCGATAACTAGTACAACTGTCTTGCTGCTCAATCCTGCTTCCATCAGTGCTGTATTATTTTACAGTAGTTTGGATAGAGCTTAGCATATATGAAAAAAATCCCTATTTGTTATCATTATGCTGTATATCACCACACTCCAACTATTGAAAGCGGACAGAATACCACGTGGACAGTTGGATTTTCCTATTTCGTACTCCATGATACTTCCATATATTGACAAAGCCTGTCATATTTTAATTCTTGGAAATTAACCAGGATTTCATAAAAGCCGCCAAATCCACTAGATATACAAGCAGTCTTGTATTGTTTACTGTAAATAAGCAAATGTGTATACAGAGATGCATAGAAGAATGTTGGCATAGCATATTGCATTAGTGAATATATTGCTGTAGGATTGACATGAAAGCATTCCCGACTACTTGGATAGTTTTATATTCAGTATGTTTAGCAACGGCTTTTTGCTGTGACGATCCAATCACTGTATTCTTAGATGATCGATACTGAGCTATGTGTATGGAGTGGAATGGATGATGGACCACTTGAGTAGTATTGAGTGCATTGGGTACCCGTTGAAACACAGATTTGACACTTGGGCTGTACTACAACTTCTAGCATGATGCGTTTTATATCCACCTGACATTCTATACTTGTATAATATGGTTTTATAATTCAGGACTACCTTGCTCTAATCAACAGTACACTATTCAAGCATTATCGTTGAGGTATGGCAGCTCTCAAACTGTACTCCCTTTTATTTGAGAGATCGTATCTTTACTTGAAAAAGCTTCTTGATGCAGCCAACTGGTAGAGCATGACTTCGATCTATTAGCTTTTACCAGTGCACCCCACTGATTTTTTTCCGGATATTTATCCAAACCACTGGGCCTATAATTCCGTTCTATTTTTTTTCATCACTGTATCCAGTCATTATACATCAGCCCCATTATTTTGTTTGTCCCGTTTTACTGTGTAATGTAATATACACTCGAGTAAACTCTGGTCTCGCACCCCTGGTTTTCAGCTCGTGTCTAAAGATAATCACTGCTTCACCGGTTTCTTTGAAGCATTTGTACAATTTTTTGCTTTATTGCTTTGGTTAGGATTAGCTTGACGTTATTTCTACCTTGACACTCTTGTGTAGTGGGTTAGTCAGACTTGATGATGCCTTGCTTTACCCTTTACCAACAGTACCCAGTTCCTAGTTTTATTTTCTGGCCAACTGATACTTTTTTAGTCATTCATTCCACAACCTGAGCTTATGGCAGTGAAAATTTGTTTATTTTAGTCTTGCATTATCCCATTCACCTTTTTCAACCTACAATTGTCTTGATAAAAGACTAACCCGACTCTTTCTGAACTAGGGATTTTTAAAGTGTATCAACCTAGCTCTTGATCAGTTCAGTGAATTCGTTCAGTATAAACCAAGTAAGCTTTGTGCTGTGACCAGACATGTTGATACCAAAACATTGCATTTTGTCAATATTAACTTTTGTGATTCTAGCCCAGAACAAAGACCTTTGGCATCTTCTATACCTGGTTCATTTGTGAATATCGACAGTCGACACCATTGTTCTAATTTAAACCCACCACACTAGGAATCTTGTCTTGATATCAACGTAGGGATTTGTCCTCAGCTCAACTAGCAGTGGCTATCTGTCTGATTTTCTTTCTCGCAGCTCGACTAGACTCATTTTTGCGTGTCGAGTCCATTCGTACAAAGCACTTGTTGGCTATTGAATACTCCACTTGATTTACCTTTCATCACCAACTTAAGCCTGACTACTTACTCTTGACCAAGTTTTTCTACGTTTTGCACACTGGTATTCCTTCTTACTCCAGAACCTTCTGCTTGACTCAAACCCACTGATTTACTTGTCACTAGGTAGGACTTGGATTACTGTAATGGACATGTACTCTATATTTGATTATGCTACCATGACTTGTTTCAAGAAATGCACTGCTGGCTGGAAGAGTGTTGCTTTACAACAACCTGTGCATTGTATGACTTGACTCACTATCATATAGAATGGACTACTTGTATTCATCTTGTCTCTTCTGCTTTGGAATAGCCAACAGTTGAATACTCGTTGCGCTTTCCTACTACAAATTGACTACTTGAATAGACATTCTCGGCCCTTTTGACCACAATGTCCATCATATGATACAAGCTATACTGTTGAAGCTATTCTTCACATTTGGTATAGACATACATTGCACGACCACCAAGCCCGAACCCAGATATTGGGTTTGATTGTTCTGGTGCTTCTAACCTCCACTTTGTATCCTAAAATCTTGTGATACATTTGCACTCTAGTTTGAGGGAACATGATTGCATGTCTCGGGAATACAATATGTATGCTGATCACCAGGAGAACAGCCAGTCAACCTTGTCAACGAGTTTAGTAAACTCTTGTTTAATGGCCTCTACATCAATACGACTGTAACATGTAGTAACCAATACTCCGACACTCCGCACCTGTCACAATCCTATTTTTTTCCAGTTGCTGATATCTACTACAATGTCTCTAGTCATTTTGGGTGTAAGCAACTCATCCGATCATCTTGGTTTTGGAATTTGGTTTTCGCAACCTCGTCTAATAACCAAGTGTCGAGTTTTGATTCGTCACACTACACTTGCCTTGTATTCAAGCAAATACAGCCACTGGCTATACTTTGGAAATGATTTATCAGCGTTTTCAATAAGATTGACAATCTTTATTCGCTCAACTGTATCAGCTTTCAGTGTAGTTGCTTGTTTTACAGGCCCAAGTGTTGTGGTTCTTGTGAGCTTGCAATAATTTGCCATAAACTTTTCTAAAGTCATATATGATTGTATTGGCTTGTCGACCTGTCATCATCCAACATATTGCTCTTGTACCTCACACTCATCCATGGATTGACACTTTACTAACTTATTGTTTTTATTTTTTATACAAACTCTGGAATGACTATCGGTGCATCGCCATCAATCGATCGTCATCGTGGTTTTCATGTGACTTTTTCCACATGATTGGAATTAAACAATGCTTATTTTTTGCCATATTATCTGCACCAATAATTCGCTGCTGCCTTGGCTTGCTTTAATGATTTTTGGTATAACCACATGTTTTGCGTCTACCCACATACATGGAACACATGATTTATATTAACGTACCTTGCAAATCTTTGATCTGCTACTTGGTTGTGCTACTTGTTTATATCATCTTGTTTTGGTTTGTAAAACTCATTCCATCACTGCCTTTTAATTAATCGACCACCTGTCGTTTTTGTGTAACTTCAACTCGATTGATGCGACTTGCATATCTGCATCATCCACTTGATTTTGTTTCAATCTTTTGTTGAATCTTGCTTTTGTCAGATTGGCCATTCAGCAGGCATTTGGAACATCTCACTTATTTCTTTTAATCCTTGGTTCGGTTTTATCAATCAGCCTCAGAATACTATAAATTGATTGACCATGTCAACGAAAAAACGTACGGCGGTTAATCCCATGACGTCTATGGAGAGCAGTGCCTCCAAGACCCAGGATACTCCTAATGTAATTAACGGCATCAAGCTTAGCAGTATGTATCACTGTGCTTTGTTAATCTGTGTTTGACATACTTTTAACCAGGACTCTGCCAATTTCAATGCTTTAGACGAGCCTGATGCCGGAAAAGTTATCACAGTTTTAGCAAATGACGGTAAAACTGGCGAGGCAATCGAATTGTCTTATTCTAATAACAAAGTAATTGGCAACGGGTCGTTTGGCGTTGTTTTTCAAGCAAAACTCATTCCTTCTGGAGAGTTTGGCGCCATTAAAAAAGTTCTTCAAGATAAGCGCTTCAAGAACCGTGAACTCCAGATTATGCGTCTAGTTGCACATCCCAACATTGTTGCATTGCAGGCGTTTTTTTATTCCAACGGTGAAAAAAAAGACGAGGTGTTTTTAAATTTGGTACTGGAGTATGTTCCTGAAACTGTTTATAGAGCGTCAAGGCATTTTGCAAAGATGAAGCAATCCATGCCCATGTTGAGTGTTAAGCTTTACATGTATCAATTGTTTCGTTCATTAGCCTATATTCACTCTCTTGGAATCTGCCATCGTGATATCAAACCTCAGAATCTATTGTTGGACCCTAATCTTGGTATCTTGAAGCTATGTGATTTTGGTAGTGCCAAAATTCTAGTAGCTGGCGAACCCAACGTAAGCTACATTTGCTCTAGATATTACCGTGCGCCAGAGTTGATTTTCGGGAGCACAAACTACGATGTTAGCATAGATGTTTGGTCAAGTGGATGTGTTATGGCTGAATTAATGCTTGGTCAGCCGCTGTTCCCGGGTGAATCTGGCGTCGATCAGCTTGTAGAAATTATTAAGATGCTTGGCACACCTACCCGCGAGCAAATCAAGTCCATGAATCCTAATTATACCGATTACAAATTCCCCCAGATTAAGGCATGTCCATGGAGCAAGGTGTTTAGGTCGCGGACAACTACTACAGAGTCATTGGAGCTAATTGCCAAGCTTTTAGAATACACACCCACCAATCGTCCGAGTTCCGTTGAAGCAATGATACATCCCTTTTTTGATGAAATCAAGAAGCCAGAGACCAAGCTGCCTAATGGACGGGATCTTCCAGAGCTCTTCAACTTTTCAGCACTGGAGCTTTCAATTCAGCCTGAATTGAATCGACAACTTGTTCCTCCACATGCAGAGCCACTATTGAAATTGAAAGGAATCGATTTGGCTAGTTTCCAGCCTGTCAAGATTCAGAAACCAACTACGTTGAACGATTAGATTGGCCGTTAACTATATAATGTCAACTATACTTGGCGTGGATAGTTTTTGGAAATACCATATTATTGATCTTCACTTTCCCACTATTTTCCAACATTGCCAGCGTTTTTACCAACCTCCTATCCAATATTGATTTTGTCTTGCAAGTTTTTATAAAAAGGACAAGTCATTTAACCCCTTTAAAACACTACAGATTGATTGATTTTGTATTTGGGTTGATATGGAGTTTACGGTTAATGAGATAAGAAACTGTCACTCTTGATGTTTTGCAAATATCGGTAATGATTCAGTTGATTCAAGACATGAATAACCATCACTCGTGTATCGCGACGACAATCCGACTTGCTAATCTTCTTGATTCAACATAAAAGGTCATTCATTTGAGTTGGACAATCTTGAAACTCTGCCTATATAGTCTGTACATGAACCCAAAGCAACCGTTCAGTTTTAGAGAATCCACGTTTTTAAAATACTGCAACAGCTTGCTTGATGCCATCAGAATATTTAAACGTGAAATGAGTTTCAAATATAAATAGTTTCTCCATTTGTCGATAGTTGTGATTGAAATTTAAAGCAATTCTACTTGTCCGATAAAAACGAGAACGAATGCTTAGTGGGATTGAAGCCATAGAAGGCACTGGACATACACAACGAATCAACCATGCTAGAGTGCCTGACATTTTAGGTAAACTCATTAGTAGTCTACGCTAGCTGCATCTTGTTCAAACAGCACTAGTCATTCACTGATACCGCTGTTTTTACCATTAGAACAATTGGCTGCAGACTTGGAAACGCTTCACAAGGATGAAATAATCGATATAATGGCTCAAGCAGATCCTTTAGCCAACTTTTCTCTGGAACTTAGCTTACTTGATTATATTGAGCTCAATGGATTTCTTAGCTCATTGTTAGTAAGAGAGCCTACCCAAATGCTGCCTATTCTCGATCGATCACTTATACTGGCACAACAGCATATCAAATCCACCAGCCAGATTGCTCAGCACTTGTCAATAAAACGCAACTGCCACGTTCGTATTACTCGTCCCAATGACTGTGAGGAAATTGTGCGATCTAGAGTGCCTCGATGTGCTGATGTGGGCCGATTGGTCTTTTTCAAAGGCACTGTAATTCGTACAGGCATGGTCAAGATGCTTGAAACATGCAAAACATGGACTTGTATGAATGGATGTGGCAAAACTTTTTTGGTCAAATATGATCGTGAGCAGCATAATGCAATACCCAAACCTACTAGATGTTTTGCTCTATCAAACACCACTGAAAAATGTCAAGGTACAAAATTTGTCGAAGTTCCTAATAGTTCAGGCAAGTTTAAAGCGTATCGAGTTTTCAAGTCAAATGCTTGATGGATTGTATTAATCTTTAAATGTAGATGATCTTTCAAATATATGCAAAGACTATCAGGAGATCAAGGTGCAGGAACAAGTCACTAAACTTGCCATGGGTACAATCCCTAGATCCATTGCGGTCATTCTTGAAGATGATCTTGTGGATGAATGTAAAGCTGGCGATGATATATGGGTTACAGGAACAGTGATTCGTAGATGGGCATCTTTATCTCCGAATGAGCGCTGCGACATTGAAATTGCAATGCATGCCAATAACATTCGCCTCAACAACCAAACTTTTACAAATGCGCTACTGACTGACGAAACCAAGATGTGGTTTGAAAAGTTTTGGGATAAATACAAAGAGTCTCCACTTACAGGCAGAAACCTAATTATCCAAAGCTTTTGTCCCAAAGTATTTGGACTATACGTAGTAAAAGTTGCTGTAATGCTATTGCTTGTTGGTGGAGTGCCAAAATATGAAAATGGACTTAAAATCCGCGGCGACTCGCACATTCTGCTCGTTGGAGATCCAGGTAGTAGTACTTGAATGGTTTGTTTTTAGATTGCAAATCTCATTTTTGGAAATTCTAGGTACAGGAAAATCACAGTTTCTTCGATATGCGGCCCAGTTAAGCCCACGATCTGTATTCACCACTGGTATTGGATCAACTAGTGCTGGCCTAACTGTATCTGCGAATCGTGATTCAGGAGAATGGCAGCTTGAGGCTGGCGCATTAGTGCTTGCTGATCGTGGCCTATGTTGTATTGACGAATTTGGTGGTATTCGTGAAAACGACAAGGCCGCAATCCATGAGGCCATGGAACAACAGGTACACTGCTTTATTGATTGAAACCGCTGTTTATTTTGAATACTAACTATATGTGCTCAGACTATTAGCGTAGCCAAGGTATATTGAGTTGTAGTTGGCAATGCTATACATGAATGTGCAAACGTGTTGACATTCGGTTTTAGGCTGGTCTTGTATGCAAACTTAATACTCGATGCTCGATATTGGCTAGCACAAATCCAAAGGGAAAATACGATCCAAAACAAGGAGTCGAAGTCAATATTGCATTAGCAAGCCCTCTTCTTTCCCGATTTGATCTTATTCTTCTTCTTCTCGACACACAAAATCCCGAATGGGACAAAGTAGTATCTTCGTTTATCCTTGATACTGAAATATCAGGTAAACCTCCAGTAGAAGCTGTTGGGGATTTATGGGACCACGAATGCCTTCAATCTTATATATGCTACATCAAAGAAACATACATGCCAAAACTCACTCCAGAAGCAAACGATGTATTAAAAAAGTACTATCAGTTGCAAAGAGGAGGGGATTTGCAGAATTCAGCGAGAACGACCATTCGACTGCTTGAAAGCTTAATTCGATTAGCTCAGGCACATGCTAGATTAATGTGCCGGCACGATGTTAGGGTCATGGATGCTATTATAGCTGTAAGCATTGTCGAGGCCTCAATACATTCCATGGCACTACTTGGATCTACTTCGACACTCCACGCTCCATTTCCAACTGACCCAGAACAAGATTATGCTAGAATAGGTGATGCTTTCACAGTTATATATGCATTGACCTGCATTTTACTAGACGTGACTAATCCTATAAATACATGTTTAAAATATGATAATAGAGGGTATTATTATGGATCGATTGGGACTTGCTAGGTCACCAACATACTCGCCCACACCCAATCTGCCAAGTTCACAATCACCCATATCGCCCTAAACACTGCAACAAATGAATCGAGTGTGGAAGAGCTTTTCAAACTATTATTTCTGTTTCAATTGCTAACCATCGACTAAAAGTAATATCTGGATGGCTTCTATAAACGTAGACTGAAAGCAGTACAGTTTAAACAAAAACAATGGATGCAAACACTTGAAGTTTATTCAGATATGATTTGTTAGGACACTGAAATTGAATCCACTCAAATGTACACTAATACGTATCACTCAGTTGAATTTGAAGCAATTTTTATTTTAGCAATCTTAGGTGGATGGAAACCTATGGCATTGTTGCTTTTAAAATAGATTGTTTGAAATAATCATGTATTGACGTACTTGGGTCCACCACCACCTTCGGGTACACTCCAGTCAATGTTCTGACTAGGATCTTTGATATCGCACGTTTTACAGTGAATACAGTTGCTAGCATTAATCTGAAACCGTTTTTTTCCAGGGTTTGCTTCATCATCAAGGTACTCGTAAACACCAGCAGGACAAAATTTCTGTTCGGGGCCACCATATACCTTCCAGTTATGTTCAAGCTGTGGAGATGGACCAGATTTGAGACGAAGGTGTACGGGTTGATTTTCTTCGTGAGATGTGCCAGTGCGAGAAACGCTTTCCAAAAGATCAAAACTGATGACACCGTCAGGCTTAGGGTAATGAATTGGATTAGCAGATTTGATGGGTGTGAGGGATTCATGGTCTTTCTGCGCTGGATGACTGAATGTCCAGGGAACTCGTCCTTTTAAAAACAAGGTGTCCAACCCGGAATAAATGAGACCACCCCACAATCCAAGAACAGAATGGAAAGAAGGGCGAATGTTGCGTACTTCATACAGCTCTTTCCATACCCATGATGATTTCAACGTGTCTACATAGTTTGTGAGAAGAAGTGGGGCAGTGGAGGGTTCGGTAGTGTCAGATCCGGCAGAAATGCCCTCAATCTTTTCGTAAGCTGCATCACCGGCAAGCATACCTGCATGTTACAAGCGCAAATCAAAATATCAGTGAATCAAATCTTGATACAATACATTGCTTCATCTATATCAAAAGACTCACCGCTCTTCATAGCAGTATGGGTGCCCTTGATTTTAGGAACGTTGAGAAATCCGGCAGTACATCCAATCAAGGCAGCGCCGGGAACAATCAGCTTTGGAATACTCTGAAGTCCTCCTTCGTTAAGTGCACGGGCACCATAAGATAGTACTTTACCGCCTTCTAAATATTTTTTGATATGTGGGTGATGCTTGTATCTCTGAAACTCGCGATATGGGCTGAGGGTTGGATTAGAATAGTTGAGCGACGTGACAAAGCCAACCGCACACAGGTTATTCTCTAAATGGTACATGAATGCACCGCCATAGGTTTTGTAGTCCATGGGCCATCCGACTGAATGAAGAACCAAGCCTGGATCATGCTTTGAAGGATCAAGCTCCCAAACCTAATTAAACATGACGTCAATACCATGCATACTTTGAAACCAACCCTTGGATCTAATATCAATAAATATACCTCTTTGATGCCAATACCGTAGGTTTGGGCCTCAGAATCTTTACGCAAATCAAACTTTTGAATAAGTTTTTTTGTTAAACTGCCATGGCACCCTTCGGCAAGCAATGTTACTCGGGCATGAATCTCCATTCCGCGCTCAAAATTATCTTTGGGCTTGCCATCCTTGCCAATACCAACATCGTTTGTAGCAATACCCTTGACAGATCCATCTTCATGATACAAGATCTCGCTTGCAGCAAATGAAGGATAAATCTCCACACCGACTTCATCAGCCTGCTCGCCCAACCATCTGACAAAGTTGTTGAGAGAGACAATATAGTTTCCCGAGTTGGTCATTTGGGGTGGATGAGGAATTGGAACAGCATATTTTTCAGTAAAAAGATACATTCTGTCTTTTGTAGCAGGAGTATTGAGCGGAGCACCCTTTTCTTTCCAATCTGGAATGAGTTCGTTCAGTGCGCGCGGCTCGAGGACAGCTCCAGAAAGGATATGCGCGCCTGTTTAATCAATGTTAGCCCAAGTTGCTTGTATAGTGAGCCAATGAAATGTCTACTACATTCCAGATTAAGCTAAAGGGATATTGTAGGTAGGGTGATCAACAAAATACAGCAATGAGATAGTTTTGAAAATAGCCGCAGTTGCAACTTGGCCTCCATTTTGATGGCACCCAGTGCCAATATCTAAAAACAAAACAATCGCTGTTGCAATGAATACTCGACCAAAGTATATACGATAAAACTCACCAACTTCGGCGCCCTTTTCAACCACAAAGACTCTAGTATCTTTGCCATCAGCCAAGGCTCGTTTCCTAATCTGAATAGCAGCAGACAAGCCAGCAGGGCCAGCTCCAACGATACACACATCTACCTGTTCAGAAAACCGCTCGCCATTGAGAATGGCTTTTGTTTCGTCGTCTAGTTGCTGACGGGTGAATGGAGTGGAGTGATAGGAGCGATCTTGTTTATTGACGATACGAGAGGGGATGGAGCGAGACTGGAGCTGGATGCGAGTAGGAAGCAGACAATAGGAATCGGATACGAGTGAAGTAACAGTATTGATTCTACAAGAGAGAGCCAGGCCAAACACTCGCCTGGAACTACGACACACGGACGACATTGTTCGTTAAGATAAAATGTCAGAAATTCACGGCCGTCATTGACGTCAGCTTACCCATACACGTGATCATTGGTTGTTTGAATTTACTTTTAGACTGTCAGCTGTTTGATTTCAAAAATAGTTTTTATTACAGAAAATACAGCCGTCAGCAGATCCAAAGATGCTTTAAATTAGGATTCATTTTGTATTAGCGAAACACTGCATTGGTAATAAGATACATAGTGGACCCAATAAACCGCACACCCGTCAACCCAAGAATAGAGTAAAAGATAAACTGCAGGTATGGGTTAAAGCTCTTGGTTTGTCTAATCCCTAAAACAGGCAATATACGACTACGAATACTTTCAGTCGTAAACACAATAATCACAGCTGCGTTCATAAACATCCATGTCAGAACAATACGGGTGCGGAAGTTGTGGAAGTAGTCTTCCTGTTTGGTTTTGGCATCTCGTCGCTTCTTTTCATTGGGACGAGGTTGACGAAGGTTGCGGATAAAGGTCTCATAGTTTGCGTTGATATCATTGTGATCAGTCGGTACTTCGACCTCGACTGTCATTTTACCATCCTTTCCTTTGATAGTTTTAGCTCCTCCCAAAGACGAGGCTGAATTGTCTCCCTTTGTGCCCCAGGAAACATCATGCAAGTTGCAGAAAGCATAAACATTGAGAATGTTGGTAAAGGCTGGCAAGAAGAACATGTACTGCGGGAATGAAGTCAGCATATGCCATGGATCCAGATGCATCAGCGATGCTACAATGTAGATGCCGTAGGTAGCACCCACAGATAGGATCGTGTCACGCATGGCAGGATTGGATACCCATAGTGTCGAAAAAGATGCCTTTTCTGCTGGAGTCAGCTGCTGCACGATGGAGAAGACGGAGAACCCAGACAGATAAATCATGGATCCCATAATCACTGCAAAGATAAATATACACGATGCGTAAACGTACTTTGATCCTTGAGGACGATTACCCATAGACGAAATAAAAATAAGAACAATAGCAAAAATGTAAAGCTCTCGCAAGATCTGAAACACTAGATCTGTTTTGCCAAAGAAAGGATCAATATCTCCCAGTCCACCCGAGAGTTGAATTGGCACTCCATCCAAATTCACGTTTTTGTTGATGAATCCATCATACAAAAAGGTAAAGGTGAGGTAGAAGGACGACAGTCCAAACCAATTGAAGATCAGCTGAATAAAGTTGTACATGTACTCCAAGAGTAGCAGTAGTTTGCGCAGGATACCGTGTCCAGATCGGAAAATATAGTACCAATGGGTCAGTGAATGCACACCAGCAAAGAAGGAGCCATTGAGCCAACGACGACGCTGCGAGATAAATTCGGGAACAGAGTCTGGCACATCTGTTTCGGCCTTGGCAGCCTTGACATACTTGAGCAGCCACGCTTCACCACGCTTGGTAGATATCTCAAAACACAAGATACGATCCTCGGCAAGATACATGTTGGCAGCAAAAATATCAGCACCGTCATGCATGAGTTCACCTTTAAAGTACTGTTCCAAGGGTCTACCTTGAAGTGCAGCATAACGATAGGCGGAAAATGCGCCAGGCAGTACAGAAATAAAGCCACAGACCGACTCAAAGGGTTTATCCAAAATATTGGACATTTTGTACTCAAAGTTCTGTGCAGCAACCAACGGATTAAACAGATTGGTGCATCCAGGTCCAAGCTCGGCGTAAATTTCACCACAGGCGCCTCCAATAGAGGCATTCTTGTCAAATGACTTCCATAAAGAGTAGAGAGAGGTGTTGGTAGGCTTAGTGCCTACATCGATCAAAATACAGATATTGGGTCGGATCAATGGGCCAAAAGAGTTGAAAAACCATCTATGGGAGTTGATTTTCTTGGCATTGTTTTCTTTAAGACAAAACATGATTTGTACGGGAACGTATCCTTTTTCATGGCCATGAACCTTTAGTTCGGGAGTCACACAGACTTGAGTGGTATATTCAAACAAATGTGCAGTAACAGGCCTTTCGTTGACATGGTCCTTCATGATACCTTCCTGGTATACACCCATCAATCCCAATACGTCCAACACACGAGGATTAACCTTGGCACGACCATCAGATACAATGCAGATGATGGCTTTTTTCCAGCCATCTACACCCCATGTCTTGGATCGTGTTCGCGAACACAGATATACAATGTTCTTGAACAGGGCTTGCATTGACTTGCAAAACAAATAGTCGTCTTCGTTGTACATGGTTACCACAATAAACAGTTCAGTTGGACGGGCATACTCTTGCTGACGGAGAGTGTATCCACGCTTCACGAAATCATCTGCGGGGCAAGTGACTGCAGTATATCGCATATGGGTAAACTCTTCGCCAGATCCAATTTTTCCCATCTGTAGTACTCTGTCAGGAACAGGCACATCAATCACCAAGTTGCCCTGTGGGGTCAAAGGAATATTGCGAACAGTGCGTTTGCGAGCAATAGCATTGTGGGGTATCAGCTGACTGGCGTTTGGATTTGCAGCAACGCCATACTGAATAGAATGGTCCGCCATATTTCTGTGGCTTGGAGAAAGAGATGTAATGAGGCCAGACGGCATCTGATTGGTATAGCTACTGCCATTATGCAATTCTGTAGAAAGCAAAGGCCTGTGCTGAGGCGGAGATGAGCCACTATATGAAGATGGTGCTGGCGCATACTTTGACTGTTGAAATTGCTGCTGATAATGTCCTGCTACAGGTGGACGAGGAGAAAATTGCACCTCTGAAGTAGCTGAAGGTGGATTGTAGCTCCTGTTGGACTGATTCCTCTGCGGTGGCATAGGGTAACCTCGTTGACGATCTACAGTCATGGCAATACATGTTTCATCGATATACAGTTGCAGTCAGACCCAGACCGTTGTGAAAAATCAAAAAGCCATCGTCAAAGTAATGAATTATACAAAGGGTTGTACAGTAATGAATGCATGGAACACAATATATGATTTTGTTGTATAGAAAGTAATAGTATAATTAGTGAAGGTGTCGATATGGCAATAATTCGCTAGAAGCTTGATTCATGCATATGGTAATTAAAGAAAACAACTAACCATCGTCGTTGTATTCCAAGTTACTATTCATGATAGTATTGAAGAATCACCGTTTATTTCAACAACCTGGCAGGTTGTAATTAAATCAAACAGTAGAATTGAGGACTGAGAGCAAAAGGACAAGTGCAAGACCGGTTTGTTTCAAGTGCGAGTTTGAATCCAGAAGAAATGGAAATGCAGTGCCAACTTGCATTTGTTAATGCTGAAATAATTCGCTCCACGCGTCGGTTTCATGAATTGACAAAACCCGTAGCTTACCACGTGGTTTAATTGTACTATTTTGCTGCCGTATTCATATAAAATGAAACGCTTATTTTTCTCGAGTCATTATTTTGCTAATAAACAGTGGGTGGATGTTTACGCTTTCTTAATAAGAATTGACTGCTATAATAACGGGCATTTTCAATTCTCCTAAACACAATGCGCATCATATGATGCACAGACTATAGTTTTAAATGTATTCTTTTCTTTCCATTTGGTATAACCATGTATTACACGATTGGCAAGCTTGGACTCGGATATTGGCTCGACTGTTTTGATGTCAATTCAACTCTACAAGCTCATGCATTCTAAATCCTATACGTTTGCGTTCTAGTTCAAGGGAACAATGATTGCATGTTTCAGAAATGCGACCATTGCTTTCATGGCCACCAAAAGACCAGTTAAGCAAAGAATTCAAAGGGCACAATGCCATTCAGTAAGTGATGTGGGACTGAGACCAACCATTTCATAAAGCGGTTGTTTATTAGATACTCTTATTTAGTGCTCTACTTTACATGAATATAACTGTAGTTGTGATGGTTACGTGGTGTATAGTGAGTTATTAGCCAGTTTGTAGAATTATTTCGAAAATGGGTTCAAATTGCATTCTACTAGTGAAACTTGATCACTCAGTCGATATTGATGGTATTGTAATGACTGGTTCGATTATTACAAAACACTTGAATTCCAGTCATAATGACACAACTTCTGGTTGATTTTCAAGTCTTTAGCGGCCACTCTTTAGGGCTGAATTTAGCAACATTTGACAATCAAGCTTTTTGTCATGAACATATATCACGTGATTTGGAATGTTTTGATTTGACCGTCAGCGGCTAATCAAGCTTAACCCAACACAAGAATGCTTATTCCGTCACTGCCATCCCTGCCTATTGTCGACATCAGTGCCTTTGTATCTGGTAAAGGCACTTTTGAGGAAAAGACTGTAACTGCCAAGGCCATTGACAGTGCTTGCCGAGAGTTTGGATTTTTCTATCTAATTGGCCATGGTTTGAGTGAGCATGAAGTCAGCGAAATCCGTACTCTTTCATGCGATTTTTTCGCTTTGCCTCTTGAAGGTAGTTGATGCAACTGTGCAAGTATATATCAAAAATACTGTCCTACACTAAACCCACTTATTATGATAGAAAAGGAAGAGATCTCTATTGAAAAGACTGACTTGGCCCGTGGATACCAGCGAATAGGCCAAAACATTACCAAGTATGCCAAAGATTGGCATGAGGGTATCGGTATGTTGGCATGATATGGCTGTAGAAACAATGTGTAGTCGATCATAGTGGGTAACTGGTTTTTTGAATGCTATTCAATCTAGATCTATATGCGCCAGTTGGTCCGGAGCATATAATCAAAAAAAGAGGACTCCAGACTTTGTCAGGAACCAATCCAATTCCAGCTCGTCCAGCTAATTTTCAAGATGTTGTGGATCGTTATGTTGAAAAAATGCAAGCATTGGGCATGGCTACTATGCAAGCCATGGCAATGGGACTTGGACTTCCTGAGCACTGTTTTGATTCAAGCATGGACAATTCATTCTGGGTGATGCGCATGATTGGATATCCACCTCTGATGAAAGAAGATGCTGATGTGGGGATCAGCTGTGGTGAGCATACTGATTATGGGTGCTTGACCATTCTGAACACAGATGAGACCACTGGTGCATTGCAAGTCAAGTCCAAATCTGGTGAATGGATCAATGCTGATCCGATTCCAGGAGCATTTGTGATCAACATTGGTGACATGGTCAATGTAAGTTGATTATATCTTGAACCCATTCGATGCTGCTCGCACTAACCCAATTCTACATCAGGTCTGGACAAACGAGCTATACACATCTACATTACATAGAGTGATACATACCAAAGACAGTTTCCGTATATCAGTACCATTCTTTTTTGAACCCAACTTTGATGCAATAATAGCTCCACTACCAGAGTGTGTTAAGATGTCAGGAAAACCAGCACTGTTTCAACCACTGTTATATGGAGATCATCTACTGGGAAAAGTGAATTCCAACTTTGATGTGAGCACTGGGAAATAAGCAGTATGTTGGTTTGAGTAGTCACCACAGTAGGACTGAACAACTTGCAGCCGTACTCACGTAAAATGGAACAAAAAGGTTGTTAATGTACAATAAACAACCCATCTCAAACCAATAGTTTTCATTAAATTTACTGGCAATACTTTGTTCTTTAACAAGGATGATCAATCTTGTTAGTGATTAGCATCTACAGATTTATTCTTGAAATGTGCAATCTTCAACTAAGACGCAAGCGTAACTACAATTTCACGACACAAGGTTCTATAGAGTTGAAAACAGCTAAACTCGATATCTGAATTGCAGTGAATAAAACTGATTTCAAACATAGTTTATCAAAGAGTTGAAACTATTTCCAATAACGATTTCCAAGTGCAATGACATTCAATAGCAAGATCGCAAGCGTTCCATTTTACGTGAATGCGCTGCAAATAATTTCAAGGCTTGAATTCACTTCATCTTACACCAAATGTCGCAAAGTGATGGTCCTGCGAATGCCGGCACTACCAACACCATTCAACCAAAGTCTAAAGCTGTCGCTACTCAAGCTTCATCATGTCTGCAACTGATTCAAATGCTATCCACCTTGTTACCGCCCACTATTATCCAAGAACTCGGTCCAAAATGCTGCAAGTGGTCTAGCGGGTCTTTAGGTGCTCCTACGATCCTGCAGCGCTTACTGTCCAACTCCCCTCTGCCTCCAGGCATTTGGGTTTCATGCGATGGTCCAAACCTCACTGAGATGTGAGTTTGAAATATACTCTGCTATCGTCTTGCACTTTTAATCCTAACATTCATGACTTTTACCTTTTGGAACTTGTTCTCAGCTATATCGATGGTCACAGCAATTATACTCTGCAAGGCACCTTATCCGAAGCTGGGTTCCCAGGAAACTTGACTCATTTGAGATTGATTGCTCTTCATAATCACAAGCAACTAACTGGCTCTGTTCCTGGTAATGTATTATCTTGAACATCAATCATTTGGAGTGCAATGACTGCTGGATGGGTCCTGTACTCTCGCTTTCAACTACGCCTTTTGCCTTGATTTCTTTTCAAGGCTGTATAGGGCTACCATTCCTTGTAACGCTTTCAACCACTCTGTTCAACCTAGTCTATTTCTAACTTATTTTTATTTCGAATTCACCCATCAAATACTAAATGACTGGTGCTCATACGATAAATCGACATGTGAAATGCAATATTTGCTAGATTTATCGAGTCTGGACCAGCTACAATATATTGATTTGCATGGAAATAGCCATGTTGGACTGCTTCCAAGTGGACTTTCTAATGGTGCTACTCTAAGACATATGTAAGCTACCTTGCCTTTATTTCAACTGCAGTCCAAAGCTAACCCTGTAACGGTAAATCTTACTGGTAGTGACTTTTCAAATACTATGATCTCGGGCGATATTCCTTGGGATATTCCTGTCACTTTTCCTACACTGTCCTATCTGTAAGTCTCATTCAACCCATTGTATACAAAACAGATTTTTAGACCTTGAACATTAAAACTTGCTCATCTTTGAATATAAATGACAGTAATCTTTCAAATACATATGTGTTTGATCTTGTCCCTGATTTATCCCGTATGCCAGGTCTGACCACATGCGACCTAGAGAGCTTATATATGTGTGCTCCCAACACCCTCGCCAAGGATGCTATTTGTACCAAGGGTGTACGAATCTGTCAAGGTATAGAAAGCAAACCCGTTCAATTATTAAAACACCATGCTTTTCAGCATACTTTTGTTTATTAGTCACTAAGCCGCCATTCTATAATGACATTTGAAATGGTGTTTAGATTCGGATCTAAAAGGAATTGCAAATGGAGCAAATAGTCCATCTAAAGAATCGAAAGGCGGCGGCACTCCCTTCTCCAACATTGCTATTGCTGGTCTTTTGGTTGCATGTATATCTATCCTTTCAGTTTTTATCTTTATCACAATCAGGGTCACCTATTACCGTAAAGAGCGACGTTCTGCCCAGCAAAACAGAGGTGGTGAAAAATCCTCTCCCTTTGGACAATTGTCCAGAAGGGGGTTGGCTGGTACTGACGACCTTGTCCATACTGGTCAATCAGAAAACCTGCACAATACTATGCGTTCCAAAGCAGGCTCTAGTCTTGATTATACTGATGCCTTGAACCGTATGCGTTTACTTCCACACAACAGCAGTCGATCGACACTTTCAGGAATGCCAGACGATCAAACCAGCTCAACACATACTCCACAATTTGTTGTTCTTCACAGAACCGACACTACCGCTACTCTCAGCTCATTTAATTCAGTCCCATGTATCGATGAGCAGCCATCTAATTTTACTGACGAGGATCGTATTTGCATGCGTTTGCATCGCCTAGGAAACCGTGTTCTTAATGACCCTCTCTCTCTTTCCCAAATCAACCGCCGTAGTTTAGAAATGACTGGCACTTTGTACAACTCCTCCTCTCGGAGCTTTTACGAGGACCAAAGAAGCTTGGCTTTGAATTCATACATTTTAAACAAAACTGGCGATGGTACACAGGCCACAGCCAACTCATCTGCGTTGAGACTGCTTAGTCAACCTTTGACAGATCTTGCATCAGATCCAAAAACACTACGGAGTTATCTAAAGGCCTTGCTATCTACTGCTCAACAACGCAATTTAGATATTCTTTTACGAGACATGTGCTTGGATCGTATTGAAACATGTTTGGGGGATGATTCGGTAATGCTGGTAAGAAGGGACGAATCAAAGGAAGGCACAGGCTATGATGATGTGTCAAGTTTTGGCAGTGGATTCCACGGCAAAATAATTTCATGGCAGCCAAAACTACTGCTGGAAGATGGACGGCTGAATGATACTTAATTCTTGTTGATATAGCCGCACTCACATAAAATGGAATAATAAATGTTAAAATACACAATAAACAGCAGTCTCATGAAATGATAATCTACACTAATTTATCAGATTGTGTCTACTGGTCTCATGTCTATTTTTGTACAAGACAACTCTGTTCACATCACAGTTGTAATAAATTCCACATCTTTCAACTCTTCATTACAAGTGAACATTGGGTGATTGGCATGCAGAAATGGTATGTATTCCTGAAACGTGTAATCGTTGCTATCTTGAACTAGAGCATATTTGCGAGTTTTCAGAACAAAGTCTCTTCAATGCCACGATCGTGCCAGATATTCCTTGGTTGCGTGTAAAGCCAACATTTCCAATAAACAGTCATTTCAAATACAAAAAAATAATCCATTCTACGTGACTAGAGCTGTAAAATTCAAACTGCATAATTTAGTCGAGTTTCCTTTTATTGAGAATCAACTCGACAATTTAGACTTGCTCATATTAATACCATTTTTATTACCCAACAGGATTGGTCTTTACTTGTTACTAAAATGGACAGTAACAGTCCGGATGCATTTTCAGGATCTGTTGACACTAGCAAACCGCTCGATGCAGCATCACTCTACACCCATTACAATGCATATTACACATCCTTGGGAGTCGATACAGCGACTGCCGCTTACTATGCTGCCATGTACGCTGCAGAATATTCTGCAGCAATGTCGCAATATGCTAAACCACTTGTTTCGGCATCTGCCAAGTCATCCACAGATGCCTCTGGATCAGGAACAATAGGGAAGCATGATGATGCAAAAACAGATGCTGCCACTATCAGCAATAAAAACAACTCATCAACTCCTTTTCCAGAAGGACATCCTGCCAACACTGAATCGAATAATGGTGTTCCTTATCCAGTTGGCTACACTCCAAACAAATCCAAACAAACAGGATCATCTGCAACAATCCAGGTTCGATCTAAACGAGATGCAACCAAACTATCAACGGGAGTTGCACCCAAGTCAGCTACTACAGCCGCCATTTCTGTTGGTAAATCTAATCCTACCTCTGCAACTCATATATCTGCATCCGCCCAGTCAACCGCCGATACAGTCCGACTGGATCCTATTCAATCGACAAAAAGGCAAAAACGACTCACAATGAGAGTGGCTGGTGGTAAGGTGTGGTCTGACCCGACTATGCTTGAGTGGGATGAGAACGACTACCGACTTTTTTGTGGAGATATTGGAAACGAAGTATCCGATGATCTACTGACAAAATCGTTTAGCAAATATCCATCAATGCTCCGTGCACATGTTGTTCGGGATAAAAACAATCAGAGTAAAGGATTTGGGTTTGTTAGTTTTAAAGATCCAGAAGACTTTGTCAAGGCCATGCGGGAGATGAACGGTAAACTCTAGTTGTGATGAGTTTGGATGCTTTTGGTCGTGCTAATCTATACTTTTTGAATGTTTTGTAGGCAAATATGTGGGAAACCGGCCAATTAAGTTGAGAAAGTCGACTTGGAAAGACAGAGTGGGCGATAACAAAAACCTGAAGCGATTGGCTGGCTTTTCCAATGTGCTTTCTAAGAAATAAACTGCAGTCTAATGTCGAGTTTTGGATAATGAATTGCTTTAATTTATCTGGTATGAAAGCCACATTTTTACATCAAGACGTTGGCTTGCAAACCTTTGATTATTTATCCAGTGCTTTAGCTTCATGTTTACTAGTGTCTTTTTGACTCCACAAGAATGTTAGATTGCATTTTATCTCACATTTCACCGTGTTCTCCGACTCGTAATCTGCCAAATTATCATCATTCGTAATGCCATTCCGAATCATATATCAAAAAGGTTGAAGCAGTACTATCGTTAAACAGCATTTGCACAAATCAACGCTATATTATTGTTTTTTATTTAAATCGGCAAATAGCATATCTGAATTCAAACATTGTTCAAGGTATATTGCGTGTGCAGTAGACTATACAATATCATGGCTTTGTTACGTGTGTTGACCACTTTAGTGGTGATGTATTGCGGCCAATGTCTAGGCAAGTACATATTGACAAGCATATCATTTACTAAGCATACATGGACTAACTTGATTCAGCTCTAATTGATGTATAGGTGCTCCGCTTGTTATTCCAGCCATATTTCCTAAACCATATATCGCGTATCCCAACTGCACAACAGGTATATTTCGTTTCTAATGTTCATGAGTATATTCATACATGCAATCAATGAAATTATCAACCTATTCAATTTTACATTTGTATTATTTAGCATGTGGATCAAAAAAGGCATGTCCTCAAACGCCATGCATGCTCGGATCAGCCAATACTACCTCCAACACCCCAGGATTTGTTTTACAAAGCCTGTGCAACATGCCACAATTGATCTGGACATCGCGAGATGATCTTCATCCTTGTCAGGAATATTCTGGTTTGAATTTAGTCGAAATTGCATATGGAATTGATCGTGGTAATTTAGATATTGTTCGCGATCCTACTGGGTATGACGCTAGTGTGTGGCGAGTACTGTAAGCGTACATAATTCTGTATTGAACATATTGTACTTGCATAAAAGCATGTATGTGTTTCAAACCTCACCAATGAATTGATTTCTTTTATAGATATCCTGGTAGTAGCTATCGACCCAAAGCCATCGATGCACCAATCGGCGGAGCTGGTGTGAGTACTTTATAAAATATTACGTTTCATCATATCATATTGTTGACTTTGAGCCAACGGTCAACCATTAGTTCTATAGTGCACCAATAGATCTTTCAAACGCCAAATCAGTGACATATCAATACGACGTACTATTTCCAGTCGGATTTGATTTCGTCAAGGGAGGAAAACTACCTGGTTTATTTGGTGGCCATCCAGAATGCTCTGGAGGTGCTAAAGCCTTGGATTGCTTTTCTACCAGACTCATGGTAAGTAACCCGATCCATTAAGCTCCAACAAATGAATGAAGATAAATTTAATATCTCTAACCTACTCGAAAAGTTTCGAGCGTACGGAGATGGTGAGCTCTACCTCTACTCGGATAAAAACGCTCAGGACCCACGACTGTGCATTAATCAAACCATTCCATTAGTTCCCGGCACAGTTTGTGACGATAAATATGGTACATCCATTGGTCGTGGAGCGTGGCGATTCCCTCTTGGAGAATGGACAAGTGTTCAGCAAACCATTACTTTAAACACCATCGATTCACACACCCTGCTACCCAATCGTAATGGTTTGGCGGTGATTCGAGTCAATGGGGATACGGTGATTGACACAGGGAATATTGTGTATCAGACATCAAACATTGGATTTGCGGGAATTGATTTCGAGACTTTCTTTGGGGGAAGCACAAATGATTGGGCTACTCCAAGAGATCAGGTCACATACTTTCGCAAGCAAAAACTAAAGATTGAATATTGATCAGACCTATAATTATGAGATGTGTTTCAAATTTTAGTGTAATCGACTAATTTTTGAACGAGACTGGCCAGTATCTTGTAAACCAGAGTCTTAACGCAACCATCAGACCGTGCTTGTCTGGAACCAAAGCGTAGTGGAAAAAATGAAATTCAAACAATTGCCACTTTAGAACTGGTTTTTTATTTTGCCATTGGTCAACGCTGATATAAATCCATTGTGTAGCATATATATTAGCAAATCCTTGCACCAGTCTAGTAAATACTGTGCAGTTTCAATTGCTTATTGTGCAAAATTTGAATGAATGTGCTATTATGAAAAGCTGAAATGATGACAGTTCCATTGTATACATTAGCCTGTCAGCGTATCACACGGCTATAAGCATTACATAATATAATCTGAACTATGTCGGTCATAAAGGAATACATTTTAAATCAGGGTCGGTAGATGCCTGGTTTATCAACCATCGGAGTTTAAATTATGTCGACTCAGCAAAATCCACCAGCCATATGAATATTTTTCAGTCATATAGATGATTGCATCTAGCGAGTTTTTGTTCACCTGGTGCTGAGTGGCACTGACTATTTCTTGTTCACTAAAAACATTCCGACCCATTCAACTTTCAATGATTGTTACGAATCTAAAAGCGCTATTGTGTTTGAGAAAGACAAAATAACTATGCACGCGCTTTTGAGAGATTGATTGTTGCAGCTTAATTTATCTAGTCATTTCACGGCATATGTGCAAGCGTTGGTTTAAACTCAGATTGTTGACTAAAAATATAAATACAGCGTTACATCTTTCTTTAAGTCTGTATCACTGAAACATACTTAAGTAGTCCAATACCTTTTACTCACTACAACTTCATTGAAATGCATTTCTCTGCCATAATCTCGTTGACATTTGGGCTTGCTGGTACGATTGCACCTTTGATTCATTAGTGAATGGATCAAGCTTTGATCGTGTTTATTAGAAACTAATCTACTTTTCACCTTGTTTTAAACTCATCAGGCATAGTTCCGGCTGTTCTCGCATTTCCATACCATTCTGGATGCAATTCACGTAAGTTTCTATATCCGACCAAATCTTGCAAAATGATTGCCTATTCCCTATATGCATGCCCTACCATATGGTGGAAATCATTCCGCCTAAACCAAGTGAATGATTCACCACATGCATACTGAGCTGAGCCATTAACGCATCACCAGAATATAATTTGCTAATTCATCGTTTTGTACTACCCAAATATTCCCTTATTGCACAGCTTCCCAATGTGGACGCGTATCACTTGGCTGTGATACATTGTGCCCTTCAGGAGTAGAATGCTTTCTTCACGAGGACTGCATCTCCAACATATGTAAAGACCAAAAATGTGTCGATGTGGAAAACTCTAGGTCAAAGTTGCGACTTATGAAGCGTGCGTCGTCCAAGAAAACCTCTGTTAAGCATGCGTCGTCCAAGAAAACTCCTATTAAGCGTCCTGTCCAATACTGTATTATTCCAACCCCTACTCAAGACCCGACTACCACTGCCTCTACCTCGGTACCCACATTGACAGGCAATCGATGGCAAGCCTCTGACTTTCTCCAAGCTAGCCTTTCCAAGCTAAATATTATGCAGGATAGGTACGGAGTAGACAATCGATATTTTGTCAATGACCCCGTTGTAAAGGGAAATATAGTCTTGAAAGTGGATTACCCTGCTGGAAGCTATAACCCTAGTGGTCCAATTATTGGTGGAACTGGGTTCTATGCTCAACCAATAGATCTTAGCGCAGCAAAAACTACCATGTTTCAATATGATATCTATTTCCAACCTGGGTTTGATTTTGTCAAGGGTGGCAAGTTGCCCGGTATATACGGTGGACATTCTGGATGCTCTGGTGGTCGCAATTCACAAGACTGCTTTTCGTCTCGATTCATGGTGAGCGTTATTTGATTGGGAGTTGATTGCACATTTGTAACTTATTTATTAACCCGAGAATCTATATTATGAATGTTAGTTTAGGACCGGGGGTGCTGGTGAATCTTATATATATCTTCCATTTGATCAACAAGTACCTGGATTCTGCAAAATACCACCTAAAAGTGTCTGTAACCCAGATTATGGTACATCTATTGGCCGTGGATCATGGACATTTCCCACAGGAGAATGGGTCACTGTCAGTCAAACTATCACTCTCAATACTGTGGGTGTGGCTGACGGATCTATCACGGTAAAAGTTAATGGCAGAACCGCGATCCAGTTTAATGAGATTGTATGGATAACAGATTCTAGCGTTGGATTCCTTGGAATTGATTTCGAGACATTCTTTGGTGGAAGCTCGAGTGATTGGGCGACGCCTACTGATCAGTACACTTTGTACAAAAACCTTATCATTCAAAGTCTTGACTGAGATGAATAAGCTGTTAAATTGTTTTGCAAAACATTGCTTCTATACCTACCAATTACACGTATACATTTGATTGTTATATACAAATATATTGATATGATTTATTTATTTTTGTTTATGGAGTGGTTTCTGATTTAAATTGCATGATGTATAGTTTGCTAGTCTCACCAAAAATATTAATAGAATAGCAACCACAGATAGAACCTCGACTAAAAAGTTGATGTTTGAATATCGCTTCAACGGCCTGATCCAAACGATGGCGAAAACGAATGAGTTTTGCTCATGTCCGACTCGTAGAATTGCCCAAATTGATCCATTTTTACTCGACCAAACTTGACTGCAATCCCATGTGGAGGTGGAACAGCACATACAGGCAATGCATCTTGATCAATATCCTTTCGTGGGCGTCGAATCAAAAGCTTTGAGTAATATCCAAAAATCTTGGCTGAAACTGTATAAATGAATAGCCATACTACTGCTAGCACAAATTCGATATACGTTGTAATTTTCCTTGGTGCAGTAAACTTTCGTGCTACAAGTATAATTGAAAGATGCCAAGGCTGTGATAATTCGTGGTATGTCAATCGCTGTCGCAGATTAATCTGATCCGCTATATCTTTTTTGACAAAACTTCTGCTATAGGGGATATTTTCCGACCTTTCATGATTGAGATGAATAAATGACGTGCTGAGCTGGCTAATCAAATCGGGTGTGTTCTTTGGTGGAATTGTATTTTCTTTCATCAATTCACTCTTGGATGATTGTGGTGTCAAAAACCCGATACGATGGTCATCCTGATTTCCCATGAACAACTCTAGTCCATCTTGACGAGCAAAATCTTGAAAATGACCCATATATTTTCTTGACAGCCAAATGCCAATGAGTTTCAATGAAGCAGGTATTGTCCATCCCACTTCTAGAGATAGCAGATGCGTGCATATCATTGACGTTCCGGTGTAATATTGGCTAAGCATGTTTGAGTTGTCGATCCATAGCTTCCTCCAAGATCGATCAGTGTCAAAATTCAAGTCTTGAAGATGCGATTCACATCCTGCCAGATCGCACATAATTTGTCGAAAAATGTAGCTTGATACATGATAATGTGCCAAACTAACTTCATCTACGCAATCAAGCGAATTGAACCGAATTACTGCCTGTTGTTTGCAGTTGATTACCGTACTACTGACTCTATCATCAATGCGATTATACTTGTGCTCACAAAGAATATCATCCAAAATCCGCATCAAACGCTGACTTGTCTTCAAATTAGTTGGTGCTTGCTGTCGAAGGTAAGCCACATTGTCACCATGAAACCCAATCAAAGCCTTTTCATATGCTCGGCTTAATTTGGCGGTATCGCTGTTGTGATCGCGACAGTTGAGCAGGTCAACAGCGTATATCTTTTGACCATAACTTTGTAATAGATGCTCAAAATGATGACTCATTGCGTCCATGGACTCGTTTGACTGAACTTGACTGAGATCGATTGGTGGCTCGCAAAACGGTTCTGTAACGTTTTTTTGATTCCAAAACAGTGGCACAGATCCACGAATCATACAAAACGAAGATATGCCGTGGTCGTGCACTACCAAAACATTGGTGTCCACTTCTATTGCCGAGTGTCCAAACTCGTCTACTCCACGACACCAATATCGAGCTCCAGCTTGATGGCGATTGATCCTGGATATCAAAAAAACAGACACTGATATGTTTTGAATGCTGGTCACCATGGATCCTACATGGCCGCATATTATTGGTGTCACAAATGCATCGGTCCCCTTGTCAACAAAAATACGCAACATATGCTTATTCCACACATATTGATCATTGGCATGCGAGAAAAAGGAATGTGCGTTCGTGCTGGATCTGGAGTAGTTTAAACTATTTTCAAACCCTGATAGTGATCCATTGGCTAGATCCATATCCAAAGAATAGTACTTGTTTCCAGCACAGTACTCGTCCTTGATAAGTCTTAGGCATATTCTTTCGTGCTCTTCCTGTGGCATTGTATTTTCATTTAAATTGTATTAGATCGATTATCATACAATAGTGCATTGGGTGTAACATTTTCAATTACTAGCGACTCGTTGAAATCATATACCTCGCGTAAACTAGGCGATATTGAACTTTTAAACACCACTATCGGCTTAACATCACGAATATGCCAAACATGAACAGTTTGCTGGATGTTGGTTGCAACCAAGTCACGATCCACCACGACAAAAATGTATTTGATGAATCCAAGATCCAAGTGTCCAACGATACCATAATATGTCAACTCTGAAAGAACCTTGTCCGTGTTTGGAGTGTACATGTCCTGAGATTCTACATGAATTGCACATTATAAATTGATCCAAGTCAGTACGTTTCACTGCAAAAGCAGGATATACTAGTAGTCTCTGGTATCCAGTAAACGAATACCAAACAATGAATGCATGCCCTTGTATTGGTCCAAAGTGCAGTTTACCTCCAAGCGTCATGCAACCATCATGTTGGCCCATAAAAATGAGGGTTTTTGCAAAACTGGTTTGTCGAATGGGTTGTAGTGTGACTGTGCCAGATTCGAAAATGGTCAATAGTGAGTCTGATGGGATTTCTCAATTGAATAGAAGGTGTCCAGCGGATGGTCAGTGCATGCATTCGATACCAGCACAGTTGAGATTAAAGTCAAACGATTCGTTAGTATGTCGGCCAGTCAGGTGCATCAAATGGTATGAATTCATAATTAAACTTCAAGACCACATTGATTCTACTCAAGGTGTTGGTTGCCAGTGCCATACCATATTGAACCGACTCCATTGCTGGATTTACTATCCTATTTTACTCCAAGTTACAATTTTCAAGAAAGCAGATGTTCGCGTCGAAACTGGGAGAGCTGGGAATGTTTGCTCCGAGTCCAGGTGAGATGAGTCTTGGAATTATGGCTGTTGATGGTCTGCTCCATTACATAGAGCTGTGCTTGGACATGTCTTGGTGATGAATATCCATAGATTTTGGACCAGATATGGGCAAATAGAAGACATTGGTGTCACTTGCATTTACAATGTACACGCTATTATCATCAAGTTGAAATGAGTTGGTTGACATACTATACTAGTTCATGGCTGCTCAACACATTCCAGTATAAATTCAGTATTGGATTTATTGTGAGTTGGCACTAGTTTGAAGGTCCATGGACAAGCATTGTTCAAAAATACCAAACATGTCGAAAACGTCCATTTGAAAATAATGCTAATTCAACTGTCAATGGGTGAATACAGATTCCGGGATACTCAATGCATTCCCATTGTCTGTAAAACGTAAACTCATCTTGGAAATTACGCAGTGTTTGCTACCTCGTAGCTCACCACTTGGTGATCCAGGTGCCATTTTAACCTCTGCTACCCATGTTAATTGGATGATGGAGGTCATTGGTCAGGGATTTTCGCTACCTATCGAAGATGTGATTGTAATACAGGATGCCATCAATGTGTATCACTCGTGGCTTCTTGAAAAATCAACACGACCTGCTATTATCCAACAATGTGGTGACAGCAGCGATCTTGCTCAAGGATTCTTTCAGGTGATTCATCATGTGTTATTTTAATATATATGCAGTCAAACATAGTGTTGAGCGATCGTGCTGACTATCATTGTGGAATCCATCTGTGCATTACCAAACCCAAATGCGTAGACAATATTCAAACACTACTCGCTCATGTTTGTGCCAAGAGTTGGAAACAGTGTTCAATCAATCAATTTGCAGCAATCAATATCCACCAATTCCAAAATATCAGATTTAGAAGAGTGTGCTGATAACACCGCAGCGCATATTGAGCTCTGCAGAAAGGTGTTGTCTATTTTATTGGCAGCATCAAAAACATTGGCAAATACATTTACAACAGAAACATGGGTAGTTCTTTTCAAGGTATTGTTGGGAATCAGCGACATTATTCTAACGCAGCCCATCAGTACTCGAACACCGATCGGCGTTCTTTCAACACCCAGCACACCAGGAAATTTAAAGTCGTCCAAATCCGTCGCTACACCTTTGTTGGATGATATTGAACCGTATTGCAGCGGACCAGTGATGGCAGACAGAATTTGCGAACCCATGATCAAAACATTGCTGGAAATATGGCTTAGGTCAGGAATTTTATCAGTAGAAATGTGGGATCGTCTCAAAAAGCACTTTGTGACATGGACACATCGAATAGAAGTGATTCATCATTGGAGCGCAGTTATTTATGGACTCACACAAAATGTTGTAAAGTATATATTTGACGAGTCTAAACTGCAGTCCACCGTCACGATTGCGTTGCATAATGGAGGAAACATCTCCATTGATTTCACAAGTGATTTCCTGGTATATTCCTGGCACCGTACAATCTACATGATTGGAAATACATGCGCACTGAGCTGCCGAAACTTTGTTGTCGCCATCACGGGTCTTTCAAAATCAATATCATTGTTGTATTCTATAGATGCTGGATCAAATGGCATGGTTGATGGAAACACGATCTTGAACATGTTTGGCGAGTGGCTTTTTCAAGCAGCCATGATGCACGAAGTCGGGTGAGTTTATGCCAAACAATAGTGGTTTATACTGTAGTTGGATGCCATGGCTCATGCTTTATCGGCAATTTAGATTTGAAGAAGGACGGGCTGAAGCGCTTGGAACACTATGTCGTATATTTTCAAAGTATCAGAAAACCACCAAATTCCTTGCAGTCTATCTGGAGCACTTTTACAATGCTCTGCATTTG